AGCATCCGGAAACGCTGACTATCATGGCCAATCTGGCTTCAAATTATTCGCGTCAAGGGCGGTGGAAGGAGGCAGAAGAGCTGAATATGCAAGTGGTAGAGTTGAGAAAGAGGGTACTTGTGGAGGAGCATCCGGACACGCTGACCACTATGAGTAACCTGGCTTCAAATTATTGGTGTCAAGGGCGGTGGAAGGAAGCAGAAGAGCTGAATATGCAAGTATTAGAGGCTAGAAAGAGGGTGCTTGGGGAGGAGCATCCAGACACGCTGACTAGCATAGCTAATCTGGCTTCAACATATCGGGATCAAGGGCGGTGGAAAGGGGCGGAAGAGCTGCAGGTGCAAGTAATGGAGACGAGGAAGAGGGTGCTTAGGGAGAAGCATCCAGACACGCTGGCTAGCATGGATAACCTCGCTTTTATATTAAAGCGCCAAAGTCGCGACGTGGAGGCCTTTTCCTTGATGGAAGCATGCACTCAGCTCCGCAAACAGGTTCTTGGAGATCAACATCCTCGCACAAAGTCGTCTCTTAGGACATTGACCGAGTGGCAAGTAAGGAATGTTGAGATAGACCCATAATGCGCATCAGTGTATATAATATGAAGTAATTTAGAATTGTATAAACTGTTAGTCAAGCCTGATTATGGACGACATTCAACGCCAGTTGGAGAGCTTAGCTTTAGCATAGAATCATGAAAGCGTCCTAAAATCAAGCACACTTCTCGGGATGCGCATTGCGTTGCTGGGATATCTTCGTTCGTGAAAGTTGAAGTAGCCCGAGCTTCTCCTATAGATAAACGGTGCTAAGCCACGTCTAGATTAGCTGCATAAGGACAGCCTATGGAACCCTTCGTACCTCGTAACAGCCCCTCAGCTCTGTGATTAGATATATAAACACCATGGCTGCCTGCTAGTCTGGATTCAAGATGTCACGGAATTGCTATGCAATATCTAGATGCCCTCTGTCTCTGTGTGGGGCGCCGTCTACATATGAATCCATCATCTTCATCACATGGCAAATCTAAGCCATCATTGATCGTCACCCTACCTTCAAGAATCTGCAGTACATGTGCAGACATCTCCTCAAGATGGTGTGAGCCAACGAAAAAGCCTTCAAGTTGTGGAGCAGAGGGCGACTTCGAAGGGCTATGGCCTGTTAATAGACGCAGCATCAAGGAGACCGATGAGCAATGCTGGACACCCCGTGAGCTTCGTACAAGCGCTCGACGTTGTGCGTGCTGCCAATTCCTCCTTCGCTCCATAGAATCGAGCCCTTGGATGTCCCCTCAAGACGATGACTATATCGGACTTGGCTCGCATATCGTGGGGTCAACGCACGGCAGCCCGGCCCAGCGGGAGCAGGAGGCAATGCAAAGACACTACTTGGGCAGTGGAGGCGCTACTCAGTACATAAGATACTACAGGCCACGACTTCGAATCTACCGGAAAAGTGGCGATAACAAGGATTACCCATATGTTCCCAGTGATTTTGTTGCTCTTCTACCACTCGCTGAAAAGCCGGATGGCGCCAACGCAGAGGGTTCTCTACCATTTCATGGGCGTGTTGTTGGAGAGAGAACTGACTTCGACATGGCTCGAGAATGGCTCAAATCTTGCACTGACAGCCACCACCCAATCGGCGATAACGTCAGAAAAGGTGGGAGAGGTTTCGGCGGAGGTCTTTTCAGCGGATATTCAAACCAGAGACAAGACGGTTGTCAGCCTGTACCGTGTCTAGCAATCCCGCATTTTCGCCTGGTCGATGTCGAGAAACGATGCATCGTTCTTGCGCAGCCTGAAGATACATATGCGGCATTAAGCTATGTATGGGGCAATTCAAAACGGCTGCTGCTTCTCACAGACAACCTCGAGGAACTGTCAACACCCGGGGCTCTTTCTCCTGACCGGGATACAGTTCCCAAGACCTTTCTTGATGCTATCATTGTAGCACAGCAACTCAGTATTCGTTTTGTTTGGATTGATGCCATCTGCATCCTACAAGATAATCAAGAGCAATTGGTAGAACATATGGATCTCATGGATAAGATATACAGTTCTGCAAGCCTGACTATTGTAAGCGACACGGCGAGCGCAGATTCGGGTATACCAGGTGTTGGCATGCTTCGTGGACCTGAGCAAGCGACTTTCACCAGAGGCCGACGGACATACATAAGTTCCAGGCAAACGTTCGGCGCGGCGCTTCAAAGTTCATGCTGGGAGAGCAGGGCTTGGTGCCTCCAAGAGAAGGTGTTCTCCAAGCGTTTGCTTATTTTCACCGAGTCACAAACGTTCTATCATTGCACGCGATCTACCTGGTTTGAGGATACCGTTCTAGAATCACACGAATATACCGGCGGAAGTGTGTCCATTGCTGAGAGATCGGATCCTTCCGTCAAAAAGATGAGAGATCCTCACTATACCGCCTACGAAGCTCATCGACCTTTGTTCGGGCGTAATTTTTGGTCACTAATAGAGCTCTACACCCGTCGACAGCTGTCTTTCGAAAGTGATACGATCCGTGCATTTAGTGGGATTTTGAACTCGGTCGAAGATCAGCATGGCCCGTCCCATTGGGGGGTTCTACAGTCCGAGTTCAACAAAGGCCTCAGTTGGTCAATAAGCGGGAGAACACCCAACTTACGCCGCAATGAATTCCCTTCATGGTCTTGGGCTGGCTGGAGGGGCAACGTTGAGGGTGTTCGGCTTCGTTTTCTTAGTGCTCATCGCAATTGGCACGACCGATGGGACGTTGTGTTTTTCTACTACCATAAGACCGAGAGTATGGAACATGAGCTTCGGCCTATTTATGTTGATCGTCCGAAAACACCCAAAGTCTCGTCTTCGAATAAGGAGATCGTTTCCACTACGGAGAATACACCAGCTTCTACCGAAACCAAGCCTAATACATCTGCAGCTACTACAACCACTGAAACAGCTGCCCCTGGCAACATTGCACCTACTTCATTATTTGGTCTTCCGCTATCAAGCCCTCCGTCGTCAGGTCTTTTCGGCGCACCCTCTTCAACAGGTCTTCCCTCAACCGGTCTGTTTGGCTCCACCACTTCATCATCAACATATCAACGAAAGAACGATCTAGATGATTATTTCAATTCCGAAAAATACAAAGAAACCAAAAGGCAGCAAGAAGAACTTGAAAGAAGAGATGGAACCTGGATGATTCCGGGCCATCCAGGTGAAGAAGACTTCGTCGCCAAGGACCTACCACCCTTTACACACGTACCAGAGACCATGCCGCCACTATCACACATCCTCCGATTCTATACAAGTGTAGCTACGCTTGAAATTGATGCAAATCCCGATCCCGCTCGCGATCCTTGGACAGGGGGTCAAGGTACAAGGCACGCGGTACGACTACCTGGTTCCAATGAGGTCGTTGGCCACATAGAACCTGTGGCCGAATGGGTTGGAAAGATGACAGTCGCAGATTTTGCCTTCATATCCAATGGATTCCATCCTCCGTCTGATAGTATGGAGTATTCAAGCCCAGCTTTATTGCATGTTCTGATACTGGAGGGTGAGGGAGAAGTGAAGACGAGAGTGAGGTCCACAGAGTGCTGGGATATTTACAAATGGAGAAAGGCCTGTCCAAAGTGGAAAGCAGTAACGTTGGCCTGATGTCAAATACATTTTCTTGGTGCATGGGTTGTTATTCAGAATACGAAGAATCGATTTGTATTGGGCTCATAGGAAATTAAAAGAGCTAATTAGATACAATCGTTGAATGCCGACTTTCTTTCTGGTATCGAAGAAGAGGATGTATGCATGCAATGTCCAAGCGCAATATTAGTATCCATCAAATTCGCCCTCGACATCGCGAACCGCCACTTTCGGCACGCATCGCCCAGGGTGCCAAATCGCCAACAACCAGACGGCGATGACAACAGGCATAAACTCCAAGGTTCCGAAGTACACCTCATGGGTGCTCAGGTTCTCCATGAGGCCTTCCGCCGTCTCGGCAAGACGGAAGCACACACGAAGATAGATCATGATGACGCTGAGTATGAAGGCGAAGTAGAACCCTTTGCTGACGACCTTGAGCAAAACCCTGCGGGCCTTCCACATGAAGGATGCGAAGAGGATGATGAAGACGAGGACGGAGAAGGCTTGGAAGGCAAGACCGCCGAGGAGGATGTTGTTGGGTGTTGTCGGGTCTTTGCGGTTGCTGTATGCTATGCCGATGAGGGCGGCACCGGCGATTTGGACAATGGTGGCCACGACGTCGCAGGTTATGAAGATCCAGAGGATGAGTTTTGGAGCCAGTGGGGCATATTGTCTACCGGTGGAGTTGATTAGGATGGAAAGGACGGTATACTAGATCAAGTAGGTCAGTTGTTAGGCTGGTACAAGAGGGAAGCGAGCAATGTCAGTGTATCTCGAGTACAGAGAGGATGCGATCAACTTCCTGTGCAATTCACGTTGGCGCGGACTTACAATGGCTGCAGCGAAGAAGACTGGTGCGACGACAATGAAAACTAAAGAAAGAATTCCATTAGCTATCATATTCGAATCGAAGTTGCATTGGAGCTCGAGACTGTTTGGCTGCAATAGGCCGACGCGGCATTCCCGCAACTGAAGGTCATCATAGAAGGGCTTCCTAATTTTCGTATCACTATGCAACACACGTACAGTATTGGATCACGAAAAAGTTCACTCGATACGGCGAAACCTTAGCGCTGAGACAGCGAAAGGCGTAACCGACAATTTCCTACAACAATATCAGTCGACCGCACTTCACGTCTACACTGCAACCCCAAAGGTACTGACAAAGGCGATTCCGACTATCATAGTACTGAAATACCATGACCTGTACTTCAAGAGTTGGAATAAATGCGCGATCAATGCCACTAGAAACAGTACGCAACCGAGAACGCCAACGACGATCGAGGGCGTGTAGCCGTAGATGATAATTGTCGCATCGCCATCTGTGCCTGGGTTTGGGAAGTTTGGATCAATGTATCCTTGTGGCGGAGGCCTGTCTCCCATAGTGATGAGGGTATGTTAGAAGTTTGCGGGTTGGGAGGTGGTTCAGAGCGCAGAAGTGTATCTTTAGGTGCATTCAATCGGCGATTTGATGAAGGAAATGAGAAGCGATCGAATTGAGGGCTAATGACAATTTATGACGCCTTCAATTTGAGGACGAACTTCACGAAACGCTACGAATCAATGGGCATGGACACAGGACCCCTTTTCTACTAGGGCGCATCGTGGCGCAAACACTCTTCCGAGGTTTTTGTGTGTCGGAATGGTGCTTGCATTTGTTGTTCTCGCGATCCTCAGGAAGAGTCGTGCTGATCTTTACCCTGTTTTTAATGGGTCTAACAGGGGTTGACGAGGCTTGGCAACGACTTGGTGCAAACATGCGGACCCCGCTATTCTTTCCCAGACTTTCAGCTCTTCCCAGACTATGAGCCTTTTTTCGACTTTAGGCATTTCCAGCAAGGCATCAGATAGCCCCTAACTACCAAATTCAGATATGAGTAGATTATTAAGACTTGATGCAAAAGCTGCAGAAGTACAAGCACTAGCAGGCTACGATGATGATCAGTGGCGGTGGTTTCAGGCAAGGTCTTTACATAACGGTATATTTCAGGCTAACGACATGCACAGAAGCTTACACTCTCCAAAGCAAAAGAATATAAAGAAAGATTTTCAGTAGGCTGGCCAGATTTAAAGCCAACAGACAAAGGAGACCTTATTCAGGATATTAAATCTGTAATAAAGGAGGATCAACAGTTAGAGATTCCGCACGACGATGTCATTCGCTGGCGGTTGGACAAGGCCATGCGCTCTAGTATGTAACATGACCGTATTTACTGCAAATGCTAAACCAAGCAGCAAAGAATGTATCTTCTGCAACACTGCCGTCTGCCAGTAAACCGTACGACCCAATCAGAGACAGTCAATAAAGCCGCATGTTTTCCCGATCGTGATTCCTAGTTGCAGAAACTCGGTTTAGTACAATTTAAAGTTTCAGGTTTCAATGTCAACAAGACGGCTCAGCTGTCGTAGGCGAGGTCTTGCCGCAGTTCCAAGGAAGAGAAACACATCAGATTAGGTGTACATCTGCAAGAATCATAGAGAAACTAAAAGAAACAGCATTTCTAGTTTCAGCAAGGAATTCTTTCGCTAATGTGGTCTCAATTTGAGGAGTATTTACACCTAGACATCTGCATCTATCGACTTATAATTCTTCTAGCCGCTTTCGGTAAGGTTATTCCAAATGCCCCCATTTGAGTCGAAGCTTTCCCTAACGTCTTCGACAGAGTACCTTTATTTGATATGTGCCAGAGGAAATTCTTCTCCAAGATGAGTGAATGCTTCATCTTTAACTCTTGCAAGTTATGTTGCACAAGTGTTGAACGATACTATACAATCAAGCTATTGGTCGTTTGCTATCTAGGTACTCAATGACTTCAAGGCATTTACCAAGCTCTATGTCGGCTCCCATAAGTGGTCACCAAATGAATTTCTTCTCAATAATTGTTTCGAACATGACTTTGTGATCAATGGTTTCCAAATAAGGTGGGGGCTAAATTGATATTGGAGCCGACAGTTATAGGAGGGGCTTGGGTGTTGCCATTCTTATAGACTTGTTCCAAGGAAACCAAGTTATAATTTGGTCAAAGATTCAGAGAGACATCTATGGTGTATCATGGCATTTTTGTATCACTCCGTACTGTTTGATTACAATCGGTAACCGCACCACCTAGTTCACCAAGTAACCTCGATTCGTACTCCGACAGCCTCTCATTTGCACTGCATCCATTCCACAGCTCCCTCTCACCATCATGCGATAGTACTGGCAGACCAACCTGCTCAATTGCAAATGATGCTGCGACATGGCCATGCATGACAGATTTCACGATACTTCTAGTCGAATGCCATCCTGCCATATAGCCTCCAAGAAACGTGTTTCCTCCACCGGTGGGATCTTTCACTCTGTCACTGCCGGAGGCGTAGTATGATGGATGCCACTCGTTTTGCATTATGGAACTTACAGTTAGTGAGCCGTGTTCGCCCGCTCGGATAATGAGTGTGCCCTGCTGGTTTGGACTGAAGCAGTTGTTGAATAGGATACCAGCGCAGGATTCCACTTCCTCTGCATCGAATTTTATCATTGTCTTCCCCCAGACTAGAGCGGTAAGTTCTATATGGTTGGGTGAAAACACATCGACCAGTCTGCAGGCTTTATGAAATATCGGAAGATTCTCCGGCTTGCACGATGATGGAAAGGGCTCCCATACAATCAGCGGGTGATTCCCCTGTCCTCCTTGTCGAAGACGAAGTATCTCGGGAACCTGTTCAAGGATCTCCTGCGGTGTCGCTAGGATGTGGAAGGCTTCCGCGTGTAACAGTTGCTCGCCGATGAGATCAGTCGGCACGGCTTTTAGAGGGCCGCTGGTGTATTTGAACATCTTTGCTGCATTGGCCCATTAGTCTCGAGAAATCAGCCAGGTAAAGGTCTCTTTACGCCCAAAAGTGCCATCTTCATACTCTAACAATCCACGAGTTGAAGTCTTCCCCACTCTCTTCTTCAAAACGACACTAACGCCCCACGCCCCGAATACGTCCTTCACAACCTCTGGGAAGTCGTCACCCGCGATGATGAGACAACCCAAGTTGGAAGGAACCCTTGAGAAGATTCGCTGGCCGAGCGTTGCGAAACTACCAGATCCTCCTATTACATCTCTTAGAGGCTCACGATTAGGTATGTGTATTTCGTCTAAGACGACCATCCCTAGGGACCCACCTGAAATACTTGGAGATGTAGACATAGATGGGAATTTTGCGCAATGACTGTAAAAGGGATATAGTGGTGGCCAGATTTCATAAAATCTCGATGATGCTTGGTGATTACAGTCGTTGCAACAACACTACATTCGTTTTTGGGGTTTGATGTAGTGGTTAGTCAGCACATATGCATGTAAGTTAAGTATGAGCAACGTTTTTAGATCAAATAGTCACGTCGCATCAAGAGTAGATTCATCCAACATAGAAATTGTGTCCTATTACCTTGGGAGATATATATGAACCTATAAGTCGATAACTGCTACAAAAGAAGAGCGACGGGCCTGAAGATCCACCACATTTAGCATTACTCCCTTTGAGAAACTCTGTACGTGACACGAGCGCTGTATCAATAAGGATTGTAAAGCCAGTTCTCCGGACTGAAGTAGACCTCAAAGTCAACCCCACCAAATACTCCAATCGCGGGGAAAAGATCACATTCTCCCCTTAGTCCAATTGTGCCACCTTCGCTTCTTTGATCAAGCTCCTCATTGCCATCCCAACCACCAGCTTTAACCCCATTCCGAGTGAAGAAGACGTCGATGTCAAGGACCATTCCTTGCTGTGACTCGTCATACGATGGTGGATTTTTTGGTGGCGCAAATGTGATACCAATGCCGACAACATCATCTGGCTGGAACGCCGTTGTAAAGTCCGTTCCACCATATGTGTCATTGACATATCTACGGCCATCGTCGCCATGAACACCAAGACTTCCTCGCTGCCATCCAGGCAGCCTGAATGTCGGATATGGAGGCGCCACGTAGCCGATCGCAATGCCTGCGTCTGCCTCTTCGAGCGAGTGACCGCCACGGCCTATTCCGGTAACCTTGAGCTCGAAATAAATCGTCTTTGGCTTCTGGGTACGAAGTGGTGAATCCCACATCACAGAGTAAGCGGGTAGACTTGTCAGGAGACAGGCATCTTTGCACTTTGCATGCGTTCGACATTTCCAGTGGCCAGGCTGTTTCTGCGGCAAGAGGTCACCGATGTAAGTTGGTGCTTTTAGTAAAGCCAATTGACTGTTCTGAATTGCCAAGTGCTGAGCTGGGGTGAGATTCTGTGGTTGCCATAGAGGGTTCTTGAGCGTCCACTTGTAGGCTCGTTCACCATCTTGTTCACTTGCATTTGCGGTTGGAGAGCTATCATATCCTATCGAGGGCGGCGGCGGTAAGACTGAGTTGTCTGGAATCACAGTCCAGTCATGATAGGGAGGCGGTTCCCAACTTGGCGGAGGCTGTTGCGGATAGTGGGACGGCGGTGGGCCTGGAGGAGGAGCATACTCAGAGTTGGACCCACTGTGTCCAGGTGGAGGCCCCGGAGGAGGTACGTAGTGTGAGCTAGACCCGCCGTGGCCTGGAGGGGGCCCCGGAGGGGGTTCGTATTTCTCCCCAGACTTTGTTTCTTGGTTCGAGGGAGGTGTATATTGGGAACTGCTGGATTGAAATTGCGATTGTACATCCTGAAACCCAGCAGACCCGTTAGGTACTCTTTCCTGGAGTTTGGTCTTGAACTTTTTGAACATGATGTGTTTGCTCCCTGGAAAGAGAGTTTGTTTGGGATACTCCGTTAGGTTGGCATATGACGGGTGTAGGCTAGGAGTGAACTAAAGACTTAGAACGGTCAGAGACAAGAGCTCTGCGCTCCTCGAAGGCACGGCAAGTGATGCTTTTAAGAGAGTATCGTGATGAAGGGACATTGGATGATGGTTGATGTGGCTGAGTACATTGAAGGTCAAGCGACTTGGCGGCACTGACGTAACATGATATAGCGGGATAAGGCATTGAACGGGCGGTGTACAAAAGAAAATCACTCATTGAGAGAATAGTCTTCTCGTCTTCGAAGCTATTATTTCCTATAGATAGTCTTTGTATTCTACATGAAGGGAAAGACATGTAGCTACATCTGATGCACATACATACTCGTAGTTTACAGTCTTCCTATGTCTTTTATGGCCACATTCGGTCTGATAGCACAGAAGCGGTTTAGCGCCAGTCGGCAGTCGGTATAATTACCGAAGATTGTGCATAGGCGAATTAGGACGATCAAAAGAAAACCTGCAAAACGTCGATGTACATCATCCGATAAGAAAAAGTTCTCTCCATTCAAGTGAATCTTACGCCATGAACACACACTTCGGAATTACCAGATCAAATCCATGCCAAGTCCAAATTCACCGAGGAAGCCCCTACCCGACTTACCGGCCGGTTGAAGGTGGAACTAAAATTCTGGAAGGTGAAAGTGAGCGCGCTATTTCGTCAATAGTGGCCCACTAAGATAACGGCGGGACCTGGAGAATGAGCGAGCTATCAATCGTCATGTGAGGTTGCCTTTCTCTCTTGACTCTCTCACTCTTCATCCTCCTTCCCAAGGACCACAACCTTTCAAAATGTCCCCAATTGCCTGTCCTGAGACATCTTGCAATGGTTGCGCTACTCAAGGCCAGAATGGCGTACCCGACCTCGAGGATGGTATGATCTCGTCATTTTCTACCACAGTCTGCTTGCATACTAACGATCATTACCGACAGCCGGTGAACATGTACACAAACTACGATCTGATAATTGGTTTAATCGAAAGGATGATATCGGCTTGAGTGCCCTCTACATTGAGCGATATCTCAACTATGGCCTTACGCCAGAAGAGTTGACGTCCGGTAAACCCATAATTGGAATTGCACAATCCGGGTCCGACATTTCACCATGTAACCGCCACCACATCCAGATAGCCAAACGAGTACGGGAGGCTATACGATCCGCCGGTGGCGTTGCTTTGGAGTTCCCTGTACATTCAATTCAAGAGACCTCGCGACGGCCAACCGCAACCTTGGACAGGAACTTGTCATATCTCTCGCTTGTCGAAATGCTTTACGCTTATCCTTTCGATGGTGTTGTCCTTTTGACAGGCTGCGACAAGACCACGCCAGCTGCCTTGATGGCTGCTGCAACGATGAACATACCCGCTATCTGTCTTAACGTAGGCCCTATGCTCAATGGCTATATTAAGAACCAGCGCGTGGGCTCCGGAACCGTCGTATGGCAAGCCCGAGAGCTGCATGCTCAAGGAAAGCTCGATGCAGCAGGCTTCATGGACATGATCTCAAGTGGCACACCTTCGGTAGGGCACTGCAACACCATGGGCACGGCTTCGACCATGAACGCACTGGCAGAGGCTCTGGGAATGGCTCTACCAGGCTCAGCTGGTATTCCTGCTCCTTACAGGGAGAGAATGCAATGTGCATACCAGACAGGCCTGCAGATTGTCGAAATGGTGCGTGCGGACCGCAAACCATCAGATATTATGACTCGAGAAGCTTTCGAGAACGCTATCGTTGTCAACACTGCTATTGGCGGCAGTACTAACGCTCCTATTCACCTTAACGCAATAGCAAAGCATATTGGAGTGCCATTGGACAACGATGATTGGGATCGAATCGGTTTGAAGATTCCCCTACTCGTAAATGTGATGCCAGCAGGAGAAATGTTGATGGAGGAGTACCACCGTGCTGGTGCCCTACCAGCAGTCATGGCTGAGCTTTTTGATCAGGGAAAAATACATGTCAATGCACTCACATGTACTGGCAAAACGATAGGCGAATGCGTTGAGGGTAAAAACTCGTGGGACAGGGCCACCATTAGAGCATACGACCAGCCATTGAAACATGACGCAGGTTTCGTGCACCTCACTGGCACGCTATTCGACTCTGCAATCATGAAGACCTCAGTCATAGCAGAGGATTTCCGGAAAGAGTATTTGGAGAATCCGGACGACCCCAATGCGTTCGAAGCCAAAGTCGTCGTTTTCGACGGCCCGGAAGACTACAATAAGAGACTCGAATCGGCAGATATTGACCGAAGAACCATTTTGGTAATGCGAGGGACCGGGCCGTTGGGCTATCCCGGAGCCGCTGAAGTCGTCAATATGCATCCTCCTGGAAGGCTTCTCAAAGCAGGGATATCTTCACTGCCTTGCATTGGCGACGGAAGACAATCTGGAACATCTGGATCGCCCTCAATATTGAACGCATCTCCTGAAGCCGCTGATGGAGGAAACCTGGCTTTACTCCAAGACGGAGACAGACTGAGAGTGGATCTGAACAAAAAGCGGGTTGATATTCTCCTTTCAGAGGCAGAATTGGCTGCCAGACGAGCGGATCTGAATGCCAGAGGTGGCTACAAAGGCCCAGAGAGCCATACGCCATGGCAAGACATCTTCCGCCGTGAGACTGGTCAGCTGAACGAAGGAATGGTGCTGAAAAGGGCTGTGCAGTTCCAGCGTGTAGCCCAAACTTACCCAACGCCTCGGGACAATCATTAAAGATGTCGCACTCGCACAGTCCAAAATACGAATCGCCCAAATAGGACAAATGAGAGTCAGCAGAATAACAGGGGCATGCTCAGGATCTGGTTTGTTCCCGAGAGTCCATCTCCGACACAACAGTCACCAGCACTAACGTTGGCTCATCTTCACACACACATTCATTGCGCACCCATACGATCTACACTTCCAACCAAAGCTCTGGTAAAGGACGAGAAATTAGCAACGGTTTCTTAATTTCCCGAAAGGTTCGACAATTTATCATCCGGAGTCAATCGATGGGGACCATTTGAATTTTGGAACTTTAATCCTTACCTTGGCATGGACGGACTTCCAATAACCACTTTCATACCGGGTTCTATTCACTAAAACAAAACTAGACTACAAGAGGAATATGTATCATAGAAAAGCATCCAATACCGCCCAAGAGCAGTGGTGGTCAATTTGGCGTTCATTACTTCCTTTCTTATGGCTTTTCACAAATTGTAATGATACATTCCAACATTATCAATGATTTAGAGCACGGGACTTTGACCAAATTAAATTTTCTCTGTCTAATTGTTGCCTGATCAACATGCCTAAGAAGTGCCGTAATCATAATGTTCGAATAAACAAAGATCGTGATCAATCCTAAGGAAACAAGCGCTCACAGCGCGGTAGTGTTCCCATATAAGAGGGTTTTAGTGAAACAAGACGCCTAATCAATTGTAATAGTATCGGAGTTTGATCCACTCTTTGTCAGTCAATCAGGCCAAGTTCGAGTACCTTCATGATGGGTTCTATAGTCATCAAGTTGCGCAGGTCCCATTAGGCGTCCTGGTACTGCGTAGCACTCGACAGCGCCATTCTTACTGATGATCATTTCACCAACCTATTTTCCTAATCTGTAATATGACTGGCCAAGCCGCGAGGTAAGAGTGCGAGGGTCTCAACACTACTGGTCGGTTTGGGTGACACAATCACGTCTGTGACTATGTCCACTCATATAATACGATACAAAAGGTACTAACGTAACTACTGGACTTTAAGTCCTCTTGTGCGGCTCTTGTGCTGCGATGACGAAGTCTTGAGGCGTCCAGCCCGCTGGGGTGAATATCGATGTGTATAAATAGATTTCTCGATGTTTAACCGGACGAATATAAATTGCTCTACTTCGCCATGTTCCTACACATCCTCATTTCATTCATCTACATAACCTAATTCGATCTCATTTCCTTACAACATTCGCTATATAGTATTATTTCAGTCAATATGAGAACAGCTAGTATCGTCGCTGTGCTTGCATTAGCTGCGCAAGGTCTTGCCGCACCGAGTGGCGAGAAACGAAGCCTTGTATTTTCACTCTCTTCTGAGCCCCGAGGGCAAGGTATACGCAAATCGTGGGTCGTGTCTCGTTGGCAATGCCGTATGACAGCCCCCAGTCTTCACAAATTTACCGTGGCACTAACAGCAGAAATCTACAGATAACCTGGTCGATGACGAGTTCGATAATCAGGCTTCTTGGGCCTTTGTCGACAATGGACTTGCGAACGGCTGTACGCTTTTTGAGTAAGTTCTCAACCGTTAGTAAGCGTTTAACTGTGCTGATGTACCGAAGTGATGCAGCATGCAAGGGAGAGAGCGTGAATATCGAGAAGAACAATTCGAATATTTTGGGTCCCGGACCGGTCAATCTTACTGATGTCAACTTCGATAAGAAAGCAAGTTCTTTTTCTTGCTACTAAAAGGATGTACGAAGTACTCCTTCGCCACTATTTTAAGAACGATAACTGTATATACAGGCATACAGTGGTGTCCAGATTTTAGGCCTTTTCGGTATATACCATTGTAAAATCGAGAGACAGACAGTAGCACCTGACATTTGTTAAGGATGGAAACAACGTAATTGAAATCATTCATTCATCTCTTCGCAGTCAAAGTGTATGATACTTAAATAGTCCCGATCCAATCGTCGCTGCTACCCCAGATCTGGTTGTGAACTAATTAATTAATTGATCACCGCCTACCCTGTCCAAGAGTCCGTGCATGTATGTATTGATCTACACGTCACCTACGAACACCGCTCAATCTTTCAATTAAAAAATGTCACCTTAATACTTTCTCTATACAATGTCGGCACATAACGCGCTCCCCTCGAATCTCGACGATAGTCCTGACACGCAGCTACACCTTGAAATACGCGAATCTATCGTGCGCTCCCTTGCGACGCGCCGACCGATCCTCCACCACCTTAACGCCGACACGTCCTGGCTTCTTCAGATCCCTCGACCTGCTTCCGCTACAAAGCATGGGTCGCGTATATACTATAATATTTTAATTGACCCCTGGTTTGTGGGTGGGCAAAGCGATGTCGCCCGTTGGTTCTCACAGCAATGGCATAAGGAAGAGAGTGCAGTCAAGAGCGTGAAGGAGGTGGATGAGCTGTGCCGGCAAATTGAAGTATTGGCCGGTGGAATCAGACATGGAGGCGCGCCCAAGGGAAGAGGAAGTTTGAGGGGTAGGAGCTCATTCGGGAGGAAATCAGAGCTTGGTGCTAATGCTATGGACATCGACCATTTTATGGAAGAGAAGACTTTGGTTGATGCAGTGGCCATCAGTCATGAGTTTACGGATCACTGCCATAAGGAGACGCTTTTGGAAGTGCATCCCGATGTGCCAGTGCTCGCGACAGAAGTGAGTTCAACTTGTAGGAATACTCACAGATGAGCATTGGAGGATCTAACATTCCTTTAGCAAGCAGCGAAGCTGATCCAGTCATTCTCCCATTTCCGAACCGTTCTCACGACCCCGACCTTCAGCCCTTCAAACTCGGACTGGCGCGATCATTCGCTCTCGCCCCTGCCAGCCTGGCTCTCGATCTCGCGCCTCACAGCCGCCTCCGACGCCCTATACTATCATTCAGCCCTGCTGATAGCTTTCTCAACCCATCCTTTTCTTCCCTCTACGCCAGCAAGGAAGCGCTCTTCCCTCCTCTCCATCCACGGCGAAGAACCGAGCTCAGAGGGGATGTCCGGCCAAGATGCGGCGGAATGTGTGATATATACACCACATGGCATCCAGCACCAGGCGCTAGAAGTCGTAGGCGATGCCGATCCACCGTTGCATACACTCGCATTCTTACATGGTTTACATGATGTGTCGATATCTGCCGCTCAACAACTCAATCTGGGTGCACACAACGGCCTCAAAGCTCAACGCATATTACGAGCGAAGTATTGGATTGCTACACACGACGAGATCAAGGTCGGGGGAGGATTGATTGGATGGTTCCTGCGACGAAAGGTATGGACTGTGGAGGACGCATTGAAACAGGCCAGGACCGAAGCGAGCGCTCAGGGGGAAGACATTGATGGCAGTGAGCTGGAAAACGTACATTTCGAGGAAGTGGGTAATGGAGAGAGTCGAGTACTGGAGTGAGGTATACCAAATCAAGCGCTGGTTGATATACCAAAGAGGAGATGTTGCAGTAATATTTTACAGATACCCGGGAGTTTGGAGAAAGCGCGACTTACTCACAGTTTTGAATGATTTATTCTCGCACATTTAGGAGGATTTTAGATTTAGTAAGGACACATTATTCTTCTGTGCGAAAGAAGAACTCAAGCATGCTTTGTTTCCAATAATATATACAATTGCAGTCTGTTAAAGCTACTCTGCTGGACTCCACCAGTCGCTTTCAACTCACAACGAGGCCTTAGCTGCACCGGTCTTCCCTCTGCCCTCTAAGAACTTAACTGGTACATCGACGACACAATCTCTAAGCCAATCGCCCATCCCCTTCGCGAAAGCATCCAGTCTACTCGACCCACTGACACCTCTTCCCAAGACACCGTAAACAACGAAATGCACTGCCTTGATACCCGGAAACTCGACTCTTTCGACGAAGAAGTCCGGGTTCCAGGAGTCAGCGAACATTTCCTGCAGCTTGGCAACAGTGAGATAGGAGCGAAGCCAGTCCCATGTTTCCTCGTAGAGTGGAGATGAAGATGGATAGGAGGATGGCAGGGCGGTTGGGACGAAGAAACCGATGTTGGCGTTCGCGCCCTTGTCGCCTGATCGAGCGAGCACGACGTCTCCTAGGCGAGCTTTCGCAGTGGGACCGAAAGATGTGAGGATTGCTGGGTTAGCGGTCTCGTAGGTCGGGCGTTTGGTGAGTGCTTCGGTCTTCGTCGGTGGGGTTGTGGGGATGGAGGTCAGGGTGTTGTTGGGTCCGAGGAGGTTGATGGAGGTCTTGAGAGAGGATTGGGGATATATGGCGGGGTAGTAGGAGAGGTAAGGTTTGGGGACGGCGGTGCGGTGGTCCATCGTAGAATGGAAGCCGGAGTAGTGCTGCATGGCGAACTCTCCAAGGAGGGAGGCCAGGCCAAGGTTGACTGCGGCGTCCGAGGCCTCAGCGAAGATCCGGAGGTACGAGGTACTGCGGAGCTGAGACCGGGGATTAGGCTCGGGGATGCCAATTCTGAAAATTGTCAGTGGTGCTGTTTATGCATAGGGACAGGGACGATCGAGATGATCGCTGTGAGAGTGAAAAGGAATAATCAAACTTACCTCTGGAACTCAAGAACATCAAACTTGTCCAAGAGACCTAATCGTTTGAGGCCGAACTTCATCATGCGCTCATACAATTCGAACTTCTCATTTGTGCCATAGCCGGTTGCGTTCACAACTATCTCAGACTGGAAGCCTGCTGCATAAAAGATGGCTAGTTTGGTCGTCGGTGGTGGTGGACGACCCTTGATGCCCCAGAGGCGGACACTGATGGTGTCAGACTTGTGTCGAATAGCAATGCTGAGTAGCAGAGGGTTGTAGTACATACCGATTTTTGCCCACCTGCTCAACTTTGACACCGTCTAGAATGGCCTTTACGTCACTGTTCAAGTACTCGTTGCCCTGTAGTTCGTACAGGAACTGGCACTTGACCGTGTCTTCGGTGACGAAACCCTTCTTACCCTCATGCTTGGTGACGACGCAAGTGCCATCCCTTTCCACTTCAGCAATGCCGAATGTGATATCGAAGAGGTCTTCGTATGGATACTCGTAGAAGCCCGCGAAGTTTGATCCCGTGACGTACCCACTGCATTCGATCAAATGACCTGCAATGAGCGCACCGGCAAGTTCATCAAAATCAGTGTCGGACCATGAGTGCCAGAACCATGCTGCTCCAATGACCTTATAATTGAATTAGCATGCAACAGGTAGGAGAAAAGCGAGAGAAAGAACGCCGGTTATACATACAGGACTAGCATCGGCAACTCTGCCCGCGATGATAATATCGGCACCATTTTCGAGTCCCTTGACAATCTCTCGAGCTCCAAGATAGGCATTCGCACTGACGATTGGCTTATTCTCTTTCTCCAGGAGATCAAGAGTGTGCTCTGCGTAACGCACTCCGTCATTGGCACTGTCGAGGTGGGCGGGTAGTCCCTTGGACTTGATATCACGCATTTCCTCAATGAGGTTGTCACCAAGGACATATGCAACTTTAAGATTGTATCCCTTTGAAACAACCTGGGACAAAGTTAGTAGTGAAACAACTCGTCTTCCGTATGATATGCTCACCAGCTCGTGGACCTTCTCTGCAAGGCCTTGTGGGTTATGTGCGCCACCATTCACAATTACTTTGATACGTTTCTCGTTGAGCAGATCAATTGTCTGCTCTATACCGTCCCAGGCTGTCTGCTCCCAACCGGGATGTTGGCCTGCAGCGTGCGCTTGTGCATTCTCTGCAATGTTCACCTCTGCCAGCGATGAGTATCATTATATATTTCGGTGCCGAATCATAGAGATGCATGTACATACCAGCGAGGTAGTCGCCTGTGATATAGTCTACATCACCCAATTCCGCTTGCAATCTCATGTGATAACCGGGGTCAGCTTTGATAATGATCAGCAATGTTCTTGGCCCAGACATCGAGTTGGTTTACCTTTGTAACCGGAACAATTGGCGATTCTAGCAGGCCTTGTCCCCCGCTGCTCAGTCCACCTGTTCGAATACTGGGAGTTGGTAGCCATATCTCATATCTTTGTAGGCACTATGCACTCTAAAGCGGGAAGATGAATTGATAATTTGAAAGGGCGATATAAAAGCAATTCAACCCCTTTTACAAGTTGTCGTAAGACCAGACTGTAAACCTTACAAACGCTCCTTTGATCAATAATAAAGTATGGAGGATATCATCCAACCTCGCTCCGCTTTGTTGATTACAATTAAGCTCGGCGCAATGCAGCATTTACTGATCCCGAACTCATGTGGTGCACTCCGCCCCCGCTATGCTCCCACTTAAGAGCGAGGTGTAGTCCCGTTCTCGACGGCGATTGGCCCGACGCACCAACTCGACATAGTCGACTCGACAGACAAGACCGCAACACGCTGAATCGAGCACGTCGAGAGCGACGGGATTGGAGAAGGATACCCATCCTCGTCGTCTACATGGTCACATGACATAGAATCAGTGGGGACTGCAATGTCTATAAGATTCCAACGAGTCGATGTCTCGGCCGAAAAAGTGGAGGGAGTTTACGTAGCAATTTATCATTCTATATTGCAGCATCGCCATCATTCTTCACGCACAAACTTTACAAAAAATGGCTTCGAATGGTGTCAACGGCCATGTGAATGGCACGAATGGCACGAATGGCGAAAGCAATGGTGTCAGCTCATACTCCATTCCAAAGGAGACCCAACAAATCTTTAAAAATGGCATCCTGAGAAACCCCCTCATTGCATCCACTTTGCCGGAAGAGATCACAGAATGCGCAAAGAAAGTCAAATTTGTTGGGACAGACAAGCCAAGTATCCCCATCAATTGGCGATTCGCAGAGAGTATTGCTTCGCTTAAGGGCCTCGAGGCTGCGATGATCAATGTTTTGTTGAAGAGGAAGTACGGAGTAGAGCCGCAAGAAGCTGTCATCAACACGTAAGTTTTACCATGTAGAGATGTATTCACTCTTAAAAGAATATAGTAACTGATGTTTATACCAGCGACCACGCACAGTTGTTCATCATGTCGATTCTGCTCAACACAATCGATCCAGACGGCGACAATATCTCCTTTTCCTCAGCAGGCACGCCAAAGGGAAGAGCTGCAATCCAGAAATATTTCAAGGATACAGACCTCCATCCAGGATCAAGAACGCTGCACGGCTCTCTCGCCACCAACATCTACCGGACCAAAGACGGAAGGTTCTTCCACCTTCATGGAAGTATGAACGCGGAGCCTTCACAGCAGTCCGTTGGTATTGAACCAAACAAGGACGTCGCTTCGTACGAGGAAGGTTGCGAAGAGTACATTGAGAAAGTGGGTCAAATAGACTCACAAGAAATGCAACGGCTCGCTTCCGATGTATACAAGCAGGCCGGCACGATAGCATGGACGACTGAAGAGTTTAAGAACAGCGAGCACGGCAAAGCGAATGCCCACGTGGGCTTATACGAGATCCATGATGTGAAGAATGCCAATCAGCCTGCATCATGGTGGCCAGATTCGCCCCAGACGTCACCTGAGCGGCCACTCGCTGGATTGAAGATTGTAGATCTGACACGCATCATCGCCGCCCCTGCTGTCGGGCGTGGCCTCGCCGAGCTAGGAGCCAGTGTCATGAGAATCACAGCAGAACATATCACAGACATGTCCTCTCTGCATCCTGATCTAAGTTGGGGCAAGTGGAGCGCGCATCTTGACTTCCGCAAGGAGGAGGATCGCGAGAAGCTTCGTGCTCTCGTCAGAGAAGCGGATGTCGTGATTCAAGGGTACAGGCCTGGTGTCCTCGACAAGTATGGGTTCTCATTAGACGGACTCCTCGAGCTCACCAAGGACCGGGAGCGGGGTCTGATTGTCGTTCGAGAGAATTGCTATGGATGGCAGGGCCCGTGGTCTTACAGGAGTGGATGGCAGCAGATCTCGGACGCGAATGTTGGTGTATCCATGGAGTTTGGGCGAGCCATGGGTAACGACGAGCCTGTGACGCCCGTCTTTCCAAACTCTGATTTCTGCACTGGAGTTGCTGGTGTTGTCGCCATCTTGAACGCCCTGTTGAAACGAGGGGCAGAGGGTGGCTCCTACAAGGTCGACGTATGTATATTCCTTTCACTAAAGTTCGATTGAATGTTCCTACTGACCGAGTACCACCAGATCGCGCTTAACTACTATTCACAATGGCTCGTCAACTCCGTAGGCACTTATCCAGAGCCAGTGTGGCAGGACGTCTGGACTCGCAATGGCCGACAGGTCTTCCGACACTACCACAACATGCTCTACACGCTTCCACGTCTGCTGAAGATGTTGAAGGATAATTCAAATGACATCCTGTTCAACCCCGATTTCTTTGAGAGGAAACGCTCTGGGGCGATCGGAACGGACATTGTTGGCTTGAAGCCTGTGATCAGATTCCCTGAGGGTAAGGTCAGACTGGCATACAACGTTGGCGCGAGGGGTAATGGAACGGACCAAGCAAGATGGCCACAGGATCTGATGACGGAGGTGGTGGCTTAGAGATATTGACATGAAGTGCTATTGGGGCATTATGCGTGATTGATCGATGGAGAAGCATGATACTGCATCATTGAGGCATATAATGAAATGAGTCTGCATGTTTGCGAATTCCGAATTCCGAGTTCACACAGCATACAACGAGCAACGCGAGTTCACGTGGATTGGTGCCTGATATTCAGCCTCAGTTGACGGGATGCCCTTGTTTGTCGCAAAGCGACCTTCCTGATTCGGTACCGCGCGATGAGTGGGAAATACGACCAACGCATGTATGAGTCAACTTAACGCCCTACCAACGAAATCGATGTTACAATACACGCCATGTCTTAAACTTGAATGCATTTAAGTTGGACAAATTTCTTTGAACAAGGAATGTAGAGATATCGACTACATTTCGATTCACGTGCCTTCTAGATAGCTGAATTAAACAACATGGCTGACAATGGAATTTCAACTTCAGCACTGCGCAAACGGAGTGCAACAATGCAAAATATAGACTCTGTGATCGAGACGCCCCGACTCATTTTACTGCGACTAACCGACACGGAAGAGGGATCGCAGCATTTGCAATGGTTCCACGAGTGGTGGACTGATCCAGTCGCAACGTCGTGGAGGTACCGCACCATCTGTTTTTTATATACATAATCTCGTCACATTACAATTTCCTTATGATATCTAACTGACATATTTACAGCATGCACGGAGCCTGTAAATCCTATGAAGAAAGCCGAGAATGGATGATAGACCACGTAGAGAAATTCGACCATCTCATGTACGCCATTTTCGAGAAACCCGAAATTTCACCTTCATCGTCATCCACCGAAGCTCCAACCGCCACAAAAGAAATAAACATGAACAATCCGGGAAAATACATAGGTAAAACGGGTCTCCGAAGACAGGCCATCAGCCCCGTTCTCCCACCTCCTCCACCTCCTTCCTCACACTCATCCGACGCATCGAAGCCGCTCAATCTCCGCGTGATCGGCTACGCCTTGTTCAAATCCGCCTGGGGCAAAGGGTATGCCACGGAGGCCAACACTGCGATGCTGGAGACCTACGCGGCTTACTGCGCGAGGGAGAAGACTGGATTTCTAAACTACCTTGAGGCGGGTGTGGATGAGTCAAATCAGGGCAGTAGGGGTGTGCTTGGTAAGTTAGGATTCAAGCCTGTAGGTTTTAAGACCGAGGTGGAGCCAGTGTTTCTGGCTGGAGCGTGGAGGCATGGTGGATATTGGATTTATGGGCGGTATATCTAAGGGATATGTCTGGGGACGTTTAGCTGAAGTCTATTGATCTTGATGATTGGGGAGGAGTATGTGCACTAGGAAGGAAATGCACAAAGATGTGTTGGAATCTCATCGACGCGGACGTTCAGCGTGCAATTACCTGGACGACCGGAAGCAATTGCTATGCGGCTACACGTAGGTAACGCGCCATACGTTCATTTTCGAAACAACTGGATGCACTCTATGCAACTAGATTCGAAGTACCAGGGGAATTTTGAGTACAATGTAATAATGCATCTTGATATCAACTAGTACATTTGCCATCCCGTCTTAGTAACTCCGAGACCGCATGCCAGTCTCAACACTCCATCAATCAGCAGTCTGAGCAGCTAGGGATCCAATGTAGGGGAGGTATTTCGCCCAACGAACAACTTGTTGAGAGAATTGATCGATCACTAGAAGAACAATCGTTATCTTTGCAATTGATCGGCAGGAAAGCCGACTTTACATTGATACAACTTGTACTCGCACGTAGAACGCGATGAAGTACATGTACGAGATCGCTATGTATGTACGAAGTTCTAAAGTACTGCAAGATCAGTGATTGACGAAATCTATATCTTAAATCTACTATGTTAGATAGAAAAGGGACTGATCATAGATAGAAAGGGACATGTGAAGTCAACATGGACGAATGTATGTATCCCTTCTTTTCAACATGTGATACCCCATTCCCTTACCGTAGTCACAAACGTCAATCGGTATACCACTTTTGTATAAAGGGCGTGGCATATTTCTTATCACTATCTCAGCCGACAATGATGATGTAGATGGGCCTCAAGATTGAGGTTGATCGTCGGTAAGCGGCAATCGAAAGCTAAGTCGTTGATATCAAGGCAGCCGTGTCGGCCTCAATTCGGTGGTGCAGTACCTTATTAAAAGCCATACGGTGCTTCGCCGGAGAGATACGAGTCGTTCACTGGCACCCGCGTGCTATTTCAATAGCTCATTCGGAATTCGCTTAGGAGTCTGGGGAATAACGATGGTGGAAGTGGTGGTGATGATGATGAGGAGGAGGAGGAGGAGGGGTAGCTTGCAGCGAGTCATTAGCGGGCGTTATGAAGCGAGTGTGCAGGAGAGAGCTATGCATAGGTAGGTAAGAAGAGGAATTGATCTTCGTTTCCAAATCGGAGGACACACAATGATGCCGTCACTGTTGTTTGGAAGATTGTTGATTGTTGCTTGCGATGCGATCGATTGATGGGTTGACCAGGGGAAACGGTCCGACAAGAGTAATCGTTCATTATTATCTCTTTCATGCATCGCTTTGCGTTACTTGTTAGCCAGTTGTTAAGCGGGGCAAGAATCAACGATCAAGGCACGGCGGCGGATACAGAATGGGACGGATGGGTTGTTAACCTGTTCGTCTGCGTCTAATTGCATAGAGGAGTTATCTAGATAGATGTAGATCGCGTCGTTCGATAAAGCAAATGGAAAGCAAGCCGACAATATGCTGCAGAACAGAACAAAGACACAAATCACAATACATCCTTCCATCTGCCGACATCCTTGACACAATCTCCCGAGAATCCTCCAATCCCCCAACCCCCACCAACACGCAAGCATTCCGTTTCACCCGTGGCGAACATCGTCAAAAGCACGTTCCGTCCCTCACAACCAACTACCTAGGTACCTAACCAACACCAGTGACAACCACACGGCTCAATGTGAACGCTCGTAAATCGCGATCAAAAGTTTGGCACGAACTAGCAAGTCCCGATTCATACTTTATTTCCCATGCATGGCGTTTTAGTTCCCATGGTCTTACACCCCCCTCACTATCCTCGAAGGACGATAAGTCACATCCCAACAAACTGCATCCCGCTGACATCACTGCATGGGCTCACAACCACCACTAATCCACCATTCGCCATACACGCCAGAGCACGCTTCCAGCGCTACGCCGCGATTGCAACGCCCCATACAACAGCAGTAGAACCCATCGCTTGCCCATGTCTACGAAATTGAGAGTGAGATTGGATATGCACGATGCCCCATACCCCTAGGCTCCGCATTCCCTCCGCTCCGTCAAGCGAGACAGCTTCCCTACTCGAACTTGTAGTAAGCTACGCCTGACCAATCGCCTGGACATCGACCTCCAACATCACAACTACCAACTCATGTACCTCGTACCTTCGGTGTTGTACTCGGCATCAATTTTCATTCTTGAACGTCAAAATCTTGTTTTGTATTTGAGTTGCGTGATCTGACTCGTCTGCAACGAATTAAGGCGCAGCTATATCTTTCAGATCTGCATGGTCTGTAGATATAGAAGATCAGGTTTTATCGCCATCGATCCCCAATCACGAGATATGGTTCATGAGGCATCGTGGCTGGAACTTAGAGTATCCCGTTCTTTCATTGGTCTTTGCCGCGTTATGTTAACTTTCCGCCGGCATCGTACCTCCAACATTTACCTGCCATGTGAGCCAGCCACACCCGATTGGAACGACTCTACATCTTGTTCTTTCTGTCTATACAGAGTATGGGTGTGTACATGTGCAAGCTCGTTGGCTGGCAGTGGAAAAAGACACAATAGAGAAAGATGTTTGCGTGTGGGATGCTTCAATATGCTTCGCTATTTTCCTTGTCCATGTTCCTAACAAGTGTACAATTGATATGATTTCTCAAATCATCCTGTTGACGACGACAGCCAAGAAAATGCATGTTGTGAATGTTCGTACCGGGAATGTGTTGTTGTTGATATGTAGTTGTAGATATATAACAGTCACAAATGTCCATATAATATAGTCAAAGATATATAACACATACTCGTAGACATCACATGGATCCTGGGCCCTCAAAATGCTCATTGAGTTACGAGTAATGAGATGTTCTTGGAACAATCTCGAGACTAGATACATTGATGGAACCGCATTCCCACGTATATAAACACATGCATACATACTGTCTTTCTTCCATTGACAACCAATTACTTCGAAGCAGAAGCAGTGAACACGCAAGTATACACCCAAGATTCTTCGCCCCCTCGCCATCGCCATCGCCATCGCCATCACCATCATCAATTTACAACAATAGAAAAACAGTCTCGAGAGAAACTATTATAATCCCATTTTACTTCAATTTACGGCACTCCACTTCAATCCCACAAGCTCTACCATGCACTCTTTCCAAATGCCAACCGTCCCATCACCAAGTAAAACAAGAACGTCGACATTACTATAAATAACGCACGCACACCTTGATACCTCGGCAACGTGTCCGTACATGACATGCTGTACGTGCAGTTAACAAGGCATGGCATACCATACGGACCGAATATCGCTCGCAAAAGACGGCAGAGGCGGGCGCCGGCGCTTGCTCCTAGGGCTGAAAGTACAGGTATGGCAAAGCCCGAGGGTAAGGGTATGGTATCTAACCTTCCCTTCGGCACGGGGGTGGACATGCGAGTAAGTGGTGCAGAACCAGCAAGCACCAGCACCAGCCAGCAAGCAAGCAAGCAAAGCAAGGTCCTGGGACACTACACTATCACCGCGACGACAACAACGACGACGTCGTCGACGTGGGATGATGCATGTACAATATAGCGATGACACAATAATTGGCAAGGAAGTAGCCTCTCTTTCCTTGGTTGATTGGTCTGATCGATCGATTCACATGCGGTTCCGTCATCCCATCTTTTTTTGTCAAGTTTACAAAGTAAGTTTAAGCAAGCAAGCAAGCAAGCAATCAGGCAATAAAAGAAAGCAAAAAAGTTACCCCATTTCTCGCCGAAGAACTTCCGGTCTCGCGATGGGATAGGGTAATTGATTGATGGATTTGGTGGACCTGAAAGGTATACCTGTTTGGGCAGGGGCGGGGGGGGCTTACGACCGGCGTTACGAATCAATCGTTCATGCTAGGGAACAGTTGTTCGTATGTCGTTGTCGTCTCGTGTGTTTGCATTTCAAATCTTACGGGAGGCGAACTCAACGGTCTTGTTGTTCGATGGCAGCTGAAAGGCAGGACGTAGGAGGCACGGGTCTGGCCGATTTGCCTTTTCACCAGCCACGCCCGGACCGGACCCAATAGACCTGTTTTCCGCCGTCGCAGGGAAACCTGGGGGGGCTGACGAAGGGGGAGTATTTCCGACGTGAAGGTACTCGGTAGACTCCGAGTCGTTAGTTTAGTAGGTTAGTTAGGCTCGCCGCCGCCGCTGCTCTCGAGTGATTTCTAATGGTTGGTACCTAGATTCGAATCTGTGGCGAAAAAGTTTGTTTCCATCTGTATACACTACGAGGTATGGATAGTAATACTGACTACGCACTACTCACTCGTGGCCCCGACATGTTATTGTTGAGGCTGGTGTTTTGAATGATTGATGAGAATATTGGGAACGCAGGAACCCGGCGAAGACGACGCCTAGGAGAACGTGGCATCCCGTCTTAGATTCGTTGAACCCTAGGTGAGATGCCGCGTGTTTTCGTTCACACCTCCACCAGCCCATTCATCCATCCATTCAATCAATCGCTAAGTGAGTGGGTGTGAGAGAGAGAGACTGTGTGTGCTGTTGTCGTCATGATCTTCGCCCACCACGGATCAGCGTGACACCACGATCGAACGCAACGATGGGGCCAGCAGGTAATTTACTCCATTAGATTTCACCGCGATATTCGCCGCCGTGCATTTTTGGAATTGCAATGTACACACCACCGAGGCCGGAAATACCATTACCCTACCTATTTCCCGCCCTCACCGCTCTCTCGTCTTTTTTTCTCTGTTTGAGGTTTGAACAGAGACGAAATGGAAAAGGCCAGCCAAGACCTTTCACAATTTCTCCATTCGGGTCAATTGAATGGGTAGGCAAGACCCTGGAATTCGGATTCATTCTCTAGAACCCTGATAGGGTCCTGCCATCGAAAGGCGCACAGAGGTTTCTGCCAAGGCGCCCGCCAATGCCTGCATACTACATACTGCTGCATTGCTACTTAAGGCGGACAGGATCTAAAGAGGTAGAGGTAACAAGAGGTCTGTGTGGACTTTAGCAAACTACTGCTGAAACACAGACGCCGTAGTCGCCTTTTTTTTCCCAGACTCAATCCATCATCGCGTGGGAGGGAAATATAATCATTTGGACAATGCATGTGGCATTATGGTGCCTACCCGCCCACGCCTTACAGGGTCCAGAAAGTGAAGCAATTACCTACGAAGAATGCATCTCCGTGGGTGGTTTAGGCTTCAAGGGGAATGGCGTGGTCGGCAACCTTTTTTGAATTGAATGAAGGAGGTTGTTCCTGGTGGGAGTGTTTAGGGACCACGATGCACCTTGCCTTGCCTTGTCTTGTCTTGCTCGCTTGCTCTGGAGGGTGAAATGGTGCTGAGGCGGTCAACAATTGACTGGCAGGCGATCTTGATCTGGTACCAGCAAGAGCTCGCCTGACCTGCCCGCTGGCGCTGGGCTCTGGCGCTGGTGCAGCCGGGAACAATAGCTGACACGGCAGCACGATGCATCTCGTCGAGCCCAGCCATTTGTGGCTAGGGAGGCGTGGGGCGAAGTCTATGCACAGTACGTACAGACTACAGAGAGACACGAAGTAATTACTGGACAGTATACGGAGTAGTGGAAAGTAGTATTAGTTACCTACACAGCAAGTGGACGGAACTACCAGGTCGTCAGTCAGTCAGTCCGCTGATTGCCGGGGTAAAAGTGCGGCGATCCAGCTCTGAATTCGATGTTTTTGTAGTCGCCGATTTGATTGTTCGAGGGCGGCTGATGTTGCTGGTGCGTTGTAACTTGCAGGACATTTGATGTCGAGGTTCATCTTCAAACGCTTACTCGAAGACGGGTTTTCCCATTCTGGGTTTGCCGCCCCGCGTGCCTGTGTGCCTGTCTGTTCTTTGCTCTCCCTCGTGCGAGCCTAAAAGGGTCATGCAGCAGCAGCAGTCGCAGCAGCAGTCAGAAAAGCAAGAAGCAGAAACAATAATGACCAACCAAGTGCTACAATTCCAAAAAGACGCCACAAGCGTCCGAGCTGCAGCAGCTTGGATCTGTCTGGGTTGAGAACACGTAAAAAGCACAGACCCGCGATCAATCAAATGGAGGGGCAATAATCCCGGAAAAAAAGAGAGCAAGATTGAAGACGTGGGTTCCCTCGATTTCCCAGGCGTGCTCAGCGCTGCTGGCGCGTTAGCCTCGGAGGCGCAAGGCCGAGCGCAAGGAGAGGGACGACGGAGGGAGACGATGGACAGACAGACGGGCAGATGCAGAGTCAGACAAAGGAAAGATGCACGACGACGACTCGTCTCGAACGGCGTGGTCGGTTGTTACAAGTCTCAATTTGCGCAGGCCGCATTGTTCCGTACCGTGCTTGAAACGGTGGCCCTTTTCCCTTTTGGCAAGTCTGTCCCGCCCGATGGATGATGGATGATGGAGCTAGGATTGGTGGTGATGCTTTCGTGATACTCTTATTTACAATAACACTACTCGCTGTCTGGATTGGTGATGATGAGCATGAGAATGTGGTGATGGTGATGCGGGAAGTCTGACCGGGGGATTCGATCTGCAGTGATATAACGTCAATGTGCGTGTGAATGTTATTACAGTACGTGCTCCCTTTCCAATTCTCCCGGGTTGCCTTGTGTAGACGTGGGATTTCTGTGGTAGTTAGTATTGATGGTGGTGGTGATTGATTGCTGCAGGGTCCAAAACGGCGCGCTCGCGAGTACGAATCTGAAGCCGAATCTCTGCTTGCAGGCTAGGCTAGAGCGACCTGCCCAGCGACGCTTCAAAACAGCCGGCACCGGCTCTTCATTGGCTGGGCACTATATCTACTCAGGCTCGCCGGTCTGCGCGGGATAAACATGTCACGAGGGGGTATCTACCTACGAGATACGTACAGATGCCGTGTACAATGTATGTGTTTACATACATCCGAAATGTGTATGATACCATGTGCGTACCGGTAGGTCTGTAAGGATGCATGTATGCATGTATGCGTGTACATACAGTAGTACATGTTCAGGCCCGTCTTGCAATGTAACTTGTATGTACATGCTCCGTACAATTGGTTCGCAGATCAGGCGCACGGAACGGGGTGTGGGAACGGTCGGCCCTGGAATGTACATGTAATAAATAAACTTCCAATACGATTCGCTGTTCACGGTGATGTACTGCATTTACACAGACACCTTCTAGATGCAGTACTGAACGACAGGATCGATGAGGCCGATGCGTGGGCACGCCGTGGTCCCAGGCGGGGCCGTGGAGACGGTAATTCACGAGGAAAAGGGTCAATGGTTACCACATTCTGATTACGGACATGTGGGAAAGTCCATCGTGCAACAATGCGTAAACGACCTGGATAGTTAGTGCGTGGAGAACAATGTACGGAGCATGTATGCACTGTGTATCGTCGAATGATGTTTCGACTGGCCGTTGAGATCCGCTCCGTGGGGAACGACGGCCCTCGATAATGCCCACATCGCATACCTAGAAGATGGCGTTCGCAGGATTCGTAGTGTGGATTTGGAAGCGTTGGTTCAGCAGTGTCTGTCTCATCGCTGGCTTGAATGTACGAGTATAATTAAAGGTATAACCAATTGTTCCGAAGGCAAAGCGGTTCGGAAAGAAGCACCCTATGCAAAGCATACCTGTTCGAGTGTAGTCTGTAGGAACGACGCTACCTGTACGACGAGGTAAACAGGTGGAAGTAAACATGTAAACATAAATAGATCGTTAACAATGGTCATCTGCTGTAATGTGAAGGTAAGCAGCCCAATCCTCTGGGGTGACGGGACGAAAGGATTGTGTGGCTTATGGCTGAAGCTTTTCCGTCGTGCAAGCGCAGGTCCAGAGCGAGGGGAAGCGATGGAGGCGTGGTGGAGTGATGCTGTTGTACATAAACTTGTGCCGATGATGGGCGTATGAGCAGGTGAGCAGGTTCCGTACGGAGTGGAGTATGTACATGATGGAGGTGCGGAAGGACATCTCGTAGTATTGTGCATAGAGCTGCGTCCTGTACACATGGCACGACAGGACGGGCCACGGCATAGCACTGTACACTGTACTCAGTAGAGCATTGCAGAGCAGATCTGATCCTAACAGAGCAGAGCATGTAACCATCGTGCTGTGCCAACGGAGTAAACGTCCGGTACGAGGGCTACAGGTGGAGGCCTCCGAGATGATTGACATACGAACGGTGTTGATGGCCGTTCAAGGTATTGTAGCCGCGAAGCAGGTGGCAGGCTAATACAGTGCGATGCTCGTAATCAATACAAGTAGGTAGCTACTCCGCAAGTGACGGCGAGTACGAGACATTGTCGGTCACCCGGTTAGGTATGTGATATGTAGTTCCAAAGAGCTCTTCTGCTTATTGTGTACAATATAATTACACAGTGAAGAGTGTCTTGTAACTGAGGTACTCGTACCGTAACTATGGACGTATGGAAGACAAGAATGAACGCCGGCGATCGAAACGGGGACTGAATGGGGAAAGCCGGCGCCAAGAAGGAGGGATGTAGGCAGCCCGATTGGGTTACACAGCCGAGAAATCCAATCCAATCCAATCCACCGACCTCACGCCGTTTAAACCTCCCCATCATCAATGATCATCGTCATCATTATCATCATCGTCCTCATCATCACCTCCATCGCGATCATCATCATTGCTGCCGCCATCGTGGTTGTCATCGCCGTTATCGTTTAAATCGAATTTTCCATAATATAGTGCCCAATTAGACCAACGCCGGCAATCGCTACATTGTTACCGACAAGCACCGAGGCAAGGCAAGGCAATATGGTAAAAGAAAGGAAGGGTTCCCCTCCACTAAGGTATATACGTTGTCAATTAGGAACATGTAATTTCAGATGTCAAGTTCAGTCAGCGCACCAGGCATACCGGTACGAGGTGTATTCCGTACCTCGTAGTACTCGGTAGCAATTCACAAGGCGAGACTCAAAGGGAATCGAATTCCAGAAAGTCTCGCTGCTTTGGTACGCGCCTCCATCGTCGCCCGCCGCCGTCGCCGCCGGTGCACGCACTTACACGGTAGAGCGAGCGTAACGCGTGCATGTGCGCTGGTGGCTGCTGGGCTTAGTGCCATCTCTTCTTTCATGTAGGTCATTCAATGTCGTTAGTGCATTTTGTTTCGTGTTGAACCTGTGAGGGCCCTGTGAAGTTGCGAACCATGCAAGTCGCAGAGAGACGCCGATATGAAGAAAAGGAAAAAGAAATAAGGATCGAGAGAGAGAAACGGAGAGCATCCACTTCTCATTCCTGATTTGTTTTTCCAAGTAATAGTGATTGAGTTGCTTAGGGTTTGGGGGAACGCGAGTTACAAGGGTGTCGTCGTGTTGGGCGATGCGCGCTTGTGATGGGATGCGTTATACACAGTATGCGCCCGTGAGGGGAGTAAAGGCCAACGTCGACCTTGGTATGAGGAATACAGTGAGGTCCGGTCAATGGTGGTATGTACGAGTACTCCGTACAAGTACATCGTTATTTCGAGTACGAGTAGTCCGTCGTTTGGTCTGTCTTGTAGTACGGAGTACCTTCTGTAGGAATTAATTACGAGGTAAGTGGTGCTCCTCCTCATCTGAGGATACACGCTCGTAATTGTTGTATACGTCTAGTCGGTAGCTACAGCTTGTAGTGGATACTCATGCTGCAAGCCATCCAGCCAGTGCCGCAGCCTGCCCTGCTCTGATCCCGTCTGGGTCTTGGTCAGGTCTGGGTTCTCTCTTTCTTGCGCGAAGAAAAGGTGAGGTGAGGTGAGCAGAGCAAGGAAAAAGTGACATTCTGTTCATGCTCTTGTTCCCGTTGCTCGTCAAGAATCAAGCGAAGCCGTGCCATGCTCAAATAATTACCAACCAGAGCGGAACGAAACGAGTTCCCAGCGGAACAAGCCATGCCGGGCTAGCACGGTGCTAGTTAGAACAAACGATGGCTGCCCTTTCCTGCTTGCTTGCTGCAGTTGCTCAAGTTTCTGGTGGCTTGAGATGGCCTCAGAGGGCTGAAAGTTGGCGTTGGCGTCTGATGCCAATTGATGAGGAAGGGGAGGCTGTCGCGACCCCCCGGAAGGAAGAAATTGGGGACTGTATGTCCCTGTGGGGATGGGTCACGAGATGGTACGGAGCATCGATCAGTAACGGATCTGGGTGGCCGTGCGAGTAAATGGATGAATGGATGGGTCTGGTGGATATGATGGCAGGGTGGATGCCAGATGGATGTATGGAAGGATAGAAGGAACGAAGCAACGATGGATGGGTGAATGGATATGAAGGACGATGATGAACATGATGGACGGGCCTTCGTCGGGGAGAACCAAGCATCGAGCAAGCAGGATACTCCGTATGGACGTTGTGTTATTGGGTTGGTACCAAGGCGCATGAATGCCGATTCACCTATGGTAAATTCCGGGTCGGAGACAGTTGCGGGTAGTAACCGGGGGCAGGCAGCACTGCACATGCAAGTACATGTTTTGGTACTCAATACTCCGTACGTATGTATGTACATCCATAGGCGCGCATACTTACGGCAGTGGCAACGGTGTACATGATAATAATAACAATAATCTACAAGACACGACCACGGAGTACATGTGTATGCATTGGACTTGTAGAACAGAAACAGACGGATAGAAGCCAGTGCGTGGAAGGGTCTCAAGTTGGCCTCGGACGCCACGTGGGTAGCGTGCGCAAGAAACTCGGACCTGCTCTAGGGAAGACGTAACTGGATACTCGAACATAGTGCAAAACAGTCCGGTGCGGTTACAGTTCAAGAACGGCAAAGGAACTGGGACAGTACGGAGAGTAATGAACGGTGGATCGTGATTGGGGAAGCCAGAAACGGTTTCCTTGGACGGAGGATTCTAGCTACGGAGGTTAAGGAAAGAATGGAGAATATTACGGAGTGTTGGAGATTGGGAAGTTAGGAAGCTTTGACAACGGCAAGATGCATAGCATGGCATGGTCGGCAGGTTGCACGGCGTGTCGTGTCGTGGTGTCGTGTCGTGTCTTCTTGTCGTAGTCACAGGCGATTACAATAGTCTAACTAGTGTGATTTACCTTCGACGAGGACGATGATCTTGGGAGTTCTCTGGGCAAAAGGAAACGGGCCATGGAAGATCAATATTTTAGAATAGAATCTGATGGGATGGACATGGGCATGAGGAGTGATCAGTGGAACTCAAGTTACGAATTAACTAATTAACTACTCTGCGTACGGAAGTGTTGGAGAGGTAGCTGAGTGGAGGAGTGGAGAGTGGAGGGGAGTCCAATACCAAGACGTAGACAGTAGAGACGCCGACCGGCCAACCTGCTACAAGTACAGGTTCAGTAGGTACCAGTACAAGGCAAAGCCAAGAATGAAGACGCCGGGTCGGCCGCCGCCATGACAGCCATTAGTGCTACAGCGATCTTCCCTACAGAGCTGTTGGGCTAGCACACGAGTGGTTGAGTAGCGGACGACAGGGTTTAGTCTATGTTTAAGTTGGAGACGGTTTACGAGGAGGCAACAGAAGCCGTGCCGCCACGGTCCCGAAGGTAGATGATGGATGATGGAGGATGAGCTTTGAAGGAAGGAGGGACTGTACTACTGCAGATGGGACGTATTATTATTGATCAATAATGACGGGAGATGTAAATAGTTACGAGGTACGGAGTAGATCTAGATCTGTTTCCAATCGGTTCCCAAGATGCGCGTTAGTGGGGAGAGAAAGGGTGGGTTAGGCAAGGGAAGAGAAGGCAAGGAGTCGGAATGGAGGGGAAGGGGAAATCTACCTAACAATTGGGTATCACAATAATGTACGGAGTAGTTGATTCTATAGCAGGAATCTCTTGGGGGTTCATGATAGAAGCCTACGGGTAAGATTATGACTGTTTCGTTTCAACCAGTGGTACCTGAGTACCCAGCACCCCTAGGTAGGTGAAGTTGGAGACGGTACAAGTAGACTGACAAACCGGAAAGAGAGAATGGGACAGAGTTACGTATGCCTCCGTAGTATAATAACGATGGTATGATTTGATACGACCCATCACAGGGCATACAAGAAGTGGTGCTCGGTATAGTACATTTCTTGGTTTCAATGATTATTGCCATCATCAAGTTGCTGGCATCCCCATCTCGTCCCACCTAACCGCATCCCATCCCCAATATGCTTTTCCTAGCCTCAACTCGGTTCGACCTCGATCTCATGCTCGGTTGGTTTAGTAGAGACACTTGGGTGTACTTGTACTTGCACTTGCGTCTGTAGAAGTGGGAATAGAAGTGACCGTCGTTGATCGCCGCAAAAGGTGTAGTCCATCTCCGGCCGGTCTAGGGATGGAGAGGGCGTATAGCATACCGGCATCATTAGCATCATTAGCATTATGATAGCAGCAGTAATGCAGGAATGGCAACGAACTAAGACTCTACTCTCTGTCCATCTCTCTCGTCCGTACAAACGAGGCAGCATCAGCGATATCTCTCGTAGCTCTCGTAAGTGGTGACGGTGGTAGTCGTAAATAGTCAACAGTGGTTGAGGTCATGGTTGCCGCTGGCCACCGGTTCGGTTCCCAATAACCCCATTCCCATCACATCCCCATCACATCCCCATCTTGAATTGCTGGTACGCGGTACCTACTACTCCGTATATTTATCAACCCATCTCCTCCCCCGGACATTGATTCCCTGCCTGCTGCTTCTATCTGTTCACCAACCATCACGACCTTCTACTTTTCATACGAGTACTCCTCCATCAGACTTGAACCAGCTATCTTCTGACCATCCTCGTCAACATTACTAGCATCAGCCTCATCCAAGAGTATCGACTTCCAGGTCAGCCTGCTCACCTTGCACCAAGAAAGTACAGAGTACTCATCATATTCATACGACAGCCTACCTCAACTCACTTGTTGGCCTTCCATCTCATCTTCTACCTCATCTCCATCTCCATCTCCATCTCCATCTCATTACCCCAACAAGTACCAGCATTCTCCTACTCGCCTCCGCACAAACGTCGGGACCCCCGTCTCCACAGGATATACGATCAAACATTCTGTAACAGTGGCCCAACGTCCGAACCTCGCTCTCGCTTCGCATCGCATTGCATCGCCGTGCATCGCATCTGCACCATTACAAGTGATATTGCTGCAGCTGGTCCATTTCAGAATCATCTCATCACCATCATCAGCACCGAAAGGAACGACCAAAGCAACCTCAGCGACCGACATTCATCGACGATACTACTGCTATACTACTAGAGTGTCGGCTATCGAAGTGACCATCGACACGCACCGTCACCGCCCACCGGCCTGTTGGTGACTTGAACACACATACTACACTTACCTAGGTAGTTAGTCACTTACCTCTTACTACCTACCTACCCTTGCCCTAAAGCAACCCTTACCACCTTACCATTACAATCCCTACCCATACCCATACGGTCCATACCTACGCTACCCGACCTTCCCTGCTCTACCTACGAGTCTACCCTACGCACGCACACCCACCCATCCACCACCCACTTGACGCATACACCCACCCATCCACCCACTTGACGCATACACCCACCCACCATCCACACACTTAACCCATCCATCCATCATCATCATCCACCATCAGACGCACCAGCCAAACCGACCAATCCGTAGTAAATCCGCCGAATCCATCCAAGCAACCAACTCTCAACCCTCCATCCCTCCCATCCTGGGCCTCAACCGAACCAACCGCAGTTGAACAGTCATCCGGACCCGCCTTCTTCTCCTTCTCTTCTTCTACTCTCTCACTACTGTCACTCTTCGCCGCCCGCCCGCTCGCCCTCTCTACTGAGTGAGTCTACCCTACCCTACCCTACTACCCTGCTCTACCCTAAACTGCCACCACCACCACCACCACCACCACCACCATCACCGGCGAGCACTACTTAGGACTTACTTACCAGTTACCACTCCAACTCGCCTTGCCCTTTAAGAGTTGCTGCTTTTCCAGTAACAAAGCTGTTGGCTGCTTAAACGGCTTAAAACTGCTGGGCCTGCTAACCCGTTGCTTGCATACCTTCCCACATTTTACCTCATCACCATTAACAATAATACATCACTACCCTCTTACCCTCTTACCCTCTTACCCTCTTACCCTCTTACCCTCTTACCCTCTTACCCTCTTACCCTCTTACACTACTCGGTACACCTCATATACACCTTCCCACCGCCGCCGCCCTCCCTCCCTCCCTAAAACAAGCCCACCCCTCCCCTCCACTCACTCCCCAGCCCAGCTGTCTCCAATCTTCCACTCTCTCTCCCCACCTCACTACTATTACCACTACCACTACCACTGCCACTACTACTACTTTACCCTCCCTCCCAAAAATTAAAAAATAAAATTACCCCCATCCTTTTTACACTCTCCTCACCAACATACCACCGTAAAGCTGGATTCACACGACATTCCTTCTCTTTGTTTTTCGCGTGAATCAACTGCGGAAACCACCCCCATCAGCACTCCCGTCAACCACGCCTCCTCTTCGCCACCCTTCGACCGACCTCGGAAACATCGCGACCTCTTATTCTCCTGGCAACGCAAGCCCCACGAGCTCGGCACTGCTCCGACCAACGTCCCCCTCGACTCGGACTTATTCTTCGAAGATACTGGCGATTGCACCTTCCCTCTCTTCCCAGAGAGCCTTCCCAAGTATCCTTCCGACAACCAACATCGCTCCTTGCACTTGCACACCCCATCCTTAGACATGGCCTCCACCGCTGAGCCCATCGACATCACACCGCCCAGGTTCAACTCGGCCTCCCCGCAGAACCAGACCTCCAATCTGACCTTCGCCCTGCGCGAGGCCAATGCGAACCGCGACAGCAACAACACCACCCCCAACCAACCAAACACCTCCCACAATGAGTTCCGCGAGCCTCGTCCCAGCCTGTCTGCCCGCCACGACTCCATCAGCGGCCTTGCCTCCTCCCTCTATGGCAGTGGCGCCCGTCCCATCTCCATGAAGGACAGGCCTCGCCGTGAGAGCAACGCCATGGGCAGTCTCGTCAACGGTTTGAGCTGGGGCGGCGTCTCCGTAGGCTCATGGATTCGCGATGAGTAAGTTCCTGGTCATTTCCTTTCTGCCTGCCACTTCCTCCTTTTGTCCGCCGCAGTCGCCTAAGTCGCCAGTCGCCAGTCGCTAACTCGTCTCGCGCAGCATATTGATGACCGGCACTTCGCCAGCTGCGTTTGGCGCATCTCCCTCCTTCCACTCTTCTTCTTATCTCCCTAAGATGGAGGCCGCTTTCATGAAAGACTTCACCTGCTGTGGTCTCACCTTGGATTCGTTGCACGACCTGCTGCAGCACTTCGAGGAGACTCACGCAAATGCGCCGAATCCCCGGGCTTCCGTCTCTGCGCAGGGCGGCATGCCGTCTAACACAGGTGTCTCCGCTGGCATGTCCGGTGGTCAGACCCAAACCGCAGGGGACCCAGCGATGCAGACTCAGCAAGGGTTCCACCCGAGGTCGGGTTCGATCGGAGGCAGGCAGCGATTCGGCTCTGACGGCTTCAGCCGAACGAACCTCTCCACCGTCCAGGACATGGACTCCATGGACGATATGGAGATGGACGACATAGGCAACACCCTCGACGGCCTCGCCCCGATCGAGGAGCAGCCCATGGCGTTCAATCAGCCACAGTTCAACCAGAACAACATTCCACTCCAGCCATTGAACGTCAACCTTGCGAATATGCAGAATCACAACGGTCTCCGCACTTCCACACCCTCCACGCCTGCCGCATCACAACAATTCGGTCTCCAGAACAACCCCACCGTTTCTTCCGTCAACACCCCCACTCTCGGCACCGCCCCGATGAACAACATCCAGAGCCGGAGCTCGCCAGACTCGTCCCACCCCGGCACGCCCGCAGAGCTCGACATGGACTTCGGCAACGGTTTCAACACAATGGGCATGCAGGGCATGGACATGAACTTTGGAAACATGAACTTCGGCAACGGCATGCCCGGCTTTGACGGAACCATCGACCAGCCCGGAAAGCGACTCTTCAGCAAACAGGGCGCTGGTGGCATCACCCAACAGCAGCTCCAGATGCAGGCATACAAGAACCTGGGTCTGTCCGGGACCAACGCCGAGATGCTCAGGAAGTTGCAGGAGCAGCAATTGGCGGGTGCAAACATCCCCCAGATCCCCTTCCCTCCCGAGGAGATCAAGCCCTTCCGCTGCCCCGTTATTGGCTGCGAGAAGGCTTACAAGAACCAGAACGGTCTGAAGTATCACAAGCAGGTTAGTACCCACAAACTCCACCCCTACTCATTTTCCGCCACTAACGCATACACAGCACGGCCACCAAAACCAACAGCTCAAGGAGAACGAGGACGGTACCTTCTCCATCGTGGACCCCCTGACATCGATCCCTTACCCCGGAACCGTCGGCATGGAGAAGGAGAAGCCTTACCGATGCGAAGTCTGCGGCAAGCGCTACAAGAACTTGAACGGTCTCAAATATCACAGGTCGCACGCGCCGCATTGCAATCCCGAGCTCAAGCTACAACAGCTCAGTGCGCTTAACAACAACCTCCAAGGGCTCAACGTTAACGTTGCTGGCGCAGGCATGGCCGGCATGGACACCTCCATGTTCTGAGGAGCCAACTCCCTCTTCGCATATCGCATTCTTACCCAAGCTCGGTTCTGCTTCCTTCTCTGTTGGCATTGATACCAGGTGGCTCCACGGCGTTGGTTCCTCATAGATTGGCTTTGGCTATATGTTCTGGATTTTCTTTCTCTCCCGGCGTCACTGATCGATTGATTCCCATCGACACAAAAGTTTTTATTCCCACTTGGTAACGGAAAAGCCATTTGGTACCCAAAAAGCCCTTTTCCTTTCAGCATCCCCTCCCGCATACCAGGGCCGGCACCTCTTTTGATGTTGAACATCACCCCGAGGACAGCATCATCCCTGGATACCTGGATGCCTCTGCTGTCTGCCTAATTTACCCTTCGTGTACATCTCTTTTGAAGTGCATCTCTTTGATCGGCTTGCGGGGCCGGTATGACGACTTGATGCGCATTAGAGGAGGTGATTCCACCTTCTACGGGGTTCCTGTTACTCTTTTTTCATATTTGTTTTGGCGCATCGCCTTCATTCACGGATTCGGGATATGACCCTTCCAGTAATACTTGCTCTTCACTCGATAAAACGGATAGCGTCACGGAGTTCTGCATTCTTCTGCTCGTTGGTTTTCTCCTGGTTGTTGGAAAAGCTCACTTCCATGCTCTCAACTCATGGGCCTCTACGGAATTCGAATAGATCAGCGGTCCCATTTTGTCGATATACCAGTTTTGCTTGCGTTACAACTACATAGACTGAATTATACGAGCTCGTTTCAACCTGACCTGAATCAATAATACGTTTACGACTCTCTCATTTTCTCACGATTAGTGCAAGCGATATGCGTGAAGTCGCAGGTAACCCCTCCTTTCTTCCTTGTCTTTTCTTTTTGCTCTATGCCCCTCTCGAGCGAGCCCAACCCAACGAGGAGCGGGACCCACGGCGGGAAAGAATGGCAAGGCGCCCAACACAGAGCGCTAACCTAAGCAACGAACCATCGTCGGACCTGCAGGAAAGGGCACACGAAGGGGGGCCACGGTGGGCGCGAACGTGGGAAGGCGACGAGAAGAAGGACGCCAAAGCTACCGAGCCGCAACAATAACCCACTTCCTTCTAGAAGCGCCAAGGGACGGAACTACCTGCGACTACTTACGAGAGAGGTTCGGCAATGGCCATTGATTTGGCAAGCGCGTGGCACGCTACGAGTTGTATTTCATTACCTATATCTCCGGGCTTGAGGCATAGCTCGTTAGATGCTGGCGGGCTGGCTACCAATGATCTGGAGTTTTCTAGAACGTAGGTTACTGTACGAGGGAGTACGCCTCCCGTAGAATAGAAACGCCATTGGATAGAGGACTATGGGCTCGTGCGTTCTCGCGTGGTCGTGAACGTGTAGAGTAGCTCGTGGCAAAAAAAAAAACAGTGTGTATGTCGTGTGGTGTGGAGCAAAAGCAAGCGCAAGCTAGCAGAAATGCACTACCCGAACGGGAAGGATGGGTTCGTTCCATGGAAGAACGTGTCTTTGGGTCGGGAATGGGAATACACTCTCGTGCTAAAGACACGTTTAGCAAAGAGAGAGGATCCACTCAGTGGTTCATACTTGCACATGTTGTTGCTTGCTTTCGAAGCAATGTAGAAAGTGAACAAATAAATGTACATCTCTGTAGGGAATAACGACAAAATAACGATCCCCAGTCGTCCTCATAGTCATTCGTACTACCTACCCAACTAACCAACTACTGCGTCCCATGACGAACGGCTTACGTCGGGGGCCATCCATGTCCTAAATCCATCTCTCCAGGGAAATAAGGGCGTTTTAGACAAGAATTCGATAGCACAAGAATGGCATTTGTTGAGTTCCCCTACTTCGACGCCATGCGTTTCTTTCCACCCCCCGTCGATCCCTTTTGTGCGCGAACGCCTGATCGAAGACTGAGGATCGACGGCCACGTGGGTGTACTGGCGCCCGGTTGACCTGCCTCCCTTTCTCTTGTGGAATTGGGTTTTGGACGATGATCATGGTGGTGGTGGTGGTGGTGGGTTGGGGGTATCGACGGCATTGCCAATCGTCGAAGCAAGGATATGAGATGGAGATGGGGTGGATAGATGCACGACATTTCACCCCCCGGGTTGGGCTATCTGGGTTGCCTGAAGTTAGGTAGTTGTTTAGTTGTGGGTGGTGTCGTTGCGTGCTGCTTGTTGTGGGGAAATGATGGGATAAGATCATATGTAGGACTATGTTTCCGATACATCACTTCCATTCCAGGACTGGCCGTATGTACCTAGTATCCTCAAGATGTATGGCATCGAAGAACGCTGTAGTCAATGTCATGGTATATATCATGAAGAGATTATATTGCATATACGTTGTTTGATTCATCAACGTGAGCAGTAAGTTACGGATGGTAACGAACACCTCTTTCATGTTCCAAACTGAATCCCAGATATATCTTGGTATCGATGTCTACCACGACGTACGAATAAGAGAGGTGAGCACTGCGTGCGTACACAACATCTACACGCCTCCGATCCGATCTCCTGCTCCTCATCGGATCTGGGTCCTAGAACAATCCCATGAGCAGATCATTCCCGACGTCACATACCACTTCCTTCCACGGCAAAGGTTCACCACATCCCCCGGATAACCAAACGGGCCTTACGATCTACCTTGTCTTGCCTCGTCCCTTGCAGCAGCACTTTCGCCTCCCTCGCCATGTGGCAGCCCGCACGCACTTTCGCCACCACGAACGCAGCGGACGAACGCCAACGCCTCCTCGTGGTGTCGGTGTCGATGTCGCTAAATTAAGGTTGTATGTACGTACGTAGATCAATGTCTTAACCTCCTTTCGTGGGAAATGTGTTGAGGGTTTCTCTTTCCGTACGGTTCGCCTCGTCTGGGATGGGACACTTGCACTTCGCCGTCTGTCGCGGTCGCCGTTCGCCGCGTTCGCCGCTTACATCACGAGATGAGACGGGCGGCGAAAGGCGTGGATGGACGGGACAGCCACATGGGTTGCAGGCATCATGGATTCAATGTCACGAAACATACATAAGAGAAAACAATATTGTTGGGTATAGGATCTACTGGGTTTCTGGAAAGGATGTGGCTTGCCGAGTTCGTCACCGATGTAATGGTGGTGGTAGAGTTCGGTTCCGATCAGGTGCTTGGCCCGAACTATAGGCGTCGGAAGGAAGGGATGGTAAGGGTAACGTGATGTGGTGATCGCCATGGTGTTTTTCTTACCTTGCGAGTCGAGTATCACTGGTGGGAAAGTTGTTCTAGAATTGTGAGTGAGTGTAGATGGTTGTGTGTGTTGGACGTGGTGCGGAGATGTTCAGGTTGGATTAGTATGTGCATTTCCCTTATTTGGATGGTGATTCCAGGTCTACTGTCGATGACGTCGAGACCTTTCTCGGAACCTGGGAGGACTTCTCTCGGATGGAGGCATAACTCCAAGTTGGAGATCCCTTGTAGATCATTTGGAGATTGCTGCCTCGTGCGATGTATTCGAAGATGCGTTATTGGGGTAATTACATGGTAGTCCTATGCTCCAATCATCTGACCAATCAGCTTTAAGAATCTTTGCAATTCGTACCAGTACATCGAGTGTAAGAATGACGGAGTACAGGTGAATAGTATTTTCCTGTTAATCTATAATCACTTCCTCCTGATCACTGTTGCAAGTACACACGTACATATAATTCCATGTTTATAGCACCGAGGTCCAAGTAGATTCATCCGACATGGCACGTCGTTGTAAGAAATAACAAGTACGTGAATGTAGCACATGATCCCGAGGCACAGGTCGGTCGTTGGTTGACTCGCCTGACTCCACCGTCTTACTTCCTCAGCTCTCATCATCAACCTACCTCTCTCAATATAACAACACAACTACTCTATACAACCCAGCTCAGTCAGTTGCGACTACTATACCACTATTACATTGTGATTTGATTTCCATCCACCCCTTTCTCCGTGACCTCGGCAGCACCAACCCCTTCTGTCCTCTATACCACCTCGTTTTGGGTTTCCTTCCGGCCACAACCATCAGCCTTTGTAAGAAACAATTACAAGCCAAGTCTTGGGTCCGCAGCTACAACCAGAGGTACGGCGATATTTCCATCCCAATAGTTAGGTCGTCGTATGCAAGAGTACGAATCACTGTCCACATATACACTTTCATTGGCTCCTTTCGCTGCTAGATGGCCTCTTCATATGAAAGCAAGAGAACATAATTTCCATACGAAGCCATCTCCACCTTTTTTGCTCCACCCTTTCCGAATTTCAATTGAGCCCACAACTTTCACTTTCGCACTACAGCGATAGTCACAATAGCTGCCATCGTGAGCTACGGGAGTTGTCCACACTAAGATTCTTCATTAGTTACCATTTACCAAGGCCAAAACGCTCCGTAACCTTGACCGCCATTCGAGTGCTACGTGCAGTAGAGATCTTTGGCGTTCATCAACTACGACTACGACGACTAGAGTCTAGTAGTTTCGTAACAATATCCATTTCCCACAAGCGGAAGAAAAAGAGAGTCCCCACCATCGTCGCTTCACCGTCTCCTGCGCACATTCACTAGGTTGTTTTCTGGTAGCTCATTTCGATCGTCTACCCGCTACTATACCAGCTCCAGGTCTTCCTCTTTCTCACGTGGACCCTTTCCATTTCCGGATATCTGGATCTGAAGCAACCACTAGTCCCAGTACGATACCATTTCCACTGACCTTGCTTCACCGTACTTTACAAGTACTTTGCTTCGCTTGAGCAACAATAGCTCTGAGGCATTCATTCCTAAAAAAAGTGAAAAGAGATATACCGAAACATACAGAACAGAGACATCTACTGCAACATTCCAATCCAAACAAACGTGACCGTGTAGCATCCGTGCCGGCGTGCAAGTGTAGACGCAAGTCATCCAACCCCTGACCTTAGGCGTAACAGATCTCAGCCTACTCGTTACCTACTTGCAGACGAGCATTTCCTTGGCCCGCTTTTTCGGGCCCAATCCATCACCAGGAGCTAAGATCAATCCCCCCCTCCCCACATACCACATACGCACAGCACAGAGCAATGGCGGACTCGACGTCGACGTCGACGGCAACTGCCGTGGACCCTGTTACCCGCTCGCTGGCACCGTGGAGCACGAAGGCCGAATGCTATTGGCTGTTCTTGACGTTGAGTCGACTTCCAGAAGGTGTTTATGATGCTTTGGAGTCTGGGGATGAGAGATGTGTTGGTGCGAAGAAGAATGAAGATCAGGTTGGGAAGTTCGTGGGTGGTTTGGGGGTCATTATGATTGTTAGGTATAGGGATACGCCTGTTGGTATGTATATTTTTCATTCAGTCGTCTTTGACCGGATGGGGATTCAAGTCTCGAGTGATTGGGATATAATACGTCGTCTAACATCATTCTGTGACGGTCGACTTACCTCAATTGTCGTGCCAATGGTTTGTTAGGTTGATCAAGTTCAATGATGTAGATTCGAGTCGATGGAGATACAATTCTCTAACAATAACATCAGGACCCTACGACGAACTCATGATCATACCCGGCAACTTCACGATCCCCACCTCCGCCAACACGCCCCCGAAGATCCCCAAGAAGGCCCTCAGAATCGCCCGGATATACGTCTCCCAACGCACCACCACCTACAACGGCCGCCTGAACTGGAACATCCCGAAGCACCTCGCCCGCTTCGACTTCTCCGCCCCGGTCACGCCGGCAGGGTCCTCGCCTCCCGAGTCACTCACCGTCAAGGTGTTCACGCCCGGCAGCAAGGACGGCGACGGAGTGAACCCGTTCTTCGCGTGCACCTTGAAGCCGTGGAGATGGGTACCAAGTGTTCCCGTGAGCTCGAGGTGGTTGCCCTTGAGTACTGTGCTTGCACAACCGCCTGTCCCGGAAGCCCCAGGATTCAAGGCGGCTGTTGATGTGGAAGTGAAGAAAAGTGTGCGGACGGACGAGTATGACATCAATCCTGATTTGGAAGAGAGCATTCTGGCGGGGACAGAGGATTGGTGTTTGTTTCCCATTACCTCATACGCACCCAGGGCGAGGGGTTGCTGGGTGACTGTCCATGAGACAGGTAAAGGTGGGAGTAATAGTGAAGTTGGTGATCAGGCGGCGAATCAAGAAGCTGTAAAGTCCTGGCCACAGGACGTGCGGCCGTGGAGTATCGGCGCGTGGATGGAAGATGCAGAGCTGGGTATCCCCGAACCACTCAAATGGAAATTGTGAGGGAGGTAGCTGTGCTGTCATTGGTGTTCACCCGTTGTTTGTTGGGATTCTTGATGTAAAGTCACCTTCACTTGCCCATGTGTAATTTTAACATGGTAGAGGTGATTGCACTGTTGGTCATGGGATTTCAACCTGGCCGCCAGCGAGGCTCCCCACGCTGGAGGGGGAGACCTTTACTTTCATACTATATAAGTACCAAAACTTTATACATCCACCTCATTTTTTTTGGACATCCTTCTTCCATCCTACCCTACACTCTACTTCACAGGAATCCCTTCCTTCTTCCATCCTACTTTTCACTCTACTTCTATTCTACTTTACACTCTACTTTCATTCACTCTACACTCTTCTTCCATTCACTCTACACTCTACTTCCATCCTACTTTACACTCTTCTTCCATCCTACTTTACACTCTTCTTCCATCCTACTTTACACTCCTCACAGAAATCCCACGAGCCATCACTTTCAAGTAGACCTACTACTTCCACCACCTTCTGCCCTTCCAAATCAAACCAGTCTTCGGCATTCCCAAACACCTTTACCCTTTCATCACACTTTTACCTTACAGCTCACAATGCCTTTCACACACCTTTTCTCCTCAAAGGCGAAGAAACCTCTTCGTGGCATTGCACCACCACAGGCCCGCCACCTCCCACACATCTGTCGCGACTTTGCTTGGACCAGCAAGCTAATTCGTCGCGATGTCAAGAACTTGTGCCGAGCAGGTAAAAACAAAGCTAAGGCCAAAGTCAAGCAGATGTTCGCATCCAACAACAATCCTGCCATCATAACCAACACCACAGAAGCCACCGATCTTTTCGAACCCTCTGAGTCCTTCCAGCTCATCACAGCCTCTGAGTCCACCACTTCAACCGAGTCCATCGCACCCACTGAGTACTACACTGCCACCGAGTCCATCGCCCCCACTGAGTCCACCATCCCCACCGAGCCTACTGAGTCCATCAAGTACACCGAGTCCGCCGAGTCCACAAAGTCCACAAAGTCCACAAAGTCCATCGAGCTGATGCTCCCTGAGCTGCCTCTAGCTCAAATTATTTCACTCTGCCCAGCTTCCATGACCAACATCACGGTCCCGAAGCGGGCAGTGGCGGTTCAAAAGAAACCGTCACTACATATGCAGAAGGCTTCGATGTCCTCCACCGAAACCACGCAGACCGAGATCTTCTCAATGAAGATCAATTCATCGGAATGCAGTGTCGCCACTACCGCCGGCACAATCACCACCAAAGCCGAGGTCTCGAATGACCTCACCATCTGCATCCCGGAGTGTGGTTCACTCCACAAATATCTCCGACAACTGTTTGTCCCTTGGTGCGAGGCCACACCAAGGGACGATAGCCACGCCGAACGTTGGCTCAATCGAGGCACCCGACTGGTCCTCGACACGATCATAGAGCAGGCCAGCTCTAACAACTCTTTTGATCTCCTTCGAGGAGATCAGGCTCATGAGGATGGAGCCGATTTCATCCTCGGACTCGACCGTAAGTTTTCCTCATTTACTTCCTATTGCTTTCTTCAATATTCTAACGTTTACCTTTAGGGCTCATCACCACCCATGGTGGTCACGATATCCTGGCGATGTTACAATACGCCCAGGTCATGGCATCACTGGCAGCTCCTGCCGAAAGCCACAAGGATACGTGTTCATGTGTGGGCACAATAAACTCCAATGCAGCAGTCCCACCTGTCCTATTGTGGGCTGCTGTATTGGTTGGACTCAAGGATCGAGCGATCACCAGAGATATCGTTGCAGTGATTCTGGGACTCGCCTGGCCAGAGGTCGACGCCAACATGATGATTAGCAAGATCGGAAACCCGGCGAACAGGTGGTGGAACTCGGACGAGGTGGATGAGGTCCGCCAGAGGTTGAGAAGAGTGTTGTCGCCTGAAGTCGAGGCTTTGTTCAATTAAAGAGTAAGCAAAGCTAAATCACATGAGCAATGGCTAGGTTGCAATTCACTTTCAGGTTGATGGTTTCTAACATTAGTGTAGGCAATTCACTCAAGATAAACGGCAACTTCACTACTTTCTCGCTTCAACTTTCATCGGTGTACTTATCAACGGACCTCTCTTTGGCAAACAATATCTATTCGACCACTTTCGAACTATCAATCACTTCCGCGGATGTGTCTTCGTTAATACTGTTATAAGTACATTGAATAAACAATGGAAAATGCATCAACATCAGCATCAGCATAATACCCGGAGTTATCGGAATACCCTATCCTAATCGGAATCTTTGGTGGCCTAAGTTCTTATCTCTTTATTTATCTCTTTATGATACCCAGATGGCTCGTTTCTCTCAGTCGGTGGCAGACTGTTTTTCTCTTTTTCTTTTCTTTATCTTGCCTTGTAGTCTTCATCAAAGACAAGGCGTTACTTTATGGGAATGAATCCAACATCATGGACAGATGTTCTTGTACTTCATAGCAATGATGACAATACAGTATACTTTACTCTATGCAAGAGATGCACTTGGCTTTCTTGATGCGGAATGACTTGATAATGACCTAATGGGTAAAAGCGACCATTCTGACCAATCACAGCGTTCAGGAGCTCTCCGTCGGAAAAGCGGGTGCTTGGATCGGATTGGGCCGAGCCGATATTGTACGAGTCGGCTATTGCAAGTATGGATGTACCAATTTTTCCTCGTCTTCTTCCCCATGAACTAAGTACCCAGGTAGGTAGTTATTCCCGCCTCAACGGTTGACCAATTGAGTAATGGATTGGCTTTACTCCTCCCATCTATTCCGTTATTATTCCGCGAGAGGAGCTCCAACAATTCCTTGTGGGGCTGGTCCATCAATTACATAAACCGCCCCCGCGCCCTTTTTTCGACATCTTCCTCGACTTTTGCGTCTTCGCAATTCCCCGTACATCCTCCTTCTTCTCCTTAAGAGAAAGAAAAAAGCCTGCACGAGTTCGTCGAAGAACAATCGTATGCTTGCGGTCTAGAAACAATACAAATTCTATTGGGAAGAGTTTTTGAATCAAAGACTCGATCCTGCTTCCCTCGCCGTACTTGTGCACAGATCCCCGTATTCTCCAGAGAAAAAAACTTTTTTGAATCGTCAATATTTCCACGGAAAGAAAGAAAAAACAGACAACACCACTCTTATCGACTGCAAACTCCTGTTCGAAACACTCATCCATCCTTCGCGACCATATCGGAACCCACAACGAAACAGAACTTCCAATTCGGATGCGCGAGGAACACAAAGGCAGCACGCCAGGACTAATCGTTGAACGCAACCAACTAACGAAGGTGAATACATTCCCTTCGGTCGAGTTTACCATCCCACCAAGTGATCCACCAACCGAGAGGGTCATTTCAAAATGCCATTCGCACCAAACTCCTACTGCCGATGCCCTGGCGCAAACGGAAAAGTCGGATGCCCTTGAAGGAGGCCAACATCCCAGTGCTGCTCTTCGCGATGAAGAGGCATTGTCAGTGACTACCACCAACCAGGGTGAGGTATCGTATCCAGAGGGCGGCCTTGAAGCATGGCTCGTCGTGCTTGGTAGCTTCCTTGGGGCTTTCATTGCCTTTGGAATGATGTAAGTTTCACATTTCGTGATATTGATATTCCAGTATTTTGAAGCTAACTCTACTAATATAGGAATACCATTGGTATATTCCATTCCTATCTGGGCGAGAACCAACTTAAGGATTACTCGGAGAGCACTGTGGGATGGATCTTCAGCGTATTCGTCTTCCTCTCCTTCTTCTGCGGGATTCAGATTGGCCCCATCTTTGATGCCCACGGTCCCAAGCTCCTTGTCGCCACCGGTTCAGCCCTCATGGTTGCAACTTCGTTCCTCCTCGGAGTTTGCACCCAGTACTGGCACTTCCTTATCGTGTTCGGCATCCTCGGCGGCACGGGAGCCTCGCTCATCTTCACCCCCGCCTTCGGAGCAATCGGCCACTTCTTCCTCGAGAAGCGTGCCAACGCAACGGGCATCGCCGCGGCAGGAGGTTCCCTCGGCGGCATCATCTTCCCCCTGATGCTGCAGGACCTCCTCCCGCGCGTCGGCTTCGCCTGGTCGACCCGCATCATGGGCTTCATCTTCCTCTTCTGCGGCATCATCGCCGTGTCGCTTGTCAAGTCCCGACTGCCCCCCAAGCGCGGCCAATCCGTGATGCCGGACCTCCTTATCCTCCGCCACCGCGGCTACCTCCTCCTAACCCTCGGCACTTACTTCATGGAGTGGGCGCTCTTCGTCCCGATAACGTACCTCACGACGTTCGCGACCTCGACCGGCACGCTCTCCTCCTCCTTCTCCTACCAGCTCATCGCCATCTTCAACGCAGGATCCTGCCTGGGCCGCTGGGCCCCCGGCTACCTCGCCGACCGCCTCGGCCGCTTCAACTCGATGATCGCGACGCTCGCCCTCTGCGCCGCCACCTCCGTCACCCTGTGGCTGCCCACCGCCGTCCTGACGCCCACCCCGGAGAACGCCCCCACCATCAAGGCCCTCATCATCGTGTTCGCCGTCACATTCGGCTTTGCGTCCGGCTCCAACATCTCGCTGACCCCCGTCTGCGTAGGCCAGCTCTGCGAGACGAATCAGTACGGAAGGTACTACGCTACGTGCTACACTATCGTGAGCTTCGGCACCCTGACGGGTATTCCGATCGCGGGCGCGCTCATCCAGGCGGCGGGCGGGAGCTACTGGGGCGTCGTGGTGTGGACGTTCGTGTGCTATCTTGTTTCGCTCGGCTGCTTCCTTTGGTCGCGGGCTTGTCAGGTTGGGTGGAAGTTGGGGGAGAAGTACTAGGGGGGTTCTTCTGTGTCGTTGGTTAGTTGGAGAGGAATTGAGGTATGGGTGGATAAGTTGGGTGTATTTGATGGGGATGAAAGGAACGATGGGCGGTTTCGTTATTTAGGTGGAAGTAGGTCGTTGGTATTTTGGCATCGGAGGGAAGATGTAGGTGAGTCGGATGGGAAGCAGGAGGTATCAGAGAGGCGGTTCGGAGTGTTGAATCCGAAGTCGAGACGTCAGGTACGAGTAGAGAAGAAGGTGAGGTTTTGAGATACAGATGGACTTCGATCCGGGCGAGTCTCTTCGAGCAGGATCATAATGTCAAGTCATCTATGGTGGAGAAAACAATGGCTGAATGGAGCTCTCACGAAAACTTTCATTAATGCACATCGTAAATGGATTACATTCATTCATTCATTCAGGCTCAAGCTCCAGTCATGCTATCGAATCAGTCGTGTGTGAACAGGTTAGTTAGTGATGAGATTTCCCATTGGAACGTCTACGTCTCCATGGAGGGAACCAATAGATTCGTTATTCCAAAAAAAGAAATGAAAACCATTTCGCTCCTTACTCAATCCTGACGTCTACAGATAACATCGTCAACCTCAGATCATCAAGATGAATTCGCCATCCGCAGCAGCACTTTACAGCGTCTTGTTATACCACTTCGCCACGCCTCGAGAAAGTCGCAATGTCTCAGACGGGAGCGACCGTCCCTTTGTATGATAGCCACTTCGCAAAGCAACCGAGACCAGGATCTGAATCCGAAAATACAGACCAAAGCCCCCCCTCCCCCCCAAACAAGCCAGGAACGTAGATTCGCCAGATTTACGCGAAGCCCTCATGCAGGGGGGAGGGAGCAGCACTGTGCTGTCAATTGGATGAAGCGCCACACACGTGACCAACCCTATTGCCTATCAACCTTCGTCAAAGGTCCCAACGCCACCTCGTTTCGGTTTGGCGAGTTCCCGACGACACTCCTTTTGGGCGCAACGATTGTCCATCAATCGCTCGGAACGGACGCTCCCCGGGTGCTGCTCGTTTCATCGAGGTACATGTATTCGAAAGATGGTCGGGATGTCAATTGATAGGTTCGAACCGCGGGCGCGAAATACTGGGAGTGATCTCGGGGGGGTTAGGTCGTGCATGATCTTCTCTTCGCTATTTGAAGGGAGGGTCGCTTAAGGGGTGAAGCTGAGGGATGGACAGGCGCCGCCTTACTCGCAGACGACAGCTGAGGCTCCAATGACACGGTTGGGGCTGCTCTATTGGAAAGCTACCCCCAGAAAAGAGGTAGATCAGGGCCCAAAATGGCGTGAGATGGCAGTGCAAAGAGCACGATTGAGGTAGACGGCGAATGCAGAGATGAAGATGAAGACAGGAATGGGAATAGTCTGACTGCCTGTAACCCGTTCTCTGGCTTGACGGGAGTACATCCAGTGTAGCCCAGTCTACCTAACCTACGCCCATTAATGTTTATCGTCTTACATGGCTGCGTTGTTCGCTCGACTCTCTTTCTACCCATCCCACTCTCGTTTCTTATTTTCGTTCCCAGTAATAATATTATTATTTTAATGATCTATTGTAATGAAGAGCCTTTCTTGCATTTCTCTTCCGAACAGGTCGCAACCGGAGGATGAAGATGGTCCAGTTGCTATCCATCACCAAAAGGACGAGCCTGTCAATCCGAACAAGGATGGTACCACTTCGACCAACACGGTGGGCCCCAAGGGCTCCAGAATGCATGCCTTAATCGAAGTTTTAAGGTGCCAGTTTGCAAGGCCATCAAAGGTCCAGTCGGCACTTACAGACCACTCCGAATTGGACCCGAACAAGGAATGGAGCCCATTGTATTATGCGGCATACCATAATCGCGAAGCCGCGCTTGTACACTTCCTCAAGGCCGGCCAGTATCCGGATGGACGTCCCGAGTGCGAGGCATCGCCATTGTGTGTTGCCGTAGCAGCGGGCCACACGACAATAGTGAAGATACTGTGTGCTGCTGGCGCATCCGTCAATTCGAGGACAAAAAAGAAGGGAGAGACTGCATTGCATATCGCGATTCGGTCTCGAAAAGACGATATAAGGGATTTGCTGATTGCTCAGAGGCCGGACCTTGAAGCTCGAACAGCGCTTCTGGAAACTCCTCTCCATTATGCTGCCACACAGGGAGCATCACTCGCATCGGTCGTTGTATTGCTCAAGCTTGGAGCAAACTACGAGGCGACCAACAGTCATGGACAGACTCCAGCCGAAGTCGCAATCATCGGATCAAATATTCTTGCTGCGCTTGCCATCATAAGCTGTGCCAGGGGCCAACGAACGAAGCTATCGAAAGAAAAGGAATTGTTACTGAAGCACGTTGAGAAGGTTCAAAATCGTTTCTCCATGAATAACGAACTTATTGCGGATATTTTCGAAGCCGGGTGTGACCCCGATTCCACCGTCCTTATCGAGTCAATCAAACGAAATGATGCAGCAATGGTACAAATGTTTCTCGAGAAAGGGGCGGATCCTAACCGACGAGCAGCGACAGGACTATTACCCCTGTTTGTTGCCCTGACCTGTGCTAATGCGCAAGTAGTGCAACTACTTGTGAAGCATGGTTCAGATGTTACCGTCCGCGATGCGGAGGGGCTGACAGTGCTACAAGCTGTATTAGAGAGCCCGTTGGCAGGAGATAAAGAAGTCATACCCAGCCTATTCGAAGCACTCCTTGCTGCTGGTGCAGATATCAACGCGGCCTACTCTGATGGAAGGACACTTCTTCATGCAGTCGTCGCCCCTGGTCGAGGATTTGCACGGGTTGCTCGGCTCTTGATCGAGTATGGAATAGAGGTGAATCGAAAAGATAAATCAGGGTGCACTGCCTTGCATCTTGCAGGCCACAGTCGACCGTGCATCGAGGTTCTGCTCCAAAACCATGCAGACCCTCATCAAACCAACCATAGCGATCTCACTCCCTTGCTATACATCCTCGGCTCTGCAAACAAGGAAAGTGAGCCCGACATCGAGCCCCTAATTAAGGTCTCTGACCTACGCAAGCTCGGTCATCAAGACAAGACAGCACTTCACATAGCAGCAGAGAAGGGGTTGAAACGGAATGTACTGCAGCTGCTTAAGTGTGGTGCAGAGACGACAGTGCTTGACGATCGTAGTCGGACTCCTCTACACCTGGCTGCTTTGGAACACCAATGGCCTGTTGCACCATTGCTGGCTACTCAACCTGGGATCAACTCATGGGACGCAAGTGGCCGAACAGCTCTTCACTACGTTGTGACGAGCACTCCAAAGGCTCCCGCGACATGGAAAGATATCGTCTGTGTTGTCACAAAGTTCTGTGAAAAGGGAGTGAGTAGAAGTATGCGAGATCGTTCGGGGGCTACCCCGCTCATTGAAGCTGTGAAAGCGCTACCAGAGGAAGGGGCACTCGTGATCGAAGCATTGCTCACTGAAAGAGGCAAGGATGCACCAGGAAGGAGTAACTGTATCGGCCACGAGGACCATCATCAAAAGAGTGCATTGTACTTTGCGGCAGTGCTAGGTAAACCCACTTTCGTCGCAATTTTGCTCAAGTACGGCGCACCATTAGTGCTGAATGACTGGACAACCGGTAAAGGCATTGTACAGCCAACTACGCCTGCCAACAAAAGAACATTACGCCTCATTGCTGAGCATGAGTGGATGCGTAGGGTGGCTGCATTTCAGCGTCTATCCAAGGGCAATCATAGGGATTCCGCTCTGCCCAGAGTTCTCCCAACTGAGGATCTGGTAAACATGATTGCTCTAGGACTCGACACCGATGCCACCAAGGTCCCGGCAAACGTTGGTAGTCCTCATTCTCTGTTATGGATGATCCTAAATTTGTCGCTTGTCCAGCCGCCTGTGCCCAAGGTCTACCTCGAGTCAACAGTAACTATCATCCTGGCCTCTGGAGGTGATCCCAATGCACTAACGGCCAGTGACTCGGCGATTCCAAGACACGCGCCATCACCAGGTCTCAAGACACGCCATCCCCTGGCTTTCCTTCTAGAACGGCATCCGGCAATTGATATCGGCTTGATCCGCGTGTTCTTATCCTACAAATCGAAATTGACCATTGCTTCTACACACTATAATGGACGTTACCCTCTTCACTCGGCAGTGCATGCAAATCGTCTCGACATCATTGAGGAGTTCCTGAATTATAAAGCGGATCCCAATGCACTTGATGCCAGTGGACAGACTCCTCTTTTCATTGCTGCATCACGTGGATTGCTTGAGATATCGGAAAGACTGCTGCAAGCGGGGTCAAAGGTCGGTCTTCGAGATAAAGAGGGCAACACGGCCCTGCACACTGCAGTTAAATCGGGCGATCCTCGTCTGATCGAGAGCCTCCTACATGCGGGCGCAGAGGCAATGGTTCAAAACACCAAAGGTCAAACTCCACTAGCATCCTTTAGTCACAATAAGTCCACGGGTAAAAATGCAGAGAGCACTATTGCTATGCTGAAGCGCGCTGAAGCTCAAGAAATGAAGGCTCTAGACGTCACCGAGAAGCGAAGAAAAGAAAAACAGCAAGAATATCTAAGCAAGCCACGCTCATCACGCCCGCAATTAGGTTCGCAAACAGACACTCGGATTCGCACTTTGAGTGGCAAGTCTTCCTCGGAACAGAGTCTCACGATACCACACAAGTCAGAGGAGAGACCACCAATCCGCCCACACCCTTCAAACTCAAAAATCGCATCTACATCAGTGCCTTCTTCGCCAGATACAGCGAAACGACCGGAGCCTAGGAGGACCCCATCGCCTCTTGTGCCTCCTGTGCCCAAATCCAATGTACCAAAAGCACCAGCCAAACCAGCTCCCAATCTGCACAAAGTCCTGCCTCAACCACGTATAGACAGTGGCTTCGGTCAAGCCAAACCGGTACCTACCCCGGATAAAACGAAAACTACACTAGAAAGCAGTGGTGTACCTGTAACGAAGCGAAAATCGCAGGACGAGCTTCAAGACTGGCTTTCTATGAGTAAAGCTCTCGACAGGTTGTGATCACACATACACATTCATTAAGATTTCCCTTCATTTTGAGCATTCTGCAGCGAAGAACAACTACGTACAGACTACGCCTTTTATTATTTCTTTTGATTCTTGTCATGTAAACATATATGTTTTTGGATTATGATAGCGGTACATTCATTACAATTTTTAGCGTTTAGGGATGTTGGATAGATATTACAGCATGGAACTGGAGGGCTGGTTACATATACCCTTCATTGAGACGAGGAGCATAGTGGCGAGAATATACATATATAGGAAAGTAATACACATGACGATGCATACATTTTGAGCGGTCACCTATATAGCAAGGACGTGTTGAGCATATTGAGGCATTTTGAAACCTATGTTGGACACTGAGGAGCGCAATAAGAGAGAAAATGGAATTGGCAAATAAAAATTGGCAAAAAAAATGAGCTCGTAAATGGCCAAACCGAGACTCGAATGTAGCGCTCCTGGCCCGGGAAAGCCAGGTAGTAGTTGTAGTCTGACCATCCATACAACTTTACCCTACATTTCTTTGTAAAAAGAGCTCGTAAATGGCCAAACCGAGACTCGAACGCACAGCTCCTAGCCCGGGAAAGCTAGGTAGTAGTTGTGGTCTGACCATCCACACAACTTTACCATACGTTTCTTTTTTCTTAATGAGAGATTGCTGATTTTGGAACCTTATATACACACCTATTCGGTTCATGTATAATGCCTCTCTGGTTGAAGACATATGTGGAATCTATCTTGTTGCCAGCCATAAGTTCCTTACAACTTCTATTTCTCACCGACTATATCTTAGCCGTGTAAGTCTGCACAGGCACCTCACCGCCACCATAGGTCGGCGGATCCCTAAACGCAACCTCCCTCGTCCTGCTCAAGCTCTCCAGCTCATCGAGCCTATTCAACGTCGCCTTCAGGTGCGCCTCGAATCCCTCTTCGCTGCAGATATCCCGGAACGCGTTCTGCATGGGCACGGAGTCCGCGCGTACCATACCGTTGGCATCGATGTGGACGACGTTGATGTGGTCGAGGCCCTGCGTGTAGTCTGCGCGAGTGATGATCTGGCGCGCCTCATGGAGGGGGATCTCTGGGAGGCAGAACTCGTTGTCATTGGTTTTGGCGGCTTCTTGTTCGCGTTGGACGAGGGCGCGACCTAGGACGATTCCTGCGGCCTGTGTTATGTTAGTAAATGGACTTCTTCATGTGAATGAATGGGGTGATGGAAATAGACATACGCAGAATTTCTGCTGCTCCTCGACGTCGTCGTCCATGGAGTCGCCGAGGATCCAGCACTGGTTCAAAAACCATGCCTTCTCTCTCTTATTGATGTAGTCGCATGTCGCGATCATGTCCGGCGATTTGGACACCTGGTTGAGGAAGATGAGGCGGCCGCCCACTTTGGCGAAGACCTCGTCGAGGATGCTTTGAGGTACGTCTTCGTTGTGAAATCGCTTTCGATATTTCTTGAGGGCGTCTAGGACGACTGGCTTGCGGACATCTCTAATGTTCATGATAGACATGTTGGTCGCATGGGGGGTCAGTCGTTCCATTGTCCAATGCTCGTCGCTCGTGAAGACGGTCGTGACAAGGTCGGTAGATGCCCATATCTCAGCTCGCTGTTGGAGGATCTCGAGGAGGTTCATGCCGCCTTCGTCGTCTTTAAATAGATGCACGTTGTTGATTATGAAAAGAAGGGGTTTCCCGCGTGCTTTCCGGAGCTTCAGTGCAACCTTTTCCATCTTGTTCAATGCACGCTCAATGTCTAATAGCGGCGTGCTGTCTCGTGGACCTCTGATGCTGAACAAGCCTCCAATGTAGTCTTCGTGGAATTCGTAATCAATCGATTTCCCCAGTCTGATTCTGAAGACTTCCAGGTCGTGGTGTGCTTCCAGCATGGCGATACCGTCTCCATTGACTTTCCGCATGCTTTCCACTAGTAAAGACCGCTTTCCGGTTCCGCGCTCGCCCATGATGAGATAGTATCTCCCACGCATGCTCCCATTGACTATTTTGTCGATCGTCTCCTGCTCCGCCCTGGGTACCCAATTCTCCTTCTCCAACACCTCTTTGACCATGCCCGCATGGGTGCCATATGTAATCTTCCCCAGCGCAACGCGTTCGTTCGACGAATATCCGGCTGCAAAAGCATTCTCTATCTTGTCCTCGACAACCTTCTTGTACATGTAGTTGTACGCATAACCTCCCAGGCCCAGCCCAAGGAGGGATATCAGGGCCACGGTGCTGCCCTCAAGAACGCTTCGGGCGAACTTGCTGCCCTCTTGCTTGTGTGATTTGGCGGCTTCTTGCTGTAGACTGTCTGCTTCAGGTCGGGGGATGTGATTTGGTATGAGGAATGGGGTAGGTCGAAAACGCGCGGCACGTTTGCTGAGTGGTAGTAGGACCCATCCTATTGAACATTAGCTCAGTTTGGAGGCATTGTAGATGCCAATTACCTCGTCTCGCACTCTGGAATGAGCGTGGCATTCCTCTCGCAGAGATCCAGCAAAGGTAGGTTATGGTACCTGAGAGGTCGGGAGGAAAGACGTGGTGGCATCAGCGAGGTTGAAGGTGGGTGCCCAGGAACAAGCATTGACTAAGCGATCTAGTCGTCTTAGGTCTTACAGTTTCCATTTTCAGCTTTTGTAAGTTCATGAAGCCTGAACTGGGGATGTAGCATAGCACAAAGATATGCTCGTGAGGGAGACAAAATCGTAAAGCTATGGTCAGTACATGGAGACACCAAGTGGTCAAGGTGGAGGTGTGGTCCTAGAATTGGGATGGACATGTGAGACCCAGCAGGACGCGTCTGTCCGACCAGGAGTGTGCGTCACACGACGCCAGATCTTCACTCGAATCCACATTGTGCATTGTGTGTGTGTGCATCGTGACAGTACATATGTACCGAGTAACTCGTGGTGGTTTTGGTGCACAGCGATCGATAGCTTGCACAAGCTTGACGGAATGACGTATCGTTATGGGATTGACAATGTGCCGTTGGTGTGAATCCATCTCAATTGGGAATAGACGATGGTCGGGCCGAAATCGGCTCTAACCTCTACCATAGGCCATTTCAGGGTCCAGGTCCCTCTAGAGCCACGCGCTTGCTGGAGCCACTGGAGCTCACATGAGGGACGACGGAGGCGGATTGAAGCACAACCGAGACGTCTCCCCACTATTTGACCACCACCTACGCCGTGCCCCCTCCCCAGGCTGAAACAAAATGGCACGGTTTTTTACCTCCTTCGCAGGTCGAAAGAGCTCTCACCTCCCTCAATTTCGTTGACTGGCAATCTTCAATCTCCAACATCCAACATGCCGCCCCCTCGACGCTCCATATCAACGCAACGGCGGAGGTCCTACAGCGGCTCCGCTTCGACGTCAAGTCACGCCTCTCAATCCAGCAGTTCGCCATCCACGACATCTGTTCTCTGGAGGTTGTACCTTTCCCATGCACTATCAACATGGAACGCCAGGACTTTCGAATTTGGAGCAGTCATATTCCTGGCTACAATCTTTCCTCACACCTTGTTCTACACCTCTCTATATGCCCTTTGCCGGTCTGGGGCAGCGACGGTCTTCAGCTCCTACATAGGATGGATAGTGGACCGAACAGACCGACTAGTCGTGGTCCGCCAGAGTATTATGTGGCAGAGATACACGGTGGCAGTATCGTGCTTGATACTGCAAGTGCTTTTGTGGAGTAATGAGGACAGGCTTCTCACCCTCACGTGGTTTGGAATTGCGATCGTATTAGCATGCTTTGAGAAGCTAGCCTTCGTCGCCAACACAGTCGCCGTGGAGAGAGACTGGCTGATCGTCATTGCCGATAGCCTGGGCGCTGAGCGCGAAGACATGAACAGCTCCATGAGGAGAATTGATCTGATCTGCAAGCTGGTAGCTCCACTATGCATTTCTTTGGTCGATAGTTATTCGACCAAGATAGCCATTTGGGTCGTCTTTGGCCAGAACGCCTTGAGCGCTATCATTGAATACTTTGCGATCGCTCAAGTATTTGCTGCTGTCCCCGAGCTTGCGCAGGGCCGATCAAGGCGTGCTCGCTCTGACTCTCACAACGGAGACTTGGCCGCAGACCAACAAACTGATTCAACCACGCCTCGCAACCCTATAGTCGCGAACATTGTTCGTGCTCTCCGCCCTTGGAAAGACTATTTCTGGAATCCGGCATTCCTAGCGTCGTTTTCACTGTCTTTGCTCTATCTCACAGTACTGAGCTTTGCCTCCCAAATGACGACGTACCTACTTACTCTAGGATACACGTCCTTCCATGTGTCCACTATGAGATTGGCAGCCGTTGCACTCGAGCTTACCGCAACCTGTGCTGCCCCTACTCTGATGCGCAAGATTGGCGCTGTTCGGTCGGGTCTTTGGTTCGTCAACGAGCAGCTCATCGCCATTGCTCTGGCCCTAGTATGGTTTACCGCCCTGGACTTCCATACCAGGCTTGCTGGTCTAGCTCTAGCAGCTGGAGTTGCCTTGAGCAGAGTAGGGTTGTGGGGTTTCGATCTATCCGTTCAGTATCTAGTGCAGGAAGATGCGCCAGAAGCCACTCGGGGATCCTTTTCTGCCGTCGAAGCTGCGTTGCAGAATTTCTTCGAGCTTGTATCCTTTGCAATCACCATGATTTTCCATCGACCGGAGCAATTTCAGATACCCGTGTTCATCAGCGCAGGCGCAGTTGCTCTATCTGCGACATGCTTTGCAAGGTTCGTAAGGCAAAAGAGAGGGCATTTTCTGCACACTTCGAAGTGTTTTAGAAGAGAGGGAAAGCTTAAATACCAAGTCTTGCCAACCATTGAAGAAGAAGGGGAAGATACACCACTCGACGAAAGGAGTGGTTCATAACTGCTGAAGTAAATATCTTGTAGCATACGACTCATACAACTGTAGATACCCCATCCAAAACGTTTCATAGCAATTCTGACGATTTCATTCATCTATACAGCGAAAGTCTCGCCATCCTCGTAATTGGCTAACTTTCATTAATTTGAGGAAAACATCTAGACAAGAACATGAAACAAATCAAAGAAAGAAAGAACACCCGTCGTCCAATTGCTAGGAACAAATCCGATGCCAGATGACTTCCAGCATAACACCACGGGATTGATCGCCTCAGAGAAGCGCACTATCCGTGCTATTCATTTCCTCTCTTGTGATTCTTGCCTGAATCGCCGCTAGATAATCCGAGAAGCTGCTCCCAATCTTCGAGATATCTTCCCCTAGGTCTACTCTCATCCAAGGAGGAAGCTCCTCATTCGACATTGATTCGATCCCTTCATGGACGCTTTGGAACTTGGCCAGTCCCTCGGTAACCTCTTCGAAGATCTGGTCCAGCGAGTGTCTCTCCCGCCAATCAATGCACATGCACTTTTCCACAACCCTCTCAAGGGCCATCGAATAAAACGCACTGTGATGCTGGGGGTCAAAGTACGCTGTGGGATTGGCAACACCCGTAGCACCTGGGAATGGGAGTTGGGGCGTCGTGTCGCTGCTGGTCCGGAGTTGGGCGTTTCTCATCAAGCACCACGCGATCAGGCCAGCCGCGTATACATGGTGTCGTTCATTCGGGACATCAGACCAGCCTTGGGCATCTAGTTGTTTTTCGGTTTCTCGTTGTTCTGACATGTGCAGTTAGTATGATGCAGAAGGTTCATAAGTATCCGGTTCTTTGTTTCTTACCAGGTGAGTACCATCTGTGTATTGTGTTAGCCTCAACTATTGTAGCATGATTGAGTATTTAGCTTACCCCATCGTCCCGCCATTGTAGCTTTGATAATCACCCATGAATCCTATTACGCCGAAATCTCCCAACACGGGTTGATAGAACCCAGGGTAGGAACAGGCTTCTTCGTTGCGATCTTTGAGGAATATGTTCTAAATTGGTTTCGCGCTCATGTTAGCCATATTCTTTGTTTGTCTTCAGATGTGTGAACACCCATACCTGTGGTTTTACATCCCAACTGTTTCGATACAATATTAGCAACTGACCAAATCATTGAATGTGGGGAGTCTTACTGGACATAACCGCGACTCTCTAGCGTGCGGAATGCAGTCACCAAGGCGCGTAAAACTAGCCAGATGAACACTTCTGGAACAGGTCGGCGATCTTTCATGTACTTTGCCTGAACAGTGTATAAACTATCGAAGGGGGCATACTCTAGGTAGAGCCTGTAGACACTCTCTTTTAGAGAGCTCTCTTGAGATGGATCCATCAAGGCCATAACGGCATCATTATCGAGTATTGACGCCACCGCGTCGACATTGTTTTTGGCATAACTCTTTTCAGAGGACCCCCTCAAGGCGATAATGTAGGGATTATTGAGCATTGTCAGCTCCTCGTGGACAATAATCTCCTGGTGCGGATTCAATCGCACTTTGTCTGGAGTGAAACTTTTGAGAATCACGCGCTGAAGGGTTAGCAAAATGAGAAGAAAGGGATGGGATTTGACATACATCCTGAATGACGTTGTTCGAGTCAACGTACAGGTAGAGCGGGAGAGTCCATCCAACCTCACCGGCCAACCATCGCCCACCTTCGCCTTGCAAGACCTCCGTGAACTCGAAGTCTTCTAGCCCAACTAACTTTGGATGAACAGAATACATTCTCGCAGAAACCCAATCTTGAATGAAGACATGTGGGTGCTCTTTTGTGTCCTCCTTCGCCCTGTGGAGTATCCAGCGCTTCTTTTTCCACGACAGACTGGTGTCTAACGTGTCTGGCATTACCAAAGTCCAGGATGTAGACTGATTTTCCTTACGAAAGGCGCCTATGTGCGTGTCGTCGTTATCTTGTTTCGCAGTGACTATGATATACTTGGCTCCGCGCACGTCGTGACTGTGCTGAACCTCAACATCAGCAAACACAATATAGTTGTGGATAAAATCGCGATCCTCCTCATATGTCATAGGCCTGAGGGCCCAATCTGCGGTGATGATATTATGCATGTACTCAACGGCGGTGCGAGTCGAGAATATTCCGAAGTTGTGCATTATAAATGGTGCTTCCTTGTTAGAAGTCCAGTTCACAAGATTGGACTCCCTGCTGACCGGCCCTGCATAAAAAGCTCCTAACAACGTGCCCTCCTGCACCCAGCCCGAATAATCGAAATCTCCCGTAGACGGAAGCCAGACATCGGGATCAGTGCTCGATGAGTGGTAGCAAGCTGTTTCAGGTTCATATTCCTCGCCCCCTTTCTCGCCCCAATCTGACCTGACCAATCTATACTCGTTATATCGTGCTGGAGGCGGTCGAGAAGGATCTTCCTCATATTCGACATACGACGTTTTTTCGACTCTGCCAATGAATGCTTTCTTCTGCCATGGCAGGAAGGAATGATGCTTAAGGTGGAGCGAGCGTTCGAATACATTGTGCCCGACCATTTCCAATGCAGTATACGGCCGTTCGTCGTCTGGATCATAGTACCTGATCCTTGGCGCTGTAGCATGGTTCGACATGGTGAAGTGACTGATCGGCAAAGAAGGAAAATCCAGGTTGGGGGAAGTTTAGCGACGTGAAATTGACTGCTGCGAATGAATGGAGGAGTAAGGATATCTACCTAGTTATTCTGCGAGATCCATGGTGCCTGAATTGTGCAAACAAAATGCTTCTGCGGCTTCCTCCGTGTATATTGCCCTTTCTTTGTCTTCACTGTGCCTTTGTCTGCGTTACTGTTGGTACAAACTGCCGAAAGTTGGACCCTGCACGCGTCACCAGCGGGCTTCTTCTTTCAACGGAGGTTGTTGATGCCGAAACTGTTTCCATAATGTCCATCTCGTTTCCAATGTATGACGTTGTATGCAGTAGTACCAGAAGGCATAATGATAGGTAGTGAGCTTGGAGCACGGTCAACGTCTGCATAGAGAACTGGAAAGATCGCTGCCAGAGTACAGTAATTAATTTAACATAATTTCTACGATCAAACACATTGCGCATGGCAAGTTTGGCTGGTGTTTAGTAAAAAAGAGGTCGATTGGAGACATCGACAAGCTGTTAGACCTTGGGAGTAGTATCCGAATGCAGCCTTACTTGGGACAGCTTCAATGTCTAACTTTGGCGATTATTTGAGACCGTTTTGCCTTCTAACTATTGCATAAACATCTGCCCAAACCATGTTTGCTGGAGTCAATGTTGTTCCCGACACAAAGAGATATCTACGATGTTGGCTTTGGGAATTGTTTCTCATTATTTCGATAATTCGGTTTTACACTGTGACATTCTATGGTTGCTTGGCCATGTCCATAATTCTTTGTGAGAGTGCTACACATGCATCCACCTCATACACCAGCGTCTTTGTATGAACAGTTCAGGTGAATACGGTGGCTATGTCTTCACAAAGGCACTGGTATGTGGCGTTGAACCGGAGACTTCACTTATTCATTCACATTGGATTTAGAGAGTTTGGTGAGTAAACCATCGAGTTGGTCATGTCATATTCAATACAATTGACTTGCCGCAAGTGTAAAGCAGCGTATGCATTACCCCATTGGTTGTTTAGCCAGCTCTCCTTCGCTTGGTACCGTTCTGTGTAGCGCTTGTTCCATTGCTTGCGACTTCGGCCCCCTCGTCGTCGTTCATCCATTCTCGACCCGTACCAGGGCTTTTCCTTCTGAATTGACCGGCACCAATGGCGACAACTTCATCCTCGCTATCGCTGGCCTCTATGTCCAGCAAAACGGGCATCCTGAAACCCAGATCATCTGCCTCAAACGTCATTGGCGTTTTCTGAGGCTCAATAGTAAGCACATCCACCTCCTCATCTTCTTGATCAAGCCGGCGTTTGTGGATTTCTTCAAGCGGTTGAATGTCGAACTCGTCCTCGTGTTCTATGTATTCGTGATTCTCTTCTACCTCAACGAAATCGGGTGCAAGGGCCGACCACCGCTGGGGCTGTAGAATTGACCATAGCCAAATTCTGCCGGAGTCCACGCCAACGGCCGCTACAAAAGGCCGGAAAGGATGCCACTCCACAGCCGACAACTCCTCTTTTGTCCCTTCCAGGATCTTCACTAGACTGCCTTGCCCACGCTCCCAAACGTATATGTGATGGTTCATCCAGGTAGATGCAGTGACGTATTCTCCAGAGGGGCTGAATGAGACGTGATTCCATGAAAGTCTCTGTACCAGATCTTGAAACTTGTGCTCCACTTCAAGCTGGAGAGTGTCGAAGTCAAGCTTGGGATCCGTCAACTCTGGCAGATGTATCGTCCGAACAATGCGATCGCTGGAATTTATAACGACATCCCTCCCCGATAAAGTCAACCGCACGAATACGATGATGTTGTTTGTGAGACGCAGGGAGTATAGTATTTGGTGTGTCTTTGCGCTGATAATATTGAGCCAGCCCTTATTCGTTCCTGCTAAGATATGTTCTCCGGAAGGCGTGAATACGGTCACTGTGGTAGTTTGCTTCGCGTCCTGGGCAGCTTGTTTTTCGGTCGCATTGTCGCGTTCGGATTGAAGTCTGCGGGGTGCAGAGGAAAGCGAATGCTTCACGGGAATCGGTTCGGAGATATCGACGAGGACGGGTTGGTCTTCATAAAGGGCTGCGACAAATAGGTTACTGCGAAGCTGTAAGTAGGAATAGATGCAGATGGATCAGCTTTGTGAACGGACTGGTTCTTTGGATGTATCTCTGCAATGAAAATGGCAGATTCGAAGCGGACAGTACGCAAGCGTGAGCCATCCTGCAAGTCCCAGAGCACAGCCTTCCAATCTTGCCCTGCACTCAACAGGTAACGATCATTGGTTGACCAACTTAATGACTGTATCTGCCGTGTGTGACCGCGTAGCTTGCGCGCTACACCGTTGGTTTCGATGTCGAATATGACGACAATTCCATCATGCTGAAGAAGATGCGATTAGCTGGGTTGGAATTCGAAGCCCTGCAGAGGGCTGTGTACTGCACGTACTCTACCTGATGCAAGCAAATCGCCTCGATGACTGAAACGTATAGACGTAGAATGGCCGCTGCCTGGAAGTTCATATGAGTCATAAGAATTGTTGTTGTCGGATTTGCGATTCGGAGGGGGTGCACTCACGTAGGCGTCCAGTTATAACTTCAGGACAATCCTGGGCAAGGACGAAGGGATCAACTAAGGACAGATTCATGGCGCTGAGTGAATGGTAGCGCAACAGTGCGCAGTGTGAATGTTGCGTATTCCGTGCAGCATCTTCAGACTGCGCAGAGTCCTTTGTTGAAAGGAAGTGCGGCGTACACAGTGGATAGGTATAGTTACCTATACAGTGGGAGAGATTATTAGGTGAGGCTCCGTGCGTTAGTGACCAGTAAAGGTGGGCGCGTTGCCAAGACTTCCGCAGCCCCCGGAATTTGCCGTCTTTGTCGCCTCTCTTTGTAAACCCAGGCTCCTGACGAGTTTCACTCCCGCACTCCCTCTCTCTTACAACCTCCCACCGCCCACCCCATCTCCATCTCGCGCACCCGCCGTACTATCTGTGAGCGCGGATAACTTCTCGTCGCAGACGATAGTACTGCCGCTTGCGCGATTTTCAACGCGCGACGAGCTTCTGCGACCCCGGGCGAGACAACGAAGCCCCCGAAGCGCGAAGTCGAGAGCCGAGCGCTCACTTCAGCACCCCTATCAACCCGAGCGCGCGCTGCGCATCAAGACTCATCTCGAAGACGCGCGAATTCAGATCCACTCGTTCAATATTTCGTTAGGACAGTCGAATTGCAACTTTTTTTAGAGGAGGCCTACGCGAAGGCCTGGCGTACCCGGCCGTTTTCCCGCAACAACGGCATTTGTCCGTGTCACCGGTCGAAAACATCCATCGTAGATAGAAGAACCCATCACAAGTTCACCTCATTACCTTAATCATGGCTCCCGGAGCTCAAATTCCGTCGAAATGTCCGCTCCGCACGATAAAGGAGATCCAGTTCGGTCTTCTCTCTCCAGAGGAGATCAAGGGCATGAGTGTCGTGCACATCATCTACCCAGAGACGATGGTACGGCCTATGCATCTCTCCCATTGCATGCAGATACTGACGAGATCATAGGACGAGCAAAAGCAAGAACCTCGAGCGCAGGGTCTTAACGACCCTCGTCTTGGCACTATTGACCGCATGTACCAGTGCAAGACGTGCAAAGAAGACATCAACGTCTGCCCGGGACATTTTGGCCACATTGAGCTAGCGGTTCCCGTCTTTCACGTCGGTACGCAATACTTGCATGAATGCCTGTCGTGAAATTTTACTGACCTGTATAGGTTTCGTCGTCAAGATCAAGAAGATCCTCGAGACGGTTTGCCACAACTGTGGTCTTATCCTAGCTGATTATTCCACGGCTGATTGGAAAGCTGCCATCCGCACCAAGGACGCAAAACGACGATTCGACACGATATGGCGACTCTCTAAGATCAAGCGTGTCTGTGACGGATCGATACCCGAGGAGGATGGCAAGAAGAAGCAACCCGCTATCGCCCATGGCGGTTGTGGCCACAAGCAGCCTGACAGCATCCGTAAAGAAGGTCTCAAGCTGACCGGTACCTGGAAGGCAAGCAAGGACGACGAAGAAGGTCGCGGTGACGAGAAGCGTGTCATTACACCGCAAGACGCGCTCAACATTTTCCGTAACATCAGCGACTCGACACTCGCCTTGCTAGGCTTGAATGCCGATTATGCACGTCCTGAGTGGATGGTCATCACCGTCCTCCCAGTCCCTCCCCCACCTGTCCGTCCGAGTATCTCTGTTGATGGAACTGGCCAAGGCATGCGAGGAGAGGATGATCTCACATACAAACTCGGCGATATTATCCGTGCCAATGGCCGTGTCATGGATTGTATTCAACAGGGTTCACCTCAGCACGTTTTGACCGAGTTCGAAGCCCTCTTGCAATACCATGTTGCCACATACATGGACAATGACGCGAACGGAGTACCACAGGCTATGCAAAAGTCTGGTCGACCACTCAAGACTATCCGTGGTCGCTTAAAGGGTAAGGAAGGCCGTCTGCGTGGTAATCTCATGGGCAAACGTGTCGACTTCTCCGCTCGTACTGTCATCACCGGTGACCCGAATCTTTCTTTGGACCAAGTCGGTGTTCCTCGTTCTATTGCGAGGACTTTGACCTACCCCGAGGTCGTGACCAAGTTCAACATCAGCAAGCTTACTGCGCTTGTACGCAATGGACCTACTCAGCATCCCGGAGCAAACTATGTCATTAAGTCCGATGGCACGCGTCTAGACCTGAGGCACAACAAGAATCCAGATCAGCTACGACTACAGTATGGCTGGAAAGTTGAACGTCACATCGACGACGACGACGTCATCATTTTCAATCGTCAGCCATCGCTGCATAAGGAGTCTATGATGGGACATCGCGTAAAGGTCATGCCTTATTCGACTTTCCGTCTCAATCTCTCTGTCACCTCACCCTACAACGCTGATTTCGACGGTGACGAAATGAATTTGCACGTTCCACAAAGCGACGAGACTAGAGCTGAAATCAAGCATCTGTGCATGGTTCCTCTCAACATTGTCTCGCCACAGCGTAACTCGCCCCTCATGGGTATTGTACAGGATACGCTCTGTGGTATCTTCAAGATGACACGACGAGACAGCTTTCTCACTAAGGACCAAGTCATGAACATCATGATGTGGGTACCAGACTGGGATGGAGTCATTCCTCAGCCTGCCATTTTCAAGCCTCGCCCAAGATGGACTGGCAAACAGATCATTAGCATGGCCTTCCCAGAGCGTCTGAACATATTGACATCTGGAGGTGGCGACGAGGCCTGGCATCACAAAGAAGACAAGGGTCTCGTTATCCAGGGAGGTGTACTATTGGTTGGTGTCCTGGTCAAGAAGGTCGTTGGTGCTTCTGCAGCTGGTGTTATTCACTTGCTCTTCAATGAGCTTGGTTGGGAAGCCGCCGTCAAGTTCTTTGATGCCGCCCAGCGTATCGTCAACTTTTGGCTCCTACACAATGGGTTCAGTATCGGCATCGGTGATACTATTCCCGATCCTAAGACGGCTGATGCTATTCTTGCTGCCATCACAAAGGCCAAGAGTCAAGTTGAAGAGCTCGTGAAGGTTGCTGCTGCCAACGAGCTGGAACCCAATCCAGGTCTCAGTGTGCGCGCTACGTTCGAAGCCAAGGTGCAAAAGTCTCTGAACGAAGGACGTGATCAAGGTGGTGGCGCTGCTCATCACAGTTTGAAGGATTTGAACAACGTCGTGCAGATGGTGTCATCTGGATCCAAGGGTTCCACTGTGAACATCGCGCAGATGGTGGCTCTTGTCGGACAACAAGCCGTGGAGGGCCAGCGTATTCCCTTCGGGTTCAAATACCGCAGTCTGCCCCATTTCACCAAGGACGATTACTCACCAGAATCTCGTGGTTTCATTGAGAACTCATACCTTCGTGGATTGACACCTCAAGAGTTCTTCTTCCACGCCATGGCTGGTCGTGAGGGTTTGATCGATACAGCTGTTAAGACTGCCGAGACTGGATATATTCAGCGTCGTTTGGTCAAAGCTCTTGAAGACGTCATGGTCAAATACGACGGCACAGTACGAAACTCCATGGGCGATATTGTCGAATTCGTGTACGGAGAGGACGGTCTTGATGGCGCTTGCATTGAGCATCAGTACATTGACAGTGTCACCAACCCCACCGCCCAGTTCTACAAGACCTACAAGGTTGACGTGATGGGCGATACACTCCCTATTGATCCATCTATACTCCTTTGCGCACACGACATCCAGGGTGATTTGGACGTTCAACGCTATCTTGACGAAGAAATGGCTCAGCTCGAGGAGGATAGAGATTTTGTTCGACCCCGCCTGATTGACGACTCACAACGATTCCCATTGCCACTGAACATCGCTCGAATGCTCGAGACTGCCCAGGCCAAATTCAAAATCGACACCAACAAGCCTAGCAACCTCCAGCCCATTGAAACTATCACTCGTGTCCGTGAGACGTTGGACAAATTGGTTGTGATTAGAGGTGACGACCATCTTTCTCGCGAAGCGCAAGATAGTGCCACCAATCTCTTCAAATGCCAACTGAGATCTAAGTTGGCTTTCAAACGCCTGGTCAAAGAATACCGTCTGAACAGATTGGCCTTGGAGAACGTGTTGGGCGATTTAGAGGATCGCTTCCTACGAGCCGCCGTTGCCCCTGGCGAAATGGTTGGTGTGCTTGCTGCTCAATCGATCGGTGAGCCTGCTACGCAGATGACATTGAACACTTTCCATTTTGCCGGTGTGTCTTCCAAGAACGTCACTCTCGGTGTGCCACGTCTTAAGGAAATTTTGAACATTGCTGCGAACATTAAGACGCCTTCCATGATGGTCCATCAAGAAGATCCAAATGCCAGTCAACAACAGGCTAAAGAGCTTCGTAGTCAGATCGAGCATACAACTTTGCGATCGCTTGCCTCGACGGTTGAACTGTACTACGATCCAATCATCAATCAAACAGTCATCGAAGCCGATGAGGACATGGTGGAATCATACTTCATCATTCCTGAAGAGGATATCGACACCGAACAGCAGTCCAAGTGGCTACTCCGAATCATGCTTGATCGCAAGAAGCTCTTGGACAAGCAGATTAACATCACGGAGGTCGCGGGCAGGATCAAACAGGAGTTTGCGCCGAACATTGCCATCATCTTCAGTGACGAGAATGCAGACGAGCAAGTTCTTCGCGTCCGCTTCATTTGGGATAACAACCTGAAGGAAGACGATGACGACGATGACGACAGAGATGAACGATGGATGCGCAAACTTGAGAAGCATCTTCTCGACGATGTCTCTCTGCGCGGAGTTCGTGGTGTTGAGCGAGCTTTCATTCGAACAGACATTCGCTTTGCTGTTCAACCTGATGGTTCCGTCTACAAGTCGAAGGAGAAGGCCAACTGTAACGAATGGATTCTGGATACTACTGGTACCGCCCTCGCTGAGACTCTTGCTGTCCCCGGCGTCGATTCGACTAAGACATATTCCAATTCCTTTATCGAGGTCCTCGCTGTCCTGGGTATTGAAGGTGCTCGCGCTGGTCTACTTCGAGAACTCAAGATGGTTTTGTCATTCGATGGTTCGTATGTCAATCATCGTCACATGTCTATCCTCGTGGACATCATGACTCAGCGTGGTTTGCTCATGGCAATCACTCGTCACGGTATCAACCGAAACGACACCGGTGCCCTCATGCGTTGTTCGTTCGAAGAGACTGTCGAAATTCTTCTTGAGGCTGCAAGCTTTGGTGAACTTGACGATTGCCGAGGTGTTTCAGAGAACATTATGCTTGGGCAGCTTGCACCTATGGGCACCGGCGAGTTTGATCTCGTTATGGACAACTCGATGCTTCTCACCATGATCGAAGACAACTCCCACATGCGTGTTGGTGCCAATGCTGGTGCATACATGGACGCCGGCGCTGCCACACCCTATGATCTAGGATCACCTACCTACGAAGGTGGCATGGGTGGTCCAACATTCGATGCTGCTTTCTCACCTCTTGCCGCTCCTGGTGGAGATGATCTCGGCAATGCAAGCGTTCTTGGAAACACATACGGTAATGGCGACGATGGATTCAGTCCCTTCCCCGGTGCCCGAAGCCCTGGAGGTGCAATGAGTCCCGGCTGGGGAACCAGCCCTACATCCCCAGGATACTCTCCAACATCACCTGGGTATTCCCCAACCTCTCCCGGCATCAGCAGTCCACAGTTCGGAGGTTCTACCTCGCCTGCCTACAATGCCACCAGCCCACAGTATTCGCCGACTTCACCGTCTTATTCTCCTACGTCGCCAGCGTACGGTGCATCACCCACCTCACCTTCGTATTCTCCAACTTCACCGAGTTACTCGCCGACATCTCCTTCGTACTCGCCCACATCCCCGAGCTACAGTCCTACCTCGCCGGCGCAAATGGGCCGTGGAGCTACTTCACCTCGCTACAGCCCAACGTCTCCAGCTTACAGCCCTACATCGCCGATGTATAGCCCAAGCAGTCCTCAATTTGGAGCCGGAGGTGACAGGCGCTCTCCCACGTCACCTACATCGCCAAGCTACAGCCCGACTAGCCCTGTCTATAGCCCAACCAGCCCGGCGGTCAATCAGTACTCCCCAACCTCACCCAGGTTCTCTCCCACGTCTCCTGGTCCGGCGTCGTACTCGGCCACGAGCCCACAGTACTCGCCGACCTCGCCATCATACTCCCCTACGTAAGCCACCACGGTCATAGTTGAAATCTCCTTTCCTGCAAATCAGTGACTAACAATATATGCAGATCACCTAAACAATGATGACAGTTCTCATTTGCGGAACACACGTGATGGGAATCTTCCTGTAAGGTTAAACCTTGCTTTTGTATAAAAGTCTTTTCGCTTCACATAGCGGATGGCTAATCTTGGTGACCTTAAGATCACCGAATCGATGAGCCACGTCTATAAACCGTGCCCGTTCTCCGAGCTCGATGGCGCCGTACCTTTAGCTAGGCCCACGACGATAGAACTCCGAGCGCGAGCCTTATCCCTAATACTTCTTCCCGATCGATCGTAACATGTATAACATATTTGCCTGTCTCTACGCCGCCACATCTCGCGCTGTGCGCTCGTGCGTACAGTCACCACATTATAAAAAAAACACCCGCACATTTCACTGGGATCGCAGGCGTCTGCGGTGGATTTCTTGGGTTTCCTTTCTCTTCATCCCCCTTATTCAACGAAAAGACTGAGCAGTCCGCGAAGGAACATTGGCCTAATTTGATCGACAAGTTCATGTGCACAAAATGCGAGGCGTTGGGGTTTCTATTTCCTGTTTCTGCATATGGGTAAACCAAAATACTGCCCAAATCATTTGGAGTTTCCAGGCATGCGTTGCCTTTTTTTCAATTTTTTTTTCTCATGCCGTTGGCTTTCCAGTTCTTCATTGCTTCGAGAAGGACCTCACAGATTGTGCTCGACAGGTCGTTAGTTTGATAGATAGAAAGGCAGGGGCAGGCGGATTAACCAGATTCAGAGGACGATACCAGCGAGCAACATTCATTCAGAATGGCTCAGTAGATGCAGGAAATGCGGGATTCGATATGACGAGAGATAATACTTGAAAATGACATTCTTTGTCGCAAGCTGCATGTGCACAACATTGCATCGGTGATTGTTTTTACAAATCCTTAATTCTCCAACGAAATCCATAGCTATCTCTCTTAACTGCCGACGACAGGCATCGATCCTGCATAAGATAGATTTCTATTAAACGCGCCGTGAAAGCGCCGGTAGGATGTGACGCGTTGCTCTGGGCCCTCAAACACGTGATGTCTCAACCTCGGTCGGCCTTGAATAGTAATCATTTAATCTTTGTTCGCCCTAAGGACGCCTTCGACACTGCACAAGCAGCAACACAGCCAGGACTCCCAAGACACTATCTGAGTTACTTGGTAAGCAACTTTTACGCTGTACTATGCGTTATTCGCTAATCTATAATAGCGTAAGGTTTGGGATCGATTTCTTTTCGGCTGGACAATTGCAGCTCCCTTTGATTAAACAGTACTACATTGCGCTGCTTTTAGGGACGAAAACCTCCGGCGGCAGTCACACCAAAACGCTCTCTGACCGCTACGCCAGCACCAAGAGCTGACCAAGCTTAGCTCGCAACCTTTCCCCAAGAAGGGACCATTCCCCTTTCAAGCTCCAGGAATCCCCATCTACATCTTAGGTTTGGGGGTTGACCTTGTGTCTGCGCGTGCACAACGATCTTCCATTCTCTCGTCATGAACCCGCGATAGTGTATGTTTCTTGCAGTGACTCGGTAGCTACGAAATTTGAATGAAAGCTCATCTCGCCCGTATTTACCTACGTACATATATCAGGGACCCTGTCGCAGTCATTGGCCTCCGACGCTTCCGCGTCCGATAGTCACTACTCGAAGAAGTCATTGTGCCGACAATGGCGAGCTCTGAGGATGATGGTCACCCTCCGCCTCGTAAGAGATCAAGGACAGACTCGAAAAATGGCGAAGAATCAAGTGGCAAGAAGGCGAGGGGCAGGCCTAGGGTGGATACTCAGGATGCAACTGCTGCCGATGTGAGTAGACCATAAAAGACTTTGACGTCTTATCATTCTCGCCGTGCCTTAACCCCCTCATAAACAATCCTTACAGCACCAATCATCTTTCCAAAATGGAGGCTGATGTATATCTCAGCGACGTCGTACTCAGATTCGCCTTGCTCAACGGGCTTATCGGCAGCGTAAAGAAACCACCATCTCTTCTTTGAAGAACAAGAATTCGCGATTGCAGTCCATCATTGATCAGATGAATACAGCATTCCTCCAGTTCAACGAAGCTGCTCTAAGGTCGGGGGCCATTCAAATGAATCCAGCACTGGCACATGAATTAAAGCGGGCGACGGAATCATTCGTCAAGCTCGCCAGAACTGCTAGTGAGGGTGACGATGATGGTGACGATGAGGGAGCTTTTGAAGACGGAGATCCTGTCTTCGAGGCAGGTACAGGATCGACCAAGACCACTGCCACTATAGGGTCCGTAGACGCCACTCAACATCCACAAACAACTTCGCAGACGGTGCCACGGCACACCGACCTGGGCTGGGGCTATTCCACAATACTTAACACACCTTCTTCACGCTCCAATTCCGTCTCACCGCCCCAATACGATGGCCCTACAGAACAGTCATATTATCCCACCATGGCTTCGTCAATGGCGGACTCTAGTATCGTTTCGACGAGACCACGGCTAACAATAGGCCAAACCATGGACCAGAATAGGTTGCAAGGATATGGGTCTACAGAAGAGCTGCCATTCGGACTGATTGATCTTATGTCGCCTGGCTCTGGTCTCCCCAGACCGCACCAGCAACCTCAAGTATTCCGTGTCGACGTTCCTACATCCATTATCAACACTCCTCCACTAAAACAACCGAGCCCGCCTTTCCTGTCCAGCATCTCGACCAGATCAGTAAAACCCGATTGGACTTACAGCCACGATGAAGTCACATTTGCTCGTAGACTAACCCGCTCCGCTCTCGAAGCTGCTTTCCACATGCTGTCTAATGCACAACAACGACCAATAGCAGCGAATTTCATATTCAGACTTACGCTCCCATATCTGACCCTTGATGGATTGCGAGATCAACTTAAGACGATCCTGGCTCGCGGAGTTGATGAGGACCTCGATTGCTGGGACACGCCATTCATTCATTTAGGCGGAGCTGGTACTCATTATCCCAGGAGAGATCATCTGGGCAATATCACTCCTATTCCGAATGCATGGAACATACGCTCCATTGGACCCTTCCCTAAGAGCTGGGTACGGGCAGAGAACGCCGTAGATCCCACGCTCAGTCACGACATCACTGTTGACCTTACCGGATACGAAGGCGAATGGTTTGATTCTCACGACGTAGAAGGATATCTAGAAGAGAACCACGGTTGCCGCATCAACCCACAGAGTTCCTTCGCAGAAGTTTTCGTCGACGCAGACGAACCTCTCAGTACAGAAGACTCGAGCAGCAGCCTGCCCGTTTCCGGCAGCGCCGACATGAATTTGGCATCGAACACAGCGAATTCCACAAGCCCCAGCCTGAGCAACGGGGGCAGCACTCTAGATTCAACATCGGCGAACAGCACGCCATCCCAGACCAACCTCGACATTCTCAGCCAGGAAACGTACGGATTGGACATGAGAATGGGCTTGCCGAATGGCACTCTCAAGCTGGGTGGAATGGACGTCTCGATCGCGTTCGACCAGCCTTTGGGTCTCGATCTTGCCCCGATGTTCAACAATGGCAATACCAATAACGCCACAGACGGTTTGCGATTCGGCAGTGTCCAGAATGATTCATCGTTATCCCACACACCGATCGCTAAGAAGAAACGCAAGCAAACTGCGCTGATCGATGTATCGAAGCTTGTCAATGGTAGGTCTTCACTATTGCCGGCACCATACGTGCCACTCATTCGGGGATGGATCAAAGCTAACATGGGGCTGGCAGAACTCATCAAACATGCGATTTGTCTGGGACGGACGCCAGGTTTTAGGAGGAAGGATGTCGATGCTGCATTCAAAGCATCCCTCATTCGTGCTTTTTGATTGTGCCACTTTGCTAGCTGGCTAACTGTAATGGCGTATTGGCATCGGTTGTTCATTATCTGGCGGCTGTATCTACCCAGGTTATGTATGGATTGGCTACTTAAGGAATGGGAGGATCACTACGATATAGCCCCCAAGGTGTCGGAAACAGATTCATTCATCTACGAAAATGATGATAGATGCACTGATATACAGTATAAACACTCAACTTCATTGCTCTGGATTTGCATTTGTGAGTCATGCGAGCCGTTAACCGGCAATGCTCGCGACTTTCCCAACCAAATTTCGTACAAGTACGATAATACAAAGACTTCACGAATGCAGAAAAGTCACCTAGGTATTGTTACATCTGCAACAATAGTACCATTATTCAAGTGTATAGTTGCTTCAATAAAGAAAGTCAACGAAGGCAGGCTCGACGCTGACAAACGAGGGCGAGGCTAGCGGGCTTGGCACCATTAGCCGAACGGACGGTATGGCTTCTCGCCGGGTTGCTTGTCCCCATGCCCATTACACCTACCAGCAGACCCCACAAGTAACCATCGTGAAGGCGACAGAGCAGCAGTCGCACAAGCGCAACCATAGCTTACAATTCGCGCAGGGCCATTACAACTTCAACTTACGAGTGCAAGGCCAGAGAACCGCCTCTGCTGCGCACTACGTCCGAAGCTACAAGCTACCTTGCTCCGCTACCTTTCTCTCACAACCAGCGAATAGCTTCCATCTCAGACCGACTTTATCGCGCGCCGGGCAGCACTTCAAATCTGTTCGGTTTCTCTACAACTCTCTACCGTCTTCCTCTACTCCCGTTTGCCACCAGTCTTCTCCGGAGTCATCATGTCGAACCAGGTCGTGGTTAGTAGTAATTCCCTGGGGCTCACACGAGGTCCATGGTTGGTGAAAGTATGAAGGCGAGCGTTGGCTGACAGCTAAACAACAGGGCAATGTATACGAGCAGATCATCCAAAAGGTGATCCAGTCGTCGCAGAATGACTTTGAGGAGTTTGGCGTCGATGTTACGACTCTGGAAGAGATGAAGCAGGTACGTTGAACGGCAACCCGGCCTTTTGGGGGCGGAAGAGTGCGCCTTGCTTGCATCGCATCGTATCGCATCGCATCGCATCGTCAAGTTCCACTTGTCATTGCAAGAGCAGCACCATCTCCATCCATCTTCATCTCTCTGTCTCCTTCTTTATTGGCATTGTCCATTTCCGCATCTATTTCATCGTTGGCAATCCCCTACATTTGTTGCGCGCATCAAGATCCTCGCAATGTAATCTGTTGGGTGAGTGGTGGTAGCCTGGGGGGTGTGTGGTTGAGGCTGGCCGAAAGCGGGGCTGAGTAGCCGGGTCGCGGTCGTCTTTCGCAGGTCAAGATCAGAGATCGGGGGGCGGCGAAGGGAGTGCGGCACCTCCAGTATTTGGATGAACTCTTTATACCCCCTGCCCTGGGCCACCTCGCCGCCAAGCCCCGTCCATCCTTTCTGCTTCCGGGCTAGCCTCCTTTTTCTTCCCCTACCTACCACCACCATTCACCACCACCATTATCTTGATATATCGTCATGTGACATCCTTGCGTCGTATTCCCATTCCCATTCTTCGTTCTTTTTCTTTCAGTCTTCTCAAGATGAGGAAAGTCTGAAGTACTAACCACTTTATTTAGGGATGGCAAGATAAGCTCACCAACCTCAAAATCGCCTCCTTCCCATGGGACCCACAGCCAGAACCCCCGCGTCAGCCGCCTACAGTACCATCCAATGTCAAGCAGGATGCTGACCATTCACCTGCCGTGGACCATGCCAACTTCCCCAATGTTGCTGTCAAGACCGAAAGAGGCTACGAACCCCCAGTCTCGGCATACCCACAACAACCGCAGAACGGCTATCAAGGAGGTTTCAACGGAGATGTCGCAGCGCAAAGGGCGCAACAGCTCATTGCTCAACGTCTCGGCCAGGTACCGCAAAATATGCAGATGCCTATGCATCCTCAGCAGCAGCAGCAACCGCAGCAGCAGCCACGGGTGATGCCAGGCCAAAACACAGCGCAGCAGATCCCACCACAGCAGCAACGCCAACCTGGCCAAGCCTATCCTCCACAGACAGATGGTGCAGACGATGGTATCGCAGACTGGAAAGCGTTCCTTGCGGCAAGGGAGGCTGCCGGCGAAGAAGGCCGCATCGCCGCTGACCAGCTGATGCGCACTCGGGTGGAGGCCATGATGGCCGATCAAGACAACGGCTTGGGCATGCCGCTCCGTGAGATGCCAAAGGGAAAGAAGCGTAAGGCTATCAACCGGGTGCGCCAGTCACAACAAATTGAGGCTTCGTCATCTAGTTCTGCGACCGTTCCACGTGTCGCTCCTTTCGATGGCGAGGACGATGTCAAGTCGGAGGAAGAGAACCCTGAAGATGCAATCAACTCTGATCTTGACGATCCAGAGGATGATCTGGACGGCGCCGACGGAAGTGATGATGAGATGGTCGACTATATGCTCTGTACCTACGACAAGGTGCAGCGTGTCAAGAACAAGTGGAAGTGCATTCTCAAGGACGGTATCTTGACCACGAACAAGAAGGAGTAAGTTCACTGTATCAGCGGCATCTCAAATCTGATAATTAACATATCCTAGGTTCTTGTTCCACAAAGCAAACGGCGAATTCGAGTGGTAAACAATCCCACATTGAACTCCTGCCAACTACTTCCTCGTCCTTAAACTACTACAACTTGTACCATACAAAATCATTTTCTCGGCTATTCCAGCATGACCATGCTTGCCTCCTCGACTTTCTCGGCCTGGCCACTCAAACCTCGATTTCTAAATTGGATATCTCGAGCGCTCTCTAGCGCCTTAACCACTCATCATGACCACAATCTCATCAAATCACGCACTGCAGAGATCACGCAAGAAGTAGGCACAGAGCTGCTATACTTCCCTGCCATCCCACGCATCTATCCTACTTGTTTCCGGCGTCACTCAAATCTCTTTGCACCAAAGAAGTGGGGACAATGGCAAACTTTGGTCTTGCTTCGTCTGGGAATGCTAGTGTTCATCACCTCTGTTTAGGAGTCCACTATGGGATTTGACGCCTTTTCTTTCCCCACTCCTGAGCAGGTGCCTCTACCAAATCCGCCCGTCTTCGAGCTTTCTTAACCTTTTTTCATGCTTGACGACATCTCACCCTGGCATGCTACTCCCTGCTACACCTAGACGAAATTATATGCTCCATTTTACTTTCAACAACACTTTCCCCCTCAAGGATTGGGCTTCCTGGCGTTGTTCTTCCCCCTCCCTTTTCCAAGTGGCGAAGGCCAGGCAAAAGAAGAGTTTTTCTTTTCTCTCTACAGCGAATCCTGCGAAGTAGTAGTAGTAGCCTTTGGGCGCAGGACAGAATACAAATTCAAAGATAAAGATTAAATACACTTGTTTTGTGAAGCGCTCAGATGTGATGTTATCTTGATGTGTGAACATGTATGTGTGAATGTGCATGAGCAGGAAGTCATCAGTGGGACAGCACGGTAATTCGTATGTATAGGATTAACCTTGATGAGCATTTGATAATTGGTAATCGTATCGAAGAGTCCACACGAGCCAGAGAACATGTCTCGCATTGGCTCTCTCCTTCCTTTGCTTGTCCTCCTGGTGCGGCCGTAGTAGACATGCATATTCCGATCCCATTGACTGATTGATTCCCCGCCTTAACCGGACTCCTCGCTAAAAATCGTACAAATAATAACACAATGGAATTCTCGTCCTAGGCGGATAAGACTAGATCTCTTTACTTTCCGCCAAGTTCGCTTTCGAGATGCTGTTGTGGGGATATGTGGTTAGCCATTGTACGCATGAATTGGGTGGAAAGGGAAGGCTTACACTCCATTCAGGCACCTCCTTGATGCGGCGCCACATCTCGCGCTCGAGGCGGCCGGCGGCCTTGACGTAGACGCTGCCCTCGCCGTTGTACTTCTTGCAGTTGGTGAAGACGAGCTGGGCGTCGTGGATGAACTCTTCGACCGTGGGGTACTTGTCGTTGTTGAGTTTCTGTGAAGTGGAGTTAGTTTCGACGGTTTCTGTATATGGTGAATGGGTTGGTGGATATGGGGTGGATACGTACCTCTTCCATGGTCGCAAGGTCCATCGGGCTGGTGATGACTTCGTAGTAATCCAGAACCTCGTCCTTGTTGACTGGTTGCTGGAACGGCCATGCATTGCTGTTGTTCTGCAGGTGAGTGAGGAGGTGCAAGAGTGGAAGATGGTTGGGTCCGTGGCGGGGTGCCCGAGCCATTTCGTCCATGTCAGGGCTCCAGCCCGATGCCTTGATGGCTGGGATAGTCAAGGGATCGATCTTGGTCACTCCGTTCTTCCACTGCGCGGGAGGCTGGTGGACTACAAAGGACTTTGAGACGGATCGAATCTTTGCGTTGGCGCATTCCTTTTGCTTAAGAAGCATGCGCCCAGACTCGAGGTAGCGGATCTTGGGCACCATTGAACACTGCATGATGGTTCCTCCTTCGTAATCCTTGATGTATCCCATCCAGCGCGATTTCTCGAGCGTGATCTCCTTGGTGAACCCTTGTTTCTTAAAGTAACCGATAGCATAGTTGTCTGCGTATGTGAGGAAATGCATAACATCAGAAGTTGCCTTGACATAGTCCTTCAAGTGAGACATAAGATGCGCTCCATAACCCTTGACCTGTTGGTCAGAGGATATGGCGCAGAAGACGATCTCGGCGAATTGGCGGCCACGGAAAGGTCGATATGTTATACCACTACAGAAGTCAGTGTCTGTGAGCCCTTTTGGGGGTGTAGTGATAGTGATACGCACCCAACAACTTCCAACGGCTTCTTCACGATGGCTATGCTCATGTGCGTGCGATCATAAACAAGACGGGCAATGTAGTCCTTTGGCATCTTAGGCAACTGTTTCTGGAAGATACATTTCAAGCCCGTGAGAATGATGGTGCTGTCCCTGCGGCCATCGTTGTTGACTACGCGAAACTCGATCTCTCCTTCCCTTTCTTCGATGACGGCAGGCTTCTCTGGGAAGGGAACTATCCGTTTTGCTGGAGGACGCGCCGGTTTCTCCTCTTCGGAGGGGCTCTCGCTCGATTGCTTTACGCGCTTTGGCGGCGAGCCAGGGTCGAGGGGTTGCGTGGCCTTGCGCTTTACTAGAGACAGAGACAACTGGTTAGCACGATACACCTCTATGAGCGGTATTTCCGGAGACGAAGACAAAGAAGGAGCAGGGGACGAGAACGGCGACAGAGTTTCTGGCGAGTCGGGGTAACCAAGTATCTTGCGGAGGTCATCCATCGCGAGATGAGGTTGACGAGGTTGATCGCGCATTCGCTGCGCGGGGTGGAGGGTGGGAAGGTAACAAAATCAAATCCAGACTTACCATCTTCACTTTGCGAAGGAACCATGCTGTTTGCTCTTGACAATTTCTGCCTCTTCACCTTCACTTACTTTGGTCTGTATGACATGAAGTCGGAGGTGGGCCTACAGGGCTGGTACAGCTGGCCAATCGGGAAATCTCCGGGCCGGCGCGTTGCAGCTTGAGGACACCAAAGCGTTCGCGACCTCGAGTTGTCGCAGCAGAGCAGTGCAGTGCAGCGCAATTCCACTTCTATCCATTGCCCTCGAAACATTCATGTCGTCGCCACTTTTTGATGTTTGGGAGGCTGCTTCTGCCTCGCCATACCAGCCAACCGTCGGCAAAAACTCTCAATTCCTCATTGGCTCCGTCCTGCTGTTTGCTGGTGCGTACCCCATGAGCTACTTGATGGACTGTAGAGCTCCGCTAATGTCTTTCAGCCTTCATTCTAGCCGGCGTCTTTGGACTCAGTACGTTCGACACCGAGATACGTCAGCTTCCAACATCATTAACCTCAGTAGACCGATCCTTCGTAAACCTCTCCCTGCTCGGCGTTCCAGCTTCCTTAGCTTTCGGGTACGTACATCATAGTTGGTTGGCAGGGAGTAGATGTGATGAAGTGCTCATACAAGTACAGATTCGGTGCAGTCTATATGATCTGTGCAGTCGGAGTCTACGTTTAAAATCTTACTTTTCATACTCCAAGGCGTTCGGGACCTAGTGTAGTCTACACGGAATGATATAAGCGTTCAAGACATCGAGATACCATCAAACCTCCATTTCCTCCTCTCTTACCAGCCATCTCCTACAATCTAGCACTATCAACTCTGTGAAACAAAGGCAGCCGCCATCATGGACGAAGAAGAAGAACGTCCCGTTCTCACAGCTGTCTCAAGCTCCGCAAGGCAGTTGTACTTGTTGCTCCGGTGCATCAATTTCTCCGACAAGGTGCATGTACAAATAACATCAAGCGGTCTCAAATTCTTCGTAGATGAGGCTAGTGTTATGGAAGGTAATTCGCCCCGCGCACATTATCAGGGAGAGGCTAAAGCTCATAAATCATGCAGGCTCTGCCTTCCTTGATAAATCCCTTTTCACCACCTATACATTTCATCCTCCTCCTCTGCCAGTACAAGAACAAAACGATTCCGATTCCGAGAACGAATTAGATCCTCCAGACCCAAACCCCGTCTTCCAAATCTCTCTACCCTCTCTCCTCGAAACACTCCAGATATTAGGTCTTACGGATCCCAATAACAATAAGCCTCCATGGGCCAGGGATAATCCCTCGTCTACGGCATTCAGCAACAATGTACTAGGCATGAATAACATGTGTCGAATCTCATATACCGGCTTTGGTGCCCCGCTCTCTATCATCCTGACCGAGTCCACTATCCGAACAACTTGTGACTTGACCACGTATGAACCCGAGTTCGCCGATGAAATACCATTCGATCGACAAAGCCTCGCTTTCAAAACGATCATGCGCGGATCCTGGCTTTCAGACGCGATATCCGAGCTTGCGTCCACATCACCCGAACGACTTTCCCTCGTCGCAAAAATGAACAAGGGGAAACCATTTTTCGCACTCGCTGCCTCTGGTGATCTTGGGTCTGCCAGTGTAGCATTCAACAACAACCCTACTAGCTCAACCCGCGCTCCGCCCCCTACACATCGCGGTGCGTCGCCAGATGCGGACGCTTCCACTCCGGCCAATGTCTTAGAAACGTTCCAGCTGAGCGACCCTGACACCCCGCTGCGATGCACATATAAGTTCGCATTGATTCAGAAAGCGGCAAGAGCGATGAGCATTGCCACTAAGGTCAGCGTGAGGACTGACATACAAGGTGTATTGAGCTTGCAGTTCATGATAGAGACTGAAGGGGCGAAGGTGAGCTTTGTTGACTTTCGATTCGTCCCGTTGGTAGAAGACGATGAGGGAGAAGGCGATACGTATCTAGCGAATGATAACGAGGAAGATGAGGATGCAAACGGCGTGGACAGTGCAACGGAGGATGAAAGCTAGGTGCTGGTGGAATATCTGATCAGCATGCATGTATTTATTGATTTAGCTTCTCAAGTAGAAATTGTCGATACTTGATGCATCCACGTCCAAGTGACAACCAATCTGCAAACACCATGAGAAGGTTGATATACACGGTAGAATTACCCATTGAATGCGGGACAGCCATCAAAGCGGCCAACACATTGCGGCTAAGGAGCAATGATGCTCTGCTGGTCCCCTCCTTCATGCCTTCAACAATAAATAATAGATAAACGTAGAAATGTTTAAGCATGCGTCGCCCCTCTTCGATCTCTGTGGCTTCACGATCCGCCCCGTAAGGGCGTCATTGCCTGTTCGGTCTTCTCTGTAAGGCACTCAAAGGGATCAAGAATTATATATAGAACGAACGCATTCTATCAGTATGAGTTGAGTACAATGTAGCGACGCACCGGGAAATTCAAGCTAATGTTCACTTATTAGCTCAAGAAAAACGGCTAGGCAAGCTACATCAGGAAAGATTGATAGATGATCAGTTAATTAGTTAGGTAGGCATCTATATACATACATACTAAATGGGTGGCAGACACATTGTTTTTCAAATATTAGAAAAAGAATAAAATGAAATGACTCTCTGTTGACACACATAGATGAAATAAATAGACATAGGAGACGAAGTAACTCTACTGAGCAAAAAAAAAGGATCAATCCCAGCTTGTCCAAACATACATGTCCTCCTCCTCTAGAAAGAAGAAGGTGTGAGTGGTTCGTCTCATCTCATCTCAAACCCAAGACCAAAAAAAAGTGCAAAAAAAGAAGTGTCGCTTCTGTGGATCGAACACAGTACCTCCAGATGTTCAGTAGAAACCGAAGTTTGCAGCTGTTGATGGCTGATTGCTTCAGTCTGGTGTTATTGTTAGTTGATGGTTCGAATGAGTAATTTGTTGTTGAGTGGTACTAACCTGGCGCTCTCCCAAGTGAGCTAAAGCGACTGTTGAGTCAACTTGATTGATGATGAGTTTGAAAATATTTGGGTATATGTACCCCTCCAATTATTGAGGTAGTGTGCCCCGCTGTTGGTTCGTGGGTGGGGTTCGGTGGTATGGGAGCCAATGGTGGGGCGAACTGTTACCTCGAGCTACCGCCTAATGTAATCGCATGATTTACATCTGGAAATACTACAATCTTCCTGTGGTATCTGCTACTTCTTACATAATATCTTGGATCTAGGTTGCCATATCTAATTCTGCTTGTTCGCTCTCAATCCAACCATTTTGAGGGACATGGTGGCAGATAAAGGATTGTTGTCTCGGCCTTTTAAATGTCTACACCCAAGGACCAGCTTCCAGGAAGGGGCATGTATGTATGCTTGATTACGATCAAAAATATTCATTCATTAGTAAAGTGATTAGTAGAGCTATTCATCACAGCTCAGAATGCGGTATATTAGCTTTGGTCGTCCGTCTTCAACTCCGGAGGGCGACCCAGCCAGCTTTTGCGGACCGGACTGTCCGTAGTTTCTGGTAGGTTATCACTACTCGTGCTGTCCTCATCTCTCTCTTCCTGCTCTTTTGTAGCACTCTCCTCCTGACGCCGTTGTTCGCGAAGCTGTTCTCGATCCGGATCCTCCTCGCGCCTGTTCTTCTCCCGCCAACTCGCAAGTTCATCTTCCTCCGTCTTGAAATGCATCCACACCTCGTCCCCGGGACTGTAGAAACCATGTGCCTTCTGCCGCTTCAACTTTCTTTGCACTTTTGCTGCCATGCGTGTCCTAAATTCATTAGGGACTTTGAGCTTTGCGGCGATATCCTCAGTATCGGGTCTATGCAGGTTTGGAAGTTCGTCTAGCAATGGAGTCTGGAGAAGCTCTTCGTCCGTTAAGCATCGTTGGATGATGGATTTCCCGGCGCCCTCTGTAACGTCCCGAAGAAACTCGAGAGATGCACTACAAGCCGGGTGTTATCCCAGTATCCAGTATACAACTCTTTTTTGAACTACGCACCTGATGTTCAGATCGATTGCCCTCTGAGGGTGCACTGTCGCCTTCAGGAAGAAGGAGCACACATGAGGAAATAGTATTGTGAAATCTGACTGTGAAAGGTGTATTGAACCTCTCACTGTGCACAAGAACGCTGGTGCTCCCTGCTCTCGTGTTTCCTCCATTAGAGATGTAACAGCATCCAAGTTCTTTTGCCAATACATGAATGCCTCTGAGTTTATGCCTAGTAAAGGAAGATGAATTCTATGTCGTGGGTCATCTTTAGGCGGCTTGATCGGTGCTCTGCGGAGTTGTCAGAAAAGACTCATACCATAGCTTTCGTTTGACTCACCCCCATATATCGTAAATGATTCCCGCTTGAACATAAGAAAATCGATCGGCGTTTCTTAACAGCTCAACAATGGTAGCAGCACCGAAAGAGTGTCCCGCAACCGTGACTCTGTCTACGTGAAACCTTTTCGTCCACATTGACCAATCCACTCCGGCTAACCCTCTTGAGCTTCCGCCAATATATCCTTCTCGTCTTAGGTTTCGGCGCTCTATTTCGGCGCCTCCACCATTGCGTATATCGCAGAGCACTTTGTAGGCCTCTTCGATTTCTGCAAGTCGAAGTTCAATCTGGGCGCTTCTGAGTTCGCCATCAACACCCTTCTCGTTCTTTGGGCTCGTATCAAACGGGTTGTCTAGACTAATGTCAGGGGTGGCAATATAAATCGATACAATCGGGATATTGACCTTTGGGAAATACGTAATCCTACACAAATTAACATATGATTCATTAGGATGGGAACAGCCAGCTTACAATTCTGTCATAACCTTTCCTGATTTCCTCATGGGTATGATCGACATTTCCCTGAGCTTCCTGCTTTTGAGAGCCCTCTCCGCCCTCTTTTGGGTGATTAACAAAAGTCCGTGGACCCGAACCGTCTCGATGCTCCAAAGCGCAGACGACGAACCCATAGCTGGCAAACTCGGCGCACATTGTTGAATATGCTGTCCTCGTTCCTCCTAGCCCATGGCTAAAGAACAAGAGCGGAAATGTTGGCTCTTCAGAACCACCGGGTGGTGGTGGACCCTGCTTGTTCTTTATCTTATGGCCATTCTTCTTCGAATTGCCCATAGGCGGCCAGTGGGTTGCGACGGGTGAATTGCGAAAGGCGCGTAACTTTGTAAGCCCAGTGGTTGCGCCAAAGTAAGCCACGGCCACGGGTCCTGGAATACCAGCAAACTTTCCATATCCCTTCGCAACTTCGATCCTGGGTCTTGGGAGCCATGTTTCGCGAGACCAATTCCTCCTGCCACCAGGATCCTTCCCAGAGCCGGATCCAATCGCTGCAGGATAGTACAACGTAAACAACACCGTTTCGATTTTCAATAGATGTTTTCCGTCGCGCGTGATGTGTGAGAAGGTTCGCGGATTTTCTACTGGAACTTCAATGTCCATGGATCCAACACTGTATGGCCCAGAATAGGAAGGCAAATGTGCTTGTAGGAAACCAAGCTTGTCTCGTAAGCTTGTTGGCGGTCTTGATCTGGGCTTTTTGGCGCGTGGGATCTTTCCAGTGCCGCCAATTGCACTGTTCGTCCTACCCAGCTCCTCGCTCTTCCTCCCAGTTATCTGGGCTGGAAGATGCATTTTCGGGTATGGTACAAAGGAACATGCACTGGACAGAGAAGGGTGCAGAAGCTGGAGTAACTAGGGAGAGGAAAAGGTATATGTACAAGCGCAAGGTGCTACTGCGCCATGGTAATCAGCGCTAAGGTTGAATTGATGTACTTTTAGCAAACATTTGATGCAAGACAGACTCGAGCTATTGAAAAAGTTCAATGGCTATCGATACACGGAGGAGCCACCGGCATCTCCGGTCTGTACCGATCTGGCGCTACTTGGTAGATGTTGATGTTTGGTTGTTGTACGAGTATCTTGAGATGTACCATGACATCATTAAGGGGCAGAGAGTCTCTATGCTCAAACTGGAATGGCGGTGTTCAGGGTAATCAACCGGAACCGACTAAGCGCTCACACAAGCGCACACGCACACACATCAAAATGACTCAAATATAAGACACTTCTAGGCTAAAGAGATTAATCTGCCCCGTCAGTTGTTTTAATATGAATATAGTTTATTCAATTCTCAAAATTAACATCAATCGACTGAACAAGTCGCTTTAGCTCACTTGGGAGAGCGCCAGGTTAGTACCCGACAAACCCATTACAGCATCTCGAACATTCACTAACATACAAATCAGACTGAAGCAATCAGCATTAGCTGCAAACTTCGGTTTCTACTGAACATCTGGAGGTACTGTGTTCGATCCACAGAAGCGACACTTCTTTTTTTGCACTTTTTTTTGGTACATCTAGCTATTTTTCTTGGATCAGGAAGCGAGGAAATGGTCGACGGGTCGGCCAATCAGGGAGCGAGTAGATATGAGTTCAGGAAGGCCATTCAGTTGGCTGCTGTTAATTGATACCAATTTTTGTAGTACACTTTCCAGGTCTTGTCGTGTGTGACTATCATTCGTTCTGCGTGATCTATTGGCACGATGTGTTCAAGCTTGATGTAATTCATGTGGAATGATTCTTGGATTCAATTGATGTGCAATTTTCTTTCTTGCTAGAGTTAATGATTCGAGAAGAGGTCTCAGCAATTTCCACTCTCTTAGCATTGAGTCTATCGAGCGTTTTATTTTTGTACATTACAATGTAATCCATGAATGGTATCAATAATTGTTGATAACGGCTGTCCGGAGTTGTCACTGAGTGGTTGGATCTTGTAATCGATTAGAAAGTGGGCCGTGCGCATATTTTTGTACATCGATCTGCTGCGGTCCTCGCTTGCGCCAGTTCAAGCCCGCGACGCTCACCTTGAAACCGGAGCATTGGGACTTATACAGCAGGCATGGTATGATTTGAGTCGTCAATTGAGATACCTGACCTCAACTAATGATCCACTAGGCTCCTACAGTAACCAAGAAGCGCACTACAGCGCGCGCAAAAGTAGCTCGAGTCCCCAAGCCTACAACAACCAGTGCTGCCACATCCGCAAGCGCAGCAGGAAGCGGCGTCTTCGCCTCGAAAACCGACAGACGCGCCCACAAGCACTCCTCGTTCGTCTCCAAGATCGAGAAGAACTCATCCAAGACGTTAAAGCGACGGCGGCCGAACAAGAAACTGGTCGCGACGCTCGAATCCCTCGCAGATGCTCTCCCGGGTCTTGAGGATGGTGAAGGCGACAGGGACAACGATAGTGGTGATATGGTGATTGGACAAGCGAAGATCCAGAAGCGGAGGAATCTCAAGAGCTTGAAGAGTCGACCGGGCGCAATGAAACGGAAAGAGAAGCTGGAAAGAATGGAGAGGGAGCGGTTCAATGCAAATTTAGCGCAGATGGCTGGCAAGAACGAGAATACCACATCTATTGCAGATCGGTGGGCAGCTTTGAAGAGCCACGTGCAAAGCACTGTGGAGACCAAGGCCGAATTTGCGGAGAAGAAGGGTTGAAAGTTCAAAGATGCCAGAAACGAAAATTCACGGTCGACCACAGAAGGTGCTGCTGGACATATGAATGCATAAACCTTACCGACAATGTGGTCATGCAAGCAGAGCTTTTCCGTCTTCTCTAGAGGCATGGTGGATGTGCAAAACCAGCAATGGGAGACTCGGACGGGATTCTACAACGGCTCGGCAGCCTGCGACTATGATATTCGATGCCAGTAGGCTCTCAATGTCAATCAGTCTTGTAATCCGAAAGCGAGGGCTCGCTAGCTCTAACGGACAAGCGTTCGAGGATTGGATAGTGCAGGGAAAGGCCCATGTATGCATTTGACTAGCCAATTTCTTGATACGGCTGCGTCATATGTGAACATCTCAGCCGTCTATTCGCCAGCAAACGAGCTGAATTAGTGTCCATAGATCAAGAAAATGAACATTAGACTACAGTGCTGTCACGGCCATTCTTCAATCGCCCCTTTCTGAAGTTGAGACACAAATCGTCTATTTAGCTAACTCCCGCTCCAACGCATCCGCCATGTCACCCAGAGTATCGAACTTCCAATCGTAAATCTCCTCCGCTCTATTCCCCATAACCGCCCCGGGCCTCACAATCCAGCTAGACTTGATACCCTTTGCCTTTGCCGGGTGGTGGTCATGAAACTGACTTTGCGCCGTCTGGATGATCTCATCCTTCGCGACACCAAAACGTTCCCCGACCGCCTTAATCATATAGTCGAAGTTGGCGAGGTCGGGCTTGTACGACCCGACGTCCTGTGCAGTGATAATGAGGTCAAACGGCGTGCCTTGGAGCGGCCCTGTGTTCGACTTGCTGAACGATTCACGGTCCACGTTGGAGAGCACCACGAGCTTGTAGTGCTTGGACAAGCGGCGCAGCGCGTTGACCGTGTCCGGGAATGCGGGCCATGTGCCAACGGAGTCGCCGAAGTCCTTGGATTGAGACTCTGGTGGTGTGGGAAATCCTAGCTTGGATGCGACTTTTGGGTGGATGGCTGTGAGGAGCTTGTCGTAGGGCATATCTGGCGTCTCGGCTTGCTGTGTGTGTTCGAATTCATGGTAGATCTCTAGAAGCTGTTGCTTCGAAATGTCCTGGCGATTGTTTGATTGGAGTAGTGGTTGCAGGCCATTGACTACGCCGGTTTCCCAATCTATCAGAGTTCCATAGACGTCGAAGCATAGTAGGCGATAATTGGTAAGGGAGCCCATGGTTGATTAAAGAATTGACTGAAAGGACCAAATGAGTGTAGTACTCTGAGGAGATAGAGACTTGATTGTTTTTTTCCATGTACCGTGCACAAAAGCCGATGACAAAGTTCAGTTGCTTGTTATCTGTTTCAAACGGATATTGCATACCCCGCCTCCGATCGCGTGGCTCCTAGGGATGTCATTGTAAGTGGAGAAGCGGGTTCCAGTCGTACCAGTCTAAAACGGGTATCTTTCCGATCTACGATGATAACACAAACAAACAATGAATAGATGAAACTAAAGGTACGCTTGCGTTTCATAGGAATACTTCAAATCTAATACTTCAATCTTGACAAGACTGACCAGTTCGCGTGACCAGCGTATTAATTACCTGCTTCCAGTCCATTTGTAATGTCTTTGACAGCAACGTGCACGAGCTGAATTACCAAACTTATAGTCTGCGAAGATGCTCCAATTTTAATGTAGAGGGTAGTTAAAAGAAGGCGGTTTCTTTCAGACGAATGGCGGAATGGAGGGCATATCGAGGGACGAAATATCAAGTGCCAATGTTGTCAACGACTAAAGTACATTGCTTCGGCCTGAATTTAGTCATATTGAAATCCTAGGTTCTAATTCAAGGGGCAATGGTTAGATCGACATTGCTTGGGCGGAAGAATGCATTCAGGGTAGAGTCGCACATCACAAGATTTTTGAAGTGTCAGGCCGGGGGCCTGTGGTAGTAATTACAATATGTAGGATGAGAGGCAGGAAGTATGGGTTCATAGAAGTCGTAAATGCTCGGAGCAGATGTATTATATACCAGTAAACCAGAAGAACACTCTAGACTGCCTTCACGTTGCGTTCGCTGATGTAGCGACGAGGGTGGAGATATAACGCTACATGCAGATAGCCACTGCAATATGAACAGGATCCTGGTCCGCTGGGCTGCCGAAGTGTGGGATCTTGCTGGAAATACCCCGATGGGAACGAATCATAGCCGTGAGATTTGTCTAAATGACAATATATGTCTGTCGTGGGCCATCATCGAGTTTCGTCATATCCTCAATCTCAGGAAACCAATAGCCGAAAAGTGACTCGGCGTCTTCCGGATCGTCATCCGTGCCATCCTTTTGACAATCATAGCATTCAAAGCGGCCAACTCGACGATACTTCTCCGGCTCGGACTTCGATCGCTTGAGCACCAAGCCAATGATAGATGATCGGAAAGTCATGCTAACTAGCACACAGACAAGTGCATCTCCAGACTTGATGTCATGATGCCCATGCGTAGGTGCCGTGTCCGGTCTGAATTCCACACTGACTGAATTCTTAACAAGCGAGTATTCATTTGTGGCATCGATGCGGAGCTCAGCCTCGGTCGCCATCGCTGCAGCAATGGTAACCGCTCCTCCCCTTGTAGGCGACCAAGCATGTCTGCCACCATCCTTGGCCGAGAAGCTGGCAGTGCAAGCGAGATCCATAGCCGTTGCATTATCAAAGAAGATCGGGGAACCCTCTATTGATGCCCAAGACCAGCTGGGTACACTATTATCAGGGCGATGGCAGATATTGCCGTCATTGGGATACCAGAGAAGGCCAAGGGTGCTGTACGTGTAGTGGCCAGCGACGTAACCGGATTGAATGATCCTGTTGAGTACTTTCGCTACTCCAACTATCGAAGATAATCTGTCCTCTTCATGTGTAAGTTTCCTGGCAGTGTGTTCGGTGACAATATAACTCCAGAGCTGCAACGCATCATCTCGGGCTTGGAAAAGTGCTTCAGTGGGCCCGTTGATAGATGTCGCGGCAAATTTTGAGACAAGTGAGTCTGCTCTATCGTCTCGAAGGGTTTCACTACTAGTCGATAGATCGCTTTCGCTAACGGCCTCGGATAACATGCGAGACAGTTCCTGCTTTACCGTGTTCGTGGCTCTCGAGTCGTACAAAGAATTGTCGATCCTTTCGCACTCACATTGGTATCCTTCCCTGCACTCCAATATCAGTTCGCTGTCAGTGAAATGCAGTACCCTGCGCGCAAGGAGGCTTTCGGCATACGCCCATGCCCGGGTGAGGAGAGGAGTGTGTAGATTGACATCCGGCGAAGTGTTGAAGGGAAGTTCCCAGTCATTCATATGTGCCTCCTCATCGAACGAAGCTTTGAAGCTGTAGTGTGTCGGCTGTTCCCGTACGTAAACATCCGAAACCCAACCTGTATTGTCCGTGACTGGTAATTTGTCTGTGGTTATCTTTGAACGGAACAGTCCATGATCACTATCGGAAGCGGAGGTGGCTGCCATCGTGAGGAACGAATTTCCGAAGATAGTGTCTAGGTTTTGAATCTCCCTGTCTCTGTCGGTGACATCGTCTTGCACGATGCAAAGAGCATCTATCCAGAGCCACCGGACTCCCAAATCTCGCGTGAGTGTGATGGCTTGTTGGAAGGTCCTTGGCAAAACTATCCACGGTATGTTCTTTTGGTAGGCTTGCAATGTTTTCGTAGTTGTCCTGGGTATCTTGGTACCTGTCCCATAGCAATATGATAGTGTGCAATATTCTCCCACTTCATAGGACTGATCTGACCCATTGGATTCGATGAGACATAGTCGGACTCCATCTGGGTCATCGCCAGACAAAACATCCAGTAGTCTCGTAGGAAGAGCAGTCGATGCATTCTGTTGACAACTAGAGTGGTGGGCAACACAGTTTTGTATCAAGCCACGTATTGTTGATATGCCTGTATTTTGCAGTGAATCGTTGGTTAAATGACGTCCAGTGCCTATTGCAGGAAAGGGAGATGGAGTAGCTTTTGATGGTCAGTCATTTCTTCCAAAGCAGGCATTCGTTATAAAGGCGTTCTTGAGCTATCCTTGCAAAGGGAAGGAATCGGTGTGGCAACTTACAAACATCCACAAAAAATTCCAGTTTAAGGTCCGGGTGAGCTTCGCTGTCATCATCACCATTCATTTCGTGTTGGTCCGGGATATCAAAATCAGGTTGGACCCAGCGCAACTCTACTGAAAGATGACGTTGAGCATTAGAGTCATTGAATGATTCGGCTTTGATTTTGACATCCCCCTGTTTCGCGCCAGCGAAGCGATGATGATGCAGCAGGATGCCTTGTAGCAATAGAGAACACGCGCGACATCCTTCATTTGCGGAGAGCTCTAAATCTGGTAGTGTGGTGCTTAACCATTGCGTCCGCTGTGGCGCATGACCATGGCCGAGATCAGACGCCCCGAGTCGATTCTGCAAACCTTTGCAATTCGGACATATTGAGACCATGATGGAAGAGAAGCCAGGGCTTGAACTCGCAAGGAAATAGACAGCGAAATCGGCGATGAGGCTGAGGTTGGGGCTGTCGCTGTCCCCAAGCCTAAGAAAGAGGGGTAGAGTATTTGGGTGGGCTTCGATTGAATAAAGTACTAATGTCGATAACGTAGCCGAAACCTTGGAGAAATGTACCTGAGTCTGTCGCGAAGCTACTGGTAGTGTAGCAAGCTGGTCTTTAAACGTACGGTAGCTTTGTCTGCAATCTAGATAGACTAAATAATCGTTCCGTGGACAGCCATGAAGTTTATAGGATACTATTCGGCGGGAGGAGAAGCGGCGGCAATAGGGCATTTCATGCTGACGAGTCTGCGTCAAGAGTTGCATCCAGACTTCTACGGCTTGCCTATCGCCGACAGATCTGCACTCCTAGGCATGAAACCTCCAATGAAGGGCCAACGCGGGCATGTGAGGTTGCGCCATCAGCCGGGTGGGGAGAGCGATGGCTGTTGGTGAGATTGACTGCTCCAACGGGTCGGAGCTGGTCTCTGGCCTGTGTTGTGGCACCGCGCTTCCAGGCGCTGCATGACTCTCAGGAAAGGGAGCTGGAATAATGCAGCGTTTGTGGCTTCTCCGTAGGGTTCTCGTTGGATTATTATGACATCGAACTCATAAAATAGGCACCCAAGGAGGGTTGATGACGAGCAGCAATTTAGCACAACGTGGTCATGACATGGCTGGCAAAGAGTACAAACAACGTATACTGTATGCAGACTATAGTTGATAGCTACATCTTTGTTGTAGAAAATTTGTAAAGTTTTAGAGAATTTATGCATACATTTATTCGCAAGGTGCATGTGTACATACAGCTCGTCGTGTGCTTCGCGTTTTCGCACGGGTATGGCGCCCTGCACAAGACTACCACCAAAGGACGAGGCGCAACCAGAACATACATCTTCATGCCCTACAGACCCACAGTCACGACAATCTCCCGTGCCACGCCTATCTTGTACCATACCGCCGGTACTTCTTTTCCTCCTCATCCCTCTGTTTACTGTTGGTACAGCAGGACTGTACTACCGATCAGCCTAACCTTATGGGGGACCTTCGCCACGTTCCACAAGCCTTGTCGCTGTCTTGCAATTCAATATCAGGGATGATGCCTCAAATGTGTACTACAGCTTAAGGTCAACCTCGATTTTGCCCATCTGGTGTGCAGAGACTGAGGGAGTTATCCATTCGATTGGTTGGAGCCAATGCTTACTACACTGAAACATTACCAATGCATTTGCCTCCAAATCAAGTAATGGTTACATCAGTAATCTGTAGCTAGATTTTGAGTCTACCAAACATGACCAGAATCCTTTTTGATGATGAAGGTCACAATACGACCACAGGATCCAGTAGAAGACATAGATTAGAAGAGAAACCCAAAGCATTCAAGCACGGATGACTAGGCTCAAGTGGCTTGCATGCGTGCTGTCATCGGTACATTGTCTTTTGTACATCTACTTCTCCACACAATATGAGATGGAATGATACTCAGGCTACGAGGTACGTTGGAGAACATGATGACGCTGATGAGCAGGCCTTAGCGACTTAAAGGTTTGACTATCTGTGCCACATCCTGACTTCTTATGGCATCTTGCGCGAAATTAGTTGATCACCGTGATGATGCTAACCTATTTGATGCATCAATGTATGGAAATTTGATCACAAGGCTATTTGATACCCACCAATTACAATAAGAGCATACACAAGTGGAGACAATGTGTACATCCCTTGCTCATCTTGAGGTACTTTGCTACAGAACAAAATGGTTACCAGTAAGCATAAGCAGCCTCCTTTGGTTTCCGTAATCGTTTGATGGAGGCCTGAAAATAGCCAGTTGATTGGCGCGGTAAAAGAACAGTTGTAGTCCACAATGGGGGCGCAGTACGGGAATGATGGATGTTTTCAGGCGGTCGGGGATGAAAAACAATTGGAATACTTCTTCTCTTATTTCTGGATTCAGAACATAATCACGACAGCAATACGAGCACGAATATTCACTCGATAGAGGAGTATTTAGGAATCTACTACTCAGAAAGGAATAGTGTTCATCACAAACAAGGCTTATCGATAAGGATGCCTCAATTAGCTGAGGTGGCATTGGGGGGCGACGGAGGACGACGGAGACTCAGGATACGAACAACCAGTTTCGCCTTTAAATATCGCGTCTTCATGAAATCTTAAACCCAACAAAAAGCAATATGGCTCCGCGCTCATTACTTGAATCATTACGCCAGCAAATTGCATCATGCGAAACTCAATTACAAGATCTGCGTCAACAACTTGCAGAAGCAGAACGTTCAGAGCGACAACGGCGAGCCCATGATCACCCGCAACACACCTCCAGCATTGATCCTCTCACACATGATATGAGCTATGGTATCCACGATGACTTCCGATCTGAAGTTTTCGCCGTTTTGTCCCATGTGGATGAGCAACGACCGGCGGCAAGCCGGTGGCCACTCGAGCCTACAGAGTACAAACGATACGGCCGTCAACTCATCATGCCTCAGATAGGCATTCAAGGTACTTTTTCCTGCCGTGCTTTCATGCACTCATTCTAGGATCGCCAGTCTAGACGTGTGAACCGATTATTGATCTGCACTCATTTTAGGCCAACTCCGTCTGAAGAATGCCTCTATCTTGATTGTTGGCGTTGGAGGCTTAGGCTGTCCCGCAGCCGCATATCTAGTTGGCGCAGGTATTGGTACGGTCGGATTAATAGATGGAGACGTTGTTGAGGAGTCCAATCTTCATCGACAGATTCTTCATTCCACTGCACGGGTGGGGATGACCAAAGTCGATAGTGCAAGAGTATATCTGAGCTCGTAAGTGTCTGTCCAATCTTTTGCCCACAAGCCTTCGATCAAAATTGCGTAGCAACTAATACATCCACCAGACTGAATCCCAATGTAAACATAATAGCACATGCATCACGGCTAACCCCAGAGACCGCGCTGCAGACAGTACGCCCTTATGATCTTGTTCTAGACTGCACAGACACACCAGCATCACGCTATCTAATCTCAGATACATGCGTGCTCCTGGGTAAACCACTTGTATCAGCCTCAGCTCTCCGGACCGATGGCCAACTAATGGTTCTGAACAACCCACCACTACCCCCGGGAGAAGTCCAAGGCGGTCCATGCTACCGATGCGTATTTCCCAAGCCTCCCCCACCGGAATCCGTAGTCTCGTGCGGCGATGGAGGCATCCTTGGTCCAGTGGTGGGAACGATGGGTGTACTGCAGGCTTTGGAAGCTATCAAAGTCTTGACGCGTGAGACTGATCAATCTCCTGTCCGCTCGTCCACGCCAGATCCTCCAAGTCTATTGATCTTCTCTGCTTACGCAAGCCCCATGTTCCGCAGCATCCGATTAAGGAACCGAAAAGCGAAATGTGCAGCTTGTTCTGCTCAGGCTAGCATAAGTGCGGAGGCAATCACTTCTGGCAGTCTGGACTATGTACAATTCTGCGGGGCGATCAATCCGGTAGATGCACTCAAAGCGAATGAACGTATATCTGTGGACAATTACGCCAAAGTTCGGTTAGAGGTCAACCCTTTTACCGGTACGGAGCCTAGCAAAGACAGCCATATTTTGGTCGATGTTCGCGAGAAAGTACAGTTCGACATCTGTAATCTTGAAGGCAGCGTCAACATCCCATTTTCTGTTGTGTCCAGTACCCAAGCTCCCATAACCAGCTCCCAGAATAATGGTGAGCAGACCCCCGCTGTGCCCGAATGGGTATCGGCGTTGCGGAGCCACCCTGAAAAACCAATCTTTATTGTATGTCGACTAGGCAATGATTCGCAGATTTCTGTGAAAAAGATGAAAGAGCTAGGCCTCGACAACGGAGGGCAGAGATGGATCGGTGACATCAAGGGAGGGCTGCGAGCTTGGAGAGAAAACATTGATCCTGAATTTCCAGATTATTGATATTCTATTCAACCTCTGGTACGCTTTCATCTGTTGGGCATCAATTTCACAATTTCTTAGGCCATGCACATAATAAATACGAAATCCTAGCACTTTCCACAATATCCACAACCATCTGCGGAGCATCTGGTGTAATGGCCACCTTCATCCGACTGCGAGTCGAACCCTTCGAGCCTGACTTACGGAGAAGTGCAAACTCCGCCGCCTTCATCTGAGTCGCTACCTTCGCCGGCCCATTTTTTGCGCCATTCCAACGGAAGGACGTGTGTCCCGCCTTCCTTTTGTTTGTGTATTTGAAGGAGGCCCTTCTCAGACGAGTAGATCTCGAGAGGTTCCCGGTGCTTGAGGGCAATCTCCGTGATCTTCTCAAGCAAAATGGATAGACGGTTCAATTCAGTCCGATGGTCTGTTTCCCACTTCTGCAGATCTTTCTCGACACTTTTCACATGTATGTCATCTTTTTGAAATGTTCCTGCGCCATCGTGATACGCAATAATGAAGTTGGGTATCTGTTTGATGTAGAGCAGGGGCATCACGTTGTCCACGTTGAATTCCCCCCACCGGTTTGACCGTGTTTTGAGATCGAAGATTGAGTCTTGTGGTACCACAGAGCCTCCCTCTCGGATGCGTAGACAAACACCATCTCGAGATGACACGTTTCCCACACTTGCACCTATGAATGCTCCAATCAGGGTCTCCTCGTCAGACTCGCTTGAGCTGGGTGTCAAGCCTGACCGAGGGTTTTGGACGTGCTCGTGATTAGTTACTGAAAACAATTGCCCGTCGCTCTCGAATCGTACGATGCAATTGTGCTGCCCAAATGTGTATTGGACGAGTCTTTGGTGGGACTCTGAGCCTTGAACATCTCTGGGCCATTCAGTGTAGGCTTCAGGAAACGTATGGCCAAAGCCACGCACATCTTCGATCAGCTCTTTTGGGTCGTTTTCTTTTCTTACGAAGAAAACAGTCTTCCCAACAGCCTCCACGAGAAATCTATACGGCTTGTCATCGTTACGGACGAAGCGAAGTAGATTTCCTAATGTGCTTCCGCATGCGAAAATATTCACAGCAGCGGTCTCGAAGTCTTTGTTGGTGCGGAAGATGGCCTGCACAGCGGGCTCCGTTGGATATGTAGGGTATCTCGCTGCATTGGGATCTCGGTAGTAAGTCCCTTTATCCTCTTCAAGTCTGCGTGGCTTATTGAGAGGCTTCCACAGAGGAGGTTCACCTATCAACGTAAATTACTGTGATATTGCAGTACGAAGATCACTCACCAGGTACCAGTATTGTGGGGTTTTCGCGATTCATCCAAGTGTACGACGCAACGTAGCTGCAGTTGCTGATAGTAGCATCCGGAGACGTAATGCTCGATGGTCTAGTCAGATCCGCGTTCTTATACTCTACCAGATGCTGCCCTAATGGATCTTTGCCAATATCCGGCTTCGGCGGTCCCTTAGGTTTGGAGTAATGGTGGCCTTTACCTCGAGGCGCCCACCTACCGCCTCTTGTGCCGTACGAAGAAGTACGGCCTCTTGAAGATAACATTTTGGTGCCGAGTGAATATAGAGGAAGTAAGTGGAAATGATGATGCTTGTTTATCCCTAGATTTCAGTGCCCAATATATAAAGATATGGCTTAAACTGCTGCCTAGTGCCCAAGGCTGAGGGGAATGATGTTTTCATCCCTTCGTGTGGCACGACAGCAAAATGATAGGCCTGAAGTGTTCATGAAGATATCAAAGGACGCGAGGCTGCCAAATAAAACGCTTCCCTGCATGAGGGACGTTCTGCGGCCTCCAATCAATTTGCATGGCCAGACCCCGTAGATAGTACCGGTAACTCCTTGTGCATTGTGCGACCTGCCCCAGGCATCCATGTAGAAGAAAGTATGAAATGTCTCGCCATCTGGACCTTTTCAAAGAGCCAGCAGAGGATTTCTTGATTATTTTGCCTCATTCTTTATTTTATCGATACATCAGCCGAAGCCCCAGTATGGCCAGTCAGGGAGACGCAGCAAAGCGAACAGCTGGTTTACAGAAGCTCTTTGGTCAAGTAATTCACGGCCATCGGGATCTTAAAACCGTGGCGGATGGCAATCGGTTTCTAGAGGCATTGTGCTCATATGAAGATGCTGCGAAATGCGTCGAACGCCTGGTCGCTGGCCCAAAAGGCTACGATGCAATTGGCGCAGCATTTCGTTTCTCTGGGGATTGCTCTTTCCTGAACGGCCCAGGAAGCCGAGCAATCCTCTATCTTTCCAATCCGGCTCTCAAACAACTGCACAGTGGAGGGTTCCTCCCCCGCATTCTGAAAGCGATCCTCGACCCTCCGACATACTGGAATACGATGATTGAAGCCCATCATACGGGCGTGCTCACTGCAGACGCTACCCAAGCGTTTGCATGGCTCCTACTGGAGCTTCTTTGCTCTCATAACGACGGCTTGCCAGATGCCCGTTCGGTTGCGGAGCAAGTCTCTCAAAGTGGATCGTTGGTTACCGCAGAAACTCCCGAAACGCGCGGCTTTGGGCACAAGATTCAACATGTTCTTCATAGTACTTCTTCGAATGACCTTGATGGCCCTGGAGGACGTCACGACAATGACTTCGCTGACTTCAAGAAAATCAAAATCCTGCCAACATCCGACGAATTTTTGAGTACCGAAAAACCATTTTACCGAACAGCTAATGCTATCGATGCTGAGGAACCTGGAAGTCGGCCATTTGTTCATCTCGACAATCAGTTCCGCCTCCTACGTGAGGATTTTATGGGTGAGTTACGACATGACTTCCATGTGGCTACTGGACAGAAGAAGGGTCGCAAGAAGCTTGTTCTTTCAAACTCGACATTGGAAGGAGTCAATTGTGGGACCGAGTCCAGGCCCAAGGCATGTTCTTTGAAATTTCGTTGCGAGGCAGACATTCCACAATTGCAAGCAATTGAAAAGATACATCTTCGTAAAGCGCATCTTTCGGCAAATAAGAACATTCTGAAGCATCTATCTTTCGGCTGCTTGATTAGCGAAGGAAAGGTGCTTGCTTTTGCCAACATCGATAGAGATGAGGACCAGCTAGCAAAGAACCCCCCTGTTCTAACTTTGAAGATTGCTAGTAGCTCCTCTTTCGATCAGATCTTGCTCACAAGTCGGCTGAAGCGAGACCTTCACTTCGTGTTGGTAGAGACAGCTGTCTTCGCATTTGAGCCCATCCTAAGACGCCTTCAAAATATGGAAACTATACCCCTGCACCAACAGATATTAGGAGAGCGCATGGAGGTTACCGAATCAATTTCTTCACCCCTGCTAGATGATATTGTCCGGATAATCCGCGAAAGCTGGGAGAATGACCTGCAGGATGTGCTTGGGACAACTAAACAAGTGCGGTTGGATGCTGCTCAGACCGAGTCACTACTTACCGGGCTACTAAATCAAGTGAGCCTTATACAAGGCCCTCCAGGTATTTCGAGAACTCCAATAAGTCCTTCTATACACTGATTACTTGTTCAGGGACAGGAAAATCGTTCATAGGCGCTTTGATCGCGAAGATATTGCATGACCGCACCGACGAGATTCTGCTTGTCTTGACGTACACAAACCATGCGCTCGATCAATTCATCGACGACCTCCAACGCATTGGTATACCTCCCAACTCAATTGTACGGCTCGGCCACCGCTCAAGTGCAGGAAACAAGGCATTGTCTCTCTCTGGTCAGAGTTCTGACTACCGCCGCAGCAGAGAGACATATGAATTGTTGGATAATGAGAAGAAAGCGGCGGACAGCTTCCGTGCTGCCATCACGAATAAAATGAACGGATTAAATAACGCTCCTATCAAGAGGAGTGAAGTCCTAGAGTTTCTAGAGTTCTCAGACGACTCGGAATTCTTCGATGCATTCACCATTCCGGAAGAAAATGGTGAGATGACCAAAGTAGGGAAGGGTGGCAAACGTATTGATCGTTTGTATCTCCTTGAACGATGGTTAGATGGAAAAGGTGCTGGGATTTTCCGAGAACAAGCTGAGATTGATTTTCCTACAGTATGGAATGTTGACCGTCGAGAACGGCCTGCTCTCTGGGACAAGTGGGTGACAGACCTTGTACAGGACCAAGCATCGGACCTTGGTCATCTCATGGCACGATACAATAAGTGCTGCGAGAGAATTGACCAGTTGTATAACTCGAAAGACGGTGATATTTTGAGCACCAAGCGCATCATTGCCGCCACCACCACTGGGGCAGCAAAATACGCAGAAGCAATCCAAAAAGCATCACCGGGTGTCATACTGGTTGAAGAGGCTGGAGAGATCCTTGAGAGTCACATCCTAACGGCCATGACGATCAAGACCAAACAGCTCATCTTGATCGGCGACCACCAACAGCTACGACCGAAAGTCAACAATTATGCCTTGACGATAGAGAAAGGAGATGGGTTCAATCTGAATGTGTCCCTTTTCGAGCGGTTAGTTGTTGCGGGTTTTCCTCACACCACGCTCAAACAGCAACACAGAATGCGCCCAGAGATATCAACACTGATCAGAAAATTGACATATCCAGACTTGAAAGATGCATCAACAACACTTGGCAGACCTGATTTGAGGGGGTTTCAGGACAATATAATGTTTCTTTCTCACGATCATCTCGAGCTCAATGCTGAGCGCATTGCCGACCGTCGGGATGAAGGAGCAAAGACCAGCAAAGAAAATCAATATGAGGCCGAAATGGTCTTGAAGTGCGTTCGCTATATTGCTCAGCAAGGATACGGCACGGATGATATCGTGGTTCTTACCCCTTACTTGGGTCAACTTTACCTGCTTATGAAACTACTCTCCACGGATAACGATCCTGTATTGAACGATTTGGATTCATTTGAGCTTACCCGTGCTGGTCTACTCACTTCAGCCGCCGCTGGCGTACAGAAGAGGCGGCTTAAGATATCCACAATAGGTAAGAACGCTTATCTAGCTGGGTTCCACCAGCCCAATTATTAACAAGCACCAGACAACTATCAAGGCGAGGAAAGCGACATTGTTATAGTCTCTTTGACCAGGAGCAATAAAAATGGCGGCATTGGATTCATGTACTCACCTCAAAGAGTCAATGTTCTTCTATCCCGGGCGAGGAATGCATTGATTATGATTGGAAATGCAGAGACGTTTGTGAAGAGCCGTAAAGGCCAAGAAGTATGGGTGCCATTGCTCGACCAACTGCGGAAGAACGGGCATGTGTATGATGGTTTTCCGGTGAGATGCGAGCAGCATCCACAAAAAGAAGCGATGATAACCACAAAAGATGAATTCGATTCATTATGCCCGGATGGTGGATGCGCAGAACCTTGGTAGGTCACTCACAGACATATCATTGTGTTTTGCTAATAGTAGCCAGCGGAGTGCAATTGAATTGTAAAATGCACACGTGTCCACAGCGCTGCCATCAACTTCAAGATCATAGCAAAATGGCTTGTCGAGCTGTTGTTGTATCGCATTGTCCTCAGAAGCACAAGATAAAGCGACGATGTCATGACATAGCAGCTTTATCATGCAAAACTTGCGACGAGGAGGCCAAGGAGAAGCAGCGGAAGATTCAGCGTGACTTTCAGCTCGACGAAGAAAGAAAAACGAAGCAACTGGATTATGCCATCAAGCTCAAAAAAATCAAAGACGAGATGGAGCATCAGAAGCGCATTCTCCAGGACGAAGCAGATGAGCAAGATATGCAGAGAACACTCGCCCAAGAGGAAAAGGACCTGGAAGAATTCAAGAAGAGAGTTTCAACAAGAAAAGCACAGAATAAGGCTAAAGCAACAGAGGAAGGCACATCCCATGGCAAACAACACACAACACAGACTACTAACAGTCAGCCAAATCCGACCAAGTCCACGGATTCTACAACAGCATCTTCATCAACCTCGAACAAAGGGTCACAGAAGATAGATCAGAAGAGTCCAGCCCAAGACGATTGGGACCATCAGAAGAAGTTTGAAGGAGCCCAGAGTGAGGCATTGGATGCGCTGATGGCTATGATTGGTAACTGACTACTTTATGATTACATGATCGAAAGTCCTAATGTTCAACAGGCCTCGAATCCGTGAAACAGGAATTTCTCGCTATCAAAGCGAAAGTCGACACTGTCGTTCGTCAACAAATTTCTTTGAAGGATGAGCGCTTTGGCGCCTCCTTACTTGGCAACCCTGGAACAGGAAAGACGACAGTGGCGCGCCTGTATGTGAAGTTTCTCTTCGAAGTTGGTGCACTCCCGGGATGCCATTTCTTGGAGACCTCAGGATCATCATTAGCAAATGACGGCGTCTCAGCGTGTAAATCTCATATTGATACGATCTTGAAAGAGGGAGGCGGTGCCTTCTTCATCGACGAAGCGTATCAGCTCGTGGCTGGTCACAATCCTGGCGGGAAATCAGTTCTGGACTACCTCCTTGCCGAGATTGAGAACCTCACGGGTAAAATTGTTTTCGTCTTAGCCGGGTATCACAAAAACATGGAAGCATTCTTCGGCCACAATCCTGGAATTCCAAGTCGCATCCCAAAAACTTTTGTGTTCGACGATTACGATGACAAGGAATTGCAGCACATTCTAAGCCACTACTTGCACAAGAAGTACAATGGCTGCATGGAAGTTGAAGACGGGATGAGCGGCTTATATATACGTATTGCGGCACGTCGAATAGGACAAGGACGCGGTCGTGATGGATTTGGCAATGCTCGTGAGGTTCAGAATAAGATTTCTCAAATTACAGACCGCCAGGCAAGACGGCTGCACAAAGAAAGAAGGGAGGGCTTACGGCCAAACGACAATTTCCTCAGCAAGGTTGATCTGATTGGGCCGGAACCATCCTCTGTACTTCAGAATAACAAAGCATGGAACAGACTGAAGGAGATGATTGGGTTGAAGGCAGTCAAGGAAGCTATTCAAGTACTGCTGGATGGACTGCAGACCAACTACCATCGCGAACTAGAAGAAAAGCCTCTGGTTCAATATTCATTGAACAAATGTTTCATCGGTTCACCTGGAACAGGGAAAACGACGGTTGCCAAACTCTACGGACAAATACTGAAAGATATTGGCTTTCTATCGAATGGAGAAGGTAAGCTGCTTGTTGTAGAAATTTCCAACATTCTTTACTTGGCTAAACTCCTATAGTGGTAGTCAAGAACCCAGCGGATTTTGTCGGAAACGTTCTTGGGCAATCAGAAAGTAACACCAAAGGCATCCTGGCATCTACCATTGGTAAAGTCTTGATCATTGACGAGGCATACATGCTTGCCGGAGGAGGTACTGCTGATATATACAAGACGGCCGTAATTGACACTTTGGTGGCCGAGGTCCAAAGCACACCTGGCGAGGATCGATGCGTGCTCTTACTCGGATATAAAGATCAGATGGAAGAAATGTTGCGAGATGTGAACCCAGGGCTCGCTAGGCGATTTCCTCTTGATTCTGCGTTCGTGTTTGAGGATTTCACTGACTCCGAGCTTCGACGAGTTCTCGACCTTAAATTGAAAGACACTGGTTTCGAAGCAACTGATCAAGCTAAGTCAACAGCTATGGAAGTCCTCAAGCGAGCTCGAAATCAACCCAACTTTGGTAACGTAGGCGAGGTAGATATCATCCTCGACCGAGCCAAGGCATTGCATCAAAAACATCTCACCGGAGGCATGGTGTCGAGCAAAGACACATTTGATGCCATTGATTTTGATCCAAACTTTGATAGGACAGCACGGGCAGCTATCGATCTGCCATTGCTCTTCCGCGATGTGGTGGGATGTGAAGACCTCATCAAACAGCTTCAGGGCTATCAAACAACAGTTGCAAACATGAAAGCCCTTGGCTTGGATGCACGTGAGCAAATTCCATTCAACTTTTTGTTCAAAGGGCCGCCAGGTATGTTCTGTTACCCGAAATTTCCTACCATTGCTCATCTAATATGATGCAAAGGCACTGGCAAAACAACTACTGCCCAGAAGATGGGCAAAGTATTCTACGACATGGGCTTCCTAGCACAGGCAAAAGTGATCGAATGCTCTGCTACCGATATGATCGGCCAGTACGTCGGCCATACAGGACCTAAAGTTCAGAAACTACTTGAAAAGGCGATGGGTAAGGTACTCTTCATTGACGAGGCCTACCGCCTAGCAGAAGGCGGTTTCGCGAATGAGGCTATGGATGAGCTTGTCGACTGCTTAACAAAGCCGCGGTTTGCACAGAAGCTTGTCACTATACTGGCTGGATATGATGAAGACATGAACAGGCTCATGAGTATCAACCCTGGGCTCACGAGCAGATTCCCAGAATCAGTCATATTCCGGGCTTTAGAGCCGCCTACATGCCTGAAGCTTCTGATAAATGTCCTATCTGACTTACGCAAGCGAAAGCAGGTACCTTTGGATCTTGGAGTACTTTCGCCTCCTTCAGCGCAACTTTCCAAGAAAGTTATTGAGCACTTTCGACTTCTTGCGACTTCGAAATCATGGGGAAATGCTCGAGATGTCAAATCCTTGGCGAAGTCAATGTTTGGTAGCTTGATTTCTGCACCTGGTGAACTTCCTACCAAGCTTGTCCTGACAGAAGATATCATCCTCACGGTCATGGAGACTATGTTGAAAGAACGTTCCCATCGCAATGAAGCTGCGGGTACATCGCGCTTTCCGCTCATGCAGCGAGCCCAGCAACCGCAACAAAGCAATAGCCAGGACCGAGGCAATAACCAGCCTGATATCAAACTTGACACTTCTGTTTCCCCGGGCGAGCCGCCGACCAAGAAATCTGAAGTCGTAAAGGAGCTTGCCGAGGAGCAAGCGCGGCCGCAGCCTCAGAGTAACGATGGTCGCGATCCGAATGTATCGGATGAGGTGTGGCATCAATTGGAAGACGATAAACGCCTAGCACTTGAGCGTGAGAAAGAGCTCCAACACCTGCTCCATGAGAAGATCTTGGAGGAGAAAAAGATCGCTGAGCTCGGACGGACGGAGCAGGCTGCACTTGAAGCAGAAGAAAGACGCAAACTAGAGGAAGAGAAAATCCGACGTGAGGTAGAACGACAAAGGAGAGAGGAGGAGCAAAAGATTGCTGAGCTCAAACGGGAAGAGCAGGCTGCACTTGAAGCCGAAGAAAAACGTAAATTGGAGGAAGAAATCATTCGGCGAGAGATGGAGCGACGCAGGCGAGAAGAGGAGCAAAGGATTGCTGAGCTCAAGCGGGCAGAGCAAGCTGCACTTGAAGCAGAACAAAGACGCAAAATGGAGGGAGAAATGATGCGACGAGAGATGGAGCGGCGAAGAAGAGAGAAAGAGTTATTGGAAAGGGAGCGCGAAAGGAAAAGGGAGATGGAAGTACAGGAAAAGCTGAGGATGATGGGCGTGTGCTGTCAAGGCTTCATGTGGATTAAACAGTCTGGTGGATATCGATGTGCGGGTGGATCTCATTTTATGAGCAATTGGGCTCTGGGCCTCTGAGCTCTTTACTTTGCGAATTTAAGAACGTGTACAAACAATCATGATACACGTTTATATAGTTGAAGTGTATTTGTTGAGATCTCTTGTCGTTGGAACGATAATGGTCCCAGGCATGAGCTTTTGGTTTACGCGATTGAAGGCCAGAAACGACCCAGTATTCGAGTTCTTCAATTTCTAGGTTACGCCAATCAAAGCAAATAGATGAATTAAGCAGTTCTTCTGCTCAGGTAGATGCAGATCGAAGTCAATCGCAAAACTCATATTATTTCATGTGTGGAATGATTTTGCTTACTTGAAAACAGCTGCGAACATGCATTTTAGTGTCGAAGATTCATGTTTTATTATTCTATCGTATACGATAAATGAGCAACAAACCCGACAACAAACCAAACCAGCAGCGCAATGGAACTTCAGTACATTCATATTTTTGCATTTTTGTGAAATTTAGCGACACAATAATGTGAAATTAAATAAACATCAATGCCTAACTCTATTCATTCAAATTCCGACTTTTTGTTCGATGTATTGATCAATGGATAAATCGCTAATAATCAACCTAGTCGCAATGCCCACCCTTTAGGTGTCAATTTCAAGATGATATCACAAATAGCAGCAGAAATCGCGAAAAAGAAAATTACGAATAGAAACCAAGGACCTTATTCGCCCGATCCAAGACCTCTCGCTGGCCCGGCGTCAGACCCTCAGCATCACTATCCCACTCATGCAACCCCATCGCCCTGCACCCCTCCACGCCAACTAGACCCTCCATCTCCTCCACATTAACCCTACCAATGTGCTCGCTCTCGCCGATTCCGCCTCCGAAATCAGGACTCGGGGTGCCGTCGATGAAGGCGCGGCGCTGCTCGGCGAGGTTGATTGCGCTTTCCTCGGTGAGCGGACACGCGGGGATATACAAGACGCTTGAGTCCGAAGTTCCGGAGTGCACTTTGTCGACCGCGTGGATGGTGTCGCAGTGCCAGGCTACATAGTCTCCCGGGCGGACGGTGGGCACGTGGATCATGGACTGTTGGAGGTTGAGGTGCGGGTGGAGGAGGTGCGAGAGTTCCTGGCCGTGTCCTGGGGTGGCACCCTGGATCCAACTCGATGGCTTCGTGTCCATAGACCAGTTGTCCGACTGCAGGAACTCTTGTGAGTTGGTGAGGGCTTCCGAAGTTGTCTGGGCACAGGCTTCGACGCCGCGGCGCGGGGAAAAGAATGGTCGGAGGAGGTAGTAGGCTGTTGCTTTTGCCAGGAGGGGGTTCACGAGGAGTGTCCCTTGGAATGGTCCGGTATGCGAGAGCGAGAGCCAGCCCTGGAACATTCGGAACATAGAGCATGCGCCCACGCCCTGGTGGAGATCTGACTTCACGGGGAGCCTGCAGCTCGCCTCCCAGGGATCAAAGTTCTCCCATTGTCCTTTCCAGATATCGTCATATACTCCACCCAAGCCATATCCCCGTTCATCCCAGCGTTCGACACTGCCTCCGTCTACGTGTGGTCCGAGGGCGAATTTGGCGTCTCCAGGAAGCCTCATGCGCAAGCGGTCGGCGTAGCTGATCGGGTGTTGCGTTGAGACGGGGGCGTGCGAGTCTTTCGAGTGCCAATACGACATAAGCAGGCGTTGTGTCTTCAGCATATTGGGGTGCCCGCGCGCGAGCATTTGCGTCCGCGACCAGTACAGTTCGTAGACTTGGGGATTATCTTGAGGAAACGCTGGAAGCTATTAGAACCCATGTTGGACTATTCGAATTTACTAATGCTGTTCCATACCTTTTGTTTGGGGATTTTGTCTGATGTACTCCCGCAAATCCGCCTTCCATTGCAGAGCATCCTGTTCTGGCACCACGCCTCGCACAACAGCCACTCCCCTCTTCTTCAATTCCTGATTGAATCTCTCGGGCGCATTCTCGAAATCCTCGAAGTTGATCTCAGGTATGACCTTGGAGCCCAGCTCGACGATGAGCGGAATCTCTTCCCGCAGATCCCGCAAGAGGCGCTCCCATGATTCTCGAACCTCGGCTTCCCGACCTCTGATCAGGCGACTTTTGAGGTCTGCGTACTCCGGGGTGAGGGGCTTGAAGTCTTGCCCAGACAGTGAAGCGAAGGCATCAGAGATGTCGCCGGCCCGCTTCTGCGCATGCGCTTGGGTGGCGGCTGTGCGGAGCTGTAGGGATGCAATGACGCGCCTTGAGGCGGACATGCGGGCGCGCAACGACGACGATAGCATGCTGAAAATGTGTATAGAATGAGCTGGTGGGAAATAGTGTTTAGCTCGGGGTTGAATCGAATTTGTAAAATTCCACTGCCTCTTCCATTATATACCCTTTATGCTTCCGACAACAGCTGATGACATAGAGGCCGCTCCGACGACGAAATATCTGGAGAGAAATAATGTGGAGAGGCAGAATGATGTCGGAAATACTTGATATAGATTAGTTTCATACCCTGATCTAGTTAGTTGTAGCGGTGATTCCTAGTCGGGAATAACCCCGCATTCCTCTCTGACGTCTCCTCAAGCTCCTCCGCTTATCGAATTGGAATCGAGGAAAATCATGATGAACAATCTTCCTCGTCTTCGACCTCCTTTCTTGGTCTTCTTGAATGAGGACGCGGAAGAGCTAGCTATAAACAAAAGTCGGATCTAGCGCTAGCATCGACAAAGCCACCGGCAAGCTGTCAAAACGAAAGTGAACCCGTCAACCCGTCAACCCGTCAAGCTGCCCAAGCTCGCCTGATCTTGGTTGCAGCAATTGGACCCCGCGATCCCCCATTCCGCCTTTTTATATATTATCAGACTACTGAAAAGAATCCAATCACTCCACAGAGCGAAGGTCTCAGCCGTGCTTGTCCTTACTGTTTCCCTCGCGTCTGCCCCGCAGGATAAAGGGCAGAAAGAATCGACGGCCCGCCTCTCCACTGACCGCTTTCGTCACACATGATGGCGGGGCTGGCAGAATGCCGCTAACACTCCAGCTTCATCAGGTGCTCATAAGAATATCTCCATCGCTACCATGTTTACAGCGGGGCAGCTCTATAGCGGCTTCTTGGATGCGCGGAAAAACGGCCTTCGTGTCCTATGAGACCAATTGATGCTACTCCTACCGTTCATCCCTCAATACTACACGTGCATTAATCTCTTGTTGTACCGTGAGGTGAGATGGCTCCGGCGGGACGTCCTCCGGATCTTTCTGAGAAAGTTCGCGTATATGAATCTCTGTGAGCCCGCAATGTGCATCTTGTTTGCATCTCCTCAGACTCAGACAACTTCTTGTCTGCCTCTTAAAACACCTGTGTATTGCGTCCAACTCCTTTCAATCTCCGAGCCGCAATGCCCGACTCATACTTGCCCAAGGGCTTCCTATGGGGCTTTGCGACAGCAAGGTATGCTCAATGTTCCCTTTCCTGTCCCTGCGGACCTTATCTCCGGCACGGCACGCCCAATTGCCCGCTTGTGACGTCTTGCCCGCCCGCACGGTAACGTGTACTAAATGTGCCATCTCCAGCTACCAGATCGAGGGTGCTCCCCAGGAGGATGGAAGAGCTGACTCCATCTGGGACACTTTCTGCCGCATCCCCGGAAAGATCGCAGACGGATCGTCTGGTGACGTGGCATGCGATTCCTACCACCGCACCGCCGAGGACATTGAACTGCTGAAGCAGGTTGGAGCAAAATCATACCGCTTCTCGCTCTCATGGTCCAGGATCATCCCTCTCGGTGGTCGCAATGACCCCGTCAACGAGAAGGGTCTACAGCATTACGTGAAATTCGTAGATGACTTGCTTGCTGCTGGCATTGAGCCAATGATCACACTCTACCATTGGGATCTGCCAGAGGCTCTGCAACAGCGTTACAACGGCAAGCTCAACAAGGAAGAGTTCGTCGCCGACTACACAAACTACGCCAGGGTCTGCTTCAAGGCGTTCGGCTCGAAGGTGAAGTTCTGGATCACATTCAACGAGCCATGGTGCAGTTCCATCCTCGGATACAGCACTGGTCTCATGGCACCGGGCCGCTGCAGCGACCGGACCAAGAGCCCAGTCGGTGACAGCAGCACCGAGCCATGGATCGTTGGTCACAACACCTTGATTGCGCATGCTTCCGCCGTTAAGGTTTACAGAGAGGAGTTCAAGGAGAAGGATGGTGGCCAGATTGGTATCACCTTGAATGGTACGTACCCCACGAACTCATCGCTCGGGCGAAACTTTGTCCCTCTTGCCGCCTGTCAGGCGTTCATGCAGCCAGGCGGCACAGCAACATCGCTTCAGTCGAAACTGACCGAATAAACAGGCGATTGGGCCGAGCCTTGGGATCCCGAAGATCCTCGTGACGTCGAAGCCTGCGACCGTAAGATTGAGTTTGCCATCTCATGGTTCGGTGACCCCGTGTACTTCGGAAAGTACCCTGATTCCATGCGCAAGCAGTTGGGCAACAGACTGCCCGAGTTCACAGAGGAGGAGGCTGCTCTCGTCAAGGGCAGCAATGACTTCTATGGCATGAACCACTACTGCGCGAACTACATCAAGCACAAGGACACCGAGCCAGAACTCGACGACTTCTCAGGTAACCTCGAGATCGGCTTCCAGAACAAGGCCGGCGAATGGATCGGCCCAGAGACACAGTCGTTCTGGCTCAGGCCCATGCCGCTAGGCTTCAGGAAGCTCATCAAGTGGCTCAGTGATCGTTACGGTGGTCCGACGTTCTACATCACGGAGAACGGAACCAGTCTCAAGGGCGAGAACGACCTACCTCTCGAGGAGCTGTTGAACGACGACTTCCGCGTCGAGTACTTCAAGGGATACGTGGGGGCTTTGGCAGATGCCCATGCCATCGACGGTGTCGATGTTCGTGGATACTCAGCCTGGTCATTACTAGAGTACGTAAACTTCCATTTCCTTTTCCCTATCTTTTCCAAATTCTTCCTTTCCCCTTAGCCGATCGATACGATGCGGTGGCCGTCAAAACGTGTGAAGGCATGAATCCGGCACAGCTATTGCCGACGGCGCTCTGGCCGTATCGAGATTCGATTCCTAGCTTAGCCGATGGGTGCGGGTCGACCTCGTAATGGGCTGGTGTATTTTGTTTAGTTATCGCGTGGCAATTGAAGCAAACTAACGAATTGTTCCTGCAGTAACTTCGAATGGGCTGAGGGTTACGAAACACGCTTCGGTGTCACCTATGTGGACTACAACGGAGGCCAGAAGCGATATCCCAAGAAGAGCGCCAAAGAGCTCCGAGGCATCTTCGAGAACCTCATCAAAAAGGAGTAAATGGGACCGGGCTGTCGACGGTTGTGGCGTGTGGTTTTTGTAAGCTAAAGAGTCATTTGAACCGAGGTGGGAGTCGGAGTCTGCAGAGAACCTTCGACGCGACTTCTCCTTCTAGCATTCTTCTAGCGTGCAAGGCGGCACAGCAGGCGAGGAATTATGGGCTGCCTGTCTTCCTTTCGGAGGAATGTCACCGATTAGACAATACGGAATATGAAGAAAGAAAGAAAAATATCCACAATGTTCTCCTTCCAGAAATTTCAAATTGCACTTGCTCAGTCACCACTAGAAGGGGCGCGACAGTACTCGTTACGTAGAATTGGCCGCGAGAGCGGGTGCGCGCGTGGTTTGATAGACACGCTTCGGGTCGCTGCCGCTGGGCCGCATTGAATGCCATCCACTCGTTCCATCATCACCTCCCAAGGTGCTCCCGTCGTTGCTGCCGCCTAACGAACCTTGCCGTGTGATGTTTGATGACATCGATCCACCCTGTTGACCATGTGCGGTAGCATGGCCGATTGCTTGCAGGCTGTGAGCGGCAGGTATCTACAACGTATGACCGTATGCCGCACTGGAGGTCGTAAACAGGAATACTTGTAGGCTGCTCGGCACTTGCACTGATCAACGGCGAGACAATCCTGGAGAGGGCCAAGATGATCCTATCTTCTAGGCCACAAGCTAGAAGGATGGGGCGAATATTCGTGCCTTCCAACCTCCTTTCGAAAGCAGGGGGTCAAGTGAGTGTGCGTGTGAGAAAGGAAATACTTCTAGGTGCGAGGAGCGAGCCAGCGAGGGACGTCAGCGACACCCTTGTGGAGCGATGTGGGGATCATTTAAACTTTAATCGTTACGCAAGCGTGGCGCAATGGTCCAGGGCCCTGTGTGCATCAATAACGCTCATGTTTCAGGACTCTTGTCCTCGTGGTTGACTCTTGAGGAGCGTGGAGGCGGGGGGTTAGGAGATAGGTGGTGCTGTACTGTGCATGGCACGCTGTAAACATATGGATTGTCCCATTCTCTCGCTTAATACCGCCCAAAGTCGACGCCTAACCTTGATAACGAAGAACTGGAAGCGGAACGGACTGCGGTTTGGGTTAACTTTGCACGCCGGCTAAGTATACCATTGTCTAGTTGCTACACAACGGGACTGGTGCGGTACCCTAAGTGTGTATCTTTGAAGAAGAGGGTTAAACATCGGAGCGAGAAGCAAAGAGACACCGGATAGATGCTTACCCTCGTTTCGCATTACCTAGCTCTTTTGTGAGGAAGGCTGCATGCCTTTCTCTCGAGGAAGGTTGCTGAACAGAGGTGCAGAGATCATCCAGCGTGGCGCATTACTGCCTGGGTAGCGATGGCCGTTCAGGTAAGGAAGACCCATGTTTGTATCCGAGGTCACAGCGCTGCGAGGCTGCGAGGCATGAACAGTTGGGTTTCTTCGATCTGGCTGGCAGCGTGGGTGGAGTAAAGAAGTAGTGGAGTGGTTGGCCTCAAAAGCTGCAAGTGACTTCAGGGTCCCGCTTTGCGCAATAATTAGACAGACAACTGGGTTTTGACGAACGGATAACCGTGCTCTGGTTTTGCCCCCATAGTCCTACTATAAAATTGTGTTATACTTCGCTTTCTCGTATCCAGGAACTCAATCGAACATTGATGTCCAAAACGGTTCCACGTTGTCCAAATGTGGTCTCCGCATGAAATTGCAGCAAATTATGCAGCTAGCCGGGCCAGCGAAGGTAACACGAGCTCGGCAGTTCCTGGATCCTTCCTGCATCTGGTTTTCAGAGTACATTGCGGGCTGCCTTCTGGAAAAAGCTTGTTGCGTTACACAACACAGCGAACCTCCACGCTTGGGTAATGTAATAACTTAAGTTTGTTCCAACATGTTGGCTGGTTTCTATGAATAAACGCTTGGCAAGATCGATGCAACCGCAATCGTAGCAGCATTTGCGATCTTTGTATGAAGTCGACTTCGTGTATAATAGACTCTACAGAGCGCGCAGGAGCGTGTGCACATTGGATACTTGGATGGCAACTGATGACCACCAACGTCCGAAAATCATTCCCTATGCCTATGGCACCATGTGGAGTTCCGCAGTAAAATCCACTGTGGAAAAACCTGTGGTCAAGAAAGGACGGGGCCATTGGCGGATCTGATAACTTGCAATAATAGTGGGTGGTTGGTTCGCTTTCATTTCATTGTTGATGCGACCAACATGTGTACATACACATATGTCAGAAGGTACGCAGTACAGCGCGCAGTGCGGCTACCGTGGGGGCACCAAAACATGTCGATGCACCGACTAGACCCAAAGTTAGAGCGAAAATCCGTAGGTATGCGAAAATGGTCGAAGAATAGGCAGTAGTTATGAGCATGGACGGCGGAAGATGCGACCTAAACGTAAATACCGAACCATAAGTTCAAGGGGTTGTCTGAGCAGCGACGCTAGAAGGAGCTGAAAAGATTCCAAACCGTGGTCAATTGTTCTTCCCATGCTTCACTACTGCCCCGCGTGTACATAGGTACAGTCGCTTCTTTTGGTGCACAGCAACTCAGGCTTGAGGCAGGATTAAACTTTCGTGAGCACTGAGATCGACAAGTAGACGAAGTATTGGCGGTTTCAACCCTGCAGCAGCTCATGACGTCCATTGAGTGACTGGGAAGGTTTGGAGAAATTGTCACGCAACTTGAAGAGCACTCCACCACCTCCACCCATCATCGCGCCAACCTTGGTTGTTAATAGTTGTTATCAACCACCAGAGCAAGATCAAACCTTCCGCTGTATGTAGGTACAGCGGAGAAGCAATGGCGCGGCAGACGGGCAACATCCCTAGTGCATCTGACCCTTGTGCGCGAGCCATTCCCTGTCGCAGGCTCAGGATTCCAGGAACTCCCAATTTTTCCTCTCTGTTTCTCTATCGGGAGCCGACAGCCGATGGCCATGTCTCGCCAGGGCTACTTCAATCCAATGGCTCTGCCAAGAATTATTCCAATGGTCGCAGATTCGCAAGTGGCTGCACTGGTGAGAACCTCCGCCCAAGGCCAACGATACTTGTCTGCACTCTACAATAGAGCGGTGGATGCGGTGCCTACCGGCAGGTTATGGCTTCTTCCCATAGTCTTGCCTGTGCTGCATACTTACCAGTCTTGGGTGTCTGCCAAACTGTGGTGACTATGTAAAGAGTAGCTGCATGATCGACTGTGCCACCAGTGCCGACACCCTAGCCTACACGGTGCAGGGGGTAGGCGGTGTATATCATGTCTTGCGGTCACGACCATTTCGATGACAAGCTGATTGCAGGTAAAGCGAGTGTTTCCCAGACTTGAGAACAAGACCCATATTTCGCTAATTATAACCTGTATTTTGACTTCTCCAGTTGAAGTATGGATGTACGAGTATATAGTTGCTGATTGTATGCCCAAAGGCCTACTACTCGTATTCTTGAAGATGGGGCTGGTCACCGTGGGGAAGTGGCGCACACCCGAAGGCCGGAGAAACCCAGGTTGGATAGAGAAGACAGAGTCGCTAACAGGGCGTGGCGTTCTTCTACTAGAATAGGTACGAGAAGGTCGTAGCCCCTGTTCTAGAGTTGCGAACAAGCAGAACCCTGGAGACACACTAGAACTTCAGCGAGCGCATCACGGACGTTGACGGGGCACTGGCGTCCGAGAAACCAGGTTCCTTGCTTCAAACCCAAGCTGGGACGCTGGACACGCCGCGTTGCTCAGACAGCAGGTCTACCTGTGCAATGAGGTTTTACAGGGTTGGTCCAAGGCCTGTCATACCAGCTTGGGAATGGAAGCACAGCTGCGCATCTCACACGTACTTCGTATGTGCACTTGACCAATAGTGAGCTCAGGCTGCAAGCGTTCGTTGAAGGCCTGCAGGCTTCTGCAGCTCGTGCAGAGCAAGCACACGGTTGAAACAGCTGATTAGAACAAGCATGAACGACTATTGGCCTTGCACCTCTCGCATTTTGTGACTATCGATGAGGATCGGATAACTGTTGACGTCGGTTGCAAACCATCAATCTTTGCGGCCAGAGATAACCCTCACAACGGCTTTGGTACTGGGAGGCTGGCCAGCAGATACATAGTGGAAACGAGAACGGACAGGCGACCTCCCGCGGCGGATGCTCGGGAGATGGCATAATGATCATTTTAAACACATGGAATTCGAAATCATCGGGCGGTCAACCCACCACTCGGAGCGTCTCCCCGGTGGCAGGGCCATCAGAGGAGAGATGAGCCAAGCGGGCGACTGTACGTTTCGGGCACGCGTTTATGGAAGCCCCGCTGTAGCAACCCAATGATCTACGGACGGGTCCCTGGACTGGCCAGCCAGGATTGTAGCGATGCTAGGCAGGGCAGGAAGGGAGAAGTGGAGGGGGTACGAGTACGATGACAAAGATGACGAGATGCGGAGAGCCAGTGATTCTTGTGTGACTCCAATTGCTTATCTGTTGCCATAACCACATACCTATAGTATACGAGGTATATCACGTACGAGAAAGAGGCGTGCGTGAGTTTTGGGCTTGTTGTGGGACGCACAACCGTTTGTGGACTATCTCTGTACTGGAACGGGTTGAGCCATGGCCCATAAGTAGTGTCTATGAGTGATGTGCATACTCTAGAGTCTGGACACGCTCATAGTAATAAAGATGAGACGACTAGAAGGAGAAAGACAGGCGAGTCCCACAAATGATGATTCCCGATGGCCCTGTAGTATGTGTAGAAAAGTGACAGTAGGGAGGGTATGAGAGGTGAAGAACTGTCGGAATAACGCTTCCCAAGGTATGGGAGAAGGATTTCAGTGTAGAGGAGATGGGCGTGGCGTACACGAGCAACGCCGCAGGGAGGGTTTGACGTCTGCAATTGCTTGGCAATTTCACAGATATGGAGACACTAAGCGTATTGGGTATAGCATGGATTCAACTCCAGCTCCCTCCCTGTCCACCACGTGCGAAGTACTTTTAGCTCCCAGCGAGTTTTTTCTCCTCTTTTCCCGCTTATCCTCTTCCAATCCTGTAACCTGGACCTTGTTCACACTACACTCTTACTCCTCTCCTCCTAACTCCTTACTCATCCCATCCCATACTGGCCTATTACCTGCTGCCCACTGCCTACATTCACCCCTAGGTACACTCGTTGTATGCTACTATTCGTATGATATCCAGGTATCAATGTATCTACACAGTACCATACCTGACGTTTCTTCACATAGTCATGTCATTGCTAATTCGATTAATATATATCTCCTAACTGCCACTGCCTGGAAACAGCACAGCGTACCGAGTACACAGTATAGAAACAAATTTGACTCTTCTTAACCCCTTCTCAGTCCCTGGTCCTCTTCCGGCCCACCCCCGTGTGGTTATCAGAGACCGTTGTCGTCGCTGTCATTGTACAATAGCTGTCGTCATCAGCATCGTCGTACCTCCCTGTCACCCTCCCCCCTTCCCTTCTTTTTTCTTCTGCTCAAGCCGCGACATCCCGCGACAAAAATATGACAGATACGATACACATCCACTACACTTGCGCTGAGTCCTGACTCCTCAGGCATCCATTACGCTCTCTCCCGTGTCATCTTCGGCCATTTCTCTGGCGTCCCACTGCCCGCCGCCTCGTTCATAGTATGCCAAGCAATGTCTTCGCCAAAAGCAGGACAAGCGAAAGAGCGGCGCGATAAGCGTCGCCCTGATCTTCCTTCTCCTGTAGCCCGTCGTGCCCGTCTTGGAGGAGCACCGCACCGCGCCTCCGTGGTCGGCCATTTCGCATTCAGATAAAAGGCCCCGTTCCTGCCATCGACAGAATAGGAAGTGGGCCGAGCCATCGTCGCCCGTCTTCGACCACCACGAGGCACACGCTTCTGGCTCTTGCTAGGTGTAATCTAGGTAGTGCTGCCTGTGGCGGCCTGCCAAATGCTATGTGAACAAGCTCTTAATCCTCTAGCTGCTATACTTGTACCTAATTGTTGCCTCTCGGAATGCCCAAAAGCCATGAGGCACGGAGGGCTTCGGAGACACACCACCGGCACCACCACCACGATGGGCGTGGGAGGGTCACGTCAATAACGTAGGTATGGTGCTGCTATTGATGCCGCCACTGGCTCTACGAAACTACAACTATCATGCCCGATTCCAGTAAGGTGTCTGCCGAAGCTCGCACGCGGGGAGGCGAGGATGAGGTCGCCTATGCCGTCGCCCACATAGCCATGATCCTGCAGACTTCTAATCAACGGTTCCTCCAACCTGTTTCCAAGCCTCATGGCTCGCCTCCAAGGTTTGAACGTGAAACCTCTTCCCCGCAGACAGCCACACGTGTGCTTACCACCATCTTGGGATCAACTCGCAGCAGCATTAGCGCATGGTCCAGTGCCGGCCAGGGTCAGGGATGGGCACCCACTGCACCCACTGCATCCTGGTTTGGATAGACACAGACCCGTCTAGGGGTGTCCTGGATGCTAGAGGCGCTATCCTCACCTGATAGTACGTTATGGCCTCGTCCCTGCCATGACTTGGGAGGCCCAGTCCCCTGGCGAAAGCTCAAAGCGTCGACCACCTGCGCTGTGCTTTTCCATGCCGTGCTGGATCCTGTCTTGTGGTAATTTCTCTAGTCTCTATTTACACCATAAACCCTCCCAGGCCCATGGGCAAGCCATCCGTGCACATTTCATATTTACATTAAACCCACGAGCACTCCACCATCCAATAAATCTGTATTCCAGGGAAGCCGTCGTCATCGTTCACTGACCAGCATCTTGAGCAAAGCGTCTGTTTGGGCCCGCCGCTTACATAGCAATTCGACAACACCTTTTCTATTCACCGCTTCTCCCGTCGCGGATCCTCCATGACTTCCGTACTACACTATCGCGACCCCATTGCCTGCCGGAGCTACGAGCCTATGAGTACGGCCAACTACGTTCCTAACAAGATGGCTACTCTGAAGCAGAGTTCGCCCTACGATGGCCATTCCTCTGGCTCCGAATCAAAGAAACAGCACACTCCTGGAGCCAAACGACGACCATCGAGAGCTGGCACCCGAAGCGTATCGACCCTCACAGCCGCACAACTAGAGCGCAAGAGAGCAAACGATCGCGAGGCACAGAGAGCCATCCGCCAGCGGACCAAAGACCACATCGAAGGCCTAGAGCGACAAGTCCGCGACCTCACTGCGAGACTTGACAGCAACCCTTCGACCAAAATGGTTGAGCTTACGAGGAGGAACGAAGAGCTTGAACAGGAGAATGCAGTGCTCCGAAGGCGGCTGTCTCACGCACTCGCAGCTTTGGGGGTCTCTGAACAAAACGCAGGTATGTATTGTAACGACGTCTGTTCTGCCATCAGAGCACAGATCAGATGTTTCTCGCTTCAGCCATGCGTATGCTTTCTTTTCTTTTGTTGTACGGGCCGCCGCCGTTTTGGTGCAGCCGAGGTTTGCTTTTTTATCCACAGCATCTCTCTTTGAGCAGATGTTTCTTTTTCCTGGGCGGTTCTTTTTCTTCTTACTCCTTGTCTTTTGTCCCAATCCGGCGCGTTGCAGGCTATGAGACAAGCGATCGTACGCTCTTTGGAGGCAATATGAAACAGCTCGCTGACAGCTATCAATCAGACACTGTAGTCCCGGGTGCAGGAAATACTGGTCTCCTTTCAGCAACAGGAGGTGCCCCTTCACCCAGTGATCGCATCCAAATGCTCAGCCAGCCCCGACGATCATCCACTGGCACTTCCAGAAGTGTCCATTCAGTGCCCGAGATGGCAACGCCCGCTTCCCAACCTGGACACTGGCAACCGCCGCACGCGTATCCCCCGAACATTTCCTCTCCGCACATTGAAACTTCATCAGGTATTGGCGAAGTCTCTGGCCAGCAAGACGGCGTGCGATACGGCGCCCACCAGAATTCCCACCCGCAGCATCACGCAGGATCATTGCCTGTCCAAGACCCAGCCCTCCATGCCGTTGATAACAGCGGCATGCCATACCCTGGCCCTTACGGAATGGACAGCAACTCTCGATCCATGTCGTACCCATTGGAAAATGCACAACTTGTCACTTCACAGCCCATGCAGATGTCTGGCTATGGAACCCCAACCTCAAACCCTTCTCCCCATCCCTCAGACTACCAGCGCCACATGAGCGTTCCTATGAACGCTCCTCAGGCGCCACACGCCCAGCACCCTCATCCTCATTCGCATTCACACTTGCAGCCTCAGCAACAGGCCCACTATACCTCTTACCCCAACCCAGGCCCTCAGGGGTACGCGCCCCAAGTGACCCATCCTGGCGAGATGCACATGATGGCCCCAGCCCCTCAATCGCAGCCTCAGATGATGGGTGAACAGGGCAACATGATGTATCATATGCCTCCCAATATGAAGGTTGAGCAACATTGACAGCGATGAGCATGTTTCGTCAACTGGCCGAGCTTGTTGCGGCGAGGCGTACAGTAGTGGGCGAGCAACAGGCGGTGTGATGACAAGCGTAGCATGCGATCCCTTCCGACATCTCAATCGGCAATCTGGACGGCCCTGACGAATTGTGTCTACAAGACCTTGACTTGCAGTTTCACTGTAACCCGCAAACACAGCACCTGCTGATTCATCCTTGGGATCAGTAACGCGGCTCGTGGAAATGCATCCCCCCGATCCAACTCGCTCTAACTATAGAGTTCGCATGGCCCAGTCATTACTGTACCAGATTCCTCCCAGTAACTGAAACAGCTCGCCCAAAGCCATCCCGCGCGTGGTGACTGTTTTGGAGGCTATGGCACCCATGTCGAGGCTATAGGTTTAGGTTGGTACAAATAATGCGACCAGTGTCGTAGCCGGCAGTCGTCCGTCTGTGGTCAGGGGGTCCTAGGATCGTACCCTGGTTCTGCTCTAAGCTCCGACCAGCGAGCCGAGACCCGGCATATTCTGACGAGGACCAGGATCCATTGGGCATCCCTACCCAGCAACCATCACACTTATCGTTTGCAATAATACCATTACTGTTTCCACCATCTCTAATGGCGATATGCAAAAAGAAAAGGCAATGGTTGTCGCAACTGGATCTGCCCGGGCAACACGGAGCACTCTCAACCACAACACCATTTGGATGGAACACGCAAAAGCTCTTCCCTTGGATGGATTGCTTATCACGGAAGCATACAGCCAGCCAGACGCGAACAATCTGCATCGGATAGTACACCAGCGCAAGCGCGGAGATGGCACAATTGGGCCAAGCGATACGTAGGTCCACTCGTCCATGGATTGACAGCAGCGACACGGCCAAACGGGTAGAGAGAAAGGCCGAACGGCGGATGGCAAGCCTGACGGTTGCCTGTGCATCCTCGTGCACCCTCACCCTCGTGCACATACCTCCAGGGCACACTACAGCACCGCATTAATTGCAATTTTTGTTCATGGTTCATTCAAAAAGTATCCACTTGATGATTATCATCATTGTCAAATTATCTGCTTTTGACCTTCAATTATTGTCGACTACTGCTGGCGACTTGTCTTAGGGGGTCGGGTCGTTCATCCCGGTAGTGCCGCAACCAATGGCCGTCCAGCCACACCGCATATCCCTCACACTTTTTTGTCGCCTCACCCAATCCACCAGTCACCCACCACGATGCTGCTGCAGGGCAATTCTTCACCATCTCCTCTGTGCAGCATCCACTGCCAGCCTCTGTCGTTCAGAGAAGGTGTCGCGCGACTGGGTGTACATCATGCCTTAGCGGCTGCAGCTTGCTGTGCGCGGATCTGAGCGAGTAACTCCGGGTACTGCAGGAGTCGAGTCAATTATTAGAGCTCAACAAAACGTCAATAGCAGAGACTTACCCATCTCTCACCGACATCCGGATGGCTCTTGACCCTGTTCATCAAAGTTGCCTCCCCGAGGTGTCCCCATCGGCCTTTGACGAAGGTGAATTCGACCTCATCTCGCCTTGCTTTCCTCGCCTCGTCCCTGAGTTTCAGCACATCTGCAGGCACATCCATGGCCTCGAACTTGGCGTCGTAACTGACTCCCTGAAAGAATGGCACTGAGAATCGAGGGCCATCCCCCTTCCTCGGACTGAGCACACGATGCGTCGTCGATGCGCAAACGCCATCAGTCAAGGCCTCCATTCCCTGGCCAATTGCCACAACGAGGGTACCGTCAATGGGTTTGCAATCGACCCATTCGCCTCTGGCATTCTGGGCCTGCAGACCAGGCTGATCGCTCGCCTGCAGCAGATAGCTCGTCAACATGCTGTCTTTGTGCGGGCCAACGCCCTGTCTCTTGATCTCCCACTTCTTCCTATCGATCTCGCTTGCTCCTTCAGGCAGATCTGGAATGTCGACTTCGGGGTACTTGACAATCTTGAGCTTGTGCTGCTGATGCTCGTCGAAGAATTTGCTGAAAGCATCGGGGGCGAGGCCGATGGCTTCTGCGATGAGAGAAGTGAATAGCTCGGAGATGTCTGACATGCGACGCATGTATTCCTCATAGACCGGACGGAATCTTGGGAGATGCTGTGGCGAAGGCCATTGGTTGGGGGCTAGTAGATTATGGTAAAGTGGTGCCTCTGGACCTGGAACAGGGTGAGGCGTGGAGAGATCGAGTTGTTCGCGGTGGTCGGTGTTCAGAGCTGTGGTTTCATTATCGAGCTGCGGCAAGATACTTGTCAGTAACGGCCTTCATTATCAGACGAAACTAAGAGACGAAAACATTAAGACGAGACGAAAAGAGAAAAGAAAAGACCAGGAAGCACGACAGAAGTAATGGAACGGTGGAGGATAATAACGGTACGATATGGTATTTGGGAGAGGAGGATCGATCATGTGTCGCGATTCATCGAAAGCATTGTAATTTTTGGCCTGCCGCCGCTGCTGCTGTTGCTCCCGAGAGATACCCGATTTCCCTTCATCTTTTTGGTTTTTTTATTGGAGTTTTATCGAGCATCATCGTTTCGCTTTTTCTTGAAAGTTATGGCTCTTGCATCCGTGGTTGTTTTTTTGCTTTCCTTTTCCTTTGGTGGTTCATGTGTGCCATTTAATGTCGACTACGCGCTTTCTTGTATATCATTTGCCCCTCCTCTTTAGCATCGCATGATTCCCAACTTGCTCTTCACCATCTTGCATTAATACTCCTCTTTTTTTCCCTAATATCTCCTTTCCCTAATGAACGAAATACCAGTCTTATTGCATATCCAGAACGCCACCGTCCATCTCTTTAGCCCTTTGCACAGTGTAGTGTAGACACACGTACATATAAGATATACCCTTTTGTCTTTTCTTCAGATATGAGTCTTCCTCGTGCTTACCTTGTAGTGATCCCGTGTTTCCTTTTGGGCAGTACCGGCTTTCATACCATACCTTTTCCCCGCCGACATTCCCTGCGGTTTGCATGTCCCGTATCTCGAGCCTCACACGCTAACTCCACGCCACGACTATCAAACCTCCAAGTTCCCCAAAAGAAAAGGAAGAAAGAACATTCGAACCAACAAAACAAGAAACAAGAAAAGAAAAAAACATCACACTCACCCTACTCCACCCGAGAAAGCTCTTCTGATTCTTCATCTCGATCCTCTCCTTCTCTTCGTCCGGGAGGTTCTCGAAGAACCCCTTGCACTCCGCGATCACGTCCGCGATCAGCGTGTCCGGCAGCCCCGTGTCGGAGATGTAGAGGAAACCGACGTTGAGGAGCGCAGCGCGCAGGTCGTGCAGGAACTGGGGTTTTGTTGTTGGGGAGAGGGCGGCGGAGAGGGGGAGGTTGGGGAGGGTTGTGAATGTTGGGGGTGGGGTTTGGGGGGCCATTGTTGTTGAGGGGAGGGGAGGGGGAGGGTGTTGGAGGGGATGGATGGATGTGTGATGTGAGGTGTTTGAGGTGCTGAGGTGGTGGTGGTGATGTGTATGGGGATTCCCGATGTCGGGTGAGGTGAGGCAGGTCAAGATGTATACAAGTTGAGGTATGTATAGTAGAGTATAAGTATAGTAAGAGAAGAAAGGCAAAGTCAGGGTAGAGATGGAAGGTTTAGTATTGATATGAAATCGGCATGATCTTTTTTTATTCCTATTCCGAACGCCGTCAGGTAGATTGATGTAGATATACGAGTAGCAAGTGGTGGTGAGTTGGCGAGCGATGACGTGCTCGGCGCCGGTGCAATGGGAGTACCTCGTAGTTGTAGTGGTGGTGGAGGGACGAGTATGACTTTGGGGATGGCATGACCACACGGGTATAACCGCATGTACAAGTAGTGTGTAGTCAAGTAATAAGCATACATCCTCGGATCTCGTAAGAACCCAATACCCAACACTTGTAATTCGTCAAAGTCAACCTCCTAGCGATCCTTTCCCCGCCTCACTCAGTCGCTCGCTCGCTCGCTCGCTCGCTCGGGTCCCGTGACCCACAACTCGGTACTTGTTCATGTTCAACATCAAGATACTTTGTGTTGCTCGGGTGTGAACCTTAGTATCGAGCCATCCACTTGACGGTCAGAGCAAGCGCGGTCAGCTTGAGACCGCTGATGAGGAATACGGCGCAGGCTTCGAAGAACATGGTGGCGCTTGGTGGATATATGTCCCTTTTCGTACACGGTCGATCGATGTGACGGATCTTTCGTATGCAGCGGTGGATAAATCACCCCTTCGGACTCGAAGAACCTGTTAAGTCAAGTTCGGAGAGGATTAGGATGGCTATCCGCAAGCGGTAATCAGGATAGTATAAGAATGGTAAGGTAAAGTTTGTTAAGGCGGCTCTCGAATAGTGTAAACAGGCAGCTTTTCGTGATCCACAAAGATCGAAGACATGAACCTCTTGAATGCTTGATTGCCTGGTCGGTGGAAGAAAGAAGGGAGCAAACGATCAAATGGGCTTCACTTTCTGAATCCAGAAAAAACTTGGAATTCGAAGAACTGGGGCCCAACGCTCTTTATGAAAGAACGCCGAAAGGGTCCCGCTTCAAGCCGACAGGGACAAACCCACTCACCACGACCATTAGTTACCTGTACAATAATGACTGACCACACAAGCGAGCAGGAGTGGAACACGCGCAGCCCTCGTAGTGGCTCCTCTCAACTCGACAAGATCCACAAGGCATTAAGCTGAATGAGAGAACTCAGTCATTCATTAGCTGAGACAGGCCGTGAGGAAGGATGATGGCTGATGGCTGTGTGGATCACGCCTCACGCATCACGCTCAACATTCAAACATCGTCGACGTCCCCCCGAGTAACTATGAACTCCCATCCGGGTGGTGCCTGCTTCTGGGGCGTCATCTGACCAAGACCCTTTCTCCACGTTTCCCGCTTCCCCCACAAAGATTAGATCAATCAATCATTGTTAAAGTCCATCTTGTCCACTGGACAGTCACCACGATTCAATCAATCATCAATGCATTCGTTGATTCGCTTGCAAATGTCGCGTCCCGATTCCTGGGTGCTCCTCCGTGCGTGGGATGAGAAGAATAATATTGGATATGGGCCCTGAGTACCTACATACGCGAGTACGTACGTACGCAGGTGGTGACCATTCAGTTCGGTCCACGAGGGCGCGGCTAATGCGCCTCCCGCCCAAAGGAGCAAGCACTGAGCATAAAACAACCATCAGCATCAGCAACGAGCATAAATAGGTGCAACCTCATTATTCGCTGACGCCGCATCACAGTCTCGCAGCTAACTGCCGCTTCATGAAAATAACATTCTATGCAGGACTCTATTTATTCTGTTCCTCTTCATAAGTAGTCGTATAAATACTTTGAAGGTAGTGTATTATTAGCATAACAACCCTCTCTTTACACCCGCCCCGCGCGCACACCCCCATCCCCACCCCCCGGAGCCGAAATACAAACCCATAAGCATCGGCATCCAACACCGTTGCCGCTCGCTGTACGACATGCACTCCCCCTCGCCGCATCGGAGAATTAACAAAATCAAGCCACACAATATCACCCTCCCGCTTGGAAAAAAAAGAGAAACGATAAAACACAGGGTCCATGAATAATGCAAGGACCCGACGGGTTGGGTGAGTGGGAATCAGCATGACGGGAACGCTTAAACTCGGTGTATTCAGCCTGAGGTCTTGAGAGCTTCACTGGGTATACCGGGAGGTTGTATAGTCAGGGGCCCGGGTGTATGTGTATGTATGACAGTTGAGGAAGTGGGGTTATGTAAACTGTGCATAAATGTATCTGAGATTTCGTTGTGCTTGGTCGGCGGATGTCTTGTGTTTCGATTACGATAAGTGTGAAGGCGGTTTGTCTTTATGCGAGCTCGCTGGATGGGTACTGTATCGGTAATTTTTGTAGGTAGAACACTTGCTTTACGTCATTTGCACATTTTCATGTTGTGATACTTGATTCTATTCTTTTTGCTGTTGTGATAAGGCTTATGCCTCCCATGATACTTTTACCATAGCCATCGCTACCATTGTCGTGGTGGCATTCACCTCGTCACGTCGAAGGGGAGAGTATTTAAGAGCAGGAATTTTTAGGGGTTGTCATTGCTAACTAATGGTTACTTGATCTAGATTCCGACCTCACAGGATTAGAACACAGCAAAAGTATGATGATGCAAAGAAGAGACACATCATCCCACGTTACCTGGGGGTGCCTGCCTGCCTGCCTGCCCCGCTGTGATGCAAGAAATCCGAATCGAAAAGCAGAATACAAAACCACCGTAGAGGAAAGGGAAACATTGGAACTTAGACATTAAAATCCAATCCGATAAGAAAATGTAGAGGGGTTCGGAGTCGTCCTGCATACAAGCCCTTTTCCTACGACGACCACTCTCTCTGACACACCGTTGTCCTCCTTCGTTATTAAAAGGGTATCAAAACAAATCATTTCTCGTTAAATGAGTCCAACCATCGCAACCCTCCGGGAGCCACAATCATATCGTTTATCGCTTCTCTGGCGGGTAGTAGGCGGGCTGGCCTTGGATTGACTCTCCAACACCAGACTTATAGCTTGGGGGTGCGGCATTGCCATACCCAATCTGACCAGCAACGCCGGGAGTTTGATTCGACGGGACACCAGTGTTCGACTCGCCGTTCTTCTTGAACTCGGCGGGAATCTCGCCACCATCCCCTCCGCCAACGACGACTTGGCCTCCACCCTTGACTCTTCCGACGACCATGCCCTTAGCGACTGATTTGATGACAGCCCGCCTGGATACGCCGGTAACATCAATATAGACGAGTCCGACGTTCTTGACACCCCCTGCGAGGTCGCCAGCGATGCTACCAGCTTCGGATCCGTATCTGTGTCCAACAGCGGCAGACGCCGCGGCGCCGCCGTGCGTCAGTAGCGTCTTTCCCGAATGCGCGATGCCGTCCGCGACAGTCGAGAACGCTATCATCGACTTGTTCAGGAGACCAGGCTTGTACGTGGTATTGGGAGTGCCGTCCGGGTTCATACTCTTGGAATGCTTCGCTTTCTTCCCCGCCATGCCTGCGCCGATGTTTTGTGCGTACTTGGTCACCTGTCCGACCGTTTTGGCGGAGAACCCAGCGACGCCATAGGTGAAGTTGTTGATCTTGCGGACGCGCTCGTGGGTGGTCGCCTGGAACACCATGGGCTTCTCGTTCGGCTTGGTCTTATTCATGAAACCCTCTGCTCCAGAGACCATCAGGTTGCTGAGGTAGCTGGACCCGGTCACGATGAGTCGGGAGGCGGCCGCGGCATTCTGAACCAGGCCTGACTCCTTGTATGCAGGGTGGCGGGCCATTGACAGGTAGTCCTCGTCCATGGGCTTGATATCGATCCGCTTGCCGTCGGGGGATACGACAATCTCCACGGGATCTTGGCCTGCGTTAGTAAGAAAAGAAATCACACCAGAGAGCAAGTTTAACCAACCTTTCGAGCCGTGTTTGATCTTGGGGTCCTCGACAATCAAAGCTCCTTCTGCCAGTTCACCCACGACACTCCCGTTGTCCTCGTCGATCAATACAATCTCGCCTCCTCTGTCATTGCCAATGTAGCCCTCTCCTGGGGCATAATCGGCGGGGTTATATGCTTTGGGTGCGCCCTTGGACGGTACAGGTGCCTGTGCGCGTTCCAAGAACGCCGTGCACTGTGCGAGAATAGTCTCGAATGTGTCAACGTCCTCTTGGGTGACGGAACCAGAACCTTTGCCCAGCGGTGGGAACTCGATCCTTGTGAACGCTCCGCTCTCAGGACCGAGGTCCCATCTTGGAATTAAATAGCTTCGCGGAGGCTGGTGGTAGATCTGGGTGGTCGCGGGGAGAGGGAGGTCAAGCTCAGGAGGAAGATTCAAGTGTAGATAGAAGTCCTCTTCCGGAGCTTCATTCTGACCCTGTGCGTTGCTCAGGCCAGCGAAAGGCGAATTGGTAGGGACCATCAACAACGACAGTGTTTGTCCGCCAGATGGCGTGAGGGAGGATTCCTCGCCCTGCTGAATATGGTAGGCTCTGATGCCTCCGATCGAGTAGAGGAGACGGGGGTCGCTTTGGCTGCTCATGATGCAGACGGTTGCGTACTCAACAAGGGGTTGAAGTGCTGCGGGGCCGAGAGTCTCGTGTGTTTGGAGGTGTTGAGGACGGTGAAACAGAACTATCACGTAGGTAAGGTGATATAAGGAGGAGAGAAGAGGAGGGGACAGGAGAAGAGTAGGAAGAAAAGGGAATGGGAATGAAAATAGAACGGATATGAGGGGTGAAGATTTGGCTATTTTTGTATGCCCAGTGCTGCATGAGGACGGTTTTATGGGCACGCACTGCACGCAAAGCAGCAGCAGCCAAGCGTCTCGTCCTGATGTTTGAATCGCGGGCGCTTAATTGATACGTCATGCATGCCTTCCCAATCAGGTATAGCTGCACTCGCCACAATCTCATGTGTGGCGGTGCAGAAGGGTCTTCCACCTTCGAAAAACGTCTAGACTTGCTTCGATCTTTCGGCTTCTCTCCTCTGTGCTCTGCTTATTGACCGCACAAACTGATCAGCGGCGATCCCGACACAAGACCTGAGGTTTGAAAATTCCAAATGCCGTTCGTGTTTCCCTTGTTGACTTCCAGTAGCATAGCCACAGCCACAAACCGACCGTCACGAAGGCCAGCGAACCCAGTTCTTCCAAGGGAGACAGACCTTGGTTTAGTGTCGGAGATCTGCATGCACAAACGTCACCATCGAACTACGTTCTAAGAGGCCTACATCATTGCACGTGAAACTGGTATATACGTACCTACATAGTAGAGAAAAATATTTGCGGATACAACAAGTGAATGTACTTCAAAATCGCCTGCAGGGTGGTATCATCTACCCGTAGCATTGCGCCGTAATAAATCATAGCAGAGAAAATGCTCAGAATCGCGTCCCAAATGTGTTTTACCATGGTCAAAACTCCTCGAACCCCTTCAACGCCGTCATGATAAGGCAGGTAAAGCTATGCGGTCACAAAGCCTCGAATCTAGTGGTGCATGAGGAAGTCGACATATGCAGAACAGAAAGTAACAAACGATCCTCCCAAGTATGTTCGAGTCGCACTCTTCCGTCTGAAATTGCGCCAGGCGACCGCTAGGTCCTCCTCGTAGCGATGACGGAACTTTAGCTTGTTCTATTGTTACAAACATAAGTCCGAGTGAATGCATCTTCAGCTACTGTTCGTGCTGGTATGCATTGGCATTCCAGGGGTGTGATGGGTTCCACCACCACTGGAGTTAGTCTGCTTTTTCTTCTCCTTCTTCGCCCAGCGTACTATCATAGTCAGTATGATACAGTCGGAGATGTAGGGGAATACTCACATCCGCAAGCGTTGCATAATGTTTTAGGTCCGTTCGGACCCTTCCTCCACTCTGGTGAATCCAGGGTACCGCAATCTGTGCAGACATATTCATCGGCGATTTTCAGCTTCTTCTTCTTATCCGACGAACTTCTGCCGTCCCGGTCAAGAGATATCTGAATGCCAGCATCTCCGCGAATGAGCAATGGGCTGGCGTCGCCGGTACTGATACCCTGCGATCGCTCCCCATCCCGATATCGCAGACCAGTGAGCATTTCAATCGTCTCCAGATGTGTCGCCCCTTCGTAACGTGCCATCTTATCGTTAATACTATCTGGCTTGCTGGCCGCAAGTGCTTCGTCGAGATTTTGCCGGGTGAGAGCAGTATTGGAAATGACCGGCTTCGCTGGTGGCGGCATAGCAATGTATGCCGCAGACTGGTTATCGCTCTCTGTTTGGCCGTGCGATTCTGAAACTGTAATGGATGTTCCATCCGGCTTCCGCACCCACGAGCTGTCCTGTCCTTCTGTCTCCTCTTGTTCCTCACGTTTCAGCTCTGCTATCCGCTTCATGAGCCTCTCATTCTCGATCTTGTGTTCCAGGAAGGAATCCAACAGCGCGGCATTTTTTGTAGGATACGGTCGAGACATCATGAAAAATCCGCGACAGTTGTGACCGGGAGGAAGAAAGGGTTGCGTCGGTTCGTTATGGCTCAAGTGGGGATGTCCGTGAGATTCGAAAATGATCCAAGACTCGTCCATCTTACGGAAGCGGTAGAAAAAGCGTAGTGGGTGACCGGTCGCGATGGACTCGTTGAATTCCTTCACGAATATGCCGCTATCGTCAGGGTGTATGAATTCGCCAATGAAGCGGTTGATTAACTGTGACGGTTCGTATCCGGTCAGGGCCTTGCACGACGGCGAAACGTAGATAATCCTGCCATCCGGTGTCAATATGTGCAAGAAGTCCCGTAGTTCTTCCAGCACTCGCTGGGACCAATTCCTTCTCTTTGTGAACTCCGTGAGAGTGCTTCCTGAGGGGTTCAAGCTTGGTGCACCAAAGCCTGTGGGTAGCGGTCCTGCACCTGCTCCAGTCCCACTTGCGTCCTGTGTAAGAGCGAAGGCATCCCCGGACCCGTCCGCAGGAAGACCTTGTTGCATCGACTGTTGTTGAGATGCGAACTGGGCGAAGGAGGCTTGGGAGGCGGGGTTCTGAACGTCTGGATCCATTTGAGCGAGGTCTATCCCCATCATATCGACATCGAGACTAGGCACCAGTCCAGTGCCTTGGTCGGTAGTCAGGTTCGGAATAGGAGGAGGCGCAAGGCTTGCCATCTATGAGAAAGCCCTGGATCAGCATGGTTCGAATTTGAGGCACCCACAGAGGGACATGGAAGACGACTCACTTCAGCGGGGAGTGAACCGCCATTTTGGTACATGGCTAACTGCGACCATGGGAACACAGAATAGTGTTGTTTGGACGAAGTTTACTTAAGTGAGGTCGTGAAAATGAGGGTCTACTATCTGGCGTGGGAAGCGTGAGCGACGGGTGCATCGTTTCACTATGGCCAGTCTATCTTCGTCGACATCTCTAGTCGGTAGAGCCCTGGCGATCGGTGATCCTATGGCAATTCGTTACATCAGACATGCTTGGCGTCACGTGAGTCCGCGTAGTGGTATCGACTGGGGTTCTTTAGGTGGCGCGTCAAGGCAGCGACAGGACTTGGAACTTTAAAAGTCACGACCTACAACTACCTCTTCATGTACAACTCTCATCTTCGATTCAACCACAACTTCTGAGAGGGTTGCCATTGTGCGTAGTGATACTGTTCGTAGGCCTGCGCGAAGCAGTGCATAGCCGGCAGAATGTCTAAGATCGACAAAATGAGTATCCTGGGCATCCGCTCATTCAGCGACAAGAAGTCCCAGTCGATACACTTCACTGGGCCTCTTACTCTGATCGTAGGGTGGAACGGTTCTGGAAAGACAGTAAGATAGAGCAGAAAAGTTTCGTGCAATGTTTTATGGCCTAACTTCCCTTTACAGACTATCATTGAATGCCTCAAATATGCTACGACTGGCGAGCTGCCTCCCAACAGCAAAACCGGCGGAGCATTCATTCACGACCCGAAGGTAGGTATATCGAGATCGAGCTCAAGGCTCTAGCCCCACTAAACTATTTTACTAACTACGTGTCAGCTTGCCGGCGAGAAGGAGGTCATGGCAGAAGTCAAGATGTCATTTCGATCCACGTCAGGAGCTCGTATGGTGGTGTCCCGCCGTTTGCTACTAACGATGAAGAAGACCACACGAAGCCAAAAGGCGCTAGAAGGCTCCCTTATGATCCACAAGGACGGCGAAAAGACATCTGTCTCAACACGAGTAGCCGAGCTTGATCAGATGATTCCACAGTACCTTGGTGTTTCTAAAGCTGTTCTAGAGAATGTCATCTTCTGTCACCAAGACGAGAGCTTATGGCCTATGAGCGAACCTTCGGTGCTCAAGAAGAAGTTTGACGAGATCTTCGAAGCCCAGAAATACACCAAAGCGATTGAAAACATCAAGGTACTGCGGAAGAAGCAAAATGAAGAGCTGGGGAAAATGAAGATCATCGAGCAACACGCCAAAGAAGACAAGGACAAGGGCGATCGCTCAGAGAAGCGACAGGCTGATCTGTACGACCAGATCACCGAATTACATGACAAAGCAGAGACTGTAGAGCGACAGGCTGAAGAAGCCGAGATCCAAACCAAAGACTCATTCGCGCATGCCGCCAAGTTCGAGCAAGTAGTAGCACAGCTCAACGGCAAACGGATAACCCTGGAAGCCAATTTACAGAGCGTTAAATCGCTGGAACATAATCTGAAGCAAATGGCAGAAAGCGAAGAAGAACTTGAATCAATGCTTGAGAAGTACGAAGAGCGCGTGGGAGTATATGAGAAGCAACAGGAGACTCTGCGTGCGCAATATGCTAAAGTCAAGCATGACCAGGAAGATATTCGCAGATCATTGGGCCTGAAACAATCAGAAATCGGAAAATATGAGGCGCAGAAGGAAGAACATGAGCGGCAGATTGAGAAGAGGGAAACGCTCGTTCAACAAGGGTCAAAACGTCATGGCATTCGCGGATACGATTATGAAGTAACGGGAAAGCAGGCCCAGGAGTTCATTGAGATCCTGGATAAACTATCAAGAGATCAGAGTCGAGCACTTGAACGAGCTCGAACGGAGGCTCAGGAGGAATTGCGAAATGCCCAAAAGGCAGTCAACCAACTCAATGAACGCAAATCGGCCCTCGTTCAGAGTAAAGAAATTTCGCGTGCCCAAACCACGTCCAACGATGCCAAAATCTCGGGCTTTCAGCGGTCGCTAGATCAGATAAAGATCGATGAAGGTGGCGAGGCTACCCTGAACGAGAGAAAACAAGAGACCGAGAAGCGACTGAAAACCGCAATTGACGAGGCAGAGTCTAGCAGGTTCGATGCTCGTATTCAAGAAGCTGACGACATCGTGCGGAATCTCGACATCACAAAAGAACGTCTAGATGCCGAGCTCGTCGATGCTACTCGACTGGCACGAGATTCGGCGCAAATTGACTACGCGCAAGATGAGTTGAAAGGAGCAAAACACGGTCTAGCGACCATGACGAAAGTACATGGAGCAAAATTGTCGGAGCTTATCGATTCCAACTGGGATGAAGCCACTTTGCAAACGTCCTTCGACCAGGTGGTTGATGGAAAGGGCGAGAAGGTCAGGGAAGCCGAACAGCGACGCGATGTAGCCCAGACCAAGCTTGACAAGATTAACTTCAGAATGTCATCGTTAGAATCCGACCAGAAGAAGAAACGTTCAGATCTTCAAAAATACGAGAAAAGCGTTCGCGATGCCATTGGCCAGGACGAAATTTCTGAGTTCGACGAATATCTGGAGAACCTTGAAAGAGATTACGAAATGTCAACCACAGATCAGGCCAAATTCCAGGCACAGGTTGATTATATGCGGTCTTGCCTGAAGACAGCTCAGGATGACGATGTCTGTCGCCTTTGCAGAAGGTCATTACAAGACAACAAAGCCCAACATTTCTCGAGAGCAGGCTTCATTGCGAGTATCGAGGGCATCATTGACAAAGCCCAGAAGAACGCGCAGACCATAGATAATGTTGACGAATTGTTCGCTCAACTGGAAACGGTACGCAGTGCAAAACCGAGCTACGATCTGGCCGTCCGCTTGCGAGACCTCGAGCTTCCAGCTATTCAATCGGAATTAGGAGAGGTGACCTCGGAACGCAATTCTATCAATAGACAACTAGAAGAGCACGACGGAATTATCCACGAATTGCAGTCGGAGAAGCAGAACATTGAATCCTTGTCTAAAGATGTACGGTCAATCACGAGCTATTGGCAGCAGGAGCAGGAGCTCGTTAAAAAGATCCAGACTCTCACGGAAAAGCAAAAGGCAGCTGGCTTGTCACGGGGCATCGATGCGATTCAAGCAGAATTGAAGAAAATCAGTGAAGAAGCCAGGGCAGCAAAAACAACATTGAGCCAACACACGACGGAGCGGGAAAAGTCGCGGAACCTCATTCACAACCTCGAGGTCAAGATCAGGGATGTCAACGCAGAGTTGAGCAGCGCCCAAACTAAACTCAAGGAAAAGCGTGCTCTTGCAGATCGCATAGAGGAATTAAGAACGCACAACAACGATCAATGGGAGATAATTCGTAAGAATGACCAGGAAATCCAAAGTCTGACTCCTCAAATAGAGCAGGCGGAGATTGCATATGAGAGCGTCGAGCGCCGTACTTCAGAGCGGAACAACCGCTTGCAGGAGGAAGCCTCACGGTTATCGGACACTGTGCGTTTGTTGCGCGAAACTGACCAGATCATCAATGCATATATCGACCGGAAGGGGCCGCAACAACTTGCCAGAACGCAAGCGGAGATCCAGAGTCTCAATGATGATCTTGAGCGGATGGATGAGGAAATTCTTAGCGTTACTCGGCAAGTGAAAAAGATCGAAGACACCCTCCGCGATACTGATAATACCAAACGCTCTATCAGCGACAATCTTCATTATCGCAAGGCAAAAGCATCTCTGCAAGGACTCCGCAGTGAGATTCGAGAATTAGAATCTCAGAACGCTGAGAACGATAAGGAGCGATATGAGCGGGACGGAGAGCGATGGCGAAACGAATGGAACCGTCTGAGCACCGAGAAAGCAGCCATATACGCAACGCTCAAGACTAAAGACGATCAATTAGCCGAGCTAATTGAGGAGTGGAAGACTGAATACCAAGATGCTGCTCTCAAGTATCGCGAAGCTCATATCAAGGTTGAGACGACAAGGGCGGCAGTGGAGGATCTTGGACGGTATGGCGGCGCTTTGGACAAAGCGATCATGAAATATCACACGCTGAAAATGGAGGAGATCAACCGCATTGCGGAGGAGCTATGGAAGAATGCATACCAAGGAACCGATGTCGATACAATCAGAATTCGATCCGACAACGAAACTGCAAAAGGCAATCGTTCCTATAACTACCGCGTCGTCATGGTCAAACAGGAGACTGAAATGGATATGCGAGGCCGTTGCAGTGCGGGACAGAAGGTTCTTGCAAGTATCGTCATTAGACTTGCTTTGGCCGAATGTTTCGGCACCAATTGTGGTCTCATCGCCCTGGACGAACCAACCACAAACCTTGATCAGCAAAACATCCAAGGCCTTGCTCGTTCTTTATCTGAGATCATCAAGGTTCGCCGAAGACAAGCCAACTTCCAATTGATCGTTATTACCCACGACGAACAGTTCCTGAGGGAGATGAATTGTGGAGATTTTGCGGATATCTATTGGCGGGTGGATCGAAATGAGAACCAGACCTCCAAGATTGAGCAACAAAGCATTTCAGAGGTTGTATAAACGCGCTCTTCCTTCGTCAATATCACCCGGAGTATCGGCTATTTATTCTTCATGTTTTCCATGTGTCTTCAGCGGCATTCGGGGCGTTCCAGGTAGTCAGACGGAGGTTTGCTTTGTTTGCAGATCTGATTTTTCAGACACAGGCTTCTAGTATCAATTGCATCGTAGGGTGAAATATAACAGAGCTATACTATGAACGTAAGAGAGATCATGCGTGAAGCTTCATGACCGAGGCTATAGTTCGATCGCTATGTCTAGCAATATGACTCAATTACATCTTTGTCTTCTATAGGGCAGATGTTGTATATTGGCCCCTTTCGAGGCTTAAGATTCTGCAGCGTATGAACGTTCATGTACATCAATCCGTTTCTAGGGAATCATATCCATGATCGAATTGTGCTTATCTTTTTTGTTTTAACAAGAACGGTGAATTTTCGATGTCACACTATTGAAGACTTTGAAGAAAAGCAACGATTGGTTGTTGTTCCCCTCCACTGGCCAAGTTTGGACTGTGCTACAGGCACGGTTTGCAGAGTGATTTCGACCAACGCATCCACCCACATAGACACATCATAACACGTCTCGGGTGTTTGCAATTGAACAAGCACTTCACTCCCGTCTTCGAGGATGAGCAACATGGGTGACTGAGGTTCTCACATGTTCGTCTGGTGCTTAATTTGCTCTCACCTCTAAGAAGTGATAATATATCAAGTGCCAGTGCAACCCCAGCCGGAACAACCATCCGAAATCCCACATTCGTGGACCTCTCAGTCTGCCAAATCCAGACCATCTCGAGCAAATCCGCGAGTCAAAACACAATATTGGCCTTTTCCAGACGTAAGGGTAAGTTCAACCACCCAGCTACGTGGTTGACATCCGAAGCAAGGGAAAGCACGACCGAGCCAGAACGTTCACTTCATCCCTGCCTAACGTGTTCACCAGTGAACGTGGTCTATTTGTTTGTTTACTTCCACTAGCTATTTCACCTCACTCTTCATTCCTCTGGCCCCTTCACACACTTCATCATCACATCTTACTTTACTGTTCATCTTTGCTTTTTCCAATATACATACGACAGGGGAAATATGATACTACAAAAGGTTTTGTCGATCTTACTAGTTGTCGGTACAGGCCTGGCCGCACCTGCTGTGTAAGTTGATGATATTCGTGAAATGCTGTTGAGCTTGACTTGGGGATGATTGGTTCCTGTTAGCCTTATCGACATGTTCACTTCACGTTCAGTGATTGCCAGCAAGCACAGGCAACGGCGCAGCGTGGAAGACACAAGTGATAACTGATGGATTATACAGAAATACACGCGGTGTCGCGTTTAATTGGGGATCTGAGAAAATCAGAGGTGTAAATATTGGCGGATGGCTTGTTCTCGAACCGTAAGTCAAACTACGCACTGAATGAAGACGAACTCAATTGACCAAATATCGCAGCTGGATAACACCTTCACTATTCGAAGCTACCGGCCACGATGATATCGTTGACGAGTACACTATGGGCGAGAAATTAGGACCCGAACGCGCTCTTCAGCTTCTTCGACCTCATTGGGATTCATTCGCAACATGGCATGACTTCAACAAGATCGCGCAATCTGGGTTCAATCTAGTCCGCATACCGATTGGATTCTGGGCGTACGACACATTCGGTACACCATACGTTTCTGGCGCCGCACCATATCTGGATGCTGCTATCGACTGGTCAAGAAGCTTAGGTCTGAAGGTTCTGATCGATCTACATGGTGCACCTGGTTCTCAGAACGGATTTGACAATTCTGGTCAACGTACACCAGGACCCAGCTGGACGACGGCGAATACTGTACAGCAAACGCTTCAGGTGCTCAAGGCCATTACCGACAAGTACGCACAACCTGGATATCACGATGTGGTGGTTGGCATACAAGTGCTGAACGAGCCCATGGTCCCTAGATTGGACAAAGGCGTCGTTCAGCAGTTCTACAGGGATGCGTTCAACCAAGTCCGCACAGTCTCAAAGACACCTGTCATTATTCACGATGGATTCATACCTCCCAACAACTGGAATGGGTTCCTTACTCCCTCGGACAACGATGCACAGAATGTCGCGGTCGACCATCACGAGTACCAGGTGTTCAGACCGGACCTGGTAGCCATGCCACCATGGCAGCATCGTCAACTCGTCTGTAACAACGCCGAGTCTTACAATGGTGCTGACAAGTGGACGTTCGTCGGTGAGTGGAGTGGGGCAATGACAGACTGTGCTAAGTATCTCAACGGTCGAGGCGTAGGAGCCAGGTACGATGGGTCATTCGGCGGAGATAGTTTCTGGGTCGGAGACTGTGGCTGGGTCAACGATGTCAACCTCTGGCCCGAGAGTTACAAAGAAGACACCAGGGCCTTCATTGAGGCGCAAATGGCGGCGTTTGAGACAAAGACACAGGGCTGGATTTGGTGGAACTTCAAGACGGAGGGTGCGAGTGAATGGGACGCATTCCGACTCATCGATGCCGGAATATTCCCCCAGCCCCTGACAGATAGAAAGTTTGGCGCGATATGTACAAACTTTTGAGTGGTCCTGCCTGTCCCTTGATCCCCGGATATATCTCACAACAAATATCTCTTCGAAGTGGAGTGTTCATATTGCGGCTACAATCACTGTCATGGTATGCGAATCATGTCTCTGCGGGTGAGGCTTTTCTTCGGATTTTTTCCCTCCACGATGGGATATTTTGCGAGCCTATATCTATTTCGGGGGTATATAATTTCTTTCCAATCTTCTCCGTTTATGCGAACCTGCCATTTTCACATGTGATCAAGGGGTTTCCCCAATGAACGTGGGAAGAGTCTACAGTTTGTTGGACTTGTGTCATGACTTGGACATAATAGTTCGCTTTTAACGTTCCCTTATTCTTTGATGTGCGATCGATTGATCTCTTGAAACCCAGAAAGCCATTACACGATCAAGATGGAACACCCATACTACATGCCGTGCTCATCTCCAGACTCGATCGATATCAGGATACCCATAAATCTGAGGGCGCCACATGTCACTTCCGTGGCTTCTGGGCGAGACTTCTCTTCCCGCTCTGGCGTAGTTACCCGGCAAAATGCCTCTAACGCCGGCATGATACTATCTGACGTTCTCGCGTGCGATGTGCTCATAGACGGAGCTTTTGTTGGCCTACAGTGATTTCCCCGATTGCTGGGGCGATGTGGTGTGAAGCTATCGTTGATCGATCCGACGGAGTATTAGAATAATCCGCGCGCATTGAGTGTATGGGCGACGCTTTCTTCTACGAGTCTAATCTCGAGCGGGCGAGCCGTTGACGTTGTCGGTAGGGACGATCGTGATCTTCTCGGAGAGAATGTAGGGAGAAAGTATATGATACTGTGGCGGGGAGATTGCAGATACACGGCACATCATTGCTTTCCAAGTCTCCGAAAACGCCGTTTCCGCTTCACTTCTTCTCCCTCATCTCCCTGCCGCCCTCCTCGTACATCTGCCTGAGGCTCGGCATGACGTGCTCGACGTAGTGGGACATCATCTTGAGGACGTGGTTTGGGGTGCGGTGGTGGTGCAGCGGGCGCTTGGAGACGTCGCTGAGGCCCGGGTGGGGCACGACCTTTGCGAGGTCCTCCTGCGCCGTCGACTTGGTCGGCTCGAACTGCTTCCAGAACGGCTGCCGCTCCACGAAGTCCTGGTGGATCACGCGCGACCGGTCCACCGTCACTTGGAACCACTTCTTCGCTGTGGGCGGGCGCGTGGCGGGGGTTTCGAACGGGAGAGGGAGGGGTGACGACGACGAGGGCGATGGTGAGGCGGAGTTGTGGTTGTTTTGTTCCGATGCGGCGGCGGACGAGGAGGAGGAGGAGGAGGGGGATGACGATGCGTCTGTTTGGTTTCGCAGCGACGACTGGGTGAGTAATTGGCTCGGCCGCATCAATGTATCCATATCGTCTTCACTGTTTCCACTGCTGCTGTTGAGGCCGCTGCTGCCGCCGGGGGTGTACGGAGTCGGCGGTGCGATGGCCGTTTCATCGTCCAGATCCCCTCCGCTCGATTTGTGGCCGGAAAGTCCGACATCATCGACGACGACGCGCTCGAGTGCGAAACGGATGGGCGAGGCGTTCAAGGCCTGCTGCGCGCCGTGATCATCTTGGTAGATGGCGAGGGCGATGTTATCCGCCGGATTGTGGTACTCGTACTGTGCGTATTGCGACAACTGTCAGCAATTGTTTCCTGTTCACGGAGGTGTGTTTTGGGATGGGTGGATCTAGGGCAAATCTCGGAGAGAGCGAGAAGTTGGGAGCCCCATGCGCTTTTTTGTGACTGGTGGTCTTAACGTACCCGGAGATACTTGTAGGTGCTGATCTCTCCGAAGCGCTGTAGGACGCGCAAGATCTCGCGGCTTTCAGAGAGGTTGGCGGGCCGTGGTTGGATTCGCAGGTGGACGGATCGAGAGGCGAGTAGCTGGGTGGAGGCTCTCCGGGCGAGGACCGACATGACAGGGCAGTACTGAACTGCAGTATAGACAGGAGGATGAGGAGGGGGAGATAATAGGAGATAGGAGAGGGACGGGAGATGTTCAGGGGAGATTGATTGCTCGAAATGCTTGGGGTTGCTTGGGTTTGTTCGTCAGATCAGATCAGAGGGAAAAAGTTCCCCTTTGGTGGGTCATCGTCTTTCGTTAATCGATCCCGAGAGCCAGGATCTGGGGACCCAACATCACGTGGTTAGATACATGCAATACTCAAAACACTCAGAGCATTAATAGCACCACCTGCATTTTGATTATTTTTGGGTTGAATGGGATAAGCAATCTTGAGAAGGCTAGGTTGGGGGGAAAATGGTCATTTTCACGAGCGTACTTTACGGACAGAAACTTGTAGAGGGATAGTTGAAGACTTTGTATATATATTCGCGACTATGAAAGCTCGCGGAGCTGTATTTGCGACGGCGCAAAAGGCCTGTCGTTTTGCAATAACGCCAGACTCGACCGTGGAGGGAGCACTTCCTTTCCAAACGGTGTACGAGCCACTCAGCCAGAGTTATGTGATCCAATGTTCCGAGGACATCCAAAATGAAGCCTCCTATTTTCCCTTAACTGAATGTGCCCTGTTCCCTCCTTGTTTTGCGCGCTGTTATCCCTGCGGCATTCCCTTGGTATCAATGGTAAAAGAATAGACGCCGTAAACCCGATAAAAACCAAAACACCTTGACGATGCCCTTGTAAAGTTAAGTAAATAGAAATGCAACCAGCTATTTCGATGATCGCTTAGAGATGCGCGACTTCTTGCGCATGCGGATGTTCTTTGTGATGGAGGTGGTCCCAGGGAGACGATCGCTGGACCTTCGAAAGTGGAGCGCGTGGAGAGGAATGTGATCTTGCGAGTAATCCATGCCGATGGCCTCGTCCTCGGAACTCGATGTTGATGAGCTCCGGGAGGAGACTGGAGATAGCGACAACGACGACCTGGACGCGTCATAAACGCTGCATTGCTCTTCGTCTGCAACCATCTTTTCCACAAGCTTCGAGATGTCCTTGACATGGGAGGAGGAGCACTGTAGACGCATGTTGGACTGGCGCTGCATGCGTAGAACGGCAGTCGAGATGCGCGAGTACGGCTGGCAAGGTGGTGATGGCTGGAACGATTCGTTCGACATGGTGAGGTCGTCTGATGAGCCTGCGAGCAAGACCTCCGTTGGGGGCCAGGCACAGGACGGATCCTCCTCGACTTCGACGTGTAGGTTTTGGCTGAGCTTGGTAGTCAAATCCCCAATGGAACATGGCGGTGGTATTGTTGGTGACTGTAGTGGGTGTTGAGCGAGTATTGATGTGGGAGAGACGTTCATGGCAGCGCGGTCGGCTTCGTGGGAGAGCTGAGAGGCGGGTGTGCCGAAGGAGAAGTCTCGAAAGAGAGGCAAAGCCATGGTGGAGGAAGTTGAGGCGAGCACAAAGGCAATCCTCGATGGAGGGGATTCAGGTCGACTTGGTCGTGTACGGAGTAGAAGTAATCAGTCGAGATTGGGATTGATGAATGGGTTGAGATGGATATGATGTGGTGATATGTATGGGTATGGTGTGTGCACTTGTGGGAATGTGCTTGAGTCGGTGGATGTGCAGAAAGTGGGACTTTCTCCAGGTAATAAGGGCGAGGGTAGGGTTATTAGTGTATTGTAATGTTACGAGTAGCGTAGGCGTGGGAGTGTGAGTGGGCGTGGGCGTGGTGGGCGTAAGGTGTAATAGTTGTAGTCGTAAGTGTAGAGTGCAGTGCAGTGTAGTGTAGTGTATGGGTAGTGGAGGATCAAAGTGGAGAGAGTCGGACGGACTGATGGACTTGGACTTGCTAGGACTTGTTAGGGCAAAGTGACTAGGTAGACCAGCAGTGACCAGGTAGACCAGGTAGACCAGGTATTCGGCTGGTAACTTGGTAAAGCCATATGAGTGGAGGTTACACTCACTAGTTACACATTGGGCTTAGCCCGCCTCAATGCAAAATGAATCCTTACACTTCCATACGCACATACCATCCCATCATCACCATCTCTTCTTCATCCTTGCCCTTAGCTACGTCCACATATCCAAGTGGCAAAGACATGTCCATTCACATCCCATCGCTTCCCATCCTTCTTACCAGGAGAAAGGGTCACCTTGGGGGCGCATGAGCACGCCCCAGAACGGCGTGGCGGCGTTCTGGTCGTCGCGTCCAACCCATTCCTCACCATCGAACCCTTTTCCATCTCTCTCTTACTCTCTCCTGTCCTATCCTTTTCGTATCATATCTTACGGCTGTCTTATTCCCACAGCGCTAACTCGCAATCCCATCGCTCACTGGAGGAAGCCTGCTCCCTCACCACCTGGACCTGAACCTGAACCTGACTACTGGCGGATCCATAGAGGCTATAGTGCTGATCCTTTCTAGAATCAGCTTCTAGATCATGACCCGACCAAAACGACGGCCTACCGGAACCCAAGGTCTCCAGGGCCATGTTCAGGAACTGCTCCCAATCCAAAACCCCGATTCCCACTTCCCACTTTCCCACCTCACAGCCTGACTCAGCCCTCCGTTCTCCCAGGCTGGGGCCGCTGTCACACAACATGAAGCTCCCGGCAGCACAGGTCAGTCTGCGACTGCGTGCTGCGTGCCACTTTAAGCTTGTGCGATACAGCGCGCTGGCACCGTGCAATCTAATCTATCCTATTACAGTGGGTTATCCGTCTCTGAGGTCTGGGACGGGGGCTTGTGCTCTGTGCACATGGGAAATGCTACAAAGTATATCTCTCCCCCAACTTGTGCGAGTATTTGCCGGCAATAACCCGCTTCGATACGATGCCCAGCCGCTAGAAATAGGGACAGAAGGGCCGAAGAACGAAGCAATCACCATCGCTCTGTTGAATTGACACTTGGATCTGGGTTTTAGAAGCGGACCCTCTTCGTTCCATTCGCTTCAAGCACCGTTGTCTTGGCGTCGAGCGTTGCGTCGTCACTTTCAACCCACCTTTCCTCAGCGATCATCCACTTAGACAACACCTTTTCCTGTCCATCCAGCTCCCATTTCCACGATCGACACCCTCATCTCCATAATTACTATCGGCAGGGTCCACCATTGCTACCCATCTGCTTGCCTGTCCAATGCCTCCCCATATTTCACAAGGCAACTCGTGTCCCACACTGCCCCTATGGCCTACTGGAGTCTGAAGCCCTCAGCCCAGTTCAGCCTGGTCACAGCCAGACTTCACTGCCCCTCATGACCTAGCCGCGAGGTGGATGCTCTGCCAGCCAACCGCTTCATCTCGTTCTTTTCCACGAGGCAAATACACCGCATGATGGCCTCAGACACTTCGGTCCTGCCGGCAAACCTCAGCCATGCCCATACAATCCCAGAGCGGTGGAAATAACGATTGGTTCTGCACCCAAGCTCAACCAATCAGAACACACCTTCCATCCCTTACTATCATTCCTGGTATCCAGACTCTTCTGAACCATATGCTAATAACACCTGGACCTACGCGGTCCAGTTTATTTTCTCAAGTGTCAACAGGAAGAAGAGAATCTGCCCTTGTCGAATGATCGGTTGGTTCCACCTCTGTGATCATCAATGTGCATCAAACCATACCTCAGGAACTTGTCGCACCACGTTGGATCTATGCTGTGGCAATCAAGCCACCAGAACTTGCATATCGACAGTTCCCTGTACGGAATCTGCACAAACCCGTGATAGTTGCCTGATTGGCAGGTTGTCGTTTCAACTATCGACAGAGTTTAATCTGCCACTCTATCTAGTTGCCTAAGCCGTACTACTTGCAAGAGTTATCCTACGAGTGGAATGATTAAACCTTTTATCCAACACCTTCTTATGGCCAACATATGATATCACAACACATATAGGCGCCAAACAATACCTGCTGCACGTCGTTTCGTATGTACCGGCAAAATTATATGAGAACTCATGGAACACGATCTAATCTCGATTAGGGATTTGAACTGGTCGCCACGAACGCTGAAAGGCACTTGAGTGAGCCAGTCATCAAGATGACCACTGGATAACTCCGCCGGAGCAATATATTCTGACAATGATGTAGTATCTGGTGAAGTTCGGGCCCACCGAAGTGTGCACCGGAAATGGGGCCTTTTGTTCAGCTCAATGAAGCTTATGCACAACAACAGTTTGCTAGGCGTAGAATGGTACCCTATCAGTCCAGCCTGACGCTTTGTCTCCACCTAGAAGTAATACTGGATCTACAATTCCAGTTGCTTGCCTACTAAATCATTCTTACTACAGCTGAGCATTACTTCCGTCTGCATTGATGTCAGTTGGGTACAATTCACCAGGGTTCACGCATCATCATCACCCAACAGTATCATTACAAGGAGACGATTCAAGATTGCAATGTGACCCATCACCTCTGTACAGGCATGGCCTTTCTCAGCCAGTGCCAAAGAATAGTTCATGTGTTTGCTACATACACAATCAAACAACTCAAACTAATCGATAATCACAAGCTTATGGCTCCTCCTAGGTCCTTTTTGATAGTTGGCTTCACAGGCCTAGTTTTCTTTATGTCGATTGCGGTGCTCTGCAACTCTACGCCTTTGTTTGTCTTCTCTGGCGGATTCGTGCACTTCACTTCCAATCTGTTAAGGGAGAACAAAGACAAGCTCAAGCCACATTTATTAACAAAGATGATCCAGCTCCCCGTAAAATCTCTTCACTTCCACTTTCTTCTCTTGAAGTTCTATGCGAAAGCGATTGTATCAGATCGACACATCGACCACCGTCTCTCCACTTGAAGCAACCAAAGTACCACAAACATGCCGTTCAACTTTATCAAGTCAATTTTCCCCGCTCAACCCTCTCCTGGCAATGGACGATCCGTTCCTGAACAGCCACCCCAGAGAACCCGCAGATCTCCCAAAGAGTACGAGGCACGAGTGACGAAATCGAGACGAGCATCGGGTACTTCACAGAGCTCGCCATCAAGTTTAAGTGAAGAAGAGTCGCCAGAAGAGCCCCATTCCCTCCGCCGTCGACTATCTTCCTACAACCCCGACGAAGAGGAAGGCTGGGGTGTGGGCACCACAGTAGCAACAGTACTGGAGGAGCCTGCTCCACCTCGCGTGCGTGCTCCGAAAACTCCTCCCCGTACCGTGATAATGCAACCAAGTACTGTACCAACCGGAGGGAAGGGTGGGCAAACAGTCTCTCCAGAGGGACGACGGAAGATCAGAGAGCGTTGGGCGAAAAAGGTGGACGAAATAAAAGAGAACGCCGTGCGCAACGCCATTGTAGAGGCCGATAATCTGGGCGTATCTGCAGAGGATCGCGAGCAGGGTGTCCGCGAAATCAAGAGCTCTATTGAAGCGGCCAGTGGACAGAGTCAATACCAAAAGGGGCAACAACCTAAACCAATCACAAACCAAAGCAAGATGCCCCTTGGTAATCGCAAGCCCCGGCCCGCCCCGAGGCCACCAAAGGTCAAGAAGCGAGTCGTGAAGCCTGATGAAGAGAAGTCGGAATGGGAACTCCGCCCCCACGAGCTCGCCCAGAAGATGTTCAAAGAACATGCGGGCGATGCTAAACGTGTCGCGGAGGCAATCAAAGCAAGCCTAGCCGCAGACGGTATTGCTCATCCAGAATATGCCCTTCGAGACGTCGAGTTGCGCAATGCTCACTGGCAGCTTATCAATCTTGTCGAAGCATTCTCAGAGGAGTATTTCGACTTCCAGTTCGACGATACTGAATCTCTCACTGAGCGTCTGGCTGAATTCGCTCCCGAGACTGTAAGGATCATCGGATGTGTTGCTTCTGGCGGACCTGGAGGGCCGGGTGGATGGCACCAGATGTTTACCTACGCACCGAAGAGACGCGCACTCGTCTGTGCCATCATCGGAAATGTAATCTTCGAGCAAGTGTATCAACATCTCTTCTTCGGTGGCCATAGGAGTCAACTGGAAGAACTAGGTCGCGTTCAAAAGCAAATGGCAAACGCGGACGGTAAGTATTCAACGAACAACCCCCCTCACCTTCAAACCGTTCCCCAGACTGACCACCACAGGCTTCGATCGCAACCGCAAATACGCAGAAATCATATTCGGGGCACTTGAAGGCCGTGCCAACGGCGAAATCACGCTCCCGTACTATTTCCATGACCACGTCAACGAAATATTAATCGCGCTGCTAACCCACCTCGAGCCCATCATGACCCTCAGCCCGAAAGTCAAGTCCAACTCCACCAGACACTATAAAGCCATAGGCCGAGACCTCTACAACATCATAGTGAAAGCCGGCATCATCAGCCTCATCATGCGCTGCGACCCCCACACCATCTACCACTTCCCGCACAGCTTCAAAGAAACCGTCTTCGACGGCAGGACGATGGAGGTCGTCAACTTCGAGGACATGCAGGCCGAGGACCCGCGAAGCCGTAAGTCGTGGCCACAGGGCTACACTAAGGACGACAAGGACACCGCGCGGAACTACAGCCCCCTGACCCAGATCATCCTCATGGACGGCATCGAGGCGTACCGCCGCGGCGGGTGGGAGACCGCTGATTCAACCCGCTGGTCGCCCGAGTATGCCCAGGGAACGGAGAATGAGGGCTTCAGGGTCCGCAGGATCGTGCCTGCGTGGACGTATCTCAGGTGGGGAAAGCCTAGGAGGTTCGAGAGGGGAGTGGAGATTGCGAATGAGAAGATCCATGGGAAGGATTGGAACGGGGGGTTTGTGGAGTTCCAGGATGTGGAGGGAGTGCCGAAACCGAGACCAGTCGTTGAGAATGACGGAGACTCCTCCTAAGGGTTGTATGGCTTCACCAATGGTTTGATATAGATTTCCTTGTTCTTTCTCTACACTCTTGGATGGAAACTATACTTATTGTCTGAACTTTTACTCTGCTCTTAAGTGGTCATTTAGTATAGTATTCCCAAATGATACAATATTTCCTAAATGTAGATTGTCAGGACTTATTTCATGTAAAACCATGCCCTTTCTTCATGAAGTGCTGTCCTTTGTTATGCCATCACGATGTTACTGTGAGGTTAGAGAATACCGGCGCTAATGCTTAAAAGGGCAATTGGTCTTGGCATAACCGTTATCGATAACACCAAAATTTCTAGACTGTGCATCAACATGTTACACTTTTCACCCCAACCCCAACCTCTACTATCAAACCGCCCAACGAGCTCTCCGAATTGAGGGTTGCGGACCGCTTTCGCTACATATTAGCTATTTCATCACTTTCACGACAAGCGATCTAAACTTTCAAGATGTCTGGAAACCTGCGAAAGGTAAGAAACAAGCCAGTCCCAGACACCCCCAATTAAAACGACACAGCCAATTCAATGAAAACCCGAAGTCTAACAGAAACAACAGGACTTCCAACGCCGCAACCACCGCGAGCGCGCGCAGCCGGAAGAGCGACAAAAATGGGGACTCCTCGAGAAGCGCAAGGACTACAAGCTGCGGGCCGCGGACCACAAGACCAAGGTCAAGAAGCTCAAGCAGCTCAAGCAGAAGGCGCTGGAGAAGAACCCGGACGAGTTCAGCTTCAAGATGCTGAGCAGCTCGGTCGACTCGGCGGGCCGCAAGGTCGCGTCGAGGGGCAACACGGCGCTGTCGATGGACGTGGTGAAGCTGCTCAAGACGCAGGACGCAAATTACATCCGGACGATGCTGCAGATGGTGAAGAAGGAGAGGAGGGAGTTGGAGGAGAGGATTTTGCTGGGTGAGGAGGGCGTTGAGGCGGTTAGGGATGGGGAGGAGGGGGGGAGGAGCGGGAAGCATATGGTTTTTGTGGGGGAGAAGGAGGATCAGGATGCGTTTAGGGCGGATGAGTGGTTCGGGACTGAGGAGGAGTTTGTGGATAGGGCGTGGAATCGGCCGAGGAAGGCGAAGGATCTCGTCGTTGCGGATGCGGAGGACGATGAGGAAGAAGGACTTCAATCGAAGAAATTGTCGAAGAAGCAGCAGGAGGCCGAGGCACTGGCTGTGAAAGAGCAGAGGAGTCTGGCGAACAAGCGTGCGAAGACACATGAGAGGGCGCTTGCGCGGCTGGAGGCTGTCAAGGCGAAAGAGAGGGATTTGAGAATCGCAGAAGAGGAGCTAGAGAAGCAACGAGCGAAAATGAACAACACCATTGGCGGGACGAATAAGAACGGTGTCAAGTTCAAGGTCCGGGAACGAAAGCGATAATTGTCCAAGTCTCGAACGGAATGAATTGGTCGTTCTGATGACGCAAAAAAGCTATAGTACAATGATACCCCATGTCTCTCTCATACTACTATCTGTTCTCATATCGTTTTGAAAAGTGATTGGTATATGCTGCCAAACAAGACCAAACGCAATCATAGCCTCGCCGGCATCCTCATAGCACCATCCAACCGTATCACCGTACCATTCAACATGCCATTCTCGATGCTATCCCTAACCGTCCTCGCGAACTCCTCCGGCTGACCCGCCCTCTTGGGAAACTCCATCGCATTCTCCAAGCTCTGCTTAACCTTCTTACTCATCATCTTCGTCATATTCGAATCGAACAGCGCAGGCGCAATCGTAACAGCCCTGATACCATACTTCGACAGATCCCTGGCAAGCGGGAGCGTCAACGCCGCAACCGCGCCCTTCGACGCCGCATACGAAACCTGGCCCATCTGGCCATCAAACGCCGCCGACGAAGCAATCATGATGATGACGCCGCGCTCGCCGTCCGGGCCCTCGGGCGCCGCGGTCGTCATGTACGGCACTGCCTGGCGGATCAGGTCCAGCGTGCCGCGCAGGTTGATGTTCAGCACGAAGTCGATGCTCTCGATGGACAGCGGCTCGTTCTTCTTGTCGACGATGAGGCCGGGGAGGCCGACGCCTGCGCCTGCGACAACGCCGCCGATCGGCTTGCCGGTCGATTCGACCCATTCGAATGTGCCTTTGATTGCGGCAGCTATGGAGTCGGTGCTCGAGACGTCGGTTTCGAAGAACTTGGCCCGCGAGCCGAGTGAGGTTGCGATGGAGGCGCCTGAGTCGGCGTTCAGGTCGAGAAGGGAGACGTAGGCGCCGCGGGAGTGGAGGTCGCGAGCTGTCGCGAGGCCGAGGCCTGAGGCGCCGCCTGAGATGATGTATGTGCGGTCTGCGATCTTCATGGTGGATTTGTTGCTTGTGGGATGGCTGATGGATGCTTGCTGGTAGCAGGGAAGGTAAGCTACGGGGAATGCTGATATATGGCTTGTATTTCGATGTGGAGATAAACGGAGGATAAGATTGACAGTATATAGGTTGTCAAAAAGTTTAAATCAGTTTGAAGAGTGTAAGAAGCTAAAGTCAAGCTATCCCATGGAATTGTATAACATGTGCTCACCCTCAACTCTAGTGGGGACCAGCACATCCAAGTCCAACCTCGGCTCATCCAAAATCGAGGTCCCTCCATCAAGTCGGATCGGCATACACTCCAACCTCCGACATCCCGCTCCGTATCCTCATCATCGCCCGCTCCCGAATAATATCAATCTCGAACCACCGCAATCGAAAGTGGTGCTCTCCAGCTCCGCAAAGAAGCTATCTCATCGTACGCAAAGCAATCAATCAAACCCCCTCCTCACGACCCCTCCCCCCCTCTCAACTGGGGCCCTTCTCACACGCCCATTCCAAATACCTACCTCGCAGAGCCAATTGGTGCTCAGTTTTTCCTACCCATGGCAATGGCGCCTCCCGAAATCGACGACAGATCAGAGACCGGCATCGCTGGGAAGAAAATCCCATTTAACCCCACGCCGCTGTCCGCGCCCCAGGAACAACAGGTCCGAGACATATACTACGCAAACGTGCGTCTGAAGTGCGCGCCGGAGATTGAAGGTATTTATATATCCTTACCCTGCCTGTTCTACCCTTGAAGAAGTCATGGCATGATTGTGCTACGAGACTTCTCCAAATTGCACAATTCCTTTCTCCTCTTTTTAATTTTCACGATTCTGTTTAGACCTACATGCTAACGTGAATCCCCTCCAACAGCATTCGCGGCCTGCGCCCGTGGACGAACATTAACGATGGTGTGGGCGTGCCGGGACCAGAAGATTGCCATGAACAGCTGCATGCTGCAGTACCAAGGGCAGGAGGAGATGGACCGGGCGCGCAACGAGTGGTTTCGAAAGGCCGGCGAGCGGAAGCGGGCGAAGCAGGAGATGGAGAGGAAGGCCGACGAGGGGAGGAGAAAACACAGGGAGTGGTGGAACTTGGACGAGCAGGGGAAGCTGCAGGGGAAGAAGGCGGAGGTCAGTGATGCTGTGGTGGAGGGGAAGAGGTAGTGTGAAGGATTGCGGTTTGTGGGCTTCTTTTGCATTGGGGAATGAAATCCATCGCGATGGGGTGGTGGTGAGGGGATGATCGCATTGCATGGCGTTGTTGTCCTTTCTTTTCTCTTTTCGATCTTGGGGGATTCGTGGATGTCTGCCCACGAATGTCACGCATGTATAACACGGGACGCAAATGTATCATTAAGAATTTCTGAGAAGGTGCTAGACTATTGTATCATGTAGCACACCAAGCGGTCTGATACCCGGACAGACCTTGTGAATGTAATTGAAAAATTCAGCTCTGGTATACCCCCGTTACCTCCCAAAAAGAAAGACGCCTCTTTTCGTACCAATTGAGTGACTGGATCACTCTTGAACGCCGTAAAAATGCTGAGATTAAAAATGAACTGATTCGGTCCGTCAAAGCCCATCACCCGCTCCATCTGCGAGAAGATCGAAGCTTCCGAAGACAAAGGCGCCTCCTAAGGAAGAACCCTATCCATCCGTCATGTTGGTGTCGCCTTTGATGCCCATCACTTCTTCAAACTCGTCCTCTTCAACCTCCTCTTCCTCCATTCCTCCCATCACGGTATCTGTAGCAGCCGCACCTGCCCCCGAGCTGGCACCGATCCCGCCGACCGGCCCTCCAGAACCAGTCATATCCTCATCCACCTCGACCTCCTCCTCCCAGCTCTCCTTCACGTCCCATCCAACCCCCGTGAAGCAGTACCTCTCTGGCGGCAGCCTGACTCCAAACTCCCTATCCACCCTCGGCAGAGCGATCCTGTTCCTCTCGCTCGCGATATCCGTCATGAACTCCTTGGGCAGCGCAGGTGACAATTGGTACGCCGCGCGCGCGCTGATGGCCGTCTTCAGCGCATTGCTCGAGATGGTCTCCTCGTCTTTCGCGGCGGCCTTCTTGGAGGCAGCCGAGGCGTGTGCGGGCGGCTCGTACGAAATCGCATCGCTCAGGATGCCGGACGTGTAGCGGTAGGTGTAGTCGAGGAGCTGTAGGGGCACGCGTTCCGTGTACGCGTGCACGCCCATCTTCATGAGGAGGATGTGGATGAGGCGCGCGTCGCGCGGCCGCTTTCCCGCGCCGCTGTCTTGCAGCGATGTGAGTGGGTGCGATGGATTGATCGGTATCGAGGCTGGGCCGGTGCTTGAGGCCGGTGCTTGTGAGTTTTGGGAGGCTTGCGGTTGCGACTGGGTGTTCGGCTGCGTCGAGGATGCGGTTTGTGGACTGGGGTTTGGGGCGCCGTTGGCAGTGGTCGGAGGCGTCGAGATTCCATTTTGGAGCTCTGCGGGAGCTGGAGACGCCATGATGTGTGCGTACGTTGTAGATGGAGGTATGTATTGGGAGTCTTATGGGTCTGCGATCCCCAGGTTGAGAGTTGGGACAATGGTCTTGGCAAAGGTCATAGCGCAGGGCTGTTGAGGACTCCGTACGCTTGGGTAACTCACAAACTATATTTACGAGACAGCTAGCATGGGCATGGAATTCAATGTGAAAATGTCCGTTTAGCAAAGATGAAAAGATGGTAGACTGTAGTCAACGCAAAGTAAACATGTCATTTTAATCATATGTAATTAAATTATTTACTACTCTTGCAACATCCAATACGAGCGAAGCCAACTAAGCTTTGACAATGGTTTCTGGATCCTCATCATCCTCATCGCCAGTCGTCTCACTGGCAATGCTTTCGTGCAAGCTTGGTGTTTTCTCCCCTCTCTTGCTCATGCGCTTGAAAGAGCTCCAACCAAGAGAACTGCTCTTGTCCTTCGGGGTTCCGATAGCAGGGCTATGGGCCGGGCTGTCTACACTCCTTCCCATATACCCTGATCCATCTTCATCCATCTCGTCGGGTGTGATTGCATCGGTGGGTTTCTTTGAGAATAACGAGGTTTTGCCTTTTCCAAGTGAGAGGAATTGACTTGTGCTGCCCTTTCGTGACAACTTCTGGAGGAACGATTCTTTACTAATGCTGCCTTGAAGGGATTCCGAAGGGGTATGAGAAAGAGATCGGTCCAATGACTCCCGCGGAGAGGCTTCGGAAACATCCGCTGTAGAGATGGAACGATTGTCCTTCGAATATCGAATATCAAGAGGCGGGGTCCCGTCTTTGCCGTGGTCAGCCCCTGTGTTCTCAGCCGACAGCATCTTCTCTTTGCCTTTCGTCTTATCGGATTTATCGGCCTTGGCGGCTTTTCGCTCTTCCTTCTCGGCTTTCTTTGCCTCCTTCTCGGCTGCTTTCTCGGCTGCCTTCTTAGCCTTTTCAGCCTGGATCTCTGCCTTTTCTTCTTCAGATCTCTTTTCACGTGTAAAGATTCCTTTGAAGACAGGTGCAGCTGGATTCAATTGCTTGGGGGGCGTGGGAGGAACACCGATAGGCTGTGCCATGTGTGATGCTGATGACTGTGGCCGGGTACCAATAGGCGCTTGTGTTGGGGAGCGCGTATTTGCGAGTAATATATCGTCTTGTAGCATATCATCATTCACCAGAGAAACTGTCGAGCCATGCTGTAAAGAGGGTCGCCGGGAGGGCATTCTTGACCACGAACTGCCGTTATTCATGTTGCTCACACTCCAATCTACACCGAGCGGACTGCTGCGCGACCCAAAAGCATCTACTGACCAACCAAAACGCATCTGGCTTTCAGTGGAAGGTCGAGGTAGGACGTTGGCCTCACCGGACTTGGTCGAACCTTGACGGGGCGAAGACGGTCGCTCGCTTCCTAGTATTGAGGTTAGCCAGGGGTCACCCTTAGTACCAAACATGTTGAATCCCCGTTTCCGGGTTGCTACATGCTTGGGGCTAGTTGACGATTCATCGGGTTGGGGCTGGGGTTGGGGCTTGGATCCAAATTTTAGTGAATCATACCAAGCACCTCCAGAATGACTCCCTCGTCGTCGTTGGCTTCCAATGGGATCCAGGCTTCCATGTTCTTGTCGAGGCAGCGACTGACTTTGCGACGGTTTTAAAGAGCCCAGAGGTGGTCCGTCGGATAGTGTCTTTCCCCGCTGTCGATGTAGCCCAAAGAGACCACCAAAGCGAGTGGTCTGAGGATTGTTCATGAATGAGCTAGACGTGGACCGGATAGAACGTCTGTCGCTATCGAGGAGACTGTCATTCGGCGGGAAGTGCCCCAGATACCCAGCACTCTCTCGAGGACTTGCAAACAAGCTTGGAGAGCGGCTCTGCGGAGAGACGGGTGAGCTTGGACTCTGGATATCTTCAATGGTACCTGGAGCACCCAAGCCAGGTAGTACATTGCGCAAATTGGGCGAGGGATCCAAGATTGGCATTGGGGCGCCATGGCCGTCGTCGTCCGTATCTTCAACATCGGTGAGCCCGGTATCGTCAAGGAACAATCCAGATGGTAATAATGCACCAGCTGTAGGGCTCATGGGTGCGCCCCCCGTCAAGCTTTCAATCTCGGCAGCAGAGAAAGATGAGGCGTTGTTGCTCGGTGGAGGCAACGCCATACCGTTGTTAAAGTTGAAGTAAGGAGTTGCATTCTGGAAAGGTGGCGACACATTGTTTATGCTGGTGTTGAACGGGGCTGCGGAGCTTGGGATAAATCCTCCTGGGACAGACGGTAGCAACGGCTCACGCATACTCACGGGTCGCGATCGCTGGCTGTTCCTCCTCCGTGGGACCGGTTCCTGTGGGGCTATACCGGCAAAGAGGTGAGGCTGGCTCAAACGGCGCTGCTGGAGGAAATGCAGTCTGCTCATCGCTTCCTGACCAGCTCGCTCGGCTTCCGTGAATAGGGACCAGGCATGCGCATACCGCTGTTGCAACGACGTCAGTGTTGCAAACCATCTTCTATCCTCTTCCGCATCGGCTGTCTCTGAACCATCCTGTGCATCTCCAACCTCTTCGCCTTCTTCCAAATTCTTTCTCTCCTCTTCCAAGGCCTTGATTTGCGTACCCTTCTCTCGGATGACTTCTTCGAGGCTCTTGTTGACCTGTAGCCCCTCCGCGTAGCGATCTTTAAGCTCTTGAATACGTTCTTCTGCGGTGGATTCATATTCGGCACGTTCCTGTTCAATAGCTTCGGCAGCAGCCCGCAGCTCGCCAGTCTCCAATTCCCAGCGAGCGACATCCTCCTTGAGCTTCTTTCTTTCGTTTTCCTTCTGTTGCAATAGCTTCTCTTGTTGGGTACGGCGTGTCTGAGCCGACGCATTCGCACGCTCTAGTGTCGCAACCTCCTTCCTCAGATCACGGCTAGCATCTTCCTTCTCTTTCAAAGCGGTCTTCTTTTCGTTCCTTGTCTCCATCAAACATGCCTTGCTCGTTTGAAATTCTTCGTCTTCCTCTTGCATCTGTTTTTCGACATCGTCAATCTCGCGACGCAGGGCATCCAGCTTTTCAGTCAACTGTTTGATCGAATCCATGGAATCGGCTGATTCTTGAGCAGCACGGGCTTGCTCGGTAGTTTGGGAGGCCGGGGAGTTGCGTCGGCCGGGTTCCGATCGGCGAGCCCTGGAGATGCTGTTGCTGTGCTCGCGTGTCATGGCTGGTGCGACCAAGGGAGGAATGATTTCGGCCAGGTTCTTGTTCGGGCGGATTATTGGAGTTTGATTCCATTCATCATCTTCATTCCCATCCCCGGCTTCCTTGTGCGGGCCTGCATTGAAAAATTCTTGAGAGGAACTCGGAAGGGTCTTGAGACGGATGGGATCACTCGGGGCTTGAAAATTGGCGGAATTCAATGTCACAATACGAATAGTGTAATGGCTTTCGGGTTTGAGGTTCTCGATCGTCACCGAAGTCTCTTGAGGGGAGACATCGCCAACTGTGGGACGCGTAAATATGTGTCGCATGCAGCCATGGAGGTAAACTTACTATCGATACCGTTGATGCGAATGACATATTTTAAAACGGAGGCGCGCGAGTCTGGAGGTTTCCAATGGAGTAAAACACCATCGGCCTTTATACCGGCGAGGGAAAAAATGGGTGCGACGGGTACCTCGAGGCCGAGCAACAGAACCAAGTCTTCGATGGGTTTTGACAGGACCTGGTAACCACGGTAGGCGACCCTGTGCGGTGGTTAGCCAATATTTCATCCCAAGCATGGACATTGTTTCCATATGTGGTATTGAATGGGTGAGGTATACCAGAACAGCGCGGAGAGCACGCATGCCGTCCTTAACCAGCCGGAGGATAGAAAGACAAGGCTTTCCATACTGTAAGGGGCGACATCCGGTGGCCAGTAGAGGGCATTCTGTGGTTCGGAGAGCATAGCGACAGTGTGGACTTCAGGCGTCGCCACGGCCTGAACACTGGTAGCTGGATGGGAGGTGGGAGATTTGGTAGAAAAGTCCCGGTGGTTGCGGTGAACGTGGGTTGAAGTTGGGATGTCTTAAAGTTGTGTCGGGTAAGTAGTGGTCTGGAGGGTTGAGTAGTGAGTAGTAATGTTAGTTACAAGTGTGCCCGCCCGCCCACTTTCCTAGTCTTGGGGGGTCTTGGGGCTCTTGTGAGGCAAGCTTGTACTGTACCGTACATGTACTTGTCCGTATACGGATAGGCTTGTTATCTAATTAGTCCGTCCCGAGAGAAAGAGAGCTAAGCCTCAATAAGTAAAGACCGAACAGACATGTATCATTACTTAGGTAATACGTTAGTTATCATGTGTGCTAGCTAGGTACCTAGTATCTATGCCAGGCCAGTTTTCATGCTCGTGATGCTGCCGTTGCCGATTTTTCCTTCTTAACTCGAAAGCTTTTCTGCCTCGGAGCTACGAGGTGTACACCTTAGTGACTTGACTTGCTCGCCCTGCCCACATGCTAAAAACTCATTTGTTTCGTTCCTTTCGCCGAAACAAATGTCCCGCGTCGTGCCGCCCTCAACGTCCCATGACTGCGTCCGTGAGCTCTGAGCTACTTCCGCTGTGACGACCGCATTAATCGGCATACGTCTTACAGACCGCATTCCTACCACAATACTGTGTACATACATACAGTCCAGCTTCCTCCGTCCCCCTACATCCCATACCTGTTCGCTCTCTCCGCCTCGTCCGTCACGGTCAGGCAAGGTCTTTTCATTTCGTGATTGCTGATACCTAGTCGTCTTCTTCCATACCTTGTCTTGCTAAACATTCGTCTTTCAGCCGGTGTCCGACCTCACAAGCAAACCTTACAACCTGTCGCATTAAATTGCCCTTCAAGCTATCCCCTGTCCATACCCATACCAGACCTCCAGTCTCCCCTACAAAGCGCCTGGGAAGCGCATGAGCTACAACACCTAGGCGGAAATGCAGTACGTGCGGTCACTTACCGGCACTGTCTCGAAAGGCTGGAACTCTATAAACCCCGCCACGTTAAGCGGCGCAATCGATGTCATCGTAGTCGAACAGGAAGATGGTTTGGTCTGCCCCAAAACAGCAATTCGTGTTCTTAAGCTCACCCAACTATAGGATCCCTCGCTTGCTCGCCGTTCCACGTTCGCTTTGGCAAATTCCAGCTGTTGAGACCCTCTGACAAGAAGGCGAGTTTGCTCAACTCAGTTCACAACTGCAGAAACGGATAGTCTAACAATGGTGTAGGTCCAATTCACCGTGAACGATGTCAAACAAGACTACTCTATGAAGCTCGGCGAAGGGGGCGAGGCCTTCTTCGTCTTCGAAACCTCCGCCGCGATCCCCGAAGAGATGCAAACCTCGCCGCTCACATCGCCCGCGGCGAGTCCTGAACAAAGACCATTGGAGGGGCCAGCAAGTGACAACCTGCCCGACCCCGAGCCTCTAGAGCTAGACGGTAGCATGGACAGAAGGAGGGGCAGGCTGTCCATGTCTGTCCCGCCCAGCGACATGATGCCATCCAACTTTGGGCATAGCAGGCCAATGTCTGGGGATTGGTCCGGATATCAGATACCGCGATCGAACACAGATGACTTGGTACCAACGACGAAAAGTACATTGGTAGACTTGGACTCAAAGGAGAGCGGCCCTCTGTCGGTCAGCAAGGAACAGGCGACAGCTTGGAATTCCTCTTCCCGTCGATCTGCCAGCCCACCTCCATTAAGCCCCGAAGAAGCCATGGCTCGTGCGGTCAAGCTGTCAAAGCAGCTCCTAGTCTCGAACATACCCAACAAAGTCACCGAGCGCGGAGATCTGATGCTGGACATGACGGGCTACAAGAGCAGCGAGGAGGAGGCACTACGGGCCGAAGTCTTTGCACGTAAGCTTCTTGCCGATGAATTAGAGGGCAATTATGATATTGGCACTTTGATTGGCGCAGATGAACATGGAAATCTCTGGATCTACAGCAGCGAAGAAGCCAAGGCAGAAGCCAGTCGTAAACTTGGTTTTAGTCTATTAGGCGACGAGGGGCTACGCTCCACCGATGCTATCTCCGACCCGGGATATCACAGCGATGATGCGCAGAGCGATACCACAGCTGGATACTCCCCTCACATGCGAAGGGATTCTGATAGTGCTGTCGGACTACTAAGCCCTCCGCAAAGCCCGGATGCCACCACGGGTGGAACTAAAAGCTACGCGAAGACTCTAAGACTCACAAGTGAGCAACTCAAGGCCCTGGACCTCCGACCAGGTTCGAATACAATGAGCTTCACTGTCAACCGTTCCACGTGTCAAGCGTATATGTTTTATTGGAAACACGACACACCCATTGTTATCTCAGATATCGATGGCACAATCACCAAGTCCGATGCTCTTGGTCATGTGTTGAACATGATCGGCCGCGACTGGACTCATTTGGGAGTTGCAAAACTTTATACTGATATCGTGAATAATGGGTACAATATCTTCTACCTGACCAGTCGATCGGTAGGGCAGGCCGACACAACGAGAGCGTATTTGAATGGCGTCGTGCAAGATGAGGGGTATAGGCTACCCAAGGGCCCAGTTATCATGAGCCCGGACCGGACCATGGCCGCTCTTCGCCGAGAGATATACCTTCGAAAACCCGAGGTGTTCAAGATGGCCTGTTTGAGAGATATCATGAATCTTTTCAACAAGCCAGCGGGGCAGACTCCTTTCTACGCCGGTTTTGGAAATCGACTGACTGATGCATTGAGTTACCGTTCCGTCAACATTCCTTCTACTAGGATCTTTACCATCAATTCTAATGCCGAAGTCAGCTTAGATGTGCTTTCCTTGAACAGCTACAAGACCGGCTACGCCAGTATGCGCGAGATCGTGGATCATTTCTTCCCACCAGTTGGTCTGTTAGTACCAGCCGGGGGTGAACAATTCACTGATTTCAGTTACTGGCGCGAGAAACCGATGGATCTTGAAGACTTCACGGACAGCGAGGAGGATGAAGAAGATGATGATATCACAGAAGCAGCCAGTCTCCGTAGTGAGGATGAAGGCTCCGAGATTGGCGAGGATCTTGAGGCGAGCTACATGACGAATGAGTCTGTGGAGGATGCTGGACTTGAAGATTCCATTCTTGAAAGCGTGGAGGGTGACGACTATGCAGAAGATGAGGAAGAGGAATATCTCGAGGGCCAGGACGAGAATGGCTTGGAAGAGTACGATGCATCGGATGCAGAAGATGAAGAACTGGAAGAGGAAACGGGCACGCCTACGGACGAGGTGAAGCCTGGCGTTGAAGGGCTCACAGAAGAGGTCGATTCCTTGAGCCTCAGAGATGCTACACCGACGCCTCAGGCGAGCCCTCAGAAGGGACGAAAAAGCCCCCCGCCGATAGCTTCCTCTCCAAGAAGAGTAGGGAAGTAGCAATCATAGATTTTGCATGGACTATCTTCTCGGTGATCCGGCATAGCATGGCGTTCATGAGCGACGATTTTATTTTCCCGTTAAAGCATACAAGTCCTTTGATACGTCGTCTTTCTCTTTTCGGGCATGGAGCGGGTACCATAGATAGTAAGATAATCGCGGGTAATATCTGTTTCATATCTTCAAGTAGCATATTTTGGCGGCATCCGTCGATTGGTGCACGAAGGCCTTCTCAAACGCCTCCGCTACACAGACGCGAGGGGGGGTCCTGACAAGTTAAGGCCCCCGGATGATATGTATACACAGTACATTGATCGTAATCCTGTAGCACGCGCGCACAAATTGAGTGGTTCGGTGGCGCACCTAGATGGCGCTGAATACAATTGAATTGAGACCATTTACAGAGTAAGGCTGGCACATGCAGTAAGCTGTAGGGATGCATGCGCGTGTTGTGTGCATCCACCTCATGGCACTAGGGCCAATGGGAATGAGGAAAATAAATACTTACAATAGATGCTGAGAGACCGGGATTTACTGGCGAATGCTGAAAGCCCGAGTGTTTTGACATTGCAACGTGGGTTGATAATTGCGTAGTGTAGGCGACGAGCATAAGCAATTGCTGCATGGCTGGCATGCAGTTGAAGGGTACGAGGCTACGAGGTGACGAGGTATTATAGTGCCTGAGTTGGCCTGGCCTTTTTCTTTTTCGTTCTTTGGGCACAACAACTTGTCTGACTCTCTCTGGTTCCGCCCCTCCCATCGTCTACTCTACCTCATACATTTACCTAGTCACCTAGGTAGTTATTCTTACACACTACAGAGTCACACTACTCGTACTACTTCCACCCCTCGTCACTATTATTTTCTTTCTCCCCCAAAATAACCCAAACCCCAGATTCGCAAAAGCCCCCAAAAATCCTGCAATCCCCTTCCCCCAAACGTGACTCCCAGAGCACACACATACAGGCAGCTTTCTGGTCCTCTCGCAGTCTAGCGAGTGACACATCAAACAAGCTTCCTCGACAAGCAATCAAGCAACAGTCGTGACTCCGCGAATAGGCATGCCCCTAGATACAGAGCACTTCCTAGAGCGGTAACCACAAGAGGAGGCTAGACCATCATCATGGCCAATTCAAAGTAAGATATCCACACAAAGACTCGCAGCTTGCGAGACTCGAGCAGATGTTTGTCGAGGTGAAAAATAGCTATCGACTAACGTCTTCACAACGTTAGATATGAATATGTTCGGGACTTTGAGGAGACGGACAGACTACTGCCAGGGACATGGATAGTGGTGCGCATCGATGGTAGAGGGTTCACAAAGTACGTCTCAGCATCGCCCTTTCGTATCGTCTGCCTTTCCTATTCTTGTCTCCTGTCTTCCCAGCCTGGTCGCACGTCGATGTTTGCCTCCTATTTTTGAGGGACTGGGACGATCGCATGGCTGCATATAGGGTCTCGGTCTTGGGAATTTATCCATGCCACACCCCATGTTTCGAGAAGCGAACATGCGTTCTTTCCAAACTTTGCAGCATGTACTGATGCAAATGGCTCGTTGCACAGGTTCACCACCCGGTACCAATTCGAGAAGCCCAACGACCGAAGGGCGCTCGATCTCATGAATGCAGCCGCCGAGGCTGTCATGAAGGACTTGCCCGATATTGTCCTTGCTTATGGAGATAGCGATGAATTCAGGTATGTCTTAGCTCCTTCACATGCACAGCTGTTGCTGCATATCCAATACTGCCCTCTCCGACAATGCACCATGTATCATTTGATAAATGGCCATCATAATGCGGCAGATATAGGATGGAGCAGCTGTGAGCACGTGAAATTAAACAATGATTGGTATCGAGGAAACTGATCTGCGTTACACAGTTTTGTCTTTCATAAGAATTGTACCCTGTTCGAGCGGAGGGCGAGGTAAGCACACCTTTATTTCCATTTCCACGCCCCATTTGCCTGCTCGTTTGCCTCAGCTTTTGTCCGCCTTGTACGACTGTCCTCGAACACCTCGGGGTTGCGGGACCATGCTGACTCTACTTTTAGCAAGCTGATGACCACCATTGTGTCAACCTTCACAGCTAATTATACCTTCCTCTGGTCTACCTGTTTTCCAGATTCCCCACTCGCGCCGCCTCTACCATCGTTTGATGGACGCTGTGTATGCTATCCAAGTGACCAGTATTTGAGAGACTATATGAGTTGGCGTCAGGTGGATTGTAAGACAATTTTATAACCTTAGCAAACACCACGTCCGTGAGTATCGTGCTGACTAGAACTAGGTCACATCAACAACCTTTATAATACCACTTTCTGGGCTCTTGTGAATAAAGGTAATATGCAAGCAAGAGAAGCAGAAGAATTGCTCAAAGGCACCGTGTCATCGGATAAAAACGAGATTCTCTTCTCTCGCTTCGGTATCAATTACAACAACGAACCTGAGATATTCAGGAAAGGGAGCGTATTATATCGAGACGTAAGCTCGCCCAGATGTTTAATCGTATACGCCTGCTCACAAAGCTTAGTTCTTCGAAGCTCCAGCACAAGTACCTGCCCCGAGCGTAGCTGAAGAGAGTACTACATCACCACCACTTTCACATCCGCGTCCACAGAGAACTATAAGACGACCTATGTCCCAGCCAATTGAGCGTCCAGTCCCGGATCTTCGAGCATCACCATTGTCAGACTCTACCATACGAGGACCAACCTTCTTGTCGACATCAACAACACCGTCTCCTCCACCATCTCCACAGTCACTGTCTATTCCTGCATTCTCCAATCCTTTCGCGCCACCCACCACGGAGACAGCAACTATGCCTACCAACGGCGGTCATTCGCACTCAAACTCGACAGTGAAGTCACCACTCCCTCAATTGACACCTCTACCACTACCTCCTCCAACATTGAAGCCCAGCACCAAACCACCCCCTTTTCTGAACCCTCCCAACTCCGTGGCGCACACAAACACCAGCCCACAGCCCTCCCCACAGATACAAATCCCAGATGTCCTCTCAGAACGCTCGATATCCAACTCCTCCAAACCAATCGCAACCTCCTCGCGGCCAGTCCCATCTGCAGATCCTCCCAGGCTCAAACACCGCTCCCCAAGCCTCAGCATGATCGACTACACCGCCAAACCCCCCATCATCCCCCTCCGCATCTCCTCGATACCAATCGACAACCGAACCCGCAAGCTCTCCCTACCATCCTCCCAGAAATCTGCCCTCTTCAACCACCACCACCACGCACCATCATCCGAAAAGGACAAAAACCTCTCCACCATGAAAGAGCTTCCCATCCCCCCAAGCGGAGGAGACGACATAATCGACCTGCGCAACAAAGTCATGGCCGGCGAACTCCGCCTCGACAGCCTCACCCCTGCCAACCCAGCCAGCCGCCCGGGATCAAGACTCGGAGTGCAAGATACACCACCACCACCACCACCACCACCACCACCAGAGCAGACATCGACGGGCGCGAGACCAGACCTCCAGCAGCGCGCGAGGTCGCACCCGCGACTACGTTCGGCACCGCCCACAGCGACGACAACAACAGCCTCGACGTCAAGACTACCATCCCCTCCCGCATTATCGAACATCAAAACCAAGAAGTCCTTCAGCGCATCCCCTCCACCCCCCTCGCAGCCGCAACAACAGCCACCCCCATCCTCTTCATCACCCGCTGGGGCGAGCAAACCCAACAGCGGGAAAGCGAAAGCCAAGGCGAAAGCCAAGGCGAAAGTGCCGGAGGAAGAAGGCGGGTGGGCGGCCGCGACGAAAGAACCCAGCCGCACGCAGCGGGAGAAGGAGAGGAAGAAGAGGACGAAGGCGAGGATCGTGATTGAGCATGTTGATGTTATCAAGGATGAATTTTGGATTAGGAGGCCTTGGATATTGACGGGGAAGGCGGGGCTGTGAGAAGTAGGTTAAGGGGATAGGGTTGCATTGGAAGGGGTGATGGCGTTTTGTTTTCACATTTCTGGGTTCTTTCTTTTTTGAAGGGGATGAGACGTGATTAATGATAGATGATGGCGCGCTCTCCGGGATTGCAGTTTGGAAAATGTTGTGTTGTATTTCTAGGATGGGTATTGCAGAGACGATACCTCGTGGATCTAGCTATCTACCATGTGACGCTATGCTTGACAAAGAAAGAACGGAAATGCTTGAATGTGTCTCGTAGATTTGTGCAAACATGATGAGGAGAAATGTCTAGATAGCTGTCTCGCCGCTCAATGCTAGCTCCTGCAGCCACTTCTTGCGCTCGACATCCTTCCCCTTCGACTTCTTCTCTTTCGCCTCCGACGTGTCGCCGCGCTTGGACACTCGCTTCTCTACTGTGCTCTGTCGTTTCTCCTTGAACGATTGGTGCTTTGAATTTCCTGGTTGGAGTTTAGACAGGATGTTGGCGTCGCCCTCGAGGTCGGTGAAGAATAGAGCGCCGGTTTCGGGCTTTGCGGCGGGTTGGTCGGTACCTGAGCCTGCGCTTGAGGTCGAGCCTGAACGCTGCTCCTCTTTCTTCTGGATCCGACGGAGGACGTATTGCTCGAGTGTTTGGCCCTTCTTCGCAGCACGCTCTTCGTATTGCGCTCTTTCCTTCTCAGACAATTTGGCGATCTTGGCCGAGGCGGCGGTGTCGTCGCTTTTCTCCAACGTCTGGGTTTGCTTAGGACCGCTAGCTTTCTTGTCCTTGTTCTTCTTCCCCTTGTCCTTTAGTTTCCCAGCCTTCAGGATCAACTTGAGGTCCCGTTCGCAGCTTTTCAAGGCGTCCTCTCGCGATCTATACTTCTTGAGTGTCGGCAGGTCGCCCCTGAGCATAGCGTCCGCGATCATTTCTTTCTTCAGCAACTTCTGCGCTTCGCGCTTTCGTGTCTGCTGTTCCATCTTGACCTTCTTCGGCCTGCCTGATTTGGCGGACGGGACGTCCTCGAACTCGCCTGCTTTCGCCCGGGCCTTTATCTTCGCCTTCATCTCACGGTTGATGCGCTTGACTACGGCATGGATTTTTGTTCGTTGTCCTCCACTAGCGAAGCGTTCTACACCCGTCGCCTCCGTCGCCTCTACGTCGCCGCCATCCTTTGGCTTTTCTAATCTCTGCCTCTTCTCCACATCGTCGGACTCTTCCTTCTGCGCTCGCTTGCGCTTTTTGGAGCTCTTTACGGGGGGTTCCGGAGCGACGTCGCTCTCGCTGTCGGAGGATGACTCGGAGTCGGAGGAGCTGTCGCTGGCTGCTGCTGCTGCTGCTGCGGACTCGGAGGCGGAGGTAGCTGGTGTGCTTGCTCCGGACTGCGACGCAGATGAAGCAGATTGGGAGGATTCGGCAGCGGAATTCGGGTCCTCGATGGTGCCTGTCAAGCCTTCTCCCTTCACGAAGAAACTGTATAGTCCGCCTCGACTGATGCCCACTTTGCGCACTTGGTTTAGGGTGCTCTGGTAGTGATGTTAGATCCTGCTCAAGGGATCGAAGTAGAGGAATCCCATTGGAATAGAGGGCGATTGCATACCTCTTTGCCGGTGCCAATGTTCTGCAGACTCTCGTCAAATGCTCGCATCCACCACTGATCAGATACGCTGTGAGCGGCCTTCTGCTTCCCCAGACCCAACTGGTCCTGCTTGTGGGAGATCAATAAGGGTTTTGTGATGCCACGATCCGTGCGATCCAGAGAGTGCCCAGTGCCTCTCCAGCCGTATTTCTTCAGGTATGCGTCGGCGTTCATCGAAAATTGAGACTGATTCGGCAGCGAAGGTTTTCTTGTCAGAGAAACACTACACGGGCGGGACCTAGAAATTTTGGTGGGTATTTCACACTAATGTCCGAAATCTTGGCATCCTTCCCTGGTCTAGCCCAAATGAGAACGATATGGTCCAGTCTCTCAGTCTACTATTGTTACAATCACCACCTAAACACCTCTGTATCTAGTACAAAATAATATTATATTATTTAGTATACAAATATTATAGAAATCTTGCGAAGACTTAAGAAATATTTTTAATGTTTTGTTATTCTGCCCTCTATCATGTCCCTGTAGTCAGTCAAATAACCTTATGAGCCCTCCCCGGGCTATTTCCGGCTCCCCCTAGGCTGAGAGCCAGTAAGACAACAACACCATTGCATTCTGTTGAGCATCTCTCATACATCGCCAAACATCAACGCCATCCTCTGTACTCTAAGGTCCCATGTATGCGTAACACCCTGCTCGTCAGCGGCCTAATGGCTGCGATGAACCCTGATTGTCAATTGATGTACTCTATCGTATCTTGTAACAACCTACCTTACTTTAATTACTGCGCCTACAATAATCGTGTTCGTTCCTCCTAAACAAAAATGGCGTATGACCATCTGGCCAGTCGTCGTTTCCTTACGCCCTCTTCCACGTCGCTATATCATTCTGAACATGGCTCCATGTTTACTTTCGTTTTTCAATCTTTTCAAAAACTCTCTCTTCGCCGGCGCAGTTTTTTGATACTGTCTTTCCTACTCGGCACGTTTTTCACCATGGTAATGAAGCGAGAAAAACTGATATGGCTGTTGACGACAGCAGCTGGAGCATCCCCCATATTGGAATGGGGACAGGGGTCTCTGTTCGATTCACCAGGGCTCCGGTTCGGTCCGAACCAAAAGTTCAAAATCACGATATTTGAAGACCTGCATTTTGGAGAAGGTAAGTTATCCGTGATAGCGATTAGGATTCCTGTTTCCTTGAAAATGATTTATGCGTCTCGAGTCTGATCTGTTGATTCATGACCATTTCTCACATCACATGTTTACGAATAGGCCTATGTTTTCGAATGTGAAGGCGTTGTCACTAACTGATCACCAGAGGCATGGGGTGATCCTGCCCTGATGGAGAACGACCAGAAAACACTCACTGTCATGAACAATGTGCTTGACAAAGAACAGACCAATCTTGTCGTACTAAATGGTGATCTTCTCAGCGGCGAGGCTCTTACCAACAATAATTATACAGCCTACGTTGTGAGTAATCGCCCATCCAAATGGTCTTTCGCGAATTCTAATACTTAGTTCAACTTGAAGAATCGTATTGTGGAACCGTTCGTGAAGCGGAAGTTGCCGTGGGCATCAACATATGGCAATCATGACAGGACGAGGAACACATCGCCCCCTGAATTACTCAAGCAAGAAAAGATAGCAGGCAACATCGGCGAAGGGAAACAGCTTTCCTGGACGAGCGCCATGGTCCAGGGTCCTGACGAAGCGGTCGGCACATCCAACTATTTCATTCCCATCTATGCATCTTCTGGTGGAGGCAATCCCCAAATCTCTATGCTACTTTGGTTTTTCGACAGCCGGTCTGGAAACAAATTTCAGCAAGCCGGTCCAGACGGCAAAGACATAGGGATTGAAGACTTTGTTGACAGGAAGGTGGTGGATTGGTTTCGACTGGAGAAGGAGGCCTTCAGGAGGTTCAATCGAGTCATCCCCAGTCTCGCCTTCGTCCACATCCCCATTCAAACTGCGCGAAAATTGCAAGAACAGGGTGCAGGCGCTGGATCCACGCGCCCAGGACTTGACGAGGAAGCAATCGGACACCAGGCCAATGACTGCAAGCCCACTGGCGAGTGTACTTACAACGGCAAAGATTCGGCTTTCGTGGCAGAATTGGCGAAGACGGAGGGGCTGATGGCTGTGTTCTCGGGCCACGATCACGGCGTGGACTGGTGAGTACTATTTTGGAACAGATCATTCCTCGTCTAGACAGCGCTGACATCAAACATAGGTGCATGAAATGGAGACCTGAAGAAAGCGTCAACAAAGACGGCATCGATCTATGCTTCGGCCGCCACACAGGTTATGGAGGCTACGGCAAGCAGTGGGCCCGTGGCGCTCGCCAGATCGTCATCGACGAAACGCACCTTGCACAGAAGGCGTACGACGTAGATACCTGGATCCGGCTAGAAGACGGAAGCATCTCAGGGCACGTAATGCTCAATTCATCGTACGGTCAAGACGCGTATCCTCCAGCTGTCGCGAATAGCTTAGGAAATGAACCTCAACTCCCAGCGCCTGCCAACGTCTAGCAGACGTGTGGCATCAAACCATGGAACACCGTCACTGAATACGTAACAACCACAACCACTATGTCAGAGACTAAAACCCTGACTTCTTCCGTATCGCTACATGCAGAGATTTCCACTCACGGGTATTGACTGCGAGTAAGCTTCTCTTTTGGCAGTCCGTTGTAAGCATAGTTTTTCTTTCTAAATACCATTAGAGCAGAGACCTCTATTCGACGCATTGTAGGAATATTTAGCATCCATGAACGATAGAAAATCGAATTATAATCTGTCGAGCTTCGTTTTTACTCTTGTCAATTATACTTCCGCAAGAATACGAGAGAATGAAGAAGGACAACTGATTGGCACGTTTTGAAGTCTTCCAAAATCAATTAGGAATGTCGGGTTCTCACTGTATGGAGCTCTGATCTAGGATAACAATTCCGTATTCCTGGATGGTGTCAACACTCAACCAACCCACCTCCTCTTCTCCTCCTTCGGCCTGATCAGATAATTTAACCGTCGAATCTCAGTCCACCGAGAGAGTGCCCCCATTTCCAGAATATTCATCCTCCGTATTCGTCGAGGGGGGCTGCCGCTCATCACGTCCTCCCAACCATTGTGAGCCATAGTCGTGGTCTGCGAAAACGTAGTCTCGCTCTTCGCTTTGGACGTATGGCTCGAAATGACCCGGACATCTCTGAAGCGCCAGAGCACAGCTATGAGGAAGATAGTGAGGAGAAGGAGGATTCCTGCCATTATACCAGTGCAGAGTTGTGTACTAATACGTCGCGAAAGGATTCCACCGACTGCTGTCGCGACGGCGGCACCCACGAAGGCGAACGTTTGTGAGACAAATATCCCAGCCGTCACTCGAGGGAATGAGGAGTAGGCTGATTGCCGGTTGCCGTCTTGCGTAGTCGATGAGTGTGACTTCATCAGATGTGGTATTTGCATTCCTAGTGGAAGATCGCAAACGTCAAAGGTCTCCATGATAAGCCCATAACATTCTGCGACGGCCAGAACACTTGCGAAACCGATTGCTCCAGCAAACAAGATTGGAATCACAAATGGCGTTGTTGGTCCTCCGCAAGAAACACTGAATCCAAGACCCAAGATCGGAAGTAATGCAATGAAAAAAGCGCGGCGGACAGAATGTGAAGTCCACGTAACTTGGTTCCCTAGCAGTTTTCGACTGGTTAGGAGTAGACTTGCCCGCTTTCCGTTGAAGACGTTGGCTTTGGTAAGAGGTATCGCAAGCAATGCTCCAATAGCAACTGACATGACCCCGAATCCGATTTGGTGAGGTTTCCATTTATATTCGCGCGACAACAGCGCCCCAAGGAGCATAATGACAAGGATGATCTGGCCATATATCCAACCGAGGTAGATGGCGAGGATAAAGAACCCCTTCTGACAGCACATCATGAAGCTGAGTCTCATACCCGCATACAATTCGTCAATAAAATGCCTGGGACCTCGTGTACTTAGGTGAAGTCTAACCTCGCCACGTACCACGCACCGAGTCAAGATATTGTAACGTCTGTCGTACACTTCAACCACTGATCTTCGATTCTTCGAACGACGAGTTTCAGAGGCAAGGATATTCAGCACTAGAGCCAGGGCGTTTATGATTATAGTGACGTAGAAGCCCCGATCTGGTGTATGATTTTGGATTATACTGGCGCCGATTTGGAAACCAATGGCAAGTGTCCCGATCCAACACCATGACCAGATACCAAGCCAAAGGCCTAACCCACCACCGTGTTTTCGAAGATCGGCTGCATTCGGAACTTCCTGGTGAGGATGTTTAGATTGTAATGACGCCCCAAATAGGTCCAATAGCACAGTCACGAAGTTTGCATTTGCAAAGCCTAAGACAAGACCAGAAATCCCTCGGCTGAGGAGTAGGCTCGCGCGAAAGCCAGCGTACTTTGGTGAACGTTTCGTGCTGAGAACCATTGCTTGGGGAAATTGCAATGGCAATGCTAGAGCCATTGCTGTTAGAACATATGGTTTTCGCCCATGAAGGAGTGGCAATGGCCAAAATGTGAACGTAGATAAAGCCAAGCCTAGATACAGCCTGTAGAGATAAGTGATTGTTCGAGTCAATTAGAAAATCTGTCTTACGCGACGTTTCCAATAAGCGCATGATGAGCCTCATCAGCAAGAACGTACTGAATTCGTGGCACTTCGCCTGCCTAAACTTACGTCAACCTTGGGAGAAAAGTCAAATGCAAAATGCTTACATATATCCCAACTAGAATGCCAATTAGAGAAGTATTCATACATGCGATAGTAGCAGTAATTCTCTTCCGGCTAGGTTTCCAGTTCCTTGCAACCTGCTGAGGTACTCCATGAAGGCATATTCCTTTGTGACCTTGCACATGCTGTTCATACGGGACTTTTACGTAGCAATGATGAGCCGGAGTTAAAGTATCGGAGTTCCTACTAGCCCAAGCTCTGAAACACTTGCAATGACATTCGCAGAAGAGTGGTCCAGTCTTGTCTGGCCAGTGAAGATGCTTGCGCATTGTTGGACGTTCATTGGATCTCAGACGGTGAAGTATCCAACCACTAGGACGAATGCTTTTTTCATGATGAACAGAGTGCATATTAGGAGGTTTCGGTAGCAGCTCACTGTCCGTGCTGTGTGCAGATCCTCCACTGATGGACGAAGTCGAGGAAGAACAGAGGTAAGGCATCTCACCCTCTTTTATGTACGCCCAATCTATAGCTTGCGGCGGTGTTCCAATTGGATGAGGTTTTAATCCCGTGCCCTGAACATTGATTTCTTGCCGCTTATGCTTAATTTCAGCAATGCATTGCGGCGGGGTGGCATAAGTTGGAGATGTGCAAGAAGAGCAGTCGGAGCACTCGGGTGAGGTGGAGACCTCAAGAGGCGAACACGGCCGTACTGGTACAGCAGATGTACGACGAATGGCATCCAGGGCATCTTCTATGATGCAGTACATCCCCCCAATGTGTTCTTGATCCATTGTAGAGTCTGCGATGTTGACTGCATCCTGCCCATTCTTTTCCATTTGCTCAATTATAGTGCTCAGCTTCCTCCCTTTCCTTGTGTCTTGGATCTGATCACGTCGTGTACTCTCCTGGACCGACGAGCTGTGTTCGGACCGGACGACGGTGACATTCGTGGAAGTGGTGGTTGGCGGTCTCTTTTCTAGCCAAGGGAGCTTCTTGATGGGTCTTTCAGGTGATGCCTTAGCGGTCGCACCAGGCCCGACTCCTCCATTCTTCGGGCTACTGTCGACATGTCCGAATGATCTTTCCATTGATACGTCGGTACACTATTGGAGAAGACCAGTTCGAGAGTCTCATCGATACAGTACCCGTTACAGTTTTGGGGCGGCTATTACCCTTGCAGTTAATCGCTCGGTATCCTCTCGAGCGACGCGATTTGGCTACTGAGTAGAGTGGAGAAGCATCTAGGACATCCGACCGACTTTTGAAGGCTACGGAATTGCGACAGTAGTAAAGATCAGAGCCTATGGTAACCGTAAGAATAGGAGTAGGAACAAGAAGAAAAGACCAAAGTTAAGAGCAGCGCAAAGGTTCGAGGTCAGAGTGTGTTGCCCAAGACTAGGATGAGTGAATACAAGATCTATATAAGCGGTAGGGAAAAAGAGAGTTAAGAGCGATGCGGTTGCTTCATCTACCTCACGTCGCATAAACCTAGGCAACCATTGAAAACTGCGGAAGTTGCGACTCCAATGTCCATTGCGAATTATCTATATGAGCCCAGTAAGCTCAACAAACTATGGAATCCACCAATATTCAACAGGTATGCAATGACTGAATCTATGCCTACAATGCTGATTTGACAGTTGCAGAGTCGTTCCCATGTATCGCTTGCAGCACTGTTTTGGTCATTGCAAGAAGCTTTTCTTCTTCGAGTCGTCTAGCCACTAGCTGTAGGCTGACAGGCATGCCATGCACAAGGGCGGGTTGATCTAGAAAAAACCTCAGTTGCTTTCTCAACACATAAGTAGTATAATTCTTACAGTCTTGTCGTGTCTCTTTGTCCAAGTCGCTCAGTGGCTGATCTTGGACAGCGGATTGGTCCTTCTCTTGGTCGGCTGTTACATTGCAAGGGAAAGACACAGCGGAATAATCAACGACATTATAAACGCCAGTGTATCCCACGTACTTGAAGTCACCATGCTTCACAGTTGCATATGGCGTAGTAGGGCCTATGAAATGTAAGCACAAATGATTCATTAACTTTAGATTGGTACTTACATAGAATTGCGTCTAAAGCATCATATGACGTCCACTGCTCGAGATACTGCCTCTGCAAATCAGACCCTTTTTATGTTAGCAGAGGCCCCAAAGATAAGGCAATGCAACGTACGTTCTAGATGAAGCTTCCACATCCCGAAGGTGCCCAGCTCTTCTGCTGTTTCATACATAGCCATTTCGGGTCGGATTGGCTCACCAGTTGGAGCAAGCAGCGCCTTCACGCTCTTGCCACCGTCCGCAATGAACATACGTTTCTACAGCACTCATTAGAAAAACCAGTTGATGGCGCGGGTGGACATACTAAAAGATCCAATGCCTTGGGATGAAGATTAGGTTGCCACTCCACGATCTCATGACCTGCTTGTTTTAATTTGTCTACCGTTTCCCGAAGCGCACGGGCTACAGGAGGAGTAGGCGCGACGATTCCATCGTGCCATAATACAGCAATCTTGAGTTTTGGTTTCGGTTCAACGGTTCGCCATGGGATAGGCAGGCATTTTGGATCCACGAGCCAGGGTTGGGCGTCAACTACAGTCTTAGCGAAGAGAATCATGTCGTCCAATGTTCTTGCCATAGGTCCATTAACACTATTGACAGCCTCTTGTCCAGCAAGGCCAGATGTGCAGCGTTGTGTTGTGAATCGGCCAAAGCTAGGACGTAGAGTAAAGATTCCGGTGCATGCCGCGGGGATTCTCAAGCTTCCTCCAATATCGGTACCCACTCCTAGGGGGCTGCCCTTGAACGCGATCAATGCAGATTCACCGCCAGAGGAGCCACCAGAGGTAAGGTTTCGATTTTGAGGGTTCACTGTTCTGCCAAAAGTATTGTTCACGGATTCGGCGATCATCATGGCAGTTGGTACGTTTGTCTTGCAGTACCTCACAGCACCAGCCTTTTCTAACAAATCCACCAATGTGGAATTGTAAGGTAATGGTTTGTTGACCAAGGAGGTAAATCCGACCGTACTATCATGTCCGGCGACGTTGAAGTTGTCTTTGAGAGATATCGGGAGGCCGTGAAGAGGCCCCGTAACCTGACCCGTCTTTGAATAGTGTTCATCGAGGGACTTTGCTGCCCTGATGGCATCAGTGAAGAATATTTCGGTCAAACAGTTGGTCTATTATCTCATTGATCAGTAAACTCAGTCCATTTCGCATACACTTGAGAGCATTGTAAGGGTATAACTAGACTCGACGTACCAATTGATGCGCAGCAGCAGCACGCTTGCAAAAGGCCCGAGTGACAGCTTCGGCCGACCATGACTTGCTCTTAATGTTGGCAAGAATAGACGTGGCATCAGATTCTGTAATATCCAATTCTTCCTGTGTGAACCAGCCCGACTCACGGGGGAATGAAGTGACGTCGAGATGTGAGTCTTGTGGTTTGAGATTGTTGGGGATGATCCATTCCGAAGGGATTGCGGAAATGGTCCGCTCTTGTTTCGATTGGGCAATTTCCTGCCAGGTCATGTTGAGTGATGTTATGATAATTATACGGTGCGATACTATACTATCCGAAAACGATATTATAGGTACGTGTTTGTGAATAAATGTGTACAGATGATAGTGAACAGATAAAGAGGATCACAGCAAAGGAATTGGTGGTCATATGTCATTTGATGTTCGGCTTACTGCCTCCCCGACACCGCACACGCGGTACTCCGACACTACCACCACATTGATACGGTATCTACTGGTAAACAACTATAGAAACATGTATTTATATAGCTCCTGTATAGGTATATAGTATATCCACAGGTTCAGCCGACTGATTTGTGAATCCACCACACTATTGACATGTTCCATTCTTACGAATGCGCATACAATGCTGTTGCCGTTGACTGTTTGGGCAAAATGTTTCCCCTCCAGCTCCTCGGCTCGACACTCAACTGACCCCACTTCAAGGAGGCCTAATACGGTAATCATACACGCAATTCGCCATAATCCGTTTCGTCCCTGCTCGTATCACCAGCGAGTCATGTTCATCGTCATGTTTGTATCCTTACATCGATATGGCAAGAGATCATCCGCTCGCCTGTTTTCTCTTCGTATGAGACACTGGGCACCTGAACAGCGCATAGCGACTCAGACAACATGATATATTTTTCATAGGTATTAGTCGACACTAATACGGTTCAGAAGCTGTCGAACTTGCTTCTCGCAGAGTGTTTCAGTCTGCTTGTTACTCATGCAAACGACTGATGCACAATTATACCTCATGGCTGGTTGAGAAAAAGCAAATGCAAATATTGACGAACTGTAGAAATTTCGATGCTGTATCCAATTTCCCACTCATGTGGCCAATACTAAACTGCCGCGCAATCACAACTCGACTATCACCTAGATTCGGTGGTTTCAGAGGCTAAAGGGACCCAACGGTCTTGTGAAGCTGTCAACAACGGCGTCTAAAGAATGGAACCAGGAACACGGGTTTTTCCTCTCCCATGCTTGCCCAAAAAGGACCATCCCCATTGTAATGAAAAGAGACCCTTACTAGGAGAGTGTCTTCTCCAATAATGACATCACTAGCCTATTTTTAAGGGCCAGATCCAGATGTTTGACTTTTCTTTTTGGTGTTATCATCAGTCGAAACCCCTAAAATGGTTCGACGTGGTCTCCACTTTTGAGCGCCTCGTCTATCTCAGCAGGGGAGATGCCTTTTACACGACCGGGATATTCACTCTTCGTGGCGAGCCATCCACCAATACTTACCCTGACTAAGCGACCCTCAGACCATCTTCATCTTCTAGTAACGATATATCTACATGGCTCCACCTTGTAGATCTGGAGAACAACTTCCAAGGCCGCAAGATTCTTACATTGGGGGCGTTCAATCCGTAATGCATGCCCCCTCCCACCGACCTGTCTCCAGCAGTGACAACTTGGATCTCCATGACAGCCGTCCAGGCATCTCCATGCTACAACGTGAATTCTTTCCCAATTCCCTGGCCCAACCTCCCCCTTCAACGTCATTCTGAATCTCGGATTCGTGCTCGATCGCCAGCACCTTGGTCGAGACTCCACTTGAGGCCTCGATCAACGAATTGACGAGGTTGGAGGTTACGAACGTGCCGTACGTTGTAGGAAAAGATGCATTGTGAAGGCTGAAGTCAATCCAGGGGGCTGGCCGACTACCATGGTCATTCAGGGCTGTATAGACATACCATTGCTTTTGCTCATGTTCTATAAAATCGGTCTATCCACAAACCTGGTTGACCAAGAAATCAACTTCTCCAGTTCACTATATCTGTGTGACTTCGACTCGAAAAGTACTATACTATTCGTTACTTGTGCATAACGATATTCTTTCTAATATCTTCATCCCTGACATTACACAATATCACGACTACATTTCTACCTTCACTCAGTCCATAGTTTCTATGGCCACCGCCTCACAAGACCCAGCCGATGGCTCCCTACCCGTCTTCTACGGCCAACAAATGCAAAATGATACGGTAGTCAAACGCCCGTCCAACCAGAGTAGCCGCGATGCACTCCTCCGTCTCCCTATCCAGCAACCCAGCGACGCACGCACTCCCACCCGCAGTCAGATGAACGCGGAAGGTGGATCAAGTCCAACGATGCCAGGTGATGCATTAGGTATAAACTCTGGCACCCCAAATCGTGCTATTCACGGGGTACATTCGAATAACACCGGTCGTTCATCCAACGCCAACCGCATCAGCAATGATACAGTTCGCTACATGAACTACCCCCACGATGGTGAGAGGGATATCGAAGAGCCAACCCAAATCTATGCTAGTCCTAGCCAACACCGAAGCCGTAGCAAGTACTCTCCTGGACACTACGGTGGCTTTGCTGAAGACTATGTTGAAGAAGAAGACGAACCCCGTCCATATCGTCGACCAAGCCGTCGCTACACAGCAAGACCGCCACCCGCTCATCAGAACTATCACAACAGAGACCCCTGGACCCGTGGACAACCCCGACTCAGTCATGATGGTGCCACTCTCTACGATAACGACTACGAGCCGGACACACCTTCCAAGCCGCGTGTGCACTACCACTATGGCAGTGAGGAGGAGGAAATGCGACGAACTGGCTATTATCCTTCCACTCGAGGTGCAGGACGTGGTCCACCTACAAGACCTTCCTCTGACGAGGTGCTTCGACTCCCTTGGCTGATGTGGATGAACTCTAATGCAAAGAATCACTTTGTGGCTTTCGTGGGTGAGTTTGTTGGAACCACCATGTTCTTGTTCTTTGCCTTCAGTGGCACCCAGGTCGCCAACATCGGCTCTGGGGCCTCTGACAGCAAGACGACAACTGGTGCCGACACGGGTTTCTCGCCTCAGGTACTATTGTACATCGCTCTGGTCTTCGCCTTTTCCCTCATGGTCAACGTATGGATATTCTTTAGGATATCTGGTGGTCTTTTCAACCCGGCTGTGACCCTCGCTATGCTTCTCACGCGTGTTCTAAGCCCTGTTCGATGCTCAATGCTCCTAGTCGCCCAGGTTGCCGGCGGCATCTTTAGTAGTTTCCTGGTTTCCGTCCTCTTTCCCACTTCCTTCAACGTCAGGACTACCTTGAGTGCGGATACTAGTCTAGTCAGGGGAGTGTTTATCGAGGCTGTCCTGACCGCCGAGCTCGTCTTCACGATCTTCATGTTAGCTAAGGAGAAACACAAAGGTACGCGACTGATTTCAAACAGACCCCCCGAGAGAAAGTCAACTGACAATTGGTAGCAACATTCATTGCGCCCGTGGGTATTGGTCTTGCACTTTTCATCGCAGAATTGGTCGGCGTCTACTACACTGGCGGAAGCTTGAACCCTGCCCGTTCCTTCGGACCATGCGTCATCACCGGAGTCTTCGATCAAGAACACTGGATCTACTGTAAGTATCTCGCATGCACCTCCTCGCTTTTGACCAGTATGCTAATGTTTCTAAAATAGGGGTTGGACCAGGCTTTGGCGCTGTGCTCGCCGTCGTCTTCTACAAGTTCATTAAGATCCTCGAATACGAAGTAGCAAATCCTGGCCAGGACGCCGAAGTCGACGAGTCGGAGCGGGAGAAGGGACAAGTGTGAGAAGGGTCTGGATATATATGCATGCATCACGAATTTCCTTGGTGTGACGAGATTGCCTTCAGGGATGATGGCTTCGTGCCCCTAATGTGCAGAGACGAAACGAACATGATGAAGCCAAGTTCGGAAAGACTTAATGAACTAGAAAGAACCATCTTACAGGTGGGAGCGACGATTCTCTGCTCTAATTTACTTATGTGTGTAACTACTACTGGCGCTTATCGTTTGGTTTTGCAATTACACTGTTCAGAGCGTCGGAAATTATAAGAGGGAAGGCAGACTAATTCGACGCATAAGATTGGGCGCTAGGTTTGATCTCTTTCAAATGCTTTTATGATTATGGTATCTTTACAATATACATTTGTGATGCTATGCTTGATCGTCGCCGAATCCGTCAAACTCGCTTTCACTGCCAGCCGCGGCGGGCTCAATCTGCTGAAGCTGTTCTCGCCGTTTACTTGCTTCTTTTGCACCCCTAAGGTTGTTGATTGCGCGTCTTTCGTAGCCGCTCTTGGTACTGATCCTCATCGACCCTCTGCCCTTGCTGTCTTTGACCGCACGTCTTGCCTCGATACCGCGTTTCTTCAACTGCTGCTTGTCCCGTTTGCTAGGCGTGGGCAGCGCATCCAGAAGCCACTGCTGAATAGTCGCTTCACCTTCGCCCTTTCCTCGCAGCGCCTCGCTCGCTCGGATGACATTCGCAACATTTTTCACGTAGGGAATGTCTTCCTGGGTGTAGTATGTAACAGCGATGCCGCCTTCACGGCCAGCACGGCCAGTTCGTCCTACACGGTGAACGTACGCGGCGGCGGAGTTGGGCACATCGTAGTTCACGACGCCGTTGAGGCCACGGAAGTCGACACCTCGGGCAAGAAGATCCGTCGTGATGAGTACCCAGACTTCACCACGTCGAAAGCGCGTCATGATGCTCTCGCGCGCCGAAGAGGATAAATCTGCATGCAGTACGGCAATCCGAGAGCTACCGCCTGCTTCTGGGGGAATATCGTAGCGTAATTCGGAGTGTAGGGCGATTGCTCTGGGGATAGTCTGCGTGAAGACAAGGAAAGGCGGACGAAGAGATGATCCGGCTTCTGTAGAGGGTGTCGCGGTAGGATGCAGTAGCTGCCGTAGACCAAGAAGTTTACCTTGCTCGGTCGCAGCATATACAAGTTTGTGGGTGATGTTCGGTATAGCTGTGTCTTTGAGGCCGACGACAAGTCGAATTAGTGGACTCCGAGGGTGTTGGGGGTGCTTGGTGATGATGTTCTTCCAACGTTTGTTGAGGGTCTCAACAACAAGTGACTCGATGTTAGAGCCCATGGTCGCAGACCAAAGGCCTACCCTCAAGGATGGGTGGCTACACGCGTTCCAGATGGCTAGAACTTGTTCACGGAACAAGGGATCAAGAAGTACATCAGCCTCATCGAGGACCAAGGTGCGGACATTGAGCAACTCCGCGGTACTGCCATCTTGCTGTTTCAGAGCATTGAGTAGGGCCAGGGGCGTCGCGACGAGAATGGCAGCCTTTACTCTTTCTGCTCGCCTCGTCTTGGCTTTCGGTTGCGTTACAACGGCCTCTGCTTTCTCAACATCGGATTCGCTCTCCGCCCCTTCCTCATCGGACCCTTCTGACAAATCTGCAGTCTCTTTCGGATTATTAATGGGCCTTTCCACCACCTCAACACCCTTCTTCATCAGCGTAGCCTTGACGCGGGTTCCCTTCGATAGCTTGCGTGCTTCGTTGACGATTTGAGATGCGAGTTCCTTCGTCGGCGCAAGCACCAAGGCGCGGGGCCCATCGCTTGGTTCATGTTCCGTCTCTCCCTGAGACAACAGAGAGTTGATAATGGGTATCAGGAACGCAATTGTCTTCCCACTGCCTGTTGGAGCGACTGTCAAAAGATCTATTCCCTTGGTGACATCCAACGGCCGTGTCCGGCCTTGCTCGCTTTCTTGTTCTGTGCTGGTATTTTTGTCATTTAACAGCAGTGGTAAAGCCCCCAATTGCACCTCAGTAGGTAGCTTGTATCCTTGCTCAGCGATGTTCTCTGCCAGCCGTCTTGCTATCGTATATCGACTCCTCAACTGAGAGAAAGAGGTCAAAGGTTGCGGATAAAATTGTGTTTTACCAGTCTTCTGGGGCTTCTGTGGCTTCTCTTTATTCTTTTTCCGCTTCTTGGATTTCGAGCTTTCTTTGCCATGCTCTTCCTCAATTGGAGGCGCAAAATCCTCTAGGACCGCGATCTTCAATTTGTGAGATCGAAGAATACGCTTGGATTCATCCTCATTGTATATGTCCTCCTCTTGCTGCCCCAAGTTCTCCTTAGAGGGCTCATCCACCGACCTGCTGTCGCTCAGCTTTTGCAAAGTTGCCGTATCCTCACTCGGTTTGCCGGCCCCACCACTGAATGCGCCGCCGAAGAAGTCCACATCTGCCGTGAGAGAGATATCGACGGGGGTCTCGCTGTTATGTAGGCGCTTGCGTTTTCGGCTTTTCTTCGATTGTTGCTGAGTTGTGCGTGGTTCAGTGTGCCCAAAAAGTTGTGGATTTGCGACAGCGCCAGAGGACGGAAGCTTCTGCGTTGCGCTAGGTTGCGTGGCCTTAGACGATCGTGAAAGGATTTTGAAGATGTCCATGGCGCGAAATGGTCATCACAAGTGATCCTCACTCTGTCGAAACTCAGTGTGTTGCAACAAGCAGTTGGCGAAAATGTTCAGTAGGTAGGAAAGATTATCTTGAAGCTCCAAAAAAATTATGGGAACATCTCGGAGAAACTAGCTCCGATCCACCGACCGGTACCTGAGAAAGTACCAACCCAATATCACGAATAGGTATTCATAAGTTAAAACCATTCAGAATGCGTGAGAATGCAATGCATTTGACAATAGTGGCACAGGCAAAATAAGAAATCTAAGTCAAAGTATGTGCAATAGTACAGTGTCGGGTCCATTCGACGGCACGCATATCCGGCCCTTCCCCTATCGTCTTCCCTCCTCTATCCTAAGACGCTTTGGCACATGCTGTCCTCATTTCAGTCAGTACTCTTAAGCCGATAGCTTCCATTTGCCTGTTTCCCATTATCATCCGGCCAAGAACTCCAATAGAAGTGTTTAGTGATGAGCGGGAGCGCTCGATCGGTATCCGACAATCTTAAAACGTCCAATCATCTCACCAACAGAAAAGAAACCGATGACCTCTGCGGCTACAACACCGACGGAGGCCCATTGTGCCGTGCTCATGTTCCTTGCTTGGTTAAGGAGGTTGGCGGGCTGGCTGGCGATGTTGGATGGGTTGCGAAGGCTGGTAAGGACCGACTGGAAAGACTTTTGGAAGGTTTCAACGCTTCTGAGACGAGTATAAGCTTGAGTTTTTGCTAGAACACTCGGGATGTGCAGTCTGAACTTACGGTGGGCTCATGTTCCTCTCCTTTGCGACAAGTTTGCCTACTTCAAGAGCGAGTCTCGAGTAGTGAGTGGCAGTAGGGATGAGAGCTTTTGAGAAATCGAGTTAGCAAATCTTTCTAGCTGTATAGGTTACGAAGATACGGTTGAAGCCGATGGAATTGGAAGCCAATTGACCAGAATAGAGCATGTGGAACATCACGCGATTGCTTGTTTCACATCAAAAGATGGAAAAACACGGCAACAGTGATGTCCATAACCCTTACTACGCCCAATTGTAATTCCAGTCTTCCGTATGATGCCAATTGACCCCGTGTCGGGTGTGAAAGAGGATAGTACTGACATTGGATGCGTCCAATCAATCGTCCAGTTCGGCCACCAACGCCTCCCAGTGCGGTGCCAGCTTGAGAGAGGGCAGCTCCCGCACCTGAAGCCACTCGGGAAAGACCCTCGGATGCCTTTGATGCCTGTTCCCTCGCAATGTTGGCGGCTTTGGACGCATGCTCCTTTGCTGCGTTGGCGGCCGACTCGGTGCTTGAGGAGGCATTGCGGATGCCAGCGCGTCGGACAGCGAAGGTTGAGCGGCGCAGCACAGCGCGCGATGCTGCGAAAGACATGGTGACGCGAATTGGTGAGTTGTTGGGGAGATGGATGTCGATGGCTACTCCTCGGTCATGTTGGGAGGTTGGAGCTGTCAGATAGATTTTCGATTTTCATACTAGCTTCAATAGGATTAGCTCGGCATTTGTCCGAAGCACCATGAATGCATTTCTTTGATAAATACAACTTTCTACCATTCCTATACACAAGCAATAAACCTTCAGAGTGTATATCAGTAGCTCGCGAGGTCCTTCATTTGAACAGCAAGAAGCCTAGGCATTCAGATGTAAGCCGGCTGGTTCAATTACCTCAGTGACGATGGCTAAGACGTTGCAGATATGAAGCGTCACGGATAGAATTAACATTTTATGTACAACCATGTTAGAAGAACTCATGATTGAGTCCATAACCAATGTACATTCGAGAGCTCGACCTTGCGGTTTTGCCTCGTTGTGGATGCAAAATATTAAATCTCGCCTTTTAGTCTACTTGAAACTGAGTTCAATCGAAACCATATAACATGGAGAAGTTGGTATAGGCATGGTAATGACATTGTGCTTCTAACTCTACAAATCAGACTATTGATCGGCTTACTTATGCTGAGTACTGCCTGCTCTTGCAATTGTACCTACATAGGAAGGTATCAGTGAATATTCACAGATTTTCATGGAAAACAAAGATCCCACATACGACAATTCATCCGTACCAATGAATAGCAGCAGGCGACAAATACCTTCCATGCTTTTGTTGAAACAACATCATCTTTCATTCGCTTCTAAAATACCGCACATATGCACTTCAGTGTCTATGTAGGATAGCTGCGAGTTTGTGTCTTATGTTTTATCCCTACAGCCACTTCCATTAGCAATCCATATTCCATGTAACAGTGTCCCTGCAGCAGGGTTTACACCCAATGATGGGGTTTGCCTCATGCATTGAGGCATTCTTGGCCATTTTGAACTTGGCCTAGGCTCACATGTGCGTTGATAGTGCCACTCTGTTCAGACAATTTCAAGCATTTTCCTGATTATGAAATCGCATGATTCCTTCCCGACACCCCACGATCCCACATGTAATTGTGGGGGCTCATCCACAAGTCTATAAAAGCTCACCTTGGGGAATTTACCATACCACATCCGGCCTTTCATGTCGCCCATGCACCCTTGCCGGCGGGGGGCAATGGGTGTGGAGGATTGTTGGAGATTTAATGGAAGGTTGACCAAATGGTGTGAACAGGGGAGAGGGAGGGCTGTGGTAGAACCACATAGTCGGGAGAGCGACATGCCACAGGCGTGGAGCCTTCAAGCAAAAAATGATATATCACTTTTAGGACGCCATATCCAGAGCGCAGTAGGAGCATAGCTGAAAAATAAGTCCTAGCAACCCTGTACCTGTATGTCATGATCTCGTGGATTCAGCAGCCTCGAGCATTTCACATCAGAAGATACAGCACTGAGCCATATTTGGTGAGCATGTGGCTTCGAATATTCCCGGAAGCAGTCATATCAGCTCACTAGTCATCCGATTATCGTGAAATCATAAGAAGGTATCTGAAGATGCTCGGTGGTACAATGGGCGAGGCCGCGAGTGGCAATAGATCACAAGAACGTCGAGACGGTTTGCTACTCACGACCCATGGATGACCCAGTATCCTCGCAATGACGGATGGGAATAATCGACGATGCTCGGTGTAAGCATAGTTATAGAGCATACCCTTTGAGAAGTGGCTTTTGTCAATACCTGGTCGAGCTGCAGTTGCATCACATTTGGCCATGAGGGCTTGCTGCATACTTGCAATTGTTTCTTAGGGGTCCGATCCCGGTGGATGTAGTACAGATCCAATCGATTCAGAGTTACAACCGTTCAGCATACGCTCCGAGTTGTCAGGCTAATTCAGCCCGCTTATACAATAAGAATACTGTCGTTCGACGGTAACGCAAGATGAACTTATCATACCACCGATGGTGCGGACATGGTCATAGCCGATTGTAAAACTGCTCTTTGTAGGACAAATTTCTTGGACACATTGTCTTTGGATATTACTGCTGGCTATTGGTTTGATGCGGATAAATCGTGGAATGGAAACGAGGGAGGGGGGCTAGAGCGCTAGTCATGCTACTCCATACAAGGGGAAACATTAATGGCATGCATGAGATGACGCACTCGGATCGGTAGATTCGGTGAGAAGCCAAATAGAGCCTTCGTAGATTTTTTGTGCAGTCCTTGTCATCAATCACTACTGTAATTGTTAATTGGAGCCGAGGACCGTATACCGTTCTTGCGCGATTGCCCTGGGCTTAACCAAAGCCACCAAAATTTATGTCCTGTGTGTCAAGGTTAGTTGAACAGATATTAATTGCAATGGATTACTGCACACTTTCTTGTCGAAAGGGATTGGAGGAGTACAACTATGACGAAACGCAGTGTTTGGGACAGACTAGAAAGCCAATAGACTTCATTTGCGCGAACAGGAGGCTTAAATTGCTTCTCTTAAACAATGAATAACAGACTGTCGTTCCTTCTCTTACCGAAAAATCAAAGGTCAATCTTCAATATGCTGCAGCTGAATCCTAGAACGTATCTAGCATTTATTTCACGGTAGCAGTCGGTTTGTTGCTGGAGAAGGAGATGTAGACCTTCAACAAGGGACTGGAGAGTCGAACAGTCGAACCCTGGTCCCTGATTTCCTCAACAAGACGCAGCCACTTTAAGGCAAGAGGAGACGGAATGCTCGCCAACAAGACCTCACATAAAGCCGGGATCAAATATATACTTTTCCAACAGACAAATCTGGACCAAAACCGGTAAGCGATAGGCGAGATTTGGCAACGAAGTTAGCTAGGCCGACGAAAGCACCACGTCATAAGAGCCTGTCGACATCACTACCATCACCCGAAAGGCACTTTCTTGTAGTCATATAATCGCCCAATTACACAAAGTGATCACGGTAGTCACAGAAATTTCTGTGCGATGACTGTTGCGTGCTGCTCGACTTGTGGAGGGGCGCTCGCATCCTGAATGAGTGCTGGTTCGCTCGAGCAATTCCCCAAGCCGGATTACAGTGCAACATCGACTGCATATCATGCAAAACCCTGAGCTTGCATGACCGATCACAAGCATGGAATCCTCAGCAGTCACCTGCAGCAATGGGATTGAAGGATGACCAGACTTCCCGTCTGCTCGACCGCATACAAGCCTCACCGTTCAGTTGGAGAAGACATGGATTTGGGTGGGCCTAGCGGTAGGCATGAGAAAGAGCTTTCTCATTTAGAGCTCGAATGCCCGTGTATGCAGGCTGTGCGAAATGGCAGCGACTATGGCCGGATTCAAACGCGGGATTTCGGGAGTTTACCCCCCTTCTCCGTCTAAGTGGCTTGTCCAGGTAGGGATCGCTATGTTGTGAGGCATGACAAATGCACGAGAGACCAATTCGATGAGATCCTGCAGTCGGCACCATCATATCAGTGCAACAGGAACTTCTCTAACTGGCGAGAGAAGTCGAGAGCAGCTTTCGGGATGAAAATGCTTCAGCTCGATGTGGGCCATCGCCGAATCGGTATGTCACACAATCGTAGTGTAAAGCTGTCATATATGGCACATGCCACGGCTGGACACCCCAGAGAGCTTGGCAGATGATGCTTTTGCGCTTGCGGGGGAGGCCCTGACCAGGCGTTCGTTTTCCCATTTTCCCCCGAATCAAGCCATCCATCCATGTGCAGGACCAAGATGTGTTCTTCGACCCAGAAGATCGGGACTACGACACTACGACCCCCGGCCCTCGCGAGCTTAGGGCGGTTCGGATGAGAGTGCGATTGAGTCAAAGGTGGGCGAATGCAAGCCCTCGTGTTAGCCAGCCCGCCTGGACTTATGGAGTTGGAATAATGCTGGTGACATCGAGACCGTGGCCGTGGCTGTGGCTAGCGTGTGTAGGTGAGTGAGCTCATCATGGCCATGTCGGTGCCATCTTCTCCCGATCCCTAGATAGGCCTCGTACCTACTCGTATCTAGGTACTTCCTTTGAATCCCCCCTGGACCGGCGTATGAAAGTTTCCTCATTCAGTACGCTCAAGCATATTGCTTCCTTCAAATGACGGAAGACCGAAGTGTACAGTAGGAACCTCTCCATACGCTAGACTTGTTAGGTGGTAGGAGGTTGTTAAGCGTTGGCGGCGTCGGCCGAAGAGGAAGGAATCTAACGTGGGGCTCTAGTCACCCTCCATCTTGTCAACAACACAACCTCTCCATCCATTCCATTCTCAACCAACTTTGCCGCACTATTCGAAAGGACAGGTCAATGCCACAACTAGCACCTGATATCGCCCTGGGGTTCAGGTTGGTTGGTGATATGTGCGTAGTAGGACACTAAGTCATAGGTTCTGACGCGATGTACCCTCTGGGCCATGTCTTTCTGGGGCCAAAATGACTACGGCCAGTCCTATATGCTTCTGTCGGCACAGTGAAGATTCTGAGCAGGTTCCACAGAGCCAGCAGACTCTGTATAGCTTTCTCTGAGCGCTCTTGGTAGGACAACAGCGAGGCTCTCGTTGACAGTCACAGCGCAGCGCAGCGCAGCGGGCGGCATCCGTTCTACTGTTACGCAGAAAAACGCTGAGCTCACACCTGACAGGACATCAGACGAATTGTTCTTTGTATCGATGAAGACCATCCGATGTGATTCCACTTTCAAACCTCCTTGGGTCCAAATTGCGTTGGAAGCCGTATGTCATCTATTTATTGCCATGGATTCTCACGATGTTTCGACAGATCGTCTTGCGTGTCTCGCGGCAACCCTCGTCATCCGTCGAGCCCTAGATGAAGGTCATCAGTCATAAGCATTCTCATCAGTTGCTCTGAAACGAAGCCTACTCAACTCCCTCGCGAATATAGGTCAAGATCAGAACAATGCACCCTACCTCCGTGAACATTCACCGGGGCTTTCGAGTTGGCGGCATCAGACCTGGTACAGAGTTAGTACTACAGCAGACAGAGGCGTCTTCCTTTACAGAGACGTTGTGTTAAACCCCCGACACTTGTGTTCCCAGAGCTGCATGCTTTCAGCCTCACGTGTGGTGTGTCTCCCCGGTTAGCCTGGCCAAGGCGATGACGCCTTGAAAGCATACATAGCACATGAAACCACATGCTATGAACGACTATGCTCGCCGAACATGAGCGATGTATTGCTGGGGTGGGAGACCGAGAGTATCCCTTTCTGCTCGATGTTCTGTAGTATGTCACTCGTGCCATTGACGGACGACTGCGTCACGCGTGTGGAGTTAGCCATCACCTCTTCTCCCGTCGACTGGGCTACAGATAACGACGTGCTCTTTGTCGAAACGCTTCTGTGTTCAACCTGACCAATGTCGGACCGGTTAATCAGGGTGGCATCATCATAGCGGCGACTTGCTTCAAGTTCACAGGCATATGGTCGAAAATCTCCCGGTCCGGTTCAACAACGGTCTTACGATGGGTATTCTCCTGTGTAGTTCTTAACTGTGCGACCCCTGTGCCTTGCGTGTACGCCACCGAGTTCCCAACTGGTACGATCGGCTGGAGCCGAGCGCACTGTTACATTTATCGTCCGTTCAGGAGACCAACAATATTGATTGATGATGTTCATTAGGCCACGGGTCACTTTGTGCAAAACCCTTGATATGTATGTACAGGCCATGTAGACGGTGAAGATGGTGGCGAACATGGCGAGAGCATGTTTAATTTATTCCACATCGTCACCACGCATCATTGAAAGAAGCAAGAAGGCACGCACGTTCACCGTCGTAGAGACCTCGCAGCTGCAGATAGATACATGGAGTAATTGTCATATAACTGTACCCCTGTATGAGAGGCTCAACCACCAGGTCAGTATTCCCGAACGACAGAAGATCCTACGAGAATGTGGGGGTATGTCATTACAACAAGCGTGTCTCGTCGACGCCGCCGTCGTCGTTCTCGGTACGGGGAAGCGGTTAGAATCTTGAGGCGAGACGCAAAACGGACATTGCGCATGGCCTCCTGCATATTCATCTTGGATAATGACGCATCTCTACATGTTTTCGTTCCAGGCGGACCGTCTGCACAAAAACTTTGCAAACCTTAATGCGGATAGCACGTCTTCTTGGAGCATGTGCTCTCTAGGGAGTCCAAAAATCTACTGTAATACCTCGTAGCTTGTACCCGTCGTCTATCCCAAACGGGTATAGGGTTTTAAGCGCGGGGTTTGTTATCAAACACGACAACAATGTCTCTGATAGATGCAACGTGATCCTGCAGATCCACCACCATATTGCATGTAAGAACAGACAAAAAAGGACAGAAGAACTCGGAGCGGCAGAGTTATTCCTGCTCAATCACGACATCATTGCATATCAGAAAAGAAAAAAATTCCAAAGATGTAGACAGAAGGCAGAAAAGGCAGAGAAAAAAACAACCATGCCGTGCAGCTAGCACCCTGATGCAAGAAAGATACATTGCGGGTTGGCAGCACCCATCTGCACAACCCACAATGCAACTTTCTTTTTTCTTCTCCTTCCCACGCACAAGCCAAACGAACAAGCATCCCGACCAGGTTGCATCCTGAGCGATTGGCTGCGCGGAAGTGGAAGACGGGCCGGTGCCTTCTGATCTGCAAGAGCAAGGTATCCCCACCCCCCAGCAGGTGCAGACAACAGTACATACATACATATTGCTAGCAGACGCAGACCGATGTCCTTCTTCAGCCGAACGACGCCAGGTACTGTACTGGCATGTACTGTGTATGTAACTACTGTACGGAGCATGTATGTACGTATGTACATCGCCAGCCAGAGAAAGTCCGTCCGTTCTTCTCCTTGTTGGATCCCCCATCCAGTCGTCGGCTCCATAGCATATTGATTATTACCGTCAATCTTTGAAAAAAAAAAAGAGAGGTCGGATGGCTCAAGAAGGGTAGGGGGACACGCCGGAGCATGCTTTTGCCGCTGCAAGTGGCAATGCCGCCGAGAGCGAACGGAGCAGGCTGTCGTTTGTTGGACCAGAGGATGCCCAGAGCCCGGAGGTCGGACACATGAGGTTTCGCCTGCGTTATGTACGGAGCATACTGCAGCAATTGTACCGGCACTGTATGTACGGAGTACTGTGTCTATGGGCTGGTTGGTTCTGTGCTTTTCTGCAGTATGGGAAAAAACATTCACTTTGTGGAGTGGGTTGGTGGTGGTGGTGAGGGTGATGGGTGGTGGGTGGCATGGCATGGCATGCCCGATCCGAAGTCCCACCCACCATGGCCTGGGTCGCAGGCCCGCAGCAAGCACACATGGCATTATCTCATGGTGGTTGCGCAACCAAACGGACATGTTGGTCATCTACATAGGCGCACCGGATCGTGGAAAAAGATCCCGTTGGCCAGTGGGTCGGACATAAAGAAGATGTATAGAAGAGGAAAGGGTAAGAAATAATAACAAGACCCCCAGGGAGAATTTAAGACGGAAGAGGGATAAATCAATGGAAAGAATATTGCATGTGAGTGGGAATTAGGGGATTGGATATGATGAAGGAAACAATTATTTTGGAATTAGCCGACGGGACGGCAGTGCGCCAGGTGCAAGGTGGATGATAGCAACAGTCCAGTAGCAGAGACTGTAGAGGCCAGCACAAAAAATGAATAGATAGCGAACATGAACAAGCCCAGCAACGAGTGGAAAAAGTCGACTGAGCGATAGATGGATGGGGTATGCCGTAGATGGATGTATCGATAGATAGGATAGACAGATAATAGATAAATTAGATGGATCATGGATGGATGATGGGGGAAGACGGAGTCGCCAGCCCTGCCGCCGCGGGTGTACGGTGAGCGGGCGCATGAGGGTGCGCACGAGCGCCAGAGCGCCTATCGGCCTCGGCCACCAGGACTCGAGAAGATGCTCGAGCACGCCTGCAGCGGCTAGTACGAGTACGCAATTCTAGAGCCATGATCTCAGATGCAGATTGACGCGCCATCCATGCCAAGGGAGGATGGGAGGGGGTGGGAACCGGGGGTGGATGAGTGGATTGGATGAGTATGTACAAGACAGGAGTGGTTTAGATGGGTTGGACGGGGTGTGGATGGATCATGGATGGATGAATGAAGCAATGAATCAATGAATCAATTGAATCGAATATGAACGAAAGGGAGGGATTGTATGTAGGGAGCGTAGAGGGGCAGCAGCAATAGTGGATGGATGGATGGATGGATGGATGGAATGCTTAGGGGTACTGTACGAGGTAGGGGAGGGGAGGGTAGGGTTGTACATATTGGAACTGCGATCATCAGCCGCATTATTGCGAGGCCGGCCGGTGGCAGCTCGTACCCCCCCAGTCAATCCAACAGACGTCCAATTTTGAATCTCTGCCGTAGGTCGGGCAAGGACTAGGCTGGGCTAGGTCTTGAGAGAGAAGGACAAGTCTTGCAGTAATCTACTCATAGGCAGGAAGAAGATGGATAAGATGTACACTGTACGGAGTAGAGTAGAGTGAGTAGATGGAGTCTTGATAATTAGTTACTGCACGAATGAAAGATCAAAGTACAAGACAGAAAAGGCAGGGCAGGCCGAAGAGAGCCGCTGGATAATGGTACTAGCCATTGTGAGCAAAGTACGAAGCAGTGGATCCATAAGATGTACACACGATCTGGATGATGTGATACGGCTGTAAGTACGGTAGCTTGCTTGTTTTCGTGTGTGGGTGGGTGGGTTGAGGGCAAAAAAGGTGGAGGTGGGATGAGAGAAGCCGAGAGGATGAGCAAGACCATGAGCATCGGCATCAGCACGAGCACCAGCATCAGCACCAGCATGAGCATGAGCATGAGCATGAGCATGCAACATGGTGGGTTGTGTTGTGTTAGTTGAATGCTTGAACCTGCTTTCGTTCTTTTGCATAACCAGCACCCACCCGGTGCCACCCCGAAGTAGAACCCAAGGGACGCTGGTGGACATGCTGGATAAGAAGAGTCCAGCAATTAGCATTCGAGAGAGCAGAAGAAGAAGATAGTAAAAGTACAGTAGTGGAGAATGGATAATGATGCTAGTGTGGAATTGGATAGAATGGATCATGGTGGGCGGCAGTAATTATCTTTAGTGGGCAATATGGGAAGACTATGCCCATGCCACCACCAAAGGCGAGGCGAGGCGAGGCAAGGTTAAGGTAAGGTAAGGCAAGGCAAGGCAAGGTAAGGCAAGGCAAAGCAGAAGTAGGTTAGGGCAAGGTATATATCTTTCTCTCTTTTGTTTTTTTCGTAGCCGGAGGAGGCGTAAAATAAAGAAGAACAAGAAAAGAAGGAGAAAAAAAGAGTTCAATTAAAACCATGATGATAATTTATAGAATGGAGGAAGATGGAGGGGGGGTTGATGGGATGGGATGGGTAGCGAGAGACGAGGTGGGTGTGGGTGTGTCTGATGCGGATTATTGGGGTGCGCGGGTGGGAATAACAGCTGCTGCTGCACACTAACTACCTACCTAAGTAACTAACGACTACACCACTGCTTCAATTCACAGTAGAGAAAGAGATACAGACATAGACACAGACAGACACACACACACGCAGAAGCAAGTAAAGGGTTCCTGGATATGTTTAGTTCAATCTCTCCATCCACCTGCAACTTCGTCCATTCCTCTGTGTCTCTCCACGGAGCACACGACGTTGTATTACTATCCGGATGTCTGTCTGGTGGCCCTTTTTCTGTCTTCGTCTCTGTCTCGTGCCTAGGTAGAGACGCCCACAAAACGGCTGGGCGACTAACCAGACCAACTATTATTGCACTTCGCGCTGCGCCCTCCTCGATGCAGACTGGCTGGCACAGAATTGCATTCTGGCATGGAGGCTTCTGTCTCCCCACTGGCTTACGCCTGGCCCATGGCTTGCCAGGCCTGTCAAGCTTGACAGACCTGCAGCGACCTAGTGGACGACGAACCTACAAGGGCCTTTTTGCAAGGACTCGAACAAGAAGACCTCGCAAGGACTCTCGCAAGGACTCGCAAGGACTCGCAGGACGACCGACCACCTCCACTACCACCTCCACCATCCACTACTAACTACTCTAACCACCACACACTACCCTCACACACCCTCGCACCCTCGACAGGCTTGCAGACGATCCCTGAGCGCTAAATATGCGAGTAACGGCCTGCCGGGATCCAAAGCAATGACGCCTGTCCTTCCCATCTAGCCAAAATCGGATTTTTCTACCATGTACCTCACGCTCCCGCCATCGTTAACACTAATACCCCAAACTCCTGCAGCTTAAACAGCGCCGGGAAGCGAAACATCATCTCGCCGGGGCCCGCAAACATGTGGCTTGGTTGAATATTTAGTCCCTCCCGCGCCCGCCGGGGAACGCGGATTCTTCTGCCCATCAATGTGATCTTCGTCTTCGTTTCTAACGTAGTTCCCATTTCCTATCACGTTCGTTGCTCGTCGTCCGTCGTCCGTTGCCTCTTGCCATGTTTCCCTTTTCCTTGTGGATGCTTCCCAATTGGAGTTGGTTCTGGGTCTTTGTCGGTCTATTGTGGGTTTCCTTCCATTCCCTCTGTCTCTGAACCCATCTGGCCTCGTCGTCCTCTCTGCAATCCCATCTCAAATGGTTTCACCCTCCAGCCTTACCCGTGCAATGTGTGTCATGTTCTTTGTGTCCAATATCATGTGGAACATGGAACATGGGAAACATACAGCGGAGCGTCGAGGTTGGGGACGCCAAAGATGGTGGACGGTTGATCTGGGAACATGTCCCTTTCCGTATCATATGCTTTTGAATACAAGACTAATACCAGCCATAGTTTGTTCCGAAATGTCAGATTATGGGTCAACCTGGCTGCGAATTGGCTGTACACACCCATACAGCCAGTCGAGGAACCTACCGTCACAGCCCAAGATATGACTGTCATAATCCCGACTGTTGCCGAGGATATCCAGCAATTGAAGGAGACTGTTCAGACTGCATACCGACTGGAGCCGTACGAGCTGCTTTTGGTCACGCCCGACTCTCGTGTCAAACGTCTATATCAGATGGTGGAAGAGATGGGTAGTCCTAAGCGGATCCAGATCCTTTCCATAAGCCAGGCCAACAAGCGCCGTCAGCTGTCACGCGCCATCCCCGAGGTGCAAACGAAGATCACGCTCCTACTTGACGATGATGTCTGGTTGCCCGAGAAGTTCACCAAATGGATCTTGGCTCCCTTCGAGGATCCCCGAGTGGGTGGTGTTGGCACTAACCAGCAGCTCCGCCGCAACGACCGATCCAACCTTTGGGAGTTTCTCGGCGCATTGTACCTTGTCCGCAGGAACTTCGACTGCACCGCATGCAACTGGATGGATGGAGGTCTGCCTTGCCTGTCCGGACGAGCGGTGGCATACCGCTCTGAAATCCTCCAAGACCCCAACTTTACATATGGCTTCACCCACGAAACCTGGGGAAGCGACCACTTCCTCAATGCCGATGACGATAACTTCATCACCCGTTGGCTCTTTTCCCACGACTGGAAGATTCAGATCCAAAACCACCGCGAGTGTGAGGTGGAGACCACCCTGGAGAACGACTCCAAGTACCTTCGACAGTGCCTTAGATGGGTGCGTAGCAATTGGCGCAGCAATTTGACGAGCCTGAGTGAATTGCACATGTGGGTGTAAGTTGCCGAGTCCCTCCATTCTCTCATTCTACTATTTTTGGTTTATTGGACCATCTCCCTATCCTCCAAGTCCCTCTTTCGCCTCCTTCAGTTGAGGAACCTGTTTTGTTTGAATTTGGATGGTCCACTGTATTTGGTCTCCCTGGCCATGTTCTCGTGTCGTCGTCGCCTGCCAAGGCCAATGACTTCCCCTCCCTATACTCTTCCCCCCCCCTGTCCTGGTCTGTCCTCATCCCACCACCACTGTGCCACCCACTACCCGACCTCGACTGCCACCACCATCTACTACCTGAATCATCATCACCTGCCCTCCCAATCGGAATAATAATTTTGATTGGAGCATCTTTGAACCTCATGCTGACCATAACTCTCTCCGCAATAGTAACTATCCATGGTCTCTCTACGCAGTGTTCCAAACCACCATCACCCAATGGGCCTTCCTGTACGACTGTGCACTATTTGCGACATTCTACCTTGCCCTTTTAGAGGCGGGCTACTATCAGGACTCCCACTCAGAGAGCAATAGCCATCTGCCGCTGCTCTGGACCTTCTTCCTTGGACACTACGCCTTCACCAAGACGATCAAGCTTATTCCTCATTTGTTAAGAAACCCGGGCGACGTACGCTTCGTTCCCGTGTCTGTCCTATTTGGTTATTTCCACAATGCCATTAAGCTCTACGGCTGCATCACTGTCACAGAGGTATGTTAGCCCCGCACGCGCTCTAGCGCTCTCTATTTAGCTATTGCTCGCTTTCGACATGTTTGACTGGTCAATCCGCTAACCGCTCCGACTATCAGACGACATGGGGTACCCGTGAGGGCGCTGACGCCGACGATAACATTCGAATGATTCCAATTCCACCCATGGCAACCATCACGCCGCCCTTGACTCCCTCACCCCAGGTGCAGGGACGCATGCTCCGCGAACGCGGAGGGATTGTGTCAGATGTCGTCAGCTGAATTGCGCAACGGCAGATCTGTAAACAAGCAACAGTAAGAGCAGTTAACGGCGCGGGCTGAAAGCAAGAGAAAGAGAGGGAAACGGAAGCGAAAGCGGAGGTGGAGACTGAGAGGGGAGCGCGGACAAGGACGAGCACAAAGCACAAAGCACGAGCGCGAGCACGAGCACAAGCACAAGCACGAACGAACGCGAGAACGAAGTCGAGAATGGATATTCCCGCTTCGTTGAGCGACCCTGGTCGATTGCGGCGCCACTTGGCGCGCCCTAAAGAGGGCAGTAATTTAGACGTTCGACGATCCGCACAAACTCGGCCCATCCATTTCTAAAGAGGATCGATAGAGTCTGAGGGCCGCGGTGATTTTCCTTTACGTTACTTCTTGTCACAGTAAATAGGGATTCCCGAAGAGACTGTGCTCTCTCTGGGGGGGTTGGGGCGCTAAAAATGGACGGGTCGGATATACGGCGTTCAAAGGTTGATGGGCATTGTATTTTTTTTCTCTTTCACTTTCTCTCTCTTTCTTCAAAATTGCAGCGTTCCAAGGTTCGCAAGGGGAGCTCGGTAAGCTCAAAGGTCTCATCCATGTAGTCTATGCAAAAGTCATCATTGCTACTGTGCACAGCACAAATAATCAGAATCTGGCATCTTCGGCATGGCCGTCAATCAATCAACCGTCCTCCGCTGCTCTTGATGATCATCCCCGTTAGACTACCCCAAGGGCGTGTGCACCAATGTGAATCCTGATGTTCAAACAGACCAGGGTTCTCTCGGTTGCATTCAATGGCATTGCCTGATATCACGCCTGTTCCGTTTGGAGATACTGATACATGGCAGGTATATTCGTCTACGAGCACTTAACAGACATGTGATGATGTATATGCAGGGAGGCAAACTGTCCGTTACCATTCGGATTGACCTGACGATGTACCGGCGCATGTATGTAAATGTACGTACAGGCGCCGGCACAGGATGCGGCATGCCTGGCGTGTTCAGCGTCTGTCTAACGGTTCCACGATAGGGTAGGTCTTGGATTCGAGGTGGCACAAAGTGAACCCTGAGTTCCTGCCCTGCACGTAAGATGGGATGGCACACGGGAAGAAACTCAAAATCGACCTCAGCCGGCACGTCAGCCTCCATTGCGTCCCGTTATTGCGTGCATCTTGTACACAGGTACATGCACCAGCTCCCCTCTCCCAATGTCACTCCATGAAGCAACACGATCTATGTATCAACAACAGAACTCGTCGTCATTCCAGTTGCCCTACCTCTTACTAGCTTTTGAATGAGTCGTCCAATCTGTCTGACCGGCCCGCGAAGGGTCTGATCGTGAAGCGCCCGCAAAGCTCCCGAAGTGGTGCTTGCCGTCCCCTACCGTGGGTAGTACCATTCAAGTAGCGTATCACGTACGGGTCAAGTCGTACTACCGCTCAAACAGTAAAGTTTGGCCAGTCCGTGTCAATTGCATTCCCCTCCAGAGCGTCTAGTGGAAAAGTCTAGTTGGGGTATAAATCCCTCCACTGTCCGAGGGGCGCCATGGCTCCTTAGTGTTGACCTCAGCAGGGAGTGCACGTGCCTCCTCATGTACAAGTACATGTAGTCAATATGATAGTGCGAACCATTCACGCCATCTTCCGCGCGAGGGACCATCCGGGCCCTTCGCTCACTTTGTGGCCTGAGTGTGCGGAGTAGCCAATTTAGTTTGCCAAAGCCACCTAACCCTTACAAGAAAACACAAGGGACATGGAGGAAAAACGATAAACGAGGAAAACAGGAAAACAAGAAAACAGATGATGGGGTGGAGTTTTGGCAAGCCAACCTGCCCAGTCAGTAAAATAAACGATATTTGTTGGCTTGGACTCGCCTAGACCTGCACTGGGAAACCTATCAGCACTTCTCCACTTTATCATATAAATCGTCAACTGGTCCGGCCAGGGCGGCGGCGGCTATCTGACTGTCGTGCTACTTGTAACGTACGGAGTACTCGCCAGTACATTCACTAGTAGCCAACTATTATGCATTCGAGTTGGGGGCTGCGTTTTCCTCTCAGGCAGGGTGCAGAGAGTATGGACATACATACATGTACAGTACAGTACTACTGTAGCAATATCACACTTCCAGATCCGTGCACGTAAAATGTGCGGGTATCTGTAGAGAAAGGGAATAAGTAAACTAACTAATAAACTACCTCGTCCAGGTTACAGTACATACATACATGTACAAGTAGTTCGATCGGCGCTCAACAGTCTCAAATATGTACCTTATGCACGTACGCAAACGCACGGAAGATCTTCTCTCCAGCTTTTCGAACAGGAACAGTCCACCTCATGTCCCCCTCCGAATGAGTCCCTGCTGTATTGTCACAAGTATACAAGTGCCCAATCGCGTAGGGGCGATATAAGCACGTCCCCAGCTTAGGTCACGGATTTTGTTCTACAAACAGGTACATACCTAGGTGCTTACATGGTACGCGGTACATATTTCCGAAGCCTCTTTCATCTGTACACAGTACTCCGTACGAGTGTCTTCTTATCTTCTAAGGATGATAATGGAGGGAATTGAGTTTGAAGCTATATCAATTCCGTGCCATTGTTTGTCATCATGTACTCCGTATCTAAGTAGGTATGTTATAATGTACTCCGTACACTGCAAAAGGTCTACGGTATAGGTGGACAATACAACTTACTCCGTATTCGCAGTGTCTACGCCGCATGGGCGCATATACGTTATTGCGCGTTTCTGCACGGATTCAAACGTGCGGTTCACTCCCGAGCTCGCCGAGCGACCGCCACCATCCCATCCCATCCCATCCCCAATCCCAATCCCATCTCCCACCCCATCTCCATACCCCCACTGTGTTATTATTTACCCCCGTACTGTGTTCAGTCTTGCTGCTTGCACCCTGCCAAATTGCCTACTCCATCCACAGTACGCGTACTGCTCTCCCCTACACGGTAGGTACTTAACGAATAGTGTGTAATTAGCTAACTTTTGCGTGCCCGCAGTGACAGGACAGGACAGGTATGTGCTGTGATATCGGACTAGCATCCCCCAGCCAAATATTCGACACCTTCCCTTGATAGTGGCCCCGGTCAGGACTCAGGACTGCAACAGAGCGAGAAAGGGACAGAAGTCGGTTCCTCTCCATATTGGCTCCCATCTCGGGTCTGGCTCGCGTTCGTTTGCTGAAGCGTCGTCCCTCTAGCGGGTCAAGCGTCCTGGTATCCCAGCCGTGCGAACGCTACAATAGGCCAGGCCGTCTAGCCTCTCGATGGCGTACTATCATCGTACTACGGCTGTAGTGGTCATATGTAGTCCTGAGCGGGAACCAAATATGGTAAACTATGGCAACCCATGCGGGCGATGGGTGGACGATAGCGTTAAACTTGTCGTCGAGGGGCGGCCAAAGGCTTGAAGCTAATTGCCATGGAGTTTGCTTGCTCCCTCGACATGCATCCATGCAACCCTCTTCTGTTCTCCAACAAACAATTCTCTCACAATTGCAAGGTGCGCACGCGCGATTGGCAAGCGCTGCAGCTTGCATGCGGGTTTGCGAATTTCGTGTCTCGGCGCTCTCTCTAGTGGGGCTGATGTACACAGCCAAACATGCCGCCCCAGCATCGAGCGTCTGCTCTCGCATCGCCATTCATCATTGCGCATCAGGTTCTGCACCAGAATACCGATCAGTGTCGTCATTCCAACAGTCCCGCATCGCCACGGCCAGCGACCATTTTCTCAATGCGAACATAACGTAGTTGCAAGGGAACCAACTACTCGTACTCCCCTCTAGTCATCCGGTCGGAGTGCGAAAGAAGCGTGCAAGGTGCCCCAAGTGCTCCAGCCACCGCAAGCTCAGAGCAGTAGCACAAAGGGTCTACCTGTGTCCAAAGTTTATGCTCGTCATCTCCCGCTCCCGCATTCTGCCAGTGACGACTTACGCCCACATTGCTCGTGCGCCGGCCTGGAGGCGGAGCGCCGCACACCTCAACCCTCAGGTCACAGCAAATCCCTTCTGCAAGTGAAGAACTTCAGTCATTGATGCCTGTCTATAGTCGGAGGCAAACGACGATGCTTTTCTCGCATCATGTCTCCACATTGACAGCGTCATGCACTGTCACTTCAGGTGGAGCATACGTGTCGAAAATGCGCAAAATCATACCTTTCGGCTTGCGTTCGATGCGTCCGACCACGAGCAGCTCTCGGGACAGCATCAAGAAACAAAGTATTCTATTACTACTGCTACTGCGTGATGCTCTGAGCAGCATTCCTAGATTTGCACTAGCCATAGTTCTTCGTGGTGAGTAGACAAACATGCATTCGCTCTTTACCAACGATGCACGCCATGCTCGTGCTATTCACTCGCTTTGCCATAAGTTCGGTAGACGAGCGAATGACTTTCTAGAAGTTAGACAAGAACCATCATGCTGGCGATCACTTTCATTACACAAGAACTATCGAAGTTCTCACCCAATACACCCAGCGAACATTCATTAACGGAATATATTTCCATCGACTTCCGTCTTAAGCTCCAGGGTGAGACATGCCGTCCATAGCCGCCTACATCTCGTTGCTGTACGATGATAACCGCCCAGGTGTGGCACGTAGCCACCGGACAACAACTTTGTGTTACTATAAAAAGGCCATGTGAGTGATGTTACCTCACTTCCGAGATGTGGAGTAACAAACACCCATGAACTACACTGACTTCATTGCCACTGGTGATACAACGTCTTACCACAATTCCAATGAACTTGGAACCTTGCACTAACGGTCGACATATTATCAAGCACTAGAATCTTGTCAGAAGACTCCTTCTGTTGCCCAGTGTTGGCTGAGACATCGCACTAGTTCGTAAAGATGATGTGTATCGTATCTTCATCAGGAACTCTGCCTGTTGCCATTGCGTTGCGGCACCGACCCACGCCCCATAAACTCCATCTCCGACTCGTACGTAACTTTCCGACTCTCTTAATGCAAACGAGTGGTTCGGCTCTGTTTTCCGATTTGTTGTTGCAAAAAATGTGCCTAGGACAAGTCTGCTGAAGAGACTTCAACGAGCAAAGTTGGGATTCCTTGACAATGATCCGGAAGTGTGCGCTACCTAATGCATCGCATCTTGACGTTTTGTGCGCGTATCTCAGCTTCACGATGAACTATGCTCGAAATAGCTACTTGGAAAGATAGCGCCCCGCATAAAATCAGGCAACGTACACATCAAGTGGGCTCCGATCGGTTTGTCGCTATACTTCGTGCAAGGCCGGCTCCAACATTGGCACAGTGCCACAAACGCCTCGACCACACCTCTATCCTATAACAGAAGTCACGGTGGAATAGCGTGGGATCACTATGGGTCTTTGGCGTATGCCGAACTTGATCGGATATGCTTAACTCGAAGAATCATCAACAAACAATCTTGAAAGATAAGCGTAGCCGGATGGTACAATTGCTACAATATCTTTGCTTCACGATGCGAGGCACCTCTACCTAGATAATGAGAAGACCTCCTGCTCAAAATGGGTCGTGCTGAAGACTCGTATTGCAAATGGGCAAAGTCGCCAATACACATAGCGATTCCTTGCTTGCCGATGATTTGAGGTTAGTGCCGCTCCCCATATGTCTCAGTTGGTTCGACGCGCATCGTGAACCCGTCAGCAGATCTTGCGAGCATGATCAACTATCCAGCCAAGACAATATCAGCCTCAACAATGACAGCTGATGTGTGGCAAGTGGTAAAGTTTAGTTCGTCTAAAAGCACCAGATCAATGGCAAAAAAAGCTGTTCAAACCTGGTTGAGAATTCAGCACGGCTGGAAGTGGTTGTTACACGCCCACTACGCGCGGACGGGCATCCGATCCTCTCCGATGCTCATGCAACGGACCATCAGTACGAACAACATTTTCAGCCTTCCCATGCAGGATAAGGGATCAGATCTCGAGAGCCATTTAACTACAGATGTTAGTTAGTTACTTTGTCTTCGCACAGTGTCGTCAGCCTATGGATGCTTGATGACCCGAACGAAGTAGTTCGGGGGTTTGAAGAAGATGCGGGCGAATCATCCAATCTGGCAGCTGTCATAGCAACCTCGTCACCCCAGACTACATTGGGTGGTCTGACATGCACCTCTGGACCTCTTTCCCATGCCCGTAAGTTTGCAACCATTCATGCCTCTTTTCAAGGAAAGCCATTAGCAAATGCACCATCCGTTAGGCACATCTCGGCGTCCGATAACTGCATAGCGCATGAACATTTGGTCCCTCAAGGGTCAAGGGTCCCTCAAACGGGATCCACCGTGCATCGACACCTACACCTATTGTCGATTCTTGTTTTCTCCACATGGTCGCTAGCCTGGAGGTCCGGATATATACTGGCAATGACTTGCATAGTCCTAGCACGGCGGAGATTATCGAAGTCACACGATCGTGCAGTCTGACGACGAGCTGCGAACTACTGCCTCTGCGTATTCTTGCCGTGTCCTTGATACGCCCAACTAGGAGATCGGAAGGGAGGGTGCATCCAACTGTGGGTGGTGGGTGGACTTTTTTGATTTGGCTCATACGCGGGCAAGTGGGTTCTCATGCAGAACAGATTTTTTAGTTGATATGGGATGCGAAGTTTCAACAGGCACCGCCAGCTGCAGTCTCTCACTTAGTCATAGTCTGTCGTTCCTCAAGTACGACTGCGCATCCATCGCACGCGCTAAAAGTCAAGCAAGTCGAGAAGAAGCCGAATCCGGATCCGAGCTTGCCTCCAAGCCGTTTGTTCATTCGTTTGTCTCTCGTTTTCCCCTTCCCAACTCTCTCTGTCTCTCGTCTCTCACTCCGTTCTCCACGGCTTACTTGCAACAATAACAACGGGGTAGGGGAAGGGGTCGCTCCTTGCAGACAAGAAAGTGCTCCACCGGGGCGTAGATAGTACATGCACATACGAGCATCTTGCGTGTTCTGCCTGTTGCAGACTTTTCTCTCTCTCTCAACGAGAGCAATGCCCGGCACTCGGCTGACGATCCAACTTCGAAGTCGCGTGCACAGCGTGGTCGTCCTTCACCATCACAGTGTAATACGGTATCTTGCCAAGCGATACGGCATGTCCCAAACTTTGTATTCGTGATTTCGTGTGATTCATCATATTTTCCCTTTTCGGCCGTCCGACCATGGATGATCACGTGAAGGACCCCTCGGTGTGAAATAACCCGGCCTGCCCCTCATTCCCCCAACTCATACTGCCTTCTTCCAGACAACGAAGAGCATATTTATGCAAAACGCAGTCGAGTTACCCCGCCTATTACAGTAATGTGTTGGACATGTATGGTGCTGTGGTGGATCAACACCTAACCACAGCTATTCAGACTTTGTTCCCAGCTGGAATACAAACAATCGAACTAAACTTGTATCATCAAAGGAACTACAATTATATCTAATCTTTTACAATTCTGTTTACCTCTGGTTCCCTTGACGTCACTTGCGACCTTTCTGTCCTGTAATCTCACAATAACCTCCAGAATTCCATAATCAAGCTCCGCCGCACGACTTGCAAGAGCTCACAAGAACGAAGTCTCGCAGAACGATCAGTTAAACATCACATTCACGACGACGCCCGTCATTGATACATACGCTCATTCAATCTTAAACCCTCAACTCCAATCTACCACCCTCCACCCCTAGGTCCTAGGAAGACAACCATCACTCAAACGACCTACTCCACAATGTCCAAAATCCTCGACACACACATCCACCTCTGGCCCTCGACCGCCACAACCTCCAAGAACCACGGCTGGATGCAACCAGGCCACTTCCTCTCCAAACGCCACGGCATATCAGACTACCTCTCCACCACACACTCCACCTCTCCCCCCGAACTCCAACCCTCTGGTTTCATATACGTAGAAACAGACCGCTACCTCCCGAGCTCCGCCCCAGACGTGCCCACCGAAGCCCCGGAGTCCGAGCTGAGAAACGCGCTGGTCGCTTGGGCGAAGGAACCCCTGGCTGAGCTCGAGTTCCTGAGACGGATAGTCGAGGGTTCTCCAGACGAGGGCGATGGCTTCGAAGCCGCGGATGCGGAACGCATGAAGGGTTGCGTCATTTGGGCGCCTTTCCACCTCGAATCGCGGCTGTTCGATTTGTATATCCGGGTTGCGGAGGAGGTAGCGGGCCCGAGGTTGTGGGCGAAGGTTGTGGGGTTCCGATACCTGCTGCAGGGCATCAACGACGAGGGGGAGATGAGGGCGTTGGTGGGGAGTCAGCGGTGGGTTACGAATTTGCTCTCGCTACGGCGAGGGAGAGGAGGAAGGGGGTGGGCGTTTGACGTTGGGGTTGATACGCATGGAGGGGGAATATGGCAACTTGATGTGGCAGCGGGTATGATTGATAAAATTCGAGGGATCGAGGCAAATGATGGGGCGGGGAATGTTGCTTTTGTTTTGAGTGAGTTGTTTCTTCATCTCTGCTGCCAGTTTCGAAAAAGAGAACAGTTGATAACTAATTGGATGGAATATCAACAGATCATCTCTGCAAACCAGATCTATCCTCCACCCCCAGCTCCGCATGGCCAGACTTCCGACTGTGGAAATCCCTACTCACCCACTCCGCTACACAGCCCGCGGTGTACATGAAATTCTCAGGGGCTTTCAACGAGTTCGCGCCGTCACCTACACCGTCGTCTGTCTCCGCTCTAAAAGAAAGTCTCGGGCCGTTCATAGCACATATCGTCGATCAGTTCGGCACCGGAAAGGTCATGTTCGGATCCGATTGGCCAGTGTGCAATGTAGGAGGGCCGAACGGGGAAGAGAATTGGGGGTTGTGGAGGGAGCTTGTGGCTGCGTTCGTGGAGGAGGCAGGCGATGATATTTGGTGGCGGGCGGGTTGTGAGGCGTACGGTATTATGATATGATTTCCAGTATCAATTCGAAAAAAACAATTCGAGTCGTGTACGAAGACATGTTGAAGCATAAGAAGCATTCCATGACTTTAAGCGCAAGATTTGCTTCCAGGCCGAAATATTATGAACATATTTTTATTATAAAATTCGCTTGCAAAACTTTAGATTTCTCATTTTTTTTGTTTACTTATTGCAGATTGACGAACAATCCACCATCAACCAACAGCTGTGCACCAGTGACGTATTCACTCAACTCGCTCCCCAAGAACACCGCCGGCCCCGCCAAATCCTTCGTCACGCCCGTCCTCCCCAACGGTATCCTTCCCTCCATGTATTTCCTCTTCTCATCGTCGTCCAGATCCTTCTCGTTCAACTGCGTCTTGATCGTTCCGGGGAGGAGCGCGTTACACCTGATGTTGTACTGTCCCAACGCACACGCGCACGACTGGATGAGCGACAAGACTCCCGCTTTCGTGGGCGTGTAGTGGGCTTGCTGCGAGCCGCCGACGAGCGCGGAGATGGAGGATATGCCGATGATGGAGCCGCCCGGGGGGCTCTGGGCGGACATCTGCGTGGCGGCGGCGTGGATCGTGTTAAATGCTCCTGTGAGGTTGGTGTTTACGGTTGAGGACCAGAGCTGAGGAGTGATACTATAGCACGAGTCGAACTGTTAGCAAAAATGCGGTTTCGTGTCCAGGTGGAATGAATGTATCAAGGCGTACTCTAAGAAATCCTTAAACTCGCAGATCCCCGCATTGCTAACGAAAACATCCAGCTTCCCCCATCGCGATACCGCGCCCTGGACGAGCTTCTTGCCGGTCTCTGGGTCGGAAACGTCTCCTGGGACCTCGAGAAGTCTCGCCGCAGCTTCGTCCTTGCTTCCGATGTCTTTTCCGGCCTCTGCAAGTAGGGCCTGATATTGCTCGCTTGACCTTGGGTCTCCCAGGTGATTCACGGCGACGTTGGCTCCGTGGGAAATGTATCCCAGTACGATCGCTTTGCCAATGCCAGTGACGCCGCCTGTTATGGCCATGATCTTGCCTTGTAGGAGCTTTGGGGAAGCCATGGTGCGGAATGGGTCCGTTGGTGTGGAGGGAGAACAAAGGAACGTAGGACAGATAGATTCAGACGGGCAAGGGATGGAGCCCGCGTTTAGGCAGACGGTCACTTATATGATGAAATTTTTGTAGCGACACGGGGCCACTCTGTCAACGGCATATTGTCTATATACGCGTCTGCCGGCGGGGCATTCGGAGGTGCAATGGAGCGATGAAAGACGGACCCTGACGTGGGTTAGGGTCTAGGCCTCGGGTCAACACACACCGACAGGCTATCCCACATGTCGGACCGTATCCGCCGTATTAATATTGCTGTTCTCGAAGGACTTCACATAATTCTGCGATTGCAGTTCGAGCTACAATCATTCATTTGGGATACAGGATGGTATAGGATTCTTTAAGTTGCGTTCCCTATCATACAGGTACCAGGAGGTACTGGATATTTCTACATCTCACACGTAACCCGTCTGTCCCATCCCAAGGAGTACCACAAATGTAGCTTTACCACCAGCGACGTGTTGCAGATACGCAATCAGCTCATCATCGTCATCTATCGTGATCAAGGTCTCTCTATCAGCTTGCCCAGGTGCTTTGTGCACGATCAGTCCTTCGATCTTCATCACAACGGTGCCTGGATGCTCTCGCATGGCGAGCGTCCGAATCTCCGGCACAGTTGCAGCCTGCAAGATTCCTAGCCAGATCATCTTCCCAGGCATGCTAGTAGTCGAATGCGGATGTAGTCGAAAGTAGATTGGCAAAGGTACACCGCCATAGAACTGTGAGGAGAGCAAGTACTGATTTTGATTTGGAGGAGCATTGGTCGGGTTTGATGCATCGGCGTTGGCCATTAGCGAGGGATTGCTAGCAGCAAGTAAGAGGGAGGGATCGATCTGAAGTGCAGATGCATCGGACAATGTAGACAATCCAGCATCGGCTTGATCATTATTGTCGGCGGTTTCAGTCGGACGGAAACGTCTTGAGGATAAGGGTGGGACCATCGAAGGTTTTGCAGGACCAGGGCCGGGGCCTGAGGGTAACTGGCTCTTCAGTGAAGGATCTTTCCTTTGTTTGAAATCACGGAAGCGCTTCATCACATCCCTTGCTAAGACCTCCACTGCTTTGACCTTTTCGGCATGCTTTGCGTCGGCTGGTCCTGGACTGAGTGTATCTCTTAAAATGGGAGAGTCTTGGACCCAAGCTTGCTTCAGGTCTTCCCAGTGCTGCTCACCAGCTTCGAACTTGTTGGTGAAGTGGTCATTTCTCAACTTGTCTTGGAATGCTTTCCTGATCTGTCGAGTCTCCTCGGGATTGAGGCCGAGGATGGTTTTGGCCTCTGGAATCCCCATTCTAGAGTCGAACGTCCGCATACGTTTTGTAACATCCATGCAGATAACATCGAGAGACAAGGCCTTGAAGTTGCTCGTACCCTGAATCGAGACATCTTGCTGTCTGCTTCCGGCGTCGTTGTGAAAGGTGCTGGCCAAATGAGCATTCTCTCGAATCAAGCGATCCTTAACACGACCCCATTTCTCAGGCCCGGCGACGGTTTTCTTATAGATGCCCTCTTCCATACACAATGCCTGGAACTGGTCTCTAATCTGGCGATACAAATCATTAGTCAGCCCAAGGTAGGCTTTGCTTTCATCGATGGTCGTTTCTGAGGGGAACCTCGGAGGTTCGCCTGGAGCATCTGCTGGTAGATTGGCCCATCCTCTCGTTCGCCGGCGTCGTTTGCGATTCGACCATTTCTCGGCGCTTTCGATTTGAAGCTGCTGTCGTCTTGCTTGCCTGCGCAGGGCTTCTTCAGGATCCAGTGGTGCGGGTTCTGATTCAGCGATGGTGCTTTGCAATGCGCCTTCTGTTGGTACTTCATTAGAATCCTGACCATGAACAGGATCCTCCTGTCCCGCTTTAGGGGTTGAATCTGCATCAGAATGCCTCGCATCGTCGCCATTTTCGGCGCTTCCGATCCCAGCATTCGCATGGTTCTGGTCGGCCGATGCACCCTTCTGTTTGCTTTTGAGAATCCGCGAGGTGTTGTCTCGAAGCATCCAACCGTATTTTAGCCTCAGCCTGGTAAGCTCACGGTCATTGATGGTAAACCCCTCATTCTGCATCGTGCTCAGCATTTCTTTCTGCGTGGTGTTGGCCTCCCATAGATCCTTGACTCGGTCGATCAGGGCCGAGTTCTTCAGCGCAAGGTTCTGTTTGCTTGGGAAGTTCCATCGCTGTAATGCATGTTTAGTTTAACGATTCTTTCGTCGTGGACGACCAGGCCGGTGGACTCACTTTGAACTGAGTCTGAAAGGCTCGTTTGCTTTGGTTACGGTGTTAGCATTGATCGTACCATACTATGCAATCCATTCTGGAGAGCATCTGGGGGCTACACATGCGATAGGCTGGAGCGCGCATAATTTCTACGGTGCTCCGTACACCCCGCTTGTGCAGAAGCAACTCACCTTGGCGTGAAATTCCGTTGTTCCCAGAACTCAATCACCTCGTCCATGCTCTTCTTCTCCTCGACGTACAACCTAAAGCAGTCGGCTTCTTTGCCATCCCAATTATACACCATGTTCGGGCCCAGTTGTGCGGTGCAATGAGAGCTGCGACGTGATGCTTTCGTGAAAGTGCGCAAGTGGCGCGTCTGGGAAGCTCAGGACGCCTTCCGAAGTCATTTTTCGTCTAGCCTGTTTGGGAATAGTGATTTGTTCCCAGAGGTAGGTGAACATACGGAATTTCGTTGGATTGTTCGACTGTGATGTGACATAGAAAACTTGTTGTTTCTGTGCCAATGGTTTAATTTTTCCAGGGCGTTAAATGAATGCGGAATCAGTGTCTATACACTGCAATGCCATATAAATTCAACCATCGGTTCTGATTTCTCCCCAACCTTCTATACCCATATTGTCTTTAAAGAAAGTATGAGCATGCTGCTTCATCGATTTGATGAGGTACCATCGTTTTATATGGACTCAATTCCAATATTTGGGGGCGCAAAAAAAACAATAGAATGTCGGTTTCTGAGATATGCCACAATGAAGCCTGGAAGCAGCTTCAAAGCCTTTTTTTTGTGATATTGATATTTACAACTTCTGTCTGGAATCCTTGCAAGAAACCATGAGAAACCAACTAAACCACGAAATCGCAACCAGTGATCTATCTACTTCGCACTTCCATAGCTTCTCGGCTTGGGCGCCGCCGTCGCAGCGGCAGTGTACGTCCCATCGATACCCTGAGTGGGCGTCTGTCCGTTCCTGATGCACCTGCTCTTGTCGGTGAGCTGCTTGGGGCAGGTAACCTCCTCGAAGCTGACGTCCGGGTTGTCGGAGTTTGCGAAGAAATCGAAGCGCCAGTAGCAGCCGGCCTTGAGCTTCTGGGGGAATGCGTCGCACTCGGAGCGCGAGGAGATGCCGCCGTACTGCTTGCCCCAGCCGTTGGGGGGAGCGCCGTACTGGTTCGTGCAGGCGTTGAAGAGGCCGACGCCGCCGCCTGGCATCGCGAGGTCGAAGTGGTTGTTGCCGAGGTCGCCACCGGTGTTCGTGGCTTGCACGATGTGCGTCTTGCCCTTTGCGGGTCCGGATGTGAAGGTCAATCTGGGAGGCGTTAGAACTGGTTCTTGGGTGATTTATAGTTGGATGAGGAGGGGAATTTACTTGTAACAGGCACAGCACCAGGTGCCCTCGTTGCCGCCAGCCAACTTCACTGCTGCAAAACCATACGACGTATCTGCCGATACGGCCCATGGGCTCTGGTTCGAGCACATGTACGCAGTGCCACCGTTCTCACAGCCGTTCCTGGCGGCCATGTCGGCCAATGGGTTGTCCGACTTGTCGCAGCTCTGGATGGGCTGGTTGACTGAAGCTTTGCCACTCCATCCGCACGAACCCTTGCAGCAGTCCCAGTATCGAGTCGTCTTTCCGGTCTTCTGAGCTTCGACTGAAGCGTAGCCAGTAACCAAGGCCAGAAGAGCAATCTGCTTGAGTGACACGAGCATGTTTGCGACTATGTGATAATACCGTAATTACAATGTTGTGAGATAGCGACAACAGACAGGTAGTTGAGGAGAAAACACTTCATGTTATATCGTTCTTTGGGCATCGATGCAAATACTAACTTCATTTCCCCACAAAATTTCATATAGGGTGGTGCGACATCGTACGCCAGTCGCAATTTATTCGATTTTCCAAGAGACCTGGATACCCGGTACATGGCAACTCACTAGCCCCTGCGTGAGAACCTCGCCATCTCCAACGGTATACAGTAATACTCGTCACGCAGTTCTATTGGTGGGCGTATCATTGTCATGAGGCCTCCGTGGAACCAAAACACTTGTCTCGGCATTAGTGTAGTGAAATATGGCGCAGTGTATCAATGCTTGTTACTTTAGGAGATGATGAGAGGGGTTTTCAAATTTCGTTTCATATGAAGTTATAGGAAAGTCGGCTCGCGAGTCCCGTAAATTGCCGGTCACTTGTCATAACAGACGTTGATATAGCAAAACAATATGGATGAGGCTGTTAATGACGAAACGTACGCGAGGTCAGGCTAGCGGCAGCGGGGTGCATGTACCAGGGTAGGACTTTGAGATTGGATCCAGGTTGTATGGCTCCGGGAAAAGTCACTCGCCGTCAATAATTCAAAGTGTGGGGTTCTCATTTTCGGAACTCTACAGCGATCTTCAAAAGAACGCAATAGAAGAAACATTCTTCAATGTACCTAAATGTGCTATGCCAATTCGGTGTCTACATCTATGAAAAAGTGTCCCGGTGTTGTACGTGACATGTAGTTGTAGAGTGCGTGTACGCCAACGGTGGAGGCTTAGCTGATAAAGCTCTAGGTTGTTCATCGTGAGTTTCTGAAAGTTTCCGTAAAGACGTTGTCTGAAGAAGCTGAAAGAAGTCGACGCTGCGCAAGCATCAATCCACTTTTATAGCCCTGGGTGCTGCTGTGTCAGCTGCTTCTATACGAAGGCGAATGTTTGGAAATCATGTTCGAACACTTACGCGTACATGTTCTGTACAAATACATATGCAGCCAGAAAGCCCACAGTTCCAGTGAGCAATCCATAGACAGCGCAGGCGAGAAATCCGTAACAAAAGAAGAGAAGACTGGACACAAAGCCTGTGATGTGTAATTTCGCGAAGTAGTACCATGCCAGGTACGTAAATATCCATAGAGAGCTACTGCCGCCAACCATGAATGAATGCCACCACCATTGATGATTCTAGAAATATAGTAAGTGGTGATGTACATACACGAGTTCGGATGCAGTCTTACCTCGGAGCAAAGCCGCACATAAGTTGCGACAATTGCTACCTCGATGACCGTAACAAGTAGGATGATTGATATGAGGCTAAGAAAGCCGAAAACATAGTAGTAGCCGCTCTTGTCCTGCCATAAATTCTTGAATACGAACATCAGTTCGATGAATATCACCGCGAATGGTATGAATCCTCCGAGAAGAATAGCCTGCATGTTCCTAATAAACCAAGGCTGGGGAGGGATCTGTCGGGGAATCGAATTGGTTTTGATGGGGTGAGTCCATGTACCGGCGACCGTGTACCCGTACCAGCCTCCTACATACACAAGTGGAACCTGTATGAAAAGCCATAAACAGACGAGCAAAATAAGGGTGGTAAACGGTATGGCGTTACTTGAGGCTTGGACCCACACAAAGAGGTTCAAGCAGAATGTGGTTGCAAAGAGTAATCCCGGAACAAGAGAGGCAGTCACAAAAACGTTTTTCTGCCATATTTGTCCCCCAAAAGTCTTGTAAACTCTAGCAGAGACGTAACCAGAAACGAGACCAGCAGCAACGAAGAGGCCTATGCCTACGCTCCCATATCCACCGCGGAAGCTGGGATTGAGCAAGCCAAGAGCGCTGAGTATGAGAAGACCGAGAGCCACGAGGACGAGTTGGATTCCTGAACCCACCAAGGGAGCGAGCAGGCCGCCATGGGGTGGAGGGCGAAACACATCGCCGTGAAGCAGCTTCCAACCAGAGGCGTCATCAACTACTACATCGTCGGATGATGCATCTCCGATGATTTCAGCATCGCTGAGTTGCTCGAGAAGCCCACCCTTTTCAAGACCGGGCGATTTGACCCTTTGATCAACGTTGCTTCTCGGTTTATCGCCATCTGCTCCAGCCTTGATATTTTTATGCAGAGTTTGGGCCACGATAACTGCAACCACTGTAGTCAAAAGTCCGGCGATGACGAGCGAGTTGATAATTGCAAGCCAATGGATGTTGGAACTGTCATCCTGGGCGACAAAGTACATACTCCACCTATTTTGCCATTCTAACCTATCCTCTTCTCGAAAGTAGACCGAATAAGTGAAGGGGATATTCAGCGTCACATTATCGGAACCCTCGTCGTGAAATTGACTGCTAAGACTCATTCCTTGGGCGACATTTGAGATGTCTTCAGGAAGTCCATTAGCTTTTCGGTGGCCTGCCTCAATGCTCTTCGGAAACACCTCGAACCCCACGATGACTTTCTTCCCATGTCGACCGTCCCGGCCAGGTGCGCGATGAAAGCGAATGACGAGCGTGACGTGATTATTCAGGAAGTACTGAGGATCCTGACCCTCCTTCGAAGCCACCTCCTCGCCGAGCTTGAATCCTGCAGCGTAGTATTTACGAGTCTTATCTGTTGTTTGATAACTGGTAGCACCGGGTAGGTTGTCCACAATCCACTCTGCCAAGTAGCCATCCCGGATCAATTCTTTGGTTTTCCTGATGCCCGCAGCATCCATAGTATGGCTGCAAAGGAAAAGTGCCTCCTCGTCGTTGCCCATGACTAGCTCATAATCTGATACCGTTATCCGATCACCACGGAGGACCTCTCCCAAGTTTAACGATATACTGGCACCGCTAGTAAAACGTCCGGTGTGAACTCGACCGGTGGGGGGACAAACGAAAGGTAGATCAGCATATCTATACTGGAGTTCGCTACGATCGGAGTACACTTTGTTGACAAATAGTGGTATTGTCTCGCCATCGTGGTAGCTTTTAATTGAGAACCCTTCAAGGTTGATGAGTATTTCTAACTGGAGAAAAGTCAAGATAATGCAGGCTTCGTACCAGGTATGTAGAAAGCGTGCGTGAGCACCAATAGAAAGTTGATAGCGAAGAACCTGCGCATGTGTGTATACATTCTGTATGAGAGGACTGCTGAAAGGTAATGTGACAGACAAAGTCAATTGTCCCAAAGATGCCAGGTTATGACAGCGAAATGAAGATGGTGTGCTATCCGAAAGTTTGCTTCAGGTTGGGGTTGAATAGTAAATGCCGGCTGAGAGGAAGAGGCAGAACTACGACGTGTTGCGTGTCGCGTGCGACCGGAAGAGGTCGCGACTGCATTCAGAGGGCAGATGGGCAAGAGCGTAGAGATCAATCAACAATGCGAGGGCAAGAGGATGCAGAAGTTGATGTTGATGATCTCAGTGAGGGAATTTTGCAATTCGAGCTGGACCATTAGTGGCCTTCAATATTGACGAATAGAGTGATTAAAGGTGAATTACGAGTTTCTCAGTTCGGAGGAGACGGAAAAGTTGTGTGGACAGATTTACATGTTGGAATGTGAAGTGAACGAGTAGGGGACGCGCCAAGAGAGATGTATAATAACTATTGGGTCACACGTGGAGAAACGCGCGTTACGGTGGAATTGTTATTGGGGTGAGCCGGCATACAACCAAAATGCTCATGATGGCAAATACATGACGTCTTCAAAGGTAATGATACGTGCCTATCTAGGTAGACTGTGACGGGACGAGATGAGGCGGAAGGGGACGGGTCGCCCTCGCTAGGAACAACCTGTGTTGATGGTGGCTAATTGACAATCCCGATCCACCCCTTGCAGTGACCAACACGGCTGATAATAGACAAATTAGATAGTAAGAACAACATCATGAGTATTCAATTAGGTTGTACAGTTTCAAACACTTGTTTGTGCAATACGAGCTGGTTGTGTTTTGCGCTCCTCCCTGCAGCCTTCAAGAGGTCTTATTCTACTTTCCCAATCCCCAGGCAGCCTCAAGAATCACAAATGCCTTTGAGTATGGCATGTGACAGAAGCCAGATAAAGAAAGAGCGAAATAAAGAAAAGAAAAGATGAAGAGGGAACAGAAAAATGACTTGCTATGGCAATGCCGCGCCGACCTATGAATATGCCTTCGGCCTGGTCTCCCGTCGGACTTTTTTTCCCAAACAAACGCCAGGACTAGCAGCGAGCCCTTGTCCTGAAAAAGTACAGAAATAGGAAAAGATATTGTTTTTCAACCCCGCCCAGCGCCATGCTTTGAGTACGTACATGTGACAAATGAAACATCAAATAAGACAGGAGAATGAACCATAGTACCAAGAATGAGAAGTTCCGTTCCAATCGGAGGCCATTATAAGATCGTAAGCGGTGCCGACCACCATGTACAGGTCAGCTTCAATTAGGGGGTGACGAGAGTGAAAATTAACGAGGAATATATCGGGTATCGAAAGCAGGTGGAAAGGAAGAACTGCAACCGGGTGGCGTGGTGCAGTGGCTGAGCTGGCGAGAGAGGGAGAGATGCTTCTTATGACTCTGGTCGTGTGAGTGGAGACACAGCAGGTGTCTCATCGCCATCCCTGGTTGCAGTAACTATGGTGACTGGTGCTGTAGTGGCGTTAGTCACCCCTGAAGGCGAAGACTGTGCGATGCTGCCGTTCGGTCGCGATGTAGGGTTTTCAAGAGGTGGTGTTGTCTCTCCGTCTTCTTCGGGTATTGGTGGACAATACGTTTTCAAAACATGTTTCAGAGCCGGGCGTCTGATAGGCTTTGATAGGAAGAAGTCCATTCCGGAGTCAAGGCATTCCTGCGACATGTGAGAAAATGTAAACGAACAGCAAAGAGAATGGAGCACTCGTACCTTTACATTGCTTTCTTCCGCATACTACAGAAGACATGTTAGCATAACCCATTCGTGATGTCAATGTGTATGTTATCTAGAAGATGATACTTACGGCAGTTAGGGCAACAATTGGCGCGGAGAATCCGGATTGTCGGATGAGTCGAGTAGACTGCAAGCCATCGAGATTTGGCATCTGAACATCCATGAAGATGAGGTTGTAGGGTGTCTGGCGCTCCATGCTTTCCTTGACTTTATCTAACGCCTCTTGTCCATCTTTTGCCACTGTGACATCGTAAACGTCCTCTAGCTTTAGCATGCGGAGAACAACTTCTTGATTTGTCTTTGTCTTGTCAGTGATACTCTACACGTATCGGAACATGCATTGCTTACCTTGTTGTCTTCCGCAACGAGAACTCTCACTTTGTCTCCTCGTTTCGTCGCCTCGGCCTCTACTCGTTGCATTGCTGCAGTTTGAGAATTGGGAGATTCCAAGGGGGGATTTGAGGCAAAGAATGGGGTGCTGAGACCCACAAGTCGCGGCTTCGAGTCGTTCTCGAATGCAACGGGACCAGAGGAAGAGCCAGCGATGGGGTCGCTGCGAGCAGATTGCACTGACCTCCCCGAAAGAGCATCATCGTTGGCTGGTCGATAGCCTGGTTCATCCATCGACGTAGTCTGTCTAGCACCTGGGTCACGGTCACCCAGATTGATGTTACTGGAGCTGGCTGTGCTGTCAGCACGGCTGGCTAAGTGTTTCAGGGGGATGGCCATGGTGAAGACACTGCCATGGCCAACTTCGCTCTTCAACTGGATTGTGCCCTTCATTAAACCGGCCAATTGCGAGCAGATACTCAGGCCAAGACCGGTTCCACCATATTTCTTGCTTAAGCCAAGGTCGCCTTGTACAAAGGGTTCGAAGATCTTATCATGTAGATTTTCGGGTATACCTGGCCCAGTGTCCTCGACTTCGAACTCATAAGCTAACCAGCGACCGGGTGGTGGCGTAGTAGGCCTTTCCTGGGCCATGATGTGCGAGTACGGGTTCTTTTGATCGAAAGCGTTGATTACGTTCGCAGTCTCGTATTGGTTGGGGGTCGAAATTGACACAGATCCAACTTCAGAGCTCGAGGCACGGACACGGTTCTTTGAGTTCCTCATCGAGCTCTGTCTGGATTGTACAGATGTCTTCCTGCTACCGGACGTCGTTGCTTCTCCCAAACAGCGGATGGTGATGACCACTGCCCCTCCTTGCGGGGTGAATTTCAAGCTGTTCGATACCAAGTTGATGACAACCTGTAGTATGCGGTGCTGATCGCCATAAAGAATCATATCTTTCAGTCGACCGAGTCCAAAGGGTCCTAAATCGCCATGTTCATTTGCCCGTCCGTTTTCGTCGACGTTGGCATCATAAGGTCCTTCAAATTTTACCCGTAAATCGATCTTGCCCTCCTTCGCCTGACGCTCAAAGATGGCCAGAACTTGAGAGCTGATGTCTCGTAAACGGAATTCCTTTTCATCTAGACTCAAAGATTGGCCGACCTGATTTTTGCTGAACGTTAATAGATCTGTGAGAAGGTTGAGCAGAAGATCTCCGCTTTTGTAGATAATGCCGAGGGACCGTCGCAACTTAACGGGATCATCTTCTGACATGCAAACTGCGCACATGCCTAATATTCCGTTGAGAGGGGTTTTGAGCTCGTGAGAGATGTTGGCGATGAAGAGTGTCTTGCTCTCGTTTGCGGCTTCTGCAGCCTTTTTGCTCAGCTCCAATTCAGCTGTCCTCTGTTGAACTCGTTCTTCCAGTCTTTCATACTGCATCATCAACTCATCCGTCATCTCATTGAACGTCTTTGTGAGGTCTGTAAGTTCGTCGTGAATGAAATGTTTTCGATCCTTGACCTTGCTAGGGATGCGGAACTGTCGTCGTCTTTCCGCCTCCTTCCTCTCTGCTTTGCTAGCTTTCTGGTTACGACGGAAATGCTTGACCTTGCCCATCCAACCTTCCTTCCGGGCGAGGGCATCCTGGTGGTCGTCACCGTTGGCACCGTCGCGCTGGGAGCTCAAGCTGTCTTCATCGATGACCTGGGGGGAAACGGATTTCTTAGTGGCATCCCGTAATCGTCGGATCGGCCGGCTCGAATAATGGGCAACTGGAAAAGTCAATACCAGCATAGCTCCCATCGTGCCGAAGACGCAGGCGAGAATGATATTCCGAAGTCGGTTGATGGGAGCCCAAACTTCACCATGCGATTGCTCAACGATTACCATCCAATCCACCATTGCCGAGTTTGCAACCGCATATCCCACAGCTACATCTTGTCCTTCTTCATTTCTTGTCGAAACTTTGCTTCCAGCATTGTTCGCGATTTTACTTAGTTGGGTGAAGCCTTTCTTAATGACGGGGAAGTCGGCCCAATCGAAGGAAGAGTTGCTCGTGGCCGAGCCCTTCGAAACGTGTCGATTCACAAGGTCGGTCCTGGCCGTAGGAGGTAATAGGAATCGGACTTGCTCGTTGTCGGGGACAACTTGGTTGGGGGAGTTATATAGCACATTGGCTGGAAACTTGTTGGTCACATTGTTCGGTCCGACAAGTAAGACCAAACCAGTTCTGTCCAATCCTTCCAACCCCTCTACAACATCCATTATCAAATGCGCATCTAGTACTGCAGTCAACCACCCTAATGTCTCGATGTGTGATGTGTTGTTGATGATCGGCATGGTGATGGAAACAAGATTAAGGTTGTCATCCACACGGTAAGGTCCACTGAGGAGGTAGCTGGTCTGGTTGATCTCTCTTCCTTCGTAGAAGGCAACAGTTCGATTGAACGTCGAATTATAAGGGATAGGGGTGGGCTCGAATTTGGGGTATAGCTCCGGGATGTAGCCATATACTGGGTCTCCTAATGTCGCGTTTGATCCATCCGGTTTTTTGTATGGCAACGACAGACCTACCATGGTATCAGCCGTACCATTGAGGACAGAGTATGCAGAGTTGTTGGCAGCATAGAGCTGTGCCTGTATGGCGAGACGGCTATCGCCATCAGCCTGGAAAATGGCTTGTAGATCCTCTCGAGCTCTTGCCCAGCTTGCCTCAGTGTTATTTCCTCGGTTGTAACGTTGGAGGGCCAATTGAATGATGATACGCGTAGCAGATTGTTTGACTGTGGTCTGCATGATGAGAAGATTCGAAGCCAACTGAGCGGACTTGAGTGAGGCAGTCAACGACAACCGAGTAGAGCGAATGTCCAACACAAAGTTATGGTTGGTAATCTGCTAAGAATTAGTGTTGTGTGCCTTCAAGAAGGGTTTGGGGCAATGTTACCCATGTTGCAATCGCGATGACCGCCAATCCGATCAGAGAAGCCAGCAAAACCAGGCAGCCCAGCTGTTCCCGTATGGGAATGCGCATCTTGACCATTGCAGTAGTGCCCAGCAGATGTGTGATCCGACTAAAGATTGGGGTCTGCCCAGGTCGCTGCGCGAGGGTCCACGGAAAGGGCGAGGGGAAAAGGTACCGGCGAGACGGCTGAAGAAGGGCTCGGTCGCCCACGTCCCATTCCTATAACGCGACGGTAGAATTCTGTCTTAACGGAGGAGAGCGCGATGAGGGATTGTCGGGTAGTGAGTCGAAATGCGAAGGTTGATGTGGTAGTCGAGTTAGCTCGTGAGCTGGGGCAGTAGGGCCAGTCACGGCACGGCAGACAACGGGCGGGCGGGTTGGAGATGCGCGCTCTCACGTTCAGAGGTGGATAGGAGGAGAGGAAACGGCGAGTGACAGGCTCTACAACATCGAGGAAGATATCCTAGGATGGAGATGGCCTTGAGGGAGGGACTGAGGGTTCGGGATCGAGCGAGGGCGCGGTCGCGAGTGGTAGAAGCGTGAAAGAAACAGCCGAGAAAGGTAGGAAACGAATAATACGGGATGGGCGAATCGGGCGATGGACAGACCCAAGACAAGCACCAAAATGGGGTACAGCGGACAGACATGCAGCCAACACAGGCGCACTACCTATTCTACTTCTCGTACAGGGGGAGACACAGAGAAGTTGAGCCGAGGGAAGTCCCAGTTACAGGAGAGGGATTATTATTATAATTATCGTCAATATCATTACCATTCTTATCCTTGATTATTCTTAATGTTCCTTGAGAGAAGAAAATATGTACATACAAAACCCCTAGCGATCGTGGTGACCGAACTCAGAAAGGAAAAGAGAGTAGAAAGAGCCCGTGATGCCGCGGCCTTCCGCGCAAGGGCCTAGCTGCCAATGATGCTGGGGATCGTACGGCGCGCAGAAGACGATTACTCGCCCTGGACTTTGGCATTTCACAACTAGTACTCGTACCAGAGTACGGTGCAAGATGTCTACATAAGCACTTGTCTGCACCGTATCAATTATTCGGGTTGGTAGGGGAGCTACAAGTAATAGTAGTGGTCATCAGTGAGGGAGACTTTCCTTGCCAACCGGTCAGATCTCTGCGACATAATGAGCGATTGAAACAGTCTCTTTGCTAAGGGCATTTCAAAGTGCCATGCAACCGCCAACCGCCAACCACAGACGCCCCCCGGGGACCACGGGTGGGACAATGCCATTCCAAAGAATGGCATCTGCATGGCCTGGTTCGTTTCGCAATCCAACGGCACACCCGGCCGCCATCCAATCTGACTGAGGCACAGGATAGTATTTTCGAATGATGGATTGACGGATGAATGCACATCAGTCGTATGCTTGCCATCAAACAGTACGAGTACTGGTAGAAAGTCGAAAACCAAAGGGACGATAAAGTACTCCGTAGTGAGTAGGTTTCGATGCATACCTATGTACTTGTAGGCCCCGGCCGCTGTTCATTTCCGCATCTTCTCGATGGTGGCAGCGATTCCCAGCACATCAGCAGATGGGGCGTTCCTCTGAGGGCGGATCGGCAGATGGGTTGTTTTTGTTGGAGGGCACGGAGGGTAAGCTGAGGTTCTCGACCGGCCTGTACCTCTACTTGGCCCGAGTACGTATTCGCTTCGCTTAAGAAGTCAGTTGGGGTTGGGGCCACGACAAATACGTCCCTAGCAAGGTGCTAGGGAGTGGGGATGGTGCGAGGGAAATTTGGGGGGGCAATTATGGTAGGCTTGTGAATCGTGATTTGCAAAGGCCAACCGTGAGAGAGAAGAGTGTGCGTGGGTAACCCCAGATCAACAACAGATTATGGAGTGGTGCATGAGTGTGAAGAGAGAGAAAAAGCAAGGTATGATAAGTGGTTATTCGTGAATTATGTATGCCTTGTCCTGGTCATGGTCGTCGTGTCATCATCGTTGCTCGTAGGTTTCTGTTTACTGTGTGTGTTTGTTTTTCTGGAAGGGGGAAAGGAGATGGTGGTGGTTGGACCTGGTGGTGGTGGTGATGGATCATGGATGATTGCTCATATTTGCTGGTGTTACTGTCACATCCCCGCCAAGCCAGGCTAGATCACGGACTAATCTCAATACGGATCGGCCTAGAATACGTTAGGTAAGCCATCAGAGCAATCTTAATTTGTCCCACTATACTCTTTATAGGTCTTCGCTAGCTACTTACGTACACAGTAATTATTGTTATGTACATGTACATGTACAGAGTGCACACTACCAAAACCACCACAACTATGTAATACATTCAAAGTGTTCTCAACATTGATAACTACCTATCTGGGTAACTGACTACAATCACCGCAATTATTCCAACCTGTACCAAACTTCATATATCTGGTGGTTTTCATCTGGTCATTATCATGGCCACAAGCCCAACTACTATCCACCTATATTGTTTCCCTTTCTTGTCAACAACTACAAATCTCTAACCACCACAATCCGTACTATATACGGATACATAACTATGTCACAAACTTGTTCCACCGCATTCTCCAAGTGTCAGACGTCTCCCTTTCGCATTGCGGGCCGTCGTCCCAGCTTCGACACAAACTAATAATGAGCTCAGATGCGTCCCAAAAGGCTGAAAACACCCGAGACACATGCCAGGCGTGGTTGACACAGCTGCAACAGAACTAATCACACCTTCTCTTCGTTCCTACTTCCGCGGTAGAAAAAGAGAAGCTCTGGCTCCACTTTCGTCCAAGTCCGTCTGGGTGTAACATGGAGTCGTTCGCAAGAATGACTTTTCGAATCCGCGTGGAATACAACCCTAGTCGCCTCTTCACTGTCCATAACCGGCAATCCTTGGTACTATCGGAGGCAGACGCGCTATCGTCCAGGAGTTCCTTCTCGTCGCTTCGTCGTTACGATAGTGCTTTCCCATTTTCCTGAAATGCGCTATCGGTACCAGCAGGCTACATATGATCCTCTCGACCCCTTCGAGATTCACCGAGAGCCCGTCTGGGAATATTGTGAGGTCTCCGATTTCTGCACCACACGCCGCGTCGATTCCGCACGCCGAGTAAGTAAAACGTGCAATGATAAGTGCAGCAGAGATCTCTTTCAAGACCAGAGACATCGGCCGAGACTCAAGTTGCCATAAGAAGGTAAGTCCTTCTATGCAAACAGTCCAATCAGAAAAATTGAGGGATTCCATCGGGAATGTAGTCGTGCCAACTGAGCTCATGTGTGAGAAACGGGCCCGTGGCCGCCAGGGATATGGTCCACTGTTCACGAAGGCGATCGAGCAAATGCTGGCCTGCGAAGTGCCCGTAACTTCAATCTCTGGCTTCTTGTTAAAGAGAGATTGTAGGTTACTGCGCGTTGAAACTTGATACGCCGGCCCTGACCCCAACCCGCATGGCTCGAACACTTGGGTGCGGCGATCCAGTTGGCGTAGGAAGTACGTATAGAGAGGGCTCTCGTAGTCCGCCCCATCGTACTCTGGTGCCGTCGCAGGTTCGTAGTCGGGTAGTTGCTCATCATAGGGCTCCGCATCTTCCAGTTGCAACGGGTCGAAGCGGGCTGAGAGAGACATGGTTGCTAGATTCGTGGTATTTTCGTCCTGCAGAGGTAGCGTGGCAGATGCCTTTTATAGTCAACCCACATCTCGCGCAGAAAAAATTGAGAAAGCTGCAGATTTGAGATGGTGTAATCAGGCGTTGAGAAAGTGTCAGGCTTTCCTTTGCTCAAGATACGAGTACTCGACGTGACATCACATGATAGTCCATTATACTCGTGTAATGGACGAAAGAGGCAAACGATCGGCCACTTCTACTACAACTTCTCCGCACGAAAGTCTAGTTCCTAGTTTTGATCTCTTACTCTCTCGTGTAGTAGCTTCCTATCACTGGTAGACATCTAGAGCTCACTAGACGGACACTAACAGTACCCAGACGTGCCAGATACATAGTCCCTACTGCATCACGATACCCGCCTTCTACTCTCTCGTGACATTTTTCAGCAGATAAACACAACACATCGCCTGAAAAATCCACACCAATTTTACTGCATTGCACTTAATATCTTTGTCACTGCGTAAAAGCCATCCACAGTGCACATAGATTGCGTAGTCACTAGCAGCAGGCTTTTGCCTGACTGCCAAGCCCTGAATCCAACGGGCCGTGCGAACCTGATGCATCTCGTCCATATCGCGATCATTCTCTAATAATAACCTCGTTATCCCCACTTCCATCTCCAACTTTGGGCAATGCCTGGCATCCAACGCTCGAAAGCTTCGTAATAAATTATCGCTCTACCCAGCGCATAGTGTCGACACATGCGGCTTCGCAGCATCCTCAACCATGTCAATGTCTCCGGAAACTTACGTTTTCTATTAGGCAAAGGCCGTTACAGATATACAGTTTTACCTAGTCCGACATCAATTCGGCTGCTAGAGCTTCTCCCAGCCTCGAAGAATGATGCTGACGATCTCACGTGCCGCTTGAAGTCCTTCGAACTTCATGATGCGCCACCCTTTCATGCTCTGTCTTACACATGGGGTAGTCCTCTGGTCCAAGTTTCGAAGTCGCTGGTGGGCACGAAGACCCAACGATACTCTACAGTTCTACTAGAGGCAAAGAGCGGTGATTCCTACAGTACATCTTGTGGACCCCAGGTAACCCGCAGTTTCCGTCGACATCCAATTATATGCGATGGGCAGATCATCAAAGTAACGTCCAATTTGCGCGACGCCTTGAACATGCTTGCCAGTAGGGTCGCTACACCAGACCCACTGAACGGACCAATGTATTATTGGATAGATGCTTTGTGTATCAATCAGTCAAATGTAGAGGAAAGAAATGCTCAAGTCACCATGATGGGGAAAATATTCGCAGCTGCCGAAAGCGTTATCGTATGGCTAGGGAAGAAGGATGATTTTACGTTAGATGCAGTCACAACAGTAAAGAGGGTGGCCGCCATCCCAGAGGAAGAGTGGGGGGATATATCGTACACATCCTTTTACGATTCTACAACAGATTTTGGTCAACGTCGTCCCGATCTATCCTACTACAACTGGTTGGGTTTCGTTGCTTTCATAAACAGAGCATGGTTCAAAAGAGCATGGGTGCGTGTGTTCTACGCACGAATAGTTCAATCCTGACCGAAGCATGCAGATTGTGCAGGAGATTGCCCTGGCGAAGAAAGCAACTATCGTTTGCGGCAACAAGGTATTGTCGTGGGACGAGTTGTCACACACAATGTCATTTCTCAGAGCGACCAAATGGTATCATCACCTGCGTACAGAAAAGCTGAAACACGTGAAGGTTTTGCAGAAGAGCCCTGGAATCTACAAACGTATCTTGCAGGCAAAGTTGGAAATTGGCGTTGGTCCTATCTATGTCAATGCAGTGCGGCTGAGAGTTGCTGCTGCCATGATATCTGGCCACCTAGAAAGCAACAAACTGCTTTCACTCAGGATATTACTCGAGATACACCGATTCTCTCAGTCCACTGACCCACGGGATAAGATCTATGCATTCCTCGGCCTGGCGGACAAATCCATTGAGCCTTTTCAGACACAATCCAAATCACTTATTCCGAACTACAACCGATCCGTACAACAGGTATATTCAGATGTAGCGCGAGCTTTACTGATCTCGAACGGAACTCTATCAACCTTAGAGCAGGTCCAGGATCCATCGCGCACTAAGATTCCTGATCTCCCTAGCTGGGTTCCAGATTACTCGATACAACTCAAGCCATACCCGCTACGTCTCCGCGGACCTACCGTCTGGACAGCGAGCGACAAGCGGACGTGGCGGCCAAATATACTCACCTTGGAGAATGGCCTACTGGACGTCCAGGGTTTCAGGCTCGACTGTGTTCATCGGACGGCGCTTGTACTTGATGAGTCAAAGGACCCTTCTGCTATGTGGGCGAGCTATGTCAAGCTCGCACTTTCCCTGACTTTGCCCTATCCCAATCCTACTAGAAAGAGCCACGAGCCCTCACGCGTGGAGCTATTGTGGCGGACATTATGCACCGACACCTACAATAAGGTATCGCCAGCACCTCCAGATACAGGGACTCTCTTCATCGACTACGTTCTCAATCTCCAAATTCGTCACCGATTAATGCCGTGGTCTCGCAACGAAGAATTCCAACCACATTTCTCACCATTGTCAGAATCCATCTACCCCGAGTGGGGTAGCCTGTTCGCCCTCGAGCCCGACAGTACCAAGTATAGCCTCAAGTCCTACAAAGATCGCCTAATGACAGTTATCGAAAACACGTTCAATGGCACCTATAGTCCAGTTGAGCTGTCACAGCTGCAACACGATTTCGACCAAGGCGGTGGCAAACAGCGACGCCTATTTTCCACTCAGTCAAACTTCTTAGGCACTGGTCCTCGTTCCTTGAAAGTCGGTGATGAAGTTTGGATCTTGAATGGCGGTCCAGTGCCATATATCTTACGACCACAGTCTAATGGCAACTATCGCCTGATCGGAGAAGCATTCGTCTATGGCGTGATGCATGGGGAAGCTCTCACCATGCGTCTTCAAGAGCAACAGATCTCAATTGAATAGTACCCCTTTATGCATTTATCAGGCTATGGGTACTAACTTTGGCTTCGGCAATACATCACTGATAGACCTTAATTTTCTCACCGTCCGGATCTGGTGTACCGGATCTTCAGTCTTACGGTACATGTACATACTAAGATGTCCATATTGATGTACTCTGGGCATACATTGAGCATAATTCCAACCTGACACTGATTGTGCTCTTGTACTTCTTCGCAACCTAAAGCCCAAACCATGCTTCTGATTGATCCAGATGAGACGGAACGCTGTGCCCGACTCCTTGTGCCCAGATGCCTTGTAGGTTTGGCCCGAAGTCATCTGTGCGATAATTCTTCTCCGGCGTGTCCGGCTTGGAGCTCGTCGGTGTTTCGCTGACACCAAACACATTCGTCCACTGTTTGATAGTCTCTTGATAGTTGTTAGGTGAGAGCGTGCTGTCGGTCGACCCGTGCCACACTTGCATCCTCGGGCGAGTGCCGTTGTAGTTGGGGTACATGCCTCGCACTACGTTGCCCCATTGCTGGCCGCTCGCGCGAGACTGGCCTCCCGAGCAAGTGTTGTTCCAGGCAGCGGCTTGCCCGCTGGAAGAGACAAAGCATCCAGCCGGAACACCAGAGTACAGAGAGACGGCCGTGATGATCTCAGGATAGGTCGCGGCAAGTACATTGGACATCATAGCTGCCGTTTGTTAGCTGGATGCCACCAACTTTTACATTTACCCAATCGCTCACCTCCGGACGATCCACCTGTAACGAAAACCTTCGCGGGATCAATCTTGTACGTCTCGATAGCATACTTAATCATGTTGGCAATTGCGTTCGAATCACCACCTCCATCGTGGGTCAAAGATGCCTTGCTCGACACGTCCCAGCACTCTGTAGTCGAGCTAGGCCATACTGTAACGTAACCCTTCCTGTCTGAGCCCTGCTTCCATGGTATCTTGTTGTTCTGGAAGTACTTTTGTGCCGACGACTGACAAGAATGAATTGCGACCACGAGTGCATCAGTCTTCACACTATCGGGCTTGTACACCCACCTAGATCTAGGTCAGTTCCATTGAGTACAAAAATGCGGAAATTGGTCGAGTCAAAGTACATCTGAGGTTTGGCTTTGGCACTGCCCCCGTAATTGGAAACCTGCGTCAATTGCGCTGCCCACACCGCAGAAACACTGCTTAGCGCCGTAACAAGAACGTTCAACTTCATTTTTGCCTTACAAAGAAATACCCTTCTTGTTGGTCAGAAGCAAAGGAAATCCTCACTCTTTATTTCCCTCCACATACCCATCAATCGCGCCGCCGATCGTCCCATACAAGAATCTCCAACGCCATTCGTGGGATTCTGAATCTCCATAGCTCCTCCCATGGATAGCACTCTAAAGAGTCCGAACCAATGTTCGAGTGCTTTTGTCAATTGCTACGACATATTTTGGTTCAGGCTAAAAGACAAGGGTTGTCGAAATCAAGCTTTCTATCAAGCATTTCGTGGCAATTTAGCCAAACTACCGAGCCAGATTAACCTCATATTCGTCTGTCTATCCGCTCGGATCGATAGGCACAGCCCATCACATGGCAGGAGGCCCCACAAGACGATTCTTCTAGACGATCCGTAAACGACGGTGCCACCTTTTGATTCATTTGCGTTGTTGTGCTCGAGGTAGGAAGTAGATCGGAATCCTAGCAGATCGACGCCTCATGCGGACGTATACGCGTGATTGCTTCATTAAGGATTGCCTGCGTGTGGCGCGCAACCAGCAATCTATCCCCGGATTGGTGTTAATGAGTGTGTTTCCAGAAATTCTTGTATTCGGTCAAAAGGTTCAGGGTTTTAGAGTAGTGACACGTGGAGACGAGCTTGAGGGGGGAAAGTGCATCAGTACAAGATGTTCCCACTCATATCGTGAGCGTTTGGTGCAGCGATGTTGTAAAGTCCTTGGAGCATATTGTCGGCGAGACTCGTGTAATGTTGACGTAAGTGGTTCAGATTAACAAGAATAAATCAAGCAAGGCTGTTCAGAGCTTCGAGATCGCTGGTCTCTTCTTGGATTGCTTGGTACCCTTCCGTGGTGTTAGTCTTCTCTCTCTCTCTCTTTGATGCTCAAGTTGTGGCCCCTGAAGACGATGTATTGACCTGCTCGAACAGAGCTAAAGTTAAACTACCTGGCCGCGATGTTGCAACTATACTTCACAGCGGTGGCATATCTCGCACAGCTAGCCGCAGCACACGGTGGCGCCCTTAACTACACCGTCGGCGATACCTGGTACGCAGGGTAAGTCGTCTTCTCCACCAACTTAGCCTCCGATTCACCGCTAAACCAACCCCAAGCTACGATCCCTTCGGCCCCAAGGACCAAGACGATGCCCCCTACATCGTGCAACGAAAATGGATCACCAACGAGCCCATCTTCGAGACCACGAACGCCAGCCTAGCCTGCAACTTCCCCGGTAACCCCGCCCGAGCCTACATCCCCATCAACGCGGGAGAAAACATAACCGCCGTCTACAACACCTGGGTCCATACCGTAGGCCCGATGATAGCGTGGCTCACGCCGTGCGCGAATAATGACTGCTCGACATTCGATCCGGCGGGCGCGGAGTGGTTCAAGATAGGCCAGCAGGGGCTTCTCTGGGGCACCATCGAGGGCGGCGGGTGGTTTCAGAAGGAGTTTTCGAGATGGGACGGCTCGCCGAGCTTGTGGAGTGAGAGGATTCCTGAGACGTTGAGGGCGGGGAAGTATCTTGTTAGGCATGAGATTATCAGTCTGCATTCGGCGCACAAACCACAGTTTTACCCTGAGTGTGCGCACTTGGATGTGAAGGGGTCGGGAACGGGGTTTCCGACGAAGGAGTTCATGGCGAAGATACCGGGTGTTTACTCGATGGATCGTAAGTTTGCTGTCGCGGATGAATGGCCTAATGGGAACTCATTGTTTGCAGAGCCAGAGATCAATATAGATGTGTATGATCCGGAGATATCGACGAAGACAGTAAGTAATGTTACTTTGCTAGGTGGCCATCTTGCTAAGATCATGCAGGAATACAAGATCCCAGGACCTCTAGTTTGGACAGGTTGAGCATCGCCGCTCCTGGCACATCCTTAGCATCATCTAAGTAGTGGTCGAAGAATTAAAGCAACCCAAAATTAGCCATCGTAGCCAAAGCGTATATTGTGATCACGGGTAGAGTTCAATGATTGAGCGTCAAGCTATCCACAAAAGGTCGATCTAATAAAAGGCACGGATGATTCACGGCACTGAACGAGTCTGATACTGGCGTTGAAACTGTGTAGGTGGTATGAAGTTCAGATTTCAGAAATGATAAGTCTTACGTACAGGGCGAGGCCTTAATGACTATCTCTTTCACTCATCTGTGCCGCTGGCCTTCCCCAAGAGTTGATCTACCTTCTTCTCGAGGTCAGCGCTGATAGCACGTTCAAGAACCTGAACAAACGCTCTATTCTCTGCCCTATCTTCCTCTTTGTTCGGAGCGTCTAGTGCGTCCCAATTGTCCTTTATCAAGTCTCTTAAATCCTCCGCCTTCACCGGCAGTCCCAACTTGCCAAGAGCTTCGCTGGTCCGCTTGTCAATGAATGGAAAAACCTCATGCCAAAGCCACTGGACCCGTCGATAAAAGATGTCTAACCCCGTCGGACCAAGCCCCTTGATACTGGATCGAAGCATCTCCCGCTCTTTCTTGACATTCTTCTTGGCGTCTTCGCGAAGATTCTTTAAGTCGTTGTCCCACTCATTGGTCGAGATGGCATCCGCGACCAAAGCTATCTCTTCCGCAGTCTTGCCTTTGTGCTGCGTTCGGGCATCTTCGAGAGCTTCGTGGATCTTTTCCGCGCCTGCCTCGCGAATTGAATCTGCGTCCTTGAAGGAATATGGCGGATTGAGGATGGTGCGTATAGTCCTGAGACCCAATCGATGGGAAATCGGACGCGAGAGTATGACCGCGCATATGAGTTCCTCGAAAGGAGACAGGAGGTCGGTATAAGTAATAAGATCCTTGTCTTGCTCTTCGAGGAAGCGGCATTCGTCCTCTGGTCTGCAGAAGTCTGCGGATGCTTCTGAGAGCAAGAACTTAACGATCTGGACCTGAGAAGGACGTGGCTTTGTCTTGGAGGCTTTATTGGGACCATCATCTACATCGTTCCTCTTCCTCTTGCGTGAGTTCCTAGAGTCGTTTGATTCGTCTGACTCTACTTCCTTCTGGTCCGTCACCTTTGACTCTTTCGGGTTCGCCTCCGACTCTCGTTCGTCACCTTCTTGTCCTTTCCGAGTCGAGTTCTTCGGTGGCATAGTTCAATATTATTCAAATACGATGTGAAGCAATTGACAAAAGGCCGGCGAGGTCAAGGTAGAAATACATGAATGCGAAGTCTATGACGTTGGGTGGACCCTGAAAGTACCCCTAACCGAATGGTCGGGTTGAGTATATAGACCATGACCATTAGTACTGCAATAGATTCTTGTGAAAGCAACAACGACGTTAGTGAGCTTCAATACCAATGACAGCTACGAGGACGTTCAAACATTCACCAGGAATACGATCTGCTATACAGGGCGGTTACTGCACGTGATCCAAGCCAAGTGCGGGCTACCCAATGTAGCAATGCGCTCTTCTTTATGGAAGCATGGCGCTCGTTACCCACGCATGGTAGGCGTCCGTGTTTGGAGAAGAAGGGGAGGATTGGATATGGCGGTAGTTACCGTAAGCCTCGGAGTGATGAGGAAGGTTTGGATGCATAATCTATTCATGAAGCCTGCTCCGAGCAAATTCTTCTCTCCGAGATGCCTTGGCTGTCCTTTGGCGAAGCTCTGGGCGCAACAGCTGCATATTGAAGAGCATTGGAAGGCATGGGAGGTCTTGCATGTGTTGCGGCCTTTTAAGCATCTCTCCAGCGACATCGGCTAGGTAGCTTGTATGCATTTGAACGGGACGGCTCGTTTCTACGAAGATATATGGCGTAGATGGCGTAAATGGTAGCTTTACACTACAAGTACGAGGTAGGGATAGGTACTGTAGGTCGGAGCATGCAAGTGAGCATTTTGTGCGGTGGAGAAAACCCTGGGTTGGTTGAGGTGACACATTTTTTCCGGGGGGTTGCGTATCTTCATAGCCACATTTACTCTAAGTATGTAGCGAAAGCGACCGGTGCATGCCCTTCAAATCATACCGAGTACTGCGTAGCCCCGAAGAGGAACGACACGATTTAGAAGACGATGGTGCGGGATGGGATGATGGAATATAGACGGGAGGGTCGCCCTAGGCGGGAGGTGACATCAGCCGAGGCCAGGATTTGAGTGCAATACAGCCCACATGGCGCAAAGAAGAGTCTCTCCGGTTCGCTCGTTCGCTGAATTCTCTCGGGCGCATCTCCTTTAGCTGCTTGGGACGGGAGACCTTGGAGGGAAAAAAAGCCACGGGCTTGCCAATTGCCTCGTTCATTCCGGACCCCTCACCCCACTTGGTGGGGAATCTTATCAGATGCGAACAATCAAAATCTTATCAGATTACGAGACGCATACGGGATTTGAAGCTTTCATTGGACATTCTCACCACCTATGGAGCAACATACTCTAGACTGGTCAAGGGTGAGCGTTCAATCCGACTGCGGACTGCGGACTGCGGGGGATATCGTCATCACGGAGGAAAAATTCTGATCTACCCACCCTACCTTGGTGGGAGCGCCATGAGGGGTACTTAAATCTTGTCGATCTCCGCGAAGAGGCCATGTTCAGCGCTGCTTTTCCTTTCTGGCCGACGTAGTCTTCCGGTCTCCTTAAGCTCCATTATCTACGCAAGTATCACAGGGTCAAGATCATAGCTGTGGTGGAAACCAAAATGGCTGAGACTCAAGAGAAACTCACCATTGCCAGCCTTACGGCCAAGGTCAATGAGCTCACAACAGAGATCAACAAGTACATCGAGGAGAAGAAGCTACCAACGCCTACTCTCAGCGCAGATAGTGAACAATTCTTCCCAGAGCTGTCGCCTGACCTTTTCTTCAAGCGACAAGTGCTTCTGGATGCATTGCAGGACCTGACCATGCTGGTCCAGGGGCCGAGCGAGAGCATCTTCAACTGGGTTGCCCAGGTTAGTAGCTGCTGCTATAGAAAAGTTACCAAACGCCTGTAGGCTAACCACCAGAGTTACAGGCTCCCTCCGACCTCTCATCCCTCAACGTCCTAAACCACTTCAACTTCTGGGACGCGGTGCCTCTCGACGGCGACGCATCCTACGCCGAGATCGCGGAGCGCGTCAAGCTCCCAGTAGACGTCGTAACGCGCATTCTGCTCCACTCCACCAACGTCAACCTGTTCGCAGAGACCAACCCAGGCAAAGCCAACACTCGAATCAAGCACACAGCGCGTACTGCCGCGCTGGCGAGGAGCGAGGGTCTCCAGAGCCTCGTCCACTCCGCGCTCGACGAGCAGACGCCCCCAACTTTGGTCCTGAAGGACGCACTGGAGAGATACAATGTCGGCAAGAAGCAATTGGCGACAAAGCAGGAGGAGACCGCCTTCGCGTTGCTGCACTCTGGAAAGCTCTACGAGGGCCACTCGTCGCCCTGGGAGTTCCTCGAGAGCGGTACGGGATGGCGAAGCAAGAAGTACACTGGTTTCATGAGGTATCTTAAGGATATCTTCAAGCTAGACAATGTCATTCTTGATCTCTGTGACTGGAAGGCCGCAGGCGCAGCACACGTGGTCGACGTAAGTAGCATTCCACCTCCACCTATTTCCTCCCTACTGACATTTCGCAGGTTGGTGGCTCCGCCGGCCACGACGCCGTTGTCCTTGCGAAGACATACCCCGACCTGAAGGTCACCGTCCAGGATCTCCCCAACGTGGAGTCCGAATTCGACAAGTACGTGCCCGACGAGTACAAGTCGCGCGTCACGTACTCGGCGCACAGCTTCTTCAACGAGCAGCCCGTCAAGGACGCCGACATCTATGTCTTCAAGATGATCTTCCACGACTACACCGAGGACAACATCGTGCACATCCTGAGACAGCTCACGCCTGCCTTGAAGCCGGGCTCCCGCGTCATCTTGCTTGAGTACATTGGCAACAGGGGCGAGTCGGAGATCGTGCTGCCCAAGTCGATAAGATCGTGGGGATCGGGCCCGGATCTGAGGTTGATGGCGCTCTTTAACTCCACGGAGAAGGCTGAGGGAGACTGGAGGAAGTATGTCGAGGCTGCGGATAAGCGCTTCGAGGTCCAGCCTTTGAAGACAGATGCTCAGAAGAACTTCTACATCATCGAGGCTGTTTGGAGAGGTTAGATTATTGATCACTTTCTATAATGAACCACGACACCAATAGGGATGATAGTATAATGTTTGAAATATTTATTTGTTTGTTATTTCCAATCTAATTTTCTTTAAATATCTATTATTGAGATTAGGTCATTAAGTATTTATAGAAAGATGCAGAGGCCGTTTGGTTTCTCGTTATAAACCGCCCGCAGAGAACCATGATTAAATCCAAAACCGACTAAACAATCCCGTTGGTATAAGGTAATAACAATTTCCTGGCGTTATTTACACGTAAAAAGGAAAAGCGAGTGAAAATGAAAATGCAAATGTTTTTAGCTTTTGCGCTACCAAGGTGTCGATGGTTTCTCCTTGAACCAACGAATACTGGAAGCCCTGGAGGAAGGAGCTGAGCTCCACCTCTCGGGTGCCAACCTTGGGGTTCTTGGTGGTGTGGACATGGCGTCCACAGTGGCACCGAAGGTCATCTTCTCCTTTCCGAACCAGAAGCTGGAACTGTTGGAAGGCAAGATGTTGCTGTTGCGAGCGCGGTAGACGGGGCTGCGGTACTTGCCAATCCAGAGCATCTGTTCATGCTCGCGGAGGTAACGATCGGCAGAGAAGTTGTTCAAGACGTTGTCACGTCCCATCATACCGAGCTTACGACGATGCTCCTTCTTCTCGTACATGCGGTCAGAGATCTGCTTGACCTCCTCGGGGGATGGGTTGGGATAGGAGAGGATAGGAGCCTCAACACCTGGGGCGTCCTCGGCGTGTACTGCCCAGCGACCAAGAAGAGCCAAAATGTTGATTTGAGCACGAGCGAGCGACTCGGAATCGTTGGGGGGAACGACTTCACTGAACTGGTCGCCAGTCTTGCCATCAGTAACAACGCAGAAAGAGGCACCGACATCGGTACAGACGACCGGCACACCCGTCAAGGCGGCTTCACCCATAGCCAAAGGAAGACCCTCAGAGATGGAGGAGTTGAGGAAGACCCAGGCATCTTGCAAGACAAGAGAAGCATTTCCAAGACCCTTGAGAATGCAGTGATCTTGGAGACCCTTGGAAGCGATCAATTCTTGACATTCAGTTGAGTGACCGGCAGCGCGCTCCATGTCTCCGTAAATGTGTAGCTGGTAGTCGCTGAAGCCCCACTTGTTGACAATGAGATCCGTAGCCATGATAGCGTTCTTGATGTCCTTGACGAATTGAATATGGGACAACATGACCACGGTAGGAGTGTCAGTCTTGATCTTCTTGATAGGCTCGAATTTCTCCATGTTGCAGATACCGTTGACGACAGGGTCGATCTTGCGGGCGAAGGTCTTGCGATGCTCGAGAGCACCCTCAGCAGTACCGAGTTCGACTTCCCAGCCAGGATTGAAGTAAGCAGCGCAAGGAAGGACAACGTCTGCGTGATGCTCGAGAAGGACACAGGAGAGATGACCCAAAGACATGAGGGAACTGTTGACGAAAGGCATGTCGAAGGAGACGGCAGAGGACATGAAAGTGGTGAACTCTCGGAAACTGATGCAGTGATCCCAGACGTGGAGAGTGACATTGCGCTTGACTTTGCAGAGAATACCGTAGGTGGCACCAGTGAAATGGTGAGATGCTTGGAAAACGTCGGGAATCTTCTCGGGGACGGGAATGGAGAAAATGAAGAGATAACGATGCCACATGTTCAAGGCTTGATCGAGTTGTTGCATGGTTGGCTTCTCGTAATCCCACCACTCAGAAACCTTGAGGGTGTCCTCCTGGTCCTCAGTGAGCCAAAGTTCGCGCCACACAGACTTGACGATGTCGCTGTTCCAAACCACGTTGTAGTTACGGGGACCCTCGAAGTAAGTGTTCAGGTCGACCAATGCTTTGGTGGCCTCTTCGATGATTTCGCGGGTAGGGTGGAGAGCGCGAGCGCAAGTAACCAAGCTTGTAAGAATGGGAATGAAGTTCTTCTTGATATCCTCAATGCTGGTATCGTGGGTCCTTTCAACGATTTCCGAGTCCAAAGTGTTGCGAAGGACACCATGGGTAGGGTTCAAGAAATCCAAACCCCAGAGAGGCAGAACCGTGAGAGACTTGACATTGCGCTCAATCTGGAAACGTGGTACACCGTAGTCATTGGCAGTTTCAGCGACAACAGACCATTTGATAGTCTTGAGATCGTTGACCATATCACGACGACAAGCAGAGACACCGCCAGGTTCGTTGGGCCAAGTGGAAGTGTCCATAGCGAGAATGTGGAGTTCGTCATCGCTATCCTGCATTTGTCCGCTGAGTGTCCTGGTATTGATGGTAGAGTCACCACCCTGTCCGAAGCTGTAGTAATCGGCAATCTTGTATGCGATATGTAGCCAAGCAGAGATCTCGGGATCGACATCAGTTCGTGCCATGATGGTATCGGAATGGGCGTCAAGGTAGGCCTTTGCGCGAGAGAGAAGACCAAGATCGCGGTTTCGCCAGTACGACTTCAAGATGCTGTCAGATCGCACGAGATCCTCGTCAATCCACCTAGCAGTGATAGCATCGAGGTCTCGTCCATTCTTCCAGAGCTTCCACAGTTGGGTGCGAGCGTGAGAAGTGGAAATTGGGTAGCGCTTGACGTTGAGACGGAGAAGACGGGTGAAGAAGTTGGACTTGACGGAGGAGAAGGCAAGGACAGGGTTGTCGCTAACGAAGGAGCACCTTTCAGGCTTCTGCAAGACATGGAACCAATCATCCTTGATCATAGGGGGAGTGTCGATGGTGTTACCGTTGAGGGTTGTCGTGATCTCTGGGTGGAACTTGTGCTCGTAAGCCCATGAAGCGTGGTAGACGTCGGGACCCTGGATGAATGTAGCTTCAGTGACCTTGGTGAATGGAACCCAATCATCCAATCGCTCTGGATGATCCCGAGGAGGCATACTCCACATGATTCGAATGGTCATGTGGGGAAGGACGTACTCGCCGCGAAGCAATTCATCATCGAACTTAGCACTCCTGCGGTACCAGTAGGTGAATTGAACGGGATCAGAGCTGCGGAAAGTGGAACCGGTGGTGATGTAACCTCTCTCATCGTACTGGACAATCTGGCCGTGAAGGTCACCCTTGACGCATTGACGCTGGATAGGAAGCTTGGAGCGTTTGTTGTTCTCGGGATACTCATAGGTGAACATGTTGATAAGCTTCTCACCGCGGTACTCCTCGCGTTGGCGAAGGCGGAACCTCTCTGCATAAGTGTTGACTGCAACGAGCTGCTTGGACTCGGCTGGTTCGCTGTCGTGTCGTCCATTGTACTGAGCCAGGCGGATGCTGCCGTCAGACTGAGCAGTCCAGAAGCAAGTGGAAGGACCCTTGAGGGACTCAATGATGACACGATTGCTCTTGAGAATGGTCTTCATTCCCTTCATGTTACTCTGAAGCTGCGCAACATTCTTGCGCCTGTGGAAGAGGACGGTGGGGATGATGATACCTTGAAGGAACTTGCAGAACGACCAAATGCCATTGAGGAAGAAGGTAATGGGCCAATGAATGATCCAGGCCTGATCGCGAAGCATGTAGTCCAATTCACGTTGGTACTCTGGATCCGCAACAAGCGCAAGAATCAAGAACTTGATGCATGCATTGAAGATCTGGCGAGAGCGTTGAATGAATCGTTTTGTGGCGGGTGTATCAGGCGTAGTGGGGGTGATGAGCCTCTGGTAGTCAGAGTTGATACTTTGAGCGTCAACTTCCTCTTCGTAGGGACCATTGGGAAGGCCAAATGCCTTGGCGTATGCATCTACAGAAGCAGCCAATGTGGCTCCAAGGTTGAAGCGAGCAACGAATTCGTCAGCACCAATGCGATCCTTTGGAGAAACCCTGGATTGGATCCATTGCTCCTCGTCGGGGCCAAGGGGTTGATATTGTCCTGCGCAGCGTTTGAGCAAGAAGGCCCTGATTGTGCTTGGCAGATCGTCCCATTCACGTTCGCAATCAACACCGAGGAGAAGATACTTGAGCATTGTCACGTTGCCGTTGCTGACAACCCGGAGTCGCTCAGGTGCAGACGACTCGATCTGGCGCTTGATTCCCTCAGGGAGGTTGAAAGTCTCGAATTCTGCCTCTTCAACAACGAGAAGACTAGAGAGCATTGCGTGATCGTGCGAGAGACCAAAGTGATGTTCGCAGGAGGCTTGAATGAGCGCTTCAGCGATGATCTTAGCGTTTCGCTGGATGTTCATTGTCCATGCATCGTTGACCAAATCCTTTCCGAGAGCAACGTAGATGTGGAGGCGGTTGCCCTTCATCTGGGTAATGGTTCCAAGCTTCTGATCAAGTTGGGGGAAGTGTCGGGCTCCAACGAGTTCCACCACGGTTTGTCCGTTGTTCCAAAGCTCAATCGTCTTTTGGATCAATTGCGATGCGGTTGGGAAAGCGGCCTCAATTAGGTAAGACTTTGCGGATCGGCTTTGGGGCACGAGGTGATCGACAACCCTAGCGCCGGGGTGCTTAGAGGGATTCAACGTAAAGCGCTGTTCAGCATCAAGATCGCCGAGATTTTCGAAGGCCTTAGCCAAGGTAGCTTGGGAAAGCTGAGGATAAGGCTCAAGCGCACTGCAAGAGTAGGAGGTAGCGACCTTGGTGTCCTTTTCTGTGCTCTCAGAAACGTCAACCGATCGAGACTTCCAGAAAATTGGAAGACCGATGTCGGAAAGGAACATTGAGTGGATGGCGGCGACCCAGGTACCGAAAGACAAAGCGACGACTCCACTGTATGTCCACATAGGAAGAGTCTTGTGGAGAGCAATTCCTACGGGAAGACCAAGGATGGAAGCCCAAGCAAGACACTGGGCACCCTTCATGCCGCAATAAATCTTGTTGTACTGGTACCATAGCAAACCGGTGTAAGCGCCGAGGTATGCAAGGTACAAGATTGTAGCATTCTTGGAAGTGTTGAAAGTCCACATGAGCGCACTCGTGATCGCAATACCCCAGATGTGCAAGAAGAAGAACTTGGCGAGATTGGTCCAGTAGAGGATGCGGCGAGCCTTCCGGTCATTCTTAGTAGCTTGTCGGAGGAACTTGACTGATGTGATGGGCTGAATTGTGTTCTCGTTGGCAGCCGTCCAGAGGGGCTGGGAGACTGCATCCAGGGAAACTGCACCAATGAGATAGTAGCAGAGACCGAAACCGACAGCCAAGCGGAACTCTTCAGAGCCGGCTGCAGACAATCCAACGAGAGCTCCACCAGAGACAAGGGCGGCCCATTTGTCAAGAAGAGCGACAACGAAGTAGAGGATTCCAGACCACACATCAGCACCGGTATGGCGCCAATGGAGGAAAGCACTGTGCAACTTCAAACCCTTTTGCATGTTGGTGATGTTCTCGAGACCTGCCTTGAGGGTCAAGTTCCAGGTGGGGCTGTAGGCCAAAGGCATTGCGGTTCGCCTGTGACGGCAGTACCAGGACATGAGGAACTTGGTTGACTCGTAACCTCCAGAAAGTCTGCTGACGAGAGGATCTTTCGAGGCTCGGGTCCAGAAAGCACGGTTGGCGTCCTTGACAACGGCAGCATGTAGCTCCTTTCGTGGAAGGCCAGTGGCGCCGAGTCCCTTCAAACCATCGCCAGACTCGGAGATTCCGCGCTGCTTTGCGTACCAGCTGACAACTTCGGCGTCGGTGACAACGGGAATGTTGAGGTACCAAGTTGCCCATTGAGACATGATCTTACGAGCACCGAAGAGGAGAGAAGCCAAGAATGTTGTCAAGACGCAGACGTAGACAGCAATATCATGCTGCACCCAGATCGTGAGCACCGGTGAGATGAACAGAATGGGAATGCAGGCCATGATGACGGAACGACCAGACTGGAAGCTTGAGCCAGGGACCTGGTAGATAGAGAGCGCAGAAAGCGTCAGGAGGTAGGTCGAGAGCATGGCAAAGTAGAAGACGAAGACCAAAGCATTGAGAATGCCCTGGGTGATACCAGCAACAAGAAGCGAGAGCGAGCCTCCGAGAAGGATGAGGGCAACACCAGCGACGAAACGGGTGAGCACAAACATGTTCATCGCGGGGAAGGCACTGGCGTAGATGTAGTAGCAACCTCCGGAAGAAATCCAGGAACCAACAGCACCGCAGACGAGCAAGGCCAACATCAAAGCGGTAGTGGCCATGGTCTTTTGCATGGATGTCATGAATGTAGTCAGGTAAAGTCCGCGTCCGATCGTTGTAAGCAACATGATATCGATGAGGGCAGGCACAGCGAAGATACCCAAGAAAGTGACCTTGTAAACGGAGGACACCTCTTCGGTACCGTACTCGGGATCAGAGTCAATTTGCATGGCAGCGTAGGCAGTCGGTAGCTCAGTGTATCCATCCTCACGCGATGGAGGCTGGTACTTCATGTAGTATGCTCGGTAACGGTCAGAAATGATCTTTCCGAGGACTCTAGGCGTAATATCGAAGAAGGAATCGCAACGCGAGCCGACGGCGAAATTCTCAGCGAAACAAGCTGCCTGATCGGTGGCGTGGTTGGGGAAGGCATTGCGGTCCATGACCTCTAGGTAGATCTCATCGAGAGCAAGCTTGCGGAAGGCACAGAAGACGGCAAGGGCGAAGAGATCAGCACCGGCATCAATGTGTTCGGCCTGGCAGATGGCTTGCAGGGTGGTTCCAAGCTGCTCGTAGGTCTCGCTCTCTCCGTTCATGAGGATCTCATGGAGACGGGAATCGACCTCACGGAAGAGTTGAGTAGCGACAGCGGGGTTAGGGTGCCAGAAGCCCTTCTCGTGGAGCCAAGTCAAGCGGGACTCGACAAGGTCCTCGGGTGACAAATCACCGCGGAGATAGGCTGTGGAGTTGAGGGCACGCAATTGAGCAAGGGAAGGAACGTCGATCAGCTGGTACTCGCAGCAATCGCGAATGCGAGTGAGGAGGAAAGAGTCATCGTCAGACTTGACAGTGAGGCGTCGGCGCAGGAGAATGGCCTCCGTTGGTGACAATTTCTGAAGATCGTTGACAATGCGTTCGGGCAGAAGCCACTTCTTTGAAGCGGTACCACTCTGCTCAGCCAAAGCGACCTCACCCATGAAACACTCGGTGCGGGTGCATCCACGGCTGGACAAGAATGTGTGCAAAATGGCGCTTGCGCGGTCAGAGGCAAAACCAGAGAGGTAGATGTTCAAACCACCAGAGCTGGCATCTACATCGTAGAGACCCCAGAACTGAACATCGGAGCCGGTCTGGAATCCGGAGTGAAGTCCAATGAAGACTTGTAGACGTGGACCATAGGTTTCATCTTCGGCGGAGAGGAGGTTCAGGAGCTCGTGAACAGCTGAGTTTGCGCTGGGGGAGAGGGCCCTGGAGCTTTGTCCCTCGACGAGAACTTCGAGCTTTTGGCGGATTTCTTGCAGTTCCTCGGGCTTGACAGGGTTGAGGAGGTCGAGATCCCTCAAGTTGCGCTGAGCCTGGAGTAGCTCGGCGAAAGCGTCGGCAGTAACATCGATTCCAAGTTGGAAGCAGCCAAGTCCGGTGAAATCGTCTCCCTGGGCGGAGGTCGACAAGGGGTTGGTCTGAGTGTCCTTGAGAGCCTGGGAGTAGCGAGGAGGTTGGTCGGCTTTGGCCTTTCCAGTGCTGGACCTGTTGGCGGATCCGGGCAAAAATCGGAGCTTGGAGTTGAGGTCGGGGATGAAAGAGTGAAGCGAGTCGAAAAGATGAGCGTTCTCACCAGTGCTGGCGGTAATGACATCGTTCTCACGCCAGATGTTGTGGGCCTTCATGTTCTTGTCTCCCTTCAGCCACATGAGGGCACCAAGCGGTTGTTCCGTAACGGTCTGAGCAGCGGCAATATCAGCATCGACGAGAGCGGAGGTGGTACCAATCCAGGGGAGTGCGCTGTTGAATCGTGCCCAGTTGAAGCTTCGCTGAGTAACAGCGTACTGATGCTCAACACCATCGTCGATAGTCTCCCAGGTCATGACGGGTGGGCCGTGTGGGACTCTTTGCGCTGCAACAGCGCGCTGGACGGTACGCATGGCCTCCATCTGATGGAAGTTCTGGCGGTCGCCATCGGATCGTGTGGTAGCATTGCGGTAGACAATACCCTGAATGGACTTCATGTTGATATCCAAAGCTTGACGCTCGGTGAGGTATACAGGTGGCGACATCTCGAGCCAGACTCCAAGGCCAAGGGCAGAGATGTACCTGACCAACTCGTTCAAAATGGGACCCTGGAAGTGCTCCGAGAAGTTGGCGAGGAGAACACCAGTGAAAGGCGAGTAAGCATCCTGAGAGCTCTTGAAATGTTTGGTGATGGCGTCGACCACGAGACCAAGAGAGCGAATGATTTCATCGCTGCTGGTGCTGGATTCGGACTCTGCAAGCGAACGAACGTTTAGTCGACCAAGAGTATGTACAGAGGTAGACTTATGCGAGTTGAGGACGTTGACGACTCCTTGCTCGAGAGGGTTCAAGACGACGACGTCCCATTGTGTGAGGAGACGAGCCTGAGCGGGGGTGGGAGGGCTGGAGAAGTTTCCAAGATAAACACCAAAGGACTTCAGTTCAGAAGTGGACTCCTTCTGAATAGACAGAGGCCTGACAGAGCTTCGCAGACGATTAAGGTAACGAGCAACTGCAGCAGGAACTGTGACTTGTTGTTTCCTCGACTGATGGAGGGTCGTGTTAGCAATGAGTTGAGGGAATGGCACAAGACTGGGATACATACCAGCCAATATCTCTTGACTGAGAGGAATGATCTGTAGAGCAGGTATAGTGAACCTAGGACAACACTTGCAAGTAAAAATGATGCAATGACCTTGAAGCAATGTTAGCATCATCATTTCCATCCCAAGTGTCGTGGTCGTGTGGACGCACCTTGTTCCACCAAGAGCCCATCATCCTCTCCCAGCCGATGGCTGAGAGACCCAAGTAGGATTCCTTCATGGTTGAAGGACAATAAACAGAACAACTAACAAAAGAAAAGGAAAAGGTAACAAGAGTAACGAAAGGATGGAGAAGCTCTCCAAGATACAGATATAGTTGTAGAAGCGAGTGTGGTAATCGGAAAGAACGAAACCGATCTTCAGCTCATGTCTGTCTAGACCAGATGCCCCAGGTCAGAGCTCAAGGCAAGAATCTTTTGGACCTTTTGGACCTTTTTGGCTGGATCTGCAGCGGTACTTTACAGAGGGCCGAGAATATGATCGGAAACCCCTAAAGCCAAATCAGTATGTGACAGCTAGCTCGGCGTTTGGGCGAGGCGCCACAGGCTATGGTGCCACTGATCGAGGCCCCTGGCTAGGTACAAGCGCGACGACACTAGCGCAAACTTTCAGCCGTCCGTGATAAAGAGTGGGCTTAGGTCAAGCGAAACTTCGTATTGGTGTTATTATTAGGTTAGTGAGATCTGTTGACCATAGTGAGCATGCCCTCGACGGTCAGCAGCGTTGCTTTTTCATGATTTCGATTTCAGTTGAATAGAGAAACCCACACCTCGCCGGCTCGCTGTCACCCTTCGTTGCAGCAACAATGGCAGGCGATTCTGATATTCCAAAGCATTTCCAGGACTGGAATACCTCTGAGGCACCGAAAATGATGCCGTCGAGGAGGACGACGAATTCCAAACCGTTCTACAAACGACCTTTGGGCATCGCGATCATCGCAGGAGTGACAATTGCGATTCTGATCGCGATCATCGTTCCTCTCGCCGTCATTCTACCCAAACGAGGACGAAAACACGATGCGACGGTCATTCTTCCCCTCTACATCTACCCGGACGAGACGAGCACCTGGAACCCGCTCTACGATTCGTATGTGCAACAATTGGAACTCCTCTAAAAAGCGCAGCTACTGATCTACAGTATACAGGTTGAAAGCAAACCCGCAGTTGCAATTTTTGGTGATTGTGAACCCAGCCAGTGGACCCGGCTCTTCGCAGTATCCCGACGAAAAGTACCAAGTTGAGATTGAGAAACTCAACGGCTACCCGAATGTGGAGACTGTGGGATATGTTCGCACAGGTTACGCTTCGAGGAACTTGACCGACGTACTGACGGAGGTTTCCACCTATGCAGGGTGGCTCTCCAAGAGCAATCTGACTGCGATGCATGGAATTTTCTTCGACGAATCACCCCATCAGTACTCCGCGGAAGCGGTCGACTTCATGCTCCAGGCAACCAAGGCAGTCAAGGAGAGTGGATTGTTGGGAAAGAAGACAGTAAGCGCATGGCACCTTTTCCTTCGACCCCCACCCAAATCTCGGCGAATACTGCAGCTTAGCAGTAGCGGGCGCCGGAAGGCAATCGAATCGCTATGACCCCACTTGCTAACCACTTTTCGTACGACACAGGTAATTCGCAACCCGGGCGTTATACCTGATTCACGCTTCAATGACACGAACACCGACATCTCCGTCGTTTTCGAGCAGTCGTTGGAGGAGTATAAGACCAAGGAGCAAGCTTTGGCAGAGCTCCCCAGCCACAGGTCTCAATACTCCTACATGGTACACTCAGTACCTCTCGAGGACAAGAGCACGATGCGTAAGTTCGTTGACGAATTGAGCAAGAAGGCCCAGTACCTTTTCGTCACATCCAATGCCGAGCAATACTACGAAAGCTTCGGAAGCGATTGGGCACAATTCACTGAGGTGGTGCCTCGATGAGGAGCAGCACTGCTATTGACGAGGCAAGGAAGGTGATTTGCGGATGTGATACAGGGGTGCAGAGACTGCTCTTGAGTCTTGCCACATGGGTTTGAGTCTATCAGCGTCCGGGCGTTTGTGTAAGGTTTAGCTTGTGCCGTAGAAGTAATAGTCCTGAAATACTAATCAGGATGTGCTGCAGGGGGTGTTTTCTAAGAGTAGTAAAGGCTGCAGGGGTGCGATAAGAACAAAAGTGTGGATTCGAGGCAGTCGATTAATGCTGAAAGGGTTTCGGTTTGGGTAGACTCATCGTAAGATAGTAAGGCCGGGGTCAGCCACAGATTGTTTTGTTCATTGTATCATTTTTACTTCTTCATTATTCTTCCCTTTCGATCTTTTTCCTCAAAGTTCTTACTCGGGCCGTTGATGGTGCGACCATTGTCAGTGTTGGGCCTAGATATGGGCAATGTTGGTTGAACTTGACACGTTATCCCCTGGCAAGTGTGGGCTGATGCTGTGTGCTTGGACTGCTTGGAGTGCTTGGATTGCTTGGACTTCTGCAGCCAGTAGAAAGGTTGAGTGGATGACGGCACTGAAGGGTGGGTGATGCAACCGACGTGCCAGGTAGGAGCCTGGAGGGGAGGGGAGAGGTAGGGGCATGCCACAGGCGTTTCGCTGAGCAGGATCTGGAATCACAGCAGAAAGGGGAAAAGCAAGCGGAAGGAAGCGATTCATGGCGATCTAGAGAGTGGGATGGGAGGCCGCCACGGTGGGTAGGTCAACAAGGCGAACAAGGGGGGAGGCGTGGTTGAGGGCTGCTGTGGGAGCTGTGCAAAGGAAGCGATTGATGTCGCGATAAGCTACGAGCCTCCTTATTTTTTTCCTTCCAAGGGGCCTTATGTCATCAAAGGGACCGGCGTATGTGGCGCCGCATGATCGCTGGGCCGGTCGGTCCGTCTATACCCCATCAGGGCGAGGCTTTACCGTTTTCCGCCACAGACTACCCGTTCTAGTGACAGCCATCAGCCATCAATTTTTATCCTCGCAGATCCGCGAATCATCTCCCTGGTGGTTGTCGGAGCAAAGAATTGAAATCAGCAGCCACTAACGGTTTTAGGGACACCTTGGACCAGGTACCAGGTAAGACCGGGTTAGGCGCCCGACTTTTGCTTCCAATGGCCTGTTACCACACACTCGCTAACCGGATCCAAGGCCATCCCGCGGCCCCGATTAGTGGAATCAGTGATAGAATCATTGAAACGTGTATCACGATGGACCCCTGCATGTACCCCTGGCCATCGACTGGGGTATCCCCGTCACTACAGCTCTGGAACCTTTTTTTGGCTCATCGCTCGCCTTTCTACTTTTTTTGTTTTCGCTCCACTCGCATTGCTTCTGGTCTCCTCTTTAGTACCACAAAGGAAATTGCTGGGACTGAGAGCCTTGGAAGCACGCGGTGAGCGTAAGACAAAGGTAAGTGCTGACACCGTGGTATTAATGCTCTCTCCATGTGCCGGCACTGCCATCACTATTAATAATAACGCTGCCATGAGGTTCACACCGTTCCATACCACCATGCCTACGTGCGTACGCTGTCAGTACCGGTGAGTGTCCACGCACCAAGACACGAGGGATCCTCCGCCTTGGCGTCTAATTCGCTTGAGTCACTCGTGTTTCGCGCTTGAAGGCCACCACAGGCCATTGTTGTGCCGGAGCCCGTCCGCACATCCAGAGAACTGCTGCGGTGCGGCCGACAGGACAAAGTCACAACAACGCAGCAGAGCGCATCCAGGCGCTCAGGCATTTCACGGCACCGTGAGTGCCACAGCGACGCTGGGCGCTTCCAGCCTCGCGATGGACCCTGTAGTAGTCCGTACCGACTCAACAGAGTATTCGGTTCGATTACGCGACAGCCAACACCCGTAATGCAGCATCTTTGAGGCGAAGACCGAGACCGGTTTGGGTCTTGGCTTGCCTGGCTGAGCTGATAGGAGCTGAGGTGGTCCTTCAATCGCCCAAGCAGGAAACGATAGCGTCATGCAAGCCTTGCAAATTTTCCCTTTACGGCGACGACGGACAGCGAGGCTGCTCCTTAGATCCCGATCCAGAAAGGTGTCGTCAACGACACGTCAAAGTTCGAGATGGAACGAGATGGAACCCGCATCGCCAAAGTGCTCATCACGAAGCAAATCTCTACCTAGATCCATTTGCTGCTCTGCTTCTGGCCAGCAGCCAGCCTCGTGCTCTGTGTCTTCTCGTCTTTGCTCTGCCGGAGCTCGTTCCCATGCACAGCACTGTCCCACCACGTGGGCCCAGAATCTCATCACTGGCCTTAGTCTCTCTTTTGCGCTTTTGCATCCTCAACTTCCCTGTGATCCTCCCATTTACGGTTCACGCTTCATGTTCCGGGCACCTTGTGCAGTTCGCGCTTGTCCCAGTAGCTCTCGCTGTCGCGCCCCGACTACCCTTCCGGCCCTTCCAACACACCCGAGGCATCAACAAAGACTGACAAGTCTCATGTCGCTCGTCGACCCCGACTGCCGTCGGATGATGATGGCTGGCTGGCCATGAGCAGATTTCCATCATGTATGTGCATACTATCGAAAACGCTTCGATAGCCTCTTCATAATTCAACCCTCGCCGATTGACATCTCGCTCTCGCCGATGGCCAGCCCTTTACCGCCCTCAGCACCAGCTCTTCTATCCCATCATTCTAAGCATATCATCATCATTTCGTGCGAATAGTGTATCAAGTACGTTCACCCGTGCAGCATGACTGTGTTGTTCTCCAAGCAGAAATAAATGAACCTCACATATACCCCGTTCGCCAAGCGAACAACATGATGCCATCGCTGACCGACGTGCTGCAATTAATGGTCCTGGACCCCAATGCCTAATTCCTTCGACCCAAAAAGTCCCCCTGCCCATTACCCGCATCTGCCACGGTGAAATGCCTGTACATAGAATTTTGGCGAGCACACCACACTTGCATACAACAATGGGTACTCCGCTTATGCCAGGCAAGGCATTCATATGTATCTATTCCATTAATATGTTACTATAGTGAAATTCTATGGTTCATTCCGAACATGCTACAATTGCTTGCTGATCTCAGAGCCACATTTGGTTCCGGCTTCCGATGCCCAGAATTGATGACCATGAAGCTGGGTACAGGTTGCGCGTCTTCTGCTGCTGCTGCTGTGCTGCTGCTGCCGTCGATGCTGCCAATTATTGCCACCTAGGTGCATGCATGCATGTTGCTACTCTGCGTCGGGTTCCATTGCGGCAATGAAGTCGTTCCAGCTCTCCCCAAAGCTCTCGTAGAAGTCGTCGACCAGATCTGTGGCAAACACCCAGCGACCCCGCTTGCGTAGGTCGCGGACCGCCGTCTGGATCTCGTCCTTTGGCACGGCAGAGATCATGAATGCAGATCTAGCATGCTCGTAAGGATACTCTCTGAGTCGTTTCTGGACCTCATCGCCTCGGTACCGTTCGTATGGTTCTTCAGAGGTGAAGATCACGTCCGGGCCAGGATCTGCCAGCCCAGCGTCGGGGGGTGTACCTGGGTTGTGGAGAATCTGACGAGAATATAGGGTTAGCGCCGTTGACGTATCCTCTAGGCAATCGCCCAACAGGGCCAACGCAGGCAAGAAGCGGAAGGACGACCAGCGTCTGCCTCTTGGTATTCTGTGCGCGCAGAAGGCGAGACTCACCAATTGCTTCTCCAAGATACCCGGCGTGGCCCGAATGTGCTTATGGACAGCTTCCAAATAGAGGGCCCGGCCGGCCGAATAGTGGTTGGGAGTCTCGTCCACGAAGATGCCCTTCACACCCAGACCCCTCTGGTCGAAGTCTTCAGCCCAGCCAGCATACCGATCAATCTCTTCGCAGACATCGTGCAGCGGCTTGCGACAATAGTCGATGCGGATGTAGCCCACTGTGTACACATTGGGCAGAGCATTCAGCTTAGGAACTTCCCGTTCGTAGTCGTGGCCTGGTAAGGGCTTGTCACCGGGCCCACTGTTTGGATTCACTACCACAAGAAAGTCGACGGCCGGGTGGGCCGTGATCCTATAGCCCGGACGAGAATGGTTAGAACTTGGATGGAGGCTGATGGTAATTTGGATGAAGATGATGATGAAGAGATGATGCGATGCGAGGCAAGACAAGGCAAGACAAGGCAAGACAAGGCAAGACAAGACAAGCACCCCGCCCCGCCTGGGACCGGACCTCTGGTACAGTTCAAAAAATAAACAATGGACGATGAAACAATAAGCAGTGAAACAATAGACACTGCAGCATCGACGGGGAAAGGCAGTGATACGTACGAATCATACAGGGGTCGCCACGTCTCATCGCTCAAAGGATAAATGTAAAGAGGCATGACTACTGTAGCGCGAGGCTCCGTAGTCTGTATTTGGTCGGACTCCATTCCTTGTCCTTCGCTCTGCGACATGTTGCGACAGCAAAACCAACAAGGGATCTGGCGGTGATCGGATGGTTGTCAGTCAGGTCAGAGGTGGGCTGCAAACCAGCGGAGGCGATTGTGCGGATCTGGAAAGGCGGGGAGCGATCGATGAATGGTGTTTGCCGATGTTGGATGCAAAGGAAATTGCAATTTGCAGATTTCACGGATTACAGATTTATGGTTTTGTTGGTTCAGTTGCGATTGCTTGTGTTCCTCTGGCCTCCGGAATATTTGGCCGACAAGGGGGTTGAAGAGAGTTAGGTTGGGTGTTTGGGGGAAGAAGAGACTAGTATAGGAGTAAATACTAACTACCAAGTGTAGCGCCAGAACCAGGGGAACGCCCACAACCAAAAAAATTATATTTTATCAATTGTAAAGGGGACACTGCAATGCTTGGAGAAAAGGTTATCTAGAGTTGAAACTACCAACTATACTATAACGATAGTTCCAATATTGCAAAATTCCTTAGATAGTTACCTGGGTAGGTTTGCTTTTTTATCGGTCGATTATGCCTAGTGCTCCCGTGATTCTAGAAGGGATTGGTGGCAGCTGTTGGCCCGGGACAATCTAACTAGGGCGAAGAACAAGGGGCCGACTTTTAGAAAGAGAGAGAGCGCGCGAGAGAGGGAAGAAGAAGAAGGGAGTGGGGAGGCAACAAGGACAAACGATTCGTTAGTTGGGTATCAAACGCAGACTTCAAAGATGTGATGAGAGGTACGGAGTACCTTTCTTTACCTAGTTAAGTGACTTGCTACATACTCCGTACATTCACACAGTACGGAGCACATACCGACTGTGTTGGCACTCTTTGTAGACGCCGTCTTTCCCTCCAAACCCACACACGTATCCCCCCACGCAAGGAGAGGTTCTAGGACCATTGCTGTAGCCACAATACGGATTGATAGGTACGGAGTAGTCTGATAGTCGTCAGTCTACTGGCGTAGCCGCGTAGGTGATTACTTTGTTCCCCCCTCGCTCGCACTTGTACCTATTGTAGATGTGGTACATTGAATCTCGCGTGTGGTGGCTTTGCTTGGTAGACGAGGGTGGCGTCACACCAGACCCTGTTCGGGTGCGGGCGCTCGTCCACCACCGCCTACGAGACTACGACTCTAACCATGTCTACGGTCTAACCGTCTATTCCCTTACCATGGCCTTCCCTGTCACATTCACTTTCCACACCAAAGATCCAGCTCTCCACCATCAACAAACCCTTTTTTGCCCTCCCTTTCACCAGGGGGGGGTGCTCCGTCTACCAGCTTCTGAGCTCACCAGCTTACCAGCTTACCATCTCGCCATGCTGCATTGGGCGCGTACACACCATGTCCCGTCCAAATAGTCCAAAAGTCTCGTCCCATGGAAATCCCTAGCTTTGTCTAAATCGGGCTACATTCACCCCAATATCGTACAGCACAATACCAGCAGCTCCAGCACCAGGTCCAGCACCAGCACCAGCACAACACAGCTCGCTCCAGCACGCACACGAAATTGCACAAACCGTTAGACCTGGTGAAGCCACGCCGGCGCATACGTCCGCAGGTCCTCCCAACGCGGCCCACTACTCTTCTGATATTGCGGTTCTTGGGTCCCCCAATATAGGATAGCTGCTCCGTGGGCCTAGACGTTCCTTTTCACCAGGAACCCTGAGGCGGTCGCTAGAAGCCACAGCACCAGCTGGTACATGGTACACGCAGTCTGCAGTGCTGCACGCTTTCCGAACTCAATCTCTCACGAACGAAAGACTACACACCCGCGAGTTTCGAACTGGGAAAGCCACAGGCACTATTCCATAGCTGTCAGAGGTTTGTGAATCAGTGTCCGCGTCCATCTCAACAGAGCTAAAGCTAAGGCTGCTCGAAACGCACCTTGAGCTCAAAGAGGCTGCCTTCAGGTTCCACTTTCGAGAACGTCCTGGTTCGGGAATTGCGTCTAGGCCCTTCACTCGTTTCTTCCTCTCATCGTCTCGGGGCGATAGATATCTACAAGTATCCTCCGATATTTGATCGGTGTCGACGATCATTTTAATAGCTTCGTATTCATCCCCAGTGAATATCGCATGGTTCAGTGTCCTTACACACATCATTCCAATCTTCTACCATCGCTCTCCCGGTCTTGCACCGGCCTCGCCGCCATGAACTCAATCAATTCCTCCGAGGACAACACGCCTGCTTCTTCTCCACGTACCTCTCGCTCGTCCACACCCGGCACTGAGAAAGACGACCTCTTCGATTCCCTCCCCGCGGCGAACAATGGCAAGTATGTGTTGGTAACAGGTGGCCTCGGATTCATTGGTAGCCATACCGTCCTGGAGCTCCTCAAAGCTGGCCACAACGTCGCCATCGTGGACGATCTGAGCAACAGCTACAGCGATGTCTTCAGTCGCATCATCAAGGCCGCCAACCGTCACTTCGACACTCACGGCGGCATATGTCCCAAGGCCGAGTTCCATAACACCGACTATCGCAACAAAGTTGCCATGAGCAGCCTCCTCGACTCCCACGCTACCGGTCCCAATGGCTCTTCCAATATCTCCGGTGTCATTCACTTCGCCGCATACAAGGCCGTGGAGGAGAGCATACGTCAGCCATTGAAGTACTATCTGAACAACATCAATGGCCTTGTCGACTTCATTGTCCTGCTAGAGGAGTACAACATCAAGACATTCATCTTCTCGTCTTCGGCAGCAGTCTATGGTAACTTAGCGGACGGCAGCCAGGACCTCCGGGAAGAGCACTGCGTCCATGAGGAGGAGACATACCTTCACCACGATGGCACCGACCGAAGATCCCAACCTGGTTATACCGGTATCACCAGCCCTTACGGCCGCACAAAGTTCTTTGGCGAAGCCATATTGTCGGACATTGCAAAGTCGGACCCGTCGTGGACCATCATTGGGCTGAGGTACTTTAATCCTGTTGGCTGCGACGTATCGGGTCTTCTTGGCGAAGATCCCCGCGGCGTACCCTCCAATCTGCTGCCCGTCGTCGTCAAAGTCGTCACTGGTCAGATTCCTGAAATCTGCGTCTATGGAAACGATTGGGACACGACCGATGGCACCGCCATCCGCGATTTCATTCACGTCACTGATCTTGCGAGGGGTCACAATGCTGCACTTTTCGCCGCATTGAACGGCCGCATCTGCCACGGCTTCCGCACTTTCAACCTTGGCGGCGGAACGGGCTATTCTGTGCTCGAGGTCATCAGCACTATGGAGGCAGTAACTCAAAGACCTGTCCCCACCAAGATTGTGGGCAGGAGGGATGGTGATGTGCAGTCATCGGTTGCCGCAGCTGATCGTGCAAACATCGAGCTGGGCTGGTCCACAAAAGAAACTTTATTCGATGCTTGTCAAGATACCTGGAACTATCTAAAACTCAAGGGCTACTAGAAGTGCGTTTCTAGTAATATAATGGTAATGGTCACGGTTTGGTGGTAGGCTTTAATGCGGCGTCTATGAATGGTTATTTCTTGCCTAGATCTTCTATGCTGTTCTACTCTATTATACCTCGGGGGTTTCTCTTTTCAATTGTCAGTACCGTACATAGCATGCGCATTCAAGTACATTCAAAATCACTGTAACGCAACATTCAAAGTCGGAAATCACATGTAAAGCATCGAGACGTTCTATGAGTAGCTTCTTCCCTGTCAGTTGTTCTTGGTCGCAGCAATTGCATTCGAAACAACAGTTAATATTTTTGTAATGTTTAGTCCATAATAAGTTTATAATTAAAAATAGTCCCCGCCCGCACTGCATCTAAATATATTGAAACATGCTACGGAGTATTTCCTTCCAAAGTATGTGCATCTAAACTATTGTTATGAACCTTGCCAACATTAGGTACCTTCCAGCAAGAGCTCAAGCGCGACTGTGACCTGCACAGGCGGAGTGACTATGAAACTCAACAGACAAAAACAATAACGAATCCTCATCGAGCGCTGATGGTCCGACGCTCATGGCATCACTACCAAGATCTTGTGCAGATCATTGTCACCCTTCCCTGCATGCGCTCTTCATCGCGATTGCAACTCCATCGATCAATTGCATCAACTCTTCTATGCAATATTGCGCGCAGCAGGCGATGTCCTTCTAACCGGATACAGCAACCTGCCCGCTCGGGATGCCCCATGTGTGCAATAATGAAAACATTTATGCATCATGAAGATGTCAAGTACACACAAGATTCTAACCACTTGGCTCCGGCAAGTCTATCCTTTGGTCGCCTAGCCACGATCCGCATCTATGGTTGCCTTCGGTGAGCGATCCCACATAAAGTCCACATTGAGTCCACATACGTTAGTTACCTAGATGGATAGTAGGTACATGTAGATATCTGTGTGTCGCAGATCGCAATCTCTCTTCCCACAAGGCTACATTCCCGCTCCGCCCTACTAACAGATGCCATGCGAGAAATCTACCCTATCTAAAACACACAGCGGAACCCAACACCACACGGAGCACTTAAGGAACCCCGGGCTTTAGATCTTCCCACCCAACTAAGGGTACTGGCTCCCTTCGGGTATGTCACAACCCGTCGACCAACTCGCCGATTGTGACGTGCAAATACGAGACGAGACGAGAGCACTACTACGCGATCGATCGATTCTCCGGTCAGGAAAAAGCGGCACAACCGCGCGAAAGTGGTGTTATTTGGCCCGAGGAGAATCGAGGACAATTGCATCCGATAACAAAAAGCATTGGCATTCTGACAATTTGCATGGCATGCACGCACAACCAGGCAAACCAATATTTACGTGAAACGAGTCCACACACATAGACACGGTACACGGTACGGTTGCGGAGCGGAGGGCTCTATGTGGATACAGCGAGGCCTCCCCTTTCCCATCCCAACCCCCGCCGCTCTACTGTACTGTGTCCTCTCCCGGCTTTCTGCTTCTATTCCCCGTCATAAAATGCTCTTGGCGATGGAAAAAATCATCCCAGCAATTCCCGGCGGGTTGCAGGCTGCGCCGCTGCAACTACAGCAGTGCAACAGCTGCTGCAGACAGCTGCATGGACCATGGAAAACCCGGGATTGTCATCCAATATGCACGGGCCATCGGCGCGGTCACAGCCTCTGCATGGTTGGTCCCTTCGTCCTACGCCGTGGTGATGTGTCGTTACCTAGCATTTGTACGGTTGTACGATAACTATGGACAATTGTGCTGCTCGGGATCGCGACCAGCAGATCTGTGCCGTTTCTGACCAAAATCTATATATTGATTGCTCTGCGGTCAAAATAGTCGGGATGGTCACTTCGTGATGTTGCAAGAAGGCAAAAAATAATCGTCACCGCAAACCCGTCAGCAGTGATGCAGTCATATACACACTATTCAGCACTAAACCATTAGACGCATATTGTGATTTTTCAATTGCGTCTCAACAAAGCTATAATTAAGTACACTCGGTTTATTTGTAGTAAGTGCAATGGGACAATATGCTCAATTTCTGAGCAAAGTTATTACGGGCCTTCTTCTGTGATGCAATACGGAATGTTTTCGGCGTGTCTAATTCAGACCCTCCCATAGGTGGCTACGAAGCCTACTGCTATGTGATTCTATGGTGCCATTCAGCTTTTCATACTTGATTCTAATTGGGATGTAGAGTCTCATTCATAGTAGAAAGCTTTGGACATTTGCGTTTTGCTGTTTATGTGATGGAAGTGTCACTGCCTCTGAGGATATAATGTATGTGGTATGCTTGTCGAGTGTAAAATCACATGTGCTGAAGCCAGGCCACTCAACATTTTGCTATAATATCAATAATGCGAAAATTCACCTTCTTCCTTCGGGCTCATCTTTGATACTCTGTTGTCTCCAATAAATTTGAGACGTTTCGTATGTTGTGGTGTAGCATAACTTGAACTGCAGCATCGACGACACTTTGATTCAACCTCATAGTGAAAATATCGAGAAGATACAGTGATACATACAAGCAATTGTATTCTCGATGGAGAGGATACCTTGTTATTGAGTTTGGTCCAGCTAATGGCACATATATCATTTCTGCCGATTTTTTAAGTTTTTACTTGTAACATGAAATATAATTAATAAAAATCAATAACACAAACAACATGAACACCTCAAGTAGGAGAACAGATTATTTCTATTACACCCACATCAATATAAAATTAGTTCTAGTATGTTAGATTAAAAAATAAGGGAGTTATGGCTCCTTGATATTGTTTGCGTGCTTTGCTCAAAGCATTAAGTACTATCCTAAATGAATGACTTCGCCGGTTCAACCCATCGCAACCATTTCGGCTATTCCGACTCTTCAAATGTTCTCCAATAAATAGAGAAGCGATTGTGATTTCTAAGAGTGGGTCGTGGCATAGCTATTCGCGAGTTGCAAACACTCTTGGGTTCATATATGCCCTAACACTTTTACATGTGTAGATAGCAACAGATGTGACAACCATAGCCATACGCGAACAATCATTGTATATGGAACTTATAGACAACATAGTACAGTGTAATTGCCAAGGCATTCAATCCGCTAGTTTTCTCTTGAATCATTCTTCGAAGAATTTGCGGTGTTTGAGATTTCAATGAAATTCCTAATTCACAACCGCTCTTGAACCAAGAGAGAAGGGAAAACTCACATTATGTCTAGATACTCATTTCGAATATCAAATATACGTCAACACAGTCTAGGACTGAGACAAGGAGCAGACAAGCACCACACATCGAGCCCACAACGGACAGAAAAGCCGTATGTATGTGGGCGTACAAAGACGAACTGAACAATACGCATAGCGGAGGTCCCGAGTTGAATCCAGACACCTCATATATTGGATGAGGATCGAAATAAGTGCTGTAAATAGTAGCTGAAAGGCCATCCATTTATTGAGGAACCAGAAGAATCATGATGGGAACGGAAGCGGTGAGAACAAAGCATATATTCTATTCGAAAACAAGACCAACAATTTCGGTTAAGTTCATCTTATATATGTTTCATTTAAATGATTTACTTTTGTATTTTACATTAGCTTACCTTGTTACGTATAATTTTTGAAATGGTTAGGTAATGTATACGTAGGTACACATTTGTTACCGAAGTCTTATTCGCAGGAAATTCTTCACATTTACGCTACAACTTACCGTCGCCATTTTAGATCGCATGTTTTATTCGTGGTTTATTCTACATCGATTTTCTAGGACATCGGAATTACACTGTCTCATGACGTCTTGTATCCAAAGTTCGTTTGAGCAACTCTCTGACCGAACCGCATCCTTACGCACACGGGCGTACCTGGGCCACGTCAGGTTTCCCATTTCTACGCCGTGGGTAATTTTATCACCCTTCAGGTAGCGTAATAACTCGAACAAGCAGATAGATGGAATGTAATTCTAAGTGTTACGTCCCTTAAACAGTAAAATAGTTCTCATGCATAATTAGTTAACGGCCGGGTTTGGCTTAGTACGCAAACCGGTGAGCATGTAGGCAGATTAATGGAGCAGTGCGCTATATAGCTTGAGCAATAGGAACGTAGAGTCACTATAAGACAAGGCTGCCTCGAAAATCATCGCCTTCATGGATCGCCTCTGCTTCGATCGTCCAGGTTCGGATGATTGCCTGAATGGTTGTCGAATGATGTCGGGCTACGCAAAGTACGCACAGCCCCAACTTCGCCGCTGGATTGTCTTGGGGGCAACTCGCAACGCCAGGCTGAAGAAATTTACAAATAACATCAACGTCTTTCTTGTATGATATCCTTTTTACTTGGAACCTTTGCTAATAGTCTGCTCGACCGGACAACTCTGCCGTTACAAGAACTTGACCTATACAAGGGAATAGGCAACATCCACCTGATCGTTTCCGGTTACCTAAGCCGCCAAGCATTTTGAATCCTTCGCAATTTAAACATCTCTCTCGACAGAAATACTGGAATCGAGTATACTCATTATTGTAGCAATTGCAATATACGCAAAAATGCCATCATCAACCATGCGGACGGCCGTTCTACAGGCCACCGTGGTTTGTACCATATCAATGATCATCTCCCACCACACGACTGGAAGCGTGTTTGACGAGGTATGGGAGAACGAAGGATTTCGAAACTTTACAGACACGATGGACCAGGCAGATCCAAGTATCGCGGGCCGGCCTGGTCGATTAAAACTGGGTGCTTCGAATTCGACCAATGCAGTCAATAACGGGACTATGGCGGACGAACCACTGGAAGCATTCTATACCGTCGTGTTTCCACGAGACGTCATTCTCAACACTATCATTTTGATGCTACAGTATTACTGGTACACCTGGTTGGAGAGAATGTTGCCTGCCAGGCCCCGGCGGATTGAAGCTTACTACGGGCGTACTGAAAAGATTGAAGAGAGTGATGATCGGGAAGAGGAAGTCGTGAAGAAATGGATTGCGCAAGGCAGGGTCAAACGAGCATCTCTAAACTGGTGTAACACTTTCCTTAAATGGATCATAGAATTGACGATTGGGCGGTTGTGGTTGTATACTGTTTCGCATTTTCTGGGAGGGCTATTAAGGATGGAATCCCCCCGTAAAATACTGGAAACATTCACAACCGTAAGTTCTACGAAACGACCGAAACGACCGAAACGATCAAGTTCAAGTTACTTTCCACTAACTTCGCTCAGCGTATTTTCTTCGATTTCATCGCCTCTTTCATCTCTACTGGTCCTCTTTGCGACCTCATTGCCTTTATCATCATTCCAGCACCCAAGCAGATCGTTTTCATGGCAAGCTGGACTCTTGTGACCTCTATTTTCATAACATTCATTATTCGAACCGTTGCCAGCTGGGCTGTGAAAACAGACCTTGCCCAGTCCTTTATGAAGAACGCCACAGATGAAAGGGTGCGGCAAGGATTTGGGGCGCGTCCTGAGATCCAGCGGATAGGAGACGAATTGTGAATCGAGATGTACATAGGGAAGATTGGGATGAAACCTGGCATTTTGAAGGAACATGATATCTCTGGCAGGCGCTGAATATTCATAATGCTTCTTCTTTATCATGTAGAGAGTAAATACTGGTCATCGGAACTTAGTCACCATGTACTTATGTCTAAGCATTTCGAGTACCTATATTGTAACCCAGACCAGAAGGAATGCTTACCATCATAAGGAGGTGCTAGCGCGAATCAGAGTCATTCATCCGCATTGATTTGGTCCCCATCAACTCAAGGCAATCGATAACGAAATCTACCCAGCAAAACGGCGAACACATCTTGGTACCTTACTACTGACCAACAGCACCATACCACGCAAGGCCCAGAACGGCACCAAAGACAATCGCCATCGCTGGTGGGATCTTGAACCAAGCGGTCTCCGCGTAGGTGAGTGCAGCGACAGCAACCCACCACGGTTCTTGCCCAAGGCTCTTTCCGTTGTTGCTCTCCGGTGTCAGGTATCCGATCTCCCAGAGGCGGTACACTGCCGTGAAAACGAGTCCAACAGCCGTAGCGTTGATGCCTCTGAGCAGGCTCACGACCCATGCCTTTGCCCTCATGGCCTGCCATATCGACTGCACACCGACCGCGAGAATGATGCCTGGGAAGAATATACCTAGATATCCAAGTAACGCGCCGACAACTGTAGGAGTGCCAGTATTCGCAAGGGCCAGCGCTCCCAAAAAGACAGCAAAATTGAAGTTCGGGCCGGGAAAAGCTTGAATGATGGCAAGGCCAAGAAGGAAGTCTCGCGGCGACACCCATCCTGGTTCAACCACGTACGAGCGGAGAAGAGGAATCACAACTGGTCCACCGCCAAATATGATGGTGCCGGCGAGGTACATGTTGGAGAAGAGATCAAAAGCGCGGGGTCTTCTGTCAAGAACACCTCTAAGGACCATGAATAGTACAAACGATACTGTATGATATTAGAACAAGCGAGAAGTGTAGGAACGAAAAAGTACCTAGAAATCCTACAATTAGCGTCAAGCCCACTTTGACAGAGATGTTGTGCGTTTTTGTATCCGTGACAGGGGCAGACTCGACAGTGTCTGGCCCTTCACGCCCGCTGGAATTTGCCGTGGAGTCTGGTTCAGTGGTAGTCTGCCCTTGTGAGCTCTCAACCTGCTGCTTTCGTCGAGCAAGATTTGCTGTGTGTGCTTGCGTATTCTCCTCCAAGGGAACACTTGGAGCTACATCTAGTCTTTCAGCATCCGGCGCATTTCTACGCTGTCGCTTCGCTTCCCGTTTTGCTCGCATTTTGCCAACTACCCGGTGCAACCAGACATCCCAAATAGCAGTGGCAATTCCCCCAATTAGAATAAGTACTGGAAAGTACCAGAGTGCGTTATAGCACAAGCCCGCGCAAGCGCCTAAAACGACCAAGATCCTAGTAAGAGGGTCTTGGATGGCTTTCTCAGCCAACTAGATGTCATCAATTAAAATCCATCAAATATGCATGAGTGAACTCACTTGCACGGCAGCCAAAGCAACGATACCTACAGTGCTGGCGTTCAGTCCACTCAGCAAGGCATATACAACGGGCGGCAGCTGGTCAGGCATTCGCTGAACGCCCAGTGACAGACCGTACATTCCGATCGCGCCGGGCAAGCTCCAGACGAGGAACGTGAAGATGGCTCCAACAATACCTGCGCGAATCATTGCTATACAAAAAATCATCTTTGTCGAACCCGGACCTGGGAGGGCTTGGCAAATCCCAAATAGCTCTTGATACTGTGGTCTAGTGAGTGCATGCACCAGTTGAAAACTCATCGTAGCGTTGCTGGGACAAGCAATCGCATACTCACGGTTTGTTCGTCAATCCATTTGCTTCCACCGCCGAAGCCAACACCTTGCACAAATCTGCGATGTAGGATCTGAAAGTGCACGGGCGGTCCGCCGAAAGCTGTAAACCCTAGATCCCATGTCCTCATAAACACCTCCGCGAGGCACCATTGTAACTTTTCTGTGTTGGCCTGCAAGGAGCTGTTGCGTTGGCTGCGAATATGGGTGCGTAGAGAGCTAATGGCCGAGGACAGCGACATTCTCAATTGGGTATTTGAACTGATCGCCTTTGAAGGTACAAAATGAACCTTGACTTCGAGTTGGGTTCGATGCCATGAAAGAGGTCTGAATGTCGACATTATATAAGTTTGAGACTCGTCCAATCACAGTTGGATAGTGACATTCGCTTGTGCATGGGTAGCACTTGGTTAGCGATTGGCTGAGAATAATAAGTAACCTTACTCGTAGAGCGCAGCTATACTTCCCAAGAAAATTAATTTTATTTCCCTACTCTGTTAGTAGAGCATCTTAATCCTAGTGCTATTAAATTATAATGTTACAATATCTAAAACAATTTTGACCATTGCCATGGAAGTCTGACAATCTAGTATTGTAGTACATTACACAATCTCATCTCCATGCCATTTCTGCTGATCTTCTCCATCCGTTCCAGTATTGTCTGGTGACGACGCGCCAGCCGATTGTCTTGAAACAGTAGATGGATGAGCTGATGAGGAGTCTCCAAAGGCCTCGTGCTGCCTGTGCGACTGATCCCGCGCCTGGCGAGTGCTTTCCACATCATGACCCAGAAAGGTGCCAGGTTCATTAGAGGTAAAAATCACCGACTTCCAATGATTAGACAGGTGGGCAGTCAACCCGATGAAGATGGCTCCGCCAACAAGGTTGCCCAAAACAGCAGCGGACTGGTTGTACCAGAGGCGACCAATTGTCGATGGCGCACCGTACATCAATCCCACGGAAAGGAACAACACTAAAGTTTTGCGTCAGCCCAAAGGTTTTACAAGGGAGTATATAAAGGTGTCCTACTATTGGCGATGCAATGCTCATATCCACTGAGTACAAACATGACTACTGGGAACCAGAGAGCTATCATCTTTCCACTCGCGCTGCGTGCTGCAATGCTTAGCATGATGGCCATGCAGACCATGATGTTGGCTGGTATGGCCCGAAGAAAGATCTCGCCCCAGTCTTCACAAAAAGTTAGCAAATGGATATACAGAAGCCAGACTACTCAGTAGATAGATCACAAAGAAGGGAAAACTAACTTGGTCCTTCCAGTTTGCTAACAACAAGCTCATCCAAGAACGAGCGATATTGCACAGCGACGAAAAGCTTCGTAAGGTATCCGATGAAGTAGGCCACCAGAAGCGTACCGCTCCAATTACCAATATACACAATGAAGGTGTGTATCAGCAGTGGCCACAAGGAAACTTCCCGATTGAACCATCCTGGTCCAAGGCAGTTAGTGAACTGCCCCATAGGGTAGTGGAACAGAACTCGGTGGACGTACCGATCGCCAGGATCATTAGATTACCCGTGAATAGCTCGCCACCAAACATGACTATGAAATGAAGTGCTTTGTGGGGTTAGAGACGTGTCGCAAGTCGGGTACAGAAGACGATGCATTACATACCAAAGGCAAAGAAAGAGCCGATCAGAAATCGTGGCAGCGAAACCCACTGGAGTCGTACAGAGTCAGGAACGCCTCCTGCTGCACTGATGCCAGCTATTCCACCAATACCAACCCAGATACCGCCCATGAGAGCGAGGAAAAACGTCTTGTCGGGAGGGTTTGCTATCTTCTTTGTTGCATTGAAAAGTATGGCGTTCTCTAACGTCAGACCCGATAACATATCCGACGGCGCGGCCAGGGGAATTTCATGCACATGTTGTCTTCTGGGCTTTTCGGACTGATTTTTTCGATGGAAAAGATTAAAGGTATCGCTACCACTGAGATTGATTGGCTTCATATTTTTTTTAAGAGGTTGCCGAGGACTAACTGTAGTTTATTGATAGAGATGAAGACTATGAACAGCAAAACGACAGTCAAAATGGAAGTAAAACGAGCTTCTCTTGGTTTTTCTACTTATTTATACGAATACGACTGAGCAGCAACAGTTGGAAAGTTGTCAATGTAAAAAATATAGAGGCCGTGAGGTCACATCAAAGATACGACATGTCGTGACTTCATCTTCGGTAAGCAATACGGTTTGTATTTTGAGATGATGGTCGTGGCCTCGAACACTGCTTATCAAGTCCCGTCTGCTACCGGAAGATCGTGATGTTCCATCATGCTGAAGCAATCAAGCCACGACGACTTAATGCGAAAACAACAAATGATGTCGGTGCGGGACGTGCAGCCCTAGGCTAGGGTTGGTGCTAAGGATCCGCGGGATTCCACCAGATACGACCATCCTCAAACCTCCCTAGGAGACTGACTGATCCAAGCTGGAGGAAAATCAGAGCAGATAATCTCTACGGACCGAGAGGTATGCGATATCTTTGTCCGACCCGAGCATCCCGCAATCACTATTCCCGCAGAGGCGAATGAGTGATCTGGTACGACTGTCGGACGGCGCGCGTTGTGTTTGTTTGGCAATGACGCAACATCGTATACGAGTACCTGAAGAGGACTCAGGAGCGTTTTATTTTGTCGTTCAGAACGAATGTTGACTTTAAATATGAGAAGCTGGCGCAAGTCTGGGACGGATATCCCATCATTGAGCAGCACAACATTTATTATATTATTATTTTATCAACAAATAAAACCAGCTATTCATCCACATATTCATAAGCCTATTTCAATAATACCAGAACCCATCTGATAAAACCCAAGACCAACGCACACTTCCAACAATGGCGAAAGACACGGTCGACATCCTGATCGATTCATTGAAGGCAGCCGGAGTCAAATATGTATTCGGAGTCCCAGGAGCGAAGATCGACTCCGTCTTCAATGCCCTGATCGACCACCCAGACATAAAGCTCGTCGTCTGTAGGCACGAGCAGAATGCCGCATTCATAGCAGCCGCGATGGGAAAAGTCACTGGCATTCCAGGTGTCTGTATAGCTACTTCGGGACCAGGCACTAGCAATCTCGTCACTGGCCTAGTCACTGCGACGGATGAGGGAGCACCAGTTGTTGCAATCGTAGGAAGCGTCAGGCGAGCTCAATCGCTCCAAAGAACCCATCAGAGCTTGCGTGGCGTCGACCTCCTCGCTCCTGTTACGAAGAAGGCGGTTTCTGCGGTGGTGGAGGATCAGATTGCTGAAATCATGCTGGACGCTTTCAGAGTCGCAGCGACTTCCCCTCGAGGCGCCACAGCCATAAGTCTCCCCATCGACCTGATGACTCCGGTGAAGAGCACATCAGAGGTCATGGCGTTCCCAAAAGCGTCTTTTATCCCACCGACATATGGAAAATCCCCCGAAGCAACACTCCAAGCAGCCGCGGATCTGATATCTGCAGCCAAAGCCCCAGTATTGTTTCTCGGCATGCGAGTTTCAGAATCAGACGACACCATCAACGCGATCCACAGCTTCTTGAAGAAACACCCCGTGCCCGTCGTCGAGACCTTCCAGGCTGCCGGTGCCATCTCAAAGGATCTCGTTCACCTCTTCTACGGTCGAATCGGTCTGTTCCGCAACCAACCAGGCGACAAGCTGCTGCAACACGCCGATCTTGTCATCGCCGTTGGCCTGGACCAAGCAGAGTATGACGCAAATCTGTGGAACGCGCGCAATACGACTATTTTGCATATGGATGTCGCATCGGCGGACTTCGTTGGAAATTACGTGCCCAAGGTTGAACTCATCGGATCGATAGCCGACAACATCGCAGAACTCAATGGCAGACTGGACACAGTGGCTCGTCTCCAGCTCACCGAGGCCGGAGAGGCCATTCAGACGAGCATGCTGGAATGGGTGAAGAGCCCCGAAGCAGTTGGAAGACCTACCGGACCGATACATCCTCTGCACTTTATTCGACTATTCCAGAATATGATCAAGCCATCAACAACAGTCATATCCGACGTGGGAAGCGTCTACATTTGGCTCTGCCGGTATTTCTATTCCTACAAACCCAGGACTTTCCTGATGTCGAACGTACAGCAAACTTTGGGAGTAGCGTTGCCGTGGGCTATCGGTGTGTCGCTCAGTCAGACACCGCCTTCCTCTGAGAAGGTGATCAGCATTAGCGGCGATGGAGGTTTCATGTTCAGCAGTCAGGAGCTGGTTACTGCTGTACAGCAGGGCTGCAACATCACGCATTTCGTGTGGAACGACGGAAAATACAACATGGTCGAGTTCCAAGAAGTGGACAAGTACGGTCGCAGCTCCGGCGTCGAACTCGGTGGAGTAGACTTCGTCAAGCTTGCAGATGCAATGGGCGCCAAGGGGCTGCGTGTGACCAGTTCGGGCGATTTGGAGGCTGTCATGAAGGAGGCATTGGAGTACGTTGGCGTCTGCATTGTGGAGATCGAGATTGACTACAGTCAAAACCACAACCTGATGCTGAATCTAGTCACGTCGGATGTGATGTGATCGGTACGGGTGGAGTTTAGCAGATAATGGCAAGGCGACCTGTATTAGTATAATTTTTAATACCGTTCATAGTTTGTATATATACCATTTACGTTTAGATCGTACATGATACTGGCAAGCAGTTAGCTCGCATGGCTGCTGCATGCTAGTGAAACGCCCTTGACTGATAATGTGAAAAGAACCATTAAATGTTAAGAGCATCATCTTGTCATGCTCATCTTCGGTGTTCCCAATCCATCGAGAGAGGCCATGTAGCTTGTCAATTTCTGAATAGTAGATACACAAGCCCAGTAGGTGGCCAGGTTTGCGTGATAACCCATTTAGACACACCCTGCATCATCCAGTGGCCAAACTGTGCTCCGAATGAGCCGATATTCAGTGGAGGCATTCATACGTCATTGAAGGGTTTGCTCCAGGAGGCGGGATATGGCGGTACAAACATATATATTGGAGCATGCGTCGCCATATTGATACTGCAAGTCATTCAACCTTTAACCACAATCCCCTCGGCATAGTCCAACCCACCTACACATCTCCTTCCTACACAACAACACAAATCGCCAACCATGCCATCAAACAACTTATACCAATACTCCGTCCTCTCCGCCCTCATGAGCGGCGCCGCATCCTCCGGCGCTCCCCTATCCCACATCCTATCTCACGGCACCCACGGCCTCGGCACCTTCCAGAGCCTACAAGGCGAGCTGATCATCCTCGACGGCTCAGCATACCAGATCAAGTCTGACGGGTCCGTGACCCCCGACCTCGAAAAAGACGACCCAGATCGGATAATCCCCTTTGCCATGGTGACGCCCTTCGAACCCACGACCACATCGACTGTCTCGTTCGGAAGCAAGCAGGAACTGTCTGAGAAGATATCGGCACTGCTCCCGAGGACAGCGAACCACTTCCTAGCATTTAGGGTTGATGGGGTGTTTGAGGGGGTTAGTGTAAGGACGGTTGGCGGCCAGATATCAAGGCACGAGGGGCTCGTCAACGTTGGAAAGCGCCAGACGACAAAGACGTTTCCGTCTATACGAGGCACGATTGTAGGGTTTAGGTCGCCGGCGTGGTTCCAAGGTATCAGCGTCGCGGGGGATCATATGCATTTGATTTCTGAGGATAGGAAGGTTGGGGGACATTTACAGGATCTTCGGGCGGGAATGGAGGGGGTGAGGCTCAGTGCGGCGACGATTCATCGCTTCGATTTGGAGTTGCCGGAGGAGGATGATGATTTTAGAGATGCGCAGCTTGGTGTGGATGATGAGGGGATTCGGGCGGTTGAGGGATAGTTGTGCTTGTTAGACTCTTTTCGAATGGGGTTAAGATGGTTTCTTTTGATAGAGGGAGAAGGCGATGGTGTTGTTATACCTTACTGCTATATTAGTGATATCCTCTTGTACCGATCCATTTCTGTTTACTACATATATATCACTACTTCCAGACGAAAAATAATAGATCGAAAACAAGACGTTATAGCTGTAGCGGCGTAAAAATCACATCCTCACTGAAAAGAAAGCAGGAAAGTAAAGATGAAGACAATATAGACCTCCAGTGGCGCCATCCAACTATATCCCCGACCAGCCCTTGAGGTTGGGCCGAATATCAAGTCCAACTTAAGTTGAAAGCACTGTATGGATCGGAATGTGTATGTGTTTGGCTCAATGCTCGAAAACAACAAACATCCGAAGGAATAATCATCACAATGCCTCGATAACCTAAAGCCATCATCTCGAGAGGGTAATTGTCTGCTCACCTTGTATCAGTACCACCTCGCGAGAGAATCTACGTCCAAACGCAGTTCCAGTACCAGTCCTAGTCCCAGTATACCAAACACCCAAGTATCAAGGAAAACACACCAGGACATCCTTCTCTGAGATACACCGCCGACCATACGAACATTCGCACAAGAGCCCACATACCCTTCACTCGTCTGCAATCACACCTCACCCTGACACCTACCTAGCCAGCACCAAGCATTCGCCCTCTTACGCCTCAAAACCCCAACTCCGCATCACTTTCAGCCGCAGCAGGCACAGTTCCAAGCAATAACAACATAAATTAAAAAGCCGCTGCGCGTCAGATACCCCAACACCAACACGACGACCACCACTGCGTACGCCGCCCACGCCGCCCAGCTGTCTGTACATACAATACCCTCTGCACCTTACCCCCTCCCCTCGATAAATGTGGCTGCCGAGCCGCACTCATACATCCCCTCCCCCTCCCTCTCACCGGACGGACCAGCCATTGCCGTCGGGGAGGTAGGGTAGGTAGGGTAACTAGGGTAGGTCGTCGGTAAAAACAGAGTGATGACGCGCAGCGGGCGCGGCGTCGAGCTATTCATCCAGCGAATGCATGCGAGCGGCATGATGTCGAATCAAAGGCTTGGCGTGGGAGGGGACCCAGGGGATTGGTTGGAGCATGTAAGGTAAGCTTGCATGCGGGCGTGGCGAATGGACGAATGGGGAGGGGTAGTGTGTAGGGTGGTCGGGAACACCGAGGTGGGAAGGTGAGGTAAGGGAAGGGGATCAGGGCCAGAAAACGAACGATGAACGAACGCAGTGCTGCCTGTTTGGGATGTTAGGGGGTGGGGAGGGGGGGGGGGGGGGGGGGGGGGGGGGGGGGGGGGTTTGTGGTTGTGTCACGGGGGTTTGCACTTGGGAATGGGACATGGCATGGCATCAATGTTGGGTTAAGAAGATGGAAGAGAGAGATAGTATGTAGTTCATGATTTGATAGCTTCAACTTTTAAGTAAAACTATACGTCCATGCATTTCGTGACTCAATAACCTCCACATAAACGTCTCGTTAAATTAGATAGTATACCTGAAGCCACGCTGTTGGTCCTCCTGGAAATAGAATTAGCACAACGGTCTGTAAGGGTTGTGTAGAAAATACTTACATCAGTGTGCTCCAACTCAACCTCACCACGATCTGCTCGCGCATTCTGGCGCTTGAAGACAAAGCTGGTTATGATGACCAACACAATGGAAAGCAAGCAGCATGCGATACACGCGTACAAGCCAGGGCGATAGTGGGGAGCGTCCTGGACGCGGAAGACGAGACCACCTGCGATACCGCCGACGCCACCGAAGCCGACGAGGGTGGCGCTGCAGAATGCTCGCTTCCACTGTCCGCGGATGTTGTTGGCCTGGTAGGCCATGGCGGCTGGGACGTTGGAGTTGGCGCCTGCGGTGGTCAAGAAGACGCCGAAGTATCGGACAGCGGGGCTTTTGGCGAAACCCATGATGGGGAGTCCGATGAGGCACAGGACCATGTTGAAGATGATGATGGGGCCGCGGATCTTGTACTTGTCTCCCAGGTAGCCGGTAGTGTACATGACGATGGCAGCGAGGGCGTATGGAGGGGCGACTGCTCTTATCAGTATCGTGTATTACGGCTGTGAACATGCTTTGACTCACCTAAACATTGAGATGTACCAACATCAAAGCCCATGTTCCTTGTGAGAATGATGGGGAGGAAGTAGGCAAGGGCGTAAGTGACGGTTGTGGTGTTGAAAAAGATCTACTCGAGTTAGGAGATGATGGGAGGAATAGGAGGAGAAACTTGCCATTGCATAAACCCAGATCTTTGGGTCTGTACCAGCGCGGAAGAACTTGGCAGAGGAGAACGGCTCGGGTTTCGCATCGCCACGATCCCTATCAACACGTTCGATGATGAACCTGGCTTCGCGCTCGGACAAGAACTTCCAGGATTTATGAGCCTTATCAGGGAAATCGACCAAGAGCCAGTAGCCAGCAATTCCGAGAGCGCAAGTCAATGCTCCCTCGATGGCGAAGATCCAACGCCAGCCTGCCATGCCCTGAAGGCCATGCATCTGCATCAACTTGAAGAGTGTTAGCGAAGGTCCAGGTGTATCATTCCCGTAGCTCACTTACGCCATAAGCCAAAATTCCAGCACAAGCCGATGCCAAACTGCCAAGAATGTAGAAAACCGAGTATCTCTTTCCCACGTCGTAACGAGTGTACCATGTGCTAAGCAGATATACACAGCTTGGGAAGAATCCAGCCTCGAGTATGCCCAAAACAATGCGAAGGGCGGCCAGAGATTGCCAATCGTGAACGAAGCCCATGCCAATCATGACAGCACCCCATGCAACCACAATGGCGGATAGGAAGTTCCTGGGACCGAGTTTGCGAACTAAGATGGTGGCGGGGGGTTGGAAGACGATGTAGGTGGTGAAGAAAACCAATGTGACGACCGAATAGCGGGAGACGGTGCCCATCAAGACTTCGAGTTTCAATTCCTTGGTCATTCTGGTCTCCGGTTAGCAGATGCTCCGTGTGGTGTAGAATTGATCATGTGTATGTGTGTCACGGTGGTACGGACCCTGCAATTGCGGCGGCGGAAAGATTGGTTCGGTCCATCAGACTGATACAGTAGAGAACGCCGACGGTGACGACAAGACGTCGATCAATGCGATGAATGATGGCGCGCTGCTCTTTGGGTGTGAATTCGCTCTCGAAGCCAGTGTCATGGGAAATGTTGGTGGGCGAGCGCTCCACATCTTCGGTCATGCCAACAGCCTCCTTCTCAACTGGCCCGCCATGGGCGTTGTGTATCGCCATGGTTGATTATGGCTATGGGACGAAAGAGGGGGTGTGGGAAGGTATCAATATGGCGTGGGGAGGGTGTATATGCGCGTGAAGAGGAATGGCGGTGAGGAGAGGAAAGAGGAAAAAGTAAGGAAGAAAGAAGGAGTTATAGAAGGGAAGGAGGAGGGAGAGAGGGAGGGAGATTGGAGTATGGCGATGTAACGAAAGCGGAGTGGAGTGGACGTGACGATAGACTTATATTTATGGTTGGATCAATAATGAAAGATGGAATTGGGATCGGGCATTATTGTTAGCTGAGTTGAGACGAGTTACGCTGTCCCAGTCCGGTCAAGGCGATATGAAATGGATGGATGGCTGGATGACAAGTCTTTCTTCTTTTTTCTTGTTCCCCTCCTCACCCTGTCGTTACACTGAATTGGATGCCAAGGGTGCAGGCATTGGGTGCACGCGCGTGTGTGTGGTCATTATGGGCTGTGGTGTGTGAGGCAAGGGTGTGTAGGTGAGCGCCTGTGAAAGGCTGACGAAGGAGGAGTAGGCGGAGAGGAATGATGGGCAGGGGCTACGACAGCTGGGGAACCATCATCAATCTCCCCAATAGGCGAGCGCCATTGGAAGACAGCGCCACGCCACGAGTGCTGGATAGTGGATCGTGGAGGTTTGGAAGCGATGGAAGAGATGGAAAATTGGAAAGATACCGAGGCAGGTTGAGGTCGATTGTTGGATCTCTCCACAAAATGCGGAGGAAGGATCGGAGGGGGGAACCACATAGTCGCGGAGGATTGACCCAAAGTCGATTAGAGGGAGGCGGCGAAGAGCGAAGGCGTTGGGGTTAATGTTGGAAAGGGAGCGAGACCTGGGGTAGCGGGACTCGGGAACGGCAAGGGTATGACATGATAATGATGGGGACGGATACGGGCATACACAAAGGAACAACGGACCAAAAACCTGGGGGAGGAGTCGTGAGACTACGAGGTATTTCCAAGATAATCACAAGACGAGAGCAGAGTAGATAGGAGTCTGGAGTTTGTGGTATTACTCGTGGTCTGATTTAAGTTCAGAGGAATTCAGATTGGGGACGTGGATGACAATGGGAACATGGGTGACATGGACGAAAACGTGGATGAGAAGGGGGACAATACGATAACCAATTATAATGTTTCTTTTGATCATTATCAGAACCATCATTATTATATCAACTACACTTTTGATTATGGTGAGATTCTGATAGACTTTTCTGTTCAGTTCAATCCAGTACTTGGAGATACAATGATGCTGATATGGGTATTGTATGGTACAGTATGTCTATACTCGTAATGTGGTATGGGCCGTATGGTATGGTATGTTATGACTGTATGAGGGAGATACGGAAGACCTCCGCTACTCGTAATGGTGGATGATGGGCTCTTAGTGGACGCGGGGCCCCGTGCCAAGACAAAGCCACGGGATGACTAGCCACCCACTAGTATCCTATCAGTAACATACTAGTAAGATACGGGTTAGATAACCCTTGAACAGTAAATACTACACACATGGCCTGAGCAATCGTCCCCCATATTCCCCGCCCTTTCAATTCTCCCTTTTCCCTTACACTTTCACTTTCATCATTCACACAGTGAGACACAATCTCTCCACTACACAGTATGACTCTCTCTCTCCGCACTCTCTCCACACTCTCGGAGCACACTCTATCCTCATCCGTTCCCCGTAACTATCCATAGCTCATCACTCTTCCCCATATCCGTCCCGTATCTATCCGTCCAATACTCCACTGATCCTCGCCCCTACGATTACCAAGTATCCACCCATCTACTCGTATGTACTATTGTACGAGGCCCGAGCCCGAGTACGAAGTGACAACTACACCTTAATTTACACTAACCTTTACGAAGTACATCATATTCAATATCAGTGTGATTATCATCATGGCTCCAGACGCCTTTGCAACATCATTTTACCATATGATAGAAGTAACAGACAAACCTACTTACATTCTCAATGTTTAGGCCACGCAAAATACTCAGCCATCTTCTCGGAGCAAACCCTCCTTATTGAATAGTACATATCACTCATGCACTCACTGTCTCCACTCTTATACGCTCCATTTCATACATCATACACCGCACCCTGCATACTACTCGTAGCACACTCAAGGTTCCAGACTTGGGCTCTGACATCGCCTTCATCAGCAGCAACTATCTTAGGTGTTGTTTCTACACCTACACCTACACCTACATCTAGTTGTATCAGCGGACCGCATGACCAGATACCAATCCGGTAACCTTCGCCGTGCCTCGGTGTCGGGAGCTGCACCATCACCGCATCATACACGCTTTGCCGCCCCTCAGTCGCCGTTTCGTCAATGCCCCTCCTCGACCATCCCTCATTTCCCATTTCATTTCTATCTCGCTACTCTTTGACTCCTCCGAACTAGTGGTCGCTGGAACAATGGCACTTGCATTTTGTAGAATCAGTAGGTGCGATAGGCCATGACCATGCCAGATCAGCGATAATAATGCAAGTGGTGGGAAAATAATCGTGATCCAGACCCAGACGCAACCGAACCAAACAAACAAACCAAAATCACATCCTAACGTGTCCAGTGCACTATCTCATTTCCGCACTCGTGGAACTGGCCTTGGGTACGGCCGATCCTAGGAGGATTGGCTCCCCTGGAGATCTCGAGATCCAAGCCCTTGTCAGATCTGCTGTGCTGTGCCTCACACCGAGGTGCCTCCTCACCACTGTGGTAATGGTAACGACATATCAGTATGCACCCCACACTCTCATCACGCAGGGATCCAGGCAGAGACATCACCTCACATGTAGGGCTCAACATCCCAGCCTCCCAACGACAACATATCATCAGGAACCAACAATAAACAACGAATCTGCAATCAATAAATCTGCCCCTTATCGTGCCCGCAGGAAGCTTATCCCTGCCCAAGAGGCTCGTTGATGCCATCTCAAGACTTTCTTCTGCATGGCCGATTTCGTCCTATGAGAATGCTCCTTTCCAAAAGCATACCGAGGCTCATCCTACTTAAACCAACCAGCCTCACCCTCTCGGTCCAAACCTACTGCTGCCATCCGCCATCATGCAATCGCTTGCACCCGTATCTATTGTTGGAGAACACAACATTTCCCATCATCTAGATCTCGCCCGGCTCAACAACAACACCACCACTTCCTTCTAACCCAATTTCCCCCGAGCCGAGGCAGAACAATCGTCTAGGCATCCTCTATCTGACACAGCTCGATAATGAAACGGAACCGTGAGTGAGAACTCGCATCGAAAAGAGAAAATGAGAAACAGTACGGCACAGCACATCCGCCTTTGTGACGAAAACAATCATTCTCTCCCCACGAATACACTCGAAGCCCCCGTACGTGGCAACCTCGAGAATGCGACCCACAGCGCCAAAGCAACGCTAGTGAAAACGATGATTGCATACACAAACACTCCAATGCCCCATCCCTGGACGCAGGCGCCGATGGCGAACGGGAGCAGCGCGCCGCCGACCTGGCCCAGCGACGCTACGAACGATACGGCGGCGACGTGCAGGTCCCTCGGCAGCAGTCGAGCCAGCACCACGATGCCAGAGGGGAACATGGGGCCCATGAAGAAGCCGAGCAGGGCGACCAGCACGTTGGATGCTCCTGCCGGCTTCCGTACGACGGCGAACAGCAACTCTAGCATAATAGCAATAAGGAGGTAGCCAGTGGTTGCGCGCCTCACGCCGATCCTGTCCGTCACCGTTCCTAATGCCAGACGGCCTATTGCCATGCCCACCCAGAATCCGGAGGCCGAGAGGCTTGCAAACGAGGGCGAGACGTGACGGTCCCGCGTCATGTATGACACGAGCCAGCCAGATATTGCCGTCTCGGTGCCAACGTAGGCTAGAAAGTAGAGTGATGACACCCACGTTGCTGCGTAGTTGAACATCGCCCTGGTGTTACGGCTGCCCGTGAGCGATGAGGAAGCGTTCTTGGACTCATGATATTTCGCCGCATTCTGTCTCCGGAAGGCGAGCGGGAGGACAATGAGTTCTGTGATTGAGATCACTGCCTGCGTAATTGGTTAATTTGTTGTTCGATTGATCCATTGATGCAGTGATGCCGATATCCTAGTCCTCGGGTGATGCCTTCCTTCCAACAACCTAACGTTTCCAGACCAGACCTATCCTAACCATTTCATCTATGTACTCACTTACCAAAGCAGAATACCATTGATACCAAGGCCTCCCCCCCGTCGTCATGAGTAAATCACAGAAATACGGCCCCGCCGACGCCCCGACCGAGTACGACCCATGCAGCAACCCAGACACCGTATTCGCATTCCTCACGCTGCCCGCCCACGCACACCATGACCCATCAAGCAAGCCCGTACCCACAGCAATCAACGCATACGCGACGAGCACGACGCCGAAGTGCGGATGGCACGCGATGGCAAGCGCCGCGAGGACGTGGAACGCGGGGCCGATGACCGCGATGCCACGCTGGCCGAAGTGCGAGTGGATGAGCGAGTTGCACTGCGCAGCCAGCGTGTAGCCGACGGGTCCCACGAGGAATATGCAGGATACCTGGATGTCGCTGAGGCCGTAGTGCTTGGAGATGGGCTGCAGGATCACGCCGATGGTCGAGTTGAAGAGCCCCAGGACGATGAAGGAGAACATGGCGCCGCTTATCTGGAAGAGGAGGGTCGATTGGGTTTCTTCTTCAACCCATTCTGGCGGAGAGGTGGAGAGTGGAGTGTCGGATTCATATTCAGGCTGTTGTTGTTCGGATGGAGCTGTTTGGTCGCGACGGAGTAGTGGTGACGTCTCTTCTATCGAAGTCGACATCTTGGGCGTAGACGAGATGACAAGGTCGCAGATGACAGCTCAAGATAACTCTTTACTCTTCTCATACAGACAAGACACCGTTCTACATACATCAATGTACTTCCTCACAATAGCATACACAACATCGCAGAGTTACACGATCATCGACGAAACGTCGTGGATGTTAACTACAGTATGCGTGTGCCGTCGGGTCGATGATCGTCCTCTCGCGCCGACTTCCCACCAATCACGCGTGCTGCCTTAACCCCAGAGTAATGTCCCTGGGCCGAGCTGGGGCTGGGGGCCGCGGGGCCACGAGAGCTTTCCACCGGATCGGGTCTGGTAACCGCATTTGGGGATCGTACATCGGCTTTCCTCTGTCTGCGGGGTGGGAGGTTGATTGTTACAGGAAATAGCATAGCTCAAGTGACCGTGGGTTGGGCTCATGGTTTTTTTGGAGTTTAGGTGGAACGATGAGGAGGGGGAGTTAAGGTACATGCTATTGAGTAATTTATGAGTAGGTATGTACGGCGATTTGCGACGATGTCCTCTGTTTAATGGTTGGTTTATGATGGTACTTTGTGCCATGTTATAGAATGCATATCTATATCGGGAAAATCATATTCAAAATCTTTTTGACCCATATCAACCACACAATCATAAAGCCTGAACACACGCGAAGTTTCATCTAATATATTACTCGTACTTCTATTTCCTTAAGTCCAAGCGTAACCTTTTCTTGCTCTACCTCTTCTACTCCTCAAACCTTCCCCCCTTACTAACATCCGGATAAACATCGAACCTTCTCTGCGTCACGACTGGAATCCCCTTCCTGACCTCCTCGATCCTGCCCGCCTTCAACTCGCTCACCACAATCCCCTCCTTATCATCCAACTGCTCCAGCACCTCTGCATTCGGATCCACCACCAAGCTATGGCCCCAAGCATTATAATCCGCACCCATATCCCTCGCGGGACTACACAACCCCACATACACCTGATTATCGATCGCCCTTCCGCGCGCAAGTAGCTCCCAGTGCAGCGCCCCCGTCGTGAGGTTGAACGCGCCCGGGTAGAGCAGGAGGAAGGCGCCTTTCCGCGCCGCGATGGTCGCGAGCTCGGGGAACCGGATGTCGTAGCATATCGCGATGGCGATCTTGCCGTACTCGGGGAGGTCGACGATTGTGATTTTGTTGCCCGGGGTCAGCACCTCGGATTCTTTGAAGGTGATCTTGCCGGGTATGTCGATGTCGAAGAGGTGCACTTTGCGGTGCGTGGCGAGGAGTTCGCCCGTGGGGCTGAAGGTCAGGCTGGTGTTGTAGAGGGTCTCATCTGAGGGTTTTCCGCTCCCGCTGGAAGAGGGGGAGGCGACGCGCTCTGGTATGCTGCCGCCGACGAGGTAGACGCCGGCTTCCTTTGCGAGCGCGGAGAGCGCGTGGAAGCTTGGTGATTGCTCTTTGGTGGGTGGGGACGGGAGGAGCGTCTCGGCGTACTGCGAGAAGTATTTGGTGCCGTAGGGCGAGTTGAAGCACTCTGGGAGCACGACGATGTTGGCGCCTTGCTTGGTGGCTTCGAGGACTTTGGTGCGCGCGTGCGACAGGTTATGTGCCTTGTCAGATGTGCTGGCCAATTGCACGAGCGCGAGCTTTACGGACTTCTTGAGGAGCTGCGACATGTTATCTGATGTCGGGGTCTAGGGCGGGGTGTAGTGGTGGAGAGGGCAGACTGCAGGATTAAGTACCTGGAAAGGCCTGAAGGTGGACGCCATCGCGACGGCATATAAGTGCGATGATGCTATGAGGGAACGGTCTCTGGCTCCGACGACGGCGACGCCTATCGATCGGCATTTGTTAAGCCGATGGCCGCCGCACGATTACAACATTCTAGCTGATCCATGTGCCATCTAACCGTTTCCAGAGACTTGTCAACCCCACCATATAAAAACCGACATATTTGACAGTATGAGAGTTCGCTGGTGTTTAAGGAATCGCATACCACCATACCGATTTATGCTAGAGGTCAATTGGGAACCACATGCTTTGTTTGAATGAGCCCATGATATCAAATTTCATAGTTGTATTGCTTGCTAGCTAAAGACTTAGGCATGTGTGCATTGGAATCCCTTCAATCTCATCTCGGGTATTTGTGGCCTCCCAAACCTATTCCAGTAGAATTACAAAAAAAGAGAAACCATCTCATTAAATCCATCGAATTCCAATGACTATTGAGTCCTGCCATCAAACCGGATGCAGGAAAGAATTTTGTAGGCTACCACTCCAGCATACTGTCATGTTGCCAAATCGCGATATTGCACCGCAGAACTCCAAGAAAGAGCCGAAGGTCACCGTCTGAACGGTAACCGAAATGAATTTGCTCGGCATGCCATGTTGTTTCCAGTAGTAAACATCCACCGATCTCATTTCCTCAACGTGAGGAAGCATCCAGCAAAGAGGCCGCCAAGCCTATTCTTTAAAGAGATCCGTTCAGATGCATGTAGGTAATGGGCACGATGATAGCGATGACAATGCCAACATTGACGATGATACCGGCGTAAGTGGCGACCTGTTTCGGGCGTGGAGCGCAAGAGCCGAATCGCCCCTTGGTAAGCTCAGTGATGACCAAGTCTCCGAGCCAGCGGTACAAGATGATCGCAGGTGGGAACAGGCAGAACAGAGCAAAGATACCCCATGACAAGTTCCAGCGAGTCACCTCGTCGGCAGGATTGCAAGCACGCTCAGGGCAAAGGAGATGAGGGGATTCCTTGCTCGCGACAGGCCCATTTCGAAGTACACTCAAGCTGTAGTGGGTAGGGAGTCCTCGAAGCGGCGTGTGGGTATTGCTAGACGATGGTCGTTCACTTCCACCCCTACTATGGAAATTCGAAAATTGGTCGCTTCGGCACGTAGAGATCGTTCTTGCATCGGACGCTAATACCATTTCCCGGAGTTTGGTCTGTCCAGCAACAGCAGAGCGATTGCGTCCAGCAGCGGAGTGCATTGAACGAGAAACCGATGGACGTTTACCAGATCTTCCTAACAAAGTCCTCATGCGGTGATGAGAGGGGAACAACGTTTCCTGCGATGGTGATCTCTCGTGTTCTTCAGGTGTCCATCTGGGCTGCCCTGCACCATGTATGGGAGTGAAACTGGAAGTACAATCTGACTCAATGTAGAATTCGGAACCAGAACGCGGGCTTCGACGAACTGGCTCGGTTTGCCATGTTGCCCCGGGGCTACTGGTATTAGCAATGCTACTGCCGACCGCGTGCATTCCTGTTCCGCCAGGCGATCCAGTCAAGTTCACCTTGGAGCCAAGTACCGTGAACTTTTCGAAGGAATTTGCAAATTCACCTCCCCGACTAGCACGACCAGTACCACGTCCGTCGAAGGGTGAGGACGATAGATCTCCAGTACGAGAATATCCCTCTACATCATCGTAAAGGATGTCATCATTCGGCCCCGAGATCAGCAATTCTCGAGTTTCTTTCTCACTCAATGTATAAGGGCTTGTCGTGGGCCAAGGAAACTGCCTCAATCCAGAGGTTGTGTAGTCTTCCACCCTGTTGAGGCCGGACCCTCGGGCCAGTGGAGAATTAGAAAAATGTGGTGGACTCGACGGCAGCAACAAAGACCGCGACTGTCTGGGAGTTCCAATATGATTAGTTTCGTCACTTAGGACCGGAGGACTGGAGCTGAAAGGGTTGTCGTGGGTAGCTATTGGGCTTGGGTGCCGATACAAGGATGAGTCCTTTCGGAGCCCATAAGCTTCCTCGGGGAAGGGGAGCGAGCCTTTGGGCGACATCTGGCATACCGATCGAGAGCCCTCAGAGCTACTGTAATCCGCAATGCTGGAGCCGTCAGACACATGGGATCTGCGGCTGCTAGCTTCAATAGTCTCCCATTCATCTTTTCCATCTCCGGGGGCGGCCGATTCCTCCTGCAACATGAGGTCGTCTGTGCCACGTTTGAACCATGCTGATGGCGTTACGTTGTAGCGTCCCTCGAGAGCTGCTTCTTCAAAGATCTGCTCAGCTTGTATAAGTGCCTCTTCCGGGGTTCTGGAATTGCTCGGATCATCGCCTTGAGAATAGGAAGAAGAAGCTGCAAGGGTGTTGAGCGTCATCATCTTCTGAGAATCCCCCATATTGTCTTTGGTAATGTTTCGTGGTGTCTGAAGTAGAGCACGAGTGTCGCCATAGGACGATGCTGACATCATGTCCGAATTAGTCGCTTGGGCGAATGCTGTCTGAGCTGCGTGACGCTGCGGAGAAAGCAGCTGTGGAGCAGAATCCAGTGGAGGAGGACCTGGCCCTCTAGTGGTATCTACGACCTCGGGATGATTGGTAAGGTATTGCATATCATAGATACCACTGCTGCTTGCAGGTTGCGCCCTTGCAGCAGGAGAATCTGCAGTGGCCTTCGATGCGGGAAGAGGGTCATCAAATGGGGAATTACCATTGCCCATCCCGAGATCCTGTCTATACTCTGCAATGAGCCTGCTGATTGTGTCGGTCTTCTCTTCACTCGTGCGAACTTCTGACGCAATGGAACCGAAATTTTGTACGTCCTTCCTTGGTGTTGCATTGCCAATGGGGGAGTATAGGCTTGGGCCATCATTTACATTTCGGATGGCCAGTGGCTCACTAAGTCGGCTGATCCTTCTGCTGGCTCTTTGGGAAAGCAAGCCAGATAAGCCATACTCGGAATCCTGGTCATAGACGGATGAGCTGGGGTAGATGGAGACCTCGTCATAATATGGACGGTGATCGGGATCCGTCATGGCTGTGGAGAGTCGGTCACCATTTGCGCGTCCCATCTGGCTAGAGGGTTCGTCTGGAATCATTGAAGTAAGAGGCAGAGAATAAGAATCTTCAAAGGGTCCGGAATCATCATCGGCAGCAACCAAGGAAGGATCTCGGATCGTGTAGGCACTGCCGATAAGAGGTTGATCGGACGCTTCCGTAATGTCGCTAGTGTGCTGCGAACGTGCAAACCCTCCATGGGTATTCGAGGTTGCTACCGAGTTCTGGGAAATTCGTGGCTGTCTCAATTCATATAGTTCCTGTTCCTCAACTGCGCCTCCATGCTCCATTTTCCTGGTGAAGGTCCGTGTAAGCTGCTTCAAGGGAGCCAACTGTTTCAGCGAGAAACGAGATTCCGGGGAGCGCTTGCCGAAGTCGTGAATTGAGGCAAGCGATCTGGCATGATGGTCGACTGGGGAAAGACTATCACGGCCCGATCCCAGAGGAAGCCGTGCAGCTGGAGGACTGCAGATGTCCGGATCGGTAACTTCATTTTCTTTTTTGGCTATCGAATTGAAAGCAGATGAAAAGTCCTCGAAGAGGCGGCCACGCGCAGTCATGTCCTAGTAGAACATCAGAAACGGTCAGAAAACCATGATTAGAAAATACTATACGTTATGATCGAGATGAAATCGATCCGCAGACACGCTCAATGGAAGATATTCGGTCGAGTCGAAACCGCGTGACGGTGTTTCAATATCATGAAGAAGCAGCGAATCGTGTGGATTGATCAAGTCGAACGAGGTGCCACGATAATGAATGACGGCAGGAGTAGCTGGCGGGGTCACTGGAGCAGTGGATGCAAAGCTTCTCTCGTGTTGTTGCGGCCGGTCAAAATTATCGTCTGGAGGCGAAAGCGGCGCGTGGATCAAATGCGGAGGGCGAGGAAACAGTGACAAAGAAACGTTTGAAGACTCTGTACGTGCACCGCACGATAGCAGATTGTCGGTCGAAGAAGGTGACGAAGGTGTGAGAGAAGAATGTTGCTCAAAAGGCAATTTGTAGACGGGGAGGGTGGGAGAGGTTGGCAGAGGGGGTTTCAAGGGCTTTGGTAACCTTTTTATCGGCTTCCAATTGCCTACCTTTGACTCGACGAGATTCGAGCGATGAGAGAAAGTGTCTGGCTTGTTTCTCCAAGCAGCAGTGCCGAATGGCTCGGCTGATTGTGATCTGAATGGACTATCGAGCAAACCAGTGGATGCTGATGCCTTCGGAGACGACTCGTTGGTGTCGTAAAGTGAGGTTAGTGGAACAGCGGAGCGAGATGGTTGGAGCCTCTGAGAAGGAGGGAGGTAATTCTGCGGTGGGATCCGGCGAGCCAAAGGTGCGTACTCAAGCTCATTGAGAGCGGGAGCTGCAGCCTTTCTTCGAAGCCTTCTTCCAGGAGGAGGATTGGCGGGCACTGCAGTGTCGTGTTGTTGTTTGCGATACTCGTGGAGGGTGAGGGGAGTGGTGGTTCGAGATGGAGCAGTACTGCCAAGTGAAGGGCGAGGTGAGTGAAGGAGAGGTGTTGGATCCACGTCTCCTATGGAGTGGCGAGAAACGCGCGATTGCGACACCTTCACCGCCATCTTGACGACTTTTGTTCTCACTGGGACTTGCGAGCTTTACTTCCAGATGGCCTGTGAAACCTATGTGCCTGGGGTTTGGCTGACTGACTCTTTACTAGATAGCTTCGATGTCCAAGACGAAACCCACGTACAATTCGGACAATCACCATATCGTGTGCATTTTGATCAAGGCGAGGCGAGACGTGCACGAGCGAGATGCATTATGACATTGTCTTCCGGACGCGCAAAAAGGCCCAAGGGGAAGTACGCCGTGTGCGGAAAAGACCGTTATGGATGTCGATAAGTGCCCAGGATGATGTTCTGAATGAATGAAGCGGGTGTCGTGATCCACACAATTCGTTCGAGTTTTCACAGCAGGAGAGTTGATATTAAGGATTAAACTTGGACTTGGGATACGGTGGAAGATATCAGGATGAGAGAGAGTGGCCTGTTTCTATATCTTTCTGGTAGTTCTTTCCGGCTGTGTTTGTATGGCCCGGTACGTTCCGTTTGAGGAAGGAAGTTGCACTTTGACGTATCGAATGGAACACAAGGAGTGACGAGGAGGTCAATTAAGAAAGGAATATGGAATATGAGCGAAGGCAAGAACAAGGAGAAGATTTGAATGAACTTTGGGAATGGCCACGGCGAGAAAGAGAAGAAAAGAAAAGGGTGTGGAGAATGGAAGAACGAGAGAAGACACAAATAGAGAGGATTCAAGACACATGACGAGTACTACTACAACTACTTCAAGTACTCCACCCCTACCTCCTTCTTCCTTCCTTCTCCCTACTACCTCTATTTACGATGAGGGTGGCCCATGGACTGGGTCATTGCTAGCTCACAAGGACCGCTATTCGTATTGTGTCAGCAGCAAGTAACATTTGGATATGCGAATCAGGTTGCCGTTTCTATGGTATAATCAAGATTCCACCCAGTAGTAGTCCGCTAGAGGCCCCGAGCTGTCATCGGAGTTGTCCCGAGCTCTAATCTCTGGGACCGGGAAGGGCGAATGGGTGGATTGGCGATGGGAGAGAGAAATGGAAGAAATGGGAGGAAAATGGGAGAGAAAGTCGGATGGAAGGTTTTGTGTGGTTGATGTTGTTGATGCTGTCAGGTTAGTGGCAGGTAGGGTTCGTTCCTTCTGACCAATCACGTCCCACCAACGCGCCCAGCTGAGAGACCCGGAAATGGGACCTCATGGACTCGTCTGTCTGTGGCGACGACCCTCTGCCAGTCGTTCACTTGCCGCAACCTCCGCTGACACCACACTACACCTTGGCCTGTACCTGTTTCTTTAATCCCTACGAGTGCTTGCACTTCTTCCCACATGAACCTGAACCGTTGAAAGACACATGTAAAGTAAATAAGCGTTATGATCCATCTGCCTGTCGTGTACGTCGGTCGTGTCAACCCTCGTCATGTGTCTTTAATACCGTTGATATTAGAAACGTATACACGGTTCTACGTACCGTGAATGATGATAGGTACTTTATTTAGTATCATTATCGTTAGGATATCGAATATATACTCTACGAAAGATAAAGGACGAGGTTATTTTATACGGCTCTATACCAAGCAAGACACTTCTGGCTCACACTTCCCTCGTCTTTAAACATCCCTCTGATAACCTTTCTGACCTCTCGTTACGTTGACTTGCTCAGTTTTAATTCTTACCAACAGGCATCTAATCGAAGTTATCGCTCACTCAATGGATTGCGCCCAATATCTACCGCCCGAAACCCACGAACTTCGTCCTTCAACTCATATCGTCTTTGTCTTCGACGTAAGGTACCATTTCTCGCATCACCCTCGTTAGGTATAGGACTCAAATGCCGATCTATTCGCGTCCATGCCGCGAAAGGGGGATTCTCATACACCACTCGCACATTGGCTGCTTCTGGTATCACAATTTGACTGTTCGCGTTGGTATAATGCATGCAATCCCTTCGGCAGCCTCTATTGTGGCCGTCTGGCCACCGAATTGGATCCCGAGCTCTATCTGGAGGATCGTGACCCGGCCAAAGCTCGTCTAAAGGGTCGGGATCCCGGGTGCCTGGTCTGTTCGGACTCGAGATTGCCTAAGGTTCAACGTGTCAGTCATTTAGTGTACGGCATACCGTGAAACTGCTGCCCACTTACATTAGTCGGATAGGTGGTCCCTGGCATAGCAACATACTCTTCCAGCGGGCGTGGCAGATCTGCAAAGTTGAAGCCTCGACGCGAATGAATCGGAGAAAACTTTTGGCCAATATCGGTCCTGAAACTTATCGCACGGTCCTGGGTGGGCATGAATTTGGGTAGGTTCTGGTACCACTGAGGGAAATCGCCAAACCACCCTTCGATCTTCGGGTCCACATCCACGGAGAGATATACGTCTCTCACTGAGCTTGGTTTATGAACGAGAAGCACAAAGTCGAATTCACGAGGCAATCCAGATCGCTGGAGGAGGTTCTCTTCTAAAGTCCACACTGCCATTGCATCCTCGACATCAAAATCGGGGCCTAGTGGGCTTTGCAACGATCGGAGTGAACCCTGGATGCTCATCATATCATAGATCTTGTAATTACTCTGCAAACCACCGGATGGATTCAAGGTTGCTGCTATGGGTGCTTGGGAGATGCCTAGTGAACTGGACAGGCTGAAGTTCCATTGCAGATCTTCTGGAGATATGGCTCCATACATGAGCTCAGGTGCGTGACCCAGGATCCTTGGATGGTTTGAAGCTGGCCTAGAGCTATGACGGGGGATTCCAGTTTTGCCAACATCTGTGTCCGGATTGGCATGGACGCCAACGCGGATGACCGCAGAACGGATGCGATGAGATCGATGGTCGTGAGCGTGGAAGACGAAATGAACGGAGACGAAGTAGACGTCATCCAGTGCGGGCTCGTGAAGCAAGTCACTCCGATAGTAGCCACGTTGTAGGCGATTCACGTGTGCCGAAATGAACGCATTCCCCGGAAGGGTACGCTCATATAGGCATTTCTGATGAAGGCGAAGCCGGCGCAAGGGCGCATTTGCGTCTCGTTCATATCCACGAGAAGCGCGTTCTTGAGTAGAGTTGCTTCGTCCGACTGGTCTCTCCGGTGCACCTGTATCAACCGGCCTTTTCCCGCGTTCGGTCCGTGAAGTCATCGGGGGAGGAAGACGGATGATAGTCAGTACTCTATAACGATGAATGTTGAAATGGTTATATCCGTGGTAGAAGATGCGTGGGTTATTGAGTGGCAGTCATGACACAAGCCGACACTACGGTGAGTTGTTAATGAGTCTCTGTCTTCTGAAAACACTAGGCATCATAGCAATTCGGTGGACAGTCACGTCGGTGGCCATGCACCTTGGTGTGGCTCACGCGCCCGTACATGACCGCCAATGTCTCACAAGGCAAGTGGGATGGGTGTCAGCATTTGAGATGCCGGATTCTGTCTACTCTGGCAGATGATCCTTTTCTAGAACGTTTTGGTGGTTGATTTGTGTAGGACGAAGAAGACATGATACGGATTCGGGCGTCATATATGGCCAAAGGGTATCCAACTATATCGATGGTCTGCTGTTCTTGGAAGGTCGTGTCTTATGGGTGGAGGACGGATGAGGTGGGGGAGTGAATAGCACTAGGGCCTGAAGGGGAAGGGCGGGTAGTACTTGTTATAATTCTTCTTACGCCATTAATTGGTGGCTGCCTCTGGTTGCTCTTATCAGCAGCCTTAGGCCTTAGGCATCTCTTATCGCACACATGAAGAGACAGTATGAGGGTTTAACAGTCCAGCCTAAAGCAAAGATGCTCATGGCCGTTAAATGCCACACAACGCCCTTACTGTGATTAGTCCAGGCTAGCTAGGAAACGGCGGGAGGGGTCTTCGTTCTCATAGCTCTACTTTAGACCTACCCGTATCTACTCACCTACCTACTTCCATCTCTCTGTCAACTCAATTCCTCGTTGCCTTGTTTTGGGAACCAGACTTGTCCATCTCATCCTTGAGCCTCTTCTGCCAAGTCTGCAGGGAGTCGAGACGAATTCCCAAAGTTGCCTAGCGTATATCTCACAACATCAGACGAGAGGGACGTACAGACGTCCGACAGTCTGTACCATGCAATTGTGCCCCAAGGAGGTGGGTACCACCATCATTCGGTGTTAATCTTCAATTCAATGTCAACTTTCTTACCGCCACAATCATGACTGCGATCATGGGCGTCTTTGTGGCTTTCTGACCTTCTTTGAATTGTCCTTCGACTCGTTCTACCAGTCATTCGCACGCGACCCACTACCCCGCTAACGTTTCGTCATCCCTGTCCCAGCTCGACAAGCTCGTCATATCGCAACTCGGAGTCCTTGCACAACGTCGTCTTGCTCGAGGCGTCAAGTTGAACCACGCAGAAGCTACAGTCAGTCCTTCACGGCCTTACATGTTACTGTAGATTACTCATTGCACCACAGGCCCTGATTGCAAACAATCTCCAAGAAGTATGAGCTTCTCTATCTCCGTCAATGCCCTCCCCGAAATCATCCTACTGAACTTTTCCAGCTCGTCCGTGATGGCAACCATACAGTCGCAGATCTCATGGCCATTGGCAAGACCATGCTCGGTCGCCGCCATGTCCTTCCATCCGTCGTCACGTCGCTGTCTGAACTCATGATTGAGGGCACTTTTCCCTCTGGCACATATCTTGTCACAGTCCACCATCCCATCAGTAGCGATGATGGCGATCTCGAAAGGGCTCTCTATGGATCTTTCCTCCCCGTACCCTCCAACGACCTGTTCCCCCTACCGGAAGCGGCTCTGTACGAGAGTACGAAACAGCCTGGCGCCGTCATCGCCGTGAAAGGCGAGGCGGGTGTGATCAGATTGAACGAGGGGCGCAACAGGATCAAACTTAGGGTGAAAAGCACTGGGGATAGACCCATCCAGGTACGCGTCTGCTTCTACGATGGCGGTCAAAGAATGGAGCTTACAATTGCGTCACTTTAGGTCGGCTCCCATTACCATTTCGTGGAAACGAACCCCCAGCTATCCTTTGACCGCGTCCGAGCCCATGGTTATCGCCTAGATATACCCGCTGGCACTTCCGTCCGATTCGAGCCTGGAGATACCAAGACTGTGACACTGGTACAGATTGCGGGAAAGCAAATCATAAAAGGAGGAAACGGTTTGGCCTCGGGCCACATTGGAGATGTGGAGGTCATTCAGGGATTGGAAGAGCGCATCAAGGCCGCAGGATTCTTGCACGAACCCGAACCGGTTGGAGACCAAGCGCACATCGACATTTGCACCATGGAACGCCAGGCATACCTCAGCATGTTCGGACCTACGACAGGCGACCTCGTCAGACTCGGCGCAACCGACCTGTGGGTAAAGGTGGAGAAAGATATGACAACCTACGGCGACGAGTGCTCCTTCGGTGGTGGCAAGGTGCTGCGAGAAGGGATGGGTCAGGCTGGTGGCCGGTCTGACGCTGATACTCTGGATACTGTCATCACGAACGCGCTAATTATCGACTGGACGGGCATCTACAAAGCTGATATTGGCATTAAAGACGGAATCATTGTTGGAATTGGCAAGGCTGGCAACCCAGATGTGATGGACGGCGTGCACGCGAACCTCATCGTCGGCGCCTGTACAGATGTCATTGCTGCGGAGAAGAGCATAGTGACGGCAGGCGGAATCGATACGCATATCCACTTCATCTGCCCTCAACAGGCTGAAGAAGCAATTGCTTCTGGTATCACGACCATGCTGGGAGGTGGCACAGGACCAAGGTATGTTACTTCATCCATAAGATCGCGAGAACCATACTAACATTTTATCAAGTACCGGCACAAATGCGACCACCTGCACGCCTGGAAAAACGCACATCAGACAGATGCTCCAGGCGATCGACGAGCTACCTCTCAACTACGGCATCACGGGCAAAGGAAACGATGCAGAGCTACTACCTCTCCGCCAGCAGGCCGAAGCCGGCGTCTGTGGCCTCAAGCTCCACGAAGATTGGGGCAGCACGCCCGCCGCCATCGACGCCTGCCTGACAGTCTGCGACGAATACGACATCCAGACGCTCATCCACACCGACACGCTCAACGAGTCCGGCTTCGTCGAGCAAACCATCCAAGCATTCAAGAACCGCACAATCCACACATACCACACCGAAGGCGCGGGTGGAGGCCACGCCCCAGACATCATCAGCGTCGTGGAGCACGACAACGTGCTGCCCTCGTCGACGAACCCCACGCGTCCCTACACGCGCAACACGCTGGATGAGCACCTCGACATGCTGATGGTGTGCCACCACCTCTCCCGCAACATCCCCGAGGACGTCGCGTTCGCGGAGTCGCGCATCCGGGCGGAGACCATCGCGGCGGAGGACGTGCTGCACGACCTGGGCGCGATATCGATGATGTCGTCGGACTCGCAGGCCATGGGCCGCTGCGGAGAAGTCATCCTGCGCACCTGGAACACGGCGCACAAGAACAAAGTGCAGAGGGGCACGCTGCCCGAGGACCAAGGCACCGGCGCAGACAACTTCCGCGTCAAGCGGTACATCAGCAAGTACACGGTCAACCCGGCCATCGCGCAGGGCATGGGACACCTAATCGGCAGCGTCGAGGTCGGCAAGGTGGCTGACCTCGTGGTTTGGAGTCCGCAGAACTTTGGCGTCAAGCCGAAGCTGGTCGTCAAGAGCGGGTTCTGCTCGTACGCGCAGATGGTGAGTATCTCCCCCCTCTTCAAGCATCACAGAAAAAAAACCATATGTACTAACTTTTCGAAAGGGCGATCCCAACGCCTCGATCCCAACCGTCGAGCCCATTCTCATGCGCCCCATGTTCGCGCCCCTCGTGCCCCAAAGCAGCATAACCTTCGTGTCCGCCGCGTCCATAGCCAGCGGCGCGATCGCTACCTACGGCCTGCGCAAGCGCGTGGAGGCGGTCCGGAACTGCAGGAACATCGGCAAGCGGGACATGAAGTTCAACGACGCGAGGCCGAGGATGAGGGTGGATGCCGAGAGGTACACGGTGGAGGCGGACGGGGTGGTGTGCGAGGCGGAGCCGTCGGAGACGTTGCCGTTGACGCAGGGGTATTTTGTGTACTGAGGAGTTGGATGTGGTTGGGGCTGTTGGGTAGGCAGTTGTTGGGATTGGAGATGTTGGTGTTGATGTGCTATGCTGTTTTACACGCTACGTTGGAGTATATCAAGCGCCATACTACGTATCTAGGTAGAGATTGGATGGAAAAGAAAAAGAAAGGAAAAACAATCAAGCGCGTTCCTCAAGTACTGTGTTATACTGCTAACTACCTAGAAGTACCTTTATACACCGTAATATAAACCACGAGGATGAGCAGAAGTAATATCATTGAGCAGCTCCTTAAGCACGTGTATATATACCTGTATGTGCACATGTGAGAGCAAGAGAGAGGGGGACACTAGGGCAGCAGTAGTGACAATCCCAAGGGGGTGAGATGGGGATACGGGTAAGGATGAACAGGCGGGGGAACGGGAATGGTAATGATGGTGATGAGATCAGGGTCTCGAAAGGAGGGTTCAGAGAGGGTTCGCTGGGAGAGTAGGGAGGGGGAGGGGAAGTGGGTGACGGAGCGGGAAGTAGAATGGGCAAAGACGGATGAAGGACTGGGACGTGGTCCTGTCTGGCACAGGAGGGTAAGTACGAGCAGTGTGTGTATAACACTGAGGGTGTGCTGTTGGCGATGGCGACGGCGCTGGAATAAGGGTGCGGTGTTGCGTGATTCCTCAGGGGATGATTGAAGTGCGAATAGTGTTATGTCGACATAGGCATAGACACAGGCAGAGGGTGCAGGTGGAGCAGAATTGTTGGAGTGCAATATACCATGTAGTTGCTATAATGCGACACGGTGAATACCGACTAGTAGGAGGAGGAGTAGCAGAGGAGGCCGCTGCCCTAAGGTAGGGGAGAGGGGATAACAACGTAGGTAGACACAGGCATAAAGACGACTATAGACACAAACACATACAGAGAGAGACACGAGATCCAAGTCCCTTGTCTTAGGCTTAGGGGCGAAGACAGAGAGGCTCTGTGGCTCTACACAGTAATGAGAGCAGAAAGTGGAAGGGCGGTTGAGCCAGTGTGGTTGAAAGCAGTTGGTGAGGGCCTTCAAGGGGACAGAAGAGGGGAGGGGAAGGGCAGTCAACCAACCTGTGTGCTCCTACGGCAGATGACCACGACCGCCCAAGCAAAATGCTGTGTCCATGGTATTAGGGGAAGGATGGATCCAACTTCAAAACGTCAAGCGTCAGAGTGTGTAGGTGGGAGGGAAGGTTTGCTACTGTGTGTCCACTACTCTTCACTGTGTAGTCTGAGGACGAAGAGGGAAATTCTCTCCTTGCCCGATCGCTGGCTCACCCACACTCACACTCACACCCACCAAAGTGACCGAACCACGACCACATGCAACCAACTCGGCCTACCAACCAACCGAGCCAGGCCCAGCCCAACCCAACCATCTCTCTACCGTCTACCCTACCGTCGACCTCGACGCGGGTACCCAATGATCTACCGCCTAAACCCAACTCACTCACCAAAACAGTAGGACGCGACTGCTGAGGAAAACAATACTGACTGACAGACAGACAGGCAGACCAAAACAATAACACAACGAGGCCACGCGCACGCGCACAACCTGACCTGATCTGATCTGCCTCGCCCGGCCTGCCCTGCCCTGCCCTGCCCTGCCCTGCCCTGCCCTGCCTGCCCTCCTTCCCTCCCTCCCCTGGCATAACCGCCGACAGCCCGCCGCCGCCCACTTACGTACTCACCCACTTTGGCTCGCTGCCTCTCCTCTGCCTCTCCCTCCTCCCCGTCTCCCCCTCGTCCCTCCAGTCGAATTTTTCTCTTCCTTTCTCCGTCCCCCCTCTGGTTTTGTTGTTGCTCGCACGTCGTCCTCGCCTACGCCGGCGCCTAGCACCTGTTCTACCACCTGCCACCCACCCACCCACCCACCCACCCCGCCCACAATATCGCCAGTCGCTTACCTTGCAACCTTCCCTTACCCTTCCCTTCCCCCCCAACTGCGACCGCCTTTCCTTCGCCCTCTCCTCCCTCCTCCCTCCTCCCTCTCCTCCTCAACACCCCAACTTCAACCTCCTCCTACAACCCCCCATCTCAACCCCATCACCATCCCTCCTTCTATTGTTCATCCCCATCCCCAATCTCCCTCGCCAAACAAATCATGGCAAAGAAGACCCAGAATCACGACAGGGCAGAGGTCCTCGTCTCTATTGAACAGTTCAATCGCACCAGAGACTCGGTAAGTTCATTCTGCTCAACTCTACTCTTGGATACCTTCAGAGCTTCTCTGTTGTTTTCATACCATCACGCGCCCGCCTTTTGGCCTCATCACGCGTTTTCATCTTCCCACAACATCGTACCCCATCCCATGCTATCACATCTCAACAACAATGAGTCGCGTCGCACCGCGCAAAACATCCCCTCTGGATGTCCGTTGCGACCGATCCTCACCGCCACCAACCACCCTTTCTCTATATCCTCACTACTGCGCGGAGAATGCGCGACTTCACATTCGATGTCGCTTCACTGTGCGCATCGTTTAGCGCGCAACCTCGTCGTTCTGCCGTCACATGCGACTCGCATGATACCTCCATGACGCGCATCGCGAAAGCAAACTGCAATCGTCCAGACACAGATACACTAACACGATTCTACAGGTCATCCATGCCCTCACCACTCTGCAGCAGAACCTCACCCATGTCCAGGAGGGTCTCTCCATCCTGCTGCGCGCGTACATGAACCACAGCGCATCGCTTCTTGCACGAGAGGATGGCGCAACCATTGAGAGCCTCCAGCTCCCAGCAAGCCTCATTGCCAATGCCAACGCTGCCGCCGAAGCTGCACAGAATGCAAGCTCGCATGCCGCGCAGGCTGTTGCGTCCACCCCAGCTGCCGGCGCATCCGCCACGGAGGCCTCCAAGAAGAAGCGCAAGCGGGAGAAGAAGGAGCGCGACCCCAATGCGCCCAAGCGACCCTTGACCGCCGCATTCCTCTTCGCGCAGAGCGCCCGACCCATCGTCAAGGCCGACCTCGAGCGCGAGTTGGAAGCCGGCGCGAAGCTCGAGCCCAATGCCGTCAATCTCGAGGTGACGAAGCGCTGGAACGAGATGGATGAAGAGGACAAGGAGGTAAGTTGGACGTGACGGGAAGGAGATGTGCGTCTTCTTTTGCGCATCTCTTTCCTCCCCTTGTATATGTGTGGCAGAGCAATTTTACTAACGACACGACAGAAATGGAAGCAATCCTACCGCGATTCCATGGTTCAGTTCAACATCGATATGGAGGCCTACAAAGCCAAGACGGGCGTTGCCGTTGAGGATCTCGAGGAGGACGAGGTGGAGGTGGGAGCCCTCGAGACGGAGCTATCTGAATCCGAGGACGAGGCCGGCGCTGCTGCCAAAGAAGCTACCCCGCCAGCTCCAGCCAACAAGACCCCCCGCCCCAACAAGCGCCAGAAGACCGCCGCCGCCAGCTCCGCCCTCAACGGTGCCAACCACGTCGCCATTGCTCCAGCTGCCGCCCGCTCTCCGGTTCCCCTCCCCGCCGGTGGCAAGCAGACTGGCACTCCCATCCTCCCTCCCGCCGCTGAGACGGCCACTCCCGCCAAGAAGGACAGGAAGAAGAAGGAGAAGGCCGCCGACAAGGCCGCTCCCCAGGCCATTGCGCCCGCACCTGCCGCTGCCGCCGAGCCCGCCGCCGAGGAGAGCAAGAAGAAGGGAAAGAGCCGCAGCACCCGCAACGCCGCTGAGCCAGAGGCCACCACCGAGACCCCTGCCGCTGATCCCAAGCCCGCACCTAAGAAGCGCGACCGCAGCAAGCGCAAGAGCGAGGTCGCTGCTGCTTGAGCGTGAGGAGACAGAATATGCTCCTATCATTTCATGTCTTAATATACGCGCGCCTCTCCCCTTATCCGCACAATTTGTTGCTGGAATCTGCCCGGCATCACGAGCTACATACGCCCACGTCGAACATGAAGGGCCCTCATTGGTGACCAGGGGGCTGCTTTGCTCGACTTGACTTGGATTCGGCGTAAAAGGAAACGGACGGGTAGTTTTTTGTTGCTTTTCTTTTCCCTCTCTCCAGCCAAATGAAATCGGAAAAGTCATTTCCTTTCTTTCGTATGCTTTCCTCTCGCGCCTCTCGCCTGTCTTGCATTGTGTCGTCGTCTTCGGTGGTGCTCGTACGGAATACCTCTCTCCAACTCGTTTGATTGCCATGTCGCTGCCTGTCTGCCTGCTTCTTCGGATTGTGTCTTCCACTTCGTCGTCGTTCATCAAGGCCACACTCCAGGGTTCAGTTCGGATGTGGGAGATACGGAGAACCACAAATCGATTATTTGTATTAGCTCCATTGTTCAAATGTTCAAACGCCCAATCTTCCCATCCATCATGGCACGAGGAACGAATTGGACAGGAACGTATGGGGTACCGTGTGAATCTTTCGTTTCCTTATTTTAGTTTCGTGTTTCCCTTGGGATGGGATGAGATGGGATGTGTATGTAACTCTTGCAATGGGATTGAACTGCAACTGCAACTGAAACGGAACAAGAAGTAACGTGATGAAGCATTTGAGAAAAATGATTTTGATATTCGTAGAAGGCCTTCTTCTACTTGGTTACCTGGTGTCCATATGTGGTGCCATGCCATGCCATGCTATTTCATGCCGTACCGTTCCTTTCATCATATGCCTATACCATGCTAAATCCCAATGCCATGCCATGATATGCTCATATCCCCACGCTATGAAACCAAAAAAAGAATCGCCATCCATGATATAACCTCACCCACTCCCCCCTTAAACCCCCTCAACCGCATCCTCAAACTCCTCCTCACTGTCGCTAAACCCCATCTCCCTCCTCAACTGCGCCATAACATCCCTCTCATCATCCCTCTCCCCCTCCCTCTGCGCCTCCACCTCCTTCACCGCCCTCCCCGCATCCCCCGTCCTCTCGTCCCGCACGCGCGAAAGATACTCCACAACCCCCCTCGCACACTCCTCCTTCGCCTTCCTCCTCCCAAACACATGTCTCACCTCTCCAATCGGCCCCGCATGCTCGCCCCCGTTGTTGAAAAAGCACGCCACAGTGTGGAAGCCCGACAGCGCTGCTTCCACGGCGGACGGGGTCGAGGTGTCGAAGCGGTACTCCGGGGCGCCGAGGCCGAGCGAGAGGGCGAGCTGCGTGGCAAGGTGTACTTGGCTGGCGGGGCTGCTGGTGCTGGGTTGGTCGGAGGGTGATGGCGGGGAGGTGGGGTTTGGGTTTGATTTCCGGGGTTTCTTGCGGATGCCTCCCGCGGCATCGTCGGCGAGGGAGGAGGGCCAGAGGCCGAGGGTCTTGATGTGTTGGATTGCGAGGCCGGCGGCGGATTGGCGGGCGGATTTCTTGGAGGGGAAGAGCTGGGTTTGGGAGCCGAAGGTTTGGGTTGTTGTGGTGGTGCTGGTGGGGTTGGTGATGAGGTCGATGGCGACGACGCAGGAGAAGCGGGTGCCGAGGGAGAAGTCGTGGTATGTGGCCTGTGGTGCTCCCTGCGCGTGCTGGTATTCTGTGGGGTTTCGATGTTAGAATGATTGGATGGGTGGATGTATGGTTGGAGTTGGGGTTGGGGTTTAAGTCAAGTATGTCTTGTATCTTTTTCTTACCAAGTAGTAGCCCGATGTTATTAGGACCAGGGACTTCCTTCTGCGGCGGACTCTGGGACCCAGCATCACCCTTTCCCGGCGTCTTCTTCTGCTTCGTCGGCTTCGTCAATTTCCCCCTCGCCTCAAGGTCGGTGATGAAGGCGAGGACCAGCCCGCTCACGGCCTCCTTGGCCTCCGCTTTGCTGCCGTACGACGTCTCCTCTTCGAACACCGTGTCGAGGAAGTCTACGACTCGCATCTTCCAGGTCTGGCCGTCCGAGGGGATGGTTTCGAAGCGCGGCAGAGGGAGCGCGAGACTTTGGCATTTCTCGTGGAGTTGGATGGTGTTGCGGGAGCTGCGGGCGCCGATGGGCGTGGGGACCGGCGATGCGGAGTCTGGGGAGCCTGCCTTGGAGCCTTTGGGGGAGAGGGGAGAGCGTGAGGATGCTGGTGCAGGTGATGGGTCGATTGAGTCATGGCCGTTGAGGAATTCGTCCACGGTGAAGATGTTGGGTGAGGCTCTGGGTCCGATGTTGGCGGGTGCCTGGGCGGCGGATGAGGGGCTTAGGACGTCCACCATCCTTGCTTCTCTTTCTTTGGGGTTGAAGTGAGAGTTGAGTGCCAGGTGAGTGGAGAGAGTTGTTGGCCAGGTAGAGACTGAGCGGTGAGTGAGTGTAGGATATATAGTTTGTTTGTCGATGTGGTCGTTGGTGGTCGTTGATTTAAGCTTGAGAGGAAGTTGTTGTGAAGGTGAAGAAGTGATATGTCCTAGGTAGGTCATAGGTGCATAGGCGCGTACGAACATGAACGCTGGATTCTTATTTGTCGGCCGCCGTCTCTTACCCGCCGTCCTGGCTGATGGTCAATGTATGGTTTTATAGGTACATGGATGACTCTGTAGGGGGGTCTGTCCTATGATCATATTGTAGACCCCCCTGTGGTTCCTATCTCTCGCAAGGCGCCCAAACTCGCTAGGCATATTTACTGTGTACAGTCTTGCCATTCCCCATCTTCTTCTCTCTCTGTATCAGCAGGTACAAGCGTGGAGGCAAGATCCTGGACTAGGTACGAGGTATGTTTATTTTGAACTCTGCCATCAACTTGTATCGATAATGTGTAGGGTGATGCCTTGGTTATACTTAGCTCCCGCTGCTGCTGCACACCGCAAGCTACCTTGGTTCTTTCAGCCTGATGCACGCATGGCTGTCGTACCATCATCCTGCATTATGTGTCCTCTGCCATTATTGCGTCCTGAATGTGTCCAGTCTTTTTTTCCTTTCCCTCTCATCTCCCATCATATCTACTCGCCGTGTTGTGCGTGTATACATGCATACCAACTGGCGTGATTAACATAGCTAACCTCGCGTTTGTGTTGTTTGTGTCTCTCTTCCTGTTTCAAACACACCCAAGAACCCCCCCGTTTGCTCCCCTTCCCACAGACGCGATCCAGATCAATACTAACAATTAATCCAAAAATCCTCTCGCGTCCATACCACTGGTTGGCTAGCTAGCCAGTTCGTTGGCTGATCCAAAACAATGCTTGGTGTGTACATGTAAAATCTTCCTCTGTCCCAGACCAAACACCCCAAACAAAGCCACACATACATTGCGTATGAGACAAAACAAATGCCTATCAGGCGCACACTCACGCTAGGCTCACGTTTGGGCGCCCCCTTTGTCCGTATGCCACGCTTCGGTGGCTTTGGCTCCTGCGCTGAGTCAAACGGTCGCGGTAAGGCGTTGAGACAATGGCTGGCAACGCATCCACCGCCAGGCGTGAGACATGGTGAGGGTAGGTGCTACAAGTAGTGTACAATGTGTTGGGGAAGTGTTTGCACACGCTGCGCTGCTCGCTGCCTTGCTCGTATGGTGGCGACGCGGAAGAATGTACGGTTGGTTGGTGCTCCAGCTACTGCGACAAATGGGTATCTATTTCTCTGATCTGTCATTGATCGTCATTACTGTTTTATGATAGAGTAGGTACCTAGGTAGCCAAACATTATACTGCTTCGTGATTCATTAAAGTCATTCATTACCAGCCGCCAGCACCGTCACCCTCAGGCCATTATGTCCTCCATGTCGCCGTGTATGTGTCTAGAGATATCTAGAACCGTCTCTGCCGCGCTCCCTCTCGAGGAACTCCATGATACCAGAGCCCGCGCCCGTATCTGCAGCGCTGTCTTTCCTCCCGTCTGCGACCCCCGCTCCCACCCCCGTGTCCTCTCCAAAGCCGCTTTGCAGCTTCCAGAGCCCATGACTTAGCTCTCCGCCGTGCAACACATTGTGCCCTACCAGTCCGTTGTTCTGTGCGCAATTGCCCTGGTCCAGCACTGGAATCCCATTGACTTGCTCGGCCGCCCCTTCGAGCCGCGAGATGAGGTCGTTGTAGTGCCACGGCTTGTTGGGGTAGCAGCCCGTCAGGCCGACTCCCAGCCCGCTGAGATCCCCGAACCCGGCGTCGGCGTGCTGGTCGAGTCCTGGGATTGCGCTCAGCGGTGGGGCGAGCGATTGCGCGGGCGTGTACGTCTCGTACGTCCCGAAGTTGATGGCTGGCTCGAGGAAGCGGAGGTTGATTTGGCCCCCGTGGAAGTCGATGTCGTTGGATTCGTTGAAGTCTTGATGCTGGGGGTGGGTGGCATTCGTGTCTTGGGAATGCGTGAGGCTTGCTAGTGATTGTGTGTGAGAGAAGTCGGTGGAAAGGCTGTGTGTTGTAGCGGAGTTGGGATTCGAAAAGTCATTAATGTTGTCCAACGCAATGTTGGAAAGGCTGTCGAGGTCGAGATGAGAAGGCTGGTGGGCAAAGGCTTGGTGGGGAAGTTCCAGAGGCAGGGCGGGATATGCTTGCGTTGGAGACGTTGCGCTCGTATTGTTCAGGATCAATCTCAACTCCTTGCTGTTGTCCAACTCCTCCCCTTTTCCCCATAGCTGTTGACTGGGCGGCGGCGGTGGAGGCGCGAAATTTACCACTCGCCAGCTCATCCTACCTGGCTCGTTCGTTGGCCGTGTCTGCTGGAAGCGCCATAGTATCGTGAGGAAGCATTGCGGTTGTCCTGTCTCCTTGTTGAGGCCGTAGATATCTTGCACGGCCGTCATGTATTGCAGTGTCCGGCGAACACTCTCCTCTTCCTTCGCCCTCTGTCTGGAATCTTCATTCATGCGTGCGTTACATAACTTCCTGCTCAGATGCCCAGTCCTCCAAGCCCAGAAGCCAGATCCGAAATGGATCTGGAAACACGAACGCCGATCAGGTACATGATTGACATCACGACGAGTTTCTGTGAAGCCCTGTTTGCTTTCGTCGAACTTATCTGCGAGTTGGCCGTTGTCATAGAACCTCGTTTCACAGTGCAGGGGATCCGTTTGGGACATGTCAGTCTGGCTTTGGAGATAGAAGTGTACGGAAAGGTCGTGTCGAACGCCCGATCGCTGCTTCTCGGCCATGATCTTGATGGACGCATCGCAGACCAATACCTGACGTTTCTTCCATTCATCCGTCTGGTGGAACCTGAACTCGGCGTACTGCTGATGCCACGAAGTTATGTCTGTAACATTAAGGTCTGGGAGTCGTGAGTTGCTTGCTAGCTGCGTGAATCGATGTATTGGTTCGTCATCATGATGTAGAAGAATGGAGAAGTCTGCAACGGCAAAGGGAGGTTGTACGACCGAGCCATGGTTGCCTTGTGACTTCGTGAGCAAGTTTGAGGGGCCTAGTGACCCATAGCCTCCTGAATAGTAGTTCGCCCCTGCTTGGGTATGGTAGTTATACTTCGATGCATTGGACGCAGCCTGATGACGGCTTCGCAGCTGGCCAAAGTGAGCGCCGCCGTGACGCTTTCTGGTCCCCAAGTCCTCCGTGGACATGTACACAAGGACTACTCACGTTCAGCGATGCGATGGAACGATGGCAATACACTCACTTTGAGGTTGGTCAGATAGAATATTCTTGAGCACCTGGATGTGACTAGAAACCTGCTTTCTTGTCCGTGGTTCGCCAGTGTCTTTCTGAATGGAGTCGGCGACGAGTTCGTTACGGCCACGGAGCTGTCCATCCAGCATATGCTTACGGCGGCCCATCGGCGGCCATCGTACCAGACCTGACATGGTGAGCGTTGATACTACCAGATGACTGAGGGATGAGGCTCTACCTCGAAAGAAGGCCTCCTCGAGATGGTCGGGCCATTTCTGCTCCTTCTCCTTCTGCGTCTGTGGTTGTCGGTCACGATATTTCTGATACTTGTCACACCGTATCAACAGTCGCAGCAGTCTCTTCGTCTCGTGCTCGATCTGTTCTTCTGACCTCTCACTGTTAAGCTGTGCCGTCAGGTTGCCTGTGAAGTAACCTCCTCCGAGATTCTGCGAGTACAAATTCTCTACTGGGGTGGAAGGCGAGCGCTTCCAAGAACCTGAGCCGTCAGCATAAACATGCCTCCTATTGCCCGAGCGTTCCTGGAGGACTCGACTGGGTATGGACGAGCCATGCTCCGCAAAGGCCGGAGCGTTGGAGGGCAGCACGCATGAGCGGTGATGTTCCATTGGTCATGGGAATGCTCGCTGCCGAAAAGAATGAAAAACTAAGAATGTCTGGGGGAAGGAACGTAGAGAGTTGGAGCAAAAGAATGACTGCGGAAGAGAATGTAGGTGGCAAGCAAGAAATGTAAGAGAGGACAGCATCATGATATAGCGAGACTAGACAGCCAGTCAGGAGGACAGGATTTGCCTCTCGAGGGCAGGGCAGGTTACCATCGACTTGGAGCAGTAACTACGGTGACATACAGTCGCCTTTAGATTAAGCTAACACACTACAGACCTCAACCAACTCGGACACTATCTCGCTTCACGGCCATGTAATTTCTATCCACGAGTACTCTCATTCCTCGATTGTTAATATTGCTTTATCGGTCATGGTTAGCAAGGCGAGCAAGGGCTTGGGCAACTGCCGACTATACTGATGTCATCTGATTGGAGAAAGGCCTCTCACGTATCTTGTGCTAGGGAGACGAGGCACGGGAATGCTCTACAGTTGAAGAATGTCAGCGGGCGTAAACAACTAAGGCGTTACAAGCGTCTTGTGTCCTTGGTAGACGAGCGTGTTAGATCGACAAATGTTTTTCGCGTCTCAGACATTGCGAGCAAGGCATCCTACGCGCGCCATTGCGGCCATGCGCCTTGAATCAGGCCTGTGTAGGCAGTTCAATCTCCTGTCGCGGATAGCGGAGATTTCAGCAGCGTGTGCCAAGGGGCGTGACGGTGATGTCTTAAGTATAGCGAGTCCAGGGCAGCCTCGCGTCCTTAGTCAGAAAGCAAGGGGTGGCACCAGGGACTCTGGGTGGTGTCGCGCTGCAAATTTCATCAGGACACACGCCTGGTCCTTCAAACTTCATCTAGATCATCATTGCCAGCAACGTTGAACTTCTTACGCCCACCTCCAGTGAGACGTTGAAGCGCGACCTTGTTGGCCTGTGCCCCAACCTTCTGCTGCATTTTCTCCAGCTCAAGCTCTGGATCATCGGCTTCGGCTTCGGCAAAGCTTAGCACGAGGCGACGGCCGAGCAAGTGTGTGTTACGGAGAGCTTCCATTGCATTGGATGCATCCCTTGTTGTAGAGAAATCGGCAAACGCACTACCTTTTGTTAGCTTTGCGCTTTCGCTAGGAAATGACTGATCAGATGACTTACAATCCTCTAGACGAGTTGTTGAACTTCTTAGGGACCTAGAATGATGTCAACGATTGGTGCAAAGCTGAAGAACGATGAGTTGACTTACCCTAACAGATCGAAGAGATCCATAGGGAGCGAAGAGAGCCCTGACGTCCTTTTTCTATTGAAATAATTAGCAAATGACCCAGTAATTACCAAACGGTTGAATCTTACGCTAGCTTCAAACGGCAGATTCTTGATAAGTATCTTTGTGCCCGCTTCTTTCTTTGCCTGGTCTTCCTTGCGACGTTCTTCTGCAGCATCGACACCCTTGTGCGAGGCCCTGATTTGGAGTCGATGTCCATCAAGGTTGTAACCATCCATGGTCTGAATCGCGACCGATGCTGCTTCTGGGTTGCTAAATTCGACAAAGCCAAAGCCCATGGAGAGGACGCCCCGCTTGGGGTCTACCTTGGTCTTCACCCTGGCACTTCGGAAACCCTCCAAAGAAGAGAATGTGTCGCTCAATTTGTTTGTCGTCGTTTCGAAGTTCAGGTTCCTGACGTAGAGAGTGGCAGTGGTCGTCGCCTCAGAGGTAGGAGTCTCTTGGAGCAGGTCAGAGGCGGAAGGTTTCGCGGCTTCTTTAGCAACCGGGACGATAGTCGGTGCAGACGGAACGAAGGCTCCTTCCTTGAACAAGTTCTTCGGTGCCCACTCCAGGTACAGAAGAGAATCCTTGAATTTCCTGTACGAAAGACCGGCAAATGCCGATTTCGCCTCGGCAGAATTCGAGAATTCAGCAATGGCAGTCAATCCAGAGGGAGGCATCAGGAATTTCGTAACCGTGCCGAATTCTTCCATCAACTTTCGAACTTCATCCGGGCGAACATCATGCGGTAGATTCTTTACCAGAACAGCAATGTTGCCCTTGGAGCTTCGTGAAAAAGACTCCAAATCGACTCCGTGGGAACTGAAGTAGGCTTTGAGCTCGGAAATAACATGAGTCTCTGCTTGCGCTTGTTTGACAGCGGCATCAGCTGACGTCGGGTCGAGGACGTCCGCCTTGCTAACGCCGAGACGACTAGCGACAGCAGACATGACCGCATCAGCGTTGAGGTAAAGAGAATTCCAATTGAAGGTGGAGCCAGCAGCGTCGGCTTTTCTCCTGATCTCCTTCTGTTTCTTGAGTGGCAACTTGGACAAGGCATATTCGTCCAGCTTGTTATCCCTCTTTCCTTCAGCAGCCAAGATATGGAGCAAACGTCCTCGAAAGATGGTGCCATCCTTCTGAGTGAATGCCTGAACAGCGTCTTCCGGATTTTGAAATGAGACAAAAGCAAACCCCTTCGACTTGCCAGTCTTCTTGTCGATCGAAACATGTACCTGAAGATTGTCAGCGAACCGTACCAGCTAAGTTGATATGTGCTACAAAGTTTAAAGAGTTCTCGACTTTTTCAGATAAGAGAGACATCTACTAAAATACTCTCCCAAAGGACATCATTCGCCGAAGCATCAGCTGTCCCTATCTTGGAAATTCATCATTCGAGATAATGTGGTTTTTTGAAGAAAGATCATGATACTTACTTCTTCCAATGGTCCACTTGGGGAAAAGAATTCGCGAAGGTGTTCATCTTGAACGTCCCAGCTTAGATTGCGGAGGTATAAACGCCCGGATTGAAGTATCTTGTCTTCCTCAGATTGTGGACGAGACTCGCCAGCGTCCTCTGGTTCTGAGGCGCCAGTCTGATTTTGTTCTGTTTGTTCATCACTGGGTTCTTGTTGATGCTGTGGGGCTTCCGTGGGTACCGGTACCGCAGATCTCTCAGACGGCACCGTGTCATCGTCCACGATATCTAGAATCCGGTTCGTCCGCGACCTCAACCAGTCGGCATCTGAAACAGGACCAGCAGATGATTCGGTCGTTGCCTCTGGCAATTGTGCAGTGTGAAGATTTGTGTCGGCGTCAGTATGTTCTGTGACCTCCATCTCATCGGCGCCGGTGGTTTCTAGGGGCTCGACTGCAGGGATGGTAGGCTTTTCAACCTCGACAACCGGCTTGGGCTTGCGAACTTCTTGGTATTCATCGTCGCTTTCATCGGCAGGGACAATGACCTCTCCAACAGGTTCGCTTGAGGTGTTCTCCTGTGCCAACAAAGGCCCTTCCTCATTTGCCCACATCTTCTTCTTTGACGGCGGCTGCATGACTTCAAGGAACTCTTGGAGTTTAGGGTCTTGAGTATCCTCTACCGTCCGCTTCCGTTTCATAGCATTGTCCTGTGCGACAGGGGCGACATGTTCAGTCGCCTTTTTGGCAACATGCTGTTCCCGTTGCTGCCGTCGTGACTTGGGTAGGTCCTTATCAGCTATCTACAATTGTTAGTCTTGACATCTCAAGTATCAGAAGATCAATAACCTACGGGACGGGCAATCTCAACATGGATTTTGCTCATGCGGATGAAAGAGCGATTGAAGTACTTGACAGATTTCTCTGCATCTTCGGGGGTGTTGTAGCCGATGTAGCCCATGCGGCGGTGTGGGAAGAACTTGACATCGGTGGTGGGATAGATGGAAAAGTGTTTGCGGACGTCATCTTCAGAGAGTTTTGACGGCAAGCCGCGCACAAAGATGCGCGACGATTGGGCTGCTGCCATGACCTACAGAGCTACTGAGGTAAAGGCTGACCAGAACCTTTTCCAAAGCATGTAGATGTTAAGGAAGAGGAAGAAGAAAGAAAACAAGAAAAGACGTGAAGAAAGTTGTCTGCAGGACTAATGTAGGCGCGTCGCCCGAATTTTTTCTAAAACCGCTGTGCACGGTCCTCAATGCGCTAGACCCAATGTGTTCCACCTCCTCCTTCATTGTCCAAGAGCCGCCTCCCGCCCTGACAAACCGACAGACCGACCAGACGTACATACTCGTGTTGACGAATTGACTTACTTTGACGAACTGCCAGCCAGACAGTCAAGCACAAGAGGAGCACCAGTCAGATTAAATACGTCAAAACAACAACAGCGTCTCCTTGGGTACTCATAAAGTGCGCTCTCCGCTCATATTTTGGAACGACAAACCATCAACAACCTCCATTGTTGAACTCACTTGTCTGATCCTCTCAACTTACAAGCTATCACCCACTTCGACTCATTCTCTCTTCTCACCATGGCAAGCGAGAAGTCTGATACGCTTCCTAACAAGCAAGATGGTATGGCGCGCATACACGACGATTGAGTCTCAAACATGTGACATACAGGCTAATTCGATGCGCAGCTCAAATCAAATCCGCGGATATGGTAATTGCGCTTTGCAAAGTCCTATGATATTAGCCCTCGGTGTACTAACTCTTCACTTCTAGAGCGAGGAGATGCAACAGGAGGCCATTGAAGTTGGTAAGTACGCCCCAGTTGTGTTCAACTCTCGCGGTAGCATTTGTAGGTTTCGCAGCGCTAACACATTCCATAGCACAGCAAGCCATGGAGCAGTTCAGCATCGAGAAGGTGAGTGAAATCTGTTTTGAATGGCTTTATCAGGTCTTGAACCATAGAGCCATTCCCCACTACGATACTATAACAGTTGACTAACTTACATTTCAGGACATTGCCCAGTACATCAAGAAGGAGGTAATGCCAGCATAGCCATTGAACCACCTCTATATCTCTCTTACTAATTACATGTATACAGTTCGACAGCCGCAAGGGTGCAACATGGCATTGCATCGTCGGACGCAATTTCGGCAGCTTCGTCACGCATGGTGGGATCTCCCGTTTCCAAATCGACTTCCCGGACTCTTAGCTAATTCTTTTTCTAGAAACCAAGCACTTCATCTACTTCTACCTTGGACACTGCGCTATTCTCCTGTTCAAGACTCAGTAGGACTTGACAGCTAGGAAATAGCCGGGGGAGTCACAGCCGAGTGCTTTCCAAGCTCAAGGGCCTGACTTCCGTATGTCAATGACTGCAACGAAAAGCCGCATCCCTTGTCTCGGGCGTTTATCGTAGTCGATCTGTAACAAACAAATACTTCTTCAACAAAATATAGAAACGTACTCCTAAATAGTTGATGCCATGAACTTGCCGTGACTACTTACAGAATTCACTAGGCGGGGATCTTTTGCATGAATATACGAGAGGATCTGTATTCATCGTAATCTCTGCTAGAATTGAACAAATAAGATACAGTAGATCTTGCCTAGTCATCCAAAGGCATTATAAGTTCAATTGGTCCCATAGTAGATTACCTAGCGGAATGAACTTGGTATGACCAGTTCGCCAAATGTCCGTGATGTCCTATGACGAAGAAGTAAGCAATCATCTCCAAACCCCAGGATCTAGAACAAACCTCAATCTCACCCAATGTCAACTCCACAAATTATGCTCAACCCCGATCTCGCACCCAAGGCTCTCCCACACCCACTCCCGAGGTTCAAGCAGCAGCAGCAGTGTTTGCATTGGCCACAGGGCCACCCCAATCGAGCCAAGTGTGGCTGAGTCCTCATGACGAAACCCTTCACTTGGCACGACCAACCCTCCCTCACATGTCGCGTCGCATCAACCATGTCATGTCGTTGACGACGACGATAAAACCACGACACCCAGGCGGGAAAAATATACGAGTGCCACCTCATCCGGGACGTACCTAGCGCAAACCTCGAGTGTCCTCATACATACACACGAATTTCCTCTCTAGCTCCGATGCGACCGTACCAAGCTCGACGACATCAGTAACCATCGACCGCCCTTTCAACACACCTTCATACCACAATTACAACCGCAACACATAAACCCACGCTACACCTCAAACCAAACCATACCACCATCCTCCCAAATCAACTAATCCCCCAACACCACACTCCGTGAGGACAAACCAAACCACCCAAAATGTTCTTCTTCTTCACCTGCGGAACCCACACCTTCTCCTCCCGCCTCTCGGGCCACGAGAACCTCACCGTCCAGTGCCAGAACTGCGGAAACTTCTCGGGCCACTTGTATAAACGCTGGTATGTTCCCCCTCTCCTCCCTCTCCCCTCCCTCTCCCCTCCCCTCCAAACCATCCTCCTTCCCTTTCCCTCTCTCCTAAAATCCAATCCGAGGTGTTGTACGTATGCTAACGCAAAAGTGTTGCGTAGGGAGTGGTTCACATTCTGCTTCATACCCATCGTGCCCTTCTCGCTAAAGCCGTACCGCGACGTCGGGTGCCACATTTGCAACTTCTACCAGGACATCAAGTACAGGCCGGATGTGCAGGCGCAAATGGGCGGAGGGGGACAGCAGCAGCAGGGTTATGCGATGGGGCCGCCGCAGGGTCAGCAGGGACAGCAGGGCTATGGGGGACATTATCAGGGACAAGGGGGACCGCCGCCGCATGGAGGTGTGCCGCAGTATAAGTGATTTGAGTGAGAAGAGAGGAATGGGAGTTGGTGTGAGGTTGAAAAATTGATTGCGGATTGCGCGCTGCTTGGGCGGCCGTGGGATGGAGAGCCCCCTCGAGAACCTCTGGGAAAATATTGCGTCTACAGAGAAGGGAGGTCGTTGATGGGATGCCTTCTGATGGCGAAGCCGGACTCGGGATGCTATTCGAGCCAGCGTGTTTGGCGTTTTGGGTTACAGAGAATACCAAGATGATGATTTCATCATTTAGTTCAAATGTTTATTTTATTTTTCAAACGCGAGTATGAATGACAGAGCCCCAGACTTCGATTCTAATGCTAATAGCCAATTAATTTATAATAGCGTGCCTCTAATCTTTGTAACTCGATTTCCACAATCCCATGTATTTTATACTTCTGTTGCTCGCTGATGCAGCAAGGCCTGTCCTCCATGTTATGCATCTGTCTAATTGACTGTGGAAGGAGACTTCCCTCGTATTCTCTCAGCGACCTCCCATATCGTCTAACCTCGAAGATGCGGTCCTTGACTATGACGGTTCGACTGGCCATATTGTAAGACCTTTAAGGTTGGGCTATTTTCTTCTTCCTTGGAAGGTGATGTGAATCTCTCACAGCCTAGTTTGTCTCGTGGCTGGTTTTCAATATCATCAATCCCGTATGCAATGCGGTTCCTGTTGGCTGGAAGTAGGTTGAGTTCATGGCCCATCACTTCTCCAAGGGCAGTAAACAATCTTGTCTCGACGCTCTCTGTACCATTGGGGCTGTCAATGTGGGCAGGGCTACGGTGGCCGTCGACGGCTGAAGTGGTATCCACATCCAGAGCACTAATTCCATCCGTTGTCTTTGACATCGATGACATGTGTGAATTGTCTCTATGCTGGCCAATCTCCCCGGCACCAGAGGGTAGCACAGCATTTTGGCCTTCCGGACCAGAACCAAGAGGATTGTTCCCATGATGCCTATATCCGGTAGTACTGTCAAACGGAATTATCTCTGGCGTGTGTGCACTCATTAGTGCTTGGGCAACGTCATCCTTGTTGCTGCGTATAGAACCGTTGCAATCGGAGATGGTTTGCTGCCGGGCGACATTTACAGCTTGTTTCTTCTGTCCTGTGTTCTGATTCTGGGAAATATCTTTCTTTCGTTTTCCTATGCGATCTGGCTGAGCAATTGACTGGATAGGGCTGGGGAGGCTCCGGGCAGCCGTGAAGGGTTTCGTTAATGTGGAAAGGTTATACCGTGGCGCCGACCAAGTTCCTACGCTAGGTCCTTTTGCAATATGCCCTTGTGGTAGTATACGCGTAACGCGTCCTAAACCCTTCTCCAGAAGAAGATCACCAATTACCGAGTTACTTTGATGTCCTCCATGTCGTGCTGCATATTTCGCATGATCATCAGGCCCGGGTAGCAAAATCGAAGGCAGACACATAGTCGAGGTTGGTATTTGTGACGAAGGTCTGCCAGTCGTGACAACACTGGAGTCCTGACGAGGACTCCCGGGAGCAGAGTACAGTGGATTGCGTATTGGGTATGCAATGCCGGCACGCTCAAGCACGTCTGTACAGCTCTTAGTTTCATAATCAAAGATCGATCATGTATCTACGCACCCCTTGGAGCATGTTGAAATGAGAAGCAGACTAGTTCATTCGCAGATCTCAGTTTCCTAGTGCCGAGACTGCTGGTTCCGTCTACTGGCTGTTCTAAGATGAGAACCTTGATCCGACCGCGGTCATTGGCGGGATCCCAGGAAGTCTGCGTGAGTATGTCTGATTGAAAAGAGGGAAATCGGAGGCCGTGACTGATCTGGCGTGAATGTATGGATGGTGTGAGAGGGAGGCCTCCCACTCCTGGTCAAATCCTTAGTCTTGGACATGATATCAGGAAGGACCTAAAAACACACCTATTTCCACAGGCCATCGCGAGGTAGGCTCGTGAAGACTCTGACTAAACTTAGTCAGTATTGTGCAGACATCTGGCTTGACGTTGACCTACGATACTTCGATCCCATCGATAATGACCCGGATTTCATAGAGCGTCTGATGTTGCCGCTTTCTCTTGGAACCGGTGATGTCGGAAGGCTTGGGCTGCCTTGCCCATGAGTGTAAAGAGATACGAAACGGGCTCGAAGGGAGCAGTGACGCAATATAGCAAGTCACAATATGAAGGTGGTGGTTTGCTGTTGGAAGCTCGATTAGCTGGAGAATCCCATGTACGTTATCAGCAACATACAGCTACTATTGGTGATGAAGCTGGCAGTGTTGAATTCCTGGATGGGAATATGGGAGTCCTGTGGAAAGAGAATGATATCCCAGTCTTCGAAACGCATGACGGGCGCAAGATTGAACGCAACTCAAATGCTTGAAGGCAGTAGTTACAACAGGTGCATTCAGTTGATCAAAAAGACAGGGTCGGCGGTGGTGTGAGGTGTTTTGATAATGGACAAGGAAGCCAACCCCTCGAGACGTCGCACTTTCCTTGGGTTTTGATGCGGCGACACCCCGTCTAGCATGCCGACTGGCCGTTTGATATCGGTAGATACGGAACCGCCGTAATCTGGAAAATTCATGTATGATCACAACAAAACGGTCATCATTGCTGTGGTCTGCGTTATTCTATAGGTAGTTTTTGATATCGTGTATCGAATTAGAGGATCTAAGCGGATGTTGTGGGTGCGCCGAACTGAATGCGCCAAAGTACGCAACGTCAGAATTGCTTTTGGGTATCCCTTTTTCCTACCAGACGCCGTGCTAATGAGACAGAGAACCTGTCTGAAAGGAAAACGCGATGTTATACGATGCTAGCACAATCATTCGCACTTTGACGCACGCTATGCCTCATCAACTACGCAAGATCATTGATTGAAGCCTCCACCTGGGCCATGTCCTTCCCCATCATTGAGCCCGTTCAACCCACCCTGTGTAAGGCCGCCCTCGGGTACGCCTGGACCCATAGGAGGCGGGGAGGTGAAAGACGACGAGTGTGGACTCTGCACGTGTGCCGCATAGGGACTGTGTCAGTGTCAGTATGGCCAGGCCAGAGCACAAGCGGTAGAATGTCAAGAAAGCCCCCGAAACCCGGAATACAGTTGCCTCAGATGGTACAGCGAATGAAATGAATCAGACAGCAAGAGTAGAGAGCAGTAGTAGCGAACAGCACCAAATGGCAGCGGCGACCATGAGAACAACAAAATAGAGCTGCTTAGATAAAGGCAAGGCAAGCGGTCAAGCACACAAACATCGGGAAATTTCTGTCGAATTAAGCCAGCCAAATCATTGCACACTCGTAAAAAGAAAGCAAAATCCGACCGCATGACTGGAAAACTAGCTACACCGAGTCCCTCCGAAAAAGCCAGTCGCACACCGGCAATAGCTGTTATACAAATTCCCTCTGATGCCATTCCAACCGGTAAGATCGGCATGAGGTCAGATCGCAACTTTTATGGTACCGCCCAGTGCTGAAAGAAGACCAATTGAAAGTCATGATTATCGATGGTGCAGTCGTGATAAGAAAATCATGAAGCTGGATAGCCGTGACAATGATAAGGAAGAAAGTCAAAGAACGTGCTTACTGCAACTGATTAGTACTTAGTAAGGGCCATCGGGCTGTCCTGGGTTGTCACCCACCTTCATGGGAGCGAAATTGCCGTAAGGGTGAGACGGCGGCATGCCCATCTGAGGGTAGATGGGTGGTGGTGGGGTGGGTCGGTAAGGGGTGCCAGCGGGTCCAGAGTTATTCTGGCTGCGGCCCCAGGAAAGACGAACGCGAGAGTTGCCGATGGGGTAGCCCTGCATCTGGTTGATCGCCATCTCGGCAGCATGGCGCTGCACGAACTGGACGAAACCGCATCCCTTGCCCGGGGGAATCTTGACATAAGTGATCTCGCCGAAGCCCTGGAAGAAAGAGCGGAGCTCGTCTTCGGTGACGTAACCGGAGAGCCCACCGACGAAGACGGTGGTGTTGTTCGGGTCGGTGAATTGGTTCATGGGTTGCGGTGCACCGTAGAAGCCCATAGGGGGAGCGCCCATGGAGTACATTCCCATTGGGCCTTGGCCGCCAGGTTGCATGCCCCCCATAGCAGGTCCACCAGGTCCGCCGCTCTTGTTCTTGGGAGTAGCAGTGGAGATGCGCATGGGCCTGTTACCACAGTACACACCTTGCATCTCGCGGAGTGCACTCTGCTGCTGCTCCTCGTCGGCGAAGCGTACGAAGCCGTAACCGCGGGAGATGCCGCTGATGGGGTCGGTCATGATCTTGGCAGACTTGCAAGAGCTGTACTTGTTCTGGAACAGTTGAACAAGGACAAACTCGTTGACCTCGGGGCCAAGGTCTCCGACGAAGATGGAGTACTCGGGCCCACGGTCATCGCGGCTACAATTGAAATGTGAGCAAATGGAATCCATGCATAGGGTTTGGTGATGCGCTACTAACCTGCGATCAGCGAGGCCGCCTCCCGATGCCCAGTTGAGCTTGAAGGGGCGATTTGAGTTGGGAATGAGCGTTCCATTGAGGTTGAGAGCCTTGGCGGCTGCGGCTGGGGTTGAGAAATCGACGAAGCAGTATCCGGCATTGCTGCTGTTCGTTGTCAGTGGTGGCCGAAAAAAGGCGTCTTGTGATTCGTCCGCTTACCCAGAGAACTTGTCGCGAATCATCTTGACATTGACTTGTTCGCCCATGTTGAACCAAATGCTGCGGACGAAGTTCTCATCGATCCAAGGCTCCAATTCGCCCATCCTGCATACCAAATTAGTATCCGAACAAAAGGTGCAAGCGATATGGTAGAAAATGCATATTGATGAGGAAACCATCTGTCCGAGTGCTCTTGCGCGTGCGTTACACAGAGTGACAGACAACAGCTCCGTCATCGGATTCGGAAGCAGAATGCGCTTACCAGAGAGTAGTCTTTCCCTCGCCACCTTGCTGTTGTTCAATGCCAGCGCTTCCTGGGGGTCCGATGTTACCAGACGGGAAGCCGCCAGCACCATTGTCGAGGGACTGTCCAAGATCGCCCTGCTGCGCCGGAGCACCTGCACCTGCGGGCGCGCCGGCCTGTTCGCCACCGGGTTGGCCCTGGAAGGGTTCGTAGTTTTGGAAACTCATGTTTGTTTATGAATGTGAGAACGAGAAAGGAATCGTAACTCGGAGGGCGGGGGTGGAAGGAAATAAGTGTGTTGAGCTAAATTTATGCCGAAGAATTGAAGCGTGATGATTTTAGTCGGGCTGCGCGGGAGTTTTAAACGTTAGCGTCGGTGAAACAGCGCGTTTGCTCTGCAAGGCGTGGCAGGCATCGAAGTCGCGATCGCAGTTCTGGGCTGCACTTACCTTGGCAAGAATTACTTTTCGAAGTCGCGACTGTCGAGATATTCGAGTGAAGTTGTGAGCGTCGAGGGTGACCGGAAAGTTGATGATGGGCGCAGTACCGAATTTGTTGGTGGGGCGAAGGATATGACGCGTGAAGGAGGGCCGGATCTATAGTCGAATGCAAAGGCGGCACTAAAGAGGCTGAAAGAGAAGACCCAGTAAAGCTGAGAGGTAAACTCCAGGCGCGCTTCGTAGTAGAGGGAGCGGTACGGATGGGGCGAGACAGTGAACGAAAGGCTGCCGAGCGAGAGCGCAAGAACCTTGGAACGAATTGCTCACGAATCTGTGCCGAGCGGTAAGTAACTAAGAAAGTTGGTCGCACCAGCGAGTCACATGCGTGGCATCGACAGGCGGTAGTACGAGAGTGGAGAAGTGTGAAATGCTAAAATGTGAAATGTAATGATGTAAAGGTAGGCCTGCTTTTCTTCTGTTCGCTCACGAGTGTACGACGAGAGGAGAAGAAGAAGAGAAGAGGAAGGGAAAGGAAATAGGTAGAGTAGAATAGAGGGGAAACGGCGGGAGAGGTTGTATGCGACTGCGCTCGACGAGTGACGGGATGCGGAAGGGAGTCTGGTGCCAAAGGCCATGCGCCGTGGAGAGCGGAGTTGCCATCTCGAGAGTCCCTGGCATGCTGCCATATGAGGGTGGTGAGCTCTGCACGGGAGCTTTCGCGTTTGAACAGCAAGCGCTGAGGTCAGCTGGCATGCCCGTCTACGATCCTTGGGCTGCCGCGCAGACGCGACGACATGCCGCAGGCGCTCGTGGTGGGTAGTCGCGGGCGAGTTTAGAGATGTCTTCAGTCGCAGTAGAAGGCAATTGCGCCAGCCGGTAAATGTGGTGATGGTGGTGGTAGTGGTGGTAGTAGGTGGGGATGGGTACCGGCCAATACGCACAACCCGCAACGGCGCGCGAACGTAACTTTTCCGACACCCATCTCGAGACAGACCGGATGTTTTTTGCGATGCGGAAGCGAGTGCAGTCGCCAGAGATATCGAGGGGTCGAGGACGAGAGGGAGGGGCTTGGGAGCAGTAGGGATGATGATGGTGATGACGATGACGATGGCCGAAGGTGGTGGGCGCAACAGCTGCGATACTGATGCCAAGGCGGTGGGAGGGAAAATTGTGAGGGGGAGGGGATTGGAAGGTGCGAAAATGGCGGACGTGATTTGCAGAGATGAAATGAGAGAAAGTGTGTATACGTACCGAAGAGGGCCAGCAGACTCCCGAGAGAGAAGAGACACAGACACAGACGAAGTCCCGAAGCCAGAAAGGAGAACACCCGCAACGCAAAGGAGAAACAGCGATCAACTCCGAGACGAAAAGGGATTGTTGATGATGATGGGGGTAGAGAAGGGGAAGGGAAGGGAAGAAGAAGAAGAGAAGAAGAAGAGGCAATGAGGTGGGTAGAAGAGGAAGAATGAGAGTTAGGTAGGGTAGGGCAGAGCAGGGTAGGGTAGGGTAAGGCAAGGTAGGCGAAAGGGTAAGTAAGTAGTGCGCGAGGACGAGTGCAGGTGGGTGTGCGTGCGTGTGTGAGTGAGCTGGTAAAGCAAAACTGGTAGCTCAGGTTAGGTTGAATAGGGCGTAGAGTTGGGTTGGTAGTCAGTTAGTGGGTAATGGGTAATGGATAGGATAATGGGTATTGTAGGTAGTGGTAGTGGTAGTGGTAGTGGTAGTGGTAGTGGTAGTGTAGTGTAGTGTAGGGTTCCTAGGGTTCCTAGAATTCCTAGGGTAGTTAGGCGGGTTAGGCTGTAACTATTCCAGGTACTTTGTTAAGGGTACGAGGTAATGGTCTAGGGTACGAGGTAAAGTAAAGCTTGTAAAGAGGTACGAGTAAGATGGATAAGGTAAGGTAACGCAGGGCGCAAAGCAAAGTGCAAGGCAGGAAGCGCAAGGCAAAGTGCAAAGGCAAAAGCAAAGGCAGAGAGAGAGAGAGATATACGAGTAGTAATGGAGTAGAGCAAAAGGTAAAAGGTGAAGAGGTAGAAGAGCAGCAAAGGCGGGGGATGAGCCAGCAAATGAACCCCCCGGCCTGTTTCTTGAGAGCAGCCGAACAGAAAAATGGGTAAAGAAACGTGAAGAAACTGGCGGGCGTATTGTACAGTAACACAGTACGGAGTAGGTCAAGACGAAGGCGAGCGACTATCAAACGTGCTAACAAAGTAATTAACTTATTAACTAACGACTAGATGGTTAGCTCTCTTAGCTCTCTTAGCTTTTGCCAGCTTTGCCAGCTTGCCGGCGAATCCGCTACTCTCCTGCTGTCCTACCATTACCGCTACCGGTCACCTGGCTGCTGAATCAAACCACCGAAAGAGTATCAGAGAAGACTCCGTAGTGAGTACTGAATACCTAGTGAGGACAATACTGAGCAAGGACTAGGTGGCCACTTTGTTCATAGTACGGCACGACCAGGGGGGAGGCTCACTCAGGACCCAAAGGACGAGTGATGAGGAGGACGAACAATACAACGGTTCATTTTCTCTTTACTCATACCGTCTTCTCTCATCTTCCTTTACTTGCTATTGGACTGTTCAAGTCCATACATTAATGGTGGAATCATGATAACTATAGCGATGATTGGGTGTTGGGAGTATCTGATTTCCTATTCGCGATACCTCTTCCAGCCGGATCCCTTGTTGTTGCCTTCCTTTCTCTTATTCCTTTTCCCTTTCGAGAGACTTCGCCCCGGTTGACGAATCCAACGCCGAAGGACCAGAATTGCGCGGGTCGGGGATTGGGCATGCCATACGCGAGACAGGACAAGGGAGGCGGCAGGGTAATAATGGCCGATTATAGATGGACATGGACAAGGAGGGGTAGTTACTTACCCAAGTAGCTATGGGAGGGGCAGGCTATGCCATCATGGTGGGATGGATCATGGACGGAACTGTTTGATAAATGGATAGAGTGATGGATCGATGTGTAAGAACACGCCAGCTTGAGTCCATGATACGGAGGACAATAGCAATGAATATAGTACATACATGCATACTCCAAACAGTACAAAATACCCAGTAAATAGTCGAATAATACTTGAGCAACTCCTTACCCATTTCGTGATATGCGAAACGGCCATCCGATCCACTCGTTAGTGCGAAGGTACCAATTCTTTATTCCGATATTGGTGGTCTTCATCCTCAGCCAATCCACTTCACTCCAGGCCAGCCCACTATTGTTATTATTTTACCCTCAAGTACGGATTCGTTATTACGGCGTGTGGCAAGCGGTATTACAATACAATACAATTACAAAGGTACAAGCTCTTCCAGCAGATCTTTTCTCTCCACGATACTTATCGGTAGAACGGAGCCTCAGCTATCAAGAACGCCAGAGTAGAGTATCAAAACCATCACCAGCTTCCGGACCCATTCATTATCATTTCCCTTCCCCCAATGATAGAACATCGTAACCCCTCTTCTCCCCTCTCATCGCATCCCGTCCCCCTCCCCTCTTCTTCTTCTCCCCACCTCATCAAGTGCATGGCGTGATACGCGGTTCGCGATTTGCGGTTCGCGGTTCGCGTTTGACGGCTCACGGTTCGTCCTACGCTCGCCTCCGCTTCTGGACATGACAGGACCAGGCTGCCACGTTCGAGATCGATGAAATCTCTCTCTGCATCTGCACACCCACCAGATCGTCCCTACAGTTTCTGCCCGTCATTGGCCCCCTTCCCTTGCCCATATCCACCCCCAGTCCAGCCCGGTCGGCATTCAACACCCACGTCATTAATGGCGGGTGACAAACGCAAAATTACTGCTACGAGTATAATTCTGTGTAGACAGAGTCCTCTACATATTCATCCTATCTCTCTCTTGCCATTTTACTGGATTTAGGCTGCGGATCGGTGGATGGTATCGCCATTACTACAAAAGCTTTCTCAAACACAATAAAACGCCGTCCATAAACGGTCTCGGGCATCCAATGCTACTATTCTTCATGAGACTGCGCAGACAACCCCTCCTCCCGCGAATCCCGGCACCCCATTCGCCGCATGCAGCTTCTCTGTCATCACCACCATCCCTCTACTGCGTTTCCACCATCCATGATTTTGTGCAGAACAGGACTGAGTCTCTCAATTGGATATGAAAGAAAACAGATTACCCCTCCATTGTATTGTCCCTCCTCCTCCTCCTCCTCCCCCCCACTATCTGTAACTGGAACCTCCTGAAAAGGTTTACGATACATCCGTTTTCGTACACTAGGGGAAACTCGTGAGCCGTCAACGGTCGGATCCGTAGCCTCAACCCTCGGTAGAGGTTAACCCTGCATCAATATCTGAACCGACTCGATCGCGATAGAAGTCCCCTCCATGGACGTTGACTGGCTGGCTCTCTCCGACTAGACTTGACGGCGCTCAACCGGCGTGTCCTGCCCAGCTCTCATCAGCTAGATCTATATCCGTAGCGGCCTACCTATTCAACAATAGCTGCGTTGCATCCACGGTACGCCTCTGAATAGCATCAGCTAGACGGAGATCTCTGCATCGAATCAAGGTCACCATATCCATACCTTACGAATCAAACGTCGCCAAGTTTTGCCCATCAATTTTGCCTCTGCCAGTGCTTATTATTCACATGCACTAGAGAAGAATAGTGAGGGCAAGAGCAAGCGGCGAGAAGCATCAACAAGAATTGTCTTGATGTTCATCGTGACTTGCCTCTTTTCAGTCACATGATTGCATACGAGCATCTTGTGTGAAACACTGATCAAATTGGAATTCGCTCTCCTAGACTTACTGAAGGCGTCTTCACTAATATCTGAAGCCTATCGACTTTCGCTTCACCCTGCATCATGGAATCTTCAAGAAAAACGCTCACGTGACCAAAGAAGCAAAACCACCTCGTCATGCCCATGCAATCGTTGGATTTGCATGAATTCGTCATCCTCTTCCTCATAATGATTGAGGAATACCACTGGCCTGCTTCGCCTCACCGAAGGAGTCGCGTCCCTCTGAGAAAACCTGGTCGAAGTCGTACTCGAACCATCGGATATCCGGGCACAGTCCAGCGAACTTCCAAACCCCATCAATCTTCTTGTACCAGTGGAGGTTGAAGCTATGGGCATGTCCCTTGACGGCAACCTTTTTCATGGTCTCGTCGGTATACCTCTGGTGAGGCACACGGAGTTGGTGGTATCCAAGCATCTCGTCCTCCGAGACCTTCTCCCATCGCGTGCCGCCAATGAAGTGCTGGGTCTTGAGCAACGGATTTCCCAAAACAGATGGATCCGATGCCATGAGCACGAATTCCTCAGCCGGCATCGCTTCCCACTCCTTGTCGAGGAATGAGCGGTAATCGATCTTAAGAGTTGGAGCAATGCATTTCCTGAGGCGGTCCCAGTCCTGTTCGTAAGTATGATCAGCAATGGCTCCCTCTCTTTCGGTAAACAATAGTTGTATATATTGCCTCGATAGGGCTGCATCATACCTTGCTATCATAGCTATCCGCCCATTCATAGCAAGCCGATTGGCACCCCATCACATCTGGAAAATCGAATGAGCTCGTGGGTCCAATAACAAAGTTCTACGGTTTAGTAGTTGATATTCTGTATCACGTACCATCAAAGGTGGGCTTGAACTGCTGGTTGGCCATGTCTGCGATTTGGTCTGATTATCTTCTGGGATGTGTTCAAGAGAGCTTGTGTGCGTAATTAATTGTTTTCCTTTCGATTTTACAAAAAGAGAATGAAAGACTGCCTTCAATCACATATATATTCCATTGTCTTGCCCCATGTTGTTCTGAAATGCTCAATGTGATGCTTCGGGTCTCCACCTTCCATTCCGGAATGCAGGAAACAGCCGACTGTGAACGGGAAGGGGCCGACCAACGAAACAACAACCTTGCGACTGCTGGAATTCCACACGAATGCGTGCGAGCGCCTCTTCGACTTATTTTCTTCGTGCGACACCCAAAACATCATCTAGGTACCAGCATCTTGCCCTTCCTCTTCTTCCCCGCCATGAGATGTCCGTATATGCCGCTTGGACCATCCGCAACCTATCATAGAAGCCTATTGTCATCAATCATTTACCGGAGGTCGGAGGAGAATACCATCTCTACGTTATTACTTCCGAATCAGTGAAACTTCACCTCCCCAATTTGTTTATTTGCCGGATTGCTAACATGGACACTTTTGTTCCTTCTATACGAGCCGGAAGTGGGGACAAGACCGAACCCACAGGCCCCTGTTGCATTCAGGCCTAATTGCATACCTTGAACACCAATGTCCTCTACCAACGATTCTGGGCCATTTCCTACCTCTGAGTGCCTCTCCTGCCTGGAAGTCAGCTTGCTATATTGTCCCCGGCCATTAAACGCATAATGATGCCTGTCATCTCTGCTAGACATTCGTCGTCTGATAATAGGTGAGGGCTTCGGATCGACGACTGGGGATACTTCGCCAAAATGCCCACATGCGTCTTCTTGTGATACAGTGCAGGCACTGCCTCGTCTGACAGCCATGCTCTCGACGTTCTGCATTCATCAAAATCTCTTATGAAGCGTTACGCAACCCTCCATGTTTCTGTGCATCGGCCTCGCTTTGTTAGTACGTAGAGGTGCTGCTTTGGATACAGTGGCATGGTCTTCCGCACCGAACGTGCGGGGAACATGGGACCTGATAGCCAGCTGTGTTCTCACATTGACGATCTGTGTCTGGTCAGCCCTGCATCTGAATGTGCCAACTGAGAAATCAACTCTGACCGAACGCAACCTACGGCGTACACGATGGATTCTTCTGGGCGTCTTTGCACCAGAGCTGGTGGTTTCTTCAGCATTCGCACAGTACCTGACTGCGAGGTGGCTACGCCGCGAACTGCTGTCAGACCTGAACTACAGCAAGGCTGAGGGGCATCATGTATGCTTTGATATGAGCAACGAGCTCAAACCGGTCATTTAAAGCTGATTAATTTAGGTCCAAGAGTCGGCGGAGGTCGATAGGGACACGAAGCTTCGAGGCTGGACCATCACACAGTGTTACTTCGCCGTTATGGGCGGTATCACAGTGCAAGCAGAGCCAGTTTTCGGCAGCCCTGAGAGATACAGCTTGACGCCCGATGGTGTTCGGTTACTGTCCTTCTTGGGACATCTACCTGATATCCAGGAGACCCAAGTGCGAGATAAAAGCAAGGCCGATGGTCTTGCGAAGACACTGGTGTGTCTACAAGCTGGGTGGATGATCCTCCAAATGATCGCTCGCCTTCACCAGAGACTACCCGTCACGCTTCTCGAGATCAACACCATCGGTCACGTCCTGTGTGCTCTCGTGTTATACCTATTGTGGTGGTCTAAGCCGCTCGAGGTCAAAGACCCTGTACTTCTTCCATATGAGAACTGGATGGACCCATACCTGTCCCTGATGTGGATGTGTAGCCCTATCAGCGGCTCTAGTGAGGACGAAATCACCGAGATGAGATGCATGACTTACATCCCATCGGAGCGAAGAAGCACACTGCCATCTATGGACATACCAACAATCGCCATCGAGCACTCGACTTGCGACTCACCCACCGACGCCAGACCAGCAGCCCATGAGACGCACTTCTCTGTCGGATCTACTGCCGCGAGAAATCCAAGGAAGTTCATTGGACCCCTTGGAGATTTTCGCGTTGGATCCGGATCGCGTAGCCCATCACCAGCGCCATTTGACCATCATGTGAGCTACATGATAGCAAAGACAGCCATGAAACCCGCGCCAGAGCATGAAGTCTTCTTCCAACTTCAAGAACCCCATCATGGGCTTCAGCATAGTGCCAGTTACTGTCGACGTGGTTTTGACGATTGCAAAGATCATAGTGATCTCTCGCCCATTGCGATTCGACGATGGCAGCATGCATGCACACTGATTGATACTCTATGGAATGAATGCGAGAAACGTCCCAGCTATATCAACAACTACTTCACCATAAGTACATTGGGCACGTTCGTTGGAGAGATCGGCTATATTGACACACACGCGCCGAATATCTTGGGACTCTCCTATCTCGGCGGCGTGAACATCCACAAAGATCGCATGAAGTCGGTGCTGGCCTTTGCCGGCGCAGCATACGGCGCCATCCACATAGCAGCGTGGAACGATTTCTTCCCGACACAAGTGGAACGCTACCTGTGGATCACAAGCTCTGTAGCCATCGGTGCATCTGGAATATTCCTGTGGATATTCTTCCTGATCAAAGAAAGAGTCGAGAAGATCGATAGAGCAGCATCAAGAGCCGGCCGTACTAAGGTGTTCTCGCTCATTGCAAGGTTTGTGATAGTCCCGCTGTTCATCATTGCTCGTGTGTATCTGGTCGTCGAGGCTTTCGTCAGTCTTCGGCGAGTCCCAAAGGAGGTATATGAGACGCCTGAGTGGACTAGGTACCTGCCACATCTTTGACGATGGTCACTGGGGAGTATTCATTTCATCTTTGAGGACATGGGATGGGACAGTGGTAATTGTAACGAGACGAATCAACGAATTATGACCTTGGAATTACTGGACACGATGAGAGCGATAACACGACACATAGACTTCAACGCCTTCTTATGAGCATCATTTTTGTAGTATTCGAAGCGAGCGAGCAGTGCTCTACATCGAGACTGCTTCTACATGAATCTAATATTTTACTGGGGACTTTGCCTATTCGTAACTCCAACTCTTTTGGAAAAGTACATATCTTGCAAGCAGCAGTGACGTTGAAGACGTAGCCGCCCTAGTGAGTTCGTGTGCATCAATCGTTAGGTTCATCCATCCTTCCCTGGCTCCGATGAGAGCGCTCGCTGAGTGACATTGACCTACCCCTAGTAAACGGCAATGGAACGTTGTCTGTACGGCGTCGCGATATGACAACCACACGACAACAACAGCTTATCAAGCATATCACGTCGCCATACCATGTTCGCCCCATCCCATCGATGCCACACTGTGCTATTCTAGGCACGATCCCCGTTCCCTTGGGTCGTCAATCCCCGCGAATCTTCTTTCGTTCTACAGTACGTTTTCAGGCGTAGGCATTCGATTCAACCTCCTCAGATCAAATCCTCATCGTCGTCGTCGAAGCCGTCCTCCTCGTCCTCGGGCACCATCACCTTCTCGATGAGCTTCAGCGTGTTCCGCAGCGGCAGCCCGACCACGTTGTCGTAGGAGCCGTTGATCCTCTCGATCAGTATACTGCCCGCGGTCTGGATGCCATACCCGCCCGCCTTGTCCGCGCCGTCGCGGGTGCGGACGTACGCGAGGATGAGGTCGTCGGTGACTACACGCACACACATCAATCCATTAGTATCACTGAACCCACCCCCTTTAACATTATGACAATGACGAAAGAAAAGGGACAAACCCACCAGTAGAATCAAACTTGACCTCCGTCTCCTCGACATGCGTCTCCATCCTGTAACCCGGCTCCAACGCACTCTCCAACGGCGCCATGACCGCCACGGCAGTCGTAACCTTGTGCGTGCCCTCGTCCCTGAGCATCTGCAGCATATTCACGTGGTCAACCTCACTCCGCGGCTTCTCGAGGATCATGCCCCCGTGGCTCACGATGATGGTGTCCGCCGCGATGATGAGTGCGGGCTCCCCCTTCGCCGCGTTGTCGATCTCCCGCTTGTAGACGTCTTGTGCTTTCGCGGACGCGGTCTGGAGGACGTATTCGAGTGGGGATAGCGACTTGGGGAGGTCCTCGGCGAAGTTGGAGGGGACGACGTCGAGGTTTACGAGGCCGAGTTGCGCGAGGAGTTGGCGGCGGCGTGGGGACTGCGAGGCGAGGATTATGCGTTTGCCTTTCAGGGCGGCGAGGGCGGGGAGGTTGAGGGGGAGGGGGAGGCGTGGTTGGGGGGGCCCGCGGGGTCGGGGTGCGGTTGATGAGGATGTTGTTGGGGTTGGGGGAGGGCGCTGGGCGTCCTCGTAGGAGGGTGGAGGGTCGGCTGGTGTTGTTGATGCCATTGGGGGAGGAGGATTGGGGACGTGGTGGGTGCAATTGGAAGTTATCACAGCGGGCGTTTGAATATCTTTGCGGTGACCAGGTAGTGCGTTGCAGGTGGTGGTAATTGAAGCGGTGGTTCGGTTGTGGGTATATTGCAGGATGTAGGTTAGTTGTAAGTATTGAAGAAGTGAGGTTTAGCCCTTTCGTCATATTCTCCCTCCCGCCCTATTTCTTTTTTGGTGGGGCACAACGTTTGAAGAGGGACGGCCCGAGCTGCGGATTGACTTGTTTACTATTAAGAGGCACAGCATCCTTTTCTTCACCACCAGCATGATTGTCCTGGATCTTGGAGATTGAAATATGAACAATGTTATACTCTTGCATTTACGATCTATGAATCTTGTCTGTATTCATGCAAATCAAAGTACAATTGCATGGGACGTAATTTTCCCATCACAAAACCAGCTCACCACGCCGTTGGTGCGATGGCAAGCAACATCAGTACAGCTTTGCCAAAGCTTGACCTTGGAAACAACAAGCCTCAACCTCATTCTAATGTTTCGTTCGTCCGATAAAAGATCCCTTCGAGACCTTTAAAAGGAGCTACACTTTCGTCCGTGGCAGATATACGGGTGCTAGGAACATGGTCTCTGAAGACTCGTAGCCTCGTACGACGGACTCGGGACAACTATTGTTGCTCGTCTGATAGATACCTTATCCAACCACAGATCGTACCGTATGTTTGTAGCAATACCAGCCTGCACCTCCAAGGATCTCATACTGAAGTGAGCATCTTTCGACTCGTATTGACGAAATCAATGCTTGCCTTGATTGCACCTTCGAATTGTGGGTGTCCGAAATCAAGCCATCGGCGCAGCTGCGATATGTACTATTTTGAGGAATCCTTGAGTCGGACATGATCAAAACTGGTAAACGAGAGGATACAACAGACTTCGCTTAGCGGTTTCAGGCATGCCAGCTCGCTTCGGAGTCTCGAGATGCAGCTCTCGGATGAGGTATTTCATGATAGCTGGGGGCGTACGACCACGCTGCCAATTTCGAGGAATTGCACATCTCTCTTGCCTAAGAATGTAATATGCAATTCCACGACATGCTTAGCTCACCGGAGCATTCTTCTCTTAACGATTAGATTCTGCTCCGAAAAAGATCTGTCGTTGGGAGTCCGCATTTAGTAATGCATAACCTTTGATCGATCAAACAACCGAGGCATGGCATGTCCAGAACGGGCGCCATGTCCCTTTTAAGGAATTGAGCCGTCACGTCTCCACTGCCTCATCGAAGCCACGAAGAAATTTCCATTCGTCTGGCTCTCCAAATCGACACTCTATTTTTCCCTGGCCCAACTAATCAATCCACTCGCCCTTCCCAGACCGAGGCATGTCTCAGTTACGACTACGGTCAGCTAACGATCAGGGTCGTACGCCGTCGTGGCCGTTTCCGTTGGCCGACCTCCGCCCGGGTGCGAGAGCAAGCTTGCGACAGCTACTATGATGATGCAATCTTTGTTATATTTCTAATCTGTTCTCGCTCGTAGCGACAGCTAATTATAAAAGCAATCGCCTGGACTGACTCGTCTGAATGAATATATCTGTCTGATTTGACTTCAAAAACCACACATCTTCTCTCAATCCTCCTCCATCAACCCTTCCGCAACATTCCTTCCACTAAGTGACGTAGCCATATCATATACCCCACCTCGAGCTCTCACAAACATATCAACGACGACACAATGGTTCAGAACAAGGGAATCATCTTCAAGCAGGTGCCCACCGGATGGCCCGTCCCAGGCCAGGATCTCACAGTCGAGGACCGCGGCTTCGACATCGACCAGACACCTCCCGAGGGCGGAGTGACCGTGAGGAACCACTATGCGTCCTTCGACCCATACCAGCGAGGCCGCATGCGCGCGCCTGAGACCAAATCGTACAGCCCGCCCTTCGAGCTCGGCAAGCCCATCACCAACCGCACGATCATGAAGGTCATCAAGTCGAACTCCCCCAAGTTCCAGCCCGGCGACGTCATCATCTCCGCGCTGCCCACCCCGATCGAGGAGTACTCCGTCCTCAGCCAGCCCTACACCGACAAGGCATGGAAGCTCGAGAACCCGTACAACCTGGACCCCAAGATCTTCCTCGGCGCGCTGGGGATGCCCGGCCTGACGGCCTACTCCTCCTTCTACGACATCGGACAGCCCAAGAAGGGCGAGACCATCTTCATCTCCGCAGCGTCCGGCGCCGTCGGCCAGATCGTCGGCCAGCTGGCCAAGCACGAGGGGCTCAAGGTCATCGGCAGCGTCGGCGACGACAAGAAGCTCGACTTCATCGTCAACGAGCTCAAGTTCGACGCCGGCTTCAACTACAAGAAGGAGAAGCCCGCGGACGCGCTCGCCCGCCTCGCCCCCAACGGCATCGACATCTACTACGAGAACGTCGGCGGCGAGCAGCTCGAGGCCGCCCTCGACGCCATCACTAACCACGGAAGAATCAGTAAGTCGTCCTCCTTAACAGCCAAACTTCCCCCTTTCCCCACAACAGCAACAACGAACTCATGCTAACGAATCCCCAGTCGCATGCGGCATGATCTCTCAATACAACGTCGTCCCCGCGGACCGCTACCCGATCAAGAACCTCATGCACGTCGTCGCCAAGCGCCTCACGATGCGCGGCTTCATCGTCGGCGACGACAACATGGGGCCCCGCTACGCCAAGGACCACCAGGAGAAGCTGCAGAAGTGGATCGCGGATGGCGAGTTCAAGACCAAGATGAGCATCACCGAGGGCATCGACGCGGGCGTCGACGGCTTCCTCGGCATGCTCAAGGGCGAGAACTTTGGAAAGGCCGTGCTGGAGATTGCGAAGCTGGAGTAGGATGCTTTGATATCACGGGTGGAGTGACTGGGATCGGGAAGAGAGGGACCAGCATTGCTGCTGAAATGAAAAGAAAGTAAAGAATAACAAGTAAAATAAAATAAAACTAATAAAGAAGTCAATAAAATTCTTCCAAGTACAATTTTATATATACGTCGTCAGTGTACCTTTGGATTTTATGTAGTATCCAGGTACGTATTTGTGTGGAACTTACATCACAAGAAGAATTACATATATATGCTCGAAGATTTTTGTTGGAAAGCCATATAAGAAAATCACACATGGTAGATCTGCAATTCGCTTCCATGACATTCGTAGATTTTGATATCATATCATCGTCCGTGCACTAAATTCCTATGTACACGGTATACGAAAAGGGACCATTCTCGCTATTTCCCCACAGGAGATATGTAAGCCCAAAAAAATACATAACAGGGGTATAATATCAAACGCCATGAACCCAATCCAGGAACGCCAATCATGCCATGTCAAACATGGGTATTGAGATCGGTAAGGAAAAATGTCGAAGGTAAATGACATGCTGTCGTAGAGAAGAAGAAAATGAATAAGAGAGTTGACCCGACGCGCGATCGGGGTCGAGTATAAGACTAGTCGCTGATGTCAATGATGTCAATGATGTCTATATCGGCCGAAGGCAGGCGTGAGGCTTCAGTGCGGGCCGGTCCAACGCTACTGTTCCTGTCTTCGGCAGCGGTCGAATGGTCCTGTACGCTGTCCTCTCGAGGAACCGCTTTAGGTACCCATTCACCATCCTGGTTAACGACAATTTCGCGCACCCCTTTCAAGCCATCTCTGTCGAGTTCTGCGTAGACGGATTGGAGGAAGGCATCGACGACGAGATGCTGGGGGCGTGCGTCGGCCGTGCAGATTGGACACCTCCATTTGTCGGTCACCGAACAGTCGCCATGCCTGTCTCGCGTTTTCAAGAAGGTTTCTAGGTCGAAACACTCATTGTGAAGGCACGCCCTGCCGCGTGCGGGAATGTCGCACATTTTGGACGCGCTGAACGGGTCGAGCAAGCCGATCGTGAGGTTGTTCTGGATGATTGCGATTTCTTCGTCGTCCAAGGAGCTCCCAGATAATCTTTGAATAATGGCCTCTTTAACCTGCGGCGCAGAAAGACAATTCTCTTCCACGCATTTATTTACGATTGTATCATGCCTTGCCGTCGTGACGATTTCTATTGCCAAGAGATAAGTTTGATAGGACTCATCACCGCTGGGCCGCACTATTCCTATCTTCAATACATTTTCCCCAGGCTTGATCATTGGTGTGAGGTCTACGGGTAAGCTCTTGCCATAATGTATCTTCTTCCGCATCTCCAGAGGTTGATTGTTGAAGGTAAAGTATGCAGAGGGACACCAAGAGGTAGGGGCAGTAGCCCATTCATGTTCACTGGGAGGTTGTGATTTATTCCACGTGATGCATCGAAGACGGAATAATTGGCTGTCTTGACTAATTACTCTGGCCGAGGGAGCACCTGCGATGTTGTTGAAAAGATTTGTTGGGATTGACCTCATCTGCTCATCAGAAATGGACACTTTCCACTCCGCAATTCTACCGCCAAGTGCTACTAGGCGTGTGGGCTTCACAGCAAAGGCGTCCACGTATTGATAAAGAATTGTTTCTTCTTGTCGTGCCTTCAGGGTCGGGCTTCTCAGGTGTGCTTGATGAAGCGCGAACCGAGCGGGAACTGGTTGTCGCTGTTGCGGTAGTCTGAATGGTGCGGCAGGAAGCAATGGCGATCCGGGCTTACGCATATCGAGTGCCCGTCCGGGATCGTGGGAAACTGACATTGGCAGCCTGGGTCGATCGGTGGCATGAGGACCTTGTTGTGACGGCGGGGCTGCGTTGATGGATTGTGCTCCAAAGTGCTGTGCATTATCTATTGGAGCTTGCGGCCTGCTGTTATACAGAGCATTATAATTTGGAACCAAAACAGTGGGTGGCTGAACGGGCTGGTTTCTTTGCGATCCTATATGGCCCTGCTGTTGTTGTGACGAGGGTGGATTGGGCACGGCGCGGTGCTTGCACATCTGGAGAAATCGAGCGCTCCAACGTCCATGTTCCTGGGCCCGAGCCGCGGGTTCGTACGGATCCCCAGGCCGTGCCTTGACGCTATTAGCGAAGGCCATATAGTTTTGACGAAAAATATCCAAAGCGCGTTCCTCGAGATGTTGTGCTCTTGGGGTGTGGCCAAGCTTCATGATATGTCGAAAAGCGGCTGTGAACAGGAGTTTCTGAAGAGTGAAAGAGCCGATACCGACGTCATGGAACAGTTCGCCTGCAAATGGCGGGAAGTTGCGTTGCCGGCACATGGAATGTAAGTTGTTGATATTTGTAGCCTGCGCGGCGAATTGAATGAACACATCACAGTGCTGCTGTAGCACTAGCGGCCAAAGGGAAGTGTACACTGACATAGGATGCGGCATATTGATGAAAAACAGGCGAAGCTCGGGGGACAGCAGCGCATTCGAGTCTAAGACATGGTTCAGGAGATCTTGGGCATTCCCCACGCCTGGATGTTGCAGTATCTGTGGGGGCAGCTGTTCCGGAGCATCTTCAAGTAGGCAATAAATTTGGTGTATGATCAAGTAATCCCAGTCATTGACCTCGAGAGCGTTGCAGAGAACCTGCAATCGTGGCCTATCTCTTGGATACTGCGGGGTTGGAGGGTGCAAATCCACAAACTCATGTACAGCTAGCAGATACTCTCGTGTAGGCCTGCTATAAGTGGGAGCTTCTCGAGCCATCTGGGGAGAGCCTATAGCATTAGCCATGAGGTTGCTTTGTGGTTGAGCTTCAGTTCGAGGATGGTCCTGATTTGGTGCACGTTGTTGCGCGGATTGCAATGCCAATTCCATCGGCGGCTGATCTAGTGTTCCACTCGGAAGCAACGGGCTAGCAACTACAGTCTGCGATGCTGGAAAACTATCTCGTGGCACTTGCGCATGATGTGTGGGTGGACGATGCGATTGCTGCTGTGTATTAGTCAAGGAAGGGCGTGAAAACGAACGTGAACTAGTGTGTTCTTGTGGTGAGCGCACGGCCGACTGTACTTGTCGATGCACTGGGCCCGTTGATGCGCCCGGACGAGTAGTGCCTGAGGTCCCTTCAGGCAAGGACTGTCTCAAGGTGTGAGGCGACCCATTTGGGGATAGTATATGGGTGTTTGCATTACTTGGGGAGCCTGCCGATGTAGCGAACGGCTGTATCCAAGGTTGCCCGGAAGGGATACCAGGGTTTGATTTCTCGACGGGACTAGGAGCTGGACGAGATGGTTGTGTCTGTAATGGTTCTGTGTTCACCCTCCCGTTGACCCCATGGCCAGAGACTGGCGCAGAGCTCGAGGACTCTGCGAATTGGGGTCGGTCTGATTCTTGACGAGAGGGCAGCCGGGGCCGTCCACGCTTGCGTTTGGGAGGTTGTGTCGGTTGTGCAGGTATGTTGGTAGCCTGGGGAAGGGAACCAGGTGGTACCATCCAGGCCTTCTGCCTGCCTCCCAGGTTTCCCAAAATAGTGTGCAAGGTATTATTTGCACTTTGTATTTCTCGACCAGAGGGCGCTTGCTGGCCAGAGGGGCGGTGACCGTTTGTCATGACTGACTATGTGGACACGGCTGTATCGAAGTCGCGAAATCTCCTAAGTGAGGATTTGTTCTGGATGTATGCTGCTTAATCGGCAACGATACATCTGGGCACTGTGTAGGCAGGGAGACCATTCTCGACGAGAAAAGGGAAGCGGCAGAGTCAAGTATGTATGGAGGGGACTATGCGCTCATAGTACGGATCGATTGGAGCTTTTACGGTGAGTATGAGGTGGAATTGTATTGGCTCGAGCGGCGGAAGGAAGGGTCGGGTCGAAGGTGAAAGGGAAGGAGATGGCGACGGAGGCGGATAGGAGGAAGTTGAAAGAGTCACGCTTGGTAAGTAGGAACAGAGGTAGGTGGCGATGGTTGAAGGGTGTGCGATAGTTCTACGAGTAGTCGGTGATGATAGGGATTAGAACGAAGAAGGTCTACCTAGGTAGAGTTGTTTAGACAGAGATGGTAAGTAGTAGAAGGTACTAGCAGGTGTAGGATCTGTGGGAGCAACAGTAGGTAGTGGAGTGGTGGGGTAGTACGAGGAGTAGGGCGGTGGAGGGTTGGATGTTAGTGTGTTTGTGTTTGTGTTTGTGTGTGTTCTCGTGTGTTGATTGTTGAGGGTGAATTGGTGGTGGAGGTTGTGGTGGTGATGGTGTCGGAGTTGAAACCTGACTAGCGCGCCACGCGAGTCTCCGGGCGCCCACCATCCAGAACATTGATAGACCCGTCATCTCTGGATGGCTCTGCCTCTGGCTATGGCTCTTGGATGGAAACCGATCCTACTGTCGAATTTAGTAAAACAATACTATATAATATTGGTATATGAGGGGATCGAAATGTATAGGGTCTCTTTGTTGTACACAGGTGAGGTCTAGGTGATACAGTCGTCTTGTCTTGTCTTGTCGCGTCTGGGGTGGGATGGGAATAACATTTGTACGGAGTAGTACGGGGTACATGGCCAACTTGTGAGCTCTCCTAGTTTATCTCATGCGTGTGGACAGCATGTAGACCATGTACTGGGTATGTACGTACGAATCCAGAAGATCTTGCCTTGGGAGGGTGCAATATCAAGTATTCGATCTAGTTAACAAGGATGGTCTTTGTCGAGCATAAATTAAGTGCATGGCGCAACCTATCTGTTCGTTGCTACGGCTATTGTGCGAATTGATAGGCTGTTATACAAAGTACGTACTCAGAACATTCGTATACATACGTGGGCTAGGTCATGGGAGAATCCACGGTGTAAATGATGGATAAATTTTGGTCAATCCATACAATGACCTAGGTACTCGCAGTCGGAAGTGATCATGATGAGGTCAATGATTTGATTCGTACCTGGACTATGATTATTATTGCTATTATTATCATCGTTATTGCACATCCAGCTAGGTACCTGGGACTCCTTGCTAGGTAGAATGTACATGTACTTGTAGTTAGTTAAAGTGAGAGAGAGTCCATAACAGACTGGCCACGATAGCCGCTGGCTGGGCCCAATAACTCCAGTCTAGGTCTACCTACCACTACTGTACGGAGTAACTAAGTACCAACTGGGCCATGACATGACATCCCTGCCACTGCCCACTGCCCACTGCCCACTACCCACGCCCACCTTCTCGCCTTGGAGACTTAAACATCCACTCACCACCACTTAGTTACCTCCACCACTCATCAGGTCCACCACCACCACTTACGACCCGACCACGACCACGGCCACCGCACCGCATCATTATTACCACCGCCGCCATTACAGCCTCAACATCCACCACCACCACCGTCACCAACATCTATCTAGTCTCATCTCATCTCACTTCATCTCGTCTTTCTCTTTCCGTCCTGTGTCCCACCGCCTGTTCAACCCAACTCACTCTCACTTAATTCATCACTACATATCGCCTTGGCCTTCACCACCACCTTCACTTAATAACAATAACAACAACACACCTCTATCGTATCACCACCCTTCACCTTCACCTTCACCCTCTCTCTATCAATTTACCATACACGCCCAAACTTACCTCAGCCTTCCACGCCTACCCACTCCCTAGTCTCGCGCTTCCGCCAACTGCCCGACTCGTACCGTACCGATTGTCCCATCTCCATTTGGTACCGACCGTTCCACTCCACCTTCGTTCCGACTGCCCGCTTGCGAATCCTGCCCTCTTTCAACCTCTACCCTTCAACCTCAACAACCTCCACAACCTCTCACCCATTCCCTAAAGCTTTCAACCCTCCGCAGCGCCACGCCTGCTTGCTGCCATTACGACGATATATTTCCCGCTTGCATTATGAACATTTCCTTCCAACGCAGTTGGTAATCGCCAGCACCATCCCATCCACCGCGTTGGCTTCGCCTGAATCTCCTTAACTCCCTCCCTCCACTCCGCAATCCGCTCGCTCCAACATGGCCTCCCGAAGCCAGACAGAGTTTGCCAGACCCGGTGACATTCTGCTCGTAGTGCGTAAGTAAACCTCATCCCAAGCGGATCGCAAACCCGTGTCCAATGGTTCGCATCTGTCCCCGCGACATGTCTCCGATCTAACACACCTTTACCAGACGAGTTCCAGGCTCGAAGTCCCGACGAACTGAGCCTGGCCCGAGGCGATCGCATCGAATTGATTGAGCGCGACGACGACTTTGGCGATGGATGGTTCCTGGGTAAAAACACGGAAAACAGCGAGACCGGCTTGTTCCCGGAGGGTATGTCTTGTTCTGCTCCTCCCAACATCGTCACGACAGCACTTGTTTACACGTCGGGCGTGTTGGGTCTGTGTTGCACCGTTTCCGGCTAACCCTGACTCAAGTCTACACCCGACCTGCACCAAAGCCAACGATAAATGTTCCCGTTCACCAACGCAATCCCTCGCAGCCTATGGCTGAGCTTCGCCCTCTGCAGCATGCGACACCGCCCGGTACTGCCGTCTCCGAGCCTGCAACGATCCACACGTTCCCTTCCCCGGAGCCATCTCCCGTTACTCAACAGTCGCTTGAATCCCCTCCTCCGCATCCCGAACAACAAACATCCCCTCTCCAGCTATCGAATCCCATCCCGACCCCTCCGCCAGCTACTACCCCGAGTCGAACCTCCATATCCACTACGCCTCAGAGAAGTATCAGCATGACGTTGAGCGGGGATATCCCCAGGGAGGACGACACCATTGGCAGTCCTGTTATGCACGAGACGTTGAGCGTCATTGACGAACACATTACGGACATGAGCACGCCGCGCCACAGTATCGTTGCGAAAGACTTGCGAGGCAATGATTCCGGGAGCGAATACAGCAGCCATCACCGACTGTCATACATCAATGGTCACGAAACGGAGGACGAGGAGCAAACTCTACATACAGAGGCAGAGGTCATGGGCTGGAGTCCGGAAAGGGTCGCAGAGTATCTCGAGGACGTGGGTGTCGAGAAGAAGCATTGTGACATTTTCCGCGAGCAAGAGATCAATGGGGAGGTCCTCCTAGGGATGGATCAAGCAACGATATTTCTGAAAGAGTTTGAGCTGGGACCCGTTGGCCCCCGCCTGCGGACGTGGCTTAAGGTCAAGGCTCTGCAACAGGAAGTCAAGACAGTACACGAAGCGCGCAAAAATGTCACATCGTTCGATGGTGTCTCCGAGGAATCTCAACCAGATCCGATCCGCAACCGGGCCACTTCCATGGGCGCAGTCCTTCCTAGAATCCCAAGTTTAAAAGACGGCCAAAGCCCGAAGCCCCCGCCAAAATCGCTTCCTCGTGCGAACTCTACTGCAGGACATTCACCCGTTCCCATTGTCGAGGCAACATCACCGTTGGTACATGCAACTCCATCGTCACCTGGCCCAGTATCACGTCCTTCCGCCGCGTCTGTTCGCAGCATGAACCACAGTCGCCGGCATTCCTCAATCGACTACAACATCAACCCACAAGCTCCCCCGAAGGTGCAACCCAATATATCTACGCCGCACAAGAAGACCCCTTCGTTCGATCGCAATTGGTCCATGGGTTCGCCTCAGAAAGCGTCTCATGAGCTGAATAGGCCTTCCTCTTCTAATCACATGCATTCGTCAGTCATTGGCGGGATGGAATATGACCCCGCGGGCGTTGGTCCTGCTCTCAGTCCGCTGAACACAGCCGAGTTGGATCGCGGCTACTTCTCTGGTAATGAAGTAGATAACCGTAAAGCTCGGAATGTGCTACGCAAGAAAGACAGCCCCAGCCATTCACGAAACCCAAGCTACAGTACAGAAACAGGTCGGCGCTCGACATTCAGTCGTCGTCACAGCAGACTGGGCAGCTCAGATTCCGCAGCCGGTTCCACCAGTCCTATTTCCCCTGCTGCAAAGGCATACTACGGTTCGAGCATCAAGAGCCACCGAAGTTCCAGTAATTTCGAATTCATTCGTCCCTCCAAAGCCACGACCGAGGTGACGCCTACAGTGACAAGACTTGAGTACGACAGTCCCAGCATCGACGCGATAGCGAAATCACCCCACGTTCCAGGCAGTGAGACATCCTCTCAAGGGCGCGCATCACCTTCCCCAGCGACCCACTCATTCTTTAGCAAAAAGCCTCGCGGTTCCGGTCTTCGGGCTATTTCGGATGCAATCACTGGAACTGAAAGGGCCAGCGCTGGAGATATGACCGGTTCGCCCCTCAAAGAATCTCCCATGCAGTCACCAACAAGGACCGGTTCGAGCACTCCTTCCGGAGCTTCCATGTCGAGGAGCTTTGATTTTGAGAATCCAGATTTGAACAAGCGGCTCACGGCAGCCTCGACGGGCTCGAAACAGCGAAAGGCGAAGAAGCATGGGACTAGCGCATATCTTCGAGGTCGTGAAACTATCACTCCCCAGGAAGCTATGATGGCATGTGATTACAGCGGTTGGATGAAGAAGAAATCCTCGAGCCTCATGACAACTTGGAAAACGCGTCTATTCGTCCTACGCGGCCGCCGCCTCTCTTACTTCTACACCGAGAACGACACGGAAGAGAAGGGTCTGATAGACATTTCGTCCCATCGAGTGCTCCCAGCCAACAACGAGCGTATGACGGGCTTACATGCAAGCTTGACACGAGCTTCTTCCTCGCCTACGTCACCACAGAACGCCACAATTCCTACGAACGCATCAACGGATGTCGCCAACGGCATTGAAGAGGACATGTCCGGGATGTTCATCTTCAAACTTGTTCCTCCTCGTGCTGGATTGCAAAAGGGCGTACAGTTCACGAAGCCAATCGTCCACTACTTCGCAGTGGACAGCATCCAGATCGGACGCCTTTGGATGGCTGCACTGATGAAGGCTACCATTGATCGGGACGAAACTCTGAACATAACCACTACATATCAACAGAAAACGATATCACTCGAGAAGGCTCGCGCGATGCGACAGCGACCCCCGGCTTTGATGGACGAAGAAGAGGACGAGGCTGCTTCGTCGGGCAAGAGGTCCAAAGAAAGCGTTCTGGACGAGGTCATCCAAGAGGAGGACGAGAAGCACGGCCTAGCAATATCCGGACTTGACGACGCGAAAGCACTTCTCGACTTTGCTGAGAATGGACCTGGAACTCCGCCCGCCATTCCTCCCAAGAGGAAAGAAAGTGTGAGCGGCGCCCTGAGTCCAGGGCTTGTCTCTCCCATTGGATAAACGTCGTGTCGTTGCACCTCTCCGCTCTTTACCTATTTTCTTTTGCAAATATTCTATTTCGACTTTTCCCACTCGCGACTTTTGTCACATTTTTGAGAGCAGCTTATTCTATTCGTTGGAAAGCGAAAAGGCTCCTGGCGTTGGGTACGCGATTTATTTTTTCCATTCAGTGCAATATCCACGGCACATTACACGATGACGGCCATTTACACACCTAATCGAATCACACACATCGATTCATTTGCGCAAACCTGATGATGAAATCCACGGTGGATGGGGGAAGGAAATAAAAAGCAGCTATAGAGAGCCGAAACTTTCCCACTCTTGTCTCGCTCCCAGATCTTCTTTTTGTATCCGGAGATTGGAAGTAAATACCTTTTGTTTTGATACTCGGCCCGACTCCCCGTTTTCATATTATCTCAGACAAATTCAACATATCTCCAAACTGCTGTCATCTTCTGCTTCCGCGTGTTACTGATGCAAATATGTCGGGTGTGCTCCTCTCAGTATTTGTCAGTGAACCAAAGTCCAAAGCACAACTTCGTACCCCGTATTGCCTTGTTCAACGAACCCAACCCCCTCAGTCGCACACAAACCAAACCCGCCCGGCTCTCCATGATTTGGAATCGACGAGCGGAACACGACTGGCGCACAGCGTGTCGCCGTAACCCTCCCTCCCCCCAACCCGCGTTCCCACATTTCCAGTAACAAAGCGTGCACAAAACACACACGGACGATTGTGTAACATTCGACGAAGACGGGGACGAGGACGATGCAGTTGCACATGCTGCTGCGTTACACGCTGTCCGAATGAGGAACTTGGTGGTTACTGGTTCTGTCGAGTATGTCGCTATCTTTGAGCAGTAGATTGAATGAGGGGTGGACATCCCATCGGCTCTGAGGTGCAAGATATCGGAAATGCATTGTTTTTTCGTTTTTTCCCTTGCCTTGCCTTGCTTTACTTTTCCTCGCCCTTGGAGACGTAGCACGGGTAGAATTAACCACACTCATAAAACTACAGCCGGAACAGGACAACCCCTACCTAGAAATAAACGCAGACACTGCGGCTCTGCAACAGCTTACCTCACTGCCATCATAGACAATTATACCTCTAAAATGACATTCACAAAGGGATTACCATCGCTTCCGGTGCGCTTTTCCCTCGTCTCCCAAAGAGTAGATTTCAATAAAATGATCATTATTGTCATCATCCCTTTCTCCCCCCTCCCTTGCGGGCGACACCTCGCGTTCTGCCATGCGTCCCGCATCCCTTTTCCAGCCTTGGGATAATGAACGTCGCCACGGGGTCGTGGGTGGGCATATACATGCTGTCGTTAGGCCTTTTACATTCTCCTCTCTCGAAGGGAACGGCCATTTCTTTCCTATCGCTCTCTTTTCGTCCTTTCAATCGTGCGAACTGATCGAGTAATCACCACGAAGATTGCCTCGTAATGAGACTTTGAGGTATTACTTACCACAACAACTTCGAGATAGGACGTCCGCTCAGCCTGGCCCGGAGAGTTGAAGCCTTTGCCTGCAACGGGAAGATACAGAAACACCAGACAGTGGAACTTACGAGCGCCTTTGGAGAAGTGACCTTGGTTCTCAGAGACACCTCACCAAACACCCGCTGTCTTCAAACCAACCCACTCACCACCTACCTCCCCCCAATCCATCCTTCACAACAATAATGGCGCCAATCTCCCCACCCCCCAGCCCATCCGCCCGCCAACACCACCACCACCACATCATCCCCCCCTCCCGTCTCCGCAAGCGCGACCGCCTGCGTCCCGCCGTCATCCTCCTCGCCGTGCTCTCGATCCTCTGGACGGGAAACCGCCTGCGCACCGCGGCTGCTGCAGGGGAGGGAGGCATGTACGCGTATCCGCTGCGGGGCGGGGGGGAGGTGAATTCGTTTGTTGGAGGCGGGGCGGTGCTTCCACATGTTGCTTCTGGGGCGGGACTTGGGGATGAGTTGGTCGAGGGGAAGGGAGGGGATGAGGAGGGGGAGAAGAAGAAGGTGGGGGAGAGTGTTTGGGGGACTCATGGGGTTGTTGGGGGGTGGTTGTTTAAGCCTAAGGAGAAGGATACGGGGACTGGGAAGACGACGACGACGAACGAGACGGGTGGGGAGGGGAAGAAGGGTGGTGTGTTGGGGAGTCTTTGGCGGGAGCATGTCGCTGTGAAGGAGGATAAAGATGACGGTGGGACGCTGGGATCTATAGCTGCTGTCGAGCCGGCGACGCCAGATGCGAAGGATGGTGGTTCCAGTGGGGAGAAGACGGAGTACATATCTCCCTCGCTGGCGGAACAGTTTGCGCAGGAGAAGGAAATGTATATGGACGCCAGTCGGGTCTCGCATGACGGCGGCGACGGTCGTACTCCTCCGCTGCCAGTGCCCGTACAAGCAGGTCTCGCCGTGCCAGCAGCAGACCAAGATACGACGGCTTCATTGCCAGCACCTGAGCATAAACAGGCTTTGCAAGACGACTACGACAACGACGCAGTTGCCCTCTTACCTCAAAAAATCCCAGAAACAGCTCTAAAGCCACCCGTCGAATCTGGCCTTGAACCTCTCCCGCTGCCACTACCAACGCCATCCAGGAACGACCAACTCACAACCCCGGCAGCGGGACTCGAACCTTCGACGAATCCCGCGGCCGCAGACCAACACGCAACGTGGGAGGAGGGCGTTGGCCAGGAGGCGGATGCGAATGCAGATGCAGATGCGGATGCAAACGCTGCTGCACGGGTGTCGGATTCGAAACAACAGCACCATGGGGGCGCAATGTTGGGTGCCATGAACATGGGCAGCATGGGCCTGAGTGGCGGGTTTAGAAGGTCGTAAAGAAGGGAAGAGTTTGTGGCTGTATCTGTAATCGTATTTGATATATTGCTTTTTTTGTATGTATGATAACCGTTCGCGCAATGATGATTTTTACTTGGAAGTTCGAAAGATACCTAGTTAACATTGATGTATGTTGGTAGGTTTTTGTGGGGGAAGGGACAGGTTGTGGTAAGGAAAGGTGTGGATAAGCTTTTTGGTGCAGATCACCGGATGGTACGCAGGTATAAATGTAGTGTGAAAACATGGTTTGTGGGACACTACTCGGGAATTACTTTGTTTATTGTCGAAGATGTTGTTAATGAGATTAATTGTATATTTGTTTGTTTCAATGAGGCTGACTCTGATTCCAATGGAATGAGTTCATGTCCTATGACTATTATGTCTAGCGAGTGTTGCGCATCAAGCGCGTTCTACTTGTCGTAGCTGGGGTATCTTTTCGCAATATACGCCGTGGTTGATGGCATGTAACCAAGAGAGAAGAAAGAAAAGAAAAAGAACGCTCAAAATATGACCCAGTGTCAAACAGACACGAAAGAACGCCGAACCTTGCCAACCACCCAAGCGCCATTTGTTTTCACCCAGAAGTATTGTCTACCTCCTGGCTGGTCTATCTGCGCCTTTTGACGGCAGAGCCCTCATTGGGGCCAAACCAATCCCTCACTCCGCATTTGCTCTCCAGCTCCTGGAAGATGCTGTCGATTCTGTCGGGCATCCACCCGGACGCGATCTTCCTCTTCGGCTTCGCATAGCCCAGACGGAACGCGAACGATATCGAGCAGCTGCCCGAGTCGAAGGAGAACTGGACGCACTCTTTCTTGCTCTCGCAGAGGGCGAAGCAGTGGTCGAACGATTTCCACGAATTCCGTTCGAGGGGGTTGGCTGAGCTGCCATGATCGTGGGCGTTGAACTCCTTGTCGGCAGACATATTGTCCCATTCCGGGATGGAGGCTCGGATCTGGGGCCGCACGTGCTCCATGAATATATCCCGGTGTCGAAGCAATACATCGTGCTATTATCGTCAGCGATTTAGATTAATATCACATAGGGAGATCTCGAACGACATACCTTCTTGAACCAGTTCTGTTCGAATTCCCACAACTCTTCGATCTCGGCAGGCGAGACGTGGTGGTAGGTCACTACTGGATAGCACCACGCGTTGCGGCCGATTTTGTCCGTAGCCGGATCCAGTGTCGCCGGCGAGTCGCCCTGGAGGTGGGGAAACGCTTTGTGGAGAGGGATCTTGATGTCCTCGAAAACCTTGCCCAGCGCGCAGTCTCCGACCCAGTGCGTGGAAGTGAAGTCCTCGTAGTCGCGGATGCGCACCGACCGGTGTTCGGACACCTTGCGCATGGCCGGGTTAGAGAGAACGAATCCCGCACCGCCGTACCCAAACTCAATGTCGTTAATGTACAGGTGCTTGCCAATGTAGTACGGCTTGCTCGCGTCGAAGTTGCTCAGGTATTCCAAGAGGTTGTTCCAGACGAGGTAGGTGTCGCTCTCGATGAAGACGAACCACTTCGCATTTGGCATATGCTGGTACGCTTCGTCAATCATGGGCAGGAATTTCCACTTGTCGAGCTTCCAGCCTTCATTTTCTGTGTTCAAGTAATCGCCTTTGGAGGATCCGGACTGCGCTGTGATTACTTGTTGGTCTCCAAGCCCCCTCTTGCCCTGCTTTTGCAGTCTTCGGTACAATTTGAAGTCTTCGCTGCTCTGCTTGGTTTGTTCGCTGACCCCTCCCAGAACGTCATGCACAGCATGACCATCGATCTCTTCATCAAGATCGGATACGACGAGGAAGTTGGGTACACATCTTAGTGTGGTCTTGAAATGAACGGGGAGTTTCGCATGGGATTCGGTGGCACCAGTGCGTAGGACGACAAGAACGTCGCCGGCAATCTCGGATTGCGAACAGAATATGTCGTCTTGGAGGCGAGCTTCTGGTTTGAAGTATCGAAGGAAGAATGAAGGAGAACTGGCCTTGGTGAAGACGTTGATGATGGAGACACTAAAGACTGCACAGAAAATGAGCCGACAGAGGAAAGTGCGTTGAGGCATGCTGTGTATATGGTTGTAGTAGTAACAGTAGGAGAAGGCCAGCTGATCAATGCAATGGATATAGAATGAAAATAGTTATATGGTCGTAAAGGCCGAATGAGAGGGTAGGTTATGTTCTCTAGAACAAGCCCAGAATGGTGAACGCTAGCAAGAATAGCGAGCAAACAGATGTGAATATGAATTCGGGGCCATGGAAGATGGCTGTGGTGGGTTTGAGTCGCAGCAGCGACGACGATAGCAAAGGAGAGTATCCAGAGTAATGGAAGAGAGAAGGGAAAAAGAAGAAGAACGAAAGGATCGTAGGGTTGGAGGTGGCGATAGCAGATGGGTTGGTTAGTGTACAAGTCAGTCGAGTGTAGTGTGGTGTAGGGTGTCCAACTAGAGTATATAGTGCTACCGGCGGAGAGGTGGCACGCTGTGTGTGGGTGTGGGGTGGGGACAGTGGACACAAGGGCATTAAGAGTGCACAAGAGCACAAGTCTAAGTCTAAGTAAGAGGAGCAGAAGAACAAAAGGGTAGGTTGGGCGCTCGCAGGCACGGCAGGGTTTAGAAAGGAAAAGACACTCGGGGTTCGACGATCCTCATCTCTGGTCAGACACGTCGTCCTAAAACCCGAAAGTATGGGCGATCAATGCCATGACGAACGAAGGCGAGGGCGGTGTATCACTCGCCGCACGCTGGCCCGTTACAACTCCTCCTCCGAGTAGAAACAAAATGCAGAAATCCATATGTACAATGTTAAAAGATCCTCTTCAACAATTATCGCGGTCAATGAACAAAAATACTCGGCGCAAGGACGACTCTTCGTATCAATTGAGGTCGGTTGTACAGTCTGTCTAAGTAGTAGAGCATTCTGCGACAACGGCGTCATGTCCTAGATTCCTAAAACCCTCAAGCGTACCGACAAGAGCGGTGATGCTAACAAGAGCAGGCCTAGCGACATAGTCTAAATCAGTCCTCGCGAACGACAATTGGCTCAATCAATTCACTCTTGACCACAGTCCCTAAGCGTTTGGTTTAAGCGTACATAAGCGTAAGCGCAGACGGTAGATGTGTACTCCAGGCCGGTGGGATCACTAGGATGTACGCTCTACGATATGAAGAAGGTAAGGGTATCGTTAATATGTAGACGAGCCGTTGGTTGGTTAAATGGAAGTTCTCTTCCCTCCGTACTCCCTCCGTAGTCCGTAGAGGCCGGTTCGCTTCGACGTTCGCACTCTGTACGAGCAACTTAGTTGTGATACCGTTGTACAAAGTATGAACGCCCTATCCATTGCTTTGCTGCGCTAATAAAGAAGAAATAGGGCCGTACCGGCTATGCTTCTTTAACTGGATTGAGCATCTCACAGATTGATCTTCTTCATTAACTAGTTATAACTTAGGGTCTGATATTACTCCTAATTGCAAGGACACTAGTAAAGTCTTCCGAGGTCCCTCTGAATTGTCCTGTGATTGACATATCAACCTATCGCAAGAGGCGGACTGTCCAATTGTCCATCTGCCCTGTCATCTGGTGCACCTATCCAAAACAACCAGTCACCAAACCCACGTACAAAGTAGGAAGGATGCTCCAGGATGAGGACGATCATGCAATGGAAGAGGAACAACCAAAATAACCGAAGAAGAAAAGCATCCTGTGCTTGGACCAATGATGTCAACATTTTCAGGGGGATCGCTTCGTCCAAATAAAGAAGAGGGACGGTGGTGGGGTTTGGTTACTTCGTCTTGTGCTGTGTGTATGGCCTGAGAAAGACTTCGCTTATGGCAGTTCATTGCCTCTTTCTGCCATTGACCCATCCCAGATCTACATCTATCTTGCTCCATCCTCTCCTTCAAGAATTCATTTCATCCGCCCGCCCGCAGAAACATCCAATCCGAACCTCACACAGACACTCCACTTGACTCTTGAGGACGCGCATTCACAACAAACCATGTCCGCACATAACATGTACCGGCGTGCCGAGGAATGCTCTACGCAATCTGCATGAAACTGTTTTGCCTAAGCGGACTTTGAGCGAATGGAATCATCACAGTCAGCCTCGCCCGAGGATCCCGTCATCATTCTTGCTACATTTCGCGTGTGTGCCCTTCCTGGGAAAATGCCCGGCACAGCAGCGTTTCAGATACCCGAAGGACCCAAGAATTCTCCTTTGCGCGCCCGGTAGGACTGCAGGCGTACAAACACTCCCCCTGATCGACAAAATTCAGACCCTGCTCCACAAGCCGCACTGCACCCCACAACAGGAGCACACTGGCAATGCGCGAGCGCGAGACAATGACCTCATAAGGTAGAATTATCGCAGTGTCGGAATGGCAATCCTCCGGCGATTCATAAAACGGCTGTCCATATCGTGCAAAGCTTTCGCATTCCTCTCGGAGAAATGAGAGTGGATGCCAAGTTGTGAAAAGACAGGATTCCACTTCGTGAATCGCACCGAAACTGTGCCAGGATCTCGTTCTCTGCAGCACGACGTTGCCGCGTTGCTGAGAATCAACACGTTCACTTCGCCGTACGACGACATACTGGGGCCAGACTCCCAAAGTTATGGCTGGCTCACGATGCTTGTTTGTACGATCCAGCAGAGAGAATTGTCCGACTCGGATCCTGTCGAGGATTCCGGTGCACCGATCCTGACGCGTACGCATCGTCTGTAGTGACTTCACCATCAAGCTCCATGGTGAGCAGACATAGCGTGAGTAGTTGCCCGAGTGTAGATTCTACTTCACTTGGCTCTGTCGTGGCTTGAACGATGAGGAACATCTTCGAACGTGGTTCGAATTGATGCTTCGCCTTTGCGCTGATTCCTCTGCGCTAGCTGCGTAGCTTAGCATAGATGGATCATGGGATCGAGTCTTGGGGCACTTGGGTGCGTATGCTTTTTCTTCGCTTGGTGACACTGACAACTCGAAGTTGGGCGTTAAGTCGACTATAGAAACATCGTCTAGACGAGCCTCGCACTAGTTCGTTGCAATTCTTGATTTGACGCAGACCACCATTTTCTGCATCACACAGCGTCAAACTCACTCATTGTGGTGTGTATGCATACTGAAATCTGTAAACAAATCCCCGCGTGAGATCTCAATATTGCTCAAGTCGTGACATCCGTACCATCTCTTCCAAATCCCTCGTCAAAGTGTTATCAATTCAAATGCCATAAGCGCATCTACACCCCAGCGCCCATCCAACCCCCCAATTGGCACAAGAGACCGGCCGCAGTAGCGGTAGTTTCAGTCGGAATATTTTTATACATCTGACGGTGGGGTTTGGTCTGGTTGGGCCAAATCCAACGTTTCGTCAGCGGCATGCAGGAGTCGCTTACGGGGTGCACATCCAGCTTATGTAGCCTGAACTACTGGGGATATATGTGCGCTTACACAACGAGTGAGCTGCTTTATCAGAGGGGTTGACGGGTTGGAAAAGCTGAGTGCTGGGGTTTGTGTATATGTGTTGGTCTCAAGAAGCGTTGAGGTCGTGTATGTAGTCAGATGCCTGCATACTGCAGAAATGACCACTGGGGATATAACAAGTAGTCACACCTGCTGGGTAGTGATTTGTCATTGAGCAACCATCACTAATTATACTCATACCCCCTTGACCTTGAGCGTTTCTTCAATGTCGCCTTCGATATTCGACTCACCGTGTTCCTTGATGTTGTTCACACAATGAATCCCTTTAGAGCATTCTCAAATTCGGTGATAACAGGGAGCGATGACAGCATCACTCTTGAGAAAACACATCGTCCTAGGATCAACGATAGCAACGCTCACCCACCGATATATTGTCATCATGTGCGAAAACATAGCCATAATTACAAACCAGCGATAGCCTGGTCAATACCAAATTCGACCGTTAACTTGAACAGCACTGACTCTTGTGATCATGGGCACAACAGATCTCAAAGCAGATGATATGCAATTCTCTTCCGGTTAGACATTAAACGATTGTAGCTAGATAACCACAAGAACGTCACACATCGCCGGCTTTCGGAAGGTAGAAGCTTTTACCCACTCAACAATGTGAAAGATTCGGTGGTTGACCAAACGCTGCGGTGACGAAATCACGAAGAAGAAACATATCTTCATTTTCTTTCTTCTTCGTTTTTGTTAACTTGTCTATGGTTTTCTTTCATTGCACGATTGCTACTCGTAATTTCGCAAGGAACAGAAGTAAATAGTCATTGTGTCGAATTCAATACATCGTGCGGGATGTGAGCCCAAGATATCACAGACATTCATTGATGAGACAGCCTGCCATCTTTTCCTTGATGACGCCTTGCAGATATGAAACGCATATGGTAAGGCAATCTTGATCCCAGTAGTGAGTGACCTAGACGCATCTTCCAATTCGTGGCTATCCCCTAATGCAAGGCTTCAGGATAACAAACAACAGGCGGGGAGGCAGTACAATTTGCCAGACTATCTTCAATTACAGTATTTGGTGGCTTCGACGTCAACATAAGCCATGTTATTACTAAACGAGAAGAAGTGAGTCCGGGGGTTAGAAGTATGCCAATTTACTCTGGTCTGGACCAATGTGCGCATAGAAAAGAAATTGATTAGAAATTCGAACGTACTTAGCACCTAAAGTATAAGCGATTTCATGTGAAAGTATTGATGTCTTGTCGTTGCAATATATTGATCCCATAAGCGTGTATCATCTTCTGAATTAGCATTACAAAAAGGTCCCTATGGTCTGATTCATTCGAAGACGAGCCCTTCCCTTCCAACAGCAGATAAAACAAACATAGCGTTTGAGAGAGAAATTCAGTAATCATGCAGATCCGCAGCATTGTTCTTGTCTTCGCTTTTCCGATTTTGAGTTTCTTCTGATCTTGGTCGCACCACTGAAGTTTCACATCAACCCGCGATCGATCATCATTCAGATCAGGAATTAGACATGTATCAATGAGCTTGGAATTTGGTGCTTCAGCAGCTTGTTTTCCAAAGTAAATCCCTCCCATTCTAATGAACTCGTAGCTTCAAAGCCGAAACTTGATATCTTACAGGCATAGAGACGTGATGCTATCCTAGACAACTATAAACAGCTAGTGCTATAATCAACTCACCTCTCCTCCCAACCCCCCTGCTATTCACAATGGCATCCTGTCATTTCTTCATGAAAAGCAGTGCACAAGCGCATATAGTCCATCTCTCCTAGTGTTCGACCTCAGTCCTTGCTTTTCGTGCCAAACATGCAGACACTTTATTGGTATACAATATCTATGCTTCCCTTGAGCAAGCCACTACCACTGTTCTAGCCGCCTCAAGAAGACAAGTCTGACATGAAGCTCCTCAAGATGAGGGGCGGGGGAGGTGGTATCTATGGTTTTGGATTGGAGGGTGTGGCGGTTCTATCGGGGGTGGGTAATTGTATTGTAATGCACAATGAACTGAGGAAGAAGGAAAATGTGTTCCAAGAATTTTCTCAATAAAGCGTCCAGACTATAATTTTTCTCTTCACTCCCAAGGTATATTCAGGGACAAATTGTTAAAGCAGATATTAAATTCATCGGTTCCTTATTTTTCATGTTCGGATTTGGATGTACATACAGCTTCTGGAACAGAAACGAAGAACCAAACATTGGAAGCAATCTAATTTGATCAAAATTCTTTGAATTAATGTGTGTTCTGAGATTCACTGTAAACGAAAGTTGCGCGCTTCTATAAGTACGAAAGTTTTGTTCTCCATAAGTTCAAGTTCGCGGAAGATACGCATCAAGACCCTATACCATCATAGACCGAGGTGAAAGTGAAGATCTAAAAGATTACACATTATGGAAATTCATATGAGGCAATTTTGAACAAGACACCATTGCGACCTACCTTACAATGAACAATTGTTTGATCTCAACGATGTGGCGTAGTTAGCAATGACGCCGAGGCGTTCTGGAACACGCAAGAAACGCGCGCTCACGTGGGGCGGCAGGCTTCCACCTGCATCAGATTAATGCACCTCTTCGCCACTTACACAGCTCAAATGAACTTAACGACTTTGCCTTCCCTTACATTTGTAGCGTTTTTCCTGCATCATCAGAGCGTTTTCCCTTGTGTCTTTTGTGTTGAAGAGTTTGGACTCCGCGATGCCTCGGACACGCTCCTCCAAAGCCGCTGAACCCGCCCAACCCGCAGCTGAACAGCTCTCCGACTCTCCCACCACCACACCAAGCACACCCTCATTCAAAGCCCACCTCGCAAAATTCCAATATGGCTCCCCATCACCATCCACCAACCCCTCCTCTCCAACCTCAGCCCGCCTCTCACGCACCATGAAACGCTCCATCTCATCCACCGACATCACCACAACCTCAACCACAACCCCAACCCGCAACCCCCGCCCGAGCAAGAAGAAGCGCAAACCCTCCAGCAAATACGCCCCCCCCTCACTCTACTCCCACCTCACCCCCCTCACCGACATCCTCGCCCCAGACCTCATCTGCATCTGCGTCGGCACAAACCCGGGCGTGCAAACCGCCACCGCGGGGCACGCGTACGCGCACCCGTCAAACCACTTCTGGAAGCTGCTCCACGCTTCCGGTATGACGCCGGACCGGCGGCTGCGGCCGGAGGAAGACAGGACGTTGCCGGCGCGGTACGGGATCGGGAACACGAATATCGTGGATAGGCCGTCGCGGGACGCGGGGGAGCTTTCGAGGGAGGAGATGGTGGAGGGGGCGGGCGTGCTGGATGAGAAGGTGGGGGTTTGGAGGCCAGAGGCGGTGTTGATTGTGGGCAAGGGGATTTGGGAGGCGGTTTGGAGGTGGAGGGTTGGGAGGGGGATGAGGAGGGGGGAGTTTAGGTATGGGTGGCAGGATGTGAGGTTTAATATGGGGAGGGGGAAGGTGGAGGGTGGTGGTGAGGAGGAGGTTGGAGGCGATGGGAAAGGATGGGATGGGGCGAGGGTGTATGTTACGACGTCTACGAGTGGGCTGGCGGCGAATCTGAAGCCTGCTGAGAAGGAGGCCATTTGGAAGCCATTTGGAGACTGGGTGCAGCAGAGACGGGCAGACCGAGGGTTCAAACCTAGAGAAGTAGAAGATGAAGCCGAGGTACCGCCTGTGGAAAGGTGATGATAGTTGTTATGCTGGGGAAATAATGAGCTTCATGTGATATGTTCCTCCTACCTGTCGAATTGATAGATGATAATGTCCAATGATGCTTGTCGAAGCTTGTCAATATGAAAATGCTACGAATTGCTAATTATAACAAGAGCCTCTCATCCACCAGCACGCATTGTATCTCCAGACGATCAAACCGCATGCGCCACAACCTTGCGTACACTGTCTGGAATCAAAAAAGTTTCAAGATCCGTCAATCAATCAAGCACCACCAAGTATGTCGTTACTCATCATTACCACCATCGACCAGTTGGTAGTGCAGTGCTGTGTTGCTCCTGCGGCCCGGCCGGCGCCCATCCAAATCGGCTAGCCTAACCATCAGCCTCACTCCGCGCGCGAGCAACGTGGGACCCCTTCGGATTAAGCTATCCTGTGTGGCGTCGGGCACAAACTCTAAACGATGCTCGCTCGACGACCGAAAGTGACCCCCCCGGGTACACACATACGGCAGTGATGAATGAGTAATAGCCGGTAATTCGCGGGAGTGAGTGTCTCTGCGACTGAGGTAATTACGGTGTCTTTCTGAATATGGTCGTTGGTAGCGCTCGCGCGAAAGACTTGCTGTTGTTAACACACGTTCATGGGTGGATGGTGGTGGTCGAATTGAGCGCAGGAAATCAAAGCGCTCGCGATTCCTTCCCCCTCTCTGCATCTGAGACGTGAGGAGGACAGCAAAAGCGCCGTAATTAGCCCATTCCATTGAAACAATTCCCTCTTCAGCTGTCAAAAAGGTATCGTGAGCGATTATTCCCATCCTTACCGTTACTGTGTACTTGTAGATGCCACACCGTGCAGCAGGCCACACCCCCGACGAACGGCTAAGCCACAATTGAAGGTCGACGATGGTCGCGTTTAGACATGCCGCTTGTTGATTGGTACCAAGGCCCCATCTCCCCTTGGCATCTCGGAAGTACGGCACCTAATTCAACCTCACCTCTTCAGAGCAAAGATTGCTGTATCGCTTCGTATCTGCGGCAATTGTCTATCCTTCGTTTTCTCTGGATAGAACCTGGAGAGGGAGAGAGAGGAAGCCTCAGAGAGACGGGAACGAAAAAAAAGGAGAGAAATAACGTTTGGGATGGAAACGAAAACGAGCAAGTATGGGAGACTACCGGGTGTCAGAAGAGCCAACGGCCCGTAACGCAAGTGGATACAAATCGACCATTATGCGTTGCGCCTCAGCAGTCATTATCCCCCAAGCACACACACAGTAGGGGGTTACGCGTCCACGCAGGACACCCAAGCCACTATCGTTTGCCAGCAGCAAGACGACCCTTGTGGCGCGAGGGCAAGGTTAGGGAAAAGAGACACCGACCCCAACCAACCAACCGATCAGCAATAATACCACCGACATGTATGTGTGTGTGTGCATGGTCACACTCACGCCTGGATGATCGGCTTCTCTCCTGTACCGCAAGTAGAATGAATTGTGGTTCGTGCCCTGGCCACCTTGTCAGATTCGTGCAGAGCAATGGGCATTTCGGATGCGCTTTCGCGGCTGAGTCGGACACCAACTTCGTTGCCCTCTGCTCACCTTGCTCGACTTTTCTTCAGTCTCTCACTTCTTCTTGAGTAATTAGTAGGCGCTGGGCTGGGTGTGTCCGTTAGTTGAGTTAGTTAGTTACCTCGTAACTAGTTAGTTAATTAGATGCCCGTTCTTAAACCCTCCGTGTGGCAAGGATTGACTGACTTATTTCCATTTCCCTTTCCCTTGGAGTTTAAAATAAAGTGAAACGGCGCCCGCTGTCGTATCCTTACAACCTTACCTAGCCACACCTCCTCACCTTAACCTCCAGTCGCTCTCCCTCCCTCTGTCGAAATAAGAGAGATACACCATCGTTGCGACCAATTCACATACACCTTACCTCAACAACGCAAACCAAAGTAAACAATGTCGCAGCCCTACCCTCAGCAGCAAGGCTACTACGGCCCACCTCCGCCTAACCAGCAATATGGTCAATACCCTCCTCCTCAGCAACCGGTATGATCCCCATCTAGACCCACACGAAGATTTGGAGTCTCCCATAGTGATCCCAAACAATAACTGACGTCAATTGAAAATAGATGTACTACCAGCAGGCTCCTCCGCCACCACAGGAGGAGAAGAAGGACCGCGGTTGCTTGGTGACTTGGTGAGTACTTCCTGATTTGTTGCGCTCGACGGGCGAACCAATCCACCTCACGATGGAAGATCGAAGTGACGGTAACTAATTCATGATTGCTTAGCTTGGCCACCCTCTGCTGTTGTTGGCTCTGCGGTGAAACCTGCGAGTGCTGCTTAGACTGCCTCGACTGCTGCTGCTAAGCGCATCACCTAAAACACGACAAAGATACGGTACATTACATTAATCGGCGGACAAGGATACGTTAGAGAGTCAAGCTTACCACCACCATGAATGGGTATTTCACAATCAAGCGAGCACTGCTTTTTTCTTTGTCTTCTTTCTTTGCTGGTCTTTTGGGGAGTTTGGATCGTCCGATCACACGCGGTCCTATGCGGGTCACAAGGTTGTATGGTTTCCTCTTTCGGAAGAAAATACTGTCCGGAATTCTGGAACCAGTGTGAATGGTATCGTTTTCATTCAATTGGTCTTTCCTACTTTGCAATTCGAACAGAGTTCAAAAAACATTACTCAAAATACAAAAAAAAAGATGGAATCCTTCCGAGGTCAATCTCATGCCTAGGAAATTCAAGAAAAGTTCCCGGGTTCGCTGTGCTGTACTACTAATCAAGACGAGAATCAGATGTTCGGCCGTTACGATAGAACCCCCTCGACGAAACGAACGGGCCTGAGAGGCGAGGTCCCGATCTCGAAATCCGAAAAATCGAAACGGGACCGCTAGTCTCAGTCGTCGTATGCCTCTTCGAGCTCTTCTTGATACTCTTCTTGGGCCTCGATCAGCTCCTGGCGCCTCTCCTCGAGTGATTCGCGGTCACTACTTGAAATGGAGTCGCCATCGGCATCATGTGTAGGGACGGGCGGTGGTTCCTGGAAAGCAGCAGGCTCCGCTGGAGGTGCCGCGGGCGGTGGATAACCAGCAGCAGGAGGGTAGGCGGCAGGAGCCGCTGCCGCTGCCTTACTCTCGTCATCAGAGTTCTCAGCTATTGCATCGTCAGTAGGTTATCAACAGGCTGGTGAATTGACAACGGGGAACGAAAATTGAGGAAGTGACATACTGAGTTCGTGCCCAATCCAAGCACCGGCGGCTACACCTCCAATTCCAGCTGCTGCGAGCATGGCAGTGGAGTGGCCCTTGTCTTTGTCTTTCTTCTCTTTCTTGTCCCCGCTGTACGGATCTCCTTGACCGTATGGGGCTCCATGACCTGGTGGAGGAGCGCCGAATAGAGCGCGCTCCTGCTCATGGCCCTGAGCTTGGCCATAGGGACCACCGTAGCCCTGGCCACCCGGTGGCGGCGGGGGAGCATATGGGCCTGCTGGTGGTGGTGAATGCATGGGTGGATCCCATTGTGTGCGTCCAGTAGCTTGTTCAAGATAGTACCAACGTTGGCTGTTCTGATCCCATTGAGCGACCCAGCCTGGTGGCATTGGTGGAGGGGCGCCGTATGGCGCGGGAGGACCCTGAGGCGGCGCTGGCGAACCACCGTAAGGTGCGGGCGAACCCGCGTGTGGGGGTTGCTGGTTATAGTAACCCTGCTGTGCATAGTATCCCCCCGGACCTTGCTGCTGCTGCTGCTGCTGAGGGGGATATTGCTGTTGAGGGGGGTATTGTTGCTGAGGAGGATAACCACCCTGATTGGGATCTCCAAAAGATCGTTCTCCTGGAGCAGCAGAATGTTCTAATCGAGATGTTAGATACACTCAGCAAATGTGCCGAGGAGGAGCTTTGGCGTACCTTCAGGTTTTGATTCCTTGTTTTCCTTGCCCTCCTTGTTCTCCTTGTCCTTGGGTTTGTCATCATCGTCCAACAGTTCCTTCATCTTCTTCTTGAGGAAGTCCATGATGGTTTATTGAATGACTCCAGTGATGAGTGCACGATGATCAAAGTGGGATATGGGAGAGTGACTGCGTACAGGCCGAGACAATGAGAGAAGCTTGACACGTTGGTAAATTGTCTGAAGAAGGCTCATGAGGGGTTTTTAAAGCCCGGCGACCAGGGACGCTATTCCACCCGCTCCAACTCCTTCACGGTGCCCCGGAGAGACATTTTCCGCACCTCAGCTGAGCAGGGACCCCTCATATTGCGTGCAGCTAATGAGATCGGGTGTCAATGAACGCCAGGGAGGGGGACAGCAGGGAGTGTTTGAAGGACAGTTATGTGGGAAAAGTGGGGTGAGGAGGGGCCTGGGTCTACTGGCGGTTAGAATGATGAGCTCCACGAGACGTCGAGAGTGATTAGTGAGACTTGGCGTGTAGGACAGTTGCTATGAAGAGAATAAACGGTTTCTGTATCAGGGTGCATGAACGAGATGTGGATTGGCCATGGTGATCATACTGGTAATTGACGCATGTATCGGGAGAGAGAGACTGAGACTGGATTGGGAAAGAATGAGAATCTTTACGGAGCTGGTCAGGCCTGAGGTGGGGTTGATTATGGAGATTTGGTATAGAATTACCTGAATATGCTGTTTTGGATGCGGATTGTGATAGTATAATTCGTGATAGTCGTAGATAGCAAAGTGGCTATGGCACACGAGGCGGTGCGAATCTTGGCAGGAATGGCGCATATGTACGACAAGCTCGATTGCAGAAAATGGTTTCGTTTAGCCAACGACGTGTATGGCGAGCCGCTGTCCTCGGAGATTGGCCTGGCGATCGCTTTTCGGTGAGCAGGAGGTCCCGCTCTGTAGAAGATTCTGGTCCTATCTGATGGATATTGAAGTTCACTATTTGCTATGGAACTGATGCACAACCATGGCTTCTCTTTCTGTCTTGATGATGATGGATGATGATGATGCTGCATATGCTTGGATAGCGAGGTTGTGCGGCACGAAAAACGGGAATCAACAGGCTTAGGAGGCGTACAGAAGTGAGATACGAGTCAAATCAAGGATCTTTATGTGAACATCGATAAAGCCCATGAATCAACTGTGTGTGTATTCGTGTGGTGGATGACCTTTAGTGAAGAGCAGGTGGGGGCTCTCGGGAGAATATTGCGGGACATGCGGGACATGCTCGGGAAGGCGCGCGAAGTGCTGGCAGGGAAGGAGCAACGAAAACGAAGAGGAATTAGGTGCCTAGGAAGTATCTATGGAGCAGACGGTAACATGTGCAAAGGGATGGGATGCTGTGCAACAATTTCATTACAACCAGCCCCAAAGTATTGCTGGAGGATGAACCGCCCTGACAGAAATGGTTGAAAACGGCAATGTCTCGCGACGAGGGGCATCAGGGTGAGGGGGTGTTTGGCAGGGAACGTAAGATTGGGTCTAGGTTGCTTTGAGGTTAAGGTTTAACGTTTTGTAGGCATAAATCATGGTACCTAGGGCGTGATGGATGGGAGATGGTTTCTTGAAGAGAGACAGGTAATGTAAGAATTCGGACGCATGGGGAGAGTCAGGAGCGTGTCTATTGTGAGTAGTCAAGTACTACGAGTAGGGTCGAAAGGAAGGACTCTACTCTACCCACTTACACAGTACATGTACCTACCTAGGTACCTAGGCTAGGTTATTATGATATTGAAAGACTTCACAGGTATTCATCACTTGACTGGCGAATAACAGTACTGATTATTGCCGCTTACTATGTGGGATTATGTACCCCAGTGGCAGTACGGAGAATGCATACGGATGACCACGTGAGGAAGTGCTTGCCTGCGAACGAGGACGCTATCCTACTACACAGTACATGTACCTACCTAGGTCGGCACCTGGGCACTTATTGAATATACAAGTGCCTGCTCAACATTGAGCTAAAGTCAGACAGAGGGCTGCGTGCTATAGCAGTAATTACTCGCAATTATGCTCGGTACATAGTAGTTGCGTTTATACATATACATTCAATAGTTACATGTTTTTATGAGTACACACGTCTAGTATTAGTACTCGTAGTAGATAATTGATAATACTATTCCTGCTTTGACCGTCAACTGTACTGCATGTATCAAAAGTGCCGGAAGATCCAATACGAAATAGGCTTAGCTCAACTGAGGGCCAGCCAATGTATGGAGCAATAATAGCCTTGAATTATGTAGCAGAAGCGATGATTCTTTCATCATTTCCATCATCTATCATATATCATCCATGATATGAGGTATAGGTATAGGTAGGTGACTACTCGCATGTATGTACATACGAAGCAGTAATTGACACGATTACAGAAAAGTACAAAAAGTACACGATACACACACAAAGCAGGTACGACACGGGCTTCACACGAAACGAAACAACACCTCACTCGCCCGCCTCACCTCACCTCATCCGAATCGTCTGTCCTTCCGCCGTCCTCCGTCACCATCTCTCTCTCTCCCTCTCTCTCTTCTTCTTTTTCTCTCTCCTCTTCTACTCCGCACACCGTTCAGTTACTATTATTATAGCCTTCACGATCGATCACAGGTACTTGTATAGTACAGCGTAGGCACGCACTTCCACATTTTGACGCACGCGCATACCCACCCACGTCACCTAAGCCCCAAGCTTTAGTAGCGCCTCTACCACCTCTCTTTCTCTCCAACTTACTTGTTCTTCTTCTTTTCCATCGTCGCCATCATTGAATAACCTTCCTTGCGACCTGTATTTGTACCCTCCTTGTAATTCATACATGTATTAACCATATAGTCTGTCCGGGTTCGGATGCAGTTTCCAACTTCTGTTTCTGTTCCTGTTCCTGGACTTGTCGAAAGGGTGTTCCTGACCTGGACCTGGATCTTTCGCACCCTTGTCCCCTTGGTCAATGGCTCCCGAAGCCTCTCACTCTCGCTCGTAAATCCATTCCAATAGCGATCCAATACCCACCGTTCCAAACCCCCAACTGGGCTAGTCGAGTCGAATATCAGTTGAATCCAGAGATTCCAGACCACCTTGGCCCCTTCGTCACTATTGTCGCTATTCTACTCGTAGGGTAGCCTGGCGTCCTTCTGGCGTATTTTCTGTTCCTCGATCCTCGATCTCGATCCACACCTTTCCCATCTCTTCCCAGCCAGGACAAGTCTCATCCTGCCATCGCTTCGCCAGTCTCTCCACCGCTGCCAGCTCTCAGTCTTTTCTCACCACTACTTACTACTTTGCTCTGCCTGCCTGTCTGTCTGCTGTCCGTCTATGTCTGTGTGCATCGTCATTGTTCCTACCTCTTAAAGCCGCCTGCTTCACGGCCGTGCAGAACACCCAGTTGGGAGCTGGCGATCTACTTCCGCCACATCGTTGTTGCTCCCACCGCTGCGCCGTCTCCGCTTCCCCCCTCCCCCTACGCATCTTCTGTGGGGCTCTAGCGACCACCGCGCGCCAGCGACTGACGTAACTTGGAACTCACCCGCCTCTCTATGCAACCGCCCAGGTCAATATTCACAGGTCACAGCACGGAGCCCTTTGACGCTTCTTCTACACAACAACATAGCGGAAGACGCTCGAGCTTCTCGGTGTACCACGATCCTTTCAACGCCCCATCCGAGCCCTTCTTCGACCCTCACCTCCCCTCGCCTTCCTCCTCCTCGGCCACCGCCGCCGCAGACAGGCCACCACCGCTGTTGTCACCCTCACTACCACCACTACCCGCTGCGTCCAACTCCCTATTCACATCCACGCAGACCCCATGGACACCACACCGGCCCTCTGACCCAAACATCCATCGACGGCGGTCCGTATCCGCCTCTCACAGTGGTGTAGGGCCCTGGAGATCAATTGAACCCGTGCAAAGCCCCCCATCGCTCGCAGGCAAGAAGCGCTCCACGCGACCGCACGCAACACCAACTGTCGACGCATCTTCTCCCGTCTCGTCGAGCGAGCCCTTGCACAAGCGACGACGGATCCCCAACCTCGCGAGGCACACGCTCGACCAGTTCAGCTTTCGAAAGGCTTCAAACTTAAAGGATAATCTTCAGCCCCCGTCACCGCTCTTCTTCTCCAACTCCCGCCGCGCTCGGCCGCCACTTCCAGCCAGGTTCTCGAGCTCCGAAGCGGCGGCAAGGATGCTGAGTAAAGCGCGCGGAGAGGAGACCGGCATCAAGACCGTTACCCTTGCGCGCGGAACATACAGTGGATTAAGCCCTCCAGGCCTATCGAGCGTACCAAGTAGTCGGAATTCGGAGCGATCAAGCCTTCCACGCACATCATCACCGGACGCAAGAGAGAGGAGCGATCCGTTGAGACTTATTGGGTCGATTGGTATCGTGGAGCTTCTTGAGCAGGATGCGCGACCAACCTTCATCGTTGATGTTGAGAACGCCTCGAATTTCACACCAGGATCGACGTCTCTCCAGATTCTATTCGCAAATTCTGCTCTGCGATCTAGCGCTTCGACGTGGGAATTAGTTGCTGGCAAACCAGATGCTGACTTTGAGCCACATATAGATGATCCTCCTTCGCATGCTTCTATTCAGTTCAGAGGGTGGCTGCTGAGCGCCGGAGCTTCAGGTGAAGCCGTCGACGCGGATCCGGCACCAATCAAACATGGAGGCATCATCTGGTCTTGTTCAACCTTGAGAAAACGACTTCGTGTAGTCTCGGGCACAACACCATCAACCATTTCGCCAGATGTACCCTCCACCAGTGCCACTATCGATTTTCCAATCCCTTCAGCGTCCTCGATTCCGCTCTCCACAAGTAATGGCGTAGACAAATCATCCGCTGCAGGGGCGCATCTAGAAGCACAGGACTATTTTGGCAATTCTTTACCAACGCAAATGGAGATATCTTCCGATGACCCAAAGTTGGCACCCTCCCCACCCCACAGCGAACCTGGCCTCGTGACAGTTGGTACAACTGATGCTCAGGGCCGAACCTGGCCGCGACCGGACAGAATTGAGATGCCAGCACTCGGCGCCTTGCCGTCGTTTACGAATGAGTGCGTCCTCCGAGCACATTGCGCCGGTGATGTTGACGCTTTCCATAGGAATCCCAGCCCTCCTGCAGAACGCGATGTGGGGTTCTTCGACTGGACACGACTATCGCTCTCGTCTTCTCTTCCTCAACACATAGAATTTGCACGTTCCGTAGATTGGGCGGCAACTCCACTGGGTCCTATAGAGTATTGGTCGAACGATCTCAGAGCCATGTGTAATCTGATCATGTTAGCCATCCCCAACTAATGTTGCGATTATTTGTCGAGTGCCGAACTAATCCTAGCCAGGGCGAGTCCTCACCCAGCAGCCATGTACTGGGGCGATGAGCTTGTCGCTATCTATAACGAGGCCTACATAGGTATGATACGGGTCAGTTTGCCACTATAATATCGGTTCTGACATTTGCACAGGCCTCGCTGGACAGAAGCATCCCAAACTCATGGGCCAAAGCTACAAGATAGCATGGGCTGAGATCTGGGATGATGTGAAAGAAGTATTCGCGAATGCTCGGCTGACTGGTCAAGCCACCATGAAGGTACGCTTAAATGTCGATATTCTATCGGCGAGGGCTAACTCGACAACCAGGATGACGACTGCTTATTCATGAAGAGGAATGGGTTTCTGGAAGAAACATATTTTTCTTGGTCAATCATTCCAATGGTTGGTGAAGACGGAAGTGTCATGGGACTGTATAATCCAGCGTTCGAGAAGACACGCCGCAAGATTGCCGAACGACGGATGCTAACGCTACGCGAGGTCGGTGAGCGGACCGCTACAGCAAGAGATGTCAAAGGTTTCTGGGAGCAAGTTCTGGCCGCACTGATGGAGAACGAACACGACACGCCTTTCGCAATGTTATACTCGGTGTCTGAGGACAACGGCAGCGACGCTTCCTCTCTTCACTCCAGTAGTCTTCTGGGCTCCAAGCAGTGTTATCTGGAGGGAACTCTCGGCATTCCAAGCAATCATCAGGTAGCCCCTGACCAGATCGATTTGAAGGAGGGCAATGAGGGATTTGGGCCCGTATTCCGCGAGGTGATGAAGACGGACAAACCCCTTGTACTCAGCATCGGTTCTGGCGATCTTCCTCAGGAGATGCTGGATGGTCTTGAGTGGCGAGGATTCGGAGACCCTTGTCGGGACGTTGTCGTGTGCCCTATTCATCCTACGACGGGAGATAGTATCCTCGGATTCCTCATCGTTGGCGTAAACCCCCGTAGGCCCTATGATGATGACTACAATCTTTTCATCCAGCTTCTCAGCAGACAGTTGGGCACTTCGCTCGCATCTGTAGTACTCTTCGAAGAGGAAATTCGAAGAGGTCAAAAGGCTGCGAAACTTGCAGCAGAAGACCGAATCATCTTATCAGAGCAGTTGGCTGCTCGGACACAAGAGGCTAGGGACAGTGAGACTCGATTCACAAGGATGGCGGAATATTCACCGGCAGGACTCTTCATTGCTGACCACGACGGGCGCATCACCTATTGTAACGATACTTGGTACGTCATCTCACGAGTACCAAAGGATCCCCAACAAACGGATAGCTGGGTCAATTACGTGCTGGAGGAAGATCAGAGTCTCATACGGCATCACTGGAAAAAGCTTGTTCAGCACGGAACTGCCATCAACATTGAATTTAGGTTCAAGACTCCTTGGGAAGACCGTAATGGCAACAAAGGTGACACCTGGGTTCTCTTTAGCGCTTTCCCAGAGAAGCATGACGGCGTCCTGAAAAGTATATTCGGAAACATCACGAACATCAGCTCCCAGAAATGGGCGGAAGGCTTCCAGAAACGAAAGATGGAGGAGGCGGTCGAGCTCAAACGACAGCAGGAGAATTTCATCGACATCACTAGTCATGAAATGCGGAATCCTCTCAGCGCAATACTGCAGTGTGCCGACGAGATTTCGACAACATTGACCGAATTCCGTGCTTCAGGTGCCTCGGACATTTCCCCGAATACTGTGACAGACAGTATCGACGCAGCACAAACCATAGCATTGTGTGCGCAGCACCAGAAGCGTATTGTTGATGATGTGCTCACACTTTCGAAACTTGATAGTGCAATGCTCATGGTAAGCAAACATTCCTGACTTCGGTTGCAATGTACTAATATAGAGAATGTAGGTCACACCAGTCGACGCCCAACCTTTGCAGGTGGTGCAACGGGCATTGAAGATGTTTGAGGGTGAGGTTCAAACCGCACGCATCAACATGGACTTTGTTGTGGACCGTTCCTACAACGACTTGGATATTGACTGGGTCAAGCTGGATCCTTCGCGTGTTCTTCAGGTACTCATAAATCTGACAACCAACGCCATCAAGTTCACAACCACCGAGTCTAGCCGTACTATCAAGGTGATTCTCTCGGCATCTCGAAAGCGCCCGTCCCAAAAGCAGAATCCTACAGTCGACTTCTTCCCATTCAAATCGAAACGAGTCGACCAGACACTTGGCGCTGATTGGGGTGATGGGGAAGAACTGTATTTGGAATTTGCTGTCCAGGATACGGGCCGCGGCCTTACCGAAGAGGAAAAGAAATTGCTCTTTCAGCGGTTCTCCCAAGCTAGTCCCCGAACACACGTACAATATGGTGGTTCTGGCCTAGGTCTTTTCATTTCTCGCGAACTTACTGAACTGCAAGGAGGTGAGATTGGTGTTTCGTCCGAATCCGGAAAAGGCAGTACATTTGCGTTCTACGTAAAGTGTCGCAGGAGCCATGAGCCACAGGATCCAGTTGAATCGCTCCCGTCGACGATCATCACCAGACAATTGTCAAATGCCAGAGAAAGACCCCAGATAGAGCCACCAAAAGTCAAAGACTTTGCCCAGGCTCCAGAGCAGACCGTTATCGAAAGCCTCAAATCACAGAACGCTCATTTGAAGGTGCTAATTGTTGAAGATAATATAGGTGAGTTTCTTCGGCGTTACGCTCCATCAATCAAGTTTCTAAGCCACTTCAGTCAATCAAAAAGTCCTCCGCCGCCAATTGGAGAACAAAGGAGTGCAGACCACTGTGGCTAATCACGGAGGTGAAGCTCTTGAGCACCTTCGTGAGTCACGCTATTGGAAGGAGAACGGACCAGATGCCGCTGATCTAGGTGTCATATTAATGGACAAGGAGATGCCGTAAGTTTAACGATAGAGCGGTCCTGGCCATCGACTAATGTGTCAATATAGCGTAATGGATGGTTTGCAGTGCACAAGTACCATCCGGGAATGGGAAAAGAAAGGCTTCCTCAAGGGCCACGTACCAATCATTGCAGTCACTGCAAATGCTCGCAGCGAGCAAATCGCTACACTTCTTGACGCGGGAATGGTAAGGCCCCAATCCAGAACGTACGTTTTGCAGCCAACTAACTGATTGGAACAGGATGATGTTGTCTCTAAACCCTTCCGCATTGCGGAACTGATACCCAAGATAGAGGAGCTCATGTCTCGATATCCCAAACAGACGTTAGACGATCCCCTAGGGCTTGTTGTCCCAAGTCGTGCACAAGCTAACCTCGGCGCTTCTTCATGAACGCAACAACGCTAGCGATGTTTCGTTGCGACAGCTTGCATTTTATCTTCACGAACATAGACGTTTCGAAGTGCATTATCAAGGTTCTCCGCGGTTTTGGTCAGCCAAACATGGGTCGACCACAATGGTGTTTTCGGTGTCTAGAGAGTTTTCTTTGAAAAAGTATAAACATCGACCCTGGTAGGGTTGTCATGGATCTTTTTTTGGCGTTTGGGTAATTAGGGCCGTCCCATCTGGTCATTTACACGACTACGATACGATTGCCCGGGTTTTGGTGGGCTTGGGATCACTGCTGCATACCCCCTTTATAGTCGCATGTGCACTGGACATACTCGATTAGCGACTGTCTTTGTTTGGGCAACTTAGGAGTTCTATACTACACCACTACATAAGGGAGGGAAAGGGAAAAGGTCATCAACGATACTAGATGCAGATAACGAATTTTTTGATCTTCCAGCATTTGCAATACGATATACCTCTGGCCTCTTTGGGCCGGGTCGGACGAAGGAAATATCATGTTGGTCAATCCTCCGATGGACTCGATTATACTGGGATGATATTGGTCGCTCGGATGTATGCTGGCGAGCTTCAATCTAGATACAAAGACACGAAATATACGTCAGGCTTTCAAAACCGCCTGAATCATCGCATGTTTACATGAATCCTATTCAAGCCAAAAGAAAAAAGGAACAATAACGTTCATACATACACTAGACATCGACATGATCTCCACCTAGACTGCAATTCGTAGGCCCATTCCCATTGCGTAAACGCGTCCCCCCCCCCCCCCCCACTCCGGTCCCCGCGGACGCCGCCCGTGCCGAGCGAGCGAGTCGAGAGCGGAAAAGGGCTTGATGATGCTTGACTCGACGACGTCGCAATCCACGCAATCCACTTTCCTGTCCTTTTTTTTCCCTTTTTCGACCTACATCATCGACTTCCTGTTCGATTCGCGGTTTTTGCATTGCATCAAAAGACCGAAACGATGGCGCGCTTGTCGCTGTAGCACTTGAACAAGAAAATAAAGAAACAAATTACTGCTTTTGGTAATTTATAGGGCTCTCTGTACCACCACCACCACCTTCGATCAGATAAGGGGGGGGTGGTCGCTTGATTGGACGACGAAAGAGTTAGGGTGTGTGCGACAATGAAGTCGAAATGGATCGCATCGCTCACGCAGCACGGCGACACGCCGCCTTGGGGACTCAAGTTCAGGAGCTCGGATGGGTTTATCATTGGGACGGTAGCGTTGGCGGTTTTTACTGTATGTTCACCGACCGTATGCTGGGGGATTTCCCTTTTTTTCTCTTTGGAAATTGAGGAGTTGAGTGTGATGAGATGTGATGTTAGAGTATGGATTGGGGGTTGAATGTATTTGCTAATGATTGTGGATACAGGATATGTTTCTCTACGGCGTCATCGTGCCTGTGATTCCATTCGCTTTGCAGAGTCGAAGTCACATCGACGAGGACCGAGGTAAGTACTTCTACATATGCAACCCTTCCTATCCACACCCCAACTACCTCACCATGACACACACACATTTACATACCAACAACTAACTTCCCACACAGTACAATACTGGGTCTCCGTCCTCATCGCCATCTACGGCGCCGCGCTCCTAGCATTCAGCCCTATCTGCGGCTGGCTCGCGGACCGCACGTCGTCGCGCCGGTCGCCGCTGCTGCTCGGACTGCTGGCGCTGCTGGGCTCGACTGTGCTGCTGAATGTCGGGAGTCGGATTGAGATTTGGATTGTTGCGAGGATTCTGCAGGGGGCGAGTGCTGCGGTCGTGTAAGTGTCGTTCCCCTTCTCTTCGTCTCTCGGTCAGATATCGTCCTGATCGATTTCTCCTTTCCCTGAATTTGAATACTAATAGCTACACAGATGGGTCGTCGGCCTCGCCCTCCTCGCAGACACAGTGCCCCAGGAGCGTCTTGCGCAGGCCATGGGGTACGTCAGTCTGGGCATGTCGCTGGGCCTGCTGATCGCGCCCATGCTGGGCGGCGTCGTGTTCGACCACGCGGGCTACGATGCCGTGTTCGGCATGTGCTATGCGCTCATCGGCTTGGATATCCTGCTCCGGCTCCTGCTCGTCGAGAAGAAGGTGGCTGCTAGGTGGGATCCTGATGCCGCTGGGAGGGTACGGGTGACGACGTCGACGACGACGACGACAATGGCCGATGGAGAAGTGTCGAAGAGTGATGAAGAAGCCGCACCATCAACCACCCACCCTGACGCTGGAAAAACACCACCACCAAGTGACCCAGAAAAAGGCACAACGACAACCTCAACCACTCCCACTCCCACCCCCAACACACCTCACCCTCATCCCCGCACAAGAGACCGCCTCCCACCCCTCCTCTCCCTCCTCTACTCCCGCCGCCTCCTCGCCGCCCTCTTCAGCTCCATAATCCAAGCCTCCCTCTTCACAGCCTTCGACTCCGTCCTCACCATCCGCGCGGCCTCCATCTTCTCCTGGACCTCCACCGGCGCCTCCCTCCTCTTCCTGCCCCTCGTAATCCCCACCTTCCTCGCCCCAATATACGGCTGGCTCGCCGACCGCATCGGCGGCCGGTGGCCCGCATCCCTCGGCTTCCTGCTCGCGACACCCCCCCTCATATGCCTCCGCTTTGTCCGCTCAAACACCCTCCACGACAAAGTGCTCCTATGCGCCCTGCTCGCCCTAACAGGCCTCACCCTCTCCTCCACCTTCCCGCCCATCATGGCAGAAATCTCCTCCGTCGTCGAAGCGAAAGAAGCCTCGATGGTCGCCCGCGGGGCGAAGGGGTACGGTGGGCCGGGGGGAGCGTATGCGCAGGCGTACGCGCTGTTTAACGTCGCGTTTGCGGGCGGGTGCGTCGTGGGACCTTTGCTTGCCGGGTTCGTGGCGGAGGAGCAGGGGTGGGAGGATATGGCGTTGGTGTTGGGGCTGCTGAGTGCGGTTACGGCTGTGCCGGCGTTTTTGTGGTTGGGGGGTTGGGTGTTTGGGAAGAAGGGGGGGAGGGAGGGTGATGGGAATGGGGATGGGGAGAGAGAAGGGGGAACGTAGGTGAGATGGTGTGCTTTTTGGTTGTTGATAAAAGTTTCTCTAGTCATACCCTTTCCTGTGTATATGAGCAGGTGTACAAATATATATTCAGCTTCGTAAATATCAATCAAGATCAATTAGATCCTGGGATGCGTGCTCGGTCGTTCAACATCGTGATACTGGCTATCTATCGGTTCGGAGAACTTTAGTTTTGACACTGACAGTGGTCAGTGATCAGAGCAGGGTCCCTTCCATCTTCACAAGTGGAGAAGAAATAACACGATCACCGAAAACGACACCGTGATTCCATCATTGAGAGACATATCCATTCTATTGATAACGAACCCATCAGGTCAAAGGAAAGAGTCGGCCGTTGCTAGGAGGGCCTAGGAGAACCACCAAGGTGCTCAGCAGTGTACATACTATGTGGGGAAAATCAAGAATTCGATCTTGATACCCACTTAACCATACCTCCTCCCGCCATACTCATCGTTACCGCCACCGCTGTAGCCTCCTCCACCGTAGCCTCCGCCGTACTCTTGACGTCTGCCGTATTCATCCTCGTCCCTGCGGCCGTATTCGCCCTCGTCCCGGCGTCCACCTCCATATCCGCCACCAGAGCCGTAGGAATCACCGCCGTAGCCAGAGCTCTCCTGACGTCCGCCATAGCTCGATTCCTGCTGCTGGTGTCCGCCTCCGTAGCCTCCACCGTACTCTTGACGTCCACCGTAGCTAGACTCCTGCTGCTGGTATCCGCCTCCGTACTCCTGGCGTTGGCTATGGCCTCCTCCATATCCGGAGGACTCATTCTGATAACCGCCGCCATAGCTGGAGGTCTCCTGGCGTCCGCCGTAGCTCGATTCTTGCTCTCCATATCGCCTCTCCTGGCCGTAGCCCGACTCCTGCTCTCCGTATCTTCTTTCCTGGCCATACTCCTGGTGGCTGCTGGAGTGGTGGGATTGGCGTTTGTGCTCATCGGATGATCGTCGCTTGTACTTGTCTTCGTCGGAGTCGCCATCGTTATCACGCCTCTCGCGCCTCTTCTTCTCTTCCTTCTCCCGTTTCTTCTGCTCCTTCTTGCGACGCTTCTCGTAGTCATCTTCTCCGGAGTCTCCTCCCGATTCATCCTCAGAGTTACGGCTGTATTTGTCTTTCTTGCCATGCTTCCTGTTCACTTGTTAGCTATCACTACACAGGGATTTGGACGTGAGATGGTATACTCCTTCTTGTGAGAATAGTACTGGCCACTGTCATCGACGCCTTCTCGGCGGTCCTCTTCCTGCCATCGATTGCCGCTTTCAACGCGACGCTCTTCGTGGCGCTCGTAACTGCCGGATCCGCCATAGCTGGTTGTCTCGACCTTCTGCTGGTAGCCATACTTGCCACCGCGCTCGTCCTGTTCGTAGCGAGAGAACTCCTCACGGCGTCCACCACCAGGGTATTGCGTCTGGGTGTACTCTGCTTGGCCATATCGTTCGGAGTCATCGCGGGACTTCTTCTTGTGGTGGCCTTTTTCGGAGTAAGATTGCGAGTACGAGCCATCATCGCCGTAGCTCTCGCTCTTCTTGCTCTTCTTCTCGTCTTCACCGAAGGCTCCACCGAGGAGACTTCCTCCAATGCCGCCAACGAGACCGCCAACGATGCCACCGAGAGCACCACCTCCGACCGCCTCACTGGCAAGCTTTCCTGCATGTCCACCGATCTCCTGGAAGGCCTGGTCGCCACCCTTCTTGCTTCCGCCAGACGAACCGCCGAAGTCGTTGGCCATGCCGATGGGCTTTCCGCAGCCGTGGCCCTTGTCGTGCACTCCGGGCTTGTGGTTACGGCCCTGTTGGACTCCGCTGCGGCTAAGCTTCTCACGCAATTCACTCTGGCCACGCGAGCCCTGTTCGCGCCACCAGTTCTCAACGGTGCGGAACATAAGGGCACGGCCATCGGCAGCGCCATCGTCGCCATATCTGTACAATGCCGGGTGGTGGAACACACCCTGCACGATACGCTGAATGGTACGCTCAGCATCGACTCGGTCGTCGTCCCAGCACTGCACGATCTGTGGCACGACCCACTTCAAGACCTCAGAAGCGATGCGGCCAGCGGGCTCGTTTAGGACGTTGCTGAAATGATCCTTGGACAACATGCTGTGAGTAGGGTCGGTGGAGTAATCGTCGTTGAAAACAACGTGCTGCTTGTCGCGAGAGCTGGAGATGACCTCGGAAGAACCGGTCTCGAGCTCCGCCTTGACTTGATCGATGATGGGCAAGATGTATGGAGCCAAAAGACTGAAGACGAATACGGTAACCTGCTCCTGGACCTGCTCAATAAGCTCGGGGAGGATGGGGATCTTCTCGATGAATGCGGAGATGGACTGCATGATATCGTCGTGGAATTCCATGATGGGGTAGATCTGCTTGACGAGCTCTTGCATCTGCTGGGTAAAGGCCTCTGGCTCCTTAGGAGATATGTGCATATTGCCCATGGCTGCAGCGTTGGCGTTGTTCTCCAATTCGTCGGCCTTGCCTGCTTGGTCCTTGCCACCAAAGATTCCGTCGGGAAGCTGGCTGAGCAAGTCCTTGATCTTGCTCTTGTTCTTCTTCCTATCGGCATCCGAGATGGCACCCTCCAGTTCCTGAAGCTCAGACTGGGTGGCCTTGTCGTTGAATTCACCCATGACACTGTGAAGGAAGTCGACTCCTCCAAAGGTTCCAGTGACAATTGGGTAGACGGAATCCCTGGCACCCTGGACTCGAAATTGGGCGCTGCGGCCGACGTGAGGGAACACGTCGCGCTCACCGAGTTCGATCAAAGCAAGCTCGACATAATTGGAGTGGGCAGAGTAATCCTCAAGACAATGGCAGGCGGTTCCGAGAAGTCGAAGTGCTTCGTAGAAGTCTCTTCCGCGTCCCTGGGATCGGCGTCCAAGGTCTATGCAACGGCGGAACAAATCTCGGACCATGCTTGCCGAGGTCATGATACCCAAGTCCTCGGACGCGATATAGTTCTTCAGGCCGGTTCGCTCATCAACACTGAGTTCGCGCCTCTCGTCGATGGGGCCACGGAGACGACGGTCGTACTGACGTGCGTCGATATTATCGGCATAGTCCTTTCCTAATCAGCCTGTGTCCATTTCTTCATGCCCTATATCAATCTCACCTTGGGGTTATCGATATGTTCCTCGGGCCTGTAGCAGCCAAGCCTCTCTGTGGTGACCTCGAACTCGCCAGTTCCGTATCCGAAGCTGAGGAATCCAAGAATCCAGATGAGGATGCGGATAGCCTCAGCAGATACCATCTTCACGGTACCGACCTATTGCATCATGGTCAGCATTTGGATTCTCATTGTAGCGGAGCTCTATGATCAAGAGCTGACATTGAATTCTAACGTACATCGACAGCTTGCGAATAGTCACCTATCCGGGATTGTCAGCATTCATCTCCTCAAGTGAAGCACCGAGCGTAGATGTATAACTTACGAAGCCAATTGCCAAAGTAAACACGCTTGACGTCCATCTTGCTGAACTTCTTGTTGGAGCGGACGGACATGAGCAGGTTGAGCAGGGTATCCTCGATATCTCCATGGCGCCAGTTCTGGCCCTCAATCTTCGACAGCGAGGCGATGTTGCCGGCACCGAAGGCGGCGGTCGGGCGTGCCCAGAAGATCAGGAGCACCAGACATGGTAAGAGAATGGAGCTGATAGGGAGCTTGGGAGGAGGCATAATGGTTGCTGCACACTATCCAAGAGTAGAAGTGAATGTGTACGAGTGAGTGTAGGTTGGTTGGTTGTGATGGAGGTGAGATGAAGCAATACAGCACTGGTGAAAGGGTGCAAGTAAGCCGTAAGGAAGCTGTTGTTGGAAGAGAGGTTGTTGACTTTTCAGGGTGCAGCCATAGACCGGTTTCAAGTTGCTTTCGCGTCCCCACAGCTGAGGGGCAGCAACGTGACCTTGCCAAGATAATGACATAGTGAGGGGTCACTGGTTGTGGCGCTGGAGGTGGCTGACGACGAGAGAAGCGAGCGAGGGTGATCGACCGAGAATCATTGCTTGACTTGACGCCAGAAATCGATGAGCACTGTTATCGTACGCCAATGTCTACTATAGATCACGAAGGGGACTGACACGAACAATAACAATAAGCATTGTCTATTAGCCGCTTTGTTTGGGGCGTTGGTTCTAGAACTAGCGCATCTCTCTCAATGATCAGTGACTACTCGGACACAAATTGTGGTCACGTGCAACATAGTGAAGCCTCTCTGCAAGCAATCTTGCATCCGTTCAAGGGCTCGATAGAAGACCATCCGTATCTACGGTCCACTAGACGCCCATTTCCTTATCGTACGAGGCCTAGTGGTGGGATTGTCTTTTCGATTAAAAGGCACAATATCCAGGTAGACGCACTGTTAGATGCAAGATAGATAGGAACCGCCTCGCCAAGTGGTATCCATGATTTATAACCCCCAGGCCCTATATGTGATAATAAAGGAACGGCCATTAGACTAGATAGCCGTCCAAAATAGCCTTGAAGATTGAAGAGGGGCGGTCCCTCCCCAAGATTGAGCAAGTTCTTGCACCCTTTTTGTCTATTTTAGTTATTTTTGCCTGGTGATTTATGAAACCCCCCCTCGTCTGATGGATAGACCATTTTTGGGCATTCCCCAACGAAATCAATTTTTTTCATTTCGATGCACCCGCAATCAATATCCGATGCCGCTCGCCGAGGAGGCAAGAGAGCCCATCTGCAGCCTCACGAAAGGAGTCGCAGCGTTACATGGCCTGTTGCGAGTGGCCTTCTCGGGCAGCCTGTGATAATGCAGTCCCGCTTGTCTGGTATAAGAGAGGTGTCAGTACGCCGTCTTGTGTCCTGCGAGGGAGCTGTCCTGAGCCGGCAGTAAGGGAGGCCGCAACCCGCAGAACCACAAAGATGGGAAATGGGGGATCGCGGGATCGACCGGGCAGGACGCGTCATGACCGAAAAGAGAAAGTTTGAAGGGAAAGGCTGCAGCGCATGATACCATCCAAACGATGATCAAGCAATGCACATTAGGTGAGGAGCACAACCGATGAGTCGAAATTGTGAGCCGCCCTGTCAACGCATCCTATATTTCGTCCACTTAATGGCGACATGGGAAAATTTCGCGGTCGCGGTCGTACGGGGACAGGCCTAGATAATGGCCGCATCGGTTGTGTACGTGAACAGAGTGCGCAGACATGGCCTGATCCCGCTGTCAGTAACAGTGATGGTAACAGACAACCCTAACTATAGACCTGTCAAAAACCTTGTCACTCTTCGTTTCTGCACGCGGCCGCGGCTGGAATAGAGAGCGCCAGTCCACGTTTCGTGTACAACTGTTGTATGGATAGGGGAGAACTTGCCGCAATGAGAATCAGCTGTCGTGGCACGCCCGCGCTGCGCTGCAACGTGACTCCAGTAAGAGAGTGGAGAAATTCGACGTTGTACGACTTTTCAAAAGAGCAACGACAGTGCCAAGCAGATCCACGCCTACTTGCATCTGACAGAGGTGTACACGCTCTAGTGCGGGTACAAATTTTTTTGACATCTGCAAGCTGCCCAAGTGCATTTCCTATTTCCTTCTCTTGCAGCTTTGTGCGACTCCGCCAGCTTCAATCATGACACAGCGAGTCTACAGGTGACGGGTGTCGTGGAAACTCTTGCTAGCAACACGACAGGCCGCTTAAGAGGGAAACTTTATCGTTCTTCGTCAACGATGGCATACGCAGTTGATGGCGACCACTTCAAACAAGGAACGTCCAGAAACTAGGGTATACAAATTCCTCCTCAAAAATGCGCCTGACTTGTTCCAAAATAAACGACTCGACCTTGCCCACATTCTTGAGTACTTGCTTCCCACTTCCCTTCTCACCGATCTCGCTTTCCACCTTGATGTTCTCTAGGAGTCCACCAATACGTAGTCGGCGCCCAGCTTGATTGTCCTGTAACTTCGCGTCCGACTGGAGCGACTCTAGGCTAGTGTCACCGCCGACTAGTGCATCTGCATCCTCGGGGGATAGGAAACAGAAATGAGCACGCTTCTTGATGTAGGCCAGGATCGCAACTCCATCAAAGGTTAGGCCGGTGATGTTGAGCTTCAGAGGAATGCCCACGAAACTTGGCATGGGATAGTCGAGAAGTATTTCAGCGGTAAGCGAGATTTTGACGTCTCCAGAATACTGCACATGTGCCACAACCTGAATGTCCTCGGGACTCTTCTCGCGCATGCGGGGCGGAGACGCAGATGTCGTACGGTCGTATCCTGCCTCTGAGGGAGCGCGTACAGAATCGGAGATAGGATTACTGGTTCCGGCATCAAGCTCATGTTGAGACGATGGGCGAGTGCTGGGATCAGGATTCGACTGTGGTGTCAGTGTCAAGGAGCCGAAAGAGGCAGCATTTCGTAGGCGCATCTCCGTTGGGGTCGTTGGTCGGCCATACGGATAATCAGGCCAGCCCTGAAGCTGTGCTCCAGCCACGGCAGCGAGCGGCGTCGTGGCACCAGAGAGTCCCGCTCCCAAGGGAAGATGAAAGTAATTGATGTTCGAAGTGCCTCCAGGAATGCCAGGTGTAGAGGCCCGGGCCAGGAATGGGCTGCCGAGGGGATCTGTTGGTGCCAACGTAGTTCGGAGTCCAGGTACTCTGGCATTTCCGTATGGTGGTGCCAAGCGTGATTGACTTGACGAGTTGATATCTACATTGGACGGGTGTTTTTCGGCCTCTCTGGCACGGCGCTCTTTTGCTGTGCGTGAGGCGGGGTCTGTAGGGTCGGGTTGGTCGGCAGAGGTCTCGCTGCCGCCTTCATGCTCATCTGGATAATCTTCATCCTCCTCGTAAAAATCTGGCAGCGGGTCGCAGATATCCTTGATCTCTATTTCTGGCGGCACGCTCCCAAAGTCGAACGAATGGACGCGCACAGAACGGATGAAACGCGGCAGCGTCACCTGTTGAAATCTGTCGTGGATAAAGGCGCGAATGGACTCTGCACGGGCGATCCCATCTGCGCCGCCGACAAGCGTGTCCCAGCTGATATCGATAGACATCGTTATTAAGACACGGCGTGTACAGAGTAGCGGGGTGGTTAAAACGGAGGGTACGTTATGGAGGAATATAGAGCTCTTCACGTAACCAATGTGATGTGCTCAGGCCCTGCCAGCCCTAGCACATCGTCCAGCCCTAAACTTGATTAGGGCCAGGCAAGCCACCCGTCACCACCCATCACTCGTCACCTCAACCCTGCCACGCCTACCAAATCGCCAACATCACCATAACCACAATCACTCTGGCGAACCGAATGTTGAGTCGTAGTAAAAAGACGCCTCGAATGTCCGACCAGTAGTGGGCGTCATTACACGACCATCACCACACCATGGTAATTGTGATCATCTCAACATAGCACGCTCAACCCGCGAACCCTAGCCTGTTGTTACACCTTCCTTCCGTACCTTAAACAGCCTTGCCAACCAACCCTGCCCTCTTTCCTATCTCCTGGCCTTTTTTCCACTTCACTAACTGCAGATAGAGAATGCCAGACATCTAGGCAGGACTGACCAACGGAAGACGCAAGCACTTCAAGACGGTGTGAGCTCCGGATGGCTTTCCCCTCTTCTTATCAAAGCTTGCATATCTATGAGCAAGTTCCTAGGTGTGGATATATGTGCAGAATCTCGAGAAAGCTATATAGAGTGTAACCGGTGCAGAGCCGCATAGCAACGCAGCACATGCTCGGCTGTCGATGCACGCGCATGCCGTCCGACATCTTTGCTGGCTCAGTGGTCGCAAGGCGGATTGCGTGACGGACAAAGTGGTCCAGGGAAGGAGAGTATCAGGCGAGTGAGAGACGTGGGCGCAGTCGCAATGACTAGTAGGCGGCAACGGCGATGAACGCAAGCTGCATGGTCTGTAGGGAAAGTAGATTAATCGACCAGCGGGCCAACGGCCGGGCATACAAGACGTAGCGTAGAGCAAGGGCTCCCATGAGCATTGATATCTCGGCCTGGAGCAAACTCCGCTCCTGGTACATACGCCGCATGAAAGAGCGGCGCAGAACTTCAGGCTACGGTGCCTGCGATATTGTTCCTGTAGAGCTCACCGTTCTCTTCATTCAACCCCGCGTTGGCCGGGTGGAGGTGCTTCTGGAAGACGACGGCTGGGCAATTCCCATGTCCGAACGAGGCACCTTGGGTATATCAAGTCAAATATAACATATTCGGGTCGGCTATATGAAGATCACGCCTACAGCATATACTCGTAGAGGCTTAACTCGCCGCATCACTGTCACATGAGGTTCCGGGAGTGTTGCCTAGCCAGTGTTGATGGATCGCAGCTCGTTGTCCCATTCAACTCATGCATCTCGCTGTCCTCATAATCCCGTCGGCAAGAGATGTCTGGCCGGGCGCGATTTCTGCGTGGTCAACGGGCCGACCCCTAGCAGAGCGGGAGGATCGCTGGGGGTTGATGCTCGCCCGTCTGACTGTATTGCTCGTCGTTCCCGGGTTGAGAGAAGAAAAGGCTGTGGACCTTGCTGCGCGATTCTGCATGACAGCAAGTACTATGATCCGACTGCACTTATCACACCCTATCACATCTGGCCTCTTGACACCAATCTGGTCCACGACCGCACCTCCCTGGACCCAAGTACGACGCATGCAATAATGGGGGATTGTGGGCAATATCGAGGGAGAAGGACGCTGCTGGGGCGAGCAGGTGACTTGCAGGGTTGCCTTCGAAGTGTTTCGTCTCTCCGCATCGAGTGAAGCTCCGTGTACCATTTATTCCAGCTGTTTTCTCTTTCGCCGGACGCAATTGGCGTCTCGACACGATTGGCGAAAAACGGTGTTGCAGCTGCGGCTTTAATTCGTCGCTCTCGGCAGATCACCGGCTGATGATTGGCCCACAGGCTGTTTGAATGGGATCCCGCGTTCGCACAATGGTTAGAGAAGGCTGGTGGTGGTAGAAAAGATATGCCAATACAGAACAAACACGTCCCTTCTGGACGCTGTCTGAGGCGCTCATGCATTAATTGAATTCGCTTTTCTGTCTGACTGCGCTTCCTCCCCGCTCCCCCGCCTTGGCGCGCCACGGACATCCTAGGAATAGATATCGCGAAAGAGAGGAAACCGGAAATAGATATGAAAGTAATGAGAAACAAATCATGAGTAACACCTATTTCGCCCGCACCATGTGCTGTTTGCATGAGCGGCGCGATGGCGCGACCACGGGAAAGGAAAAACCCCCGATTAGAAAGAGACGAGTAATAGAAAGCCGCACTGAATACAAGTTGAAGAAGGGCAATGCAAGACCAGCCTGGGTTCAAACGCCACACTCACAATGATCCTTGTGGAGTTCCCAATGCCCCTGTTCAACGCCTATTGCTTTTCATCCGTGACGCCGTGAAAAAAATGCATCCTTGGGTGGGAGATAAAATGATCGATCTGTTGCGACGGTCGCTCCCGTTACCGCACGATTAGAATGTTTTGGAGGCTGTGGAAATGTGGGTTTCCTTGCCGGCGAAACCGCTGGCGGCGAAAGCGCCTCCGGATCCGAGGGTTGACACCCGCGTATATGTGCCACCGGCCATCATTAAGTGTCGTCCGGGTAAAGTATGTGGTGACACGCTGTGATGGGGTTTGTCAGACCTTGTACTGTGTATGTGTGACGGGCACGTAGTAGGCGCGTGAGGCAGTGGAGGGGGAGCGGGTACCTGTCAAGGATCACAATGATCACACTTCTCGTCGTGCTTCACGTTTTTGACTTTGTCATCGTTGCAATGGGAATTTCTCGAGCGGGCGCATGGTGCCTTCTCTGTGACCTGATGGCCGCAGCTGTAGGAGTGTACCACTCTTGTGCACATGTTGTACGATTGAAGCGAAGAGGTATGGAGGATTCGACCGTTGAGAGATCAAGTAGAGGAAGATGGAGCCTTCGTTTCCTTTTGAGAAAAGGGAAACGGCGAAACGGAGAGACTTTTGGGTTTGGCGGGTGCGGGAGAGGCGGGGTGTGGATTGGGGGAGCTGATTGGATGAGCGGCGGAGCTTGGGTGGTGGGATAGCTTTGTTTGCCCTTTGGCTTGGACCTGAGGGATGTGTGGGAGCTTCGAGACCTTCCCAGCGTTTGCGACTTGCGACTCGTGACTTCCAAGGTTGCGACCAGAGACTTGTGACTGGCGACTTGTGACCTTCGGGACCTGGGACCCTTTTTCTACTTTTTGCCTGATAATTGATGGAACTCGATGAAGCACCGGCCGGAGTACGGAAATTATGCGGTCTGGGCTCGGTGGTCCAAAATAGGTGGTTTTTTTTCCCTGGAGGGAGGGGGAAAGTAACTCCGATATATCTTCTCTCAAAGTCAAGAAGATGAAATGAGGCTCAAGGGCGATGGATACGAGTTCGAGGACGTGCACGAGCAGAAGTAGGAGCACGAGCAGGAGCACGAGCCTGTGAATGAGCAGACGGAGGTGGATGCGGAGGTTAGAGAGTATTTGGAAAAGTGGCGCGCCGGGGAGCTATGGCGGAACTGTCGGTGGTTTGATGGTGGAAGGGTGACACAGAGACCGAAGCAGAGTGATTTCGTTCAGGAGAGTGCAATTGAACTCCACCAGGTACTCGACTTATATGTGTGTGGTGGTGGTAATGTCGTAGCTTAGGACAGGGTTATCTGTGGTGGTGGTGGTCGTCGTCTGGCAGCAGTGAGGTATGGAGCCAGGAGGGGATATGCAGCAGCGGTGCTGGCAGCAGTAACAACAACAAAGAAGAAGACGATGGCAACAGCAGCAATGCTACATGTACATGTGCCAGTGTAGCAGAGGAATGGCGTAGAGTGGGCCGTCGTCAAGTGGGCAGATGATGGAGGGCGGATAGATGATAGAGTAAGTACTCAGGTAGGTACTGTACAGTACAGTAGAAGAAATATGACAGAAGGTCAGGGAGTCAGGGAGTCAATCCGAAAGGGAGCAAGAGCCGTGGGGGGGAGGGCGTTTTTATACAAGCATGGCAGCACAATTAGAAGAGGATGGAGTACGGAGTACAGAATATAGAGGAAGGAAAGAAAGAGGAGAGAGAGGAGAAGAAGAAGATTAGAGGAGAGGAGAAAAGAAGACCCAGGGCCAGAGTCGAGCCAGAGCCAGAGTAGAGGGTAGAGGGTAGAGAGTACCAGTAGTTAGTAGCACTGTATGACTATGTAGTAGGGCAAGGGCACCAAGTTGACGGGAGCTGTGCGTCTGAAGTTGTTTAGATTACTGCCGGCGTTTGTAACGTTGATGTGCGACGAGACTTGCACAAGACAGGACAGCCTACAAGGAAAGGGACAGGAAGGAAAAAGAGAGGACAGAGACAGGACAGGATAGGACAGGATAGGAAGAAAGGACAGGGCAAGGTCAGTACAGCCGTTTGGCTCCGGTGCGGGAGAGCAGTCGAGCAAGGACATGTACTGTAACAACTCTAACTATTACCTAGGCTAGGTACCTGCCCTATCCTATCCCATCCTATCTACGCACCTAAACTACTGTTGCTACTGGACTAATACTGTAACTACTGGAACTGTACTGGGACTGGAGCTGGAACTGCAACTGGAAACTGTACAATTTGGCCCATTCGCGGCCGTCCCAGGGTCCCCTTGTAACAACGAACGACTTTCTTGCAAGGCACATCAAAGGACAAGGGCACAGGGGGCACAAGACAAGGGCACACACACACACAAACACATACACATACACATACACCACACATCCAGTGAGTACATGAGTCGCCCGGGGTGGCCCCGTCTGCATCGTGCAGCAGTACCTAGGCAGTAGACCTGCAGCCAGCACAACGATGCAGACGAGACGCAAGACGCAAGACGCAAGACGCAGACGCAGCGCAGACGCAGAAGCAGACGACGCCAGCTCCAGCACCTAGTTCTAGCACCAACACCACCATCAGCTCCATCACCCACCAGCAGCGGCGGCGGCGGCGGCGGCAGCACCGCAGTGGGCGGGTAGCGAGCTGCGTGTTGGGTCAAGTTGCGTTTGTTCCATCCCCTCCTGTCCTAGGGACGAGACGGACGCCTATGTCTAATCGAATGAAAGGATGGATGGATGAATGTGATGATGAATGTGATGAATGTGATGGCAGGATTGATTGACTGTGATGGGGTTGGCCAATAATTCCATCCCATTCCCGTCCCAATTTGGGCTCATACACCTTCTACCGCAGGCGGATGTAGGCATTATTGGCCCTACCCTGACCAACTACCTACCTAGATACTCCGTACCTTGGTACCTACTCCTACTCCTACTGCCACTTAAGATCACATTTAGATGTTCCTTCCTTCTTTCATCCTTCCATCTGTTCCTTGCGAACTATATCAAGCGTGTAGTATAGGAGGTATAATATAGTGTATACGGAGTATCTCATACTCAATGCCTTAAAATATAACCCTACTAACCATGACCTTCTACCCCCCCTGAAGTATCTATCTATTTACTCCGTACCTACCTAGGTATACTGTATTCCGTAGACCTCCTTCGTACTCCATACACCTAGCAACAGTTGGGAGTAGAAACAAGGTGGGTGACTACTATGAGAGGTACCTAGGTATATGTATAGGTATAGGTATAGGTATACTGTATAGGTACCTAAGGTACCAAAGTAACCTAACTATCTAGTATCAAGCATCATACAGTTCATACCCCCCTCCAAATAGACGACCATTACTGTTGTGTACTGTGCATTAAAGCATCCTCGTCCTGTGATCCTGTTCATCTTCTTCCCTCCCCGTTCGCCACACGCCCACACATACGCACACTACACGCCATACATCACTCAACACAATCTCCGTCTCTATCCTCGCCTCACCTCGCCGCTGTGGAATATTCATACTCCACCTACCACGGATTTCTTACTGCAATAATAACACACTCCGCAGTCTGTATGTGCTCTTCCGCATCCCATTCATTCATTCATTCACCCATCCTTACTAGTACTACCTCGTAATATCTGCTGTCCTCGGGCGCAAACACGTATTATGTACGTAGGCGTGGACGTTATTGTGTGCCACCACCCACCACCCGCCTACAGGCTACGGGAGCACACCTAGGTAGGTAGCACCTTAGCACATACCCTACCGTGCCTACCCACCCCCACCCCGGCTCCCATCACCTTCCCTCCCCTCCCCTTCCCTTTCCTTTCCTTTCCTTTTCCCTACCTTTCCAAGTTCCCAACACACAGTGCACACACACACACACCCATACGCGGAACAAGTCTTACTGTGTAGAATCCAGATATCGATACAAAGTAACTACCTCGTACGCGGAGAGAGTACTCCGTACTTACTCCGTATAGCTAACTCGTCAACTACCTATACCTAGGTACCTTCCGACTTCCAACCTACGAGTACGGAGTACGTACATCCTCTCTAACTACATACTCACCTTGGACTACCCAGGATAGTCATCCGGAATATCCCATTCATCTCCTCTCGCTCCACACTTCTCTGCTCTACTTTGTACGTACGGAGTATGTGCGTACATATGTACATACGTACTCTGCGAGTCTGCTCTCCATCTAAATCCCTCGCCTCGCTCTTCGCCCCTCCTTAGCCTCGAACATCACTGCCATCTGTCCACTAAATCAACGACCTACTGCTCGTCCCACCGTTGACCCTAGTGCCGCATGAAGCACTGCAGATTCAACCCGCTGCCCCCCGCGAGAAACCTCCGCCGCTCGCTCGCTCCTGTCGATTCATCGCGCAATGATAGTCAAGCCCCGACCACTAAGCCACTAGCTGTGCACCTTGAGCCTGGGGCCTTAGTCAAGCTCGGAAATCGGTCCTCACGAAATCTCTAATTAACCCTCACACCATGTATCAAATGGCTCGCATTCTAGGACGTCTCACATGTCACCAGTCTCCGTTATGCCCAAGTGGGAAGGGTTCAACAGAGCTTCCCCGTATTACAATCTATTTCAACCCTCAACTACCTGGGTACCTAGGTACCTAGGTACTCCGTACACATTGTTATTGCATTGTTTGTACGGAGTACTAGTCACAGTACAGTACAGTGCACTGCTAGTTCAAGGGAAAGCTGGTTAATTATTGGACGGCACGCACAGAATGCTGTGTGGATCCAGCGGAACTGAACCCACCCAATGGCATGAGTGGTCCCGTCGTGATCTCAAAATGGCCAGCGCCCGGTCTGCACCACATGAATCCTCAAGGCTCGCTTCAAAGAAATGGCATCAGCCCTGTGGCCTGACTCTCCCGCTCCCCGTCCAGCGATCGTTTCTCTCTCTGCGGCTTGCCTACCTATAGGCTATGATTGCTCAACGGCGGCGATGCCCTGCAACGGCTTGGACTCAAGCCACGGGCTGCGCTGCGCTATTCATTCCATTTCCTGCGCACACGGCGTCCATCTTTAATGCTGAGTTGCCCACCATTCGCTGTGTCCCCTCCACCTTTGTTCACGCAAGCTCGATTGCCTCTCTTTCAGTAAACAAAACCCCAGCAGTTCTTCCAACCGAGCTCTGCAATCTGAATCACGAGGACGAATCCCACGCTCGCCTGAATGCGCAGTTCCGAGAAACGAGAAAAGAGTAAGAAAAGCATGCCCATAGCGGTAAAATGATTGTCAAGTACTGTACATATCATGGTCAGAGCGTCGTCCAACGCTGCAGTCCCTGCACCCCGACCAACGATTCTAACGCCTTCGCACATGGCACCCATGTCTTTCGTCTGCGACCTCTTTTCGAGCCTGAGTTGGGTTGGTATGGTTGACCGTCTGCGGATGCCTTTTCCTGTGTCGCATCTCTCCCCAGCATGCACCACCTTGTCAATAGCGACGGGTACGACCACAGGCAGCCGCGCCCCCTTGCGTTGCCAATAAGGAAACATACATACACAGACTCACGTACGATGCTAGCCCACACACGAACTGGAGATACTCTCTGGTGGAGGAGCGGGAAGGCTGATGCGGCGAGGCGAGGCGGCTAAGCCAAAATGGCCCAAACGGCCAAGCTGCCCCGGTCATCTACAGACTGAACAGACTTCTGAGTTCATTTGCGCATCCCGGCCCCAGGAACTCATTATCAAGTTAGGACTGTTCTTTGTAGGTGCATCGGCCGCGACTCAGTCTTGTATGTCATGCCTCGCGATTTCACGAATGGAAAGATCCACGAAAGAAAGGGCCAAACGTGACGAGGGTCGAGCGGGCTCACGCTCATACTACTGTGCCCATCACATCCGTCCAGGACACTAACGTCCAAAACCTGCATGCGATGTTGCAAATGCCGGGCGTGGATTCGTGTGACAGCCGCCCGAGACCAACCAGCGCCATCACGGTGCTGGTCCTGGGAGCAAAGAATACTCCGATGCACAAGAAGAAATCTGCAGTCCACGTCAAGACAATATGCCCCGTGCGGATGCATGGGACTTGCCGTACCACAATATCCAGTTCGACGCGTGACGAATCACGATAGCTCCAGCTGTATTTTCGATCATTCGTTTGCTTTTCGAGGCAGAAAAGAAAAGAATGGATCCTCAACGTCGAACAGTGGAAGCCTTGAAGTTAGCGTTCGGCCCGCCCGCCGATCTTTGAGAACAGACCACATTGCTCGGCAAGCGAAGTGAGGAACGCCTGAGCGTGTGGCTTCGTCCGTTATTTCTTCATCAGGGTGAAACCATTGTTTCATATTTGTTTGCTCCTCTCGAACAATCTTCTCTAATCTTCCTACACTTGACTGACTACCTACTATTAACTAACTACAATTTAGGCATGACTGCCCCAACCTCCAAATGGAGCTGGGCATAGGACCCGTGGGATCGCGGAATAGTATTCCATTCAAAAAGCAACGTTCGCCTCACAGGTTTCTTTTGTTTCTTCCCAGTCTGCGACTTATCACCGTCTCGTCCGGTCACCAACCGAGACGCCATCACCGTCCAGCGGCGTTTATCTGCCTACGTGGACCGGCTACGCTCGGCTATACGGGGTTTCCATCGTGTTTGTGGACTTCAAAATCGAAAACGGCTTGATCACCGAGTACCCCCACCGGATCTGCCTTCTCGAAGTAGAATGCGGGGTGCCGAGTAAAAGCAAAGGCGCTGTAGGCATGGATGGCAAAATCAAACCCTGTAGCAAGTCCACACATTCACCAAGAAACACCAGTCGCGTTTCAGCCCGAAATCAGAAGATTCGAGGGCGAGATGTAATCAAATGCCACTGCTTCCGAGGCACATGGAGCACATTGGAGAACAGCCAATACGTAGTTCTTCGTGCAATACCACGTAACCTCCTTCCCTGTGAAAAGCCACGAATTCATGCAAAACAAGTTGAGTCTCATGGAAACCTCAGCGATGATTCATTGCATTCTTTCAAGAGATATGCCAACATGAGCTTGGTGACTCCGACGCTTGTATACCTCCCGCATGTCATATATGCTCAATCCAGGGCCACAGTCAGCCATAGCTTTTTCTCCTTTCATTCTCGCTCTTTCCTCGTCTCAGCATTGTAGATGCACAACGAGGTACATATCTCGGCATACTGCTAAGAGCTCGATCTACCAGGGTAGTAGAAGCTTCCTGGCCTGGAAGTTGTTTGCCATACGCCTTGTCCACTTTAGTGGACGTCGGAGACAAGACATATCTAGGATTTCTCACAGCACCATACGGAGAGATCGCGATGCCAGTGTAGATCATCTCTTTGTTCATAACGATGATCTGTTCGACCATATAAATCCCGTGTCACAAACACAGCACATGACCATTAACAAAGGTCATCCACGCGTAGAGACAGGGTCAAACCTCAGAAACCGTGTCCTGGAATATATTGATCGATTGTACCTGAAACATGGCAAGTAAAACATGATTGCTTGTTCTTCTCGCGCCAACGGAAGTCGCAATCGCGTATGTCACCGGGAGTGTGTGATGTTGCTACCGCTGGACATGCGATTGGTAGTTCATATTTCTATTCACACCAAGTTCGTAAGTACTAGTTGACAATGCGCGAAAATAAGAGAATTTAATCCTTGTCTATCTTTGGGCACCAACACCAGCCGTTAAAAGGTAAAAAACAACGAATAGAATTAGGAGGAATCTCGGAATCGACCGGTGTGGAGGAATTAGTGCCTAAACATGGGTCGCAATCCTCGGTCTATCATTATTATTGTTTTTTCTTCTTTCTGTTCTCGACACCATCCAATGGCAGCCTCGGAGGAATTGACCAGAATCACAATATGCCGACAACAACGGAAACAACATCAATCCAACGAGTATGAATGATTCCCACGTTTTTCATATCTTTCTCGATGTTCTCTCGTACAACGAAGTTGGAAATATCCCCCACGTAAAGAGCCTCGGACTTGAACGTATCATAGAATCAAGTCCATAAGCTTCGTCCATACCGCCCCGCCACTCCTCCATGGGCTGAGAACACACCAGTAAGCGGATGGCTGCCGGGGCTTCAGCTGCTACCGCGGCGGGCGTTGCGTTCGTCACAAGTCTTTAGCTCGCATTCGTCCTGCTGTGCCAAGTTATCAAAAGGGCAAGCTCATGCCTAGGGAGCGGCTGGGGGAGAGAAACGCACAAATCGCGGCAGTATCACACGTAATCTGTAGGAGTCAGCGGATTGATACGACGGACGCTGTTAGGCCGAGCAGAATAATGCTGTTATTGTATGTGTGTACTCGTAACAACACTCCACTGGCGTTGCAGGTTTCCGAATAGGGACCGCCTCGTTTTTTAGACTCTAACCGCGCCGTTTGCCGTATCCCGCTTCCGAGGCGGGAAGTTTCTTGTTTCAATAGCTCCAGCAAATTACAACCACAAACTTCGCCCGAAAGTTTAAAAAAAAACGGAAGCGGGCAGACGATGACGGGCCGTTTATTTCGAATTTCTGGTGTGGATGTACCTCTTCTTCCAACATTTCGCGCCAAATATGGCGAACGAGTAACGGATCGCAAATTTAATCAAAGTTTCGCTTCACTCCAACGGTGCGTATTGGCATTAAGCTCCTTCTGGTATTTATGCTTCCCCCTTCTGGGGTACGATAAGCTCCGAGGCAAAAAGAAAATTGTGAATCCTGCTAGGACGGCAATTTCGAGACAAAGTCGTGCGGTAGCGAAACGTTTATCAAATCTCCAATGACAGATCGCGGGTCGCTTCCGAGCATATTCGCAACTCGCTCCCCTTTTTTCCAAGGAGGGCAAAGCACTATTTATTTTACTACCCGATCTAAGAGATTTTAAAAGAAGCTACAATCTAGTAATAAAAAGTACTTTGAAACGTAATATTGATGTTCAAACATTTTAAATTATAAGAGACATTAGAGTAACTATAAGGGTTTAAGCAGGGGAGTAGCTCATTATGAAAGGAATTACGGAGTACCTTTAGATACTTTTACTATCAGCCCATGCTAAATAGTGAGCCCGAAAAACCTCCTCCAGCGGACGGTATGCAACGCCTAACTCATTGACGCTCCTACTGTGATCGACTTTGTATCCAATGCCGATGTTGCCTGACACCCACTTCATCGACACGCCAATGAATGGACCTGCAGCATACACCATCAGCTTAGGCAAATTCCGTGTAGGCAAGAGTTTCGGCTGCCTATGCACCGGCCGAACATAGTTTGCCATATCCAACAAGCTGAGGCTCTGCTCGCTCGCAACGATGTATCTACCCTTCGCATCGACGTTCTCTCCCGCCTTGACATGCGCCTCAGCAACATCACGAACATCCGCGACGGGATAGTGAAGCTCCGGCGCGCCCATCTTGTTATCGCCTTGATACATGGCCTCGAGCATGTACAGGGACCCGGAGGCCGATCCGGGCGACAGCGAAGGGCCCACGACGAGGCCCGGGTTGATGACGACGAGGTCCCATCGCGTCTGGGCGTCGCACATCTTCCATGCTTGACGTTCTGCGACTACTTTGGAGTAGCTGTAGGGGTTGTTGGTGGCGGAGCTCGTCTGGTTCCAGTGTGTCTCTGAGAGAGTGCTGTTTTCCATCTTGAGGATGTCGACGCTGTCGCCATACATGGCGGCGACTAGACTGGGTATTAGCTACATGCGAAGACTACTTCTAAAAGGAAGGGGAAGGACGCACTAGATGATGTCAAAACGACGCGCGTGACGCTGCTTGTCTCGTCGACGGACTGGAGCACATTCCGAGTTCCACTCAAGGCTGGCTCCACACACTCCCTCAATCCGTCCTTGATCTGCTGGGGAACCAGGAAAGGGGAGGCAACATGGTACACGATGTCGCAGCCCTTCATTGCATCGAGGAAGGAGCCATCCTTCATGAGGTCCGCCTCGAACAATACAAGTTTGTCTGGGTAGACTGACTGGAGAGATAGCAGTGGTTTGCACTTGTTGGGATCCTTCAGGCTGCGCACCGTGGCGTGCACTTTATGGCCATGCTCCAGGAGCAGTTTGACCACGTGCATGCCAATGAAGCCTGAGCCGCCGGTGACAAGTGCCGTTGACATGGTGATCTTGGGATGTAGACAATTGAAGAGCTGTTAGGTGTGTCTTGCGAAGTTGATTGTCGCAATAGCTAAAGGGCAAGAGAATGTCGAGCAAGATGCGAACCCAACAATACAGACTTTCTTCATCTTTTCTGCTCCATCGTCACCGCCCTCCCGGTAGGAATTGATACCTTCTAAATCGGGCATATCTCCAACCATTGCGCTCACGAGACTCCTCCCATCGGGCAAACTCCTGTGCGAGCGTGTGCGTAAATTGGTATGGACTCGCGAATCGTGGATTAGTGAACATAGGAAGGATTTCCCATCCTCGGCAACAGCTATGGCGCAGAACGCGAATCGATCGGTGTGACCTTGACTCCGGGGGAAGTTTTATCACGTTGGTGGAAGGTGTGGTGTGAAACGCGAATCGATCGGCTTAACCTTGACTCCGAGCGAGATATTGTCACGTCGGCGGGAGCTGTTGATTGCGCACGCAACATGCGTGGGCTGAGTGGGCAAGGCGAAGGCTGGGAGAAGAAAGGTACAGCTAGATTGCGATATTTGAAAATATATATGATCTATGTCGTAGCAGGAACAACTTGTTTTCTTGACCACATGGGCAAGCACCTGTGTTGTCCAGGGTCTATAGTCATGTCTGAGTGCGTACAAGAGCGAACTTCAAATTTCATATTATCGAGCACATTACTTCAATAAAGCAATCAGTAGGATTATTGTGAGATCGTTTACTAGTTGACCCCTTGGTTGCAATTTTAATCTTTCAGTGATACCTACTTATAATACCAGAGACTTATACAAGGTTCATAGTCAACCGTGAGTAAGTATGTAGCTATACACAAATTTCCACGCAGATTTTACAATGCCCAAGGAATTGATTCTCGTACGCCACCACCCAGTCTGACCAAGAGACATTCAACAATTGATTCAAAGCTAACGCTTTACTAGATTACCGGCGTGTCTTGACATGTCGGATTCCGCACTCTTGTAGAAGCTTTCTCTCGAAATCATCGTGTTCGTGCTATCGTTCGCAGGATAGAGCAAGCAGAGCAGATACATAACGCTGAACCTACAAAATCTTTCCCAGCAAATTTGGAGGTTGTGGTCATCAATGAATTACTTCAGGACGGCGCATTTGACGCTGTTCTGGGTGATGTTGGTGGAATAGTCCATGTGGCAGCTCCACTTGCGATCACATCGAGATTGCAAGCCCAAATTAAAGAAGCTTACCCAGTTAGAAGAGGAGGCAACAGTCAGCTATGCAATCTACACTTGATATACCTTGTACATTTTCCCCTACTATACTCGTAGCATAGGTTCGAAATCCAGAGAGAATGGACATGGGATTCGCGTGGATGATGGCATGGATGTCCGATAGCTAACAGTGCGACCGTTGAAACTAGCTTCTTTGGGAAGCTAATGGATGGCCCACAAATGCCGAATGTCCAGCCAACCACATAGGCATCACGGTTTTATTTATTTGTCGTCATGGAATAGGTCATGGAAATCACAACCTAGAAACAACCCAGTAGCACTCGCAGAATTGCTAAGCACTGCTATCTAGATTCTCATTCTCGATCATCGATCGATGGAATTCTGGCATGGGAAAGTCGATTTGGCATGCCGAACCCTAGTACCGCCACGCCGACGCGGTCCAAAATGCCGTTCACTATGACCCGTCAAAAACATCATCAGCACTCCAATTGGTGGGAACTACGCCCGAGCCCCTGTAGCCTCCGTGGAGATGTTACAAATAATGTATGCGGATGAAGGACCCAATTGAGCAGCGCGTGGGTTTTTCTTTGCTATGGTGTTCGCGCCTGTGGTTGCACCACACTGATGTGGGTGGTGTCGTGATGCTTCAATGACGTCTCAATGAAAGCAATGGAGAATTGACATGATAATATATACTGCCATCCTATGCCACTTGTTTCTTCTGAAGCTGCTATTCTGGTCCTCTCTAAGTCTACAATTACTTTGTCTGACTATCTTGATTGATTACTGATGGCATCGCAAATCATCTCCAGCATATCAGAAAAAGCCAAAGAAACAATGTCTTCTGGCCAATCTGCTAAGGTCGCCGACCTCTCCAAGGTTACGAAAGATGTTTTCGACAAGAACAACAGAATCACAAGCGACTTCGGTGTCAAACAGACAAACACCGACGATTGGTTGAAGGTGGCGAGTGAGGACAAGACTGGTCCCATGCTCCTCGAAGACCCATTCGCTCGCGAGAAGGTCAGAAAATCAGCTTCTGTTAACTTTCCCACGCATCTGACACAGTTTCTAGATTCATCGCTTTGACCATGAACGCATTCCAGAACGTGTCGTCCACGCACGCGGTTCTGGTGCCTTTGGAAAGTTCACTCTCTTCGAGTCCGCTGCCGATGTCACGTCCGCGGGGGTGCTCACTGACACCTCCCGCGAGACGCCGGTTTTCTTGCGATTCTCCACTGTCCTTGGTAGCCGTGGGTCGGCTGATACCGTTCGCGATGTCCGTGGATTCGCTGTCAAGTTTTACACTGAGGAAGGAAATTGGGGTAAGTAGTTCGAGTAAAAAGCTGGAGAAACGGCGATGTTGACAAGATGTGTAGATATTGTTGGCAACAACATTCCTGTCTTCTTCATCCAGGATGCTATGAAGTTCCCTGATGTTATTCATGCTGGAAAGCCTGAGCCTCATAATGAAATTCCACAAGTAAGTGGCACTAAATTGGTCCGAGAAGATTTGAACTGATCATACGTACAGGCACAATCTGCCCACAACAACTTCTGGGATTTCCAGTACATGCACACTGAGGCCACTCACATGTTCATGTGGGCAATGAGTGACCGGACTATCCCCCGATCGTACCGTATGATGCAAGGATTTGGAGTGAACACGTACACCCTCACCAACGACAAGGGCGAGAGGCATTTCGTTAAGTTCATCTTCACCCCTGAGCTCGGCGTGCACAGTTTTGTCTGGGACGAAGCTTTGAAGATTGCAGGACAGGACCCTGATTTCCATCGCAAGGATCTCTGGACAGCAATTGAGAGCGGGGCCTTCCCCAAGTGGAAGTTTGGTATTCAGGTGCTGCCCGAATCTCGGGAGCACGACTTTGACTTTGATATTCTCGATGCCACTAAGGTCTGGCCAGAGGATGAAATACCCATCCGCTACATTGGTCAACTTGAATTGAACAGGAACCCTGACGAGTTCTTTACGCAGACCGAGCAAGTCGCTTTCTGCACTGGTCATGTCGTCCCTGGCATTGGCTTCTCAGATGACCCATTGCTGCAGGGCAGGAACTTCTCGTACTCTGATACTCAGCTGTCTCGTCTCGGTATCAATTGGCAAGAACTCCCTATCAATAAGCCAGTCTGCCCGGTTATGAACTTTAACCGTGACGGCGCAATGCGTCACACCATCACTAAGGGAACCGTCAATTACTGGCCTAACCGCTACGAGACCCAACCTCCCGCAACCAAAGAAGAGGGCGGGTACCTCGACTACCCAGAGAAGATCGCCGGTATCAAGGCCCGTATGCGAAGCAAGAAGTTCAGGGAGCACTACAACCAGGCAGAGCTTTTCTACAACTCATTATCATCACATGAGCAGTCCCACGTTCTCAACGCTCTTGGCTTTGAACTCGACCACTGCGATGACCCTCTTGTATACACGCGCTTGACCGAGCGTCTCTCCTTCATCGACCTCAAGCTTGCACAAGACGTAGCGGAGATGGTCGGCGGTGACATCCCACAAGAACAGAAGCGTCCGAAGCACAACAAGAAGGCGAAGGGCTTATCACAAACCGAGTTCCCTCCCTTCGAACCTACTATCGCCACGCGCCAGATTGCCATCATCATTGCCGATGGCTACGATGCCGTTGCATACAACGCTATCAAGGCTGCTCTCTCTGCCGCGGGTGCCCTCCCATTCACCATCGCCCCTCGGAGGAACAAGATCTACGCCGAAGGCAAGGACAAGAGTACGGGCAAGGGCGTCGTTCCCGACCACCATCTTGAAGGCATGCGATCCACCCTATTCGACAGTGTCATCGTACCCGGTGGCGCCAAGTCCGTAGAGACACTGCGAAAGAACGGCCGCGCCGTGCACTGGATCCGCGAGGCGTTCGGCCACTTGAAGGCCATCGGTGCTGTCGGCGACGCCGTCCAGTTCGTCCGCGACGCCGTCGACCTGCCCGGCATGGCGTTTTCGGAGTCTGCCGACGTCGTTGACTCCTACGGCGTTGTCACTGCCTCGCAAGTGCATCCCCAGAGCTTCAAGGAGACGCTCCAGATCGCAAAGGGGGCGAAGGAGTTCATGGACGCGTATGCGTTTGCCATCTCGCAGCACAAGAACTATGAGAGGGAGGAGAAGGGCTTCTCGACTATGGTCGCATACTGAGACTGGATTTCTCACCTTTTAATCACGTAATGATGACGACCCTTTTCGTTTCTTCTTCTATAGTTCCAAATAGTTAGGTAGTATATTTATGACCTCAAGTTCCATGCAAAGTTAATGTCAAGAAAATTCACACTGAATTACATCATTCGAGAGCATGTCGCTTTGACTTCGTGGATTGTGATGTATTTAAAGGTTCATAGTGGCTGCATTTTGAAAGATACAAGGACATCAGTAGCTCGATGTTCAACTCATTAGTAAATTAATTCTTCTTAAAGCCAAGCGAAATTGAATTTTATAGAAATAGGTAGACACCTTTTGTGGGATAATATCTTTCCTTTTTTACACACGAAACGGCCTGGCGCGTATTTAGGATATTGTATAGTGTATCGCCAGGCTATAATTTTGCTGTTGCTAACTACGACTAATTCTATACACTATGCATCTATCCTACATTACCAAAAGAATACGTACGATTTTGTTTGTAAGGGTTCAATTGGTTTAATTGTAAACCTGCCCCCTCCAAAAGAAACACTCTCTATTTTGATTTATATCACTAGCTCTGAAATTGATGGCATTCTGACTCCCGCCTTATGCTTCAATTCTTGCCCTGAACGAAAGCCGTCGCGAGTTCCTTCGCGATGCCTAGCCTCAGCACCCTAATGACATCGCTCCCCTGAGAGTCCTTTCCGAAGCCTTTGCGCCAATCCCATGCCCTCTTGGCTGTGTCCTTTTCTGCATGTTGCGATACCGACCCTGGGGCGGTTCCTCGGACGAGGACGGCGCTGCTGTCAGTAGACCTGTCCGTCGCGGAGCCGAATTCTGTGCTGCCGATCAGAGAGTACTGGCTGGACGCGGTTGTGAGGTTGCTTGTTGATTTCTGGAGGAGGGATGTTGGTGAGGGGACCTTGGCGGCATCGCCGTGGGCGGCGGCGAGGGTCGTTGATAACACTTCCTCGCACTGTGCGCGGATCATGCTGGGGGCTGTGTCGAGGTCTTCTACCGCGGCGAGGAGGGTGTATAGGTGGGGGAGGGTGAGTGTTCGCTTGGGTTGGTTCACGAAGATGAGGGCTTCGCCGAGGAGGCAAAGGAGTACGTCGACTTGGACTACGGTTTCCACCTCAGGATCGTAGAGACCGCCGCGCACGCTGGATGCTGCACTTTGGATGATGACGACCAGCGCATTAGCCGCTGCGCGTTTCCTTGCCATTGGACGATGTGAGGGCTTCTCGTTGGCCTGGAGCAGGATTTCCTCATCCCGTAGGTCGTAGAATCTGCGAATTGTCGCATAACCAGCGAGATAATTCGATAGAAGCTGTGCTCCCTCAGGGTCATACGTTGCAAGTTCTGTTAGTGTAGCTTTCGGTGAAGCGATTAGAGTTGACAACGAACGATCAAGCTCGGCCAGGGGAGGATAGGCGACGGATTTGACAAGACAATGGGCCACTAGCACGCGCAGAACCTCTTGGATCTTCTGTGCATTGTGGGCGCGCGCATAGTAAAGCAGAGTGTCACCGTAGTTCTGCGTGCTACTGCGAAGGTGATCGGCATATTTCTGGATATAAGTTAGGAAATCATTAATAACCAAGTGATACTAGATATAACGTACCAATGCAATGCTTCGCGCGTGGTCAGGAATGCCCATATCGTAGCATAGACGAGTGATCTTGTCCACCCGATCTGTTGAATTGAGACTGAGGTTGTTCAGTATGTCTTGAATCTTCTCGTTAGATGTGATGAGGTCGTCTAGTCGGCCGAGTACTTGGACCGCGAGCTCCCAGCCTTCTCGAGAAGTCTTGCCATCCTGGCTAGTAAGATTTGGCTGAGTCGCGAGGTAATCCGAGTAAGCTACGAGTAGATCGTCTTTGGATACTCCCCTTCTTTGATTTTCGTTGTAGCTTAGAACCATAAGATCGCTCTGATCGAACTGATCAAGCAGACCATCTGCTCGACGAAACCAGTCACCAGCACTAGCTACCTCAGCGACAGCTGCGGCGCAAGGAAGTGACCAGCCTCGTAGAATCTGCAGGACACCTTCGATATTGTCGTCCACGATGCAGGCCAACCCAACCTCGTATCGGTCTGTCGTATTTATGCTCAGATCCTCCTCGTTGCTTTCAATGACAGTGTTAAGTGCCGCACTCAAGCGTCGGCAATACGCCTTGACGGGAGTGACATCGACATCTCGTACTCTATGAGAACGAGCTAACGAGCGACGACTGGCAGCTAGGCTTCCACCGAGAGGCTCCTCATCCTCTCCGTTCCACCACACGGTGAGACAAATGACAGCCTCTATCCAGTCCATGGACATTGACATTATCTCCTCTTCGCTACCGAGAAGCTGGTTGTAGAGTTTCCGTAGATTGTCGTAAACTGTCCAGGGAACTGTGCTTTCGGCCTTTCGACTTGCTTGACTCAAGCCGAAGCTATTCTGAGACTGCGATATTCCAAAATGAGAGGCCTGGAACGATTGTGAAGCATCATAACTATTCTGGCTGTCCCCCTCGGCAAATTCCTGCAAGCTGATGGCGGAGCGTTGAGCGATTTGCCGGAATACGGACCATTCCTGTCCTTTGATGTCCCAATCATCAGAAGCGACCACCGGGCAGCGTTCAAGGGTTTCGATCATTGCTCGCACCACTATATTCGTGTTGTGTAAATGTCTTCCAGTGTAGCCATATTCACCAAGACCATCTTGACTGGCTGTTTCTGCCACGGCAAAGTTGGCACCCTTGAGTAGTTTCAAGGTATCGAGGAAGTTGCCACGAAGGACTGAAGCTTGGACAGCATCCCAGAATCTCTCACTGGCGGAATAGCCCTGAGTCTCTCGTAAAACGAATGGTACTTCAGAAGCTGTATTATGGTAAGTGTTTAACCAGGTCATGAGGGCCAGCGGTATAGGAGTGAAATGGCGAGCTTCAGGACGAGAAGGCACCAACGAGAAGAGTGATCCGCGTAGCTTCTCGGCGATATGGCCAGGATGATGGAGGTTGAGAAGTAGATTTGCTATTTTGTTCACACTTGCAAGTGCTGGTGCATCTGATTTTCGACCAGAGGAAGAGGTCCCCTTCGAGGTTTGTGAAGACGACTTCCATACGGCCAAAAGCTCCTGTGCGACCTCCTCAATGACGTGGGCTCTCTTTTCCGGTGTATCAGCGGTTACCGAGTCATGTAATCTAGAGAGGAGGCGCTCTGTTTCGAGTATCACATCGCCAGATTCACGAAGTGCGGTCGTACGGTCCAGGTTTGGAGTAAGTCCTTTCGCTATACTGAGCAAGTCGTATTGTGTTTGCCGCGCTCCTGGTTGTACGATAGGCGTGTTGCCCAACACCGATGCGCCATCTTGTGAGGTGACGGATTGGGAAAACCTAGTGTTCCGATTGCGGCTCTGGGCGAAAGTGTCATCGCGCTCGTCGTCGTATTCTTCCTCATCCTCCTCATCCTCTTCATCGTCCATATCTTCATCTGACCCACTGGCATCCTCTTCCTCGTCCATTTCCTCATCATATTCTTCCGAACCCTCTGCATCTATGTCACTGTCTTCGTCTCCGTGTTGAGGGGAGCTGCTTGGTACGCGAAAGCCCGGTCGCCCGCGTTGCGATCCAGGTCGAGCTGAAGTAGGGACGCCGAAAAGTCCACTTCCAACGCCAGAAAACTCATTCTTGGGCGGCGAACTGTTCAATGCGGACCTATTGAAACCAAAAGTCCCAGGCTGTGACATGTTGAAGTGAGAGTTGCTGAAAAGATCGTTGGGGGGTGGGCCTGCAGGTGTCGAGGAAGTGATGAAAGATCGGCCGGGGGGTGGTCCAGCTGGGGTTGTGGAAGGCGCATCGTTGGTTGAATAGCGATAACCAGGAGTCGAGGGCGGAGAGGAGGAGGACGGGACGCGAAACATGGTTACTGGCTGAGGCAGGTTTGTTATTAGGTGATGTTATACGTGCAGAAGCGCGAAGGCGTGAAGCTTTGGAAGGAGCACTCGAGACAATGAAAGCGAGGTAGTCGAATGTCAATGGCCACCATGGACGTTCGCCGAAGAAGCGCAACCTCGTACGCGTGCGGGAAGTGTGGCAACCTTTGGGGTTGAGGTCGAAGGATGGGTTGAAACGTTTTAGCAATCTGCAAACATGAGATTCACCAGAGCTCCCATACTCGTACCTACAGAAACAACGCGCCGAATAGCTCGATTAGTCTTGGCAAGCATCGAAAACCCGGATTATAAGTTTGGCCGATTCTCCGATTGTCTAAGTCCACTTGTCCATATTAGTACTAGTGGCTGTATGAGTGGCGGAAAGGGTCTGGCATCATGGAGAGAACTGGTTCCTACATGAAATAGATTAATCGCTGCAGGTCGGAGTTGGACTCAGTAAATTACATACATACCCGAGCGTGAAATGTATCGGACATTTTAAGATTAATATCGAAAACATACATGGTGCTCCTAGTACCATTCTCTGGTCAACTACAGAGTACGGACTACAGTCCACCCAACATGGTACATTCAATAATGTGTGTATGTATGTACATACTCCGGAGTACATGGGCCTCATTTCCCATATTCTCGCCCTCACATCACATCTCCGAGATGCATGTGCTCAATTAGCAAAGTAAGCCTTTTCAGTGATTTGGTACCACGTGCGGACATCAGCCAGCCAGACCTGCCAGAAATGTGCTGTTCTCTGCTGCTTCTGTCGCCGGACTGTACACGCGGACAAATCAGGCATTACGCCTCTTACCGTAATCCTTCCACACCTTTCCAACTCATATACTCATCGTCATCATCATGTATGAGTGAGTTGTACTATATGCTTTTTTTCGACCCGAGTCTTCGTACGAGTAGTCTAGACAATCTGTAATCCCTCCACTCGAACGCAAGGCCCTGCTCCTTGGTGTGTGTGTGCCCTTTTAAGGGTGTCTACAGGATGTCCATATCGCATCATGTAGACAACGTAATGTGATAGAAGGGTTCGCACATGTTGCAACAATAATCGTACTGGACTGAGTCGTTGCAGGGGCCGGCTGGGAAATTCAGGAACAGTGGACCCAGCCTAGGATGCACCGGCTCCTCGCCAGGCTCGCCTACTGATCCTACTGCTGATGATGATGACTGACCCAGTCCTCGGTGACGGCTTCGGGGGCTGGCAGAAAACGGCGTCCTTGCCGCTGCCTACCGGGCGCGGCCATGAAGAATGACATGACCCAGCTGCGCCTATAGAGACTTGCGTCGTCGTCAATTCCCTCGTCGTCGCTTTCACCTTCTTATGTCGTGCGACTGCATACAGTTTGTACTTCATATACTTGCAAACAGCCGCATTCATCTCTGATGACTATGTCTAATTTCCTTCCCACTTTCAGCGTTCATCTTTGAGGTTCCCGGTTCCCCCGCTACCTCCGCACCCCGACCATTCTCACTTCCGTGAGACTGTCTCTCACGCTCTGCGCACAACAACATGGTGCAAACCCAGGGGATGTGGACGAAGACGAAGACCGGCTCGAAGGCTGGCTTCGACAAAGTCTACGGATGGGTTGACAAACTCGGTGCACCCATCAACAGACTATCAAACAAACTAGGTGCTGAAGCCTTTTGGCCTACAACTCTCGATAAAGAGAGCGACAAGGCCGCGCGCATCCTCAAAAGCTTTTGCAGTACGTCACCTTGCGCACGCATTGCTTGTTCATTGCTGATTCGCTACAGAGGATGGCTTCTACCAGGAGGAAGAACGCCCGACAGCTGAAGGGCCTAAGGCGAAGCAAAGGGTTCTGAAGAAAATACCGGCAGAGGTTCGTCGCAGCGAATTCCTTCCAATTCCCACTTACGATCGCACGCGAATGCCGTGAGAGGCCAATTGCGCATTACCATGCATGGTGGGCGTATTTGGCCTCGCATGCCATCCACAGCGTCTTAATCTAATACTCTCACGTATAGCACGGCTGACACATTCACAGGTAATCCAAAATGCTAAAGGCATTGCTATCTTCACCGTCATGCGCACCGGCCTCTGGATCTCTGGCGCTGGAGGAAGCGGGATACTCGTCGGCCGAAAAGAAGATGGATCGTGGTCGCCTCCGTCCGGTATCATGTTGCACACAGCTGGCCTGGGCTTCCTCGTAGGAGCAGACATCTACGATTGCGTTGTGGTGATAAACACTCAGGAAGCTTTGGACGCCTTTTCCAAGGTCCGCTGCACTCTAGGTGGAGAAGTCAGTGCGGTGGCTGGGCCCCTGGGCGTTGGTGGAGTGCTTGAGTCGGAAGTACATAAAAGACAGGCGCCCATCTTCACATACCTCAAGTCAAGAGGTTTCTACGCCGGAGTCCAAATCGACGGGACCATCGTAATTGAGCGCACCGACGAAAACGAGCGATTCTATGGAGAAAGGATCGGCGTAGTCGATATATTGGCTGGAAAAGCGAGGCACTTGCCTATTGAGACGCAACGCCTCATGGCGACCTTGAAAGCCGCTCAAGGCGACACAGATGTGGATCAATCATTATTACCGAGCGAGCCACCGCCAGCCGATTATGAAATTGTCAAAGACGAAAAAACCTTTGGCGTTCCTGACGAGGAGGATCCGGACCCATACGGAGTGTTGGCCCTGGAGACCGCCGGTCTAGTCATTAGGGAAGCCGGCACACGAAAACGACCAACCAGTGAACAATTCGAGTTCAAGCCATCACCAACAAGCCCTGTCTACAATACATTCCGCAAGAGTTTTGACCAACGTTCGAGTATCGATGGACGAAGCATGAGCCGGAGATCCAGTTGGAGAACAAGCACAATGAGCAACATTACGGAATCCCGCAACAGCAAAATGGTAGACATGTGTACGCAAACTGATTTCGAAGAGCCTCCTGCCCTAAAAGTTCCACCCGCATTGCCCCCAAGAAACCCCCCAATCAACAACCCCATCACCAGTCCAGTCTTGGCCGAAATTCCAGAATCAAACAGCATAGATGAGTTCAATGTTCAATCAAAGAAGGAAACAACCGAGAAGGATGCCGACAGCCAACGAGAGATTGATAATGATGTCAAGAACGATAAAGACGAGAAAACCCAGACCGCGGACAACGCAGATAAGAAGCACGACAAGACAGAGACTAAAAATGAAGACTCAGATTCATTCAAAGACGTCAAGCTGGAAGACAACGACTCGTCGTCGGAAGAAGAATCTGACGAAGAAGAAGAAGAAGAGGAGCCGGTTATCCAGGAAATCCATCAGGCTGCTGCACCTCAAGTAATTTCTCGTGCTCGCGTCGTTACTGTAGCCAAGCCAATCCCCCCAAGGATTCCCATTAGGAACCCCGATCGCCGTGGTCGATTCTCAGCACACTCCGATATGGCTGCCTCCAACATGAGCCCACCATCGACGCCATCGCTCAGGCACGACGCCTCCTCCACCTCTGATCAGGAAAGCATCTCCTCTTCCGAAGGCTTCGAGCACATCAGCCAACAGCTTCGACCAAAATTCTCCAACGAGGCCGAGAAGAAGGAGGACAAGGACGAGTTCCAATCCGCGCCTGCATCACCCACCAAGACTGTTCCCGGAGGGTTTGTTGAGCATTAGATTAGGCGACTCTTGACTTCGCTGCAGCAGCAGTGACACGAATTACGACAAATTCAGCCCATAGTTACTCGGGATATTTAATTGGAGAGCGGCATTCTGAAGCTAATAATCAGTTTTTCCATTCTTTTGTAAATGTAATGCATTAAGGTTCATCGAGGCCAATTTGTTAATTCATGTCACGACGCTACGCAATTCCTTCGTTTATGGTGGACTAAGTTATATGTATGTCTTTTTGTAGGATTGATAAAACATGTTGTCCCACACGAGCTATCCCCATCTTAATCTGAACTTCATACTCACCATCACTACTCTTCTTCTGCTAGTTTGGACAGTTATTTCGTTCATCGTGTTTGATGGTATACTGGTAGCATCGACGTCCACGTGCAGTGAGGTGCCAAGACAACCGTGCCACCCCTACCAAAATTTCTCCAATCTTCAAGCAGCCATCCCACATCGCATTGTTCGACAGGTACTCGAACAAATTCGTAGTCTCAAAATGCCTTCGTCAGGGATACCCAGCAAGGCGAAAGCCATACCAACCGCAGTCTCCGACTTCACGGTCCTCCCCATAACGCTCCCGGAAGCCAAACTCCCAGCCCAATTCGCATCTGTGCAACACTACCTCTATATCAAACCGCACGAACCGAGCAACCCAACACCATCCTCCGACCGGAGCCTTTTCATATCAAACGTGCCGATCGATGCAGGCGAAAGCAACATTCGATCGCTCTTTGCGGAGCAACTAGGCGGCTCGCGAGTCGAGAGCGTGGAGTTCGACAGCGCCATTCCCGCAGAGCCGTCGCACAAGAAATTTAAAGTTGACAGAAGCGATTCCGGTGATGCGAGAGGCAAAAAGAGGAAGAGGGACGAGGATATCGTGGCTGAGGGCGTCGTAGAAGACGAGTACAGCGCGCTTCCTAAGATCTGGACTTCGGAGCTGCGGCGGAGTGGCGGTTGCGCAGTTGTGGTTTTCGTGGATCGCGCAAGCATGAAAGGAGCGTTTAAGGAAGTCCAGAGGGCGGTTAAGACTGGGAAGGAAATCAAGTGGATACAAGGGGAGGGATTGGGTATCGAACGTAAGTGTTGCGCTCATTTAAGATTACAATCCGAGGAAATGCTAACATGGGATGTCTAGGTTATAAATCCCACCATGCTCTGCGATATCCTTCGAAAGCGGTTCTACAAGCTTCAGTCAATGCTTACCTCTCTCAATTCACCCGCACCGAGACTGCCCGTAATCGTCTGCGCGCTAAGCAACGCTCCGTACCGGATGAGGATGGGTTCATCACTGTCACACGTGGTGGCCGCACCGGTCCCGCGCGCCTTGAGCAAGCCGAGGCCAAGCAGAAGGAGCTCGAAGAGAGGAAGAAGGCTAATGGGCCGAAGGGCGACTTCTACAGGTTCCAGACCAGAGAGAAGAGGAAAGAGGCAGAAGGTGAATTGCGACGGAAGTTCGAATTGGACAAGAAGAGGGTTGAGGAGATGAAAGCGAGGAGAGGAAAGATTAGGCCTGAGAGTTAAGGCGAGTCTATACCGTACGAATGTAGTTAGATGTACATACGACAAGAATGCATGATACCCTATGAATCGAGCACAACACTTCAGATCTGGAAACTAGCCGTGAAGCCTCTTCATATGATCCAATTAATCTACCCATAACTCTAGATCTTGGGCTTCGAGGTGGGATCTACTTTTGCCCTTCCCACAGTATCAATTGGCATCCACCATGGATAAGCACTAACTGATGTGGTATCCATTGTCCCCGTGAACTTCGCCGGTCTCTTCTCCATGAAACTCTGAACGCCCTCCTTATTATCCGCAGAAGTAAACAGTTCAAACAATATCCTAGAGTCTAGCAAATGCTGACCCTCCGCACTGCCCTTATCCCTATACATCAACTCCTTCATGAGGTAAGTACTAACCACACTCGTATTATTAGCAACCTCCTCAGCGACCTCCAAAGCCTTCGGCAAGACACCCTCTGGCGTGTCGACCGTATGGGTGAAGAGCCCATTCCAAATCTTGTCTTCCGCGAGGTATGTTGAGCCCGTGGTGACGGCCGCCATAGCTTGGGAGTGGCCGATCAGCCGGGGCAGGAAGAACGAGCTGCAGGCTTCCATGACGAGGCCGCGGCGGGCGAAGACGAAGCCGATCTTTGCTTTTGAGTACGCGATTCGGATGTTCATGGGGAGGGTCATGGTGATGCCGACGCCGACGGCTGAGCCCTGGAGAGCGCCGATGGTGGGTTTGCGGCAGTTGTGGATGGCGAGGACGACTCGGCCGCCTCTGTTGTGAAGGTTAGTATCTATCAACATTGTTGTGCTGTTTCTCGAAATGCATGGTTGAAGTCACTACGGGGCGGTTATACATACCCATCTCTGTGCTCGTTGATGGGCTCGAAGCCACCCTTGAATCCCATATCAAGGTCGGCGCCGGCGCAGAATATCTTTCCTGTTCCAGTGACAACGATAACCTTCACACGATCATCTACGTCGAACATGCCGTACACCTGTTCCAGCTCGAGCATCATGGTGTTGGTAAAGGCATTGTAGTTCTTGGGGCGCCAGAGCGTGAGGATGATAATGCTGGGGTCTTTCTCATAATGTGCTGTCTTTATGTGCTCGAATTTGAGATCATTGTAGGATTTTGGGAGGGAGATGGTAGGGCGTGGGGTAGCCATGATGTCGTTCGAGGTCTGTGAATGCGATAGTACTGGCAACGGGAGGTTGGGGGATCTAGAGGAGCTGAGGACTTTGGATAAGTAGGATTGTTAGCAGAGTGATAAATAACTGTTGTATATCAATTGAGAGCTACTCGGTATTCCCGAGCGCTTCTATGAAGCATACGCCTCACTGAGCGAACGAGCTTGTTTGCAATGCGGAGAGATGGTGGTCAACCTCGGTCAAGCTGGGGTTGGAGGATTTCCGACTTGGCAGGTTCATTGACCAATGAGTGCTATGAGTCGAGGTCCACGAGTCAAAAGTGACGGCGAACCCTTTTCGCCCATGATGGTTAATAGATGCCAGAAATTACCGATTGGCTTGTAATTGGATTTGTCTTTTCAGACAACTAGTGCTTGTTGATAAAATAGTCTATCAGCCTTATAGAGTTGTGCCAAATCCATGCTAACTGACGGCGAAAATTGATCGACTGCATCTACACAACACGCATTATTAGGCGATCTTCTTCCAAATGTTCAACCCACACAATGCAAGACATGGCCTCTAGAACAGCAGATGGTTGGTACGGTTAACATTTTCATTTCGTCTAAGAACTCTCATCATGATCGTGCAAGCAAAGCACGACCCTTTATGTTAATTGGCCCGAAGATGCGAAGTCGCGACATAATGGAGTTTCAGGTCTTTTGATTCATTCCTAATGTACTGCATTTTTTTATAGCCATGCAGAAAAGCCCCCGAAAGCCAAATCAACCCGGCCCGTCCGATCCACACTCCACACAAGAAAACGCTTAGTAGAAAGTTGATGGTCGGCTGGCGGCGAAGATCTTCTTGCTGCCCTTCTTGTTGACACGGTGGGGGAGAGGGAACTTGAGGCCCTTCTCGACGAGCTGCTTGAGGTATGGGCGGCGGATGTCGGCGATCTTCTCAACCTCGACGACCTTGAGGATCTGCACGGAATGTAAGTATAGGCATATCGTGATAACATGTTGAGCACACATACGTGGATCGACCGGAAACGAGCGCGGTGACGGGCGGCCATATCCTGGTAGAGGGCCTCGACGGCGTCGGTCCTCGACAACTCACGGTACTCCTTGTACATGTTGTGGGTACCGGAGCGGGAGTCGTAACGGATCCAGATACCGAAGTTCTTGACCTTCTCGGGGCGCTTCTCGGAGATCTATTCCAATGTCAATCACTTGTTCGTAAAAGACCTTGTAATTGATGGCATTTGGCCTTCAAACATTTATATATACATACCTGGTTCAGGGAAACGATCTCGCCGTTCGCCTTCTTGATCTTTCGGAGCTTGCCGAGGAAGTACCAGAACCTTGACTTGGCGACAACATCGTTGGGAGCGAAGATGCGCATGCGGTAGAGCTTGGGGGTGGGGTTTGCCTCTGAGGGCAGATGACGCCCGACGACCTGGTACTCCTGAAGACGACCTAAAATTACCCAGTCAGCAACATGAACCGATGATTCCATGCATCCCTTCTTTCAGCATTTGCAACTCGTGAATATCGATCGTTGTGTCCGGTTGGTTTGCAGTTCGTTCGTAGTATGTGCGCAATATTGAAAAATTTCGAAATTCGTCCATGGTGCATCTTGAAGTCGAAGCGAACCCTCGTTCTCGTAGTCGCCTCGGGCTCAACGTGATTGATACTCCTGACTGCGTTTCTCCTTCTCATATCGAATAGATGCTGAAGTCGTCTGTGAAACGTCGTTCGAGTTTGTCGCGACAGCAATCGATCTCCGGAGTTGCAAATGCTGGGAAGGACATTGGAGGGAGGTTCTTACCCATCTGTAGATACTGTTAGCAACTATTCAATGTCAAAAGAAGACAATTTCACGTACCTTTCCTGCTGATGTTGTTAGTAGGGCGGTTGTTGTCGATAGGTTTCTGGGTGTAGTGTGGTTTTCGTAAACGAATTTCGCTGTGTGTGCGCACTGACGCTGATGCTGAAAAGGGTAAAGTGGGCAAAATTAGAGATCACGTGATCAATACGACCAACCAGCCAATCGCTTACCGAAAGGTGACGGCAGCAACTTTTGAAGCAGCCAAAACCAAAAGCACCGATCGCCGACCGCTAACTTCCGCTTTCATTCAAGCCCCACGTACCTATACTTCGCGATTGAGCTTCCTTGTCAACAACAACATGTACAAGCTTTGAGATAGGCTTCGTAGCAGCACCTAGTGCTTTCAATTTATTTACAAATTTCAAGTCGTATCCGAGCTTCTTTCCCATTCAGCAAACATGCAGGCCGCCCTAGAACCTTTCCTCCAGGCTCATGCCGACGAAGTTTCCTGGGTCGTTGTCGCCCAGTTAAGCCCTTTTGCGCCTCCAGAGAACCCAGGCCGTCTGTATGACTTCTACCGAGCATCGAACGAACACCAGATCGAGAATGAGGTCAGATCCGCCCTGAAGTACAACAGGAATAGTAGGCTCTCGAACAAGGAAGCTGGTGCATGGATGGAGATCTTTGTTGCATACTGGCGAGCGGTTGGATTCATATTGAGGGCTGAAGAAGCGAGGAATCAGGGTCGCATTGAAGATCGTCAATTTGTCGACATTTACGATGCGTGGAAGACAATGACGGATTTGATCGTCAGGCACATCTCCAATGGTTCACTCCCAAACTGGACCATCGTCTGCATGTACGTTACGGCCAACCACTTGAGGCGCTTTGCTATCAGGGCGGACGAGCAACTTGCGCAAAGCAAAAGCAATGTCACCTTTAGTCCAGGATTTGGAGACGACATCGTAAGCACAGTAGCGCGTAATGAAAAGCTTGAAGAAGCTGCACGAGTGTTCAACAAAATGTTCGCATTGTGTCTTGGAGATAGGTGTGTTTGCTATTCTGACAAGAGTGTTCATAAGGAGTACTAAGATAACCCAGAAATCCTGATATGCGAGAATCGCGAAAATGGGGAACCTACTATGTGGCCAATCTACTGTTCAAAACGTACTTCAAGGTAGGCCTTCCCGTGCACGAATTTCGCTCATGTCATATTGACTCTTGTGCAGCTCAAGAACGTCAGCCTATCTAAGAACGTTGTAAGGTCTATTGAGGCACAAAACGACCTCCCAGACTTCAAAGTATACCCAGCAGCTCATCGTACGACGTACAAATACTATGTAGGCGTATTGGCTTTCCTGCAGGAAGATTACACAAAGGTACACTTCATGAATTTTCTCATCTTTCTAATGCCACAGCTAATCTCTGCAGGCCGAATCATGTCTCACGGATGCATGGAATATGTGCCTGCCTGACTCCATGAAAAATCAAGAGTAAGAGGCCCTTATTATGCCGGTTGTGTGCAACCCTAATATGTTTCTAGGCTCATCCTCACATACCTCATACCATGTCGTCTGATTACAAAACACAACATCCCGACGCAAACACTTCTAGCCTCATACCCAGGATTAAAGAGAATATTCGGTCCGTTGGTTTCGTGCATCAAAAGTGGTGATCTCGCAGGGTTTGATGCCGCCTTGCTGGCGGGAGAAGATACCTTTGTCAAGCGCAGGATCTACCTGACCTTGGAGCGAGGCCGAGATATTGCCTTGCGGAATTTGTTACGCAAGACCTTCCTTGCAGAGGGCTTTGAGGACCTCAAAGAAGGTCAAAGCGAATTGGACCGTATTAGGAAGACAAGAATACCATTGTCGCATTTTGTAGTCGCACTGCGTCTACGAAGTAGCGGCCAAGCACTTGAAGACGACGAAGTCGAATGCCTGCTGGCCAACATGATCTACAAGGTATGTTTTCATTCTATATTCACTACGCAACAGCCACCCCTTGACTTCCTTCACTGCTACTGTGCGTTCCGTCGGCAACTTGCGTACGAAATGAGGGATACCTGCTAGATCAGACGTACGGTACACCAAACTCATCACGTATCTGACCATATGCGCAGGGCCTCATGAAAGGATACATCTCTAGAGAGCACTCAATGGTTGTCCTGAACAAGAAAGGAGCATTTCCAGGAACAGGAGTGTGATGAATTCCATCGCTATTACCCCATCTTTGAGCCAAAAGAGTGGTATCTGATGCAGGTGGAGGAATCATGCATCATGTCAGTTTCCTGCGAGCAACCCATGGGTTTATTCAAAAGCTCCCGAGTTGTCGATGGAGGATTATCCTTGGTGGAAGCGCCTATGTCTCTAGCTTCTGAGCGCTTTACTGTAACAGAAAAAAAAATCAATATACCCGCCGTTGAACGGCACTTTGCACTCCTTCACTATGTACACATTCTTGCAATGCAGCTCTCCTCGTCACGCTGTCTTGATACCTGAACGTCACATTGTGCACGCTTTACCTCTCTTTCTTGACTGTAACATCAGAAAGCTCTCCAGAAAGCCATATTTTACCATAGATTGTACCCTTGTCTGTATGAAAACTATCCTTAAACTCCCTCTATTGTCGACATTCAAACTCACAAGTTGAGTCCGTACCAAAGCCAGACCAAAGAGTTCTGGGCACAACAGCGCGGTCATATACTCGTGTGGGTTGGAACATTGACGTCTCCGTGCCACCTGTTTTAAAATTGAAAAGCGCGAATACTCTTCTCCTGGGGAACTTGATGGGTAATGTAAGTGGGCAGTATTTGGTTGGAAACAGAGCTGCTGGTTGTATATGTGAAAAGACCTTGATTGTGAATACCATCATGTCCTCGCTGGACACTTGTAGTGTTTCGAATCTTCAATCAAATTCAATAGTAGAATGATCCGCTTTCTACACCAATTTGGAATCCCTAAAAAACAGCCGTAGCTATCAGGGTTGTCATCCACTCTCACTGTTAGAGTAAATCGCTGCTTATAGGATGTCTACTACTTTTCATGCGCAGTGGCAATGAGTTATGGCTTTATCAAAATTTTCAGCAGGGACATGTTTAGGGTGAAAATAAGGACCAGGAGGGTCCATTTAGTTCTATTCTGCGTGAGAGTACCTGGGTATCTCTAGTCGCAACAAGCCAATGAAAGGCCAACAAGTAAGTCCTCAGTGAGACCTTTTCTACCACGGAACACTCGAAACGAGATTCATGACCGAAAAGGCAATGAACATTTGTATCAAAGTGTTGCGGAGAGATCGTTGTGGAACAATTGAATCACAGGAAAAATCGACCAACAAGGAAGGAGTACATAGTTACGGGCGGTCGTCTTGGCAGAAACCAGAGCATACATTAAGAACAAATCTTCGAATCATTCTTTTGGGTATAAAGCGAGGAGTAAGAACGACAAAGCAAGCCCCCATTACTCAAGCACCATGGATCCTTGCCCTCGTATTGACCCGCGTGCGCCCAAATTCCAGTCTCAGCGAATCGCGACAATCAATTAGGCCCCCTGTCGCAGCCGTCGCCACGTATTCGCCCTATCATGTGATATCGCGTTCGGTTCCGACACTTTATCTTTTCCAAGGCTGCAATTTACCCCACTCCACCGACAATAATGTTTCACGCCCTGTGTTCGTTCCCACTTGAGTACGCCGGAGAGACGCATTCCGCTAACTTAGTCCTGCCGTGCTTGCATTGTGGTATCCTTGTCCTGAGATGGGCCCTGGTCGCCGTGGTACGCCCTGGTGCTGTCTCGTCTGAATTGTCTGCGAGATTGGGCGTACCCTGCAGCTTGCAGTATTGCTGTAACAGAGCTGATAGGTGCAGTGACTCACAGAGAGCAGCCTTGTTCAATGGCTACCAAGGATGATCGAGGTTGGCTCGTTCGATTTGTGTCCTACTGTTTCGATAGGTTTTACCATCGTCGCTCGTACCTCGAGAACGAACTAGGCCTTGCTGACGGAGACGGTACGCGTTGGCTATCGGTTAATTGATTGTACTTGCCCAACACTCAGCCCCGAAGTAAGACAACCATCCCGTCGATGTGGTATACCCTTGCTACTGTGGTATTATCCTTGTCGCTGAGGGGAAATGTGGATGATAACTCGAACGCTTTCAGCCGTAGCTCAACGACGAGCTAGATAGTTCCAGCGACCCAAAATGTCGTCGAGTCGCATCCCCTGGATCGTTTGATTATAGCATATCATTTCTCTGGGAGGTCCTGAAAGCAAGCATGTACGCAGTACTATCTTGCCACTTTTTCTGCGCATCCAATAGATGATAATGGAAGAGCAAGATTGTTCTGGTCGATCGGTCGGTCTGTTTCCACATTCCTAGTTCAGAGCCTGTGTCATGGCCATTGCAGCCCTCCTCAACACCTCGCCTGCTTTGAGCATATACTGTCCCGCGCTCTTTTTCTTTTTCTTTCCATTCTTTGGGCCCTTGCGTTTCGGTTTGTGGCCGCCCGCTCGTTTGGCCCGGATGTTTTGAACTGAATGTCGAGGTGGTTTCTCCATTTTGTGTAATTCGTTTTTCGTGATAAGTGGTCGTTTTCTAGGTTACGCTACATGTGCATTGCGAGTTACAGATATATATTCATCACTGTGGAGGATGCGTAGAGAGGATTGCCGAGTTCCGTGGCGATGAAGTAGGCCAAGCCGCCGCCTGAGACCCACTTTTGGTGGGAACTTGAGGCTGTACAGGAAGAGTGCTCGGCTTGGCGATGTTGTATTTCTGCAGCCCTATGATGCTTTTCTATGCATTAGGTGCTTCAAATCATAGTGATGATGGTCCAGATTTATCGAAGAGGTGTGTGTGTGTATGTGGGTGAATTACTGAAGAAATGAATTTGGTGCGATGCTTGGACGCCTTGAAACTGATGTCACGAAATGAAGCAGGAACATCACAATATCATCAACATGAAGCTAGTCGTCGAATACTGAGTCCAACTGGTTATTTCTTCGCATCGAATAATAGAATAGTCTCGTACACAATTTAGTCCGATTTCTCACAATCTGGCAAATCTAGCAATTTGATCAAGCCGTCGCTACCTCGATAACCTGTCCAGCAGAAACAAATTCAAAGAGAGAAGATGAAGGAAAAGAATCATTATCATTTCTTGAGTTCGAAAACTTTGAGAACAGCGTCTTGCCCTTGATCGCTGCCGTAGCATAGCCACGTGTGGTAATAAGAAAGAGATTTTTTTGGATCGTTCTTTGAATAAAGTAGAAACGAAACAGATGACAGCAACTTCAAAATTAAGTGTTCGTGAAGTCTGCTGTGGTCTGGATGATAAAACACACCATGGATGGAAAAAGGATAAGAGATATAGAGTACAAATTGATGGCAAGAAATGAGTGCCAGAAGGTTATGGTATCTTGAGAACCGAGAACGCCGTACGAGTAAGATACTAGAAGAACAAATACCAAGTGCCACCACTCTGAGGGGCACTTTGGTGGCGCACCGAGGTAAGTATAGTACAGGAAGAATAGGGTTCACGTTGCTCGAGCATCCGACATCCATATCGGACGATGCGACTGAGACGTGATTGAAAGAAGCAGCGACAACGTTTGAGGAGATTCATAATAAGGAAAAGAAACGGACAGAATCTGAAAGATGACTGCCGAACTGAGCGCATTCGTGTATGAAGGGCGAAGGAGTTGCGATGTTATAGCCCCGTTAAGGGTTGGCAACCAAGGTTGATATTAATGCGGGGACTTCTGGCCGAGGTCATCCATGTGGTTGACCATAGCGACGAAGAGGTCGAAGAACAGTTTTCCACCGTTCTCCATTTCCTGCTGCATCGTGCCGCTTCGCTTGAACGTGTGGCGGGCGCGGATGATGAGAGCAAGATAGTGTGCACGCAGCTTCGAGTCGTTGTCCGGAGTGTTGGCGTATGCAAAGCGAGCCGACGAAAGAATGGTGCTGCATTGAATGCCAGACTGGAGGCCTTGCTTCCTCAGGGAAAGCTTCTTCAGCTCCTGAAGACCATACCTCTCGGCAGCGCAGTAGATGATCGTGTCTTTGAGGATCGGACCGACGTGGGTGTTGATGACGGCTTCACCTACGCCGTTGCCATTGCCACCATCCTCAAGGCTCCAGCTGTTGCGTCGCTTATCGTACTCAAGACGAGGATAGTAGTCGCCTTTGTAGAGGTATTCAAGAATGGAAGAGAACACTTCTGGCTCGTCATCAGGAAGCTCGATACGTTTGTTGGTCGTTTGAAAGTATTGGTCTCGGCAAGCCGACTGGAAGAACGGCGAATGGCAAAGAACATCTTCGTGAGCTGCGAAGAGTCGTTGCTCTCGTCCAACGGAAAGCGTGATGATCGGACTACTGGAAAGTCATTAGTTCTCAGTGCTCGTCGGAAGCGTCAAACAAATGTCAAATTCACTCACCTTCCAAGAGTTGGAGAAGTCTGAGACTGAGGAGAGGCAGCTTGGGCTTGCTGTGCGAGCTTTTCAATCTTCCTTGGAGAATCCCTGAACGAGGGGTTTTTCTTGTGTGACTTCGATTTGCTGGCTCGGTGTTTTGAGAAGCTTTCGCCTCGATATTTCGATGGATTAGATGAGAACATGATGAATGATGGACTGAAAGGTCTGCTGTGATGAGATCAAATCGGGATAGGCGGGGATTCCTGTTTTATAGTGTTTGGGGGATAGGCAGCAAGCATACGAATGCAAGTACGCAATCAGAACGATCGAAGGGAAACCTCAGGCAACAACTTTGAAAGACTGAGAGCAAACGATAAAGGGCCCCTTTGGAGAGGGCGATAGGCCTCAATATATATGGCCTGGGAGGCCTCCTATCAACCGGCGACTGGGGACGACGGGGGAGTGAATGGAACGCGATTGGACGTGTAAATTGTGCAACACGCTGCTAACGCGATATCACATGCAACGCTAGACCGTAAATGGGAAGATAATTAAGAGTCAGGGCGGAGGGCGACGCTCAGGTCTTACAAGGGCTACCTGGACATGGCGCAAGGGATGTAACACGAGGACGTGGGACAAAGGAAGGCAAACGAGGTGGTGGCGCGGACGGTCGTTGATGGGGCCTGTTAGGCTTCCTACACCATAGAATAATTAATGGAGAGCGATCGGGAACAAGGAGAAAAGACGACGGAGCAGAGCATCGCAAGTAAAACGCAATTCAGACAGACTTTGTTTGATCAATCAATGCGACCGTAAGTAATAGAATGTTCCATGAGGCCAAGAATTGTGCGATTCACAACAAGTGACTCCTCACATTCCCAGATGCATCCTCCGTCTTGGGATGAGGAAGCTTGGGCCACAATGGGCGAAGAAAAGCAAGGCTTTGTCGTTGCGCAAAAGCCAGAGGCCGTTCATCGCACCTATATCCATGTATCGGCCGGCATTAATTTCTTTTGTCAACAGTCTGCGAACATTCGTCTAGTTTACCCCCCAGTGCCCCCCTGAACTGGGGCGAAAGCCGTGGCGAAGGACCGATTATGATGGAAGTGGAAGCTCTCCGAGTTCCCCGCCGCGATAGCTCACACCCTCAGCAGGACTTTGACAAAGCGCGGAAGCCAGACTTTTGATGCCGTACAAGCCATGGCGCATTGCACCTCAGAATTGTGATGGAAAGGCGCTGATCGCCGAGTGTAATTGGATGGGGGCTGTGGACCTGCATGCCTGGGTACTCGTAGTTATTGAGGTGTGAAGTTATCTCTCAGCGTTCGTCAGAGCTGGCGGGCTTAAGGACTCTCTGGTCAAACACGGAACACGCGCGCCATCAGCTGATCTCGCCCATCCCAATATCGGTTCAATTATCCATCTACTTTGGGCATAGTCTTGCGACACCCATCCCGTCACACCTCGTACCTTCATCGGTACCTCGCATGGAGTGTTCATTCACATAATGTACAAATACACCAATGCAGAAGATTTACGCCGTACTCGATCTTTTCTTTTTTTCTTCTGCTAGCTTGGCACGAGGAGCAGCCAGAAACCATGCTTCATCCCATCCTCTATGCAAATTCACCACTTATGTTGTGCTATGTTCATGTCGATGATGTGACATCGTTCTTCTTACACTCCCACACCAACTCAAACACCCCCTCATCGATCGATGTTGAATGTTCGATCACACGTCTCGTCCACGCCGTCCACTCGTCCTTCGCCATCCCCTTCACATCAATTCCTTCCTTGAATTCGTGAATAGCAAGATGTTTCGGCGCTTTCTCCGCATCGGGGTCGTTCTTGCTCTGGACTTTGAAAATCAATTCGTATCTCTTACTTCTCCTCCAGCCTGGCAATTGTGATATCTGCTCAAGATGTTCTTGCCTGTACCACCGATCTAGTTCTCCTCCCATACCCGCTTCTGGCTGAATCGCTGTTGATTTTATCACCTTACCCATTTCTCCACTTCCGTCCTCAATCCCGCTCACCTCAGGCTTGGTGAACACTTGCACTTGCTGATAAAATCTAGTGTCGAAATTGATGTAGTCTTGTGATGGGCCACTCTCTGGCAAAAGCTCAGAGTGCTGACTTATCGATTTGAACTCTGCGCTTTCGATAAACGACATGTCGGGGACATTGTATATCGCAAGGTGGGGGCGCTTTCTTGAGTTGTCGCTGCTCCTGAAGCGCCATGCAGCCGTGCATCCAGGTGAGTTGGATGGCGTTGCTGCAATGATATCTGGTATGTGTACTGTTTGATACCATTGGTTGAAAACAGCCTCATCAAGTTGCGATCTCGGTGCAGAGTTCACCCACATTATCCCAGGGCCTGATAGTGGGGGTCCATTGTATGAGGTGCGATTTGGATTGGACATCGTGGTTCCAGCCAGGTGCTTGAAGCAAGACTTGGTTTGTAAGAATGATCTTAGCAGGAATTGAACGTTAGATTCTGCTATGCAGTCAAGATTATGGTGGTATGTTTCCAATATCAAAGGTTGCTATTCCTTGTTGTTGCTGTCATCTTTTCTTAAGGGGTCTACTATTCTCTTCCCTTTCGGCCTGCAACGCTAATTAACCGGGAAAACAGATCCGGACTATTCACAACCTCCTATCAGCCTCATAGTCTGCCCACGACCAGACTGATTTTGCACCCTCTTAACCTTATTCTGGGATCTATCTGCTTTGTAATACCCGGAAAGCTCTAAAAAGGGCCCATCACTCCTGTATTACCTGGGTCTATAGTTACACACTATCGTAACAGAGTAGTAGGATCCAAAGCCGCCTAACTACTGGTAAAGCAATGTGGCATGTGTATGACCGCGATGAGATTTTCCAAGGCCATTCGCCCATACAAAAGCTTGATATCTGATTGTCTGTAGTCCAAACGTGGCATGGTAGAACAGAATAGAGCTCTTATATTGTAATGCCATAATCTACAGTCAACACAAAAGTAGGCAGTCACTCTCCGCATTGTGGTTTCCGTCTTCACATCCATACCATGGTTCCGGTGTTTACGTTTCAGTCTCGGGTGCCGTAACCATAGCCCTTGGACTCCACCTCTCTACATCACATTTCAGCTCGACAATTATCGCTAGACTTGCCTAGCGAATACACCTCTGCTTCTATAAGCAGATCTTCACTCATCGAGATGTTTCGCTTGAGTGTTATTACCAAAAGAGGCAGATTACATCCTCGTGACGATGAGATCCAGGATTTCTCGTGCGGTTGTCCTTGCGATCCTAACACAACAGCCATCGACCTCCAAGACCAACGCTGCCCAATATTAGGATATATGATAATTGGACGATTGTTGGGCACCACCACTTCCACAACAAGGTATAACCCCGGCCTGCCTACAGTGCTCTATATCTCTGAACCGAATTGCCCAAACAGGACATCGCTATATTCTACCAAGAGAGAAGGCGGAATTGTAGGGCGTATTTCATCACAGGTCAAAGTCAACAATCTTTACAAGAACGTTAGTTGATACTTTGATACTCGGGAACTGCGCAAAAGGTTTTCGATAGTTGTACATACACCACGCGCCAAGATCCGGGGTGCATGACTTGAGCCAAGATACGCTTTCTAAAGTAAGATTGACCCTACTTGAACTTCCTGTTCTTCTGGTCCATCAAGGATTCCGCTTCCTATAGCAGCCGGTGGAAGGGGAGTATCCTGTCACTCAAGCCGGGCCTTCATCTCTATCAAAGTAGTACACAATTGCTGACCACTAAAGATCTTAGATTTGGGAAGATTCCATTGGACGGTTGCGGCGTGACGTCGTTGATCGCACCCAAAATCGACAGCTTGTTTACGCTGCACGAAATTGTGTGGCAGCGACATTGGCCAGTTTCTGCAAGGTTGGATATATACCTGGCACGTTGCCAATCAAACGTCGGCTAAGCACAACTACCGAGCAGCACCAACGTACCGTGCAATATGCATTTTTTGAAACAAGTGGTAGCAGGCGGAGACTTAACGGCAGAAATCGCTGATTTATGCTTCATCAAGCTTTTTCGAAAGTATCCCTCATTATCCCCTCCAGAGTGGCGAATCTCCAAGTGAGGTTGACGACACTCCAGTGCCCTGGTCCTTCACCAGCTTGCATTGAGCCTTCCGAAGACCCAAAGTGAGTCTGCAATACTCTCCCCGGACTTTGGTCTTCGGAAATCTCTTGCGATCTGGTTGTAGCTTATCATTCGTCGCAGCGTATAGGTGCAGTATTTGATCAAGAGTTATCCAAGCTGATGCCCCTGGTCAACAACTATCAACCCTGACATGAACGACTCAATTACAAACACATTAACCTTCCATCTAGGGCGTTATTGTAGGTACCCTCGTGGCCAACTTGAGGATTATGGTCAGCCGCTGGTCTTGGTTAGACCTAGCCTACAGTCAACGAATCAATATTATAGGACCTGTTCATGCCACGATACTTACTAATTTCAGTGAGAACCGGTACGGGCTACCGTCTACAATGCAGCAGTTATTTAAAATATACTATATTGTGCCACTCAGCCGAGCCTTCGCACAGCGTCGGATAGCGGACTGTGAAATCGGCAGTGCGCCATGTCCTAGGAACCTATAAAGGAGGCAGGATATGTCCACCAGTCGAGGTTTCAGTGTACTTAGCTAGGGACGACATTGACATCGTCTTACAATTATGGCTGGCGTTGCTGTTGTGAACGCCCTCGTGGCATCGTTGTGTCTGTTCTCAGGCGCTTCGGCATGGCCATTTGGAAAGAGACAGACCTTGTCCATCGAGGACATTCAAAAGCAGGCGCTCGCCAATGCGTACAAGGTCCTCGATGGGACTATCTCCGATGGCATGACCCGCTCCGGATGCACGAAAGCCAATGTTGCCGTAAGGAAGGAATAGTACGTTTGGACCCGCGTCCCATTTGAAGAATCGATCGCTAACCAAGTCTTCTAGTGGTGATTTGACCAAGGATGAGCGAACTGAATATATTCGAGCGGTGAAATGTATTCTGCAGAAACCAAGCAAGCTTCCTGCTGGAAAATACCCCGGAGCAAAGTCTCGATATGATGACTTTGTGGTTGTCCACATGAATATGACACCATCAGTCCACTCCACTGCGAACTTCATGCACTGGCATCGCTACTACATCTGGTAAGTCCTCAGGATATGCTGTCCTTGCCCATCACTAATTACTACAGGGCGTACGAGACTGCGCTGCGCACGGAATGTGACTACAAGGGATACCAACCATACTGGAACTGGGGAAAGTACGCCGACCTTACCACATCACCGATTTTCAATGGTGACGAATGGAGTCTGGGCGGTAATGGCAAGTCTGTACCCCACAAAGGAGGCTTCATCGGTCGTCAAGTTCCTGCTGGACCAGGAGGCGGCTGTGTGGAGACGGGTCCTTTCGCAAAGTATGTGTCACCATAAATGGACAGCATCAGAAACACCACTAACGTTCACTGAAGTTTGACAATCCACCTCGGCCCCCTATCACCCACCATGGACCCGGCCCTCAAGATCCCAAGCAACCCGCAACGTGACGGCTACGGCGACAATCCGCGCTGCCTCAGGCGCGATGTCAACAACTACTTCGTCGGCAACTCGCTCAAGCCAGCCAACCTCGCCTCGCACATCACGTCCAACTCAGCCATCGGCAAGTTCCAGGACACCCTGCAGAATGATACTCCACAGATGTCAGCCATCCACTCCTCTGGCCACTTCTCCATCTGGGGAGACCCCGGAGGTGACGTCTACGTCAGCCCTGCCGAGCCTGGGTTCTGGCTGCATCACGGACAGCTCGACAGGCACTGGTGGATGTGGGCAAATTACCTGGAGAAGGACCTCAAGACTAGGGCTAGTCAATATGAAGGTAAGTTCTTTGCTATTCAACCATATAGTGGTATTCTTTTACTCTATATATGCGCCGAAATAACTAACAAATGATTCCAGGTGGAACAAACTGGATGAACCCCAACAGCGCAAAAGGAAAGCCCACAGACGCACAATGGCTCGACGTCGTGGCGCCCACAGGCAAGAACGGCATAGCCAGCAACCAAATGTTCTCCACCACAGCTGGTCCGTTCTGCTACGTCTACGAGTAGAGGTATTGGTCTCTTTTATGCATCACCTATGAGCACAGGTGCATCCATCGTATTCTATCAACATACCCAAGAAGCTGGGTATTCGAAACCTGCTTCACAAACGAAAATTGGAACTTTATATTTACATATTCACCTAGACGTGCTTACCGCGTTGCTATATATTTGCATCTATGTACTCCACCTTCCCCTCCTCCCCGTTGCGAAATAGACAAAAGTGCCGTCACAAACGACGACGACTACTCATCCTCATTCACTGAACAGTTAAAACAGAATAGACATTGGTCATTCAAACCATCTGCCGTGAAACCCTCGAACTCTTCCTTCCCAACCTCCCCCCTGCTCCTCGCTTCCCTCCCTCAATCTATCGATCTATCTATCTTACATGCACGCGCGCACGCAACACAACGCACCCCATCTAACCTAAGCCACCATCCCGACCGGATCTGCCGAATGGCCTTGATACTTCTCTATTCTTCACCGCCGTGTGAATCGACACACCATATTGCAAGGTGCGGGGAAGAATCTGTATGCGCCCCAAAAAAAAACAACGGGGGTATTATTTTTGTCTCCTTCGCTTACGGCTTTCTCCAACTAAAATGAATTCTGGGAAAATTGTCGTTGGATAAAGTGAGTATATTACCCCAAATTTCCCTTCCCCTCACCGCACGACCCCAGGGGACATGGGGGTTAAGCACACGTGATTGATCTAGGGTTTTCGGGGCTGTGGAAGATGGTGGTGCTGTCTTCTTCTTCTTTGCGCAAGTGTATGCTGATTTATGGTATTAAAACTTTATGTAGTGACTTTCATGCATGTCTATCACAACATGTGCAACGAATCTCCCCCTAGTGAATTGATGTATCATCCATCGCTCACGTCTGCCGTTGCTGCCTCCAATGGCGCGGGATTGTACCTGGTTTCTCGTGGCTACAGCGACAATGGCTTACTTGAATTCTACCATCTTCTTATGTGCAATACACGTCTGTCGTCTTTGGCGATCCTGATAGGAATGGAAGGAATCATAGTTTCGACCCCGGCTCCAACGTCTTCTGCACCAAACCCGCGACATGTTCCGCAACACCCCTATCAATAGTTAGCATTAAAGTCCCATAACCCCATACAGACTCCACTCCGCTCTTCTCTTCCAAACATGATCAAAAACAAAGCAGAGGACGTAAAAAGGAAAAGAATAGAGAAAACTCACCACGAAGCCTGATACCCCGCCCCAGCGTGTCCATAACAATGCACGACGCTCACCCCCTCCCCCCACTCCTCCCTCCTCCTCTCGACCTCCATCCTCGGTCCCCCCTTCCTGCCAGGCCTCAGTCCAACATTATGACTAATAACCTGCAGATCCTCCGGCCGTCCCAACTCGGGGCACAACGCGCAGCACCTCTTCACGATGTCCGCCGCGAGTTCCGGGTCGACGTCGGCGCTCCAGTTCCCGTCCTGCCGGCACCCGCCGAGCACGACGCCGCCGCCGTGCGGGCGCGGGAACACGTAGGTCGTCGAGGGGTCGATGCGGGCTGGAGAGCGGAGATACATGCGGGGGATTGGGGTGGCGGGCTCGGCGACGAGGACGGTTTGGCCCCGCGTCGGATACAGGTTTAGATCGCGGACGTCGGTCAGGGAGTAAGAGCCTAGGGCTGTGCAGTTTAGGAGGATGGTGGTGCTGGGGAAGGAGGAAAGGAGGGAGGCGAGGGAGGGGAGGTGTCGGCGGACTGTGCGGATGGATTTGCTGAGGGCTTGGTTTTGTAGCCTGGATTTGTCGTTGTCAGTCAAACTGTTACATTTGGAGAAGGGGGATATCATACCATCCAAGGTAGGTTTGCGTGTTGATGTGGAATGTTTGAGGGAAGTCGACGGCGAATGTTGCTCCAGACGGTAGCTCTTCTTTCTTGACGTGCTGTAAGCCTCCAACCAGTTCATCATACCACACTTTTCCCGTCTCTTCAGTGATGATGCCCGTCTGCTCGATTGGCCTGATTTCATGAAGTCAGCTAGCTGTTATCAAGTACGATAATTCCCTCTTTCCCAAAATCACGGGACCAACCAACTCCAAAGTAGGTCATATAAAACCTTGAGTGGAAAGAGAATTGGAGAGCAACATACGCATCAAAAACCGCCCGCAACCCCATCTCCGCGACCCCCGTCTCGTACGTCAACCCCTTCTCCACGAACCCCTTGAACCTCTCAAATGAAATCCTATCGCACTGCTCTAGGAGCCCGTTGTCGTGCGCCATCGAGCACCAATTGGCGCCCGCCCACGGCGAGGTGTACTCGATGGACCGGTCGCCGGGGAAGTGTTTTGCAACGATGGTGATCGGGGCTGTTGGGTACTTCTCGCGTAGGACGAGCGCATTGGTCAGGCCTATCACGCCGGCGCCTATGATGAGGATATTTGGTTGTGATGGTGACATGGTTGGTTATGGGATGATAGATGTATGTTTCAATCTTCTAGGTAGGTAGGGATTGGGGATGCGAATTGATGATGATGGGGAATTGAAGTTCTTTCCAGCGAATATAGAAGTGTTCCAGAATCGGACTTCGTTGAATGGAACTGTAAAATATGGCTCAATTTCCAACTTTCAACAGTCGATCAGAATCAGTCGGCCCGCAATGTTGATGGATTATCACGCTTGATTGATGTCCAGAAGGCTGTGGCAACCGAATGTGTAACCCTTGGCATATGCTCTATCCAATGGTAGAGACCGTCGGAGTAACTGAAGTCCACTGAAAAACACGCACCTGCAGATTTCGGAGCTGGGAAGTTGAGTTGAGAACAGGATCGATTAATGAGAGGTTGAGATGAGAAGATCCGAACGGGGTAGTGGAAATATGGGGAAAGGTGGCGGCCGTTCGCAATTCAATTTGGGCCTAGCGTCTTCAGTGGCGTGGAATGATCGGATAAGGGACGAAATGATGATATGATAGTCTGAATGTGCACTGAGCGTAGGATTTGGAGCGGTATATAAATATTTGCATCACTGAGTCGGGCTTGATTTATGTGCTGATTGTCCTTATGTGAACCTCGAGACGCGGCGTAGCACTGTAAAGTCACAAGCAATGTTTGATGAACGATAGAAAAGCGCGTTGTAGCTATCAAGTGTAGAGATATGTACGCAATTTACAAATGAAAATAAATCTCCCCAGATGTCGTAGTTACAGTAGATACTATGACCACGACAATGATACAAATGCGGTCGCTATTGGAACACGCCGTTGTTGGTGCCAACTGGCACATGGTCGTCCCTCTTGTCGACATTCAATTCCGAGCCTGTGGCATCTATGTTTGAAGTAGTAGTTGATCTTGACATCCTCTGATGGTACGATGAACGGTGAGGCTCGTTGCGAGACGTCACCATGTCCAAATGCTCACAATTCTGAAATGATGAAGATATGTGAGCATCCGGAAATGACGAAGATGTGTCTGCAACGGCACACATCGTAATAGTATGGTCCTGCACGGGTTTGTCCTGAAGGGCAATGGGAATCTGTGATGCAACGGCATCAGCGATGTCATTCCCTTCTTTCTTGAGCCACATGCAGTCCCGCAGAAGACGACATTGTTGGGGTGTTGTGCTTGACCCAGATATCTTTGTCGTTTTTGTCGTGCTGTTCGTCTTCGTTCCAGGTATTGTTGCCATTCTCATATGCGCTTTCTCCCAAAGAAGCGACGGCAAACCGTGAGGGAATGTTTCACTGGCCTTGAGATTGTTGCACTCCCAGTAAACTTGTTCACCGGCAAGGCGAAGGAGTCTGCGGCTAAGAAGGCGCTCTTGCAACGACCAGGCACGTGTATCCCAAGCAAATCCTTGTTTCTGCCAATCGACGATGTCGTCGGAGTCAGCAGTATCCACGTTGGCCGTGGACAATCGCTTGTGATTGGGTCCAGTATGAGCGTTGACATCGTCGACGACGATCGTCAATGCTGCATTCCGGTACGTCGCAGCCATGGCAGCACATTCGCGGTGTTTATCTTCTTCTGAATCTTGGACAATGCAGAGAGAGTCGGCCCATATGTAACGGTAGCCCACCCGCTCGGCTGTAGCAACAGCCTCCTTGAGTGCATCGGACAGGCTCTCAACAGAGAGCTGCGTCTGGGCTTGGTGGATGTTGTCCTTGGACAGTGTGAGGTCCGATGGACTCCACATGTGACTGACAACAACGTAATCGATTCGATCAGAACCGGACGCAATGTCAGCACTGTTTACCACTCGTAATGATGAAAGCCCATCGGCCTGCTTAGCATTGATGTCAACAAGGCGTGTGGGAAGTGTAGTTCCATCGACATCATTCCATGCACAGGCTTCGTGATCGTGGACACATTCTTCGACCCATCCCTTCACACGAGCGTCGACGTCTTGCTGTGCGTTACTTCTGTGCTTACAACTGGTAAAGCCACAACTGAAAACGTGACGTTGGGCGAGAGAGGAATGATCCTGTTGGACGAGTGCTTCCACAGATGCCAACTCTTGCTGAGGCCCAGGGAAGCTAGCTTCGTCGTTCGCCCACTGAAGACAGCAAAGAGCGGGAGTGAAGACCATTGTCAGCATTGCTGCACTGGGCCGTTGAGAGGGTTCGGGGTCAACCATCGTCTTGATGGTACGGACAGCATTTGCTTCCACTGGACTGGCAGTTTGCTCCAGCAAGCTTGAGAGTCTCTGGTGGAGGCGGGGAACTTCTTGCCAGTAGAGCTTACCATGGCTTCCAGTGAATTGCTCCAGAAGATCAAGCCATTGCCTGTTGCTCGTGCATAAAGCAGCAGCGGTCATCTCTATGAAGACACAGCCGAGACTCCAGATGTCAGTTGCGCTCTCGCGTGTCTTTCCAGAAAAGACTTCAGGAGCAGAGTATTGGCGTGTAAGGGCCTTTGAGGTGGTTTGTGACGCCGAAGACGTCGAGGAGCTGATACCAAAGTCACTCAATATGACCCGTGGTTCCTCACCATCAGCGAGCGTGACAAGAATGTTCTGCGGCTTGATATCAAGATGGTTGATGATAGGCCGTTGCTCATGAAGGTATCGCAGTGTTGAAGCAAGGCATCCGAACATCTTGAATATCGTGTCTTGCAAGCCAACAGGTCTTTCGCGCATACTTTGCTTGAGCCACAAAGCTAGTGTAGTTTCAGCAACAGGTGAGCAGAGTATTGATACCTTATCGCCCTTGGCGTAAGCTCCGAGGAAGCGAACAATGTGAGGGTGACGCAGCTTTTTGAGCACGTTCACCTCGTTCTTGAGTTCATCCATGGCAGATTGCTCACGATTCTTGAGTGTCTTGCGACTCATCCTGAGTTTTGTTTCTTGATGGATGACTTCGTCCACCGTACTGAACCCGCCCGTACCAAGCAGCTTCACGCTGAGGAAGGATTGGTGGTCAACAAAGTTATCGACAGAGAGCGAGCCGATTTCGCGCCATTGCAGATCGGCTGCGGCCTGATCGGAGGTCTTCTTCACGACTGAGTCGTCTTGGTCTGGCGCACGCTTGGGGTAATCGGGTATCGGTGGCGGCAGTGGTGGCGTAGGGGAGTGAGACGGAAGAGTGCCGACGGCCACAGAATCCTTCTGGGTCTGGAGTTGGACTTCTGAGACCTTGGCCTGGAATTGGGGCCGTTCTTTTGTCTCCAACGCATGCTGGAGATTGTCATTGCGAGATGTTCTCTCACAGACCCCTTCAACGCCCCGAGGTATCTCTTGTAGGGTTGAACTTTGATTGACCGAAGATCGGGTTTGTTGATCTGGACTGTGTTGACCTGCATGTGTTTGAGTCAACCCTTGTGTACTATCCAGGTAGGAGTCCGTTATGCAAAATTGGTCTTGGCTTGGATGTGTCCTTCCGATTACATCGGTGACAGCATTTCCGGCCACAGTAGCTGCGTCATCGCGCGTTGTGCTACTGCGCCCGGGGAGTGTATCCTGCTGGGCCTTTCTTATGTGAGCAAGCGTAGAATACGATTCAGTTGCAAGACGGCCGGCAGTTTCACTATACGGTCCAGAGCCTAATGAATGGTTTCCGGCAACGTCGCTTCCATTAAACTGTTGAAGAGAATCCGTGATGGTTGACTGGACTGAACAGGTGTTGTCTTGTGATGTTGATAGCTGGAAGTGGCCGAACCCGCTAAAAGAGGACTGGCCATTGCCGGAACCGCCGTCGTTGTTGTCGCCCTGCTTCGAGCCTCGGCCTTGTGATCCAGATCGTGATCCATTGGAGCCGTTGCTGTCGCTGGAATGGTTGTTCTTATTGTTGTTGTCGGGCTTGTCGTCATCGTCATCATCGTCTGTGTTATCGGGGCTGTTGTCTTCTTCGTAGTCGACCCAGTCAATCATGCCCTTTCCTTTCTTGAAATGATCTAATCCAATCTTTAGCATATGATCAAGGAGTGGAGTTGGGAAACACTGGGACATACCTGCGATGTGATCGATGCGATCCTGTCTCGAGGCGAAGCGGTGGGGACAAAATCCGCATCGTCGTGGGAACTCTGTGTCAGAGAGCACTAAGCTGGAGGCCTCATAGTCATTGCTATCTAGATTGGGATGGAGGTTTCGGAAGTGCTGGACTGCATTAGCATGGACTTGCAACTCCGGAATTGCACGGAAGAATGAACATACCTGAGAGAAGTGGTATCGCCTGAAGCAGGGCTTCAACTTGTCATTGGTACCCTGGCTGACACACAGGCTACATAGCCAAGATTTCGAAGGGTACCACTCCTCCTCATTTCTCTTCCAGTCACACTTTCTTGTGTATCGCTTCCCACACTTCCTCGTGCACTGGTAGATTTTAATTGGGTCGTGCCGCAACAAGTCTGCATCCTGAGTGGGTGTGCATCCTTTCTTGCCCCCTCGTGCCGTTGGTGGGCTGGCTGTGGTCGTATTTGACTCCTGGTTAGATGGAGCTTCTGGCACTGTGTAGCTCTGAGTGGAATTCCTGAAGGGTTGCTCCTGCTGTGTGAAGCTTGTTTGTGACCTGTAGGCTGAGTCGGCATGGCCAGCCATGCCCTGCTTTAGTAACCGACCGAACCACTGTCGGATGGCTGAAGCGGGTTCCCCTGTGAGCTGGCTCAATGAGTCGATGTGTCGGTCACTGCGTACTGTTAGCAACGGGACTTCACTCTGGCGATGCCATGTCTGGGTCGGATAGGGATGCTTACCTTGGCAAGACAGCGTACTTGCTGAACCACAGAGCGCACACGTCGGCAGCCTCATCACTCAGACCGGTCACATCGACAGAGCTCGCCGGGGTAGCTTGTGTCTCGATCCAACTGGAGCCTGCCATGGATGCTGATGATGAAGGGATGAAAGGGGAGAAGGAAGCAGAGGCATGGCTCTCGTGCCTCTTCGACTGTGGGAAGTCGTTGACGTCAAGTTCAAGTGGGCGCTTACCCATCTCGTTGACGGATTGGAATTGGTTTATTGATCCAAATGACTGAACAGGTGTCATAGGGAAGCTGTCCATGCCGGAGACGAGCTGGTTGTTCCATGTTGCAGAAGATCCCAAGGTGTTATCCAAGGCCTGCAGAGAGGTCAAATTGGTTTCTAATAATGGTACATGGGGGAGACACGATATGGAGAAGGGAAGCATGATGGTTGATTTGACTTGAGAGATGACAAGATTTGATATATCCAAAAGACTTTGAATGTGAAGATGCTACGGAGTGACGAGCCAGCGGCTAATTAACTTACGAGGTTCTGGGGCATGGAAAAGCTTGTGTCGGCAGTAGACATGGAGAATAGTGGATCGAGGAAACTGCTAGTAGTGGTATCGATGCCTTCGTCGTCAGCGAAGAGGAAGTCGGCAGAGGTGTTACCCTCAGCGACCTTGGCGAAGGATGGATCGGCCGCCTGCTCGAAACCGAAAGCCATGTTCATGTCACCGGATCCGAAGTTCATGGCGATGGGGTTGTTGGAGTTGGAGTTAGTGTTGTATCCGAAGCCTGCCATGAGCGACTATTCGCATTCAGCTTGGATATTGTGATCAGTAGGATGATGGTGATGGAATGTAATGGATGAAGTCGAAGAGGTTGCGAAAGGGCGCGAAAGAGTAGGCGTAGGGCAGCCGTATAGTCAATCGATCGCAAGCTTTTGTCAGCAACAATCGCTTTCCGGAGGGAGGATGAGTCGAAATGGCTCACGATGGAAAAGAGATTGAGGATGTAGAGAAGTAAGTTGAGTCAAGTGCCTCAGGCGGGAGGGATGGGATTCTTTTAGGAAGGGCAACGACGATGAATGAAAGGTGGGATAGGGCAGAAAAGGGTAAGGACTCGTAGGGATAAGGTAGTACCACCAATTGTCCGGTGAGCATTTGGTGGGAAGTGGGATGGGGAAAGGATGACTCGAACGGTCTAACCTGGTAGGCGCAGCCCTTCCGTTAGGCGAGAAGGGCGGCGGACGGGCATTGATTGGCACCCTGGGCGTACCATTCCATCACTACTACGGAGTACCACAGTAAGTAAATCGCTACTCCGTAGTAATAATGTGTAGTATATATTCGATAAATTAACACGGAGACCAATATATACATAGGTACGTATGCTAATTCCTTATTGCTCTTGACTTGATCATTACCATGAGATCTTCTTTGTTATTAAAATGAAGCATGAAATTACACAATCATCGGTTGTGGATTGATCAAGCCAAACCTACAAACTGCTTACCCACGTGACACACACACACAGTACGCGCAAATACCGTCCAGACTCTTCACTACAACTAGATGATTAAAGTACCACCAACACCCTCTTTACCATGAGCGTGCTTTCACGCTGCAGATCCAACTGCTGCAGCACAACGTCTGACGTCCCGTTAGAAGCAAAAGAGGCAAGAGGATCGGGAACTGCAGCTGTGGTTGATCTGTAAGATTCGTATGACTCCCAACCTACCTGCCCAGCCAATCAGATCAAGCCGGGAAGGGCTACGGCGCTGCTAAAACGGCGGAAGGGCGCAATGGGCGGCAGTGCATTTTCCCCGAATTGTGGCTGGGTTTGCACTTGCGGCTGAGACCTCGAGTCCACACCGCAGTTAGTCTCCTAGGTATGTGTGTCTCGCTCTCGTGTCAGGGCACGCAGGGGTATGTCATTCCTCCACATTTTTGCACCAGCTTGCTACCAATATGGCGATACCTAGGAAATTACCTGTGAAAATGAAAACACATCGTCACTGAATATTCTCTTCCGTTGCTCTATCTCGTCGCTTCCTTGTCAAGCGATTTCCAAGAACCTCAACATCGGATATTCGAACACGAATGGAATAGATGTACAGGCACATACTGGCCGAACCGATGAAACATATCCCATTAAAGTCATTATGGAACCGAACCGAACACATAAATTTTTAGAAGTTCTTTGTAGATTCCATTGTTCCCTTGGAATGGTCTTTACAACTCGACGATGGAGCCAACTGAAGTATTCGGATATTCTTTGATGGCAATACCGCTCCTTGTCCGAATGCTTACATCCTCTTCAAACTGTTTCGCGCAATTCCACTCTGTCGGTGGTGGACTTCGAAGCTTCTCCAAGTTCTGGTCTCCCATTGCCGGTTGTATCGCAATCCTGGACTGTTGCTTCGAGGTTCAACGCGCGCCGTACAAGGACGACTGTAATAATGGACAAGATAGCAGCCCAGGCCCAAGGCACCGTAAAAGCTTTCGAACACACCACGATCGTCAGTCCAACATTCGCTCACCAAAGTCAAAAAGGTGATGTGCGAGATAACTTACACAATGCATACCCAATCTCCGGATTCTCTGCGCCAAATATGACCGCAAGCAGTGTGCCAGCGACCAGAAGTCCAGAAACCCCCCACATCCAATCCAACTGACGAGACACGTTCTCAAGCGCAGGGCTAGAAGCAATACGACGTACAAGTGCAGACCGAAATTGTCTACCGCAAGCACCATCAACAGCACAAATATCTTCCGCAATGACGATAACTCCAGGAGGAAAGCGAGATCCAGCTTCGAATGATGACAATGGGAACGGAATGGCGAGTTTCGCAATGAACAGAACTTCGGTCAACACCAACTGAGTACAAGTCTGTAGGATAGAGAGGGGAATCATAAGAGCGACGAGCCGGACGTTTGCACTGGTACTGCCTAGAACAAGCACTATGGTGATGTATACCACGCCGACAGTGAAGTTCCATTGGAAAAAATCAAATGCCCATCGACTCCTCGACGTAGTAGGTCTGGCATCTTCATTCCGATAAAGTCTGAGGAACCGCTTAAACAAGGTTGCCAAGGCAGGTAATCCAATAATGGGTAGAATTATAGATAAAATCAATTCCGTGTGCAATGAAGTATGTTTTTTAAGGGAGAAATAGAGGGCGATTGGTAAGATACAGTTCGCAATAAGGATGATGGTCCAGTGAATTGTGATGCTTCTCTTGTGACTCCAAAGATCAAGGGGGATGGCTGGAAGAGTGACATCCGATCTTTGGCTCATAATGTGGTCTAGATGCTTTGCGAAAGGACGTGATGTGCTAAAGAAAGAAGTTCATGCTCTGGTCTCAAATCATTTTCGAATTATTCATATTCAAGCAATATATACCTGAAGGTACAAGCGAGCACAACTTTTACTATTCACCGAGCCCCTTCCAACGCCTGCCACATGCAAAAAGATCAAGCAAATTTGATTGCAAGGTTTTACAATCATTGGCTTCGCCCACCAGTGGGATCGGAACATTATTGAGGAGACAGAACGGACACGCGAGAATATTGCGGGGGATCGTCATTCCAAGACCCCAGGTTAGTGTGTAGGTTTCCTAATCTGGCTTCTGTCAGTCGGCCAATTCGGCGAAGCCTACATCAAAGTAAACCCACATGATTCCGAGGTACAATAAGTAGCTGAGGTATTACAGTAGGTATCACGCTTTAGGAAAGATGTCTCCGAGTATGTCTATGTTGGGTGTAGATACGAAATTAAATTAAATTAAATTCAACATTGTGGAAGCTCTTTATATCAAAAAGCAAGCTCAAGATATTCTTCTTCCTTGATCATTGTTGATCTGACATCTGCTATAGATGTCTTCACAGGGGTTTCGATTGCTTGCTTTCCTCGGATTTGCAACATGCGAGATTAGCTGGCAAGTAGCCTCCATCATACTTCGTCACTACCTAGGCTTGGGAACCACTCTCCCAACCTGGCCGCTGCAAAGAATCATCAGATTGCAGATCACAAAGTCAATCCTCAGATCCATCTCTACCACCCGACTCGCAACACCTCTATCACTCGATCCCGGGACGGAAGGTGACCGCTTCTGCTTGTTACCTGCGGCCAGCAGACAATTATATAAAGGACCCCTGAGAAACGACGACATACGGCCCCAGACGATAGGCGCAACCTGGACCCCAGAGCGCCTCGACCCTAGCCCAGGACGTCCACCAGTCGTTGTGGCTCTTCACTTCCATGGCGGCGCGTATGTCTTGGGTAACGGACGAGATGCCGACACTGGCTTCTTAGCCCAAAACTACCTAAAATGGACTGGATGCACACACGTTCTCACCCCTCAGTACCGGCTTGCAACGACACCGAAGGGGCGTTTCCCAGCAGCCGCTCAGGATGCTCTGTCCGCTTACATGTACCTTATTCACAACCTCGGCATACCCTCCGAGCAGATCATTGTGGCAGGGGATTCAGCCGGGGGTAACCTTGTCATGGCCTTGTTACGCTACATCTCCGAATATGGCACTGAACTGGGGATCCCGTGGCCTGCAGCTGCCCTGCTCTGGTCCCCATGGACTTCGCTTGCATCTTCTAGAGATCCCACCAGTATTCGGAAGTCTCCCAACTATGCGACTGATTACATCCATGAAAGCTTCCCGATTTGGGGCGTCGAAGGACTCACTGGTCATGGAGGTGTGTCATTCGATGACCCGTATCTGTCGCCAGGACTTGAACAAAGCTTCACAAGTCTGACGCCGTTGTGGGTGCATTCGGGAAAGCTGGAGCTCCTTTATGAAGACAATCGAGACTTTGTGACAAAGTTTCGTGCAAATGGTACTCAGGTGGAGTGGGATGTCGATGAAGGTTGTCCACATGACATCGCGTTGATGGGAGAAAAACTTGGGTTTGAGAAAGAAGCTGTGCAGGCGTCACGCCGGGCAGGGGATTTCTTGTCGAATGTCTTGAGCAAGGACAAGGTTACGTAGTTGCAAAATTGATTCCGGCACTCGCTGAATGCTTAACTTGAAAGGAACGATATGCATTCTACCTGTACTTAGGACATAATGAAATTAGAAAACGTAGGATGTACTCCTGTTATAGAAATCATGAATATGCTTGATCCATAAAATCCCATAGTGGCTGATACCCCGTTGCTCCGGTTGTTGAACTTGTCAAACAACATTAGCTGTGAGTATTGAGCAGAATGGCATCCTTTCCCATTGTATCTTGAGGAATGTAAATACAACTGTCTTCTGCAAAGAACTATCTAGTCTTATAGATGATTCCTGAAACATAACATTAACGCTATTGAGGTACGTAAGGAGAATGATGAGCAGAGCTTCTATTCAATTTACAATGCTACTCCATAATGTAAGTCCGCACTCACTTCAAGGTCAACCCTGACACTATATCGCCCCAACTCGATTGCCATGCGTCTACAATGTGATTCTTCTTCTGTGCCCATTGCCCAATGCCTCCTTTGGGGAATATGCTTGCTGAGCCTTTGACGTAGGTCGACGAAAGATTAAACAGAGGTACTTGGGTCATCTTCTCTGGTTGTTGTAGTGTTGGTAAAGCTACATTTGCGCCACGGGCCCGCATCCGCCATAAAAGTCGTACAAGAAGCGTGGCAGTCGTCTCTGCACTCAGAGTCCACGACGCATTGACGTAGCCTATGACAAAGAAAAGGTTTGGTACGTCCTGGAGCATGCAGCCTTTCCAGGCGAATTTCGACGAGGGATTGATGGCTTGTTCATCAATGGATATCTTGATCCCTCCGGCAAATTGAAGTTGCAGCCCAGTAGCTGCTACGATAATGTCTGGCTGTAGCTTCTGGCCTGACTTTAGCACAATTGAATGGCTAGTGACTTCTTCAATAACATCAGTGACGACATCAGCCTTTCCAGATCTCAGTGCTGCATAGAAATCTCCGTCAGGGCAGACGCAGAGTCTCTGTTCCCAGGGATTGTACCGCGGAGAGTGATTTGGTCGAACAGGTGCCCCTGGGAGAAGCTGCAAGGCACTTCCTCTCTCGAGGAGGTCACGAGCCTGTTTTGGATACCACATGCAAAAATAATAGAACATGTAGCCCATCAGGAGGCGCCGGACCCGATTCCACCTGCGCACAACGACCTTTGGTAGAATTGCCCCAAGGACCTTTGAAACAATCCCGCCTGACATTGGCAATGTCGCGATATATGTTGGGCTACGTTGCAGCATCGTGACGTGTTTTGCGTCCTCTGCTAGAGATGGTAACAAGGTGACTGCAGTGGCTCCGCTCCCAATTACCACGATCTTCTTGTTCATGTAGTCAAGCTTCTCGGGCCAGAATTGGGGTTTGATGACGCGACCAGAAAACTGATCTAGACCCGGTATGGTTGTTTTCAGAGGCTCATCATAGTTGTAATATCCAGTTCCAAGTACCATAAAGCGACAGATAAAGTCTACTCGTTCACCATCGGACTTCGTCGCAGTGACCGTCCATCGAGAGGCAGCAGAGGACCAGTTAGCAGATAAGACTTGATGTTGAAACCGAGTATGTTGATCTGCGCCAACCTTCGCCGCGGAGCTGGAGAGATATGTGGCTATTTCAGGTCCTGTCGCGAGAGGTTTGTCCAAATGCCATGGGTTCCATGAATAGCCAAATGTAGACATGTCTGAATCGGATCGAATGCCTGGGTATTTGAAAAGATCCCAAGTTCCTCCCCAGTGACTGCGTCTATCTAGTATGACGTAGGATGTCCCTCGCGGGGCATCGCTTTCGAGGTATCTAGCGGTATTGATTCCAGAAACTCCAGCTCCGACGATGACCACGTCGAAAGATTCTTTGGGTTGCGAAGGAGAGATGTTTTCTGGCTTCACGTCCGCCGGAGTATTGGCCCCCTTCCTTGGGGACTGATGTGATTTAGCCATGGAGCTGAAAGATGCAAAGATGCTTGGAATACTAGGCTTCAACGATAGCTCTGGTCAGAGCATTTTCGAGGGTGCGGATGAAGTATATATGACTAGGTAAAGGTGCGTCCATGTGGACAGGTCAAGTTGTGGAGACCGAGGCAGTCATACCCATGAGGCCCGGTTCACTCATCATACCAATTGCTTTGACGGGAATTGATGTGTAGCGACATGATGGACACGACCCTCCGACGATGTCCAGATGTGGAAAGAAGTCACCGGTAGGGATCGTGATAGGCCGCATTATTACACTATACCGAATACGACTAAAAGTCACCGAACGGTCGCGCTAGCTCAGGGCCAACTCCTCATACAACATCGAGGAATGGGCCGTTACTTGTAACAGCCGAGGCATGCTTTTAGGAATCAGAACTGATCAGATCAAGTGTAGCTTGTTAGTCGTTGTTGACCACGTGCCACAAGACGTCGAACATAAGAGTGACCTTGGGCTACTGATGACGACCACCTGGCTGAATAAAAGGCTGCTCAAAAGCACAGCTGAAATGCAAGAGCTGCATTCCTTCTCTTGTCCAGTGGCATATTATTCTCTACCCTGTCTCCATTCATAGTACGTTATATGAATGGCTGCTGTCGTTCAACCACTTGTGCGGGCCATTGGCATAGCGAGCAATGGAGCTCTCAATCCCGTGCTTTCTGGCTCCGCTCTTGCGTTCATCACTTACGGGCCTCCGCATCTTGTATCCAAGATAACCGACCTTGATTTCATCAGACGTTGGGTCGATATCGTGGGTTTGAAGACGGTCTTGAAGATATTGCTCACTATTGGAGTCGGCAAGTTTCTGAACCGGTTCCAAAACCGTCGCGCGACAAATGGCTGGAAGTTCTTTGGCAGTGGAAAATGGGATTGGCCACAGGAAATTGCAGTAGTGACCGGAGGCTGCAATGGAATCGGCAAAGCCATTGTGCTAGGCCTCGTCCGCAAGGGCATACGGGTCGCTATTCTCGACGTTGCGGATCAAGATCCAGAGCTCCAGCGTATCGGCACCGTCTCCTACTGGAAATGTGACATCTGTTCACCATCTGCCGTTGCCGAAGCAGCAGACAGCATTCGAAAAACCATTGGCCATCCCACCATTTTGATCAACAATGCTGGCATCGCTAATTCGAGCCCGATCATCCATCTATCTTCCGAAAAGCTGTCGAAAATCTTCGGAGTGAATTTACTCTCACTCTGGTATACAGCAAGAGAGTTCTTACCCAATATGATCCTCAAGGACAAAGGGCACATTGTGACAATCGCGAGCATGGCCTCTTATATCTCGTTGACAACCGCCGTGGACTACTCTGCATCGAAAGCAGGCGCTTTGGCTTTCTACGAGGGCCTTAGCTCTGAGCTCAAACACATTTATAAGGCGCCGGGCGTTATGAACACGGTAGCTCATCCTATGTGGGTTGAGACAAACATGACAAAGAGTCACCAAGAATCCATTGAGCGCTCGAATGGAGGCCGGATGATGAAGCCGGAAGATGTCGCCAATGTAGTAGTAAACCAAATACTCTCCCGTCGTGGCGCGCAGCTCATCATTCCTCCGACCTTCAGTTGGCTCTCGGGCGTTCGAGGCTTTCCAAATTGGTTTCAGGAAATGATCAGGGATGGTATCGGAAAGTCAGTGTAGTATCCATTGGGGAAAGGGAACCTATTCGAATGATAGTATCTTTTAAGGGCAAGTCTGAACGCCTGTAGTAATGTCTCCGATCCGTGAAAGGCGATGAGTGTCACATCGTCGTCCTATTTCGTATGAACATCTGTAGTCTCGCGGGCATTGCTCTTGACTGTTGACGTTGTTATGGGTAGGGTCGGGATGAGCGGTAAAGTCCATTAGACTACCTTGCGGCGCTGAAATGAACATTGAGAAGGGAAAAAATTCATGCTACCCCAAATCTGTTGCTATGTAACCACAATCAATGATCAACGCAGCTGGTTATTCTCCACAATTGTCCGTGTCTCTCTGCACTATCACCATGTGAACTAACTTCCCCGCACTTTGATCAACCCCGAATCTTGCTATTCCTAATAATGAAGAACCGAGGCTTATATGATATGCCTTTGAGTTGATTGAATCCCATTTTGGCTTAGCGCATTGTGCGTCTCTTCCAAACGCTGCGCAATCTGATGTCGTTACTCAACGATGAACCGTACACTACCCACTCTTTACCCCAGACCAAACATACTAGAAAGGCGCGCATGATATTTCGTTGAGTGCTGCACAGTTTAGGATCCCATCGGAAGCCATAAATTCATAATAGGGGGGATCATTGGCTTTCCGGTGCAATGCCTCAATTCGCATGTGACCAATGCCATCGTAGGAAAGAGCGCTGTTCCTTTGATGCCGACGAACGGAGCTGCCGCCAATGCAAGGTCCAATCCGTAAAATGTTCTTTCTTGCGCCGTAGTCGACGGATGGGTCGGCCGCCCGCCGCTCGAAAGCTACCATATGGGTCTTGCAAAATCCTCAGCTTCGACAAGAATCAGCAGCCTAGCAGGCGACCAATATCAAATGGACTTATCGTCTTGGATAGTTCTGTCGGGGCGATGGTTGATGGGCGTATCGACGGGAATCATAGCAGCCACGGCTCTAGGAGCAATGAGACTCACCAAATCAGCGAGTCGCCCATCAACGCCTCCGGTGCGACTCAGACTCTCACTGGTGGCGGGACTTGTCATGAAATAAATGAGACGAACTATATCAACAAAAGCAACGAGAGCGTCAAAAGTCTTCAGACTAATTCTAGTAACACCAATTCTGAGACGAATACTGGTCTCAAATCGCAGGAAACTGATTCCACCAACGAGGCAGATGAGATCACCAATACCAGTGATATCGACGAGATCAATGAGATCAATAATATTAGCGAGATGCTTGCTATCGAACCAGCGCCTAACGAAGTCGGGTTTTTGGACTCCTTCAACTTGAATGCCATTGATATAATTCGGCCATGGCAATGTCCAGGTTTGGACACAACAAGTCAGCAATCACTACTGGTGGAAAACTGGCTACCGCCGGTTTCTACTTATCACAACATTCTCTCAAATTCGGGCTTGTTCTACCTGTTTCATCGACATTTTATGATTGGCCCCAGCTTCTGCGACGACTTTGTGAATGCCATCAAATCCGTGTTTACTGGTTCGGATGGATTTTTTCTAGAAGCATACAATGCTACATTGGCACTATGGGATGTCAGAAATAATCGACCCAGGATCATAACTGCTTCCGACATCAAGAACGCCTCACATTTTCTGAGACAGTTACAGAAGGCAGCTATTCAAGGCCCCTTTGACGCTGCAGCTATAGTCTTCCTTGGCCAGATACTGTTGGTTCACCACGTTGTCGCCTTCGGTACATCCGCTCACGCTATCGTTCGTCGGTCATTGCTGTCAGTCCGCGAATGGTATGCTTCGCTGCTGCTTGAATCATCAATGAACCCTATCACCATCACCCCAATAGTCGTCGACACAGTCGAGTCACTCGTGAGGAGAGACATTCCTGTCGTACAAATTCCAAGATACAAATCAACAACCGTGGACCGGACAGCGGGCCTCTGCGTAGAACTTCTGCATTTCCAATACGATATTTGTAAGATAAGCTATGCAGCTAAGATTACAGGTCGAAGAAGTATTGTATCGGCTGGAGCCACAACGCCCAGCCTTCGTTCCAGTCCAGACAGCAGTTCATTAGATGCCCTCGAAGAGAAGGTGCGTCAATGGGAGCCTTCTCCGCCCTTGACCTTTTTCACCGAATACACGCCATCTGAAGTGTCGGCGATGTTATTACAAGCACGCGTATATCGTTTAGCTACACTTCTCATCATTCATCGGCTGAAATATCCGCTCGGAGTTGAGGACGAATATGCGTCCCGCCTAGCACTCCTGATCATGGTCGAGCTTGAGTGCTTCACTCAACAGGTCACAGATACTACCGATGGCTTGGCTATTGGACTCCCTCTCCTAGTAAGTGCTTTGGAGACTGGCTACTTGAATGATCGGATAGTGTCCTATGTTGCACCTGTGTCTGCCAATCCAGACTACGCACAAAAGCTTCAAGATTTCGTAAGCCTTGTCAGAGCAGCACGGGACCACGGTTACCTCGGGCTTTGGTTTGACCTAGTCGAAGGGGGCTTGCATGTACCAATATTACCATGAACAAGTTCAACAGGATTTGCAATCACGTGTACAGCCTAGACCCTTAAAATCTCACATATCCTCCGTTCTCAGATGGAAACGATGCAAGTTCAATAGTTTTCTCGAGATTACTAGATTTTCATCTTATCATCCAGAAGCCTCGTTTCGTCCAACTTCAGTCGTTCTAAAACAACCTACTGTGTTGATTTGCAACCGGAGTCATTATGGCAGCACCGAATATCAATTACGCTGGAACTTGGACACTGGTAAGTGACACCATCTTCCGCATACGACCCCAATAATCCCTCCCTAAAATAATCTACAGAACAGACAAGACTCCGACAGCCCCGAGCCCCTCCTATCACTTCAAGGGATCGGTTACTTCATTCGCAAAAGCATCGCCCTAGCGACCATTCGACTCCAAATCACACAGCACGAAGACCCTCCCCTCCCTCCAAACTCCTCAAAGGAAAAGGTGCAGCACATCGTATGCTCACAGACTGCCTCCGGGCTGAAAGGAACTTCGGAGTACCACTGCGCGGACAACCAATTCAGAGACCACTCGGATTGGCTTTTCGGTGCTGTTAGAGGAAAGGCGGAATGGCTGGAATTAGAGGAACTTGATGAACCGTTCTTGAAGAAGGGATGGGATAGTGGAGCGCAGCATCATGCATTTATCTTCATTACTGTGGAGAGTTGAGATGATAGTTGGGTTGTGAGGCAGGTTTGGGGTCTTGTTGAAGCAGACGGGCTTCGACGACTTGTCCGCCGGGTTATCATTACTAAGGAGAAGAAGAGAATTGAGGCACGCTTCGTCTATGACTGTACAATGTAGTTCTAGAAGCTTCACCCTTGGTTTTAACTTCTATGAAATCAGTATATGAGACTTGCCTCGTATAGCTATGCTGTTAAATCTTCTCCCAAACTCTCTTGAGCCACTGGTATACCAGGCACTTTGTCCCTACTCAACATTGAGTGAATACCAGAACAGTACGTATAGCCATGTGAAACGCCGCAAGCCGAGGTATTTAGTCCTTGTCCAAGCTGTGCAATGTCGTGGTAGTATTTTCCCGCCCAGATCATCATCAGTGACGGCGACTTCTTTCCGGATTCAGCCAGAGAAGCAGGATGAGCATTGGACATCACGGCTACTGGTTGTGTCTCAGCTAGACCACCAATCCAATTTGGTGCCTACAATGCACGCTATTTGCACGTTTCATCAGTAAATCTCTGTGCATTTGTAAACTACTGTGCAGTGCGAAAACATCATAGTGGATAACCAAGCATGTTCTGATAGCTTGAACTGATAGTATTGTGTTCTTTTTTGTACTAGCATGGTCGAGCTGCAGATCACCGAGGATACTGGCATCAATGATCGAAACGGGGTATCTATAAGAATATAGAGAAGAAGGAAAAGGAAGGCGCAGGGAAGTCAACAAAGACGGTCAGGATACGGTAGTCTCGAAGACAAGCACCTCACTTTAGGAAGGGTTCTTCATGAACCAATCCGAACTTGCGTCGACCATGTAGTTGGTGATGTTGAACTCGTTGCCAGGCACGCCGTCTTGCAACTGTACCGTTCCATCCGCAGTACTATTGCCATAAGACGCGCCTCCATCTAAAGAGACAGGTAGCGCGGGCATGTTGAAAAACCCGAACACGTCAAGATACTCCAGCTCGTTTGGCCCCGGCGTCCTGGCCGGCGTCACAGAGGCAGTCCGCGTAGTTGAGTTCGGCTTCGGCTGTCTCGATATGAGGAAGTCGAGGTCGAATGCACACCGACGCATGTCTGCCAGAATCTTCACCGTTGATGGCGTGACACGCTCACCATTGACTCCCGCAGGCGTCCGCTGCGATTCTTGATACTCTTGTAGAACTCGGGCTAGGAGACTTGCATATCGTGCAGCAACCTCCCAGTACTGACCCAACTCTTGCAGTGTGCTAACAAGAAGGTTGATAGATTGATCTACTCGGTGGTCAATAGTGGACCCGTGGACGAGAAGTACACGCGCAGCAACCCAGAGAGAGAACGCGAATGGCGGTCCGAGCTTCGTCAAAAGTCCGTTCTCTTGGATGCATGCGCACAATGCTGTGATGCTCTCCACGGCGTTGAGGCACCTTTGACTAGCGCTAAAGGAGGGCGTGAAGATCGGTGATCGGTGAGTCGGGTATGCCGCGGATGAATGCAAGCGGATCACAGTACTTGAATTATTATTAGCAACCACTGTGGGTAAATGGTCGAAAAGCCGACAACTTACGTGTGGAAAGAAGCATGTAACATCACCAGACCACTGTTGAGATTCTTTACCCCGGGGCCCGAGAAGATACGGGCAGAATTCCCGTATTCAGTTGGCAGGTTGTATTTCCACTGCTCAAGCGCATTGTCCAGTTCGCGATATTCGCCCTGCCATTTTTCCACGTCCGACAATGAGGTAATATCGACAGGCTTCTTGAGAAACTTGTGAATGCGCGAAAGTATTCCAAGTATCTCGACATAGTAGGAGAATGAGCCGAGGTTCTCCGGTCTGTTCATGGAATAGTCCGATCGACCGGACGTATGGAACCACCTAGTTTCAACAGGCACATTGCGTGTGAAGAGGTCGTCGCGGCAAGGCAGTCGGCGGTCAATCTCCTTCTCGTGAAGGGCGAACTCGAAGGCCGTCGCGACTGTGGCATAGCGATCGAGAACGTAGATCATCCAGAACAAGCGACGCCTACTTTCCTCCTCGATCCAATCCTTGGGTTCGGGAAGGACGATGGCGCGCAGGGTATAGATCGATGCGAACTGCGGTGCCACCATAGGTGAATAGGTTTCCATTGAAAGTCCCAGTTGAACGACTGATCGCGTGATGAGCGCGAGCAGGTTCCATCCGGGGGGCCCATTGGAGCACCCTACGACATCCAGCGAAAGGATGACAAGAGCTTGTAGGGACTTCACCGAGCTGTTCTCGATGCCGTACAGAAGTACTTTCTCCTTGGACCTCTGATGATATACGGCCCTCTTCTCATTTGTCAGGCGCTGGTCGGTCGAGAACTTCAGGGTGGTTGCTACGATCGCGTGTAGGATGATTTTGTCTGCTTCGTCTAGTGTTGAATCGCCGAATAGAGAATTTAGAGTGGATTGCCGATGCAGAATGGGACACCATGGATAGACGTGTTTGAAGAACAAATCTACCAATCCATAAAGTAGATCATATGGTGGGAAGTCGGTGTCAGGCTGCGCAATGGGTACTTGGGCGAGGGAAGAAGAGATTGGCGCATTGAATCGATCGTTGTTGAAAGCATTCGACACGGACGAACCGTAGGGCTCTCGTGGAATTTGGCCAATTGAAGATTGAACATCTTCTGAAGGTGCATGGTACCCATTTTGACCTGACTGCAAAGGGGCAGACTGTCTGGCATCCTGTATTCCGCCGACGAAGCTAGGCGTAAGGGAAGTTTGAGAGGAGAAGCTCGCGGGTTTCTGGATAAAGAGCGCAGTCTCTGGTCGCGGAATGTGCGGGATGATGGGTGGTGTCCGGAAGGGACCACTATCCTGCGGCGATGTATTGGAAGGTGCGACCTGGTTGTTAGACAACTGGTTGATCTGGTTCTGCTGAGAGCGAATGAGGGTTTCAAGTGTATCTGAGCGTTCTTGTTAGCGATCGTCTTCCCCACAATCCGCAATACGACGCGATTCATGGGACCGAAACAAACTGTCTGAAGCTCTGAACGAATTTTTTTCACGCGTCAACCTAGAAGTATGCTCGTCTGATGTCGAAGAGTTGCATGACACGTATGTAAAACATGCTCATCCGTCGCAGCCATCGGAAGGGAATTTTTTGACTCACCCAGTCGAGCCTCCAGCTCACGCCCATAGCCTGCGCGCAAACCAGGCTTCTTTCGTGGCAGGTAAGTACATGTCGAATGGTTTTTCAGACACCATCCACAGCTGGGATGACCGCGATCGCATTTGACCTTGCGCTGCTTGCACGTCTCGCAAGACACGGACAGCGGACGTTTGCGCTTGGAGGCGCCGCTCTGGCTCCTATTCGCCTCATCGGCACTGGAAGCCTCGCCACCGCTCCAATTGTCATGATCCTCGTCGGCAGCAGGAGAATGTTGAGATAGCTTCGAATTGGAATCTGGACTGACATACGGCTGTACGCCGTTGCTGGACGTGGACAGATCCATGGTGACAAAAGAAAAGGGAAAGGGAGGGCGGCTGTCGAGCATTCAGTCGGGAGAGCATGACCCGAGGTGTATCCCCGCGCGTGCCCGCCGTCGGTGGGGCTGTTTAGGTGTAGCGTCTTTTTCCCCGGATCTTCTTGTATTGTGTTCCGAATGGGATGGATCGATTGGCTGAGGTTGCTTATGATCATCAATCAATACCCCCCGCGGAATGACAAACCTCCCTACAACTACCGGTCAAACTAAATTGTTCTTCCGATGCTCCAGCGGATCTATCACGAGCACTGTTCTATACGCAATACGGTCCAGTCTCCACTTCAGCGTTTCTTAGCTGGTCCAGCTCAATATGGCCTGTTGTTTCGGTAGAAGCATCGCAGCGAGATCTACCGAAGGTGTACGTCTAGTTTGCAACGGAACATTTACCGCGAGGAAACAAAAGAAATCCCACATGATGGCGACCTATATATTGGACATTCCGCGCTCTTAGGCCCTTCGTGTCTCAACCCCCCCAAATTTCTCATTACCCCTCTCATCCTTCTTCCCTTGCGAAGTGTCCCACGTCATGCCTGCCACAGAGAGTCCCAGCGCTGTACGCGGCTTTCCTACCATCAAGCATGTCCGCACCTTCATCACCCAGGGTGTCGGCTCAGGTGGAGACTACCACAATGTAGATGGAGGTCACTGGCTGGTGGATAGCAAGATTTCCACTCCTATGTCACAGTACGAGCAGTACAGGAAGTCGAGGCTGAGCTGGGGCATCAATGTCCTTGGCTCGTTCTGCGTTGAGTTGGAGGCTACAGATGGCACCAAGGGATTCGCTACTGGTTTCGGTGGACCACCAGCATGTTGGTTGGTAGCTGAGCATTTCGAGCGGTTCCTTATTGGCAAAGGTATGTGTTTTCGGTTTTTGTTGTTCATTGAAAATGACAATATTTTGTATTGGTGTACCCAATGAGCCACGTGCTAACAAAACCATAGACCCAAGAGACACAAATCACATGTTCGAGCAGATGTATCGAGCATCCATGTTCTACGGCCGCAAAGGTCTCCCAGTCGCTGTCATCTCCGTTATTGATCTTGCTATTTGGGATCTCCTAGGCAAGATCCGAAATGAACCAGTATACAAAATGATTGGAGGAGCCACACGTGAGAGGCTTAACTTCTACTGCACTGGCCCGGAGCCTGCAGCTGCAAAGGAGATGGGCTTTTTCGGCGCTAAGGTGCCGCTTCCATATGGACCTGGAGAGGGTGTAGAGGGCTTGAAGAAGAACGTCGAGTTCCTCACAAAGCACCGCGAAAGCGTCGGACCTGATTTCCCTCTTATGGTCGATTGTTACATGAGCTTGAACGTTCCGTATACAATTGAAGTGGTCAAGGCTACCGAACACCTCAACCTCAACTGGTGGGAGGAGTGCTTGTCCCCCGATGACACCGATGGCTTCGAGCTCCTCAAGCGAGCACACCCAAGAATGAAGTTCACCACAGGCGAGCACGAGTACTCGAGATATGGGTTCAGGAAATTGATCGAGGGCCGCAATTTGGATATCCTGCAGCCCGATGTCATGTGGGTTGGCGGTTTGACTGAGCTCCTCAAGGTCTCTGCCATGGCTGCAGCATACGACATACCCGTTGTCCCTCACGCCAGCGGCCCATACTCATACCATTTCGTGGTCAGCCAGGCCAACTCGCCGTTCCAAGAGTATCTCGCCAACTCTCCAGATGGCAAGTCGGTGCTGCCAGTGTTCGGTGACATGTTCTTGAACGAGCCCATTCCCGTTAAGGGCTATCTCGATGTATCTGATCTCGACAAGCCAGGCTTTGGTCTTGAGCTCAACCCCAATGCTCGTTTGATCGATGCCGCGAGAATTCTTAACCCAGCACCAGTCATGTCACTCAAAGCCCCCGAGCAGGAGCCTGCGGATGCACAGGTCAATGGGGCGAAAGTGAATGGACACGCATAGAGAGAATTTCACTGTTCCGTATTAGATTATCATTATAAGCGTTTTTACGACCACCAACTGCTGGGGTCAATTTTCTGCATTGATGGAGTGGCGGTTGTCGATAGTTTCTTCGCATCGCGTTCTCCGTTGGCTACCTGTGTCTTCTTCTGGCGTTCAGAACATTGAAGTACCTTCTGGGCCTTTCTACTTTAGATACATGCTCATAGTACATCGAAATGCAACAAGAACATTACACAGAACTCCGTATTGCCGCAGTCAAATGCCAATAATCTCTCCGACGCCTATTTTTAGGTGGGATTCGCCGCCGCTGACACCTTTGGGTGCACAGGCGGCAACCGTGCGTCATTGGATGAGCACGTTGAGGAGAACACGGTGGGGCAGCGTGTGGCTCTAATGGACTGGCCAACACAAGCACAGCCAGCAGAGCTGAGCTCCTGAACAAACTTCAAACATAGCTCAAAACTATATGAAGGGCTGAAATCTCTGTCTTTCCATTCACTCTCCGTCTTCATCGCATTTACTACGCTACGATTCCCTGTACCGAATTTCTGTGTTCCCACCTTACTTGATATCCACCTTACCCCGCGCCAACATGGAAGCCGTCAAAGATACCATCAACAGCGCTCTCGAGGCGTTGCACCTCACTGGCGGTGAGCAGGGTGCTCCCGCAAAGGAGCCCACCGAGGAACAGCTCAAGGAGCTCCGATCCAAATATGAGAAGGCCGGCCAGGAGCAGGTCTTTGCCTTTTACGATAAACTCTCCACCGCCGAGAAGGCCGGCATCTTCGAGCAGCTCTCCAAGTTCGACCCCGACTACATCAATGAGATCACTAACAAGGCGCTACACCCCCCTCAGACCGAGTCCACAGAGTCGAAAATCGAGCCCCTCCCTTCCAATGCCACCTCCTCCGTACTCGACTCAAAGGCCGAAGACCTCTCGAGCTGGTATGATAGCGGTTTGGAGCTGATTGCTGAGAACAAGGTGGCGGTGGTGCTTATGGCCGGTGGCCAGGGTACACGATTGGGCAGCTCCGCACCCAAGGGATGCTTTGACATTGGTCTACCAAGCAAGAAGTCATTGTTCCAGCTTCAGGGCGAGAGGATCGCCAGAGCGGAGCAGCTGGCAAAGAAGAAGCATGGAAAGGAGAGCGTCACTATCCCTTGGTACGTCATGACTAGCGGACCTACGCGCGGACCGACAGAACGGTTCTTCCAGGAGAACAACTTCTTCGGCTTGAACAAGGAGAACGTCACCGTCTTTGAGCAAGGCGTACTTCCATGCATCTCCAACGAGGGCAAGATCTTGCTTGAGAGCAAGGCCAAGGCAAGTTGACACCTACGATACTATGATAGCACACACTAACGATTACAGGTTGCTGTTGCTCCCGATGGTAATGGCGGTCTCTACCAAGCTCTCGTCCAGTCCGGCGTCGTCGAGAACATGCGCAAGCGTGGCATCGAGCACATCCACGCATACTGCGTCGACAACTGCCTCGTCAAGGTTGCCGACCCAGCTTTTATCGGATTTGCAGCATCTAAGAAGGTCGACATTGCCACCAAGGTTGTGCGAAAGCGAAACGCTAAGGAATCAGTTGGCCTCATCCTGCAGAAGAATGGACGCCCTGATGTCGTCGAATACTCTGAGATCAGCAGTGAAGACGCAGAGGCCAAGGACCCCAAGGACTCCGAACTCTTGAAATTCCGCGCTGCCAACATCGTCAACCATTATTACTCATTTGGCTTCCTAGAGAGCATCCCCGAATGGGCAAAGAAGCTCCCTCACCACGTTGCACGCAAGAAGATTCCTTACGTCAACACTGAGACTGGCGAAACCGTGAAGCCCGAGAAGCCTAACGGCATCAAGCTGGAGCAATTCGTTTTCGACTGCTTCCCATTCTTGGAGCTCGAGAAGTTTGCCTGCATGGAGGTCAAGCGTGAGGACGAGTTTTCTCCATTGAAGAACGCCCGTGGCACCGGCGAAGACGACCCGGACACCAGCAAGAAGGACATCATGACCCAGGGTGCCAAATGGGTGCAGGCAGCGGGCGCCGTCGTTGTCAGTGAGAACGACGAGGGTGTTGAAGTGTCACCATTGATTTCCTACGTAAGTTTCCCCGGTCTACACTTCGCGCATCACCAACTAACCACACTACAAACAGGGCGGAGAAGGTCTTGAATTCCTCAAGAACCGCACGATCAAGGCTCCGGCAGTCATTGAGAAGGAGGAGTAGGGCTCCGCATATTAATTGCAAAAAAGAAACGAGTTCCATGTCAAAAAGAATCCAAGTAGCATTGCCAAATAGAATGGCCAAATGAACATAGAGTTAACCCCGTGACCAGACATAGTCGGCTCCGACTCCATCCCGTGCATGTTGGGCCATTCATGATATCACCCGGTCATTGTCACACAATACTCGACCGGGAATTTAACGTCTTATTCTCATGCAGGAACCCAGCCGCTGCAGCACGTGCGTGCTGGTGCCGCAGTCACATCCAATACGGGCTGGACCATCCTTCACGCTCTGCCAAGCCAGGAATCGAAGCGCCGAACTCTTTTTCTCTAGATACGAGGATACTATCTGGGAGTCGGGTATGCGTGTGTTCGCCTTTGAAGTTTTCAAATGGCAAAATTGCCTACCTTGCAGGATGCGGATATGCTAACCGCCTACGGCTGCTGGCTTCGGCCAAGCGTGCAGGAGTAGACCTGTCCTGGCTTTCTTTGGCTGTGGATAAGCTCCACCTGACATGTCATGATTCCGGACATCGCAGACTTCTGGCGATGCAATCTCCAGCGTGTGTCGCTGGTAGCTTAGGGACCTTCCCAATGCTTCATTACTAACTCGTATTCTTGCAGTTATGATTGCCACCATTGGCATACAGTGTTCGGGACCGACAGCATCCACCAATGTGCCGTATGGATGTGAGCATGCATGAGGAGATGGAAAAGCAAACACACGGAGCGAGTATCACGGAAAGGATTTTGCGAGAATTTCAGAGTTCACAAAAGTACCTCGAATCCCCACACTGGCCGGGACTGGCCCGTGTCTCCTTATATTGGCATGGTTGAATCCCTCCAAGGAGATCACTACCCTGTGCGAAATTGTGTCATCACGCGGGGCACACCCCTATCCCATTGCATGCCTAGGAAGGTCGACTTTGTGTGTGTGTGTATGTGTATTGCTCGCGATTGGGGGTGGTTTGTGTGTGCGTGCGTGCGAGTGCGGGCGGTTCGGGCGGAGAGCGATAAAAGAGGCAACGCTCAGTCGTAGAGATTGTCCTCCTCAGCCAAACAGACCACGGAGATAACACGAGGGGCATAGGAAAACATAGCAGATAGGAAAGGATCAGTATTGCTGTCGAACAAACCTCGTCGTAGGACATACTTGGATAGTAGGGGAAGACATAGGAGATCTCCTATGATATAGCCATTATCGTCCAACGTGGCAAGACTTTGAATACACACAGTAGACCCGGGACTCTCTACCTATGATTTGCGTGTATTTTGGTTAATTATTGTTATTCGACCTCTAGGCCTGGTCGACCTCGGGCCATAAAAGCCCCCAGTGCCAAATTTGCGCGTCACTACTGCTGGTAACTAACCTGAGTTTGTAACTAGCGAAGCGTTTCTCTGCCGAAGGAGGGCACTGGTGACAGAGGGCACAGGCCTCTTCGCCAAACCTATCGAGTCCGAGTTCCCTACCTGCGCCTACCTAATACATACTGTGCCCAACGCCTGCGCAACTTCGTTTGCTTCTACTTCTACTACAACCCCCCATAATCTTCTCGTCAACCCCAACTTTCGAAGGAGGAAGGTCGCTGCTGTGTCGCTGAGGGAAGGATTGGAGTCTTTGAAAGTAGGTCAGACATATCTTCACCTCATATTGCCACCCTTTCCCGCCACGCCATTGCTTCGTTGCGCTCGTCGCATTCTCTTTTCTTCTGTTCTAGCGCATCATCCGTTCTTCAAAGCGGACTCGAAAACCTCGATCGACCTCTTCGACCAACCGGCACCCTCACACTCAGGAAGAGAAGACGCCAGGAGAAAGAAGCTGCTACAGCGCCTCATTCATTTCCAACGAGCTTCCTACTCATCTTCCATTCCCCCGACCGAGTAGGCGATATACCTACTGCCCCGCTTTCGAGCGCATTCACGGAGCGCACTTCCCCGCTGGATCGATCCAAACGCCTTCAATTTTTCTTCTCGCGCATTACTAACCATTCGTAACTGTAGATCTACGCGGAGGAATCATACAATATGTCTTCTCTTTCTCGCCGTGCTTGCTTCAAGTGCGGAAACGTCGGCCACTACGCTGGTGAGTGCCTTCGCATCCTATAAATGGGGATACCATTAGGTGACATGGGACTTACACTTTATTCCCAGAGGTGTGCTCGTCTTCCGAGAGGCTTTGCTACAACTGTAAGTCTAAACCACTCTTCCGTGAAATGCACGATTGCTAATAGTACGTAGGCAAGCAGCCAGGCCACGAGTCGAACGGATGCCCTCACCCGCGTACTACCGAGAGTATGTCCTCATATTTTTCTCTTCCTTCTGATACGTTCGGACCTCGTCACGAATAGGATTCTGCCGTCTCGAACCTATATCGGCTCACAACATTGGGGAAACATGTCACTGACCAACGGATAGCCAAGCAGTGCTATCACTGCCAGGGTCTCGGCCATGTCCAGGCTGACTGCCCAACTCTTCGCCTTAGCGGCGCTGGAACCAGCGGTCGCTGCTACAGTTGCGGCCTGACTGGCCATTTGGCTCGCAACTGCCCCAACCCCGGTGCTCCAGGAATGGGCCGTGGTGCTCCTCGTGGAGGATACGGAGGCTTCAGGGGTGGCTTTGCTGGTGGACCCCGTCCTGCCACTTGCTACAAGTGCGGTGGACCAAACCACTTTGCTAGGGATTGCCAGGCTCAGGCCATGAAGTGCTACGCCTGTGGCAAGCTGGGTACGTTGTATGAATGAATTATTGTAGGAGAGAAAACTAATCAGATATTAGGACACATCTCCCGGGATTGCACTGCTCCCAATGGAGGACCCCTCAACACTGCAGGCAAGACCTGCTACCGATGCGGAGAGACAGGTCACATCTCTCGTGACTGCACCCAGACTGAGGTCAACGGAGACAATGCTGCTGCCGCTGCTCCTGCGGCCGCTGCTGCTGCTCCCGTTCCCGCCGCTGTTCAGGCTCCCGCCCCTACTACGGCCGTCGCATAGTTTTGAATAGCGAACTAAGTCTGTCACATCCATTCGAATCGCTTCGTTGTGACGACCAGGTGGATATACCCACTACTGTTCTGGATTTCCTGTTTTTTGCTTTGGATGCTTTCCCCCACGATCGTTAATCTGGCGCCCTCTGCCAGTTATGCTGCCCATTCTCGACACCGGCAAACTTACGCAATGACGAGTTACTAGCTTTTAAAAAGTATTCACGAATCCTACGCTGATACCCAACTTTTATATCCCTTACAGCACACCATCAATCAATCATGACTTTTGAGACGGCTTGGCGGAAAAGATTCTTCATATTGAACTTGACAACGTCCTTTATTCTACTTCGTGTATCTAGATTGGTCCTCTTTGCGCGAGAGATCGGTCTGAATAGGTCTACTTAAGGAAGGAGAAGGGCTTTGGCGTGCTTCAATGGACACGGAAGGCGGCTGTGGTTCGGTGGTCGGTGGAACGGTTGAACTTGGAGGGATTGGGATGAGGGGCTTTTGGAGAGGAGAAGTGGACTTCATGTGGTCAAGGAAGATGCTGTGTGCGTCTGTTTGTCGGCACTGAGTATGCATGGCATCTGCGTGGCTTTTGCCCTCTTGCTTTTGTGTGTTCTTATTTATCAACTTTGTCTTGCAACCCTGCATTTCCTTACTCTATACTTAGCATGGCTATGGTGTCTAATACACTTGTGATCCTATTGGAGCATGGTATTACTTCATGATCTCAAATCAGTGCATTGAATATTGACGGGCTGAATATTCGTTCTCTCGGCATGCCAAAGCCGTTCATTCGAGGTGGTCGTGCTGGTGGACGATGCTCGTCTTATGAGGTGGTCATCCACAGCGCGTTCCTTCCTATCCTGCCGACTCACAGCATCGAAGGGTCCGCCCTTTCCTACCTCAGAACCACCACTATCCTGCACGCGCACACATCTTCTCTTTAATTTATTTTCAATCTTACACTCTCACCCAATACTCAATCACTTTGGTTCCTACTTCGAGCCTCCAATTGCGCCCTCTTTGATCGTGCGTATTCAGACATGGCACCATCTTCCGTCGCCAGTGACGCCTCAGGCAACGATGTATGGATCACATCCGCCCAGATCATCTCGTGTATACGCTGACAATGAATAGGACAGCTTCATCGTCGACATTGACACCATTCAGGCCCACGGCTCGTATCAGTGTTCCTTCGCCACCGCCTTCTAGCTAACGATCTACTCACAGGCATCGGTGCCGTCGATATCGCGAAGCTCAAGGCCAATGGCTACTACACGATCGCCGTGAGTGATCCAAAAAATGTGAATGATGGACAAGTCGAAGTGCCAACTGATACCGAACTAGGCTGTGCACTCCGCGACGAGGAGGACTCTTCTGAAAATCAAGGGCTTCAGCGAGATCAAGGTTGACAAGGTCAAGGATGCAATTGCAAAGTGTCAGGTATATTCCCGAAAAGACTACCTCCAATAGAACTTCCGGCTGATGCTCGTTTCCTAGCCCTCCGGTGGGGGATTTCAGACTGCCCACGAGCTTGGTCAACAGCGGAAGAGGGTGACGAAGATATCTACAGGGAGCAAACAGTTCGATGCCATTCTGGGCGGGTACGTGTATATGCTTGGTGTTGCTGGACACAGCTAATCCTACGAAGAGGCTTCCAGACCATGAGCATCAGCGAGGTCTTCGGGGAGTTTCGTTGCGGCAAGACGCAGTTGTCCCATACGATGTCGGTCATAGCCCAGTTGCCTAAGGATCTTGGAGGTGCTGAAGGGAAGGTAGCCTACATTGGTTCGTCGGATTTCCGTCGTCCGTGGTGAAACTACTGATACTTTTTTCAGATACCGAAGGCACTTTCAGACCAGAAAGGATTGCGCAGATTGCCGAGCGTTTTGGTGTGGATCCAGAGACAGGTACGATCTATGACCACATTCACCACGAATACATTGCTGAGTCGTTCCAGCCCAGGACAACATCACTTATGCTCGCGCCGTCAACTCAGAGCATCAACTAGAGCTGCTCAACAAGGTCGCCGAGTTTTTCATCAACAACGAATATAGACTTTTGATCATTGACAGCATCATGGCCTTGTTCCGTGTCGACTATGTTGGCCGGGGAGAACTAAATGAGCGCCAGCAAAAGTTGAACCAATTTCTTTCCAAATTGACTCATGTTGCTGAAGGTAAGATTTCGTATCAGTTGACACCAATTGAACAGGCTGACATTTCATGACAGAGTTCAATATTGCCGTACTCATGACCAACCAGGTCCAGAGCGATCCCGGCGCCAGTGCGCTCTTTGCTGGAGCAGATGGCCGAAAGCCAGTTGGTGGTCACATCCTCGCGCATGCTTCGGCCACGCGCATTCTGCTGCGAAAGGGCCGAGGTGAGGAACGGGTTGCAAAGATCCAGGATTCACCAGGTATGTGATCTAGGAACTGTGTAGACGACAAAACCTAATGCTGTTTTGTAGACATGCCAGAAAAGGAGGCGACCTACATCATCACTAACGGCGGTATCAACGACGCTGACAAGGTGTGATTGATCACATCACGAAGACATAACCTCTATCGATGCAAGATGAAGATGTGGACAAATAAAAGAATGTAACAAGGCTTGTAGTGATCTACTATGTAGAAGCTCCAGAGGGAGATAAGTGGGGGACATTAGCATAAAATAGGGATAAACACTATCCAAAATACACGTGCTTTCTCGTTCATCCTCGTTCGTCTTCGTTTATCGTATTAGTATCGGCGATATCGAGAATGTGCAATAATGACGGTTGGTGGTATGACACCTTACGCCACCATCATCCACCTAGAACTTCGTACCCCGCATCCATGACCCTTTCCATTGATTCACCTAGAGGAACTTCACACTGTAGGCTCATCTTAGGCTATCACAAATCTACGGTGTTCACTATCCAGAGTAATGATAGTTCGATTGCGAACTACTTGAGGTATGACTTGCGATATCATAGTCTGTTCAATGTTGTACTATGTGTGGCGGTGAAAGCTGGGGCGGCCACAGCCTCAAGTCGGCACGGTGTTATGCGAAGCCCCGAAGTCTGAGCAGTCGTCGCACCTGAATTGCGTAAGACGCGCGGTTCATCGACGTCCATTGGTAAGTTGCTCTCAGGCAGCCATCAATACTGCATGCAACGTGACGGTCGTCTCCCGGTGGGCTGGAGCTACCTAGAGCTATGGCATCTGGTTGACTGAATATATCTATGGGCGTTTGTACGGTCTGACGTCGCACTATTCGTGCCATCTAGGTATACTACCTTGATAATCGTACATCAGTTATTTCGCTCAGATATTAATTGATAACTTCCAACCTTTCTTATTTATGTTTCGTTGTTTCCAGTAGCAAAATCTACGAACATCATACCATCACTAACCTCCCTGTCAACACCACTATCTGCCCAAAATGGCGAATAGAGCCAGCAATCCCAACCTCACCGTGCAACCTCCGCCAGGCTCCTCAAATGCGAGCGCCAACAGTTCGCGCCCCTTCACACCACGCTCTACGACTTTCCCAGATGGCGCTGATTCTGATCCCGAGTTCGACGAGTTTGAGCCAACACCCATACACAGTCCCGGAGGCCCACAGTACGACGACTTGCCACCGTCTTATGACGAGGCGCAACAGGAGGCGCTTCGAGATGCACGAGCTGGTATCCCTCCTGTAGATCCAAACAACTTGGAAGTCCATCGCATGGTCATCGGCGATGACCGGAATACGCAGCAGCAACCTAGCATATCGCCACATCGATCGCATTCATCCATCCTGCAGGAACCAAATGCGTATGAGTTTGAGCCAGAGAACAGGAGAAATGGTGATGGCCTTGGAATGTCGATACCGGTTCAGCAAGTTGTGAGCGACAACAGTCAGATTCCAGTGGGTAGAGTACAGTCCAGCACCAATCCTACTACACCACCGCCTTTCATTCCTGGTGCTGCACCAGCTCCAACAGATCCGACTTCTGCTCTACTTATGAGAGCACTGGAATTCACGAAACACGAACCAGCTGCAGATGCTCAATACGCTCCACGACTCACTCGCTGCGTCGCTATTCCACATGTCAACGGCATCCCCACCACCTCTCGATCTACCGAATGCCAGAATTCAGGAAAAGCCGCTCGTCGTGCCCGACGTGAAGAGCGAAGAAACAGCCGGTCAAATCGTTGTCGACGCCAGAGCTCCCATCAAATCCCTGGACAATGGCCAGAAGCCAGATCCACAGAAGCCATCAACTCTGCAAACGATAGTAGCAGCAGCAGCAGCACCTCGGAGCCCATCCAATTCCTTCGCGCATACTCGAAAGCATTGCACTCCCACGACATTCGTCCATCCGAATTTGCAGAGTTCCTCGACGGACTGAACGCACTCTGCCTCGCTTCAGGCAGCACACTACAGCAACTGATAGACTCGCCGCTCGTGGCACTAGATCAGGACGAACGAGGATCATCATCCATCGTACACGACTACATCCAAGCGGCAAATGAAGCCTTCTTCGCCCCGAGAGGTCTCCGCGTATCCCTTAGATCGCTATCATCGCTCGTCTCTACGCTCAATGTCCCCGAGGATAGGGGCCAACGAGCGGCAGTCATTGCGAGTGCAAATGATAGCAGCACTGCTGTACCCCTACGCGCCGGAGCTTTGTATCCGTACGTTGAAGCTATAGAGACCAATGTGCCGGAACCTAGCACACAGGCCGTTTATCTGAGGGAGATGGGCCTAAATCTACGGAATCGGGAGCGCTCTTCATATTCCAGTTCTCAATCCGTACCCCAGTACCACGACGCGAACATTGACAACGCCAACGAGAAAGTCAGGTCCGCCGAGCACCACGAAGAGCCCTCAGATCCACCACATTCCCTTCCCCCAGAGCAACAACCTCATCCGCAATCTCAACGAATTCCAGGTGCCTTTCCATTTGTCCCCCCCGTTCCTCCCGTCCCAGGTGTCCCACAACCACCGCCGCCACCACCGCCATTTGGAAGCTGGCATCGCGGCGGTAGGGGTGGCTGGCAAGGGCCTCCAGGCGGATTCTGGGGTCCCCGACATCACCACCCTCACCATGGTCCACACCACGGACCAGGCTGGCCCCCCGTACCCTTCCCACCGCATCGTCAGCATCATGGCCCACCCTGGACACCAGGCTGGGCACCAGGACCGTCTTCCTCAGCGAACAACGACATGGCGGCCTGGGGCGCCAGCATCGGAAAATGGGGCGAAGAGTTCGGCAAGAGGATGGGCGGCTGGGGAGAGCAGTTCGGCAAGAGGGCCGAGGCATGGGGCGCGGATGTCGAGAGGCAGGCGCAGGCATTTACCAGGAACATGAGTGTCGGCGTCGAGCCGTCAACATCGAGGGTGTCCGTCAGTACTGGGAATGGGGCGAATGCTACGACGACCACGACGGTCGTGAATCAAACTGGAGGCGTCGAGACGAACGTTACTGGTGGTGGTCGACAGGAAAATGGCGTCCATCGCATCGTCCAGACAGCGAACGTGGGGTCTACCACTCCCGCCAGCAGGACAGTCACAGAGGAAAAGACGCCCATTATCGGAGACAAGAACAACGATACATTGCCAACAACCGACAAATCTAAGACAAGCCTCGAATTTGACAACGACTCCGACTCAGATTCGGACACTTCCTCACTCTCCTCCCTGTCCTCGGACGACTCCGACTCGGAAGACGATTCCGACGACGAACTCCCGTCCAGAGCTTCCGCCACTGACGCCGAGCGCCGTTCATACGCCGTGAAGAAGGACCGCCGCGCCAAGTTGAAGGAACTCAGGAAGCAGTCCAAATCTGCGAAGAAGAAGTACCGCAGCGTCAAGAAGGAGATCCGAGATCAGGCTCTGAAGTCAAAGGAGAAGAAAGTGGACGCTAAGGCGGCGAAGAGGGAGGCATGGGGGGCGTATAAGGCACAGAAGAAGGAGATCAAGAAGAAGAGGAGGGAGGTGAAGAGGGAGCTTAAGGCCATGGAGAAGAAGAGGAAGGGGAAGGGGAAGGGGAAGGGGAAGGAGAGAGAGGGGGAGAGGGATTGTGGCGAGGGGGTTTGGATCGTCGTTGAGAATTTGGTGTGATCAATCGGCTTCATAGCTATGATTGATGGTCACGGGTCTCTTTTTGGGTAAAGGTTGAAATGTATGTAGCAGTGATTGTTTTGTATTATTTTGCTGTTAGTTATGTAAAAGATACGAAGTCAATGGACACGATAGGATAGGTGTTAAAATGGTTTTTATCATACATGTTTCCCGTTGATATGTACAACTTATGTATGTATGTATAAATGGGGGGTATCAGGCTGATGAAAATTCCTTTGATATCGAAAATGAAATGCAAGACATGACCAGAAACCAAGTTACGAAAACGGACTTTGAACAAGAACATGTCGTGAAAGAAATCCTTCCAAAGTGACGAACGTCGAGAACAATTTTGTATACTAGGAAAAAACCAAAAGAAACAAACCCGCGGACAGAACATCCCAGCAATAACCTTTTGTAGCGTCCGAAGCGTAAAAGAAGAGGGTATCAAAACAGAAAACCGCCTAAGCATCAGACACTCACTCACGCCACAACCATAGCCCTCGCCCCAAACCCACTCGCAAACTCCCCATACTGCGGCGGCAAATCCTCGCCCACATCAGTCGTAGCGACACTGTTCGTCCTTGTTGTCTGCATCGACGGGGGCGCCACCCTCCTCGGCACAAACATATGATCCACGTCCCTCGCCGACGCATCCTCGACGCTCCTGGCCATCGCATTCGCATTCCCGGTATCGCTCCCCTCGGCCGCGACCTGTATCGGCACCTTGAGGTGCAGGGCCGACGCATTGGAGGCGGATATGTGCAGCGAGAGCGCGTAGACGCGGGAGATGATGCAGCCGTGGAAAGTCGGGAGTAGGTTTTTGTTGTCTGGGCACGTGAGGGGCACGATGATGGTTGCGGTGTAGAAGGAGCCGCCGCGGTAGGATTTGCTGGGTTGTGGGATGTCGGACACCTTGTTATGAGAAGAGGTGCTGCTGAGGGCCGAGCAGTCGGAGATCCCTGAGTCGTCGGAGTCGCGGCGGTCAAGAGCGTTGGCGGGGGACGGCGGGTTGGCGGATGGAGATTGCTTTTTCCATTGTGCGGAGCCGATGCAGAGGGTAGAAAGGGGGACATTGGCAACGTAAACGCCTTGCGTGAGGTCGAAGCCGATGGTGTCGCGTGACGGGAAAGTGCGTCGCGGCGCGGAGGCGTAGTACGTCTGGACCTTGAGCTTCGAAGTGACGGATCCAAGGCGAGGGGGTGCTGCTGTTGCGTCTTCGTCGGCTGGGTCAAATCGCAGGTGCAGCTTCGCGACAGTGCTGATGGGCTTCTCGCACACGGTTCGGGCCCCTGGGATGACGAGGGCTCGTGGTTGTGCGCATTCGGCGACGAGAGTGCCGAGTTTGCCTTTGAAGAGGCCTTTCTTGATCTTCTTCTCCTCGCGCAGGCGGTACTGGGAGTCGGAGCTGTGGATATTGAGGGGAGGCTGCTCTTCGTAGACGGGCTTGACGCGGACCTTTTTCATCTTGGAGACGAGGGTCGAGATGGTGTTGTCTGCTTCTCGGAGGTGGGTGAGGCGCGCCTTGACGGAATAGGTGACTCTCGCCATGTCAGGGGCAAGGTCATCGAGCAGTGAGCCGCCGAAACCAGCGAGATCTGGATCTCCCATGCTAGGTGGGAGCATCAAGTGGCTGGCGCGGACATGGTCGTTGGATACTTGATGTTCGCATGCTCGAGGAAGAAGATGCTGTGGAACAGTGAAGGCGAATGGGAACTCGTATGTCTTTCCGGCAATCAGTTTGCGTGGACATGGTAGATCTGCTTCGTCGATGGGCTGCTTGAGGGTCAGGAAGCGGTGGGTTGCTTCAGTGCGACCGGTCACGGAGGGTGTTGCTGTCAGTCTGTCGACGAATGCTGTGCTGTGGCCTGGAAAGGTGTTAGTGGATGTTACCTATGCATATGCAAGGATGCAAACAAGTAGTTCATCGGTATATGCCAACTTACCTATGAAAGATATCTCGAGCTCCTCAAAACGGGTATCCTTATCGGCCTTGATGGAGACGGTCCCCTCAATGGTGTCCATGGTCGAGTAGCTCGTGACATACTCGCCGTGGGTGCCATGGCTGTTATTCAGGATGATATCAACACTAGGTTTGCCATAGTTGCTGACGGTAGCGAGCTTGTGACTGATCTGGGTACCAAACACCTGCATGGAATTGTAGTGCGAGGACATGGACGCGCTAGAAGGTGAGGGCATGATGACAGCGGATTGCGCCTTTAACGCTGGCGAAGCTGAGGGTAGAGTAGGGGACAAAGAGAGCTTGTGTTATGATAACAACAGTTGGGTGGCGAGGTGATGAATGAATGCGGAGAAAGGAGAGACCCGTCAGTCTGGAGAGACGAAGTATGGATCAGGGCCCAGGTGTTGTCTAAAGTAGGTCTGAGATGTAGAATAAAGGGTGCCTGGAATGTGGGGAGTAGATTAGCTATATAGACAAGAAACAGATGGCCGGGAGCAGATGATGCAAAATATGGATTTGAGTCATCCCCTCCATGAAGGAGATCCTAGTCTCAGTAGTTGGTGGTGGAGGGCGGCATGAGAGGAGGTGCAGGAGGTGCAGGACTGCATAACTACAGCCTACAACAGAGCTACAGGAGCTACAGGAGGTGCATGTGGACGACGAATGCACGTCGTAAGTTTGGGTGTGTGAATGCTAGTTCCCGCCTGTGGAGGAGGGTAGGCCATTGTTGATCCATCCCATACCGATCGAGGTGGGATGGGGACTATGCTTGAATGGGGGTGTCTAAACAGTTAACGGAGTACTTGGACTGGATGGTGAATACCCAGGGGCCTGTCATTCCATAGTACAGTGTATGCCACTCATGCCAATGCCAATGCCATAACCCCACTCGGTCGGGAAATGACAAGACTGATGCTGAGCGCAGGGCGTGAGATGTCAGAATGTACCGCCCATATACTCCCTCATCTGGCCAATCATGAAGACGGCTTCCTTCACCGCTAAACCAAAAGCTGTTCCCAACTTCGCTTTGTTCTGCCATTTCGTCGCTGAGAAATCAGAATAACTAACAAGTGAACTAACTTCCATGACTCCTACCTGAACAATATTGACGGGTGAATGACAGGTACATACGTTCAGCTGTGCCTCAGTACAGTACTCACTCGCATAGTTACCTCGATTCGAACCGAGAGAATCTAAGGTTCCCGGAGAACGACGAGAAAGGAATACGCCATTGTCTCATCGTAGCCTGCATCCTCTTTGCTTAGTTCAATTGTCCGCGCGAACCTGTTTTCTTGCCTTCTATTTTCCCAATTGCCGCAGAACCCTTATGGTAAGTTGAGGCTCAATCGGACCCGCTATATTCCAAGGGGGCACGTTTTCGACAGTGTACGTTAAGAATACACGGCGACGCGCCCTGCGTGTCTCAACGTGCCCACATCTCGGCGATCTAGACATTCCAGAGCCATCACACGATTTCGCGTCCGTCTTGGCGGTCCCAAGCTAATCTTGACCTCAATCGTGTATGGTAAGTCGAGGATGAATGAGTACCTGTACGTTAAGTATACACGCTCTCCCACGCCGCCATGTGGATTCCTAATGTCACCATTTGTTTCTGAAATTTTCTCCTCCATCTCGCTATGCCGTGTAAGTTGAATATTTCCTTTCCAATATCGAGGCGCACTTGAAAGTGGATCTTCGATAGACGGCAGAGCAGACATCCGCTCCAAGCTCATCTCGAATGTCCTGTGAATGGTGTTGCGATGTTGGTTCTGAATCTTCGACGTCTCCAGACGGACCCCAGTGGGAAAATTTTGTAGCTGGGGTTCCACCTACATGGGTGTGGGTACCATAGTTCATCATTGCCCTTGACCACGTTTCGCTCGGGATGAAAATAGATGGAATCATTGTTCTCGAAATTGCCTATCAAAAAGGGTGCCAATAGGCGAAGCTGTGACGAATGCAGCCATCCACCACATAGCCTATGGTTAGGTACGCGCTGCTGCGTTGTGCTGCGATATCGCTTCGCTCAGCGCCCAAAAGGATTGCTGACTGTTCGCATGTGATTTCCTTTCGTGTGTACTCGTACTTTTTGGTAGGGCGCAAGGCTACCTGCGTCAAGTTTGCGAAGGGCGTGGTCCAGTTGGGTTTTTTTAGGGATGGACCCAATGTCAAGGCGTCGGTTGTATTAGTCCGGCGCCTTTTCCGGCGTAGAACTGACTGCGATTGTGATTCCCTATTTGCGAATGCTGCTCCGATGGCTGGGTTTCTCCAGGCTTGTACTCCGCAGAAATGCTTGATACTCCGTAGAGTACTCCGAATGGTGATATTGACAGTATAATTCCACGTATGCTCTCTTTCTTATTGTCTATGAGGGTGTCAAACCCCGGAAACATTTCCCCCAGACAAAAGTAAGACTTATTGCGCCGAAGAGATTCCCTCCACATCGCATAGAATTGCAGATCAGGTCAAATACGAGCGCTCAAATCTTACCAAATTCAATATAATGTCTGCACGACCATAATTGTCGTCAGAAACATCCCCAATAAACATATCCACACACACATCGCGTTTCCCACCTGCTGTCGTTATGCGTTCTCCGTCGGGGAACTCGAACAGCCAATCAGAGCCGTTCTATCATCTGCCAAAACTTCATAGTGACTGACTCTTAACGTTATTGCCGAAAGGCGACGGAGAAAGGCGACTTTGTATGGAAATTGCAATTGCAAATGTTATACTAGTCTGACAGGTTAGTGAGATAAGTGACTTCTGTTGGTAAGTGATATGACAACGAGTTTGCCGTTATCATGGCTTTCATAGTTAGGATGCAACTATGCTTCACTTGACTGTATTCGGGGCCACGAGTCATCATGTTTTCGGTACCACAAAGTTAGCTTCAAAAAATCGCATAATGACTCCCCAAGCCCGAAGGACCGAATGAACAATGCCCCGGCGAATGTGATAGTCTGCAGGAATGTTGTTGTGAAGCAATTGTGCCTAGGCTGACAGAACGGTTATGCGTTGGAGAAGTTTCGTCGCCGACAGTATCTCCGGCTGAGGCCAGTGGACTAAGTTTTCAATTTCTCAATTGCAACCATTCCTTTCGTTGTCATGTTTTCGGTACTACCGATTTGGCTTTGCAGTGTTATGACTCCTCAAGCCCAAAGGACGAAGTGAACTTATGAAATGTCAGTGACCTGTTCCCAGGCTGTCAGAGCATAGGCCGTGAAAGTTTCGTCATCTGCAGTGTCTCTGGTCGAAACTCATGGAGCCACTTTCACATTTGCAGCAATATCTGTTGGCCTGGACTTAGGAGCGGATTCCTTCTGTTCAACAATTTGGTTCTCTATTATACATTTTCCTCTTCTGAATGATCCTCCCCCTGCATCAATCAGGATATCGACTATCAAATGCTGTCCTTTTTACAGTACCATGTACCTCCCTGCTATAACCATCACAATCATTCTCTTCTCCAATTGACTTTCCACCAGCATATAGCTCATTAGGAACAATGCTATTCACTCCTTCCGACGACAGACCCGCATGTCGAAACTGCGTTCCCATCCCCAAATCTCCCCACATGATCCCATTCGAAGGGAAGTCGTTCAACTCGGTTGTCGCTGCACAAAGCGTCCTGATACTCCCAAACATCTGCGGAATGAATCCCTCCCTCTTATATGTAAAGGTCCACCAACATACTCCCGTCATCAGAATTATCAGTGCTGTCGCACACCACAAAGGGTACGCAGCAAACATGATGCTATATCTTGAGCTTAAAACGTTGGGGCCTTTACTGTCTTCCAACCAGATCGTTTCCTGCGCCTGTAGCGCCTCTCCCAGCATCCAGTGCGTCAAAACACTGTAGGCCATGACGGGAAAGAGGATCTTCTTGGGGAGTTGAAGGAGGTAGTTTTGCGAAAAGCCCTCACCTTTGACGATGGTGCAGCGGATGCGGTGGCGGAAATGTTCGAGTTGGCCCCAATCACGCTCTTGGTAGACGAGCGTGATGTTGTATATCATCATGAGGTGCAGTAGGGAGTAGATGAATTGCGCGCCGTTGGATCTCAATGTTATCAGTGTGCAATATAGTGGACTTGATGGTGCGGTCGACGACTCACATGCAGAATGAGATAAGCTCATTGGTCAGTCCATTGGGTGGTAACGCAAATATCTCCATTGACTTGTTGAATCCTCCAAAACCGCCTGACAACTTGGAGAAATGATCCACTCCGGACAACTCGCAATCGGTCCGCAAGGGATCTGTCGCACACATGAATTGGTTGGACTGGTATTGTGACCTGAAATGCACTGCAGTAATGATACTTGCGGTGACAAGCACAAGACTGCAGAACATAAGTAGCAACATCTGAATAAGAGCAGTATTGCCGAGATTCGAGATGAGGGCTTTCTTGAGCTTGGTGGCGACGGTTGGTTGGATTTGGTTCGAGAAGTTGTTGACAGAGTTCCATTTCTTGCATCTCTGACAGTGCTTCAGTTCGTCTCCTGTCTTCGACTCTTCTTTATCAGTACAGTGTTTGTGGCAGGCATGTGAGACCGAGCGTCGAAAACTGTCATTGGAATTGACCATACATTCTCTGTCGGACATTAGCATGCATACGTGTTACAAAGCACCTTTATCCTCAACATTGGGGCCACTACACACCCTTGAATGCGCAACTCTGGATCAGAAGCTGAAGCCACAATTACATCTCCGTAAGTCAACAGCTGCCGCTTCACACTTCCCCTCGCAATCAAATTGACAGCGATCATGTAGATGGCCTTCGAGGTCAAGCAACCCAGAAGCACGAACGCTGCATTCATTCGGACATTCAGGCGGCACGCTATCGGTTTCGGCTCGTGGACAGAGCAATAGACCGCTGCTGACATATTACACTCAGGGTTAAACTCAACACCGTATCGGAGAAATGAATAGTCGTTGTAATGCTCAACTTCCTCCAGCGCGTCTACATCAACCGCGGTTCCTATAAAGCCTGTGCACACATCTTTCTGGTAATTTATAATGAACTTGCCGTATGTCTGATAGAACCATTAGGACTTCTACTAACATAATAGGCATCGATATCTTCAATACATACCATGCCCTCGCGAATGTGGGTAGCTACAGAAAAAACGTCACCAGGCGTATCAAGGTTCATGACCTTCTTCCCGAAATGAGCAGTGCCTGTCCGGAACGCGCTCCAGCACAAGAAAGAATCCGAGTAGATCAAATCCTCTCGCCTGGGCATGCTCGCATTCATTGTCATTTCGTTCAATTGAACATTACTAGGCGGTTGCATGACGATTGACGGACCGATCAGAGAGTTGGCGAGGAAGTGGACGGGCAGTGAAGTCACAATCAAGAATGTCCAAGCCACCCACGACCGCTTCTTCCCCTGAACCTTGTGATTGATGTTTAAAGGGGAATTTGTTCCTACACGCGAGTCGCCGAATTTCTGCAGCATATGCTCTAGGTCGTCGATCTTCAGGGAAGTGATGAGCTGCTGATAGGTGTTAGACATTCCAAGGATCATGGTCGCGGCGACGTTGATAAGGAACAAAAGCGCTGTGTTCATACGCGCGATATGCTTGCAATTCTTACTATTGCTGCCTATCGAAGACGAGTATCGATTCACGCGCTGTTGGAACGCCTTCATGTTCACGCCCACGATAATGAGCATCACAATCGCGAAGAGCGTCATGAGAGCAGCCATTGTTCGCAGGGAGCGGTCAACGAGCAATTGATCGTACCATATGCCCCGGCCTATCCGCGCTGGTTTGATCTCTGCGACCGGATGCTTCCGTATCGAGCTCGGGTATCCTGGTACCGATTTTCTTCTTACTCTACACCAGCCGGACTTAATCTTTTCGATTTTGGAGGTTTTGGGAGACGTGGCGGGTTCCATGTCGATGATGAATGCGTCATCCTGATCACCATGATCATGTCGACGGACAGAAGAATGTCCATGTAAGGGAGTTGTACTTGTCGGATGTTGATGCATGTTTCTCGATACATCTTGATCGTTGCTGGGGGCACTACACATGGTGAGTATCTATTGAATCCAACCGACTCCTTACCAAATACAATATGAGGGTTTCATCCTACTTAGCTGTATCTTGAGGTTCTTGTATGGAGGGTAGTCGGGCTTCGGCCTGATTGTCATTGTCGGCCATTATTAGTATCTTTGACACCTCGGCACGGGCGTTGTTACGATGGCTCTAAGCTCCTTCCCTACGTCCTGAGATAGTTCCGCAAGCCTTCGCACAAATGTGCTGGCGTATAGAATCCGGATCTGTGTATGGACCCTACGAGACTCGAGGAAAAGGCAGTGAACAGCTTCGCAAATGACCGTAAAGTACATATACAGAGTTAGTACGGAGTAGAGAATGAGTAGAGAGAAAGGAAACGAAGAATTTCCAAAAGGTGAAGGTTCGTGATTTTAATGTCATTTTCAAAAGAGGCAACGCATGTATCTCAAAAAGGCATATCACTCCTTTACCCGGGTGGCTCAGTATCTCTCGAGGAACCCATTCCGTCGAAACAGTTTCGGAAATAGAAATAAAACGCTGTCTCGTTGCGCGTATGCTGTACTACCATCCTTCTGATTCCCACAGCTACCAATAATCTGGAACACAATGAACTCATTGTACTTGCAAAGACCCGCGCAGCCTTGGCAAAGTACTATAAAACATTGGCAACTACTGTGTAGATGTCGCTTGGTGACGGCCTCTCCACCCCCACGATAAGGAATGGGGGACGACGGTGTTGGTGATCATCCCCTGACATGGGTGATGTGATATATGATTGCAGCCTATCTGAACAGTCGTACCTGTCGATGACACTTGGCGTTGAACTTTCGGACTGGCGACCACCAACTATAGCACTGTGCAGTTCTACTGTAGAATGTCGGCTAATTACGTATTTGGGGTGATGATCAAGTCAGCTTTAATTCTGTCTGCCTGTCCCGTAATGTATGCGTATCGGAAGAGGGCGCCCATAGTTTCGGTTTGGCGGCACTCCGAAGGTAAGATGTCGATTCTTGCGACGATAAGATCTATTTGCCTTGTCCTTCAAATTTTGGACTATTTGACTGATTGACTGACAGTATGTACAGCGATTAAAACGCGTGGCTTGATGCAATGCCTGGAGTAAACGATACTTGGCTGTTTCGTTCTACATTCGAATGATATGTCGTTTCTGTCGTTTCTGTCGTTTCTGTCGTACTGATTTTCATCATTCCTGGTAGACTTTTTGGTAGGTCTGGAAACTGGAACAGATATCGAGGTATACACCGGATACCTGCAGCTGCTATTATACTGGAAAAGTATCGAACACGACCTCACGCAGATCGGTAGTATCGAGCTTCCATCGTAGAAGCGTGTATTCAGGTTCTGTATTCTATTTTCGAGAGTAGTCCGTCTATCGGCCGTTGTAAGAAGAGTTCAATAAGCGAAGCGAATTCATTCAGTCTGTACTTTAGTTTTCAGGATAGTTGTAACTAATTGTAGTGCTAAGTATCAATCTTCCGGGTGTATGAAAAGCACGTTTAGGGGAGAATGATGGAATCTTGAAGCGAAGTTGTGTACAGTCTATAAAACATAGGTTACAAAAAGGGTAATTATCCATCCACTACAACGCAAGCAAATACCCAGCAACAACCACCGCCCAAGCCAACGACGAAGCCCCAACGACCCCAGCGCCATTCTGGCCTCCGCTTCCATGTCCAGGCCGCGCCGTTCCCTCCGGATTCTTCGGGTCCTCTTCGACGGGCGTTCCGGGCACGCGAGACCCCTGTGTGAAGTTGTTATTGATCCAGCACGATGCCGTGCTCGCTACAGTGTACCCGGCCGAGTAATTCACGGCACCGCCGTCTGTCACGTTGGGGACTTGGTAGAAAGTCTCAAGGAAGAAGTACGCTTCCTTGGCCATGGCGTCGTAGTTTTCGAAACGCCGCTTGCTGTCGTCGGCGGGGCGGGTGAGGCTGACGAAAGTGGAGCGGGACCCCGAGGTGTTACTGTCTGTGTGGCAGGATGATGTGTCTGCGTCTTTTGTGTGGTTGTTTGTTGCTACTCGTCATGTCAGTGCGAATTCCTTTTCTGAATTTCTTTCGTTTAAAATAGGTGAATGGCTCCAGATGAAAGGCTTACAGATGATTTCAAATTTGGCATTCTTCAGACTCGGACACGCATTTGGAATCTCGACGTCTTTATAGAACTCGGAACATGGTGCCCTTCCCTCCCCCTTCCACTCCTTCGGGGGGTTCGACATGGACCGAAGCGCTGCTAGACACCCGGACGGCGCGAGAGTCGTGAGGCATTCGAATTCCTGCTCTTCCAACTTCTCATACCACTCCTCGTTCAGGTCGTAGAACATCAAAAAACATCCATCGGTACCCTCGAGGTCGGTGGAAAAGAGGTCCTTGTCGGACGTGTCGACCCAGAAGGACTGCGTCACGGCGCCCTTGTCACCATCGGCAGATAGTCCCGTGTGGATATAGGTACTGGTCTCTATACCGAGCTGGAAGCTGTTGCTTAAAGCTCGGGTTGTAGAGTTGAGAGCGGCTGGTTGAAGGCCTTTACAGCTTGACTTGTCGATGATGAGGTTGTCGTCTGCGGAGGTACCATATGATAGTGCAGCGCACACAGAGAGGACGGCTATAGGTGATCTGAAACGTGTCATTCTTTTTGTTACTTCTTAGAGGATGCTCAAATTGAAGAAGAGTCTAGAGGTTTTATTAACGTAGGAAGCAATTGATTCGCAATTGAATGGAAAGAGGACTCAATGCAAGTACTTCGTCACCGCACATCGTTCGTAGCTACCACTTAAATAAGAGACACAAATCGGATCTAAAAACAATCCGTATGACTTTCGCACGATGTTTTGTGCCCTGCGCCCGCAACGGCTGTTGCATGCCTGACCAGAATATTACTGTAGCAGGGCTGAGAAGGGGGGCCTTTACTGGATCTGCGCCTCTCTTTACACCCCATGCGCCACTGGTTTCAAGGCTGCGATTCGTCGCGAAGTTACAGAATGGTAGTTCTGTCCATTACGGCTGATTTTAAATGTATGACCTCGCCCGGAGTAGGGCGATTGCTGAGCTTGATCATGTGGTGTACTTGTAGTAACTACCTAGGTAGGTAGGTACCAAAATCGAAAAGGTTACTTAATTCAGCAAGGCGGTCGATGAAACCTCTGCTGCCAACTAATCTTCACAGCGCAATAACATTTATCGGAGTTAAGGGTCCATCTGATTTGAGAGATGTTGATGAGGCTCAAATGCAATCGCACATCTGGGATGTAGATCGTCGGATTAGGCAAAGTCCATTCTCCAACAATGACATGGAAAGAGGTGACATGTGACATTTTCTTCCCCACGGGCGGGGACGTCATCCATTGGCGGCAGTGGCGCGGCTTAACGATTCCTACACCTCGGCTTAAACACAAGGACTAATGAATGCTACCGCTACGAGGGACTACACCCAGCATTGATTCCGGCTGCAGCAGCTTTTGAATAAAATTCTTGGGGCACACATCTTTACTTTTCTTTGCTCTCTTTCCAATTCTTCCCCACACTGTAGTACTTCGCGTCTGTCACGGAATCCTACCACCAGCCATGTCGTCCTTCTCAAGAGCTATTCGACCTATTGTGCGTGCAGCAGCCGCTACCTCCGCTCGACCTCTACGACCAGCAGTCTCACGCGTAGCCCCGCAGTACGTTTTTCTTCTTCCATAATAGGACTTTGAACGGAGAACGAACACTGACAATCCGGTTCCTCTTCCAGAATCCGATGCCTCTCCGCCACCGTCCCTCGACGGGACAGCGAGATCCTCGACATCTCCGAGATCCCCCCAACCCCAATCACGCACCTCTCTGAGACGGAGACCCTCATGGCCGATTCAGTCTCCAAGTTCGCCAGCGACGTCATTCTCCCCAAGGCACGAGAGATGGACGAGGCGGAGACCATGGACCCCGCGGTAGTGGAGCAATTGTTCGAGCAGGGTCTCATGGGTATCGAGATCCCCGAAGAGTACGGCGGATCGGGAATGAACTTCACGGCGGCTATTATTGCCATTGAGGAGCTTGCGAGGGTGGACCCCAGCGTCAGTGTCATGTGCGATGTGCATAACACGCTGTGCAATACTGCGTTCCTGAAGTATGGATCCGAGAAGCTGAAGAAGGAATGGTTGCCCAAGCTCGCTACCAACACGGTCGGTATGTAGCAAGATGTCACTATTATCAACATGAGCAGTAGATTGACGGTGGTGTTAGGTTCGTTCTGTCTGTCTGAACCGGTATCCGGATCCGATGCCTTCGCCATGGCGACCAAGGCCACCAAGACCGAGAACGGATACAAGATCAACGGCTCTAAGATGTGGATAACAAACAGCATGGAGGCCGAGTGCTTCATCGTCTTCGCCAACCTCGACCCTAGCAAGAAGTACAAGGGCATCACCGCATTCGTGGTCCCCAAGGACACGCCCGGATTCTCGATCGCGAAGAAGGAGAAGAAGCTTGGTATCAAGGCTAGCAGCACGTGCGTCCTCAACTTTGACGACGTCGAGATCCCCGCAGACAACTTGCTGGGCAAGGAGTTTGAGGGCTACAAGTATGCCATTGGGCTTTTGAACGAGGGCCGCATTGGCATTGCTGCGCAGATGACTGGTCTGGCACTCGGTGCCTGGGAGAACGCTGCAGGGTAAGAAGCCCTGAATCCGATTCCCCCGTCATCTCTGACACGCATGGATATAATCACTGACACGGGAACACTAGATACGCATGGAACGACCGCAAGCAGTTCGGACAGCTCATCGGAGAATTCCAGGGCATGCAGCACCAGCTCGCGCAGGCGTGGGTAGAGATCCAAGCCGCACGCGCCCTGGTCTACAACGCGGCCCGCAAGAAGGAGGCCGGCGAGGATTTCGTGCTCGACGCCGCCATGGCCAAGCTGAAGGCATCGCAGGTCGCCGGCACGGTCTCGTCGCAGGCGGTGGAGTGGATGGGAGGCATGGGATTCGTCAGGGAGGGTCTCGCTGAGAAGTACTTCCGCGACAGCAAGATCGGCGCCATCTACGAGGGCACGAGCAACATCCAGTTGACGACCATTGCGAAGCAGCTGCAGAAGACGTACACAAAGTAAGCAGGCAGGCAGGCTGGAGGGCAGACAAATTTGATGTGGCGTGAGGAGGTTGGATCAGTTGTTATCGCGAGTCAGTGTCGCTGGTTATTGCTTGCGTGGTAGATCATGTTCGCATGTCGCTCGGGACATGTATCGGTAACTCTACGAGTACCAAAATCTGGAGACGAAATCATGAATGGAAACGATAGAAAACTAAAAATAATAAACTAATAAAATAAACAATCCCTTTCACGATTCCGAGTTTTCCCTAAATCGGGCGGATCCTACCGCGTAGTAAAACGGAGATCACGCGAGTTTATGACTTGGAAGGATTCTCAAGAGTGTTTTCCGGAAGACAGGACAAGGGCAGGAAATGAAGCTCTCATGAGCGCATCCCAGTTTCCCAATTGATTGACTGGGCATACGTTCAGCGGGTACGTACTCGTAATCGTGGTGTAGTCGTCAATTGATGGGTTGGGTCGGTACCGGGTGGAGGGACTCGGGAGGACGTGGCCGTGGGAGGATGTCAGATCAGGGTCTCAGCGTCATCCAGATTCAGGGTGGAAAAAGACTTGAGCACAGATCGAAACCCCAGCCACTCCAGTTACCACGATTCATGAGTAGTTAGTAGTTAGTAGATACCAAATACTTTGGTACCTCGTAGGAGGTATTAGTACTCGTAGTGATCTGTAGTCTAGGAAGAGGTGGAATACCTCTCTACCTGGTAGGCACAAAAGAGGACCAGTAACCAGATAGGAGTGATTTCTGTGGTTGGCTAGAAGGAGACTAGTGCTAACGGCGGCAGAGCGAGGTCCGCTCCGCGAGTACTGTGTAGAGAGGCCATCCAGCAAACCAGGGCAGCTGGAAAATCCTCCTCCCCCTCGATCATGACGATGGCGTACCATCAAAACATTAGGAAAACAAAATGTCAAGATCATCACTACGGTATCATCATTGTTATTGTTTACTCCCGATGATGGATCTATCGTCGGATGTCGAAATTTGATATGGCCATCGCCCCCTATTCCCTTCCCTTCCCCTTCGCTCGCGCCCGCCCGTTCGCATGTGAGGATGGCGAGATGTCCCTCCACCAGTTTGCCTTGCTCTGCCATGCTCGTGCTTACTCGTACACAGCACAGTCCTGAGGGGAGCAATGGGAAATGCGGGCGGCGGGCGCAGAAACTTCTTCCCCTCGCTTCTTCTCTCTTCCTTGATCTCCCGAGGGAAGGAAAAACAGGAAGAGTGGAGACTGTCTGTGTGCGAAGAGGAAGAAGACCCCACAGATATCACGCATGGTCGGGCGACCATGAGCAGAGTTTGCCTTTCAACTGGTTGGAATGGCTGAGACTGTCATGCATGGCCCACTTGTGGGCATGGAAGTCGAGTAGGTTAGAGTTGAAACTAAACAGCCCGTTAACGCAAAAGCACGCAAAAAAGACCGCAGAAGATGTGGAGCACAGAGCGCACAGCAGACAGTACACGTTGGTCCATCACCAACTGCAAGACAGGCAAATAAGCAGAAGCAGCAACATCCGTTTGAACACTATCAAGAAATAAGATCAAGTACGAACTCGTCGAAGGCTGGCCCATAAACTGGCCTTGGAAATGGTATGATTGGCATGACTGGCCTGACTGGCCTGACTTGGGCCTATCCAGTGGCCTAATACCTCCTCGTAGACTGTAGTTCCGTAGTTATCTCTTCATCATTATTCACAGGTTAAACAAGTCGTGTCTCCCCCCTCCCCCCCAATCCCAATATCCCCTTCCCTCTCCGATAGCCAACTCTCAAGTGCAGCGCCAATGTCTGGGGGGCCAGCCGTGCCAGCCATGCCAGCCATGTCATGATTGATTACCGGTCCCGGTAACTCCATACATACACACTTTTCACACCTAGCCAATTGCCCATTTGCCCATACCTATCGCTATTACTGTGCTCGGCCCAATGACCAGCCACCCAGGTTGATCTGATCCGATCTGTTCAGCCCGCCATACCAGTACCCAGACCAGACCAGACAAGAAAAACCTCGATCACCCTCCTCGCACGTCCGCCCACCCGACCCCCCATATTCATCATCATCATCATCATCATCACCATAATCATCATTTTCAGCTTCCTCGTCGCATCGCCATTACCACGTTAACGCGATATCTACATTGTTCGTACACAATTCCCACGACGACAAAAGCGCTCCATTATCGAATGGCATCAAGAGTTCCTATCCGAACCACGCATTAGTAACTGAGAGCGGAATCTCGTCCAAATACAGGTTTTCCTTTCAAAGCACCAATCCTTGGAGAGGGATTTCTCTTATCAAGTACTCTGTACTTACTGCAGCGGACATTCGCTGCCCTGTTTCCGTTGACCACTTTGTTGTTTCGAATTTTCCCCTCGCGTGCGTTGAACCGTCCCCTCAACGCCGTACACGTCTCTCCACTACCATCATCACCACCACCACCACCAACTAAACAGCCTTACGAGCACCATCAACTCCCTACACCACCTTACTGCGTGGCATGTTGACACCGTCTACTTGCACTCTCGATTCTTTTCAAAACCCATGCCAAATTCGGCCTGTCAATGGAAAGATAACACAGCCTACCATGGCTCTCGATAGCACCACAGATAACATTTCACAACAAGACGAACCTCCACCACCTCCCCCACCACCACAACGACCAAAAATGTCCAAAATGGACAGCATACTACCTGCCACCATGAGAAACGAACGTCGACTGCCGGCCACGCCCAAGATGGAGCGGTCCATGACCGGCAGCTTCATGATGGAATCCACCATCAGCACAGCACGTGCTCAAACCCCCGCCACGGAACTCGAAGAATCACAGTCCATGGACCTCGTCGCGAAGAAGAAGGAGGAGGAACCCCTCCAACCCATCTCGAACTGGGCCCATCTATCCTTCATGAAGAATCAGCGGACCGCGCTGCGCTCCGAGCTCAGGGCCTCGCAGGTCGCGGGCGCGGAAGCACGACAGTCGGTCGCTGCCCTGCGCCGTCTGGCCCTTCGCCTTGCGGTTAATATTTCTGTCAAGGAGAAGCAGATTGCAGATACGGCCCGGAGCCTTGCCACGAGCCGGAAGAATGACTACATTGCAACTCGAAATGCTGAGAAACGTATCGAACAACTGCAGAAGAGTCTTAAACAGGAGGAACAGAGGAATATGGAAATCCTCCAGATGCTTGAAAAGGCATCTATGCTCACACTAGAATGTATGCATGCATGTTCGAATGGGTATTTCAAAGGCTTTGGACTAACGCGTTGATAGATTCCGCCCCTACTCCTCCCCGAAAATCTAAACTACGACCACAGCTCGGCCCGCTGTCACCACCACCCTCACCCCCAACCCGCCTAGACGACTTCAGCTTCCAAGGCCCATCGTCGCCCAAGACACCCACCCGCTCCCGTGGTTCATCCAGCGAATGGGTCGACCTCGGTGCAGATCTCGCACCTACCCCCGACGGCTTCGCTCAGATCAGGACATCAGACCACCGCTTGATCCAGGCTAAGCGAGAGTCTGAGAACGCCTTACGCGCGTGCCGCAACAGGATCGAGGAGCTACAATCGGAATGTCTTCGGAGCAGAGAGAGCGAAAGATGCCTCCAGGCCAACCAGCAGGCTCTCGACTCGGAGATTCGCGACCACCAGTATCGCATCTCCGCCCTCGAGAAATCGCGCAAGGCCGTCGACGAGTCGCTCCGGATCGTTCAGTCCCAACTCACCACCTCGAAACGGTCTGAGTCAGAGCTCCGTGCCGAACTCGAACTCAAGAACCAGGAGATCGAGCAACTGGAAACTCTCAGCAGGCAGCGTCTCGACAAGTTGGAGGCTTTGGAGAAATCTAAGCTCCAACTCGAGGATGAGATCTCAACCCTGCAGAGCCGCGTCCAGAAACTCGAGACTTACGCCGCCGGCCTTGAAGAGCAGACTCACACCTTGCAGAGCCGGATCGACGACCAGGAGAAGCGAGAGTCTGACCTCCAGCGGGAAATCTCAGATCATGAACGCCGACACGCGGAACTGGAATCCCAGACACAGAAGAGCCAGGCCAATATTGGAGTCCTTGAGCAATCCGTCTCGTTCTTCGAGGAGCAAGTCAAGGGGTACGAAGAGAAGATCAAGGTCCTTGGCGACGAGGTTTCCTTCCTCCAAGATGGCTTGAAGTCGTCACAGTCGTTGAAGGAGGGTGCAGAGAGCGGCCTCACTGCTGCCAAAGCATCCCTCGACGATCTCGAGGCCAAGTTGCGATCCATGGCCGAGGACAATACCCTACTCCAGAAGGATCTTGGAACCACCCGGACGACCAAGGCGGGGCTCGAGAAGGAACTCCAGAACACGCAAGTCAAGCTTAGCGAAGGAGAGGAGCTACGCGTCGAACTTGAGAGCGAGCTCAGCAGCCTACGCAACTCGGAGAGCACACTTCAGAAGGACATGGAGGCCGCCAAGGCACGCATTGCCACCTTTGAGAAGCACCATCCGGCCATGCAAGAGGAGCTGAAGGGTTTGAAAGAGTCCAAGGTGTCCCTCGAGGAGAAGCTTGCCGATGTCGAAAAGCTCAATGCACAGCTAAACGAGAAGGTAGCCTCGCAGCAAGAGATCGTCGCTTCGATGCAGGCTTCCGCCGATCAGATGGCCATCGAGCTGAAGAAGTCGGAAGAAGCGAAACAGCAGCTCGAGGAAGAGCTCTTCAGCACCAAGGAATCATATTCCCAACTTGAAACTGAAGTCCAAAGCTACAAGGAGAAGCTCGCCGCTGTCGGGTCGTCGATGGCAGAATTGCAAACTAAGTTGCAGGACTCCGAGGCGTCTAGGGCAGATTTGAAAGAGGAGCTCCGCCAAACACAGCAAGCCAAGAACGGCTTCCAGAACGAGATCGTCCTCTTGCATTCTTCAATTGCCGCCCTTCAAAAGGAATTGAAAGCCTCCGAAGAATCGGATGTCGGTCTTCAGGAGCTCATCAACGATGAGCAGCGTGCCAAGGCCGAGTTGAAGAACGAGCTTTCTGAGCGCGAAACAACCCTCGCGCAACTGCATAGCGATCTCGCCGCTTCTAACGACTCCAACTCGGAGCTTGAGGGGAAGATTCGCGACGCTGAATCGTCCGTCATCGAGCTCAGCAACAAGCTTGCTGCGGTGGAGACATCCATCACAGAATTGCAGGAGGAGCTGAAGCAGTCTCAAGAGTCGAATGCCGAACTTCGCCAGGAGATTCTAGAGTCGCAGCAGGCGAGAGTCGACCTCGCTGAGAAGATCTCTACGCTGGAGACATCCCTGTCCGATATGCAATTGGACCTCGATGAGTACAAGAAATCGAGCAGCGAGCTGTCGCAACAGCTCAAGATCGCTGAGAAGCGTAGAGTTGAGCTTGAGCAGCAGCTCGAAGCCTCCAAGCAGTCCAAAGCAGAAGTCTCTTCCAAGCTTGAGGCTGAGATTCAGTCCAGCCAGACCCAGGTTGCTTCGTTGGGAGCTTCCATCACCAAACTCGAAGCCGAGCTCAAGAAGTCTGAAGATTCCAGGTCCTGGCTCGAGGAGGAGATGGATAAACTTCGCCAGTCGAAATTCCAGGCCTTGGAGGATTTGGGCAGTATGGTCAGGTCCAAAGGTGCCGTGTCCGCCGAGTTGCAGGAGACAATCCATGCTAAGGAAGAAGAGTTGGCTTCGAAGGAGGCCTCCATCGCAAAGCTTCAGGATCAGATCAAGGAGTCTGACGATTCCATCGCCAATCTGCAAAGTGAGCTGAGGAGCACTAAGTCGTCACGTTCCCAATCCGAGAAACGTCTCGAGGAAGCGCTCAAGTCGAAGGCTGACCTTGAGGAGAAACTGGAGGCCGCCAAATCGAAACTACAGCAAGCTGAAGCCGAGAGCAGTGGACTGAAATCCAAGCTTTCCACCGCTGATCAGGAGATCGAAACCCTCCAACGCAGGACAGCCAAATTCGAAGCCTCCGAGCGTGAACTATTCAGTCGCCTTGCCGATGCCGAGAAGGAGCTCCATGATGTGAAGAAGACCAACGAGCACCTCGAAGCCTTCCTCGAGAAGGTTGAAGAGGACATGCAGATAGCCGAGGCAGCCATCGAGGAGAGTGAATCCCGTGTTAGCGAGTTCATATCCACGTCGGACCAGAAGCTTGCCCAGACGCAAGTGTCGAAGTTAAAGTACAAGCGCCGCTTCAACACCAAGGTCAAGGAACTGGAGCTACTTCGCGATGAGAACTGGCAGCTCCGCCGTGAGATCAATCTCCGCGAGCAGGATATCGAGATGCTCAAGTCGACTGAGAGCCGTCTTCAAGCTGAGGTCAAGCAGCGCGACACCATCATTGACGATCTCCGTGAGAGCCAGGGCGAGTTCGTCGCTCAACTCCGCGAGATCGAGCAAGACCTCAAGCACCTCAGAGAAGACAAGAACACCTTACAGGAGGTCGTCAAGGCTCTTAAGGTTAAGCTCCGACATCTCGAAGTCCTCTCCGAGTGGGATCAAGAAGCGTCGTCAATTCACGAGGCTGAAGGCAGTGCATCGGGCGCGAAAAGCGTTACGAGCCAGGCAGAGGGCGCTCGCACCCTCAGCCCGGCACCAACGCTCGAGAGAAACCGTCGCCAGAGCAACTCCACGGTTGGCTCGCGAGACGAGGACCTCGACGCCTGGGCACGCGAAGTCGAACGCGTACGCATGCTCCGTAACGAAACGGCAATCCAACTCAGAGGCCTCGACAAGAAGAAGGATGACCTCAAGAAGGCACTTAAGGCCAGCGAAGCGCAGCTCCACGCCATGGAGAAACGACAGGGTATTTCACACAAGCGTCGCACTCTTACCAAACGCCACTCGGTCGCTCCTCACCATTCCTTCTCCGTCTTCCCCCACGACTCTCCAACCCGTCCTTCCACCGCTATGCCTGGTGGTAGCTCCTCCCCTCGATCACCAACACCAGGGTCCCCACATCATAACAACAACACTCACCAACGTGTCGACTCCGCAAACTCTGACTACCCACCCTCATCTCCCACCCGCTTCTTCTCTTCATCCCCTCGTCCCGGTTCCCGCCCCGGCACCGCAGGCAGCTGGAAGAAGCTCATGCACAAGCGTCCCGCGACCCGTGCATCGGACGTCGTCATGCGTGCCAGCGAGTCTCCCGAACCTACTTCTCCCACTACTGGTGACGAAGCCGAGAGACCTAAACTCAGACCGAGGGGAAGCAGGATTAGTTCCGGCTTGAGGAGACTGTTCCACCACTAATTCGACCCCCTCTTCTCTTTCCTCGTCAGAAGAGTGAACGAATTTCATTGTACCATTTCTTCAAAACCCATCCATCCCGGCTCCTGGACTTTATATTACTTTCGCCACCCACAACATGAAAACAACATCATCTTTGTACACATTAGCCGTGTTCCGGCAACCCATTAACTCTTCATTCCTGGCATTTTGGCGTTTTTTTACTCTCGGACAGTGGGTGAGAGGGGAGAGAAGATCATTTCTCCCCCTCCCCCCCTGGTTAGATTTCTTGGTCTTGTGTTCCACTTTCTTTTTCCTTTTGGACGCATCACCCACCAGTATCGTGCGTACACACGCACATACAAATCATCTTCTTTTCCTCCTCTCGCGTAGCGTAGCGTGTGTTGTCTGTCTGTCTGTCCTGCCCTCGGGTTCAGTAAAAGCAAAGCGAGCATACAGCGTTTTAGCATCAGCATCAGCATCGTTCGACGAACGTTTCAGCGTATCGTTTACAGCAAGTTGCGCTTATTTAAACTTTCTTCTACGCATGTATCATTCTTCATTTTTCTGTTTTCGATACACATAGTAGGGTAGGATATGGAAACCGGAAATACACCCCGGAGCAACGAAGCTGTACAATCAGCTTTAAAGGCATCCGGTGTATGGCGGAACACGGTGGATTGCAAGGAAGGAAGAAGGAACAGGAAGGACAAGGAGGTTTTTCGGTACGATATCTTGGTTGGAAATGTTGGTTTTCTCTGCATACAAAACATACATTACTTCGGGAAGAAAACATTTCTGAGGTATGAAAACAACAACACTTATTAACGACGTACTGCAATTTTACGATGCGTAACGAAATGTACTTTTTTGAAAGCAATAGAAAAGTTTCTTGCTTGGCTATATCTCTTCGTATCAGGATTGAAATGTGTGATGTCGTTGTTGATGTGGGATTGTGATGCATCTCGTGAATGTGGTAGGTGGATAGGTACTGCACTCAATGTGTATCTGGGTAGAAGTTGTGTTCTACCACCTTCTCTGGACCAACATGCGCATAGGTAAAATTGCTGTAGCATTTTATGTATGGAAATATCTCCCTATATATATATTTCACGATGTACTAAAATTTGTTCACTACTGTCTGTATGTATGAGATGTATAACAACCAGGCGGTGCGCTATCTCTACCCTTGTCTTCATATCCTCTCTTCCTCAGCAGTTATGCATATCTTTCTAGTTTCCTTTCTTTATTATCTCATAATTGAAGTATATATCGTACCGTCCAACAAATCTTTCCTTATCGATACCTATCCTCTAGCTATTCATTCTCGGTCGGAAAAAAGTGAGGAGGAAGCTCGGTGCAGCCCATGTGATAGCTTATCCCAGACGCATACTGACTTGCCTCGGCATCTCAGGTACCATGATTACTATCATTATTTTCATTCAAACATATCTCCAATGACGATGTCATTTACTAGCCTAAACCTCAAACCCAACCCAATTACATTAAACTAATAAAGCACATCACCTTTCAATTGCACAATATCAAAAACGATGTTCACCATCCCCATCTCCCCCACCGGCACCATAACCTGCACCTCCCCCTCCCCCAGCGTCTTCGTCCTCGACTTCTCCCACGGCAAGCAGAACCGCGTCACGACCCCCTTCCTGGAAGCGTTCTCGGAGGCGCTCGACAGGCTGGAGCGGGAGGAGAAGACAGGAGTGGTTGTGTTCACGAGTACCGCAAACCAGAAATTTTTCAGCAATGGGTTCGATCTAGAGCACGTGGGGGAGAACCCGGATATCGTGGAGAGGGCGGTGCTGCCGTTGTTGCGGAGGTTGATGGTGTAAGATTAACAAATTTCCTCTTTACTTTTATGCTCAGAATCTTCATCTTGTGTTTTCCTATTTTCTTTCTTTTTGGTTGTTTGACGACTGACCATTTCCCCCAGCTATCCCATGCCCACTATCGCCCTCCTAAACGGCCACGCCTTCGGCGCCGGTGTCTTCATCGCCATGGCCGCCGACTACCGCGTGCAAAACCCCTCTCGCGGCTTCTTCTGCCTCCCCGAGGTCGACATAGGCCTCCGCATCCCGCCGCCCATTGCCACCATGATCCGGCGCAAGATGGCGCATCCGCACGCGTACCGCACCGCCGCGCTGGAGGGGAAGCGTCTCGGTGGGAAAGAGGCGCTCGATTTGGGGATCGTGGATGTGTTGGGTGGGATGGAGGAGTGTGTGGGGTTGATTGAGGAGAGGGGGTTGGTGGCGAAGTCTGAGGGGGGCGTTTATGGGGTGCTGAAGAGGGATGCGTATAGTGATGTTCTGGAGGGGTTTGAGGTGGGGAAGGAGGGCGAGAAGGCGAAGTTGTAGGGGGATGGATGTTGTGTGTTGCTGAAGTGCATCGTTGCTATGCTAGTGCTCTAATTGAGCAGTGGTCATCTGTGAAGCGTCGTGTGCACGAAGAAAGCATTCAGCCTGAGGCGAGACCGTACGAGTACATCGCGGTACCAGTTGTAGATACCCAATTGTTCATATTTTGAGATGAGAAGGTAGGAGATCATGTATGTATCGTATATGACTTAAATGACATTTAACAAAAGGTCTTGCCAGGAGAGCTCAAACGCAGTGTGTAGATTTGATAAGAAGTGTGAAGACGATCTGTCGTTGCTTTTATCTGAGCATTTCGCGAGTAGGACTTCGGGATGTGTAAATAATTCTTTGCTTTGAGATTCAATTTAAGGATAAACAGCAACAATATATTGTATGTGTGTGTATGTATGCTACACTACATACAAATGCCCATCTCCATGGATGGCAGAAACAACTGGGGGTATCAAATCCACTCCTTCCTGTCTCCTCTCTCTCACTCTCTCTCCTCCAACATTATATCTCTCTTCCTCCTACTCAATCAATCATTGCTTCTCCCACCTCTCGATCTCCGCCTCCCGACACAGCACGGTACCCTCCTTACAGCTTACATACTCCTGCACCCAACTGGCTCTCCTCCTCTCATCCATCACATCCTCCCGCCTCTCTGCCATATCCTCGTCCTCCATGTAGGCGTAGGTCGGGGAAGAGAATTGTGTTGTATTTGGTGCGAGGAGGGACAGAAGGAGGGTCTGCACTGCAAGCAGGAGGACAGGCGGTTTTGGGATATGGACGTGCGGGATGTTGAGGCGGAGATTGTTGTGGGAGAAGGGGTTTTGCAGGAGCGGGGAGGCAGTGTTTGCGGAGAGGATGTTGGGGTATAGTGACATTGTGTTTTTGGTGGTGATGGTTGGTGGGTTATGGTCGTGATGTCGGATGTTTCGTGTGTCGTGTGGCTGTTGGATGGTGGTTATGGTTGTAAGGCCCCAGGTTTTGGGAGCTTTTGGGTCGATTGTTTGGGATTTTTATGTTGGTAAATCGATATGATATTCAAGTTCTGCCGGTGTTCGAGTGGCTTGAATTCGTGTGGATAGTAATGGTAAATTGTTTGAGGTTTGCTTGCTTAATGGCTTTTGATGTATAGCATCTAGATACAATCTGTGGCTTGCCCACCGCATATGTATACACATTTCCAAGATCAATAGACATACAGATCTAACCCAATTGCAACGTCATGGCCACAGGATCACCTCAATATTGTATCTCCGTCAACTGACACGGATGCCTCTACATGGTGATTGTGGTCGTGGAGTGGTGTGATGTCGCTGTAGATCATTGATCCATTTCGGGAGCAGCCGCCGCCCGCTCGCGCTCACTCGCTTGCAGGAACCACCAGTTTCGTGCAGCCACGAGAGCCGCAAAACGCCCACCATCAGCAAGACATCATAGTCCCTGCGATATTCAAACACTCACAGATTCCACTCGATAGAGACTATGTATGATCTTTGAACTGCAGTTTTACCTCCAACTCGTCGCAGGCACAGAAAACCTGATGCGATTCATGGAATTCCGTCCCCACTGTGTGCACTTCAACCCACCGCGCTGCGTTGGATCATTGCGTGGTGTGACATACTCACCACCCACGCCCACCCATCCCCGAAACGAAACGTTTCCCATCCCATTCCACACACATGACCTCAACTGACTCCAGCAAAACACTTGATCGTAACCTGTCTTCCCCTTCCCAGACCAGTGAATCCCCACGCATGTTGAACCCCAATGAACGAGACAGCACTCGCCAGACCCAGCCTCGCCCCCAATCACGCAGGCTTGTACGATTCCTGTGTCTGGCTGTCTGTCTTCCATGATGTGAACTCACCGTTTTGATGATATCACTGCATACACACATACACGTAGTACCCTCTCCCTACCCAACATATCTCTACATAAACCTGCATTCAATACGACACATGCAATACTCCCCCACCACCAAACGCCAACAAATAGCGAGAAAGAAAAGCTATCATTCGCTGGTCCGTTCTCTTCAAACACGGACTCCATGATTCCTTGTTTTATGCGTTCTTTTCGTCTATATCTTGACGTGTGCATTTCATATATGCATGAGGATTATTGATTACATCGTCTATATGTCTGGGTGTATAAATATCATCCGCGAGAAAGCAGGCTGGTGGTCGACCTTTTCCTCTTCATTTTCCACCTGTCCCTCCTCTACCATTGTATGAGGTCCGTTTCCTGTGGAACTAGTTGAGTATTCGACGGCCACGAACACCATGAAGCGTGGGGGAGAAGAATCTTGGATCTGTGAAGTCTGGAATATGGAGTACAGTACGTATATCATTCACCCAACTCTTTTCCCTTCCTTTGAGTTGCTGTCGTTGGAAGAATATTACTGGTGTTGTACAATCAAGTGCGTAGGCAGAGAAAACGTTGGACAGGCACAAGAAATGAAGTAAGGACGTATGCATTTTCTGTCATTCGGCCCACCCATGTTCGAGCTGGTACATATGTGTATACTTTGACTGACTGATTGATATTCATGACATCTATAGGTAGACGAAACATATATCCTTTTTCATACCAAAAGAAAAGAGCCCGAAGCGATCAGAGCATGCCGCGAGAATACGTCTCGATGTTGTAACGCCTTGAATTACCGCGTGTAGCGGAGACCGCGAAAAAGAAAACGCCTGTTAAAAGATTTCCTTGAATGAACCCAATGTCCCGTGGGATATGGTTGATTCCCTTTGAACCATCAACGCCGTTGTAACCCAGCCCAAATGAACAACATGATAACATGAAAGCGATGGATATTGGAAGTAAGGTAATATGAAGGTAAGTCGATTATGGCCCCCTGCTCTCGCTCGAGGCGAGAAAAGGGGGATGATGGAGAGAGATGGGAAGATAGGCGGTTTGTCGTTCACTCCATTCGTCCAGAACGTGCATATAAGCCATGAGAGGAATCTTATGGTGAGACAAGACTTTTGGTGGCAAAATGTCCATTGTCTCACTGGACGATTTCATCTGAGAGAGGATACCGAAATATCGGGAGGATTCTTTTTTGACCGATAACGCCAGACAAAATGCTCAGGAGTGATGACCGGTGATGCAAAGAACAACGTGAAAGAATCGATCCGTAGCGATGATGAGGAAAGAAGAAGGCGTGCGTTCGTGTATGCGTCTCTATTGGCGAGCAGGGTTGATCTTTAGGTCCACAACGTACTGCATGAGACTGCAGTCCTCGCACTTGACGAGCGCCTGTAGAGCCTTCATTCGTGTCCTTAGAGCGGCGTTCTCCTCGGCGAGAGACTTCTTGTCCTTCTCCATCTGCTTGATGTAGGCGGTTGCCGATGCGAGGATGACGGCTTTGCTGGGCTTGGAGGGGGCTGGTAAGTCCTCGATGTCTGCACCATCGCAACCCCGCTGGTTCTGCTGTAGGGCGGGGACTACACGGCGGAGCGACTCTAGCTGCGTGTTCAGTGACTCGCGATATTTCCGCTCCACTTGGTTGTGAGGCAACCGGCGTCGGGACTTTGGCTTCGCGTCGTCCAGATTGCCTACTGTGTCTGGTGATTCTTCCTGCTCTTCCTTGGGAAGTGTCTGCTCTGGGGTGGTCGAGCTGGGAAAGCGCCGGCCGGCCGGCTCGCAAGACGAACTGCTCTCACTTCGCTTCTTGGGCCGGGGCTGGATCTCTACGATACCGTCCTCAGCAATGATTTCTTGCGGTTGGGGGAGAAGCGAGTTGATGGTTGAAGTTGGAAGATTGTCATCGTTAGCGAATAGGAAAGGGGCACATCCGCCACCACAATTCGATGGGTTTGGTGGAGGTCCATCTTGACCGTGGTTTGGGCAGAGTGGTGACGTCCAGCATGCGGAGATAATATCGGGTTTGTTCCTGTTGCGCTTCGCAGTCGTACCGGTCGAGGCACTGTTGCTGTGAGTGTGATCATGCGTGGTCTTGTCGATGGCATGTGACGAAGATGCTGCCCCGTTGGGTCCATCTGGAAAGGTAAGGTCTTCGACGAAGCCAGAGTCCATGTTGTTCGGGAACATAGATTCATAGGAGGGGTTGGGGAAAGTTTGTGCGCGGTGCACAGAAGGCCTCCGGTTCATCGACATGTCCAAGGGGGATTGATTCGGGTCCGTAGGGATAGATGCTGGTGTTTGTGATGCGGAAGAGATGTCGTGACTTGCAGTAAAGGGACCAGTCAAGGCGATTCCTGAGGTTGGCTCGGGCGAGGATTCAGTAGTGGATTCACCGCCGGCCAGAGGGTCGTTGAAGGGCTGAAGGATCTCGAAGTCGCTAAGGAAATAGTCGTTGGCAGTGAAGAGAGGGTCGTCGAAGCTGGAACCGTTGAGGATAGAGTTGAACACAGAGAGATCTCCAGGATCGGACCCTGAGGTGGCAGTTGATTTTGGCATGGCAGATAGAGGGTGATTGTTGGTGGTGGTGGAGGGATGGGTGGTGCTTCCTGTGGTGGTCTGCGGGATATCGGACCACTGATCGTATGGTAAAGTAAGACCTTCATCAGTGAGGAAGGGAGCCCAGTTGGCAGACATGACGGGCAGTAAGCGGAGAGTTTGGGTTGGTGTTTGAAAGATGTCAGGTTATGATCAGGAGATACTCTGAGGAAAAGGTCTCGCGTGGTGGTGCCAAGCTTGGACGTGAGCGGCTAATGGGGGATGCGGGAGTTCGAGAATGCGCACTCTCGAACCGGATGGAGCAAGGGGAGGAGAGGGCCTTTTTTTTTAAAATGGGGCTGCAAGGGTTGGTAAGGTCAACAGGTGGCGAGCATCCCATTCGGGGTAGAGGATGCGTGTATTGTACGTTTAGATATAGATAGGCCCAGTATCTTCCTTTCACATCTGTTTGATGGTTGATGGATTGTTGATTGTAGACGTTGCAGGAGTGAGGGTTTAGCTCGAGGGGGCAAGGGAAGTGGAGCAGTTAAAAGGGAATGGAACAGATGGGGGAAAGGAGCACTATGTAATTACTAGAAGACACAGAGAGTAAGTGGGCGGAGAGGAGGAGGAGGGTATGGGAACCGTGGAAAAAGCAGTAACCGGAAGTGGCCGAAGTTTTGCTTATGACAGAGTGTGTAAAAAAGCAACTAAGGTATATACCTAGAACATGCCTCTGCGCGGATCTTTTCTCCTCTCCGCCCCTCTCACAACAGTCTAATTAACTTGTCTTTTTGCTGGGAACGGAGAGCGGCAAAGGCAAAGGCAATGTTTGGGTGCCTAGGTGGTACAATGGCGACCATGCACGAGTAGTGGCACTCGTAGTATAGTTCCATGGCAGAGGGCCAAGGGTCAAGGGCTTCCGACTGGCCCAAGGCGGTGACTACAATACAGTCATGGGAATGTACTCTATCTACTCCGTACTGTACGGGACCGGGGAGATCACAATTAACTATCGGGCATGCAAGCGAAAAGACGAGAATTGAAGTCTACTGGGCGGAAGTAGGGCATTCGGTTGACTCGGGAGTCGGTAGTGGTTAGTTGGTCGGTGGTTAGTGCTATGGCATTCTTGTACTGGACGTATAGCTCTAAGCTGCATTACTACATGGAATACCAGTAAGATACTGGGGGGGTATGACGAGAAAGCACGTAACAACAATGCAGAAAAAGTAAGAGATTTCGTTTGAGTTCGGAATTCAGGTCTAGAGTCTAGTTCCAGGTTTCGTCTGTTGGGCCCTGGGGTGAAAGGAAAGGAAGGACTTGGGAAAATGTCAGACCACATTTTGGGTGGCGTGACATTTTTCCCAGGCCCACCACCACCACCGCCATCCCGACTCTGGCCAACTCCACATCCAAGTCCACGTCCACATCCACCTCCACCAATAATTAATGATTACAGTACGCTTTCGCGAAGAACCTACGAGGTACGACGTCCTCGCTTTGAATCTAAGTGGAGCTGCTGAAAACAAAAATCAAACAAAAATCAAACATTATCGTTCCCATCATCGCCCATCCAGTAGTTGGAATACTCCGTACTGTGTAGGTTACGACCACCCAAAAGGTTGGTCAACAGCGGGCACTAAATTTGGAAGCGCGCTGCTCTCCACGGGCTAGGCCGGCCTCGTCGCACAGTAAGCCTTACTTGCCGTACGAATGCTGTATGTATGTACCATGTACTGTCTTGCACTGCACTGTATGTACAGTGTACGGTGTACAAGTACATACATACGATTACGGAGTACTGTACGAAGCACATCTTCTGGCTCCAACTTTCTAGAAGCCTGAGCATCCGTATACCGATCAACCTTCCTCCGCACCCTCGATCCTTGACAGATATCCCAACCACAACAACAGGCTCGGAAAGCAAGGAATTAAGGGACGTATTCCATGATTCCTTTTACCTGTCCCGATGAACCCATCACGTCACCACCGACCGACGTCGAAGATCTGCGACTCTGCCCACAAGTGCCGAAACGTTGCGGAAGAGCATCCACCCCTACAGCGACTCGTGAATAGAGGCCATAGATAGATTGCGCGACTCGTGACCGCTAGGCTGTCGGCAACGAGCAGTGCCCATACCATACGAAGGAGAGATGCACCCCACCTAGCTACTTGTAGTTGTACACAGTGCGCAGTGTATGATTGTTCGGAGTACTGATGTGGTGCAGCGTTTGCTGTGCTCAATCAACCCAACCTCTGCACTGGTACCCGAGTCGTTGTTCGATAAAAACGGTACCCATATGTTACGAACACGTAGACTGGCTTGAAAACTGCGAACGCTGATATCACAGCCTCTTCCGTCTTTGCCATTCCTTGTGTTCGAACAGCCTCGCCCGAGCTTCTCCCCCTCGCAACTCGCAAAGCTCAGCTCTTCTATCATTGATCGTCCGGTTAGACTTGTGCCGAATGGGGTAAGGACACGCGAGTCCGTTGCCAAGGAGCCAGAACCTCACAGCCTTGTTAGCCGTTCTAGGCTTAGCATTGACCCGACCACGGCAAGTGGGGTCGCCTGGAATAGCTCTTCCCCTCTTTCCTGTTTAGTGACAGTGGAACACGTGCTTCTCTCACACTCGGAACTTTCATCTCGTCCTATCAAAGACGAGATCAAAACACACTTGAGCAGAGGAATTCCCCGTTGTAGACCGCAGTACATAATGGGAAACATGAACGTGAGTTACAATGCCCAGCACTGGTTCCAGGCGGTAGGAATGTGGGTAGGACTTGTCGAAATCACACGAGAAAAGCAACAGGCGGTGGCTCTTCCAGTCTTCTTCTTTTCGGCCTGGTCCCTTCTACAATCGGTCTCTGACAGAGCGGACAGTACTCATTGCACCTCGCAAACCAATCATCTAAACATTCCTGATGGAATACGTGTAGACAATCGAGTCCGCGGATCTGCGCCGCATCTTCAATCTCGTCAAGGCATATAACACTATTGATTCGATCAAGTCAGCAACAGCGACCTTGTCATAACCTTCACGTCGCTATCATCTTCCAAGTATAGAACACCTACCATATAGGCTTCACAGTAATGCAGTATTCCGGATGCTCCACCTTCTTCTTCGCTGCCCAGTCTACGAAGAACTGTGCCTTGACACTGTTGTCCAATCTTTCAAGTCTCTTCTTCTTGATCTCATCTCGGGAATTTGTTGCGTTTCGTCTGCTTAGCCGGGGGAATATGAATGCTCTGCGTGTCCAAATCAATCAGTGACATGCTATCTGAAGCGTGGGAGTGACAAGCCGATAGGGAATCCGGTGCGTGAGAGACCGAAGGGAAAGCATGCATCAACACTTACACAGCGACTACCATCGCCAGAATCACCGCGAATATGCATGGAAGCACGATGGCGATAGCGACACTGCTGTCTTTCTTCAGGGCCGTCGACTCGGAGGTTGAAGTACTCGACGACATGGTCTGGTAGCTGACTACACTTGTCTCGTGCGGTCTCGTATCGAGGGAGAAACCCGTCGCCTCAATGGAAAAGAGCCAGACAATGTATGCCTCCGCAATGGACTTTGTTCTCCTTGTACCACATGTGAATAATAAACGGAGCTTCAGAAGTCAACGATGAAGCTAGGTAGAGTAAGGCAGGGCGAAGGTTCACACCAGCCGTCTTCCCAAGCTATAGCTCTACTCTTCAAAAATGCGAGCATGCGACCTTATCCACCCTTCCAAGAAATATATACTAGCCTTGAGAAGACCCTTTATCATATTCTCCGCGCACCTACTGCTTTGCTATGCTCTTGGCTTCTCCTTGCTGTCCCCTGCAGCCCCAGCGCTGCGCTGCGTGATCATACGTCGATCGAATCACACCCACACATCCCCGTGCATACATTGTACATGTATCTACATGCACTACTTCCCCAAACAAGCGTACGAAGAGTGCGGGGGTGGAGGTGTGACGAGGCGGAGAGTGGGGTAAAATGAAGGCCCGGTAAGGATGATACACTACACAGCACCTGTCGTCCATTGCTTTCTGCAGCGATCTGCTTGGATGGGATTAAATATTCCAAATTGGATGGACTCAATATCCGTATCTGTCGCTTTTCAATTTTACCTGCTCGCCCGCTTTACTCTTCGGATGACGTGCGTTTCGCACTGTGTGTGCAAGATTGACTACTAACAACACCGCAAGGCCAAATTCTCCAAGTTGAGGACGCGCGATACACAAGAATGAGGCCGAGAGTGGGCGTACATGCATGTGATTGCGATATTGACTACCTCAGCTGGACTTGAACGGCGACCGCCTCTTGTCTTTTGTCCCATCAACCCTAGATGATAGCGATCGCGATTGTCACAGTAGTCTCGCCGTATATACACCGAAGCCCAACTGTATCACGCTGTACTCCGTATGTAGTTTTGAACTACCTTCCAAGCCTACGAGAAAATTATCAACCAGAATTTTGGTCAGTCTATCTAGCACTTTCCCTTGGCAATTCTGGTCGCGATTGTCTAGATCAAGTGAACTTTTGAGGTGCGCCAGCCAACAAACCAGCCACTGCGGGGCAGGCAAAGATGGGGGACGTCTCGGCGCTGTACAACAACACAAAGAGGCGGCGAATCAAAATCGACACAATATCCTTTGATTTGAAAAACCTGCTTTGGGGCGAGGTACAAAGACGACCTTTTGTGCAACATGTCACATGTCCATGTCGTATGTTCTGGTAGTGTCTTATCTACCTCCTAGCATGCCTTTGGATGGCAGGGTGGGAAGGATGCGTGGTATCTGAGTTACGCAGTGTACCTGTAAAGGTTCCCTGGCATTGTACTATCTGCTTCCTCGGCCTGATTAGTGAACTTTGCAGTAATGATGAGCAATATTAGCCTTTTCACAATATCTACGTCGAAGTGACTGATGACTGAACATAATGTAGTTATGCAAATCTGCTATGCCACACATATTTTACCCAGCCTCTACGAAACAAACAGGCAAATAAAGAGAAAGCGTCTCCATTGAGTGGCGTATCTTGATTATAGGGTATCTATTGCGATGTCTCCTTCGGCTCGGACATTGCATTGCAGTGCAGTGCGATCCTGTGTGCCACGGTACACAGACGCGATCCAGCAAGCAAGTGCAAGCAACGGTAACCGTACATGTACATAGAACTGTGCGTTGTAACTAAGTATGGTATGCTACGTAGGGACAGTGTGTTATTCTTGGGTAACGGCCTGATGTTTGATATCGACTTGTTGGGCGGATGGATGCTTGTGGTTCCGCGGGAAGCGTGGATCGAGATGACGGTTTGGGATTTGTATGATGTGGAATTTCGGTGTGAAATGTACTACAGAGCACCGCATGGTGCGCATGGTGGGGAATTGGAGAGACGTACGTGTTCTACGGTGCGATGCAATCGTACGGACTCACGTCTGAATGTGGTTGTCAATGGCAGTATGCAGATTGCCACTGTTTGATCAGATTTCCAGTCTCCTACTCCGGAGACTGATATTGTACTACAGACATGAGGAAACTTTTCTTGATCGAGTAGAACGCTTAGAGCACGCACCCACATATCCAGATATGTGCGAAATCCGAACGTTTGTCAATCATCATTTTTGTCACCAGACTTCTGCCCGTACATAGCAATTCAACACAAATGTGCTCGATAATTCAAGAGAATCAATCATAGTACAATTTGTACAGCATTTCCGGTATTTCTCATCAAAACAAATCTCATATATGATTATGCACAATTCAATCGGACCACTCTCTGGTGACCAGATTAGGAACGACATCTCACGTCGTTACTGAATCCGTCATTGATCATAAATCATGAATGCCTGCTCGCATATCATTGCCTCTAACAATTAGCAGGCATATGAGGTTAGGTTTTTGACTAAGCCCGCAATGCCAATACTTTGTAAACAGCTAATGTACATATCCATCTAATAACCCCCTTTGGCGCAGAAGAGGCTGGTAATTGGAATCTCTCTCAGGATGGGGAATAAAATGACCGTAGGTATTGACCCATCCAATTGATGCATACGTAAACCTTCTACGACAATTCGTGGTCCTAATTTACGATAGGTCAGTGTAGGTAGTGATCCAGACCAGATGCACATATAAATCCTCAGCTTTCCGATTCTCCATAAACAAAATACCAAGGACTGCTTTCCCATTGATGGCGTGCAGTGATCCAGATGCCCGTCATTAGTTGATTTCGCGAGCTCGACTTGCATAATGATGAACTCACTGGCGTTTCAACCCACTTGATGGTTCGCGAGTTTCTATGATTCTTGTCGATTGTCTCCCGCACCGATTTTTTCCCTTTGTTGTTTCTTGGTGGCACTGAATTTCTACCCGTGTGTTTTTTCTGAACCTTAGCTGACTGAACATGACAATTTATTTTCGCTCACATTCGATTTCTTGTGGGGATTGCTCTTCGTGCACGTAATTTGGATTGCCTACAACATGCAAACTGGGCATCATGTAGCTGTAATGTGCCATCAACATGCTTGAAACTTGCTTACCCACGTATATATTTTGAGTTGAATGTACTTATACACTTCGTAGGTACAAATCAGTCGATGCCTGAAAATGGATTTGACTTGCTCGGATTGGCAGGTGGATCAGGCAAGACGGGCTGGTGTTGACGTCTCGTTCTTATCGGGCAAGTAAGAATTATTTACCAAGGCAACGTTGACAGGAGCAACGTGAGGGTGATAAGACTTCGACGATCTACCACATTGTTTCCTCTAACCTTCAAATCAAACATATTTTAATTTCCCAATTTATAAACACCATCACTTCTTGTCCTCGTTTCCAGTCTGATTCGCTGTGTACTCGGTCATTTTACATATGAGAATCCTGAACCCTACTCGTCACCAATACGAGACAATTGAAGGTGAGTCTGAAAATCATGCGAAGATGAAGCTTGCAACGATCATGTACTGATTCTACAGAGAAACATATCGGTACTATTCTCCACGCAAACCCGCGAACAATCCTACCACTTCCGCTTCCAACAGCAGTATGAAATCACGCATGAAAAACTTAGCCACTTCAATGTCGAACACCAATCTGAAAATCAAAGCCCAAACCAGTGGACGAGGTTCATATCTGGCGAATCTCGCGGACATGATATACACAAGGCTGCCTCGAAAATTGAGAGTTGAGATATATCATTAGTTGTGGCAGTCTCTGGCCGAGGAGGGTATCGTGCAATTTATGTCAGATATAGATATGGATTGGAACGGTGTCCATTGTTACACCGGATTGAGTTTTGAGTGGCCGCTCTCGATGTTCAAATCCGGGACAACGTTCAACGACAGCGTTACCTTCAATCGTGACGAACTGCTCCATATCCGGCCATCGCTTGACTACATCAAACCTTCTCGCGTTGGATTCAAATTCGCGAGAGAGGTCATGATGGTCTTCTATAATCACGTCGAGTTGTGGTCTGTACCCATTCATCTCGTGAAGCCATTCCTATTTACCGATCCTGCGGGCCTGGGCTTGATTCCGCTACAACGCATGCAAAGGCTCAACATCATCGTCGACGCAAATGATTCTCCGCAAATTGATACAAATAGTGTAACCAAAGCACTGTCTCCGCTGGGTACATACTATGTCATCGGGAAACTTGCAGCGATACTGGAGTACCCTCAACGACGGGCATCGCAATTCAACATCTTTCTTGGATATGGATGCCAATCAAGATCAACAGAACATCTACTGGAAGCGTTTCGACCGCTCTACAAACGGTCACAGGACCGTGGAGTCCACATCGACATCTGGGGTTGTTTCAAAGAGGGTTGTGTATTTTCTCTCACGGACTTCTATGATATTGACTTTTCAGAACGGCCCCCAGGGGGTGGGAGCATGTCGGGCATTCATGGGTGGCGCCACAGGATGGGACTCAGGGGCAAGGCATACAGGCAGTACATGGAAGATGTTCAGCACTATGGTAAGCAATGGTTATGGAGTCCCGAACGCATGCAAGACGCGGAGACATTACGGTCTGAATGCGCTGCCCCCATGATTTCGTGACTGATAGGATAGTCCTGGACTTTACGATTCAATCCATTACATTCTTGTCTGTTCTCGTACAACTATATCCAAGTCGGACGAAGTCCTTGTAGTGAATTTTATGTGTAGCACCAATATTCCACAGAAGGCATGATTTCTACTATCAACACTTCAGTGAACATGCAAACACAATGATCTTCGGAGTGATCCGAGTTTTCGAAGGTGCTGGCAGACCCGTAGGGAGAAAAAAAATCCCCGACCACCCAAACCAGGCTAAAAGTCTGTGAAGAAGCAGCAGTGACATCCTCGCCGCACATGATTGGTCGGAACTAGACCCTGACCTCGCCTTCCAAACGGCAATCAACTTCATAAGTACCTCTAAGTAATTGAGCCGCAAAGAATGAAGAGTGGAAGCTAATTAATACATCATCTTAATCACTTATCATTTCCCTCATAGTATTGGGCGGTTACTTGTTTGTTTGTTCGTTTGTACGGTACAGAGTATGTGAATCACCCCATTCGATATTCGGTTTGACTTTCGTCTATTATTACCTCTCCTAACCAAAGCATAGGACATCAAAAAGATGAACACAACAGAGCATTCCGCGGTGCGGAAAAGTAGTGATGAAGAAGCGCAATCATACAGCCGCGACGACACTACGAACGAAAAGGGACTCAATGGATCTGCAGCGAGCAATGCAGTCGACGACGTCGGTAGGTTCCCTTGCTTGAATCTACTTGCATTCATCATATACGTTCACACGTATTAAATTGATCGACAAAGAGAATATATGTCTGACTATACACATACTTACATATGCAAACAGAAGCACATCAAAACGAAGCCAACACGCCGGCGGCGGTTCCACCACTGCGAGGACTATCGTTCCTCGATCGCTATCTCGTCGTTTGGATCGTGCTGGCGATGGCGCTGGGGATCATCCTCGCCAATTTGGTGCCTTCAACAGGGCCTACGCTTCAGAAGGGGGAGTTGGTTGGGGTTAGTTTGCCTATTGGTACGTATGATTTCTGCTTTGATCTATTCTTTCTCTTGATGTTTCTTCGGGGACTTGATGCACTGAGAAGAGCGTGGGACAAAAAGGGGAGCGTCTTGCGTCGTGCTCTGCGGTAGTGTTGTTCGTTTCTTCCGCACATTGACGTCTTTCATTCTGTTCCGGTGGAGATGGGATTTTCGTTGACCATGATATCAAACCCGGCGGGAGGCTCTTCCTCATCTGGTCACCACACCCGTCGACCGTATCATTTAAGAAAGAGAAGTTCAAGCATGCTAACGAACCTAATTCTATAGCGATCGGCCTACTCGTAATGATGTACCCCATCCTCTGCAAAGTGCGCTTCGAAACCCTCCACCTGCTCCTCGCGTCACCCGCGCTGTGGAAGCAAATCCTGCTCTCCTTCGTTTTGAACTGGATCGTGGCGCCACTGTTCATGGTCGCGCTGGCATGGGCCTTCCTGCCAGACCGCCAGGACCTACGCGAGGGCTTGATCTTCGTTGGGATCGCGCGCTGCATCGCCATGGTGCTCATATGGACGGACCTCGCGGGCGGGGACGGCGACTACTGCGCCGTGCTCGTGGCGTTCAATTCGCTGCTGCAGATCGTGCTGTTTGCGCCGCTGGCGGTGTTCTATGTCGAGGTGGTCAGCCGGGGAGACAGCGCGGATGTGTCGTATAGTAAGGTCGCGCAGAGTGTGGGAGTCTTCCTCGGGATTCCGCTGGGCGCGGCGGTGGCCACGCGGTTGGTGCTGTTGCGGTTGCTGGGTGAGGATAGGTATCAGCGGAGGTTTATACGGTATATTGCGCCGTTCTCGCTGATCGGACTGCTGTATACCATCATCGTGCTATTCGGGAGTCAGGGTAAGCACGTCGTGCAGCAGATCACCGACGTGCTGAGGGTTGCTGCGCCGTTGCTGGTGTACTTCAGTGTCATCTTCACGGCTACTGTTTTCTTCTGCTGGAAGATGGGATACGAGTATAAAGTCAGTTGTACGCAGAGTTTCACGGCGGCAAGCAACAACTTCGAACTCGCTATCGCGGTCGTCGTGGCGGTCTACGGCGCTGGAAGTGGTCAGGCGCTGGCAAGCACGGTTGGTCCCCTAATTGAGGTTCCAGTCCTCGTAGCGTTAGTCTACGTGTTGCGATGGGTACAGAAGAGATGGCAGTGGAAGTGAGTGACAGTCTCAACGATCTACCCGTTGTACGATAGGATCGACGAAACATCCACTGGGGTAGACCGCGATATCCGGATACGCGAATATGGGGAGAGGTCAAACTCTGTTTGGTGGAGTTTGCATCTCGCATTCTTGGTCGATTACTAGATCATGTATTCGCCATTTTCCTTCTACGGTGGAAGATTGGAAAGGGCCTGGAACTTCTTTCTAGTCGATCTGGGAATTATTGGGACGTGGGATGTGAGTGCCGTGTCCACTTGCTAATGGATGGTATATAGATTGGCTGAACTATGACAAAGTGTGGCGTTAGATAATGCTAGGACTCTCCACACTGAAGGAATCAATGACAAAGTAGTGTGAGGCTCAAAAGGCGCCCGAAAAATCACGGAGAAGCTTTGTTGCTGATCTAACAGCAATAGAGCCGAGAGGGTGTCTTCTGTAGAAGTAATCTCGTGACAATGTGAGATTTTGTGGATGGATATTGATGATAAGTCTTACTTGCATTAGTCGAACTCTAACTTGCGTCTGTTTGAAAGCCAGGTACGATTTACGAGTTCCGGTAAAGGGTGTGCCCAGTCTAAAACCACGTGGAATATTCCACCAACTCCATTGCATCATCTGCATATACGGAATAGGCCACAATGGCAGGCCGATGATAAGTTTCTGTGACGATACTTCTTGTTTGACCCTACCTATTTGAGCCGTGAAGAATGAAGCTGCCACTGGTCTCGACGAGCCGAATTGTATAGCAGTATGCGTCGTACTTTATATTAATCCAAAGACGACAACTTGTCAAATAAACGCTCTTTCCAATTCCGCGATCGCGGAATTGCAGCATTCATCCGTGGAAGGAAGCAGACGCCCAAACGCCACTCGCCGTGGCTCAAGTGCGAAGGTAGCCACCGACTTGCATTAGACTCGAAAGTCAAAACCCTTTGCTCGGTGCTTCTCCCGGGCCCTATCTCTTTGGCTGCCTGTAGTTTATTTCGAAGTCGTGTTGGTTCCGGTGAAGGCATGGAGTACTGTGGTCCGGCATCGTCTGGCGTCGTGCAGTAGGTCTGCCTTCTTGGCAGGCCCCTAAAAGGGCCATCCTTGTTCATTTGGTCGTTCGTTCGTTCCTATAGAGGCTCGACTTGAGCGATAAGGCGATCCATCCTTAGGCCTTTCCAAGTCTGAAATGTTTCCATTGATACTTTTGGTCCTCTGTATACAGACACATGTCGAGGACCACAAGTGTCTGAAAAGGTGAATTCGATGGTGTGATATCAATTGCTGCTGTTTCTAGTGCTTGCTTGCTTGCTTGCTAGCCAGCTTGCTCCTGGCGACTGGTCGTGATCCATGATTGGGAAATAAAATCCATAGAGCAAGCCAACAAAGACTATCTCCGGCAGCAAGAATTGATGGTTACGCGATCGGAGTGCTTTGGGCGGCAACATCACTCATGCAGGATGGATGGCAGCATGGCAGCGGCAAGCAACGCACGCAGTTGACCGGCATCCGGCATATGCTCCTTCGGCCCTTTCTCCAACACATCCTTCTCGGATGGGGATCAACCGCAAGGATGATCGTGCTTATTCCCGCTGTGTTTCGTGCTTCGTGGTAGCGGATGGTCTGATGTTGACGATGATTACATGGTGTATTCGGCCCTGTACAATCAGAGATGTGCGGCGGCGACAGTAATAGCGGGCGTGTGACTACAAAACTTATGGATTGACACTTCTCGAATGGTTGAGGACTGTCTGGTCTCAACAATGCATGATGATGGAATTGTAACGAGTCATTTACAACGAAACAACAGGATCAAGGCATGCCCTGCTCTAACGAGATTTCCATGTCAAAGCCATACTGACGCCTTCGGTCTCAATATAAGCTTGGTCTCCTCAAACGTCGGCGGAACCCGGTGACGACTATGACCTCCCTTTTCTACCACTGGGCATGAAGGGCAACCAGTCTGTCGGTACGCGGGATGCTGCTCAGACGGAAGGGTGGCTAGCTAGCGTGGGGGACATGGGCAATGGCGCTTCCGTAGAGCTCCGGTGTAGCAATTGCTCTCGTATTCTTAAGAGATGTTGCATTCTCCAGCAGATTCTAGCATTGAGGCACGGTGTTTTATCGTTGTGTTGGGGGAGTTTTGAGCAGCGTGCCGCGGCTGCTGAGAATTTACTTAAAGCGTGATAGCATGGGCGGGAATGCTCGATAGTCCCCCAGGACATAACTAAACCCTCACCGCCTATCTGGCAACTCTCAGCGCCTTTTCAAGTAGCGGCGTGCCCCTTCACTTTGGTAGGTCAAGTTCCTTGCATTGGTACCTGCAGGCTCTCGTTAGCAAGCACTTGCCTGGAACGAATGTTTCGCCTCACTATTGAATTAGATGAAGTAGACATCCTCGATGAGACAAGCATGCTGACGCTACGGCACGGCTTACCTGCCTACATAAAATTTCACATTTCCAGAAGAGTGAATCCCGCATGGCAAAAGCAACGTCGCGTCCTACAGAGACCTGCAGAGAAATCTTCCGATTCGATGTGCACATGATAACACACTGTGGACAACGGCGAATGAGCTTCCATCGGGAATTTCGGCCGAAGCGGTTCACCTTCTCGGAACAAGTGAGCCAGCGAGCAAAGTGCCGGGTCAAACGAAGATCGTGAACGTACAACATTATCTTTCCTTTTGCACGAGGCTGACGCAGAGTATGGTTGCACAGTCCGGCATAAGTCTAGCGGCAGCTCCACCGTCTGCGTTGTTTCGTCCAAATTAATTCACATTGTCTCATTATCGGTGAAAAGTGAGAGTACCGGGTTCGATTTGTGACGGTCTTACTGACTGGTTGTGAGATCACGCATGCGAGGCTTAGCGGTCAGTGGTTATAGACAGGGAACCGGAAGAAACTTTCGCTCCTCTTACGCGTCTCGTTTCCACTTCTCCTGCGAGGCCCATCACAAACATGATCCAGAAGGAACCTGGCCCGTCACATCGATCGCTTAGACACCCAATAGTCCTAGGTGCTTCATCTTGCAAATCCATATCGTTTCCTCGATTCTCTCCTTGATAGGCAGCAGGGGTTTCCCAGTACATTGGGGTAAATCGTGTTGTAGATACTTGTAAGGCAACATTATTGGCACTGAACCATAATCTTCGTTGAGGCGGCTAAGCGGACCCCTCAGTGCTGAATGCTCATTGCTGAGATTAGCTACCCCTTGCTAACGAACGAAACCTTGCAACGTCAGTTTTTCGAAGCCAGGAAACCCTCGCGGCGCAAGAGACTTATTGTGGTGTTCGTGGGCCGCGTGTGGAGTCGACGAGGGAACCGGGGCGGCACCAAAGTCGCGCTTTAGCCAACGGGCCGACTCATTTATTCCAATCCGGTGGATCTAAGGAATTCACAAAATCCGAGGAGCTGGGTCGGCCGGAGAATGGCCTTGTTTAGCGAGGGTTAGGTGCATGTTTCACATCAAATTGACCATGGGCTGCCCGTGGCTGCTCGCCCACTCTTCCTTGCAAGCCACTGCTGTCCCCGCACTTTTTTCATTCTAGCCATGAAATGAGAGAACACAAATTGTTGCCCATGGCTCAATTGCCCATGGCCATTCATTGCCCATCGCCCATCGCTCATTAGCCATTGGATAGCCATAGTGCTTGCTTGAGGCCTCGCTTGCACGCCTCTGTAACCTTCTTTTGCTGCAGTGCGCCGTGCTGTCGTGAGGGCGGTCAGTATTCGCCCATTCTGGTCGCGCACCTCCTTGTGTGATATTATGGCTGGATCGGGATGCTCCAGCTCATTCGATAGAGTCAATAACTGCAATAATTGTCGGGTTTATAGCGACGGAGATGGTGCCATTGCAGTCGAAGCGCGACCTGGGGGCTTGAATTACTTGTCTTTTCATCCTCTCTTCAAAACCGGACTTAGGCCCGCGCACGTCGAGTTCACCGCGAGTTCCAGGGCGCCTCAAACAGAACCAATGTGCCTTTGTGCCGAATAGGGTCATCGTCTACGGAGCACCCCGTACACGCATCCTGTCATCGGTGCGCTCCATCGCATCGCAAACACATACCTGCTTCGTAGCCATGGTTCGATTTGCTCTACATAATAGAAGAAAGCGTGGCCGTGGCCTCATTGGCACGGGTGGATACGCATCTATTCCAATGTATCATTAGCGGAGCAACTAATGTTTCTCTTCATGGTCCCCAAATGCCCGTAGAAGTGTTTCCCGGAAATCTGGTTGAATGCATTATTGAGCCTGTGCACCGCAATGGCGCGCAAGACATTTATTGTACGGGCTTGCAGCTTGCTTCGCCCAGAACGTCCAATGTTGGCAACCCCATCCCTCTCAAAGCAAGCACAAGTGCCGGCGAAGACCTCTATTGGAGAAGTGACCGGCTCATGATCATCAGGGCATGGGTGAGCAGCCTTGGGCACAGTCCAGTTCCTCGAACCTAGGATGCAAATACTCCTTACCGAAGCCGTATGCGGATTGGAGGCACGGCAACTAGAGAGCATGGGCAGCTGCGTGATCCTAGGCGGCTAGCAGTACCAAACCACTGGGAATCCTCATGGCCTGCGATCGTTCATTGTCCATCTTTTTGTGCACAGCATCGCTCGCATCGCATCGCTCCCGCCGACCCGCACGCGCAGTCCACCTCGCCTCGGCCGTTCGCAGAAGTTCCAAGGTTTCTCCTTCGCTTGTTTATCCACGGTCGGTTCGCCCATTACCAAAAGGTGTATGTTCTTCTGTTCTTGGAGAATGCGCCAACATCCATCATCCCTACCTGGCGCGGCAGCCTTGCCCCAATTATGGGGAGAGGGAAGGAGAGTTGTTTTGTTGCGTGGGCTTGCAGGCCTCGTGCCACCAAAGTGGTTGTGATTTGCGCAACACATCCGAATCCTGCGTCCGCATGTAAGCGATGACAAGAGGCTGGCTCTGCCAGCTGGGCGAGTGCGTGATCTAGCCAATTACACGGCTCGAAGGGATGGTCGGCCGTGGGCGAGTCTCTGCCATGTACGAGGTTTCATGCCGCGGGATCTAACAAATCGATTACTCAGTCGGCTCTCACGAAAGCCCATTTACCACTCTGCTGGAAAAGCACGCCCATTCTTCGGCAGCGACATGAATTGGTGGCAGACACCTGAATGTTTGATTTAACAAGGACGCCGACTAACGGCCCAGCTGGACAGGCGTCCCCTACCTCACGGATGCTGACTGTCGGACGACAACACGTTTGACGGAACGGTGCGAGTCTGCTGTAATGCAAAACAACCTGGCAGCGCAGGATGCAGTAGTGAGGAGCGGCGCGCAACGGCAGTCACAGAAGGAATAGCTTCACGATCTATTCTAAAGCGCCAAGTGTTTGAGAAGCTAGTCGGTTCGTGTTTCGGTTCCCTCATCTCTGAGATCTGGTCGTGGGATTGGGAAGGGCATACATCGTATCACAGCCAAACACACATACAATACCTGAGGCAAGCCAACTTGCGAATCCGAATATGCGCTGCGCATAGCATGCCTGCAGGAGGCCAAAGCGGGCTGGCTTGCTAAAAAGGGCCCAAAACGCCTCGATGACACTGCTCTGGGACGACACGAGACTGGTCTAAGGCGGTGGCCTGTCAGGAAAGCCGCCGCCGCCGCCTCTTTCTGCGTGCGGTGCGCATGAATGTAGACGTACCATGGGGGTTCCCTTTGGCCATCGTGATAATGTTGGGAAGCTTGGAGATTGGGGAGTCACCGTATGGAACTGTATGTCAGAGCCGGGCCTCCTAGGAGATGGAATTGCAAGCGAAAGGGTTTTGTGGCGTTTTGCATTGCTTGACCGGCGGTGGGACTCCTCCCAATGCCATACCGAAAGGGGGAGATATCCACCACCAGGGAAGACATGGCATGACAGGGACTGGCCACAAAATGCAAGTGATCGTTGACAAGCGTGCTGAAAGTCGGAATCAAATCGAACATGCTTTTTTTGGGGTGCCATCGACGCCATTCGTTCTCTCTTCCGTCTAGCGTGTTGCATTGTAGGCATCGTATCGTACCGTACCATGCGAGGGCGCAGGAAATGGGCCAAGGAATGCAAGTCGAGACCACGAGGGTGGAATTTCGACAGGGCGTCTGCTGCAAGCTGCCGCGATGCACCATGTGCATAGGTCGGCCGCGTAGCTGGGTAACTATCGATGACGAAGGGATGTTGGTGGTGAATGGGGAATGCCGATGACGCTGCTGTCTCGAGACGGCTTGCGCCTAGGTGCTTTTGGGGTTCGCCCGCAACACCACCAAACGCAGAGGGGGACTCGGGGAGATGACCGGAAAGGGTCCAGTAGTAGGATGCAATTTACCTTGTTGATGGAGACGCGATAACTACGCAACAAAAGAAACCAAGCAGTTGGTTTGTGGGCTGGCGTTGTTTCGTTTGTTATTACTCCGTACTTACTTATTACACAGTCAGCTCTCTAGATAAAGCATGGCGTATGATGTATTCATAGGGTTAGAGGGTCGGAGGGAAAGGCTAGAAATCGGTGAATGATAATGGAGCGAGCGGCGGTTGATGATGGTGCTGATGATGACGGCGACGACGGCGACGACGACAACGACGGCGTCCAGTCATCCGCCGCTCCTAGGTTGTATCTTGATGTGCTGATGTTTGCATAGCTGCAGGTGGACATGACATGGTATAGTTGTAGCGCTACCGCTGCTATGGTTTGGAGTATGATATGTGAGTCTTGAGGTGCAGTAGTTGTGACAAGTCGGGGGTTGAAGGGAAGGAGGCAGGGAGGAAGGCTGTATCATTAGGTGTTATGCGGAAATGGCCTGCAACGTCTCGCTTCGAATGCACATGTCAGGCAGGGAAAGGAAGGAGGGGGTGAGGATGTCAGATCATACACAGTAGGTAGATGTAGTAGATGCATGATGGATGGTGTGAGTGAATGAGCAGACTGAGGCCATTATTAGAAAGATGCCCAGAGGAGAGTAAATCGTAAGAGGGAACGGATTACTCCGTAATGTATCTATTCATTGTGTCGGTACGTGTGCGTGTGGATATGAAGAGGGAAGGAATGGGTTGATAATAAATCAGTCGACCAATCATAACTACGGATGCAATAGCCAATGGTCAGTCAGGGGATCAATTGATTCGAGCGAACAGTAAGTGATTGATTTGAATAGATATGGTATGATATGGTATGAGATGGGAGGATATGACAATAATAGGGAGGGAAAGAAGAAGGGGAGAGAAGATAGAATAGAATAGGCATCAAGCATAAAGGGAAGGAAGGAACGATGGGAATGGATGGGAAGAGGAACAGAAGAAGAAAAGCTGGGGCGAAAAGGTAAAAACTTTGGGCTGGGATGGGGGGACCAGCCAGTCGGAGCATGGGCTGACCAATCAAGGGAGGCGCCCGTATGCTCTTTCCATGTCCACGCAGTCGGGTCGCCCGTGTACCTCTTGGTCTGTCCTAATCGGGTAAAGTGACAACAGAACTGGTAGTTGTTGGTCTATCCTGCCCACTCGTGCCTTCCAAGTTCCCTCCCACTCTGCCACCACCTACCACCACCTACCTCCTCTACCTCCTCTACCTCCTCTCCCTCCCCCCGATTCATTCTAACTCGCTCTAACTCTAATCCAGCATCATCTCCATCTCCCGCCCTCTTTCTGCTTCTTCCCTTTCCCCTCTCCACCCTTTTCTACCGGCCTCCCCCAAAGATACTCAGCTGTGTAATAGTCTATGGAGGGCCCTCTCGAGTCTCTGGCACCTTGCACGCTGCACAGTTTTTAAAATATCCTGTAGGCTGTACGAGGTATGCTATCCTACCCTACCCCATCTTATCCTAATCCCAATCCCAATCCCTATCCCTATCCTGCCCTGTCCATCTCTCAGCCATTCGACATCTCCTCCCTTCGTGCTATACCCCATCTAGTACTCCTCCGAGCACCGCTGGCCGAAAGAATTAATAGCCGTCGTCAGTTAATCCCCACCTACCATAGTCCATACATGCGCTCTGCAATACAGTACTCGCACAGTACGGAGAACTCGTACAAAGCTACCCTACCACCCTACCTATGCATGCGGGTGTGCAGCGTGTGCTATGCGTGGTTCCCAGCGCCGCGCCAGCCCGCTCGCCCTTGTGTGCCCCTTGGTACACTAACTTGTCACTCTACTCTATCTTCCGGTGCGCTGCGGGAGGCCCCAAGGCCCAGCGCCCAAATTCCATGCTCTGTCTTAACTCTATGCTAATCTATGGCCACCGTTCAAGGAGCCTGCCTGCTCGTCCTCGTCCCTCTTACCGCCCGCTCCATGATTGTTCTTTTGTTCCGTTGTTTCCATCGTCCCTGGTCCTCTTCTCTCTCCCCAGCCCCAAGCAGTGGTTCCTTTCCATCTCTTGAACCAGATCCGGAGATGACGGTACGCCATGTTCCTCCTAGAACCGCTGATCTTGCTCTCTCTTGTCTCCGGTATCCTGGGTAGGATGCACGCCGTAGATCGTAGTGCTGGAATTAGCTGCGGCGTTGGTTCTAGTGGTGGTGATGATGTTCAAACTAAAAGATGATGATGCTTACCTTACTCGTACCCAAAGAGGGTAGGGAGCAGAGGACGAGCGATGTGGCCGGCGGGAGAGCAGCGCTGAACCTCGCGCTCGTGCCCCGTCCGCGAAGCATTGCACTGCAGGGCTCGCCCTGACCAGAGTCCAGGATTCCATGCCATGAAATTTGCCATGCCATGGTATGGTACGGTATGGTATTATGGGATGGGGATGGGATGGGGATGGGTCCTGGGATGTGCAGCACTGTGAATAGTTTTTTATTTTATTCTTTTCTGGGCTGAACTGAACTGAACTGCACTGAACTGAACTGTCTTGTCTGGCCGCTCCCTGACCGTCTGCCACCACAGCCGTGGATCCCGGTCGCGAGGGTTAGCTTTCCAGCCCCAGCAAGCCCCAAAGTAAAAGTAGAGTACGGTACATACATAGGATAGGGAAGTAGGGGTTGCGTACATAGTGTGTAGCGTTGGGAGGGTTGTTTTTATGTGTAGTGTAGTGTATGGTGTGGTGTAGTGTAAGTGTAGTGTAGCCGCCCCCAACCAGCAGCACCTTGCACACCTTGCACACACACCGTAGTGACCACCCACCACCCACCACCCACCATAAACACAGACACACAGACATACATGCCTAGTAGTTACTACCTTGTCCACCTTGTCCACCTTGTCTACCTTGTCCCGGCGAACCTGGACGGCATACCTACCTACCCTACCAACTACCCTGCCCTACCTAATACCTACTTACTTACTGAACTGACTGAACTGACTTACTAGCTACTGTGAGCGCGTTAATAAAACCTCCTTCCCTCCCGCACCATGCCTCACTCCCGTTCTCGCCTTTCCGTCGGTTCTTCGTCGTTGTTTGTTGACGTTGACGTTGACGTCGCCTTTTAAACAATCTTCTTCTGTCTAGTTGACCACTTTCACACCTCAAAAGAGAAAAACAGAGCTCTATTCGGATTCGGAATACACGACCCAGTTCCCAATTCACCTCTTCTCTACCATCACATAGCATCATCGTCACCACCACCACCACCGCCGCCAAACAGTAATCACCACTACTACGGAGTACCGCCGCTACTACTGTCTCCTACCGCAACCGACATCAACGACACCAATCAACCCCTCCTTACACACTCGAATATACCAACCGACACACCTTCCTCGCATTCACCAATACTCTACTTCTACACCCACACCCACGGACAGCTGCACCTCCCACGAACCCCGCTGCTCACTTTGATTCTGCAGCTTGCCGCTTGTCGCCTTCGCCAATACCACCGTAGTCGGTCAGCATCATCGTTGTCGTCAACCTCACTCTCGCGCCCTGTTATTCGCTTCGCTCACGTCCACGAGCACCTACCGAACATCCACCTGCAGCTTGACGTCCCATGACCAACGCTTTTTAACAATAATAACCCATTGTCCAACCCCCGCCTTTGCTGTTTTAAGGAAGGGAAAGAGAGGGAAAGAGATCGAGTGAGATTTGTGTTTGTGCAAAGAGAGCGCCGAGAAAGAGAAAGAGAGATTTTTGTGAGAGAGTCGTGTTTGTGCGTTTGTGTATGTGTGTGAGAGAGAGCTGGGATTCGAGAGCGTGCGATCACACGAATTTGATTTGCTAGACCGCCTCCCCGCACTCACGTCCGTTGTGTTATTGTATGAGGAGCACGGCTGGCCCAATGGTTACGATGGCTTCGAATGGGTGAGTTGCCTGCGCTTTCCCTTTTCACTTTTTACTTTTCCTCCGCCCCCGCTCCGTGCAACCTCGTCTCTTTCCTTCCCTACGTCCCATGCTTGTTCGACTGCTCGGGCCCGTGTGTAGCTCCGCAGCAGCTACAGCCAGCCTACAGCTACAACCACCACCACTATTGCTACAGCCACACAGCGAGAGCAAGTTTTACTCTGACCAGAAACATTCCAACTGACCTGTACCCCTTTATTCAGATTGGCCGTTCCTGCTTCAAGCAATTATTTAGAGAATGGACGCTATTATCACGGGTTCCGGAGAGGCATGTACATGTATCCGTGCGACGAGGTAAGTCTCCTACTATTTCTCTTTGAAACCGCCCTGTCCACAAGAATTGCCTCATCCAATACTCCGTAATGTACTCCGTACCCCCCAATACTTCCCTCCCCCTCCCTTCGTTCCGTTCCAAGGACGGGCGGGTGGACGGACGCTAGCCGGGTGCTGGGGACGCGCAGAACATGCTAACTCGAGACGCGCCGTGCAGCCCGAAAAAGACCGCATGGATATCTACCACAAATTGTTCCTGGTGGCACGAAGGGAACAACTGCACCAGGCCCCGATGCCTCCAAATTGGGCACAGCCCCGCATCCTAGATTTGGGCTGTGGGACAGGAATCTGGGCTATTGACATGGCAGAGTAAGTCACATCGCCCCAATCTGCAAAGCGCCGCCCCCAATTCCAAATTCCAAATCCCAATCATCCCAATCCCAATCCCAATTCCAATTCTGAATGGTGCTGACCGTCTCGTGCGCAGTCGATATTTGCAGGCCGAAGTGCGTATTTTGCCAATTCCCTCGTGTGCCCCTTCCGATATTACTCTGGGCGCCATGAGCTGACTTCTGAAATTACAGGTTGTTGGTCTGGATCTGGTCAACATTCAACCCGAAAGGTATGCACCCGATCGCCCGCCCCTTGCTTCACTTGACCCGGACATTAACAAACCTGTGCGCAGGATTCCACCAAACCTTCGATTCCGTGTCCCACGCGACTATGAGAGCCCGTGGTCCCTGGGCGAGGATTCCTGGGATTTGATCCATGTCCGAATGGCCTGCGGGAGCGTTTCCAGCTGGCCCGAGCTGTACCAGAAAGTCTATTCGTACGCGCGCACCGCCCAATTCCAAACACAAACTGCAAGTTCCTGGCTAACATTGTGGAAACAAGGCATCTCAAGCCCGGCGCTGGTTGGATAGAGCACGTCGAGATCGACCTCGAGCCCCGTTGCGACGACAACACACTTCCCTCTGATAGCCCGCTGACGAACTGGTACCACTACCTCGAAGATGCCACTGCTCGTGTTTCACGGCCCATCGCATACAATCACCAGACGCGCCAAATGCTCCAAGCTGCTGGCTTCATCGACATTCAAGAAATTGTCATCCGCGCACCATACAACTCATGGCCCAACGACCCGCACCAGAAAGACATTGGTCGGTGGTACAACCTAGGCATAACCGAAGGCCTGGAGGCACTGAGCTTTGCTCCCCTTACCAGGGTGAACAAGTGGGATCTCGAGCAACACGTCAAGCCGCTCGTCGAGGCTGCACGGCAACAAATATGTAACCGCAAGATTCATGCGTACAACAACATGTAAGTTCTTTCCAATGTTGCGAGCTGTCGCACCGGCTTCCCAAGCGGGTATTATTGATGCTAATCCCTTGCAGACACATCTGGACTGCCCGAAGGCTACAACAATGAACGAGTTTTGGCTCTTCGGTCGATGGTGCGCCCTGCACTGGCTGAAAGCTCCCGGTTGCACTTGCACGAGTCTGAATCGCTAGTAGCATGGTCACAATTTTGCGTTCGTCCACCCTCGATGTCTCTTCCCCTACCGACATGGCAGGCCCTCAATGCGCCTGCCCCACCGTCCCGTTGTTAAACCACCACCCAAAGAAGCAGAACCCTAGCATGGAGCCATCCATTACGTCCATATGAGTCAGACTAGTCTCCGAGGAATTCACCTTGACGACAGCAGACAGGATCATCGTCTCAACGCGCGCGCGCACACACACATACACATAACCCCTTGTGGGCCAATTGCCAGCCCTACTTCTAGCTATACTTCATGAAGAGTTCCACAATGGACTCTACGTATGACCTTTTCATTATGTCTCGGAGGCGCATGCCCCTGCGGAATCAAAAACGGAGTTATCCTTTCCAGGTGATTGCACAATGCCAGGCGTTTGGCATATTTTGTTTCGGGCTAGCATTCTCGAGTATTGATACCTTGTCACGCTTTCTCTCTTATTTTCCCCTCGTCCTTAATTCCATGCCACAGTCGGGTTTGGAGCGTCTGGCGATCCCCTTTCTACATTCCTATCATGCACCACACCTTTTCTCCGACCTACTTTGTTCATTCCACATTCAGTCCGCCTGTCAGAACTGAAAGGTCTATCGATCATATTATTCTCTTTGGAGAGCACAGGCTGAGCAGCGTTGTACATGCGTCGTGCCTTGGATGGATTTCTTTCCCGGGAGTTTTATTCCACCGGCTATCTCGTTTCCTGCAGCCTTTGTGGCCAAGTGAGTGAAGGATGCATCTTAGGGCATCTCTTTTTGTTATTCGAGTGGTCACCATTGGCACACATATACACACACATTTAGGTTGCACGGCAGACCATGTCGCTGTCGATGTTTAAGAGATAGTACAGTGCAGAAAATTTCGGTGTCCGAAAATCAAATCTGCAGCTATATAACAAAGACGATGTATACCTGTTTCTATCAATCGCTGTTCGAACAATTCCGCAATCGTCGACCAACTCCTGCAGCAACTTCTAATTTCCTCCTGAACTGTGCGCTAGTACTTGCATAGCCTGCGTCAGTCCTGCATGGCATACGAATACGTTGCAACCGTCACCGCGCATTTTTTTTGGCCAGTTCGCCGAGCCTAGGAACCGAACACTCGGTATCACACACTTGCCTCACGCTTCAGCCTCAGATCTCACGTTTCACATCCCACATCCCACATCCCAATAGTTGCTTCATGTGCGCATGATGACCCTGTTCTTAGGCAAGCTCGCATCTGTTAGCTCTTCCTGGCGGTTTCCTCCATGAAGAGGGCAATGTGCAATTGCAAATGAGTACGATCCAGCAGAAGGAGAACTTCAGTGTTGTGCCCCTTGGCATGCTTCCAATTTTGCCAGTATGCGCACAGTTTCGGGGTAGCGTTACAGTGCCCACTGCATCCATCTCAAGGATGGTGGCAAAAAAGGATCCCCTTTCGCACTCACGTTCCCTTTTCCCAGATTGAAATTCTGCTGCACGACTTGAACAGATTATCCATTTCCTACTATGTGTGTGTAGTAATCATTCAGCGCCGAATCCCTCGCAAGCATTATTTTTCTTCTTTTCTTTTCCCAGGGTGCGTGCGTGGAACCAGTGGACTGGGGGGTATCGTAGCACAGTCGAGCACCTATGGTGTAACCTTCTTTCGCAACGATCCTCAACTCTACTTGTCGAGAACTTGGAATCGCCGGGCCGGGGTTCGCTTCTCTTTACCGATTTCTACCTGGGGTTGCGATACGATGACTACTCTTCCAACGGACAGACCGGGGCAAGGGTGCGCACGTCCAGTCCACAATGTCATCGATCGGTAAAGACCCGATTCTCCCGACCATATTCCTATTCTATCGAGAGGGAATTTGTTATCACGAAGGAGGATTTGATACACCTTCAAGGCTTGATCAACTACCTCTTACTTCTACGTCCTTGTCTCGCTGAAAGGCGGTCTGGGTTGTCATGTGGTTCATGTAGTCAGAGAGGCGAATTGGCAATACAATATCGCTCGAATGATTCGGTCCATCATGCATGCATTAATTATTGTCTGTGTATATTTTTGGTTGACCAGAAAAAAAACCCTCCGAGTAATAAAGGGGATGTGCCTTCGACCGAATTCGGATCTTGCGTCCAGGGATTCGGGTTGATCGGTTTATATTTGGAGGGGCAAAACAGGATTACGCTGCAAGATGCTGCTTGCTATATGCAGTCATGATGTGAGTGAGAGAAGGTGTGTGAATGTGTGTCTTTGTTGGCTCTGACGTTTTGATCATGCGCGCTGGGATAATGGAGAAGTATGAGGTAGATGCCTGGGTGCTTTCCTGGTAGTTACCTACACCTTTGTTGCATTTGTATGTTTGTATCTAGGAGGTACCTCATGCTTGACAGCTGGGCGAAACAGGTACACGAATGGAAGCAGTGGAGCCGCGCGGGCGAGTTCCGGTGCCGTTCCGCGCGCCTCTTTTCCCCGTCCTTCCTCCTTCTCATCACCAATTCACTCCTGCATCATCGTACACAATACACATCAACCGCAGTCTATTCCATCTGCAATTCAGTTATGCTCTCTGTCTATCTCACCTCCGGATACCTCTCAGTCCCACTGTTTCCTGCTCGCCACATCAATCTCGCATCAGCTCGAGCAGCATTCTCCTCCACTAGCTGATCACCCTCTTCGCACCACCGCTGTGGTCCCCTAACTCCTACTCAAGCCTCATCTCCGCAAGCTGTTCGACTAATCCACCCTGGCGCTGCTCATCTTCTCCTCTTTCATATCATACAAATACCGGCTCTAAAATAGGTGCACCACGCGGTGCGTCTGCGCCTCGCCTCGCCTGGCCATTGAATTCCTCGCTCACTCTTGGGTCACGACCTGGGCGGAGAGAAAACAGCATGGCACGAATTGATTCAGGTCCCAAGGAACTAATCCATGTCTTCATGCAGTAATAGTAGGTGACTGATCACTTACTTACAGTCGGTCCATTTCGGCGAGCAACAGTACAGATACTGGAATGAACACACCATGGTGTACTTACATACATGGATCATGGCTTCTATCGTCATTCTACGTCAACATAAACCACAAGCCTTATCTCTAGAGAACTGCACCTAGAAGGATCTTGTCTTCTAAACACCGGCTGTCCCCTGGACCACAACAGAGCAGCCTATCGGATACAATACGTGAACGCTCTTCACAAGCTCATGCATTCCAAAGGGCTACGGAGATCTGCACGACCCCGCCTTTCTTCTTAAACCTTCCGTTTCCCACGTTTCCTGCTTGGTGCGGAGATATTTCCTTGAACACACGTGCGCGGAGATCCATGTAAACGAATGCTCACCGTCTCTTTGGATCGCCATTTCACAAGCCGTCCAGTCGACATGTGAGGAACTGTCGTTTGGCGTTGATCACACCATACTTCGGGCACCTAACCTGCCAAACCTGCTTTCTGATTGCATAGATGCTGAACCAGCGACGGTATTTGTCAAAACTTTGTTTATCAAATACACGTCCCAAGGTTTAGGTGCCCGGGATTTGCGTTTATTCCCATCACCCAAAGTTACTAGGGAATGGTGGTGGGTGATCCCTTGATGCCATTGAAAGTGGGGTCTCGCATCAACAACTTGCCATTCATACTCGACCAGTTGCAAGTGCCACGCCAACAGGGCGATCGTACGCCACATTGTGAGCCTCTTTGCGAGTTAAAACGATACAATCAGTCAAATCGTGCATTGCAGATTGATCATTTCGGACATGTTCCCAATTGCGGAACCAGGCGTCCTCCCGGTGTGGAGTCTGGCTTCACACGCGAGCGAGAATTTAGCGGGACTACGCTTCTAAACATCTTCCAGGAAGGGAAAAAGGAGGAAAAGGAAGTTTTCTCAACGTTGGAACGAAAAGTCGGTCCTGCATCTACAGGCATATCTATGCCTTCTTTCAGCATTTAGCTCTGCCCTTTCAAAGTTCTGGATTGTCGTTCCATGTTCAGAGACTCGACGTCCTAGGATGATTCGTCGCGAACTTCGGCCGAAGATGTGCGTATGGTTCATACTATGCAACTTCAATCTTCTCGACCACCTAGTGCCGACTACCCACTGGCCGCTAACATGTTCTGGTTCCTGTTAGGTGAAGGTATGCTAAAGACGATCTTCACCCATAGATGTTCAACACATTCGGAGATACCTAGATGTAAGAAACCCTACATCTCATTGTCTCCCTCTCTACACTATCTCTTTTCTCATGATGACAACGCTGGGGCCATATGAGTCTCCTAACTACTCTACTCGCGGACTTCTTCTCGGAAATCCGCTCGCAGAAGAGTACGTTCCGAGCCAATGCATTCAGAACCAGCAATTGTTTTAACAATCTTCTCACTTTGTCTGAAATACTTGCAAACTTTCCTCGTCCATTGATCTTTGACTGTTTCTATTATGTTGGAGCAAGACGCTGACTTGAGAATAGTTGAATGTGCTTTGATCGAATCGAATGAATAGTTTCGATTACAGTGACTGTGTTGTCACTTGTTAACCAAGGTAACCCCTTCGACAATGTGGCGGCCTTCTGTATTACAGCTTCGCCATGCTGTTCCGAAGACTGATAACCACGTTCTCGTTGAACCTGCTTGACCTGCCTGTTCGAACAAACATGTTTCCCGCCATGTATAGTTTCCATAGCCAACATCATACATGTTGAGCTCAACATCGCCCTCACAAATGATTTTGCAGAACTAACGACCAGGGACATGTACAAAGCAGTTCTTCCACCACCTCAGAACATTGAGGAGCGGTGCTCAACGATATCGTAGACGGCTTCGTTGTGGAATGTGAAGCTGTCTACTTTGATCAACAATTGAACACTCGTAGTTAGTTCCAACTCATAACCAAGGCTTGAAATAGATAGATAGATAGGTAGATAGACATCCACAATGACATATCTAATCATCAAACTACCTAATCTACACGCGTGTACACACGTGCCATCATTCGTCGATACATCAATTGTTCCCATATCAACATCACCATGAATATAGACTTCCTATCAAAAGTGCTTCTGCAAACATGAAAAACCACAACATCACGACACGTATCTGCGTCGTCGTTTTGACATCGGATGCCACTAGGCACAACAACCAGGGTTTCTCCAAAGGGAACCAGTGGAATACTTCGTCACTTGTAGAACGGACAGGACCGATGAGTTCACGGAGGGAGCTCAATCACCCATTCATTCTCCATGAATCATTTTTCATAGATCACTCGCTTTAGGGAAGTTTCAAATGCACAGAGGAAGAGAACAAAGGATAAGAAACGGAAGGAACAACTGCTATCTGTGTAGACAATGACTATCTGTTCGAGTACTTTCCCATCTTGTCATGGAGCCCGTATCACTCGACGTCACTCAACGCTCGCGTCCGCATGCCTTTCGGAAACTGCAGTAGATTACACGTATGTATTTATTCAACCATACTTAAATCAGCTATATCCACTACCATACTCAACCATCCGCTACAAAAGCGCAAAACCAAAAAAAAAATGACAACGAAATATGCGTAGTTTGCGTAGTATGTATCCAATTGGTCCCCCCTCCCCCCCCCAAAAAAACAATACGACGACGGGGGATATTAGATCCAAAAGAGTAAACAAAAAAACAACAAGGCGCATGTGAAAAGAACAAACCGCTCATGCGCAATGCTGCTCTTAGATGGCGAGATATATGGCGAGGAAGAGAAAGAAAGATGTGTGTATACTTGTACGCCGAGTTTGCGCCTGAATAAAAACGCTTCATGGTAATGCAGGATGGGGACGAACGCTGGAGAACTCGTGCTGAAAGTGCGTGGTGTATTTCTTTGGGGGTTTTTGGTTTTTGGTTTTTGGTTTTTGGTTTTTGGTTTTTGGTTTTTGGTTTTTGGTTTTTGGTTTTTGGTTTTTGGTTGTTGGTTGTTGGGTTGGTTGTATTACCGGAAACCAGGGAAGATCTTGCGGAGACCTCGTTTCCAGCGAGGCTCGCAGCTTTCTTCTTCGTCTGCGGGGGCGACGTGGTGGGTCCCGAGGAGGGCGAGCGCGCGCTGTCGAGCCCATTCCCGCCGGTGGGGGTGTGCGGCGGTTGGGTTTGTAGGATCTGTGGTCGTTGTTTGCTGGTTAGGCGGCGTGGTTTCAGGGACAGGAGACAGTGCGGCTGCAGGCTGGTTGGAGCCCATTTCGATCTCGGAGGGACGATTCGAGGTTCTGTCGGGGGCGCTGAAGACCCTGCGGCTGCCGTTGAAGGCTCCGCCTATTCGACTCCCTATTGATCCGAATCCGCTCGAGGTGCGTCGAGGCGATAGTGGAGCTTGCGAGTCTGCGGTCTGGGGAGGTGCAGGGTGAGCTGTGTGTGCCCTGTCCGCTGCATTTCGATTCATGCGCGTTATCATGCGCTCTCTTCGCACCATGTTGTTGGTGATCTTTGTTGGACAATAGCCGCTCGGAAGGACGCTGGTCTTACACATGGGACACAGTGAAGAGTTGCTGAGTAAAAAGGTATCGATACAGTCAGGATGGAAAATGTGGCGACAAGGCAGTTCGCGGACCCGGCTCTCGTTGGCTACGAAGTCATCAAGGCAAATTGCACATGTAGGTTGTGATAACGCTGTCGAGGAGACCGGCTGGGGTAGGTCAGGGGCGGAGAGTCGTCGACCAGTTGGAGTGTTACTATGCGCCTGAGGCGGCTCTGTGGGAAGAGCTTTCTCGGGGTCCTCCATGGAAGACGTGTAGACATAGAGTGGGAGTTTATCCAGATATTCTTGAGGGACGGTCAACCGCTTCACCCCTAGAGCTTCCAAATCCACTTCGCCGTTGATGACCCTGCGCTGGAGGTCATTCCGTCGCCTCCTCTGCATAAGATGCATGAAGGATGATGTCCCTACGATGGCCAAGATCAAAAGTCCTAGGACGATCACTAAGAAGACCCATAGACTGGGAAGTTGGCTGCCGGATTCAGTGCCTATTGTAGCCCAGAGTCGAACGTAATCGGTATCCGCGAACATATCCACCAAGGTCTCGTTATAGGGCAGGTCAGTAATATTCCCAGAATATTCGCTGAGCCCTTTCATGATGAGTGCTCCCGTTGGAGGAACGATGGCGTATGTGGGGAATGTGTTCTGAGCCTTCCATGTGCCTCCGTCACCCATCAACCAAGACGAATCGCTGACGGGCGGCGGCATACCTGCAGCCGCTCCTGGTTGGTACACTAGAAATGCTTTCACAGGAGCATCCCTCGCAGCCTCGAAGTATTCGTTCATGCACTCAGCTGAATACCATGGCGCAACTGCCACGAGCGCATACTCAATGTGCTCAGGCAGATTGGCCCTCCGAGTAACGTTGTTCGCCACATACTGCTCTTCTTCCTTCTTGCATCCATCCGATGTGAGATCTGGAACGTAGAGTATGCCGTACGGGTCGCTTCCTTTCTGTACGTCCTTGTTCGATAAGGTCTGGATGTTCTCGGTTATGGGCAATTGGAAGGAGGCATTGGCCTGTACGCGATCAGAATCTAAATCATATCCGCGCAAATCATCCGAGCCAACATACCGGAAGAGTGATGAACTTGTCGTTGTGGTAGCTGATCTTGTAGGGATCGGGAAATTCGATAGTGTAGATCTCTATGCTCTGGGCGGCTGCGTGATGTTAGTTTCTGCGACTCATTGAGGCGATATCGAAGGAACAATGCGATGGCATCGTGTGACAACAAGAATCGCTCTGCTCATCCATAACCGCAACCACGCGCGCAACTCTCGACGCGCTCATAGTGGAATATCTGCATCTGAAAGCAATGGTAGAGCGGGATCTCGCGGCAACTGAACACTTGGAAAAAGCGACATACACATGTTGAGATGGTTCGACGTTCAAATAGCAGCGCTGATGGCTATGAATAGGGGTTCATGCTGGGTCTGATAGCCTTTGAGTGCAACGCTGCTGTATCGAAGGAGGGATAGGATATGATGAGCATCAGTGTACCGGTAGGAGGCGGTTCGTCAGGGTAGCGGCGGGTGTCGTCAGCGGGAGCAGTGGAGATGGCGAGGGAGAGGCGAGAGAGGCTGGAGGGGCATCCGGGATTGAACGAGTCCTGGACTGGGCATGTTCATGCAGAATGCATGGCGCGCCCGGTTCCTCCATGGTTTGAGAGGGAAAAGCTTAATTGTTTAGTCACAATGCTTAATTGTCTCGCCTACCTGCACCCGCATCCGATATCGATTCTCATCGGAAACAGGTGATGGGGCTCAACGTAGGAAAATGCATAATGTATCTGGATGTATATCGAAAGTGACATCTGCTCAAGCTTGAGCGAACCTTACAACCAAGGATGTGTGACGTGTGGAGAGAACGAGCATGAGGCTGGAGAGGTGCTGGGTGGTGGTTGGCTGGGAGCCTGGGACGGGCTGAGCCGGGTGTCGGGTCCTAAGCCCCGCGACAACATCGGTCTTTCTCATCGGCGCTTGTCTGGGCTCGCATGGCGCCTCCACGGTCCACCCACAGGTAGATCCCTCACGTCGACATTCGTTATTGCTTCAACATCAGATACGTCGAGAAAGTGCTTCTCGTCGCCATCGATCGTTGCTCCACATCCTCACTGTCCTAGAAAGCTTGGGCACCCACTCCACTAGCGATTGAGTCGACACAGCCCACATCGACACACGTCCTCGATCCTCCACGAATACCACCTGCAGGACACCCGCAGGACACCCACCTCAGCGCATTGGGATAACAGAACCACCGCCAACATGCCATCCGTCAGTAGCAAGGGCAAGGCTGCAAAGCCTAGCTCGAAGAACTCTGGACCACCGCGCAGCCGAAATACCACTCCCCTTCCACCCACCACCGCGCGGGCGTCTGTTGAACCCGCTTCGTCTTCCGCGTACTTTCGGTCCCCAATGACGTCTCTATCCAAGGAAATCGAATTGTCTCTCGAAGATCTAATGGATCGCGCTGGAAGCGCATCACAAATACCTTCTGGCTCAGCTCTCAACAATATGCGCGAATCGGTGCAAAAGAAGGTCATGGACCATATACGGGATCGGAACGCGCAGTCCGACAAGATTCTTAGGGAGCTATCCAAGATGCGGAGTCAGCGAACCACACATGATAGAGATACTCAAAGGGTCGCGGACAAGGACGGAGAAGAGCGCAAACATAAATTGAAGAAAGCGAAGAAGCGTGAACCCGACGATGAGAGACCTTTGGCTGTTGGTGCACATGGCGTGGCAAGACAGGATGGAGTGGATGTTCACAAAGGTGAGTTCACATTTCTCATATCAAAGTTGAGACTGAAAAATGCCCACTATGATTGAAAAGTGACCTATATTCACCTCAAAGCCTATCTTCACTTTAGACCCATCCCCACCCCCATCCTATCTCACCCCATCCATAATTTTTAAAGACTAGCTGCTGACTGACTGATGAGACAACTCATCTAATATGTCTTCACCGATATCTCAACCGCCACCCTCGGCCACTGGCACAGGTCCCGCGGATGCGCCATCTCCAAGTGAATCAGAGGCTTCCCACCAACCTCCACCAGCTCCTGCGGTCCCGCATTTCCAGACATTCGGACCGGACCCATCCAAATTCGACGATCCGACTATCTACCACATTCGAGAAGTCACTCCTGGAATGTCTGAGGAGGAGATCAAGGAGATTTATTGTGTCGCCGAGTATCCCCCTTCAGACTTGCATGACCTCACGCCAGGAACTCCGCCGGATAAGGATTTCTCAAATGCCAAGCCTGCCAATCAGGTCAACGCTTCGGTCTTCGCTAACTACGTCGAGCCCTACATTCGCCCACTGGTTGAAGAAGACGTTGCGTTCCTGAAGGAGCGAGGAGATAGACAATTGCCCTTCAGTATCCCTAGACCAGGGCTGAGACATTATAAAGATGCCTGGGCCGATGAAGATGGCGCCATGAACATCGATTCAAATGATAGCCGTTTGCCGGCGCATGAAGCACGGGGTTCCTATGACGACTTCGGCGACGACGTCCTGGGTGGTGAAAGTATCTCCGCCGGTCCATTACTCTCGCGCCTTCTGAGTGCTCTTCGTCCTGAAGGCCGAGGCATTCAGTCAAGTGACACTAACGGTATCAACATCGATGCCATGGATATCGACGAGGGAGCCGATGCGCCCACCGACAATGCGAACAACAACTCTGCTCCCGCCGCTACGCAGCTTTCGGAATTGGTGCAGCCCGGGTGGAAAGCGCCTCCTGCTCCCACTAAGACCGATTACGCTCATTTGGACGAGCGTGTCCTCATGGAAGTGAAGCATTACGGTCTGATTACCGACGGTGACGATAGCGTAGCTGACTATCCTGCTCATTTCGACGACGAAGTGTCTGCCCGCCTCCGACTTCTCCAGGCTGAATTACGAAAGCAGAGCGTAATCAATGGAGCAAGGAAGCAACGCCTTCTAGAGCTAACTGAGGAGCGTATGGCGCAACAGGAATACAACACGATCGCGGACGATCTCGATAACCAACTTAACTCTGCCTACCTGAAACGTAACAGGAATATCGGTAAGGGCAAGAAGCAGGCCAAACGACCTGGTGGTGCCGGTGGAGGCAATCAGGCAGCCGCGAATGCGGGCATTAGCCGACCTGGCGTAGGCGAACCGATTAGGATTCTCATGGAGAGGAAGAGTCAGTGGAATAGCACCATTGGACCAGTGGTCAACTATGGCAAGACCGGATTGCCCGAGGAGAGCATATTTCCTGAAGACAAGATGAAGATTCTGGAAGACAGAGAGGTGGAAATCTGGAACATCGAGCAAGAGGAATAGGAAAATCCTGGAAATGGGTATTGGGCGTCGATCAATGGCACGGAATCTAGGAAAGGCGTTTGCTTTTAATTATTACGTTAATGGCTAGAATCAACTGCCTCAGCATGGTGTTCCTGGGAGGGTTTAGTTATTCAATGCTGGTTGTTGGAACAGGCTCATTGACCACATTGGCAGGTCATGTTATAGGGTTTTGGTGATCACAGCCTTAAACAGAAGGTTCTTCTTCCATGAATAATATATTTTTCAAAACATCTTTTCTCCAATGTTGTGAATACTCCATCTTGCGAGACCTTACGAAGACGACAGAGTGAGTGGGACGGAGAAACGATCCGCCTAGCGTGGATTCAGCACATCGAGCTACAAAACCACACGGTCCCGCGTAGCTTCTAAACTTTTCCCTTCAACGACCCGCCTTGCCAAAGCCGTGTATCTCTGCTCACAAACGGACGCTGAGCTTCTCGCACGGTCGTCACTTTCTTGCAGATGAGAAATTCGGAGTAATCTTCACTTTCACTTGCCATCTCGCTCTGCGAGCTCTGGCATCGCTGCCCGTAAGGGCCTGGCGTGACTCACGTCTGCATCCGGCATCAGAAAGCTCAGGGCCCTTAAAGCAAAGGCATTGCTCCCTCGGGGGTGGTGTTGGCGCTGAAACGGTGTCTCTATGGGAGTCGGTGCGAAGAATGTGTGCTCTGCGGAGCGACACAGTAGTACAATACATGGCGTACTTTACCTCGATTAGCCTTTCCAGGCGAAAGAGGGTCGGTATAATTTGATTCCGATTACTCTGGCGAGGCGGGTCGTTCACTCATTCTTTTGATATTGTAAGTTATACGCACTCGAATGCAAATTGACAGGATACTACTAATTTTGTTATAAATACACAAGCAGGTATATATCTCGCACATTGAACGCTCCAACCTAGCATCTTTGGTGTCTAGTTTTGTGAGGACGTCAATGTTTATCCTCTTTTTTAAACATGATGTCCGTTCGCATGGTCAGCTTCGTGCCACTCACGACATCTTCGCCTGAGTGTAATAGGAAGCGGTGTTGGAATAATAGCACTCTACCGGCTTTTGGAACAACATCAATCTGTCGATCCATGCCGTACGAGTGGAACGTAGTAGCACCACCTTTGAGTGGCTTTTGATCAACCTTGCCCACGGGATCGTTCAGATAGAGATGCAGCGTGAAGTACGAGCGCTCTTTTCGATCAGGTGTTTCGTAGGTTCCGTCTTGATGTGCTGCCATCTGTTGGTAAGGGGACTACTCGACGTGATCACAATGACTCACCTTTGAAATATTCGCCGCCTGTGTACTTCAGAAACCTCATTCTCTCATTAAGTCTCGTCACCGTCCAGGTTTCGTGGCGCATAGATGGGCCATTGCCGGTGACATTTGGCCAGTTCTTCAATTGATGGATGTCCGGAACGGCATCTTGGATTCTTGTCCAAAGTTTGGCCACAATGTCACTGTCATCCCAAATTATTCGCCCACAGTTACGAGTTTCTTCATATAAAGCCTGCCTACCACCTCCAATATTGACCATGGCTCTCTCCCATTTTGAGTCGGTTTTGGCTTCTGCGGCAGCTACCATTTGATCACACTCTTCTTCCGTGAGCACACCGTCGAGTACTACTGCCCAATGGCGTTGGTACTCAGGCAGCCCACCTTTGACCCAATCAACATCGGTCCTCGTGAGTTCTGGCGCCGGCCCGGAGAGAAAGCCCTCCGGGAGCTTGAATGTGTTTGAAGCTGACATAGTGATATAACTTTGAAAGAATAAAGGGAACCGCCGAATCATGCAACTGGAACGAAGCATTCTGTCAATGTGGGCATTCAACCATGTTTTATATCGAGATCCGGGGAAGCCCAATTGCTGCTGCCTAAATATAGCAACCAGTCATGGTGAATGCTAAGAGCAAGAGCTGAAGGCCGAAGTGAGATGGCTCCATGAGCTTCGCCCCGTAGATGAAGGAGCCATTATAAAAAGTATTTAACTAGTTCATTGACTCTCAGATCAGCAACAATGAATATATACGTTTTTTTAAAAGAAAAATATATATCGCCTGCTTTCAAAATGTTGTAATTGTGAATGTTCTCGTAGCCCTAGACCGTTGCCGGGACATTGGATAGTCACGTGATGCGACATTCCTCCTTGTGTTTCAGGTTGTGATTGCCAAGTTGTGAGTTCCTTGGTCATCACCAGTTTCGTCGTCGATCTTACGACGCGGACATTTCCCCTCTCACTACTGACTCCAAAACTCAACGTGCCGTTCGTTATCGTTGACCAGCTCGAGTCTTCACGCTCTCACTGCGCCTGTCGCGCACCGTCTTGCGCCACCCGACACTCTTTTCCAACCGTCGCGCCAAGCCGACTTGAGCTACGTCTAATTTCCCGAGCTACCACGACGTTCCCTTTCGATTGGGCAACCTTCACCTCTCATCGAATCTCCCACCACTTCTTGCGCCGGTTTTTCGCAATCCACTCGCTCACAAACCTTCAATTCACCTTCCAACGGTCCTCCCGACACCTTTCGCCTCTGTCTCCGACGCGGGAGAAGGGGCGCGATACAACCTCGTCGCGCATCAAACCGGGCTCCATCGGACCATCACCATAGCATACTTGGGCCTCATCAACACCCAGTCCGACCTACACACATTCACTCAAATCCTACTGAAACCATGGCGGAATCACCGCTTCCTCTCGAGCTGCAGCATCGTAACCGATTTCCAACGTTGTTCGAGGTGCTAAGCCGCAAGACGGTGGCCCCACTCGACTTGTTCTCCTTCTACATATACATGCGCGACCAGCAACGTTCGGTAGACTACCTAGACTTTTGGTAAACATCCCGATCCCTCGTGCTAATTGTGATTGTATACTGATCTGTCTGCAGGCTTGATGTTTCCCAACATCTCCAGTTATGTCGTCTATACGTTCGCCGTCTGCACCGATCGGTGATTGGAGATACTCCAGATATGGAAAAGAACAGCAAGAGATCTTCGTACATCTTGGATAATGCAGGAGAAGGACCATCCGATGAAAAGGGAAACACCTCCGACCAACGATTATCTGCATTCCTTCGATCAGATCACGGTAGTCGACAGCATTCACCACAAAACAGCCAAGGAAGCAATCAGTCACATCCTTCGGTGCGTGAGCGCCCACCACGACCAAGCTTCATGACACTGGACACCAACTCACCTGGCGACTCGAGCTCCCCAGGTCAAGACTCCTCGGTCGACAATGTCCCAAGACGAGAGGATCTCCGTGCATCAGCAGAAAAGATACTCTACACCTATCTCCTCCCTGGCTCGGAGCGAGAGATCATTATCCCACAGAGTATCCTGAACGAGGTCCAAGAAGCAATTGAGGGTCAGGATCAGCGTAGTGATCCGGAGCTCTTCGACGCAGCGAAGGACTACGTTTTCCAGGCCATGGAGCGAGACGCCTTCCCTGGCTTCCTCCAAAGCAAAGGACTCGGCAACCTTGTTCCTCAGAGCATGATGATTCGTCTCATCATTGGATTGATCAGCTTTTTCGGAGCTGTCTGGACTTCCTTCATACTCATTTTCCTGGACAAGTCAAGAGCAACACGATGCTGGGTAAGTTTTGTTCTTCTATCATAAGAATACACGTACTGATATGAAACAGATAATCCTCCCATTCACGTTTGCCATCTACTTCATCTTTACTCACCAGTATATGCTGGATCCCATCCTTGCCCTCGTGGGTTTCAGCGAGTATACTCTAATGGACTTCAACCGTATGCGTGAGCCATTCGTCAAGAGGACTTTGAACAAGCGCTCGTTCACAATGCTCCTCATGGCTCTTCTCTTAGACGCAGCAGTCTGCTGTCTATTCATCTTCGTCCCGGGCAAGCGCCTATGATTTCTTTTGTCCCCATTCTAATACCCTTAGCTTTTTTTAATGTTTGGAGTCTTTTCCGGATCATGGGGTGAGAGGCAGTGATGCCTAGGCAATCAACTGGGAAGCAATATGGTGATCCAGCTTATACGTTAGCTACATAGTCGATATGTTTGGCTACAGGACACTACGGCATCAACTACATCTGCCACCGGTCTTGAGGTATTGGCGTATATTGATTTCACTTACCAACAACCTTCTTCCTTTTCTTTTAGCAGGGTGTTTGGGTATCCTATGAATTCTTGCCATTAGGTAGTCGCTTCAAAGCATTCTAATGCTTAAAGATTCAAAGTGCTTCATCTATTTCATTTTTATATTCTACACGTGATGATTGTACTACATCCACAGAACCGTGGTGAACCATTGGCCCAAGCTCCCTGGTGGGACGACGTATGACAGCATCGCGCTTGGAACAACTTGGAACTTGGACAATGGACCGATGATGAGCTTCTTCCGAATGATGCATTAATGAACATAGCTCAAGATAAGCTGCTAAACACTTACAAATCGATCATTGTGCATCTGAACATTCACGATGGTCTTGGAGTTGCTCAATATTGCCGCCATCCCAACAGCGATCGGCGCTGCAGAAGCCGTGCACCAACAGAATGTATTCGACGAGGAAGCAGAATCAGATGAACGACAAGCACCATTCTACCTAGATGTCTATTGCGATGCAGCATCGAAGAAACGCGACGAAGTCCATAATGCCATCGTCGTCCTAAAAGACGGCAAGGTGAGACCAACTCCCCAATGCCATCACGCACATATTCTTTCAATCAAGGGAATCACCCTGACAACATCATAGCTCCGCCTCTGGCCCAAAGATCCAGAAACAAATCTTCCAGAGGCACCAGATGATGACAATGATTCACCACCACCACACCCATTCCAAGGCTTCTACCTCCCATATCCGACTGAAGACCTCCCGGACCGACCCATCCCGGCGCCTAGGATCCTAGGTCTCGTGAGCACCATTCCACCCGATCCCTCTTCTTCATCTCCAAAGTCGAAATCCAAGGGCAAAGGAAAGCGCAGTTCAAGAGCAGCGAAACACAAACTCAACTGGATATATGCAGATAAGAATACGAGGGAGCTGAAGTATGGGCCCAGGGCAGTGGCGCGAGATCACTTCATTGGACCTTGGGATTGGACGGAGGACGACGAGCAAGGGCTTGTTTTGGATGGGGAGGAAAGTCTTGTAGCCGTTGAGGAAGAGAAGGGGGGTTATGGGTGGGCTGTTTATTGGGATAGGGAGGATGATCGGTTGAAGGGGTTCGAGGTTGGGAAAACGAAGAGGGTGTTGAGGTGTAGTCTTGAGCGAAGATTGATCGAAGAGGAGGATGATGGCATACATGTGGAATAATGTCCCAATGAATAAAATTTGATCAGTTCACGCAATGTGTCAACTACCTAATCGTGCTTTCTCGCCTTCTCGACCTCTTCCTCCTCCGTCTTATGGATCTTACGCAGCTCTTCTTCAGAATGATAGAATGCTTTCCCTTCACATCCCTTCTCCCCACAATCCGTTACATCATACAGCCACTTGTTATCCCTACACTCCTTCATACTCCCAAACCCCTCAACAACCCATCTCCCACCGACAACCCTACTCACCTCCAAACTATCATCCGCATTACACTCAATAACCCGCCTCAAGTAATCAAAGCAATGTGGCCAATACCCATGATGCTCCCCGACATCCTCCGTATCCGTCCCCCCATTCTGTAGCCCCTGCACCACAGCCCTAATCTTGGCCAGACAGTCCAACTGATGAAACATTGCCAGTCCCGCCCTCCTCACCTCCCCATCCGGCCGATTGATGCTCGTGTACACGGTGCCGTGGCTCTTACCCTGTAGCTCGCGCCACAGGTGGTCGTACGCATTGAACGTGTTCGAGTACTCGTAGTTCGCCTCGAATGTCGTCGTCTGCGTCTCGTAGCACGTGTAGTTCTTTCCGCGCTCTTTGAAGTGGAATCCCGCGTGGGGTAGGGGGTTGTCTTTTGGTTTCGGGTGCCGCGGGATGCCGTTGGGGGGTCCGTTGAAGACGAGGAAGAGGTTGAAGAGGATGGAGAGGAGAAGCAGGAGGAAGATTACCGCGGACCATCTGTCTGAGGGGGTCTCTTCGTAGTCGGACCAGTGGGGTTTGTGATGGGTGCGTTTCTTGGGTTTCTTGTTGGTTTTGTGGGAGGTGGGTGTTGTGGTGGATGAGGAAGAGTCGGAGTGATAGGTGCTGTTGTCTTTGTCTCCTTGGGTGAGTCCAGGGTTGTTTTCAATGTCGGTCTCGTTTTGTGTTAGTTTTGAGTAGAGTGTGCGATTGAAGAATGAGGTGATGGTTCGAGTGAGGTTTGTGAGCTTGGGGTGCTTGTCCACATTCTGTGCTGGTGTTGAAGAGGAAAGTATGGATGGGATCGTAGGATCGTTTCCTGCTGGGCCTGCAATGGTGGCGGGAGTGTCATCGTGATACGGTGATGGGAGATTGAGGAGTTCGCGTTGAGTGGGAGATATATCGATGCTGGCTGTTCCAATGCTTCGTACTTTTCGGTACTTCCTGGGGGAAGACTTGCCCTTGATTGGAGATGTAGGATCGATAGTTAAGTCGGACATGTTTGAGTGTTTAGTCAATCAATCTGTAGATGGATAGAGCCAGATTATAACGAATTCACTCGAAATGAAGTTATCAGTCAGGATCACAACCTTTAAATATTTTGAATCTCAGACATGCCTTTATATTGCTCTATTGAAGCCCACTTTGGGCTACATGGCTCTTAGCTGAAGTGATGGCTGGCTGCTCTTTGTTCCTCAAATTCAGTCTGCAAGGCAGATGTGGCCTTGACCAACCTCTCTAAAGCTGTTTGCTATTGAAAGTGAAAAATCATTTGTAAATGAAATGGAGAGGGAGCCAGATTATCGAAAATTGTTCTCAATGATCTACAGTGTGCAAATGTAGCATAGGCAATCCACCCTTCAGCATATATATGTCCATCAAAGTCGCGCCCGAACCGGTTGCAACGTTATGGCAACTATTGGCAGCAGATGATTAAATCTACAAGGGCATTCGTTTGAATAGATTGAGTTGTAAACGCTACAAAGATTTCTACCTAGGGAGTTGGTAATTAGCTTTTCTTTGGAAGACGTTGAAGATAGACGTTGAATAGTAAGAGGCACTGACCAATCATGGTGGTTGGCTTGTCCTCGCCGCGCGCCATGACGTTTGCCGATCCGGCCGTTTGAACATCCTCAAGTCCAATCTTCAAAGCTTCTCCACCACCGCATGCCTACACATTACTTTGTGCCATCGGTAGCCAGAGCATCGCTCTTTCATGCTCGCGCAATACTCACTAGCCAACATGAGTGCGATCACAGCTAAGAGTAAACGCGGCCCGACCGTGCTTGTAAGTTGAAGCTCTTTGTACCCTACACAGTCCCCCATTAATCGCATTGACAGATGACGGATTCTCGCGATGCCCGTCCACAAGCCCGCACTACAGCCACTCGACCTGGCGCAAAACTTATCTCCGTGGACAATATCCTCCAATATGCGTCCGATATCCCCTCCCAGCAACGTCGCGGACCGCCCGATGCTCGCCCGCGAATGCATACCAGGACCCCTTCTGGTCGCCATCCACTCGACCCTAAGCTTTCCGGCCGCCTGATTCCGGCGCATATGCCTATGCGATCCAGCAAGCTTAGTGAGAAGCTGGTGCTACTGCCCGAAGCAGATGCCGAGGACGATGATGAGAAGCTAGATTTTGACGAAGATGATTCTGCGCCGCCTAAAGATGATGACCTACGGAGGAGAACCGCAAAGGGAGGTCCCAAAGATAAAAGTTATGCAGAGCGTCTGCCTAAGGCAAAGCGGACGGAAAAGCTCTCCCGAGTCACAGCGTATTGTACAGCTTCTGCGTACAAGATGAAGAGCATGGCTGAATTCGTCAAGACCCAGCACCATGCAAGGACAAAGCTGTATGACGATTGCTTGTATACCGTATATCACCATCCTCTACTTGGAGGTAGTGATGGATACAGAGTCAGGAGTAGCCCGGCTTTGAAGAGCCCTGGTGGGAAGACGGTCCTTGACGAGGAAATCGAGAGGAATGAACAAAGGGAATATCACGAAGGTTATTTCGAGGATGCCGAACAGTACAGCTTCAGAGGGAGTGAGGAGAGTCCTGCAAATAGCCCGAGACGCGAAGCGGACCGCAGAGATTCGGATCATAGTAACGAGATGGAAAGCCGCGGTGGCCGTGTCCCACCAAATGCGTTGTCATTCGGCGAGATGTTCGTCTTTTCGTACGGTGTGGCCGTATTCTGGAACTTTACCGAGCGTCAGGAGAAAGACATCCTGGCAGATTTGACGTTCTCGACTTCTTCCACTGGTGTAGCTCTGGCGACCAGGCCGCTCGACGAAGCTGACTTCGAGACGGAAGAATTCCACTTTGAATACAACCCGGAGATCGCGAGACCTCGTGTCTATAACGACATGATATCGTTGAAGAGTGGAGACCATATGATCAAGCTATCCATCAGCCATGCTATTGCTCAGAGCACCAAGTTGAGTTTGTTTGAGGAACGCATGGCGCGGACCATGTTGGCTGCTCAATACGTACCAAAGCGTTTAGCTTTGACGGGCAAGCTGGGCATGGGCAGGACTGAGGTGGTGAGAATGATTGGACAGCTATTCACCAGTCGAGTCGATGTCAATTTATGTAAGTTATACCACGAGCACCATCGAGATCTCAACACGGCATGCTAACCTGGGGTAGCTTCCAACATGCTCGACACACCCAATTTCTTCTGGGACTCTGAACCGACACTTCACCCACTGTATACCGCGTACCGCGAATATCTCGAGATCAAGCCACGCATTCAAGTGCTTAACGAAAGATGCCAGGTCTTCCTAGACCTGGGCGAGATTCTCTCAGATTCGATATCCGACCGCAAGATGACGAGGATCACATGGATCATCATCATTCTCATTATATTCAGTATCTGCATCACGTGTCTGGAAGTACTACTTAGATTCTCGCTCCTGAATAGGAGAGCTAGAGCTGATTCCGTTGATGCATTATCAAAACCGGCGCTTGCTGGCCCAAGTCTTCTGCTTGGCAGAGCGTTGATCTGGTCGGGAAGAAGCATTAGCCGGCAGATTATGGGATAATTTCTGATCGATACTGATTTCGCATAGCGATGGCGTAACCGTGGTGTTAAAGGATGGTTTATGGACATGTACATATGGTGTAAATAGCAATTGGTTCAACTAGGCTTCAATGACAGCCGCCTTCATCAGGTTTTGGTTCTGGTAAACACGGGCGCATTTCATTTCTAACATGTCTTTGGGTATGTGGAAGATCGAACTATCTAAGAACCCAGCAGGTGGTATAGTACGCGGACCGTAATTCAGTTCTACCCGCCGTCATCGTGAAACGTTGGACAGGCCTGTCATTGCTTCAGCGGTAATGAGTATATTAGAGTACCGGGTCAAGGACTTAAGGTACAATAACAAGGGTCTACGGTAAGGTAGGACCCGGGCCCAGAACTTGACAACTTGAACATGGAATTTACCTGGTTCCCAATCATGGCACTCTGTAGCGGTGCCTGTGTCATAAGTCGCGAATCTGACACGAATCGATTGGCGACCTGGGGATGCCCTTTTGTGTAATGTATGGGTTGGGTAGAACGTGCAAAAGGCGTGCATGGGCCAATAGAAGCGCGTGGTTCAGGCGCGTTCCTATTGGGCGTTCTGGTTTCCCGGGAGTGATCTACGCTGCAGGGCAACCACAACAGTAAACACAACAGCACAGCTCACGCTAATAAATCATGTCCTGTAGTAACCATAGTGTATAGACACAAAAAACATTCGCATTTCAATAGCCAACTTCACCTCATAATCGATCACCTTCACTTTTCGCACCGCCCCCCATTGATCTTATTTACCCTTGGCTTTTACCCAACTTCACCTCGGCCTGCTTTGTTTGGTAGCTGTACGTAACCTTTACCACGGATACTCCTTCTCCTCGCCTTCTCTTCCTCTTCCACTTCAACCTCAACACCTACCACAACCTATCCCTGCTACTCTTGGCCGCAACCCTCGACTTCTCTGCTTTCCACTATTTATCTTCAATGGCAGGCGTCTGTTTTCATAAACAGTATATCCATACTAACAAGCTTGTGACAGAACCCACCTGTCCCCATCATCAATGGCTCTTTCTTCCAACGCCCGCCCCAACGGCGGTGCCACTGTAGCTGGTCGGTGAGTCTAGATACCCCGCGAACAACTTTTCAATTCACGCTCATAACACTCTACAGTCTTCAGAAGGAACTCATGGACATCATGACCAAGCCGACCCCCGGCGTCACCGCCTTCCCCGACGACGAGAACATGACCAAGTGGACTGCCACCATCTCCGGCCCGGATGACACTCCCTATGCCAACCTGGTCTTCAAGCTCTCTATGGAGTTTGCTAACAACTACCCCTACGTTCCCCCCGTCGTTCTCTTCAAGACCCCGATCTACCACCCCAACGTCGACTTCTCGGGCCGCATCTGCCTCGACATCCTCAAGGACAAGTGGAGCGCCATCTACAACATTGGAAGTGTGCTTCTGAGCCTCCAGAGTCTCTTGGGAGAGCCAAATAAGTGAGTGATTTTGGAAACCAAACCATGTACAAATAAAACAAGACGCTGACATTCGCAATTAGCTCGAGCCCTCTCAACGGCCAAGCAGCAGAGCTCTGGGATAAGGATCCCGCCGAGTTCCAGCGTCTCGTCCTCGCCCGTCACAAGACACCCGAGGAGCTCGATGCCAATGCCGTATAATGTGGTTGCTGGCCGCTCTACATTCTCAGGCTTCTCTCGATGCCCAATTATGACATTGCACGCGACATCATATCTTTCTGCAAGCACGTGCTGGCTTGGCGTTGGATACCCAGGCGTACCGGGAGTGGGGATTTGTTTTTTAATGCATGCCAGCGATCATGGATGGCGAATTTCATTTCAGGATCGGGTCTTGCAGGTCTGGCGGTCTGGCTGGTTGCCTGGAAACAATGGTGAAGGGTGTTTCGAAAGAACAACGCCTCTATGGATACACCACGTTACCGAATAGTCTCCAGACACATTGCATCACTAGGAATTCAAATGATACCTTCAATACCTCTCACCTCTGATCTCCGTGACTTTGCTCATAGTAAATGCAATGGGTTGGCCTGTTTCAAACACTAGGCCGGCCATTTGAAATCGGAAGGGAATGGAGTATATTTTTCCATATCCGCTCTTCATCAAACCCAACATGGATATCATGATCCAAACCAATGCACTGGCAAGACGTTCTTACAAGTGACTTTGTTTCTTTGTGATTTATTATCCACCATTACCAACTCGATAATCTTTCCCTCGAGTTTCGTACACTGACTGAGTCAGCATCTCCAATCACAGCATCAAACCCATCTCTCTTGTTGATGACCGCAATGTCCAACTTTCTACCTTGGAAATTCTAGACACAACATATCGAAGGACGATCTTACCAAGCACGCCTACCCCACGATCGAGCAATTTATCATCGATCATCAATCACATAAGGTATCCCACACAAGTACAAATACCTACGACGATGATCACAGACCGACAATACGCCGACATACGAGAAAGACACCAACAAACCCATTATCCATATCTTACTCATCCTCCCACATACCTTATTCCCACCCAATCTCACGAATCACAGCCTTGGGATGGAAGGGAATAATGTCCATGTCTCATTCGGATATGACGGATTCCTGTAGGAATCATACGATGATTTTCCATTTCGCATGTTCGAAATGCTTCTCCGTCATTTCCATGATGAATGTGTACATCCAACGTTTTGGTCTCCTCCCTGCAGCGATTGCTACACATGTATTTTATTCTTTCGTCCATCTCCGAGCATTATCAATCACTGACACTATTAATCAACATCGCCCGAGGTCGCGGCATAAATCTCAGCATCCAATGTGGTACCTAACGGACAAAAAACCACCCCAAACCAAACATCTTCGGGGAATAAAAATCCGGTTGGACACGGACCTCTCACAGGGAGGAGGTTGGGTTGGACAAAATGGCATGGGATATAAATAGAAAAAGAAATCCTTGCCTCCTCGTACGGATCCTCCCTTGGGGTATTACGGAGTAAGAATACTGTATGTTGATGATTCTTGGGAGGAATTAATGCGAGAGGCGGAAATTGGAGAGGGATGGTATGCGGGGAAAGTTAGTGGTATAGTTATGCGTGATTTGTATGTTAGATTAATACCCCAGGTCGTACAATCATGGGTTGCGTCTGCATGTCAGGAAGTGTGGTGTTGAGGACCGGATTCGAGTGTATGTGTTAGTGTTATTGGAGTACTCGAAGTTATAGTACGGAGTAGGAATGACAGCTATGGAGTCTAATGACTACAATTCCGTATGTATTTACGTTTCTCGATGCTAGTTTCGCGATACGGGTCCAGCGTTTCACGTAAGGTTGTTTCTTGCTGGGAGCTTGGGTCACGCAGTAGAGGATCACGCTGGAATCGATGGGAGTCGATCATGTCAGGGCACAACGTGCCTGCAGATTCGAAAAGCATCCCTTTCGAAAGGACATCGAATCTAGTACCACAAACCGTCTATCTACTCTACTCTCACCAACTTACCTATCTAAACCGATATATATTAACTACCCAACGGCATTCGTTCCCAAAGAGATACGGATGGGAATAATCAACCACGCACTCCACTTAAGCCCACCCATATAATATCCAAACCAATATAACTACGGCCAACCGCCTACAAGGCCCACGAGCCCAACCTCCCCGATCTCATAAAAACCACCCAATATCCTCATATTAAACCACGCATCGCACGCCTACGTAATCCCCTCCCCGCAATCTCCAAAAAACCCCCCTCACATGTAGTTATGGTTCGTAACTACCGCACGGCATGGGCGTTGCAGCCGTTGCGCTCCCCGTACCTCACAGTAGTATGCTTGCACTGCTTGCTCGATTGTTGGTTAGAATCAGCGGTTGATCAATTGTTTAATCAATCTACCCTGGGAATCCGATCGTCGGATGTCGGGTAAGGGTAACGCCACGCGGACCCTGGCTGTCTTGTGAGGGGGAGAACGGGTGTCGATATTGCTTTTCAAGGTACGGGATGGGATGTGCTGGGGCGGGCGGTGGTAGGGGGGGAGGATGCGATGCGATGCGATGCGACGTTGATGTTTGGTTTGATATTAACTGAGGATGAAGGTTTTGGAGGGGAGGGAGAGGGGGCGAATTGAAGTGATTGAATGAAGGATTGTTTCATTTGGATCGTTTGGGGCGCGATTTGTATGGGAGTGAGAGGGTGGAGAGAGAGGCGTTGGGGGCAAATGAATCATGATGTTTGAGGTGGAGATTTTCTTTGGGGGCGTCGCCGGGTGTTAATGATGTGCTACTACTCTACGACGGAGTATGAGTGTGAGTAGGAAGGCGTTCCATGCATTTGGATAGACGCTGAGTAAGTAATTCACGCATTGTGGATCTCTGTAGTTTTGTTGGCAGGTGGGTAAGCAGGTGGGTATAACTATCATGTGCGGGCATTGATGTACTCGTATGATGGAGGGAGTAGATATCTACAGCCTCGCCGAGAAAAAAGCAGCCGCCGGAAGCTGGAGTAAAATGGATGGATATATCATATGTGTACTCCGTACCTCGATACGAATATACGCACGCGGGTTATGCTGCATCTTTGCCGTAAGCCGTAGGTAGTGACAGACTGACAGTATTGTACTGCATTCTACTACTGCACTGGGGACATGTCGTTCCTGTACTGTGTAGGTGACAGGACTGCAGGGTAATCTATCGGCATGCTGGCTGTGCCGAAAGGAGTTGGAATTCCGGGGTCAGCGGCTGGATTGGCTGGCGCGGACGGGACATTAATTGGAGATTGGAGGCTTCAGGTTGGAGATTAGAGGAGGGGAAGTGCCATATAACATGATACGATTGGATTGTGATGTGATGTGTGACGAGGTCGACAGAGAGCGTGGTTGGAATACTGGGCAGAAGGCATTTGACATGTTGTTGCAGTGATCGTTCTACAGGAAGTATTTGCTCTCGTTTGTAGTCACGGAGAGGGAGAGAAAAGAGTACGCGATGGATGTCCTTTGCATGCCGATACGAGTAATACAAACCAATACAATAGTAACCACCAGTAACGACCTCCCGATTCCAATAGGATTGCCGATGCAATAATGCCAGCATGCCATGCAATGCCATGCCATCTCCTCCACTCATATTTCCCTCCACATGCATGCGACTTCCGGACAAGAATAGATATGAATAAAAGTACTCACTCAACTCGTAGGTTAGTATCTAGTTTAGTCATTCAAGCAGTCAGTCAGTCTCGGAGCACGGGTGGCTGATGATGTTGCTTTTTTCTTTTTCCCTGAATCTTTCCCACTCAGCTCGTTCCTCGTGATTCTACTTGAGCCCAGGCATCATCCACCCAACCATGATCGATCATCGATCAGATCACTATTGATTGTGTAAGGAGGGAAGGGTCGTCGTGGCTCGGCATAGTTTCCTGGGGGTCGGGTGACTTGAGCCTGTGGTACTTCATCTAGCCACACGTACCCCGCTGGGTCTTCCAGATTCTGCTCGACTGGGTAATAATATGATATTGCATTATTGTCGTTCTACTGCAAGTCTTTCCTCCCTCGGCTCGGTTAGACAGATGCGTGAGGAGGAGTTGAGTGGAAGGAGTTTGGGGGTCCGGGGTGGGGAGGGAAGGGTGAGGTACGGACTGTAATAGATTGAGGAAAAGACGGAAGAAACCTTCCAGAAGGCGCATGTTCCGCATGATTATTTGCTTGCTGGCTTGCTGGCATGCAGTGCATCACCTTTAGGCCCATGCTCATGCCATGTCCAGATCAACGTCCGAGGAAGCAGTCCAAAACGTTGTTACTTGGGCATTCAATTATTACCTTACGATACCGAAACTTACAGCGTTGTAACTTGTCTTGTATGTATGCATGTTCGGAGTATGTAGGGTCCTTCGCTTCAGAGTTCGTTCCTCCATCCTCCTCAGCCAGCCAGCCAGGCCAGCCCAACCCGGTCCGAAAACACTACATTCATCCATCCAGACATCCATACATGTAGTCAATCGATTACTGACTACTCTCCAGCTGCTGATGCTCCATTGCTGACGGCGCAGAGACATCACAGTCACAGCCAGGCAGACAAGCAAGCCATGTCCCCTTCAGGCTTTTCCAAGTGGTAACACAACCATCAACCACAATGGCTCCCTCCCTACCTCCCTTGCTCACATTAGTTACTCATTCACATTCTCACCCCTCAGCGCCTACGCTGCGCCCAGCACCACCATCTCAATAGACATCTGCAAACCCCTCTTTTTCCCGTCGGGATGTCCGTTCGTCCCCAAAGCATCCCTCTCCCCTCAATCACTCAGAGAATAAGGAAGGGAAAAAAGAGTAAAGTCATGCCTGGAAATGGGGTAGTCGACTCATTAGGGCCATGCAGCCTCGTATGCAAGTAAACGAACCGGCCGAACTGCGCTCGCTCGCTTCTGGGTTTTTCTTCTTCTGCTCTTGTCTATCTCTATCTCTCTATCTCTCTGTATTATACTCCGTACTTGTACTGTTTCTCTGCTCTCATCAGGTAGATAGTACTGTAGTTGCCGAACGACATCCTCATCCTCTTCCTCCAATCTAGGCACAACTGAACACCCAATCCCTCACACGCGAGATCACCAACCCAACCAATCACACCAAACCCCAAGCACTCAACCCACCCCCCAAAAACCCAAGAAAACAACAAGTGACTCTAACGCAAACCTAAAAAATCCCCCAACATTTTCCCCTCTCGCTACAAATCAGAAGCCGATGTCTGGGTAGGCTAAGCGAATGGTTGGGCCGGCCCCGGTTTAAAAACTTGGGGGGGAGAGGCGTGGGAGATTAGTTCTAGCGAGGAAGCCGTCGAGCGAGCGAGCGAGCGAGCCGGTGGTGGTGGAGCCGAGGGTGTGGGTGGGGGATGGGTGATGCCGTCCGTTGGGTTATGTGTTCGGGTGGGAATGGGGTTGAGGTAGATGTGTGTGTGTGTATGTGTGTGTGTATGGGAGGAATGGTGGTGAGTTGTATGGGGTTTATGTGTTGGTTGCTTGTATGTTGTATGATATGGTACGGCATGTTTGGTCGCATGAGAGATGTCGTGAATGGTACGGAGTATGGTCGCTGGTCTTGGCCAGATATCACATTTTATGTATGTACGTGCCTACTCATAACCTGCTACGGCTTTCACGCTCTGATACCAGTTGATATTTTCTTGCTTTCTCTGTCAGGACTTGACATATAATTTGAAGTGTTCTGTTATGGTCAAAAGTATTTCATTCAATTAACCCAAGTCAAGGCTGTCTCGGTTCCTTCTGATATCATGTTATATATCAATGATCAATCACTACATCGACCGTCTCTATGTAGAGGAGTCTACATTTCCTAGTCAAATATTGCTCATACTTGACAATGTGATTTAAAATTATAAACATAATATCAAGTGCAATCATCATTTTGTTTACTTCTACCTTGCGCTTTGCGTTGAGAGTGGGGAGAGGGGAGGAATGACGTCTATGTTTTGAGCTCTTTAATTATTATGAGTGTTGGAGTATTCAATGGTCTGCATGAATTGATTATTCCAAACCTTTGGTCGATACCATATACTAGGTTTCTTCGTTGATACAGACATCGTCAAACACATCGGAACGTTTGGTTTGGAGAGGGACGGCTGATGTAATACCACCGCGCGCAGGCATCATGTTTCACGGGGCTGCAATGGTACCTGATGAGGAAGAAGGCAAACTATCATACCCTCTCCTTCTCAAAAGAAACAATGCAGACAAACGAATTTATATCACATCACATAGACAGACTACTCCGTACAAACTACAGGCATGAGAGCAATCAAGACCCAACGCAACGCACCCATGCATCCTACCCACCAGCCACGAGCTCGCCCGTCGCGCCGCCTCCGCCGCCGTCGAGTTCAACCAGACCCAGACCCAGACCCAGTCACCAGTGCCAGCCAAACCCCACCCCCCTCCCTTGGGAATAGGTAGTTTTTTCTCCGTAAAACCGAGCAAAATAAAAGATGTATGTATGGACGGTAGTAAAACCTGTGCCTACTGCCGGAGACCCGCCATCTCGGATGACAGACACGGGAAGGGGAATGGAGGAGGCCGCTTTTCTGTGTTGTCTTGCTATGGGGCGAGGCGAGGGAGGACTCGCTGCCTTGGAGAGAAAAGAAAGGGTTCGGAGGTGGTGAGTCGTTGAGTGGTGCGTGCGTAGAGTCTTAAAGCGTCTTCTTACACGGTGGTTACACGGTACGGATTATCAGTCATCAAGGCCATTAACTAACTACCGCACGTCACAATCCAGCCCTGCGAGGGGACGTTGACTGTGAGAAAGTACATGGACTGAGGGAATATGTCATCTGTACTCTGTGAATCCTATGGTAAGTATGTGTGAGAGATGTGGGTTTGCGTGTGCGCGTGTGATGTGTGCCTATGTGCTGTTCTATTGTGTTGTGCTGTGTTGTGCTTAGCCCCGACTAGATACTCCCAACGTATGTTCCGGAGACGGAGAAGTAGTTACTCTGGTCTGGTCTGGCTGGCTCCTACGAGGCGGTACTTTGACACTGACACTTCATCCATTTGGTGTGCTGGCCTGTCCTTCCCGCCCTCTCTCGCGCGCACGCACGCACGCACGCTTGCTTGCTCGGTGCGATCGGGGACGGATGATTCATACGTGATTGGTGGGGCAAGACGAGGCAATGCGAATTCCGGGGCGAGGCAAAAAGATGAAATGCAAAGGGCGGTACCTGACCTGAAGGGCAGGCAGGCAGGCAAGCAAGCCCTGCAACGATTGAGGAATTGAATAAATTGGATGGGACGTTGTTATATGCGATGCGATGAAGTGGTATGGCGGGGCGGGTGATGCTCTCCGGCATCCATGAACCATGATCCATCGCAATCCCAAAACTTCCCAAATCTCTCTGCGGTTCTCGGCTCAAACAAAATCAACACAGGACAGGAACGATGCCCACTTTCGAAACAGGTACCCTAGCGGATCCGGCCAGAGTTGCCAGGGTCGGGAAGGGAAGGGAAGGACCCAGTTTGTGGTGTATTATTCCACTTCCCGTCCTGCCCCCTCCAAGTGCTACCGCCGTTGTTTTTTAAACGCGGAGCCATTCGCCAGAGGGGTTTCGTTTTGGTGAAGCCAGCGTTGGCGTTGGCGTTGGCGTCGCCGGCGTTCGTTGGCGTCTGCGTCTGCGTCTGCGTCTGTCGTCTTCCCTTGTGCATTTGCCACGAGCCAGAGCGCGGAGAGCCCTGAGCTTAGCACCGCCATAGCCCGGGATAGGTCAGGACTCAGGACTTTTTGGGGGGAGGAACTGGAAACTGGAACTGGAGCTGAAGCTGGATCTGGATCTGGATCTGGTAAATGGCACTCGTGCTGCGGTTCTGCGACGGGCGAAACGCTGGAATCCGGTGTACCGTGTGGGTAGGGCAAATCAATTACTGGTCAGTCATTCATTATTCAGTAATCCACTGAATTCGATTCAATTCAAGTCAATTCAAAGTCATTCGCTCCATTCATTCGTTCGCCCGCTCGTTGGCTCGGTTCCGAAAGTCCAGATCGAGTCAAAAGAGGGCCAATAATGTCCTACAAGTACCTACCCTGCCCTACCCTACCTTGCCCTACCAACTGCATTGTCGCAGCACGAGCGTCGGTCAGCGACCCCCGTCCCGTACCGCGAGGCAGTGGAGAGATGGCGTGTTGACCGCCAGAAAGGGATGAGCGGTGCCAGCAGCAAGCAAAAGGGCTGGGAATCTGAACATCTGGCGATGCAGTCATCCTGCTGCTGGGTAAGGATCGTTTGAGGGAGGATTGAGGATTGGGGGGATGTTTGAAGAGGAAGGGCAGTGATGAGATGGAGGGAGGAGGACAGTCAGCCCCGGCCAGCCAATGCCAAGCTGGCTAGCCGTCCATCCATCATTCATCCAATCAATCTATCAAAAGGTCGTGAAGAAGAAGAAAGAAAGAAAGAAAGAAAAGAATATAATTAAACAGGTCACTCGCCCACCTCTATCTCCATCTTGGTTAGTGGTGACAACAATCAAGTAACTCAATGATTGAAGATAATGGCAATAAGCATGATGATACGAGCAGAGAGGTGGGTAGTAGATAAGTACCCCAATGAGGAGATACCTAGGTACTCTGTAGGTATTACTGCACCTACTGTGTAGGTGGACAGGTCGTACGTCAAGTATTATTATCATTACATGTCGAACGCCCATCTGGGCATGGAATGTTCTGAATTGGGACCGGCACCGGTTACATGAACTGGATGGGATAGGATGAGATGGTATCGAAATGGCCTCGTCGTAGATTATTCAGGTAGCACGAGGCACATACTCGCAGTCCACAGTCCACAGTCACTACACCTTTTGGACGCGGCCCGTTGTTGCTAGCACTATGGACGAGTATTATTACTCGCTCGCTCAAAGGTATCTCTGCCTAGTTATCGCTGTTGCGCCGTGGAGTTGGAGTTGGACTCGGACTCGGACTTGGGACTTGAGGACTGACTACTGGGATTGGGAAGTTGTAGGTGTGACTCGGCCTCCTCCATCCCTCCCTCTCTCCCTCCCTCTCTCCCTCCCCCCAAGTCCAGAACGAGGCTTCGAGGCTCATCAGGTGCCAGGTTGGCGGTGATCCCGTTCTACCCTACCCTACCCTACACCCACTCTACTACACAGTACACCACACCACCTCTGCCTCTCCTCTGTTAAATTAATTTGCCCCAATTTTGAATGAGTCTGCTTGAGTGGTTCTGCTCTTCCCAATCTGGGGCGGTGACGACGGTGGTAATGGGTGGTGGTAGTAGTGGTGGTGGTGGTGGTGGTGGTGGTGGTGACGAAGATGATGATGATGACGATGGACATACGAGGAGGAGTTAATCAGGGTGTTTGCCTCGACCGCCCTACCCGGGCCGGGGGTCATCCAACCATCCACGCATCCACGCATCCACGCATCCATACCGCCCTTCGGAGGAAGTGGAGGAGTGTGTACTCAGTGTAGAGGGAGTGGGAATAGGTGGGAATAGTAAGTTACCCAGACGGTGTGTATACTTGTAGGTGTAGTAGGTCAGGTGTATGTCTTGGTGTGGGTGTGGTTGTAGTGGTGGTGTGCTGTGTGTACCGGTAGACGCTCGTAGTGTATTCCCAGTGACCGTACCTACACAGTAAGTAGTGACTGCGGTAGTGACTGTGGTAGCGTAGGGTGAATGGGTGTGAATGGGTAAAGAAAGAGAAAGGAAGAAGGGAAAGGGTATAGTATCGTATAATTAGTAACTCTTTAATAGTATGGTATGGTAATAGTAATGATACAAGGTATGCTGGGCTGGATGGCTGGCTGGCTTCTCCGGCCCAACATCCATTCACCTTCGATTCACTTCACCAATTCAATTCAATTCAGTTCAATTCAACAACAGCAACAAAGAAGGGTGGATGAATTGTTGTCAACCTCCTCATATTCTTTTTCTATTTCCATCGTCGTCATTGTCACTGCCATTGTCAATACAAACACGCCCTACCTCCGCCCCGGCGCATTGTTTGCGAAGAATGAACTGAGTCCTCATTCTTTTTCCCGTGACAGCCAATCGTTTCATGACGGTACCTTTCGACACCCGTGCACTCATTCACACTCATTCACTGTCACTTACTCACCCATTCACTCACCCACCCATTCACCCACTCTCCCACTCTCCCACTCCCTCATCCACATCCACATCCACATCCACATCCACCACTACACAGGTGTAATGACAGTCTGACCTTGGACCTTGTCTTTCTTCTTGTCCTTTTCTTGTCCTCTCCTATCCTTTCCTGTCCTGTCCTGTCCTGTCATGTCCTGTCCTGTCCTGAGCTGTCCCGTCCTGACTTGACCTGTCTTACGGTCTTCCGAGTCCCCAAAGCGAGAGAAGCGGCCAGCGTTAGTGGACGGACGACTCCCTGCAACTGGCACTGGCACTGGCACTGGCACCTGCACTACTACCACTCTACTATTACTAGCACACTACCCCGTCACCCCGTCCACCTCTTACCATACCGTACATACCTACTCTACTCTACCTAACCTACCCTACCCTATCCTACCACTCCTACCGACCTCTCTACCTCTCACCACCTCAACACCTCACCACCTCGATCCTCACTCATACTCTCATACTCTCATACACACTCTCTCTACCTCCCTCTACCTCAACTACCTCAACTACCTCATACTCACACTCAACAAGAGGCCTGCAGTGCACCTCTCCACCACTACCTCCTCCTCGAGTCACCCATCCCCCGATCCGTCTGCTGACCTCGACCGTCCCTGTGCCTGGGTGCGCTCTCCATGCATCGCTTCCCTTGACGACCGTCCTCTGGTGCGAGACTTGACACCGCACGCAATTCTCTCCCCTTTCTATCCTCCTATCCGACACAGGCCAGCCAGAGCCCGAATCATCACACTATATGGCGGCCGCTGCCATGCCTCCTCATGGCATTGCCCTTCATGGGGCTCCGGATGGCGACATCGGATCGAAAGATGCTAAGCACTCACCCGTCCAGGCCATGCAGCTCGAGATGACCCAAGACATGGTCGACGAGCTCCTGCAGAGCGTCAACTCGGGAAATACTCCTCAAATAATATTCGGACGAACTCCTGTAGGTCTTCTGCCGACTTGTTTTTGCTTAACCCCGAGTCTCTTCCGTCGGGTGCTCCTAAAGGGCGGTGGTTGAGCTCGAGGAATGAGGATGGCGTAGGACCTTGGCTAACCCGCACCCAGCAACTCAAGTACGGCGATAAAACCCACGTATTGAACTCCACCCCCGAGGCCTACCGCTACGAGTTATACCGTTCCGACGGCAGCGAGAACGATGACGACCTGGAATTCGCCGGACTCATCAACCACAGTCTCGCTGTGCAGAAGGCCGAGGATGTCATGGGAGGCGTCGACACCGCTCTGGAGCAGCTGAAGAACAGCATGGCGGCAATGGCCGAGCTCAAGGAAGCCAACAAGTATGCCTCACGCATCATCTTGTCCTTGTCTTTGGTGGGTATGGTGGACTAACAGTCGCTACTAGGACTATTGTTGGTGATGCTGCAACCTCACGCAACCCCGGCCATCGTCGTTTGCCCTCGAAGAGCCTCAACAAGTCGCAACTCCTCACACCCTCCTCCGCCGCTTCGCCCTTGCCCAAGGCACCGACCTCGCAGCCTTCCGGCAATCACCACCTCGTCCTGCGGGCACTTCGCACTCCTCTCATCCACCTTCTCGCCGTCCAACCCTCCAAAGATACCTACCTCGCCGAGACATGTCGGACTTCGGTCGCTAACATACGAGAGGTCCTGCCCAAGATTGCCAGGCCCATGCCGGATGACAAAGAGAGGTGGCAGCTCGTTGACAAGTCATTGTGCGAGCTGAATCCCTGGAAGTTCACCTACAGGAATTCCGACGACCGAGAGAAGGCCATTGAGTCCGCCATCAAGTCGTTCGACCGACTTCGTACACCAAAGGACGACAAGCTCTGGCAGATCTTGCTGCCCGTACAAGAACGGGGCCAGGGCAAGTGCCTGTCCCGACTTAACCTCAAAGCACCCGAGCAGAAGGATCGAAAGCCCTCCACTCCCGTGCACAAGATGACCAAGAACTCGGACAAGAAGACCAATGCGAAGAAGCCGGAAGACAAAGATGCAGAGAAGAAGGTGAAGGAGGGCAAGGATACTCCTGAAGTGAAGCCGAAGAAGGTGGTGAGGGAGAAGCCTGTTGCTGCCGCTCCTGCACCCGCAGTGAAGGTGAAGGCGAAAGAGAAGGTCAAGGAGCCGGTGAAAGAGAAAGAGACGGCCAAGGCTACAAAACCTTCTACAACCACCGCAGCAGCCTCCAAGACCGCGACACCCAAGACCGCTACACCTGCAAATCGCAACACACCCACCATGAACGCCACGAAGATTCGCACCAAGAAGCCTGCGCCTGCTGGCGAGGGCGCTTCGCCTCGCGTTCGACCTCAAGCTTCTGCCAGGGACCTTTCCCAACGGGAACGCAACTACAGGCCGCCGCCCAAGCCTGCCGTCAACACCAAGCCAAAGAACCCGTCGCCACTCTCGGCCTCTCCTCCCGTCAACGCCAGCGACTTCGAGGACAGCCATCCGGTCCACAAGAAACTCTCTGCCGCTCCCTCCCCTGCGAAGCCTTCCTCTGGCAATTCCGATCGTACCCTCAAGCGTAAGGCGAATGACATCGACAGCGACATTCACAACCACAATCTCTCCGTCAAGTCGGCCCGCACCGATCGCCCTACACCCTCCCAGACCCCGTCGAGCACCAGTGGCCGCCTGAGTGGCAATACACCCTCCTCCACCAGCTCACTCAAGCGCAAGAGCGACGATTCATCCACCTCGAACACGCCGACGAACAAGATCCGCAAGTTCACGAACATCGACACCGGCCTTGCTTCGCGGTACCAAGGGCACAACAGCCAAATCTCCCCTGGCGATTCGTCCTCGTCCGGCACCTCACCCACCCTTCCAAGCCTGAGCTTCCGACAGACCGTCGAGCTCAGCCAAAAGTTCCAAAAGTACTACAAGCGATATGAAGAGCTGTACTGGCAGCTAGCAGACGCCACTTCGCCTCCCACCGAGTCCCAGCGAAACGAACTGATGAGGATGCATAAGAAGCTGGAAGAGATGAAGCGCGAGATCAAGACCGGCGCTGGTCTCAGCCGGTGACTCTGAATGAAGAATGGACTGCTGACGACGTTGAAAAATATGACGGTGTGACCTTGATGGTCCAGAGGTTGGAGGTCCACAAAAACATCAGGCGCTGGAGGATTCCTACCTTTTCTTTCCCTTTTTGCTTTGACTGCAAGGCTTCGAGCCTGCTTCTATCCCTCTTCGTGAGGTGATTTGCTCTGTTTGCATCTCGGATCAGGTTCATTGATTCTTTCTTGCGTGTTTTTTCATTCGATCTTCTGCATAACAATATCGGGGAAACAAGGTTGCATCAAGGATTTGGAGTTTTTTCTTTCCCACCTACTATTCCCCCATATTCCCCCATATTCCCCCATGAATACATACAGCAGAGCTCTCGCTCGGAAGCGAAGAAGCTCTGCGAGTCTTGAGACGCAGGGCTAATTCTCCCCTGCTGTTCTCGACGAAAAAGACCCGACATGAAAGCATACCGATAAGGATAAATAAAATCAGGATTTTCTACTTTGACTCAATTGATCCATGCCATGTGACCGTATCGATGATTGCAAGGAACGAAGTTGGGATGACATAACTTTGACCGTGATACACGACCTACCAATATATTTACCAAACATACCAACAACAACCACTCACTCACTCATTCTTTCGACCATTCACTTCCCCTCCCCCTTCTTACCACCACCACCACCACCACCCTCCCCACCCGCAACAGCATCCCCATCCACAGCAAACCTCCTCAGATCCTCCAACCTCACCCCCTCCAACGCCCTCACATTCGTCCTCTCCAACCACACCCTCGGCACCACCCCTCCCTCCACCCCGCCCGCCTCCCCCCTCATCGCCGCATCAAACGCCTCCTTCCACCGCGCGACGCAGAGACACCACCGACACCCCGCCGTGACGCCCGCGGCCCTGAGGTCGTTGCCCCGGGCCGCCGAGAAGTCGAGGAAGCTGTCGGACAGCTCGGCCGCGACGCTGTGGTTGCCTGCGTCCGTCGCGGGGGGCGATTCGCAGTAGCCGGTTCGCAGGTACCCGGTTAGGGGGCGGGTGGAGTGGAGTTGGAGGGGGCGGTTGAGTACTACAGGGGAGGGTTTGTTAGATGGGTTGTTTAGAGGAAGAGAGATACATGGGAGTTGTGTGTTATGAGATGGTGAGGATTTGATGTGAACGAACGAACGAACGAACAAACAAGACTGGATATGCATGTGCATGCGTACGGAAACCGGGGCGCGGGGAGGGGGTTAGGGTTAGGTACTCACCATTTCGCTCCATGGTTTTGTATTCTGATAGTTCGCGCTCTCGCTCGAGCTGTTGGCGGTACTGTTCGTCTTGGTCTTCGACCTCGTCTGTCCTGAGACCGAAGTTGTTGTCGTTGTTGTTTTTATGTGGCGGTGCGGGGGATTGGACTTCGAGGAAGACGTCGTGGACTTGTGCGAATGGGCGGGGGCGGGTGTGACGGACAATGCTGTTGGTGATGGTGGTAGCGGTAGCGGTCTTCCTGGGTGAGAAGGAGAAGAGTAGAGTTCTCGGGATGCGGATTTGCATGAGTAGCGGAGAGAGCGCTGTCAAGGCGTTTTGTGGTGTGTGGAGATATTGTTTGTTTGTTTTTTTCCTGTTTGCTTTTTTGCACTTGGCTAATTGGCCCTGACTCTTTCTTTCCTTTTGTTTTTCTTTGGATTCGGATACGAAATCGAAATGGTGGGGTTTCTGATTGGTGATGTTGTTGGATATGGGTGTCGTTTTTGACGTGTACAAGTATAAAGGACGACGTCAAGACTCGAGGTTATCAATTACCAGTGGTTGGGAGGTGGGAGCTTCGTAGGGCTGAAATGGGGAGGGGTGCGCTGGGGCGGATGACGTTCATGCAGGGCTGGACTGGACTTCGACTGGGGGGAGGGAGGGGAGGGGAGGGAAACCAAATAATAACACCAATTGCACTTGACCAGTAATTAGCTACGCTTCCTACCTAGGTTAAACTACTGCAACTCGCTGATCTCTCTCGAAAAGAACATCGTGGGGCCGCACCTGCCCGCCGCCGCGCCGCCGACCGAGTGAGGAGGGCGAAAGTGACGATCTTTGTTGATTGGGGGCGCCAGTGCATCCGCTGGGTGGGCGGCGGCGGGCGGGCGGGCGGTGGTGGTGCCAATGCGCTTGCTGATCTTTTGCCTGATTGTTGTGGGGGAGTGGTGGGAATGGGAGCATAACTGTTTTGATGCTGTATATTCATATGGACGAGTATGTGCGTTTGGTTTTTGATGGGTTTTGGATAGTTAAGGGATTTTGGTACTCGTCTGGATTGAGCGTTGGATGGCTGTGGTATCGTTTTGGGTGAAAGTTTGTGGGAGGACTTGGAGGTATAAGGGCAGCTTGGGTTTGCTAGGAACTATAAATTGTTAGGCAGAGCAGAGAAATGTGTAGGGAATTTTTAATCGAGTAAGCTTCTATCTATTAAAAGATTGAAATCATGTGTCTTAAGATTCTATAAGCTGCAGTTAGAAACACACATGTATATACTTTGATTAAAGCTCGATTTCTCACCACTCTTTTGGAATTCCATTGCCAGCAGTTGTCTTAAAAGTACAGCCTGCAGATATAGTGTAAGACTTTGGCTCACTGTAGCCAGTCTCTATCTCTCAAGGTTGTATAAATCGAGTTGTCTGATTCTACGTGGTAGTCAGTCCAAATACTGATCTCCTATGGCTACCCTGCGGTAGACACCAAAGGACGTGAACTGCAAGCTATTATTTGAAAATGTCTCGATTTTGGAATGATCCCTGTCGCTAAACGACTCTTAAGGCAGCATTGATACTTGATCCTGGAGGTTGTATCTCCATCAAGTCACATATTCACATGTCGTTAAGACATAGCCATACTGGAATCTTAGTATGCAGTGACTTGCTTCCCTCGAAATTGCTCCACTTTCGTGATATACCAACCTGTAGATAATTTTATTTGGGCTGTATCAATGATTACACGAACATCTGACTGTTGTATGGAACATTGATTAGCAATTAACTTCTTGTAGATTTATTCAACTCCCTTATCAAAAGGTCTAGTGCTGGACACATTGAAGCTGTTGCAAAAGACGGTATTTATATCTGATTTGATTATAATTCTACTGTTCAAGTGGAAAGTTTTTAACTCATATGAATCAATGCAGGTCTCAAACAATTATTATTGCATTGTGTTGTGTACGGCGGCAAACAATGCTTGACCTTATGATAGCGATGCTCGTTCAATTTCCATTTCCGCATTGGGCGAGAGCGCGTTGCGTCACGAGGGAGCGGGCATTCACATGCCTCGGCTCGCAAATACCCCAGCTCCCCCGGATTGCACATGTCATCCACCATCCCCATACTTCACACGTACACAATCCCACACGCCCCAAGACATGCTGCCGCTCGTCAACGGGACTCTCATGGCTCAGAATGGCAGCACAATCGACATTACGAAAACCTGATGACCCTCTCCAAGCGCTCTACAACCACTATGCCGCGTCCCTGCGATCCCGCGTCTCCAATGCCTCCAAGCTCACGAAGCTACTATCCACAATAACACTCCTGTTCACCATAATCGGCACCGGCTATGGCGGGCAAAGGTGGTTCAAGAAACGGCGCGCTGAGAAGGAGACGGGAAAAAGACTTCTAAGGAGGAATTCGGGCCTCAGAGGGAAGGATGGCTCGCGGACGATATACGTGCCAAACCGGGACTCAACCTCAAAAGTCGTTATCCACCCTACCAAGCAGACGACTTTCGATGCGCATCGCCGTCTCTTTCTACAGCCGCCTCGCGCTGCCCGCATGGCCGATGCAGGCAACCCGCACGCTCCTCCGCCGCAGACAAAGCCCGGTCTGAATCTTGCGTTCCTCCACCAGTTCCTCAGTCTTCTCAATATCATGATACCGAGATGGAACAGCAAGGAGACGGGTCTCTTGCTCAGTCACAGTGTGTTTCTCATGCTGCGAACCTATCTTTCGTTAGTCGTCGCGCGACTAGATGGAGAGATCGTGAGGGATCTGGTGGCCGGTAATGGCAAGGCCTTCCTCTGGGGCATTGTGAAATGGCTAGGAGTCGGCACATTCTCATCATACACGAATGCTATGATCAAGTTCCTCCAGTCGAAGGTTTCGATAGCGTTCCGAACCCGCCTCACGCGGTACATCCACGATCTATACCTAAACGACCACCTCAACTACTACAAGTTGGCGAATCTCGATGGTGGAGTGGGACAGGGTGCGGATCAATTCATCACACAGGACTTGACGCTATTCTGTGCCTCGGCTGCTTCGCTATACTCCTCCTTAGGAAAACCTTTCGTCGATATTTGCGTGTTCAATTATCAGCTCGTTAAATCTCTGGGACCATTGGCTCTGACTGGCCTTCTTGGAAACTACTTCTTGACCGCGACCGTGCTTCGGAGACTATCGCCTCCGTTCGGAAAGTTGAAGGCTGTGGAAGGCAGAAGAGAAGGAGATTTCCGTGCGCTGCACTCTCGTCTCATTGCAAATGCGGAAGAAGTTGCATTCTACGGTGGTGATCAGATGGAGAAGCATTTCCTCGAACGAGGATTCAAGGATCTAAAGCATTGGATGGAAGGCATCTACAGTCTGAAGATTCGATACAACATGCTGGAAGACTTTGTCTTGAAGTACTCCTGGTCGGCCTTCGGCTATCTTATCACGTCGCTCCCAGTCTTTCTACCAGCATGGGGCGGACTACGTGCCGCACCAGAATTGCCTGGTGACGAACGTCATAATCGGGAGCGCAACCGCATGAAGGACTTCATCACCAACAAGCGTCTTATGCTGTCTCTTGCCGATGCCGGTGGCCGAATGATGTACTCCATCAAGGATCTTTCAGAACTCGCAGGCTACACCTCGCGCGTGTATACTCTCATCAGCACGCTGCACCGAGTCCACGCTGATGCCTATCACCCACCCCCAGGTACGCGCCCAGAACTGTACTCAGTATGTGATGTGCAGGGAACAGTACACAAAGGTTTCGATGGCGTACGTCTCGAGCACGTCCCAATCGTCGCGCCAGGCTTGTACCCTATGGGTGGTGACGAGCTCCTCGAGTCTCTCTCCTTCATTGTACATTCTGGAGAGCACCTCCTGATTACTGGTCCCAATGGCGTCGGCAAGTCTGCCGTCTCACGCGTCGTTGCTGGTCTCTGGCCAACATATCGTGGCCTTGTCAGTCGCCCACGCGCAGCAGGCACCGACGGAATCATGTTCCTCCCCCAACGCCCCTACCTTTCAACCGGAACCCTCCGTGACCAAGTTATCTACCCACACACCGAGATCGACATGAAGGACGCTGGACGGCGCGACATCGAGCTAAGCCAGGTCCTCGAAGAGGCCAAGCTGGGCTATCTCCCCGACCGAGAAGGCGGCTGGGACACGAAGAAAGTATGGAAAGATGTCTTCAGCGGAGGCGAGAAGCAGCGAATGGGTATAGCTAGACTTTTGTACCACGAGCCGCGATATGCTTTCATCGACGAGGGCACCAGTGCCGTGAGCAGCGATGTCGAAGGCCTTCTGTACGAACGCGCGAAGGCAAAGGGAATCAGTAAGTGTTGACCTTCAACAAAATTTCGACAAGATATCTAATTCATGCCCCGAACAGCACTCATAACAATCTCAACCCGTGCTTCTCTCAAGCGCTACCACACCTACACCCTCACCCTAGGCATGGGCGACAACGGCGACGAATGGGAAATCCAACGCATCGGCACCGAGAGCGAGAAATCCTCCGTGGAGAAAGAACTCCACGAGCTCCGCGAGCGCCTCTCCAAGGTCGAGGAATGGAAACAGCGAAGGCAGGAGATCGACGACGAGCTCAACAAAGTATGGGTCGAGCACGCAGATGGGGAAGCCGCAGAGGAACTCGCACCGCCGTCGTACGCTGCTGCCACCGAGCAAGATAACGACAGTGCAGTCGAGCAGAGCGTTTAACCGGATTGCATTGAACGTCGATCGTGCAGGTGAATGGCATGCACGCAATGTACGCATACTATGTGTTTTTATCTTTCTCCCCCCACATTGCGAAGGTTCCGTCTGTTGCACACTGCATTTCAGGGCCCAATTCCAACGGTGCAGCGAGCCAATCCAATATATACGATACTGAAAATAGAACCCGGGAACATAATCTCTTTTCCCCATGTATGTTTATTGTGGAGCTCTTCCGTAGTTCCCATCCCTGACCGCCCCTGCATTTGGTTTGATTGTTGAGTACAGCCTTCCGTTTCGGCGTACCTGGTTTGTGGGATTCTTGGTCGCGAATATAGGAGCAATATAAACATTTTATCACAACAATTTCACGTCCAACGTCGTGTCTTGTCTATCTGATAGCTGTCGAATTCAGTAATAGAATTTTCTCAAACGACAAGAATGGAGATGTGTAGCTTTTGTCAATTTTATCTCTGTGACATTGGAAATATCAAAAGCACAGTTGATATCACAAGGCCTCGGAATCATCCCGAGTCACAATCCGAAGCAGTCAATCAACCATGGACTTGAAATACAAAAGATCTAATTCTTCTTAAAAACACATTTTCTCCCCCCTCCCTTTTCCCTACGACGGAAAAAATACCCTATAAACACTGGCCACCAACCAATCGCTTTCCAACCAAACCGGGTATTGAACAGCAACAACAACCTACATACACCAATTCCCCCAAACCTTTTTCTTCCCACCAGCTTCAAGCGAAAATTATCTAGCACTGCCTCCACTTGATGTACAAAGAGTGCGTGAACCTGGAGCTCTCCTTAGTCGCGGCGAGGGTACCGGACGCGGAGCCCCCGAGCGGGGTGAGCGCGACCTCAGCGTTGACGTTGAGCAGCGCCTGGTTGCCGCACGGAGACCAGACGCTAAGGGGGATTTCGTCGTGCTTTGTGTAGCGGCCGGAGAAGGGGCCTTGGATGGTTGACGAGGTGGAGATCTGTTGCTACAACCGTTAGATGTCGTTTCATTCGTTTCTCGGGGTTGGATTCGATTTTTGGAGGGAATGTAAGGGAGGGGGAGAGGGGAGGGGAGGGAGGTGATTTCTTACCTGTGACTGCTCGCCGGAGAAGTAGTAAGTCGCCTTCACGAGGCCCTTGACGCCTGCGTCGAGGTCGCCCCAGCCGGCGTAGTCGGCGCTGTAGACGGCGTATTGGTAGCCTGAGCTGAAGCGGAGGTCGATGTTGATCTGGCAGTTCTTGCGGGACTGGTCGGGCTGGACGTAGGGGCCGACGGAGGCGGTGAATTCTTTGCTGAAGTCTGGGTTGGGGGTGGAGACGTCAGTTTTGAACGATGTTTGGGGAGTCGGGCAGGTAACTTACAGATGGGGAGAATCTGGCTGTTGGTCCAGTCAATGTCGATGGAGCCCTGGGGGCATCCTGATCCGCCGGAGACGACGTTGTTGATTCTGAAGGAGCCTGGTGCGACGGCAACGGCTTCTGGGACTGGGCTGGCGAGAGCAACGGCCGCGAGGACGATGGAAGAGAGTGTGTACTTCATCTTGATTGGAGTTTAGAGATATGGTTTCTGGGCGTTCGCTACCAAAGAACAATGATCAGAGTGGGTGGAGAAAATTTTATATGGATTATATGCTATCCGTGTGGTGGCAATGATATCTTGGAGATGAACGATGATAGTTATACAAGAAAGGAAGGGAGCGACGCCATTACTTTATACCTTGAAGCTCCTAATCACCCGCAGTCACAAACACCTGTGCAAAGATCCTAGGTCCTCGTACTTGTGTATAGTGGTTCACGACATCTTGAAATTCGCAAAAACTTACCAGGACGGTGCCCCGGCCCGTTTCGTATGACCAAACTATTGGTCGATTCGAGTATTCGGACAAAAAATAGCACATCTCTTTCATTTCTTCTCGGCAGCATTGTAGCCAAAAGGTTCGACTTGTGCTGGCACAAACATGCCGAAGTGGTGATGAACCCAGCACAGATCCTCAGAGGATATTCGAGACAGACACGGATGGAGACTAGAGGATCTGCCGTCGAAATTGCGGTGCATTGCAAACGCGGCGGCGCCGTGACGATATGGCAAGGTGGCGAGAGGACGTCTCCGCTCTAGAACGCTGTGGCTTCATCGCCAGGACGAAAACCTGGGGCAAGTCGTCAAGATGGAGAGATGATCGGCCCAAAAATAGCACATTGGCAATTGACGGCGTAGCGTGATGGTAAAGACGAGCGCTCGAATCTGGCGACAAATTGTATATAATAGATTGAAAGACCTGTCGAGGTCTTGGAGGCGCAACGGCCAGCGACCGGTTGATTGACGATGTGCGGAAAGCTTGTTGGTGCTTTAGCGAGGACGGACGGGTGATTAGAGCTCCCCAGTTAAAGATTCAGGCTTGCCCGTTGTGGCGATTGGGAGTTCCAGAGGTTCGTATCATTCATCAATGGATATATTAGGCTCGACGACCTTCACTAACTCTTTTCCCCCAGCTGCAGCGCGCAACAACTTCTCACTTGCCCGGTTCGTTCGATGTGCAATATACAAGCCATTAGGTGAATTTCCTTCCGAAGGTCCCGAAAGCCTGAAATCGAGCGCATGGGGACTATGTTTAAAGTTGGGTTGTTGGCTATTGTTAGCACGCCGTGCTGGATAATATACTTTAGCGATGTGACCAGGTGTTGTAGATGGAAGACCCGCGTGCCAAAGCCCGGGGGCGGCGGTCACATTCTCAGAGGCTAATCTCCCATCATAGCTTGACATTGTTCAACGAGAGAAGTTATGCTCTGGTAATTCGTCCTCGTAAGGTCAGCAGCTACATAGACATAAGTCGGAATACTCTGGCATGCTCGGTGCTAGTCAAAGTGAGCACAATCCTTTATGCCTGGCTGGGTGTATGGAATGACATCTGTTGAACAATTGCTCTCATTAGCAGCACAGGAGAACCGCGTACAAGAACAAGTTTTTCGAAAACGATTGTTGCTGACGAACCTGTATCCCGAGGTTAGATCTATTCATGTGTTTGAGTAATCATTTGGTTCTTGGGCTCTTGGACAAACACCGAGCAGAATTTCTGCTAACAAGGCAAGACCAGAATCTCCACACTGTCGAGCTTTTATTTTCGATTTCAGATGCTCTTATGAAGGTACTCGAAATTCAAGCACTTGGTTAAGTGTCAGTATCAATACCTTTTGGGGATTGTACTCTGATGAATCGTTGCGGAAGCTTCTTTGTTGTCGCCGGGAATAGGATGTATCCGACCCACGAAAATGCTTTGAGGGACTCCATAAACCGGAAACTAATTTAGTGATCTTTAGATGTGGCAAAGTACTCGTCAGCTGGCTTGGTCTAATGGAACTCTTGCAATAGAATCGATGGCTCCCTGAACCACGGTGTTTGCCATTCCTGGAGATGTTTAGTATTCCAAATATGAACCTGTCTGCAGGATTGCCCAGTATCAAAAAGTCTCCTTGATATTGGCTGCTGAAAACATAGACCGTCATCAAGCAGACATGAACGTCAGCACCACATCTACAATAGTAATGGACTGGCGATGTTAGTGATTATGATGATAATGATAGGCCGCCCTAAGGTTCATGAATATGCATGTATGGGCTAAGTCATGCATCATCGGCATATGTAATTGAAGTACCGCGAAATGTAGTCGAATTCCGTCTGGTTCTTACAACGATGTATATCAAGATCGATGAGTAGACATAGGCGGCAAGATTGGTTGTATGTTGGACATTGTAATTGGCATTCTACTCAGTAGTTAAACAGACTAGCCGTCTACCCTGGCCTTACAGGTGGATACTTTGCTTCGTTCAGGCGTTCCAGCTCCCGTCCCCTAGAGAGACCCTTTTTGCTAGTGTAGCACTTTTTTGTTGTTAGGAACGTGGCATCGAGCTCCCTTTGAGGTAGAGGTCCGATGCTCTTCGGACATGATCCCGGAAAGGGCCGAAAAGAAGTGGTGCTCGTTGTTTTTCAAACAACTTCACCGCTTCACATAATTGCAATGTTACATGGATGATCTTGAGGTCAGATGAGGCAAGTCTCAGGTATGTGGCCGAATCGTGCCGGACGAGTCAAAACAGCTTACCATTTCGGCCTGTGGCGGGTATGGATTGCGATAATGCCTATTACGGCATGTGAAGTGTATCAAGACGAAGCCCCCAGAGAGACAAGGGCTTATTCAGAGATGGATCTAGATCGGATATGCATTCAGATCGAGAAGTAATGATTGGTCTCTGGTCAGCAGGAAAGAATCAGCAAACGGCAGCAAGTCTTGTACGAGTATGAAATGTTGGAGGCGGGAGTTGGTGTCGGAAGAGTTGGCGACTACAGTGACGAATTGCCCCTCAGCGTCGCCAAAGGCCCCGCACTTCCCTTACATTTCTCCCATGTCCCCTCCCTAGCAACCCTGGGTGCCTGGCTCTAGCTCCATACACATCAGTACAGTACACTACACTACGACGAGCTACACCCACCCGTCACAGCCCCTTTGCCATCAACAGCCCCGCAAAGAGCCTCGAATCTTCCTTGGATTGCCTCCTGCTACATCTTGCACTTGTCGCCAATTCACCACTCAAGATTCATGACACTGCCGAGGATCCCACCGCTACAATCCGTCCTAAACCGAGTTTCGACTAACTTCTCTCCACCGGCCACCACCGACTATGGACGTGCGGGTATCACATTCCATGGGCTCCACCATAGCTCTTATGCTAGTTTGGCAATGTCCTTAAAAAGTGACAATGCCCGCTCATCCTGATCTTGAATCTCGATCTGAAAGTCTCTATCATTCCAATTCATTCAAAATCTTCTGCAATCATCATGTCTCCCATTCAGTTCGACAAGTTCTACAACATCGTCAACGCCGAGCAGCGTGGCAGCAAGGAGATCCACCGCAACGTTAACCCCGCTACTGGCGCGGAGAACTGGGAGGTTCCCATTGCCTCTGAGCAGGATCTCAACGACGCGGTCGCAGCAGCCAAGAAGGCCTTCCCATCATGGAGAGATACCCCTCTCGAGAAGAGGAGAGAGCTATTGGGCAAGTACATTGAGCTCTTCAGCCAGCACCAGGAGGACTTCATCAACCTCCTCTGCAAAGAGACCGGTAAACCAGTATGTGTCAATGTGGGCTCTCTTATATACCTATTTGGCTAATTCCGTTTTGTAGAGGAAATTCGCTGCCGTTGAGGTTGGAGGTGTCGTTCCCTTCATTGGATATCACTGTAAAGACCCAAACCATTCCCTGCTCACCTGAGCTACTCACTAATCAACAACAGCCCAGCTCAAAATCCCCGATGAGACGGTTGAGGATGAAGAGAAGACCATCTATACTGAGTACACTCCCCTTGGTGTCTGTGGAGGTACGTGTAAAATCCAATATCTTTTCGAACGGGACAAGACCTAACACCGGCCAGGTATCATCCCATGGAACTTCCCCTTGATCCTTTCCATTGGCAAGATCGCACCAGCATTGCTCACTGGTAACACCATGATCATCAAGCCCTCGTGAGTATCGCCTGTACCCCCGAACAAAAGCACTCTCCTGATTTCCATAGACCTTTCACCCCCTACACTGGTCTCAAGCTTGTCGAGCTGGCTCAACAGGTCTTCCCTCCAGGTGTTCTCCAGGCTGTTGGTGGAAACAACGAGCTCGGTGCTCTTTTGACCACCCACCCCGACGTTGCTAAGATTTCTTTCACCGGTTCCATTGCTACCGGAAAGAAGGTTATGGAGGCTAGCGCAAAGACTCTCAAGCGTGTCACCTTGGAGCTGTAAGTTAAACTTTTTTTTGTAGTCAAAGACTATGCCAATATTAACATCCATCCCAGTGGCGGTAACGATGCATCCATCATCCTCCCCGACGTCGATATCAAGAAGGTTGCCCCCGAGGTCGTCATGGGTGCCTTCCAGAACTCTGGCCAAGTCTGCGTAGCCACCAAGCGCATCTACATCCACGAGTCGATCTACAAGGAGTTCCTTGAGGAGATGGTCAATTTCACCAAGACGATCAAGGTCGGCAACCCAGACGACGGTGACAACCTCCTCGGACCCATCCAGAACAGCATGCAGTACGAGAAGGTTAAGGGTTTCTTCGCCGACAGCAAGGCCAAGGGCTACAAGTTTGCCGTTGGTGAGCCCGACGTTGCTGCCTCCAAGGGATTCTTCATCCAGCCTACCATCATCGATAACCCACCTAACGACTCCATGATCATCACCGAGGAGCCTTTCGGTCCCATCGTGCCTACCCAGCCATGGTCCGACATCGACGAGGTCATCGCCCGTGCCAACAACACCAACACCGGCCTTGGAGGCTGCGTTTGGGGCAAGGACGTCGAGGCCGCTAAGAAGGTCGCTAAGAGGATGGAGGCTGGATCCATCTTCGTTAACAGCTACGAGAAGCCTACTCCCCAAGCCATCTTCGGTGGCCACAAGGAGTCTGGTATTGGAGGTGAATGGGGCACCACTGGTCTCCTTGCCTTCATGAACGCACACGTCATCCACGTCTACAAGTCATAAGTGTCTTGAAAGTTAAGGTGTAGGATATGATGGAAATGAATTTACGAAAATAAAAGCATTGGCCGGAAATAGTAAAGCCTGCAAGGGAGTGTCCATTTACTTGGAAACAGTATAAATTAACAAAGTTCGATTTTACTGAAAGTTGTTCCATTGATATTATTGAAATGTTGTGTTCATATTCTTTGATATTTGAGACTCTCAACTGTGGACATATCATCCACGCTGCGCCGACTTTATGCATGCTCCAATCCATTTATATATGTTACGTCAACTCATGAACCTCAACCGCTCCTGACCCATAAACTTTTCAAAAGAAACACCTATCCCTGCAAATCATCTAATCTTCCAAGCTTTGAATCTGCACCTTGATAGCACCCGTCTTCGGGTCACTAGCCGTCTTGAACGCCTCAACCGCATCCTCCAACTTGAACCTATGTGTGACCAACTTCTTCAGATCGATAACTCCGCTCTTGACCAACCTGATCGCCTTGGGCCAAGTATTGCAGTACCTGTACTGGAACTGGAGATCCACCTCCCTGGTGCTCAATCGCATGAAGGGAATCTTGATCTCGTTCTTTCCGACACCAATGACGAACACCTTGCCGCCAAACTTGACAGCCTGGATGGCGCCCGCAATGCTGGACTCGACACCAGTGCACTCAAGCGCGACAGCGGGCTCGACACCCTCTGTCAGCTCGAGGACCTTGCTGCGGAAGTCCTCAGGGGAGTGGCTGAACTCGACCTTGTGGGTCAGGACACCCGGGACGAGCTCCTTCGCGAACTTCAAGCGGCCCTCATCGATATCGGTGATGACGATGGGAGCGGCGCCAGCAGCGCGGACGCAAAGCAGTGTGATGAGGCCGATGGGACCAGCGCCGCAGACGATAGCCGGGTCGCCGAGCTTGACGCCTGCGCGCTCGATACCGGCGAGCGCAACGGAGAGGGGTTCGAGGAGCGAGCCGTCTTCGTATGTGAGGTTATCGGGCAGCTTGTGGCACCACAGGGCCGGGTGCTTGAGGTAGCGGCGGAGGAGGCCGTGGACAGGAGGCGTGGAGAGGAACTCGACCGACTCGCAGCCGTTGTAGCGGCCCGTCAGGCAGGGCTCGCAGGCGAAGCACGGGATGTTGGGCTCGATGGCGACGCGGTCGCCCGCTTTGAGGTGCTTTACGGAGGGGTGCGTCGCGAGGACTATGCCGGCAGATTCGTGGCCCAGGATGTGGGTGTCTTCGACAATCATGGGACCAATGCAGCCCTGGGAATCTGAGTGTCAGCCTTCTCGTTCGTTCGGGAAAAACAGCTGTTGGTTATGGGGATAGGTCGTATCTCGAAGGACCGTCTTATGCTGGGAGAATAGGATGAACATACAGCATGCCAGAAGTGAATATCAGAACCGCAGATTCCAGTAGACTTGACATTGAGGAGAACTTCGCCCTCCTTGAGGTCGCCTCCCTTATTGACCTCCTCGAGTGATGGCTCGGCCTCCGCAACCCAAAGGTCGTGGGCTGGGTTTGTGTAGACGCCGATGTTTGCCTTGGAAGGCTTGACTTGTGTGGTAGTTGTTGCGCTCATGGTGTCGAGCTTCTTTAGTAAAAGAGAACTGTAAGGCTCGCTGTCTCAAATGACGGGAAAGATAGCTTTGAAAAAGAAGATGGGAGGTATGCTTCAGAGCTCCCACGTCTTGCGTATATTTGGGTATAAAAGGAGGAGGAAAAAAATTGAAATCAGAAGACGAAGAAGAAAAGTCCGTGGATCATATGCAATGGACCCCTCGAGGCCGTCCGCGGGGCATTAATACCTGGGAGAAATGTTACGATGGAGGGGCGAGGTTGGGGTACCCACAAACCACCGAGACCTCCACCACCCACCACACGAAACCCCTAGCTCTAGCTCTTTCTTTTTCCCCTCTCCACAAATGGATGCGCTGCAAAGCCGGGAATCCCGACCGCTGGGCTATTCGACGCCGAGCCGCCTTGGAGAAATGCTGCAGTAGCGTACAACTAAGCTCGTATGTAGCGTTAGAAACCGCATTATTACTCCGCCATGTGCATTGCACGCTCCGAAAAAGGGTTTTCACGATGCTGCAGGGAAACGTGGACCTTTGGTGTTGAGGTTTCAAGGGCGGATTACTGCATTCGACCTCGGGCCACAATGTACCATAGTCAGCTGAGGTCTGGTGGGTCTAGAATGGGCAATACACGTTCAATGTTCGAGGTCGTAATCTTTGGTCATCTGGCCGGAATCGAGACATAGTCCATCTAGGGTATGTGACGGCGCATGTAGCTGCCCGTATGCAATTTTTTCCCCTTTGCGTGATGCAGACATTTTGAAATGAAGATTGCATTTGGACTGTTTGCTCCAGCTTAGTGACTAATCTTCATTGAGCGAGCTAGATGTGGGGTTCAACGAATGAACATTACTCGAAATTCAATTGATCGGAAAAAAATATGGGTTAGAGGTTGGGATGACCTTTCCGGAGAAGATGAAAGCAGCGACATTGCGAAAGTTTCAAAAAATGTAGAACTACTCAATTGTTTAGTAACATCGATCAGGTATGGATATCTACTCATCATCTTCCTCCTCATCATCCAGTTCCATCTCTTCGTCGTCGTCCGCGTCTTCGTCATCCGAAGCATCGTCGAACTCCCCAGCCAGACCGTCAGCCTTTTCAGCGTCCTCGGCCTCCTTGCGCTTTTGATCCTCCACCTTCCTGGCCTCTTCGAGCATCTTGGCCTTTTGCTCCCTTGTCTTCCTTTGACCGGCCACATAGGCACCAAGAGGACTCTTCTCCCACTCGACATCCTTCAGGAAACCGTCAACGCTGGCACGATCATTGGGTGCAAAGTCTATCTTGGCCCGCTTCTCCTCGATCCACTTCGAGTTGGCTTCAAGCTTCTGAATGACCAATGCGATCAATGAGTTGATCTTCGCATTTCGATTGCCGGCACCCTTCTTAGACATAGTCTTTACCCATCTCTTTAGGATGACAATGACCGGCAATCCCAGTTCTGGGAACGCAATGCTCTTCGTCCACAAGACGAAGAACTCGGACAACAATTCTGCTATTTGCTCGCCGACTCCATCTTGATATACTCGCGTACCAATATATGCCTTGGTGGCTCTTATCGTCGTGTTGAAATCAAGAGCCTTCAAGGTGCTTGGCTTCGGTGGCTTCTTCATCTCGGCAGTGTTTAGAACCTCGACGATGGCTGGCGCGAGCGGAATGTAAGTGGATGTAGCGGATGAAATCCTCAGCAGCGCCCGAATAAGTTGAAATCGGAGCGGGAAGTACTGTGCAGTAGGAATTAATCGCATAGCTCCAAGAGTGACTTGAACAATGGGATATATCAGTGGGCGAAGAGCAGAAGGCTTTCCTGCCTCTGCTTCCCGGAGCGACTCGCAATGCGACGATACCACTCTCGACCAGAAGTCCAAGGAGTGGATGTACTGCCAGTTGTAGACAGTCTTGTACGAGTCCTTCGTCTTGTTTGTAATGCTCGAGCGCAAATGAATAGCAAGTTGTCGGATGAAAGTGAAACCTGTTGTGTAGCCAACATTGCCATCAATGCCCCAAAGCTCGGAAGCAGTGTTCTTCATCAAGTTGATGCCTTGGATATTGTGTATTGTGGTGTTTCGTGAGCTCTTGATAAGGCCTTGGTAGATCTCCTTTAGGGTGGCTTCTTTGATGCTCGAGTCGCTAATAACCACAAGACGTCGAAGGACTAGGAACGCAGAGATCCTGGTCACTTCGCTGTTCGAGTTGTCCGACCAGACCGAAGAGACAATTTTAGTGACTTCCTTGACAACTTTCTTGAAAGAGAGCATGTATGGGAGCAGAGCTAGCAGAGAGTCTAGTGTTTTACGTAGGGTAGAATCATCAGATAGGTTTTCCAGAAGATGGAGGACGGAGACACCATGCGATTTGAGGAGCGGCGTGAGTGTGCGGAACTTCTTGGAGTCGGTGGAAATACGACTGGAATGGTCAGTACGGTGATGTTGTGGGTTATATTGAGAATTGGGCTTACACTTTGCCGCCAGCAGATTCCTTGATAGGCAGATGATGCTGCAATACCCTTGGTACTAGGTCCAGAGTGGTGACGAGGAGCTCGTGGTACACTGTTGTACGTTAATATGTATGTAACGAACTGCTTGGACTCAACATACCATCAGGATCGGAGACCGAGTATTTGTATGCTTTGCTGCTCTCCTCGTTCAGATGAGCAGCAGCACGGAAAGCTAACACAACCTCTTTCATCGCCCGCAGAGAGTTTGCGCTCTCCATTGACGACGTCCATTTCCCAACCAGCTTTTTGGTGACTTCGTTCTGTCCCTCTTCGTCATCGCTATCGTCTTGAGATTTCTTGCCCGATTTTTGTTTTTTCCTTGGTGTTGTCTCGTCCTCACTCGCACTCAGAGCATCCACCTCAGCAAGATCGGCGTCTTCGGCAAAGTCAAGGAGTTCAGCGTCATTATCCTTAAGATATTTGTAGAATTCGGGGTCCTTCTCGGCAAGGCTAGCGAGTTGTTGCTTGTGTGCTTCTTCGTCATCGCCGGAGTCCTCGTCTGAATCTTGAGCGTCTGATTCGGGGGCTGCGTCGTCCGAATCCGCATCAGAACCTTCAACACCGTTCTCTTCGACGGGTGTGCGCTTTCGCTTTCCGGTCTTTGGCTTCGTTGCGCTTGGTGCTTTCATCTCGGGTACGTCAAAACCGCCCTGGAAAAATTGGTCCATGGACATATCTGCAAAGCCGTCGTCCTTGGCCCCATTGGTCTTAGGCTTTCGAGTTTCTTGTCCTTCCAAAGGCTCTGCAGGTGCATTATCTTGGGCTCGTTTCTCCCTCCTCTTGTCTCGCATGTGCACCCTCTGCTTGATCTTAGCGCTGTCTTTTCGCTTCTTCAGAACATCCTTCAGCTTGTTCTTCTCGAACTTTTTTGTGGCCTTTGATTGCGCCATCTTGAAAGTGTAACAGAACCCAATCGCCACTGAATTGAGGTTACTGTGGTTGTTGCTGTGAAATGAGACCAGAAATTTCTTGGTCCACTCGAAAAAGTTCATTTTGCGCCAAGCCAGGGTTTCGGTGGTCCAAGCGTCAGAGCTCCGATGCTTGATTGCGGAGCGGAGTAGTAGGCAGCAAGAAGTTACATAGTTTATACCATTTCCTGGCATCGAGTCTACAATTTTGTTTCGCGTATCTCTTCGTTGCTCATTGGTATTTCGGTAGAGAAATCGACATCATCGTACGCCCATTCCGAGTTACTCGGCATATACTGTGTACGTCGACGAAGCGTCGCGTCACCACCATCAGGACACCATGTATGGAAACAGACAATTGGCGTATGCGCCTACGCCATATGTCCCGCGGTCGGCTCTGTCTGCAACGATCAATCTTGATGAAGTATGCTTCATCTCTCGCGTCTGTGGCGGCTCGGGATTGCTAACCATAATACTACCAGGAAGTCAAGTTAGCCACCACCAGCTCTGAGCGCGATTTATACGATTCTCTAGCCGAAATATACAGCATAATCATCACTCTAGATGCTCTCGAGAAAGGATATCTCAAAGACTCGATCCCCGAAGGTGACTACACCGAGACCTGCAGTCGACTCTTGAAGCAATACAAGTCCAATCTGGCCGACGAGACAGTCGCGAAGGCATTTGGGGACCTAGAGTCCTTCAAGCGAGAGTGGGATATGGAATGCCCGCGAGCAACAGAGCGACTACGTATTGGTATACCGGCAACCGTGGAACAGGGACCGTCGCAGAAAGCAACACAACAGGGTGACTCTGCGGATGCCACCTTAGTAGTGAATGCGACTGAGAACTTCATTACACTACTCGATGCTATCAAGATTGGCCTGGTTGAGAAAGATACATTGCATCCCCTTCTTGTGGAAATTATCCAAGCTGTCAACAAAGTCACAGACAAGGATTTCGAGAGCAAAGGAAAGATTGTACAGTGGCTCATTACCCTGAACCAGATGAGAGCGGCCGATAAACTTAACGACGATCAAGCGCGCGAGTTCCAGTTCGATATGGAGCAGGCATATTATGGTTTCAAAGGCACATTGAAAAGAGATTGAACTCGTGGACATTGGAAAGGCACCCAATTGATTTCGTAGCCAATCGTTGCAAAGCACGGACCATCTTAGTTTTCGACATTTTGATCTTTTGCCAACTACGACATCGCATTTAATTAAGCCCAGCCAAAGATGACACTACTAGACGGTGAGTACCTCTGGCGTCAATTGAGATGTCTTCATGCGCTAATGACGTATCGTAGTACTTGATTTACCTCAACTCTATACCAAACCGTCCGCGGACGCCCTGCTCGAAACGCTTGCCCTACTCACTTCTACCCCACCGTCTTGGGAAACGAGCGACGTGCACGATCGGTGCAATGGTGATTCAGATAGTGCGCAGAGGAGGGAACAAAAATCTGCCGGCGTAAACATCAACCCTGAAGGAGTAACAAGATATTTAACTAGCATTGTGGCTAGCAGTTTGAAATGGATCCAGGATGAGCAGGTCAAGGAAGAGATATGGAATCAAGCAAGCCTTCGTTTGAGTGAGCGATCTGGACGTACAGCTATGGGCGCATTATCGCGCAACTTCACCATTCCCACATCCAATGGACCTTTTGAGTTGACTATCCATGAACCGGCCCTTACTGGAGACGATCTCGGCCTGAAAACTTGGGCGGCATCATATCTTCTTGCGAAACGCCTCCACACACTCAGCTTCATACCTCATAAAGATCCCTCGCATTTCAAGATCTTAGAATTGGGCTCGGGAACCGGCCTCGTTGGACTTGCGATGGCCGCATTAGGTACCAATGTCGTACTTACTGATCTTCCCAGTATCCACGCGAACCTTGCGCGCAATGTGAAAGACAACGCTGAAACTGTCAGTAGCGCAGGTGGTTCAGCGAAAAGTGGCGTGCTGGATTGGACGAAACCAGATTCTCTGCGACTGTTTCCTGATGAAGCTTCAATGGACGACGAAAGCATAACACATGATTCAAAATTTCCATTTATTTTGGCAGCAGACTCTCTTTACTCCCCAGAGCATCCTCGGTGGCTCGTTGATACAATCGCGACATGGCTATCAGATGACGAAGAAGCAAAGGTCATGGTGGAGTTTCCACTGCGCGATGCGTATCTTCCAGAAGTGGCAGATTTCCGTAATCGTATGGGTGGCATTGGATTGCATATTCTAGAAGAGGGAGAAGAGAGTGGTCTAGATGATTGGGGAAGCTCGAATGATGATGATCGAACATTCGTAACTTGTTGGTATGCGTTGTGGGGACGCACGGCAAAGAAATGATCTGATTTGCTGCCCCTCCGGCGCTCAGGATTCCTGCAAGGTCACCGCTCTTATCAAAGCCTCGACAGTCCCAAGGCCCATCTTTTGTATCACACGCCGCATTCAATATTGGCAGTTCTGACTTCCAGACCATGGTGTGCAGCCACAACAGTGGGTAGGTGGGCGCGTGGTGGGGCAATCTCCTTTCCCAGACCGCCGGCTCAAGACATTGACGGAAAAATTGGGAATTGGGGGTGTATGCTTGGAATCAGAGTCCGCGTATATACCAATTGCTGAGTCGCTTTAGTCATTTTGCATAGCGTTATACCCCTCCGGCGACATCGGCTTAGTACGAACCTCCTCAGGATGGTAGACCATAGATTCATAGTCAACAAGAATAGATAGAAAGCTCCGGATAATTTCAGCGGCTAAAGTGGAGCTCGCCCTCTTGATGCTACACTAGAAATAGGTTCTTTGCCCGAATCGGTTTCACGCGGGATAGCTCTCCACGAACTCAATCAAGCTATAATTCTTCGTCATCGTTCGTCCCGCTAGAGCTTTTAGTTCCGCGTGAGCTACAAATGTCCTCCTGCTTGTGCTTTCGAAACATTTTACCATCAAAAAAGGAGAAGAGTTCTGAATCCAACGGAGCAAATAATCAACAGCAGACAAAGCAACCTGAAGGTTCGCAGGAAACACCAGACAACATGACACAATCAGCTTCGGCCTCTTTGAAGGTGGGACTTCCCTTTTGAGCAACCCGCTCTTTTCTTTGACAATGACTACAATATCCCACGATTATTGTTTAAATCCAGCAATACGTGAATCAATTGCTCCGAAAATACATATTTTCGTTCAATAAATCACAATCTCATAGCAACGAAGTTCCATTTGCCCCCGCCTTTCAACCCCTCCAAAAGTTCCAGCAATTCAAGCTATCCGTACCCCGCGCATCCATACCTTAGACAGCACATTTGAAAGCGCAATCCACGATCTCCAAATGCTGATTCAAGATTGCAGAACCCATCCTTCGTCCTCCAATCCAAAGACCATGTATCCATCGAAGATAGGCCAGTCCCCGAACTGAAAAACCCCTACGACGTTCTCATCAAGCCTCGATGGACCGGTATCTGCGGCTCAGACGTGCACTACTGGGTAGAAGGCCGCATTGGCAGCTTCGTCGTTGAGAAGCCCATGGTCCTTGGCCATGAGTCCGCAGGTATCGTCTCTCAAGTTGGCTCCGCAGTCAAGACGCTCAAGGTCGGCGATCGAGTCGCTATGGAACCCGGTATTCCTTGCCGCCGTTGCGTGAGGTGCAAGGAGGGCCGATACAATCTCTGCCCGGACATGGCTTTCGCAGCCACACCCCCATACGATGGTACCCTGGCGAGATACTACGTCCTTCCCGAGGACCTCTGCGTCAAGTTGCCAGAGAACATGTCTCTGGAGGAGGGTGCCCTCATCGAGCCCACTGCCGTCGGTGTCCACATCACAAGAGCGGCTGGCGTCAAGCCCGGCGACAGTGTTGTTGTTTTCGGTGCCGGTCCAGTCGGTTTGCTTTGCTGCACCGTCGCAAAGGCATACGGAGCTTCAAAGATCGTCACGGTGGATATCAACGAGGACAGAATCAAATTCGCTCTCTCCTACGCAGCTACACATGCTTTCAGGAGCGCCAGGGTGAGCGCAGAGGAGAACGCAAAGAACTTGATTCGGGACTGTGAACTCGGACCTGGTGCGGATATCATCATTGATGCCAGTGGTGCGGAGCCTTGCATTCAGACTGCTATCCACGCTCTGCGAACAGGCGGAACATATATCCAGGTATGAAAGACCCGGGGATACATATCAGAGAAAACTTGAGCTAACAGAGCATAGGGTGGCATGGGAAAGCCTGACATTAACTTCCCCATCATGACAATGTGCGCAAAAGAACTCAACGTCAAGGGGTCTTTCCGCTACGGTCCCGATGATTACAAGACTGCCGTCGAACTCGTAGCTACAGGCCGAATCAGCGTGAAGGAGCTCATTACTGGCAAGGTGAAATTCGATGAGGCGGAGAACGCCTTCAAGGACGTAAAGGCGGCAAAAGGAATCAAGATCTTGATCGAGGGACCCGAAGAGTAGATCAGCTTCGATCAGACTGCTTTGTTCATGAAAAAAGTTTGGTGGCGGGAGGAGTTGCGGAGTGTGGGCATTGAGCAGAGTCCTATATGGAGGGGCTTTTCTGCTAGACGAGATCAACGAAATCTTTATTTTTCAAATTTCCTCTCAGATCTACTCGCGATTTTTTTACGAATGCTTTCGTATATACGATGGTACCTATGCTTACAACCTGGCGTACATACATATAAGTCTGAGTTAGGCTAGGAAAGAATACTACAATAGCAGCACTAAACTTGATGTCATGTATGGGAAGATCTGTCTAGTTTTAAGGCATGTTATAATTATGGTAAGTCTATCAAATGTAAGAGGCTCTTCCAACAAAACTAATCTTTATAGAGGTGACAACCAACGCTTTCGGCCCCCAAACGACAACGCGACATACAGTTTAACCTGCCCCTCACCCCCAATCAAATCTCCCAGTCACCAATCAGGCCCTTTCTTGTATTCTACAGCATGTAATATAAGATTTTATTGGTATAGTGCCCAGTGCGGACTCCTGAGCACATCGTATTTGTATGGTCTTGGCCTTCCTACAAAGGGTATTCAGTGTGTCCGGTTTGTGCGCTTACACTGTATTCAGGCAGACAGGCTGACAGGTCCAGTCCAGCCGCAGTCAATTCGGTTTGGCGCCAGTGGGAGGCATTGTCGAAGGATCTGACCTCGAACCTGTATTTTGGAATTGTTACGAGTCAGATCAGTAAAAACCGCTGGCTGCCCTGCTTGGTTGCCTACGTCTGTAGGCATACATACTTTGTGCTGGTGTTTTTGGCGTCATTGTCCTTATCCTCATCGCAGTTCTACGCTCTTCATTCTTTTGACGCAAGGGGGATATTCGGGACTAGACTAACGTGGGCGTCTAGACGCTTCTCTTATTTTGATTCCCGAAAGTTTGTGTAGCCGGAGTCTCGAGGAGCACACGAAACGGGGATCGTCGCCAAAGAGAGGGGAGGTCATCCTCACATTCTCGCGCGAGATTGCCTGCGATTCTGAGATCGATTTACTCTACTACTCCGTACATGTTTGTTGCCATTTCCTGCTGGCTTTCAACGAACGAACATACCGCGCCCGGGCGCACATTTCCCAACAATGAGAGTGTCAAGCTTCGGCCCCGCGGTGGTCGCGATGTTGGCGTTCTCGCGTCGTGCCATCGTTGCTGCGGACGAAGTCGTACCGGTCAATGTGGATGATTTAGACCCGTTGAAGGAGTGCAAGAGGAGAGATGTTGCGCGTAAGGGCTACTTTGGATGTACTCGCGTGATTGAGCATGGAGCTGATGGACCTCTGCAGTGTCTGTGAGTGAGAACAAGTTGTATATGTATGGTAAGCAGTGGAAACCGTATGATTGTATGTCGTTGAATGGGAGCTAATGGGTTGCAGGTGGCCAGTCTTGGGTTAGAAATGGATCTCAGGTATGTTCGCATTGCCAGAGTGATTTGGTTATGTGAATGCTAATTATTATCCTCCACAGCCGACCTTTCAAGTAATCAGTTAGTCCTACCGAGCGCGATCAGTTCCACATAGACAGAACCAGCTGACGCCAGCTTCAACTGCAGACCACTACCTACGCATTGCCGACTTCACGAAGGCGCGCGACCTCAGCGACACTAGCATCATGACAGCGAAAGACATTCCAGGAAATATAACTTTATTCCAACATGGCGCCTTCTGGGTCGACAAGCAGAGCGCATATGTAGTCGGCGGCGCTGTCAACGACGAAGCCTGGCTATCCCGCGACGGCCAGTTCCTACCATCTAATTTCTCCACCTACAAAGCCAGCACTGTGTTTCGGTACGATATACAATCAGACCGGTGGAGTTCTGAGACGGCGGTCCAGCCCAGTAGCGGGTCCGATGTGAGGGACAGTTTTGCGGCTGGCGCTTTTGCGTATAATCCGCTCGCAAGGAAAGCTTACTACTTCTCTGGTACCAATGGACCCGGAGCGAGGAAGATGTATCCAAATGATATAGCCGGATACGTAGGGCGCTCGAACGAGGAGGTGACGGGGAATGGAAATTTATTGACCTTTGAGACGGATAGCTTTAAGTGGTATGTCGAGGTGTTTGGAAGATTGGTCGAGACTGGAACTGTTTGCTGACTATAACCCCAAGGACCAATGTCACTACAGATACCCAGTTGACGACTACTGGGACTGAATACGGACAACTTGTTTTTCTACCTGGAACAATGAGTTCAACAGGAGGTGTCGCTATTGGTTTTGGTGGTAACAGAAGGGACACAGGGGATGTGAGTCCACCCACAGCTCTATTTTTTCGAACCCTAGCTCACCAAAGCCACAGATCGAAAGCATGAGACAGGTCCTCATCTACGATGCCTGGAGCGACAAATGGCACAGCCAAGCCACTTCAGTCGAGGGTGGAACATTTCCACCCGGTCGGCAGGGCTTCTGCGCCGTAGCCGCGAGTGCGCCAGACAATAGCAGCCATAACATCTATATGTATGCCGGTGAATCAACAGTATCCGTCCCGAACGCCTACTCGGATCTATGGGTTCTCTCCATCCCATCGTTCAAATGGATCCGTATCGACGGCAAACACCCGACTCGAAAGGCGCATAAGTGCGATGTCCTCGCTGATCGCTACATGGTCACTTATGGCGGTAATCAAGGTGGATGGGGAGATGAGGGTGATGGGGATGCTTGTGACGACTTAAATTACGGTTTACGATTATTCGACATGTCAAACCTAACCTGGACGACCAAATACGACGGCCCCGCCCAAGAAGCCAACGCGTATAAAGTACCAAAGGCTGTCTACGAAAAGATTGGCGGCGATGCATCGGGCAGTGCAACGCAGACAGCTCCAAGCGCAGGCTTCGAGACGGCAGACGTGAAAGAGCTTTTCCAGCAATCAAAGCAGGAAACTCCTCCCCCAACTACCTCAGCAGACCCCTCCAATGAAAAGACGACTAACGTTGGAGCAATCGCCGGCGGCGTCGTCGGCGGTGTCGTCGGCCTAGGCCTGATCATCGGCGCAGTGTTCTTCACTCTGAGGAGAAGAAAACGCGAGTCTGCGTATGCGTATGGTCAGCCCTCGGCCATGGCTAATCTCGTCGAGGCAGATGGTAACCACGGATATGCGACAGAACTCATGGATCACAACAATCCTGGTGGGAAACCGGTTCATGAGATATACACAAGCCACCGACAGAACCCGCAAGAGCTATATGCTGGCGATGTTGAGGAGTACACAGCGGCGCCCGCGGCATCTGGCTCGAAACCTGTGCATTGATGTCCCAACTGTATGAGAGGAGAGATGTGGTGATAGATTATAATGTATTCTTTGTATAGTAGGGATACCCTTTGAGCGAAAATTCATCGTCGGCACTAGCGATTTAATTGAGTTTGTAATGTTACTTGACGAGAGTGTGGTATGTCCTATCGTCCATTATGCTAGTATGAACATCATCTCCTCCATCTCTGTACCAAGAAAAGAAGACGCATTCTCCGGACAAACACACATCGTATGATCGTCTTCCCCCCGGAATGATAGCTTAATCTATGTTCTGCGCTCCGTCAGTTCCAACAAAGGAAATCCGGAAGTTCATTTATTTCAAGTTCCCAACCCCGTGAATCCCCAGTGCTCATACCATCTGCACTTTCAGTGAACATGCTTATAACTAATTCCGTAAACAACCGATTTCGAATTATGACCCGTCTTACATCGTTCCGGTGGTTGGGGGCTTCAATCATAGGCTCCGATAGTGTTGTATAAAATTGATGGGGCCGTCGAGGATTGCGTACCATGTTTGTCCGGTGAGTAGGATTGTATGGAGCGCAATGAATGACTGGCGGGTGTTAATTTTCGAAGACGCTGGTTATTGCACTCCTTCAACAATGGTTGAAAGTCACTCCAAAATTCTTTTCAGATAGTGAGATGTTACTTACTGTCAGCGGAGCTCGCCTCCTTTCTCGGCATCCCTATTCTCACAGCAATGATACATCCAACATACCCGCAATCTAATAATTGACAAAAGCAGACCAACACCCCTAAGTTATATCAGCAACCATTTCCTACCTCACAATCCATAATAACACAAGCAGATCTCCCATCCAATCACTTATCCCAACCTCGTCCCTCCTCAACTGTGCCGCATGCACGATTCAACCGAATGAGCCGTCTACGCCGCAACCATTCAACCCCTCCCTGTTCGTCTTCTTTACCAAAATCCCGAATATCCCAGGCCTGTAGAACAATACCCAACGCCACACCCACTCGTTCTATTCCAAGCCCTCGGTACTCTTACTTCGTCATCGAAGCCCTAGAGTCCGTACACATACATACGGTCCCTGTCCGTAGTGAACTCGGTTGAATGCATGCACTACGCCGCAATCGCTCCGCACCCACACGACAAAGACACACTCCATGCCTTCCCCTGGCCCCCTTCGTCCCTCGAAATAGGGTAAATGCTGTATGATCAACCGCTATTGAGGTAGTGGACGAGGGACGCCGCATCGACCCGAGCCTCCCTTCCCTTGCCTCCCCTTCCCTCCCGCAGTGCTTGCATTTGTGGCACGGAGACCGGGCCGTGGACTGGGAGTCTGCTGTTCTTGTACTGTGCTGTGCCGTATGGAGATTTGTAGTTCGTTCGCTAGGAGGCATCGTTCGTTTGTCCGTCTTATGGGCAAGGGCTGTGTGCGTGCTGTGGCTAGGTTACTATTTCGGGTTGTAGAGCTCGATCGAGAATGGACAAAGTGTAATGTTTACTACGATGCAGTAAATTTACGTAAAAATGTCAACTACACGATAATGTACTGTAAGCGCGAGACTGCGTTTATGTAGTCTGGGCGTGCTTTTGTTCATTTTCTTGAAGTTCAAGGAAATAAGACGAGTGTTTCTGGAGACGATATAAACATAATTCATAGAGTGATATCAATCCTACAACCAAGCAGAATAACCAACAATAAATCTCACGAAAGAGTCTTCCAACAGGTAAAAAATTGGAAAAGTTCCTCAGCACCAAAAAAGGGCTTCAGCACACTACAACACCACAGCGCATATCCTCCCTCCCTCCCTCCAACAACAACACACCGAAGACAGCCAGCCATGGCAACAAAAACAGCGAGCACGAATCGACCCATCATCACTCCACCAACACAAACAACCCATTTCAAACACACATCTCCCAAGCCTAAATCTCCGACCTTCTATTCTATCCCATCATTCTAAGGCATTTTCTCGGGTCACGTTCGGCAAGTTCTGTTCATGCGCCGTGCACGGGGGAGAACAGCAACGTAAAGGGTTCGGAAACGCCTCGTTCCGATGCCTGAGGGAAGCAGGACGAGGAACGCCAAGGGCGCGGCGCGTGTCTCAGGCATTTTCTTGTCTGTATTTCCGGGGCTTGTGCGGGTGATGGAATTGGCAATGGGAGGGACGTGGGTGGCGGACGGTGTGGGTGTGCACTGGTCTTTGTGAGGTGTTTGTGAGTGAGTGGGTGGGCACTTTGCAATAGAGATTGGTAGTGATAGACATGACTAGTTATTTCTTTTTGAAAAATTCGTGATTGTATAAGATACGCTATGGTATGGTTTGGTATATAAAAAGCCCGTGAAAAAAAACTAAAAACGGTTGACACTCTGCGTTGGACAGGGGGGAATTGGTAGTAGTGTAGTAGTAGTTGTTGTTGTAGTAGTATGTTTGTTATAGTATGTGCGGGAGAGGGGGGGAGAGGGGTTAGGGACCAAGAATTGACATTTTCCTTTCGCCGCAACACTCTTATCTCTCCTATATTTTGAATAAGTGGTTTAGAAATGCTCCTTCCAGAACTTGAAGTTGACCTCCTGGCACGTGGCCAATTTACACGCCTTCTTGATATCCCTGGCTGCGACGTTAGGACCGCAGAAGTACACTCCGACGTCCGTGCTGAGAGTGCCCTCCAAGCCGCTCATGTACGTCCTGTCGAGAATGCCGTCGCGCATGCCGCAGAGCAAGCGGCCGAAGTCTGGGCGGCCGAAGTTGGTGCGAGACTTGAGCTCGGTGAGGGGATCCTTGTCAGTTCCGACGGAGTTGAGGACGATGTTCTGCGCGGTGTTGACGTCGATCTTCTGGGTGAGGTAGGTGTGGATGCGGAGGAATTGGTCGCCGTTGGGGCCGCCAGGGGACTGGGCTTCCAGAGAGGAGAGGAGCGTTTGGAACCATTCGAAGGATGAGGTGTCTTTGCAAACCCAGATAAATTCAACGCGGCGGAGTCGCTTGGGAGGGTTGGGGGAGAGACGGAGGTGGTAGATGGACTTGAGGATTGAGGCCCAGGGGGTAACGCCGATACCAGTACCAATGAGGACAGCGACTTCGTTCTCGAAGACGTCTTCTGCGGGGGCTCCGTAGGGACCGTCAATCTTGATAGCGGGCATCTTCTGGCCGTGCTGGAGAGCGATCTCATACATGCCCATGGGGTCCAATTCATCGTAAAGCTTGGATTGCGACTGTCCTGCACCGAGAGCGTCGGCGAGCGCGCGGGTGAAGTCACCAACCTGGCGGACGTGGATGGAGATGTAGGGGTCGTTGGGGCAAGAGGTGATGGTAAAAGGATGCCATTGGTGGTAGCTGACGTCCGGGCAGTTTATGAAAAGCCATTGTCCGGGCTTGTACCTCATGCTGGGCTTGGTGAATTGAATTTCGACGGCATCTAAAGTAATCGTTAGATTTTGTATTGTGCACAGAAAACGGACTCGAACTTACCATATGGATGACGGACAACCTTGACAATCTGTGTCTGCCTGCGAGAACGGATTTCACGGTAGAAACGATCGATCAAGTAGAGACCTCCACCAACAAGCTCCCATCGCCAGCCCTCATAACCAATGCAATGATCCCAGAAGTCCTTTCCAGCAAATGGCGAGAAGGGCGCGGCAGTGTCACGCACGAAACAGCTAGTGGCGTGGGTGTACATTCCGAGCAAGAAGGGAACGAACAGATGATGCGTGTACCAGAAGGTCTCGAAGGACTGCTGGCGGATCCTGTAGTGCGCGGTGGTGTAGATCATCAACATCATGAGAAGCATGAGGTGACCAGTGATGCCTCCAGCTTCGGTGTAGTGAATCTGAAGAGCAATTTGAGGTCGTACTTGTGTCTTTTCAACGTTAAAGAAGCTGCATCTATTAGTCTTTGGTTTCCGCCTGGTGCTAGCCAATTCTACTTACTTGACATAATGCGCAGCGGTGTGAATGATGGTGAAGAACAGCATAGCATATGCGACTTGACGATGGAACCACATTGATTCGTCGAGTGGTAACCATCGAACCTTTGGCCGAATAGCTCGGAGAATGTTCCTGCACATGGGCATAACGATGACCATGGTGTCGACGGACAAGACAAGACCAGCACCACGAGAAAGCCAGACGGAGTATTGAAGACCGTTTAGAGGTGCAAGCCGCTCATCGCCAGCCTGTTTCCACCTGCAGGAGAGTTAGCACGACGATGCAATTAATTACTTCGCATCGGTTCTTCCATACCATCCATAAGCGAATATGGCCCAATGGGCACCCCAGAAGATGAAGTAGAAGAAGCATTTCTTCGGAGAGAATAGTCGTGACCACTGAAGGTTTCCGCCGTGTGCCATGTTGAAGATACCGAGGAATTATAGTACTCTTTTACAGCATGAACAGATCCCAAGATCGAAATAAGACGTTTGAGCGAGCCGGTCAACGGTGTCGACAATGATTAGGTCCACGATTAAAAAGAACGTAACGGGAAAATAATGCGAACGTTCGACCAGATATGGGGGAAATCAATCCAGTCCAAGTTCAACCCGGCCAGCCAGATACGAAGTGAAGGTAAAGAATGTCGGTGTCGGGGGACGGGAGGGGAGTGGCGTGGTGTTGAGGGAGCGGTGGTAGAGATGACGACCAAGGGTTTCCGCTGGGGACCAAGGTTTATTAGAGTGTAAGCAGTCCAGAGGTGTGGTGGCTTAAGTGTAGATCAGGTGGATCTCGTCTGAGCCGTGCGAGCCTGGGGATAGAGCGGCAGGCAATGATGAAACTGAAGAGCGTGCTAGGTACGGGCGTGGCTGTAACCGGTGCCCCGGTAGGTTGACAGTATAGAGGAGGGATTAAGATAATTAACAGTTTGCAAGTTACCGAATGCGCAAGATGGCAGGCAAAAGAGAACGTGAAGCAGCCGCCAGTCCTGAATGGGAGCGGGAGAATATCGAGGGGTGATACGGAGTCGCGGCTATGCGATGTACGCCAGATGTATGAGGAGCGTCTCAAACCTGAAGCGACAGGCACAGAACCATACCTGGGTTTTTAGGGGTTGCGGTCACCAGTGAGTTTTCTAAGGTTTTCTCTTTCCCGGTAGGCTCTACAATACAGGCCGCAATTGAATGAGTAATGCACAGTTATGCAGTGGCGATTCCGGTACGGATTTGTTGATTCGGGAAGGTTTATTTGCTTGCTCTAGTAGGTCCGGAGTGTGGTGGTTGTGGATTGAATTCCCGATGCTCGCGTCTTTCTATCTTTACTTTGATGGGCGCAGTAACTGCACGATAATACTATTTTCAGACGGCCGCCAGTATGTAGATTAAATCCAGTATTGAGTTCTGTTGATAGTTTCTTCTTTTTTTCTTCGTTGCAGTGTCGAATTTGGTTATTGTCTTCCTCAGAGGGTTCAGTGAGGAGCACAACGGAGAATGGCTAGAAAGGGTTATAGTAATGGGGATGTCTGACACCGCAGGGGGTTTCGCTGAGACAGTCCACGTTCGAAGGGTGACGTTAAGAGTAGGTCCGAGAGCGCGCGCGAAGAGTCGTCAATCTGCGCTGGACAGAATCGTAAAATGTGTTTCTTCGAATAAGGGGAGAAAAGTGAAATTTCTCATAAGCCAAATCGTGATCACGCAGTGGATGTTGTTCAAGAATAGGACGGCCGGGCAAATTGTATGGGATGTGTATGTAAGTAGTATCTATCTAAGACAGGACTGTCCACGAAGAGAATGCCACGGCCTGGGACCTGGGATCCTTGCGGACAGGCCCTAGGTCCACAGCGCATCATTCTGTATGTAGTGCACCTTCAGAAATCGAGTGCTGGCGAGAGCTCTCTGGATAGACGGATGAGCACGACGTGACTTCTGCAGCCGCCGGGGCTTGTAGAGTAGGGTCTGGTAGTCTGGTATTCCAGGGTCTCTTCGTCGAAGAGAAAGGGCATTCAGCGATGGTGAATGGGTAGAATAGTGAGAAGAGCCATTGGCAGCGAGGGACGGGTTGGTCTTGGGAGAGGTTGGCGTGGCGGGAGATGTACGAGGCCTACACCGGGCAGCCAATCCCCCATCGACTGTACGCGCTCAGGTCCCATTTCTGTAAACCCCATCAACAGCCATACAGCCATACAGATCCGTTCAGCCATACGGACAGTAACCTTGTACTGCCACCAGCTTAAGCTTCCGCCAGTCGGTGTGCGGTGCGGGCCAGATGCAGACGGTTCCTCGTCCAATCGCATCTCCCGTCTTCTCAGTCGTCTATTTTCAGACCATTCCTTCAACCATCTAGTTCTAGCATTCCCCCACAGGTCACGGCTCCATTACCCTTTGGATCTATTTGTTGTGAGGATGTGCTATGGCGTCCATTGCACGCATCCCACTAGCAGTAATCACTGTTATCGCCTTGCGTTAGGGTCGTGATGGTTGAAGCGAGCTGCAGGTTTTCTGAGCATATTTTGACGGAAATTCGGACAGTTAGAATGATAGCGTATGCTCCCGTTCTGGACTACACGATAGACCAAAGATGACTTATTCAACGATGGAGGCATGGTGGGGGTGAATGCGATGGGCTATTGTGCAAGGTCTGCCCCCATCTTGGCCTAATGCTGACTCTTCAATCCTTGATCCGTCCGACTAATTGACCATGAAGCATGTGCTGTACATCATTTGTCTAAGCAATCATTTAGTCTGGGTGCCTGGGCGCTTCTGCATCTTTGCAGGATAGCCAATGTATCAGCAGTAGCGCCGGACAGGTTTTGATAAAGACAATGAGCCGTGCACTCTGTTGCGCATACCAGTGGGTGGAGAATAACTAATGGAGATCGAATGAATAATTATAATCGGCTTCGATGTATCAGCCATGAGAAAGGAAATTCATCTTTCCGAGAATGCAGATCTCCAGAGATGATAGTGCGCGTCCGCGTGCGGCGTGCGTATACTCCGATCGACGTTGAGATCGATATGTGTTCATTTCTGTGCGAAGCGCTCACGACTTCCATAGAATTGCTCGAGCGGGTAAGCGCCTGCAGCTTTCTATTGAGAATTGCCGGGTCAACATGCGTTCAGTATTGCTTGCATGTAGCCTGTGGAGCCAGAGGAGGTTAACAATATGTACCTCGCCGCACACCAAAATACCAGAAATCTAGTGTTGCTGTTCTACCGAATGCACAATTCGGCGAATAATTGCCAGAGCATCGTAGACTTCCAAATCGGGCAGAGCCATCACATCTTCGATTTTGATAATCGACAAAACCTCCGCAAGCCCGTACTTTTGGTATCAGAACAACATCAGGCCATTGTTTTAGGATTTCCATTCCACGACATCTGTAAACCGCATGGAGGCTCCACCCGTTCCTTTGCTTGAACGCCTCCGGCACGTCCAAACCAGGTACTACAGCTACTGTCGCAAAACAACATCAGACCATATTGTTTTCAGCGAGGGATTAAGCTTAAAATTGCTCGCCGCCTTAGGCTCATAGGCTCATACAATCGGTCAAGCCTCGCTGCCTCAGATAGTGAACATCCGGGGGCATGCATGACAGAGTCTGAAGGAAACTTTGTCGTACGATGAAGTTTGGATCTTCGGGGATATGCAGGATGGGGTTTGTTGTGGGGGGTGACGTCGGTTCGATCCGACAGTCTGTAGCTCGAGAGGTTTGAGGCAGCTGAGGCACTGGCTTTTTGATGTTTTGGACTTCTGGATGAGTGATGGAGTGAAGATTACTACCGGATGCGGAGAGTTCCAGATGACCAGGGGCCAAAGTGTCGGGGGTAGAGGTCGGGACTGAGGCATCCGTGAGGCTGCTACAGATCAAAATTGCGCACGGATTCTGATGCGACCCGTAGTCATGTCCAGACGTTGAGAAATTGTGGTTGAACCAATACGCAGCCGAGGCCTTCCTCGGCTGAGGCGGGTTTACAATGATTGATTGATTGATGGTGAATCTTTTTGGGAGGATATTGCCCATTAGAGACCTACCCATACGGAGTTGGATATTCGCATTGAAAATAGGTGGCCTAACAAGATACGGCTGGCTAGCTTGCTCGGCTGACAATCATGAGAGATATCCATCGATATACGGAGTACTATTGAAGGCGAATACATCAAGGAATTAATCCAAGAGCACTATGTACACAGTAGTGGGGAAAATTCACCGTATCGAGAATGCCCACGTTCGGTAGATAATGGATTTGGCCGAATGTATGGTTCCGATTCGTCCCACCTGCGTGATAGAGGCTGTATACGTGCTGTGCTACGACTAGTTTTCTCGAAGCCACCTGACCGCCAAGCGAGGGTACAAGCCTGCAAGGTGTAACGGTGTAGGGAAGCAATGTATCGACAAGGCGAGCAAGGGAAATGGCAAAAAGGGCAAAGGAGGGCCAAAGGTGCGTGAACCTATGCGATAGGTCTGGGAGGGTCACGCTACTGTGCCACGACTGACCACCCGAGGGATAGGATTGAGTTGAGGCTTGGACTGGATGAGCTTAGAAGGAAGACAATACTTAGAAAAGAACCAAGAGAATAGATGCACAACTGGTCAAGGATGGACGGGAAGAGGTACAGGATGTTGCTGCACGAGAGGCTGGACCTGGCACATCGCACGCATCACAAGCATCAGGGGTTCCCAGTCACCTTAACCCTGATCCTCTCCCATCATAGACCAAGTCCGCCCAATCATCATCGCAAAATCGACTCTCAACCCCAGCACTTGGAGTTACTTGGAGTTTAGAGTCCATAGACAGCGGCTACAGTTGATCACCCATCCCTGCCCTTCTCTTCTCCTCATAGTCCAGGCGCATGAATCTCGTTCTCCATATACGGCTGTCCCGTCCGCCTTTGCCATATCGTCGTGACACGCTTCCGGTATCGAACCTCTTCAACCCTCCCACTTTGACGTCGCAAGAACCCACCCACGTACCCCTTTGCACGTCTCCTCACGACTCCTCACGTCTCCTCACTGCCTCAGACCGCAAATTCTCCCAGGAGCCTGCCTGAATCTTGAATCCGAATCGAGTTTCCAAAGTCTATGAACGCTTTGTGCCCTTGCGATCGACTGAGCCTGAGCCATCTCTCCATTAAGCGCTAGCCTCAAACCTCAGACCTGCGACGTGCCTCGACACCTAGTATAACAAAACCCAGTTCCCACGTCTGAACGACCTGATGCTCTCTCGTAGCTGCTGGTAGCTCGCTGCGCGATAGTTCCACGGTCGTTCCATTCTTCACACGCCTTTTTACGTTCTCTTCGCTTCGACTTTTGTACGCCGCCGGGTCGGTCCTTTATTCACGCAATTCACTTTCTTTTTAATCGAAACCCTTCTTTTCTTCTAAACCTACCGCAACAATGGGAAAATTAATCAAGAACCACTGGGCGAGACTCATCGTTCTCTCTGCAGCTGCCTGTACGTACCCATGCTATCCTGAGGCCTACTCCAACCAAAGGGAGAAATGAATGTATCATCAGAGTACTAACACAACCCTACAGACCAAGTCGCTGCTGGATTCGAAGGCATCTTCTACCCCAAGATCTTCTGGGACTTCCTGACCAAGAACCTGGACGCCGCCGTCAAACCCATCCCCGCTCTCCAAATCATCAACATCCTCCTCGGAATCTTCGGTATTGCTTGGGAATGGCCTCTGGGTGCCCTCGCAGGATCCGCAATCCACCGCTCCATCGAAGCTCGTCTCGTCTTCTACCCGCTCAGTGCACTTGCCGCATTACTGCTGTATCAAGCCACTAACGCCGGATTGTACTATCTCGTCGGTATGATTGCGTACTTCTGGGCATATAGCGAGGGAGAGGTACGTTTTATTCTACTACCCACCACCAGAAATGACCATTCTAACATGTTCTCTAGATTGTCTGCCCCGAGCCATGGACAGTACCAAAGCGCGGTTCAACAGCACGCAACCGCGTCTAAATACAACATCGACATATCTCGCCACATAGCACCCATTCTCTCTCCCCGTCTCTCTCATGTGGCCTGCCTTAAGAACCCGACTCGCACAAACCTAAATCTGGAGCACCATCGATACCCCAAACAATGATTCTTGTTCCCACCAATTTCCCCCATTGATATCCCATCCACAACTACTCCGTCTACACCTCACCATCAAAGATCGATCGACCCGACAATCATGCTCCTCCCCGACTATCTCCAGCGTTCAACGAAATAAAGAAAAAAGGCAAACCTCACTCTCGACTCCAACCCCGTTTAACACCATATTTCTCATACGAACCCATTAAGGAAAGAAAGAAAGAAAGCGTGGGGTGGTTAGGAAATCAAGCGAGATGCCATATAAATCCATTCGAAAACACATCTTTTCGAAAGGGCGTGAAATTATATATTGAGAAATGAAATCAATCTTATAAGCATCGCCGAATTCATCATCATAGTCATTATCATCATCATCATCATCATCATCATCATCATCACGTGTCATGCTTTTAGGTATTCTTGAATGAGTTTCGAAAAGGGAAGACTTTTATGTACTATAACTATACCATATCATATCATAGCATATCAATTTAAGAAAGAACACTCATGCATTCTTCCGTCCATCCCGTGATGATTGTGATCTTGACCTTTTAATTATAAGCTGTGAATTGTAATAAATCATACATTCGACATCAACGACGATCGATTCTTCTTCGATAAATCGCGATTTGATCAAAAATGGTGATGCTTCTTCGTCGTTACTGAAAGCAGTCGTATCCAAACAAAACAAATCTTTCAATACCATTTTCCCGACATTCGCAAACCTCTCTTTTCATCAACCTAGCACATTTGTCGTCATAGATTCATTCAGTTGATAAATACAACAAACGATTCTGTACACAGCCAACAACGCAACATCGTCATCATCATCCACCACCAGCGCATTCACAGCCCATCTCCCTCCCACCCAAAAAAAGATATACACACCTACCTCTCACTTTACACACCTTAGAACGCCCGCGCATCATACCCCCCAAAGTGGACCCGTCATACCCGTCGTCGCCGTGGTCGTCGTGACTCGCAACGGGGCCGGGGGGGAAGGAGGCGAGGGGCGCAAAGACGTTTGGGGTAGCCCGGCGGTGCTGGCTGGGGCTCTTTGCCTCACTCCGGGTTTCATGGGGGCGATGGGGGATTTACGCGAGGCGAGGAGGCGGCCGCCGGTTGCCGTTGTAGATTGTCCTACGTGATTTTTTATTCGCTTTTTAGGGGAAATTGACGGAATATTCTGATGTGAGGTGAATGAAGATAATGGTTTCTTGTTAGATTTTGAGATTTGCGAGCGTGCGTTTGTTGTGTGGTAAGTTTATCATTGTATCTGCTCTATTTTACCTGGGGCGGGTGGAGGCGTAACCGCAAATCACCACCGTTTCCCAAAATTCTCCGATCGAGCTCGACCCTCGACGTGACATGGAGATTGAATCAGGTACCAAGTACCAATAAGCCAACTACGTCCCAGGCGATTATTCAAACTGACGTCGCGGTAACAGGAATTCTGCCCGGCCCAAGCCTAATACAGGTTGAATGGGTGACATTGACGTTTATTACATGAACATTGGCAGAAAGCATCCATGTGGGTTCTCTAACGGTTGCGTCGCAGGATACCCCACTTTCCCCTGTAGCAGATGGACAGATGCAGACAGATAGAGAGAGGGACAGCGGCAGGGCATAGCGGTGAGAGAGTGACTCACGTCATGTATAAGGTGGGACATACAGGTCTGACAGCTAGGATGGTGGGCTTTCTGGCAGATTTCTAGAAGGTGTCAGGAGCGTAGGCATGGCGAGTCACCATTGGGGCATGGTTGGAATTTCATATGGTAATCATTATTGCTTACAAGGTCATGACTACCTAGCTTTTAACTGTCAGATTTAGTCAGTCTTCGAAATGGATGCGACGTTCCTCAACGTTCCGAACGGAAGAACGTCTGCGATCCTCTTCTTGTTGGCGAAGAGCATCACCAGTCGATCCAACCCGCAGCCCCAGCCTCCGGTCGGTGGCATGCCCCATTCCAGCGTCTCGAGATAGCTTTCATCAATCTTGCCGTCACCCTCTTGGTGGAAGTCTTGCTGCATAACGAACTTCCTTCGTTGCTCGAACGGTGAGTTCTCCTCCTCATATGCATTGACGTATTCGCGGCCGTTGATGAAGAGTTCCACCCGGGACGCCACCCGTTGGCCGGTGGCCTCATCAACGTAGGATTTTGACAAAGGAGAGAGCGCTTCGGGGTGTTGCGTTATGAACGTAGGATTCTGGCACAGAGGTTCAATGTATTTCTCGGCTAGGGCGTCGAGCAGCCGTGGAACGTTCGCATTGGGCGGCAGTGGAATGCTCAGACGGTGGAAGTAGTCCTGTAGTTCTTCTAAGGTATTGGGAGCGGCAAGGTCAGGGAGCATGCGGCCGCTCATCCTCTCGATTGTGGGGATGAAGGGTAATTGCGCGAAGGGGTAACTGAAGTCGATGCCCTCGGGTGGGGTGAGAGTGGGGAAGTAGCTGGAGCGAAGTGACTCGACGGTTACGTGGAGGTCGTGGATGAGCTTCTCTGTCCTCTCGATCAAAGCTGGGAGAGTGGCTCCGACTTCGTAGAATTCGCAGATACTGAACTCTGGGTTATGAGTGTTGTCGACGCCCTCGTTTCGGAAGACGCGACCAATCTCGAAGATCCTGTCCTGGCCACCAACAATCAGCCGCTTGAGACTGAGCTCTGGGGCAATTCTAAGCGTCAAGTGCATGTTGGACATTTCATTGGCAACGGTGTCAAAGGGTCGGGCAATGGCACCGCCGGCTTTCACTTCGAGTATGGGAGTCTCCACTTCGAGGAAACCGCTCTCCATTAGAGAGTTCCTGATATAGTCATACACCAAAGCACGGAGTCGTAGCACATCTGCAGGTTCTTCACTTGTGAGGGAGTGGATATGAGGGCGCCGTGCAAGAGTCTCGGGGTCTTCGATCTTGTCGGGGACATGATGTAGGCAAGGAGCGAGGACTTTGGGCACATCAAGTGCCGACAACGTGAGTTGCCCAGACGGGGTCCTTGTGGGATTTCCCTGGACGGCCACCCAGTCGCCGTTTCGGACGATCTTTTTGAAAGCTTTAAAGCCGTCTTCTAGGCTAGCGTCTTTGGCGACGAGCTTTTTCAGCTCGATCATAGCTTGCACGCGTTGGGTATCCCGTTCGATGTCAAGGAACATCAGCTTTGAGCCGGCGAGACGTACTGATCGTACCCTGCCTGTGGCTGTTAGATGGAATCACTTGTAGCATGTAAAGGTCGCCCACCAAATAGCGATACCAGGTCAGACTGCGTTTCCTGGATAGTATCATATTTGGAATTGAACTCTCTGATAGTCAATCTATCCAGCCCGGGAGCATGCGTCAAGCGGGGATGATATTGTTCCAAAGGCTTCACATTGCGCAATTGATCGAGGCGTTTCTGCTTCTCGACATCGTGCGGTCCAAGAAACGAATCAGAGGCAGAATGAGCTAGTCTCCATTGTACTGCGGTGTATACGCGGGCATGTTCAACCCTGAGGAGGGGCCTAAAGCTTCGGGAGAGGCATGGACGAAGGAATTGAAGCGAGGGTCTACTCATACTTTTGAGTCGTTAGTAGGTGGCACATAAGAGGAGTAACGACTTTGCAATGAAGAGAACAGTCATTCAGACATCGTGCTATGGTTGTGAAATCAATCGCCCGATTGGGCGTCATTCGCAACGGTTCTTGAATTGATCATCATATGAGGTGACACCACGCTGCTAGAGGCCAGCAAGACGCGGGTGTGTTGGGAAGGAAGGAATGAGAGATTGGGAAGAGCTTACCTGGGAAGCTGTCATGAGGGTCGGGACAACGTCAATGTACTGCTACTTGAGGAAGAGGGTATCCTTCTTGATTCTAAGGTAAGAAGGGACTACTGGTGGATGAGCAGGATGAGCACAGCTGAGCAGCGCTGAGCAGAGTGAAGCTTAAGGTCTCACGATGAGGAATTGAGAGACGAGAAATGAGGGATGAGAAATTTCGATGTAGCCAGAGACGCTAACTCCATTGGCTATGGACGGCAGACTATGTTGTTGCTGGTCTGTCCTGTCTGTCCTCACGATTCCATCGACCAGCAAAAGCTTCAAGTGTCGTTCCCACCTCGGAGTCCGTAAATGGCTTAGCCTAGCCACGTGCTGGAGCCTCAGAGAAGCGGTGACCATCACTAGCGCCAAATCACGTGATGGGGCCCAAGCTCCCTGGCAACTTTGCTTAAGTAGCTTCTTGCCCTCTTCCTCCTCTTTCTTCTCTTCATACTTGTTCGTACTCCCCCAACTCCCCCATACGTTTGACAATTTGCTAACTCTGTTCCAGACCTTGATGAGATCGCTGAGCTCAAAAATCCAGTTGATCAATCGGAATCGCCTGCATTGCACAGCGCGGAGCGGTTCTGGTTCGAATCTCCTTCGGGGGCTTCGGCGTCGCAATTTTTGCTTGCATAACAACCAATCTTTTTTTCTTTTCATTGCTGCTATTCCTTGTGGATAGCTTCGAGGAAGAGAATTCACATTCACGGCGAGAGGGTGTTGGACTGAGACCAAGGAACTTATCTAGTTCGATATGTGAAGGTGGAACTCTTGTTCGTATGGAGTAGCCTACTGTTGGTCAAGTGAGAGCTGGATTGGGGGCAGTGGAGGGTTGGATGCAGTCAGTTACACTTGTTCCATCAAATATTCGGAGTCGTTCATCACTTTAACGTGCTACATGGTGTGTGTGTATCCTTTTGAAGCTGAAGCTGAAGCTATGAGGCAGGAGTGTAAGAGATTAGTCACTATTGGCCTGCTCTCCAGCAAGCTCCCTGGACGGGAAAAGCCATCGACGCATCATCACGTAGCTGGTCTCCATCACGGTGCCCATTCAAGAAGCCTATATTAAGCTTCCATCACACTGCTTCACTTCCTCCAGCCAGCTGCCTACCTACGAGTTATGTGAGGTTTTCTTTTCCCCACGCGTTCTTTCCCTCCGAGCCTCACAAACGCGTTGTTTGTTTGGCTTAGTCAGCAATACCATCCTCATTTTCGAATTGCGTCAAAATGACAATGGCATTTATTCAATTCCGATGGCCACCACCACATATCCATTGTTCGATCAGATCTCACATCTCCGTTAGATGTCTCCGTATCGTTCTCCGCTCCATACCCTGTAATATTACAACTCGGTTATCTCTTCCACTAATCAACTTCGCGGCCTTCGTTCCCTTCTGATCTAGTCATGACGTACGTCCTACTCTACACGGCCGATGTGACAAGGGCGTGTCGCTGGACGAGCAAATACAGTGGAACGAAAATTCTCGGTACTTGACGGTAGTTCAACGGTACGCAAGTCATAATTGCATACCTAGCTATGTCATGATGCCCATATCATATCTGCTCTCTTTGTCTAGCAGTAGAAATAGATACATTTCCCGTTGCAATTGACCTCATTTCTTACCTACCGCAACCGTGATACCCCACAACATCTGAATTCTCATACGTTACCAAAGAATTAGCAACTTCTTAACCTACTCTTCGAAAAGACTTCCAAAATGGCGATGTCCCAAGCTGCCCTGAAGGTCGAGAAAGTGCTCGGCCACGGCGACAACGCCACCACCGCACAGGATATCACAAATCCCAGCAAAGACAATGCAGGCGATCCCAGCGATAAGATGAAGGCTCTGGCGTGGATGGGCAAAGGCAAGGTCGAAATCGTCGAGGCACTGAAGCCAAAGGTTATGGAGAACCGCGACGTCATCGTAAAAGTCACCGGATCAACAGTCTGCGGATCGGACCTACATCTTCTACATGGTGCGGTGGTCGAACTGGAGAAGGGAGATATTCTGGGCCATGAATTTTGTGGCATCGTGGATGAGGTTGGCTCGGAGGTCACGAACTTGAAGAAAGGGCATGTTTCTCCCCGTAAAGGTTACAGCTCGGAGTATGGGCTAATAATTTGTAATCTAGACAACGAGTCGTCGCCTCCTTCCAGATTGCTTGCGGAGATTGTTACTACTGCAAGCAGAAACTCTCGTCGCAATGCGAGAAGACCAACTCCAACACTCTCGAGAACGCAATGTACGGCGGTCGAACAGCAGGCATGTTCGGGTACAGTCACTTCACGGGCGGTTTCGCAGGCGGCCAGGCCGAATACACTCGGGTGCCCTACGGAGACGTCAACCTCCTCTCGCTTCCAGACAACGTCCCCGACGAGCAAGGTCTCTTCCTCTCCGACGTGCTCGCCACCAGCTGGCATGCCGTCGTTGACACCGGCGTGAAGAAGGGCGACGTCGTTGCCATCTGGGGTGCAGGACCAATTGGCCAAATGGCCGCCGACTTCTCCATCCTCAACGGCGCATCCCGCGTCATCATGGTCGATTCGAATTGGCGCCTTGATTATGTGAAGTCGAAGTACCCCAACATCGAAACCCTCGACTACAGCGCTCTCGGAAAAGGCGAGTCCGTCACCAGCAAGCTCAAGGAGCTCACCAACAACCGCGGACCCGATATTAGCATTGAGTGTGCCGCCGGAGAATACGCGAAGGGTTGGGCGCACTACTTTGAGATGCTGCTCGGCCTTGAGACCGATACCAGCGAGATCGTGAATGAGATGATTACCAGCACACGGAACTTTGGCAGCTGCGGCATCACTGGCGTCTACGTCGGCTTCGTAAGTTCCCCGTCTTCCACATACTCACCACTTCCCAAAAACCCATCTCGAAAGTCACACAGCTCTAACAACCCAAACAGACCAACCACTTCAACATCGGCTCCCTGATGGAACGCGGCATCCGCCTCATCGGCAACGGCCAAGCGCCCGTCCACAAGTACTGGGACTCCCTCCTCAAGATGATCCAGGACGGCCAGATCGAGCCGCTGAAGATGGTGTCCCACCGCGTGCGCCTCGAGGACCTCGACAAGGTGTACTACAAGTTCGAGAACAAGGAGGACGGCATGCAGAAGGTCTACGTCGAGACGAGGTTTTCGGCGCCCGCGGCGAAGGGGTCGCCGGGTTTGACGACTTATTAGTTAGGGGGGAGAGTGTGATTACTTAACGATTTGAAATGTTCGATGTGGCGTTGGGATCTAGGTTGAGTTGTGGGAAGTTCGCAGAATTATAGTGTAATGATTAAATCCTTCGATGAGAGAAATGTAGTCAAATTCATGTACAGAACTTGTCACTTTCACAGCCCCATACGCCCTTCTTTCCCCTCATCAAACAGATATACCTCACTCCGGAGCTTTATCGCCATCATCCTCCTTCTTCCCTATCTTCACTACCCATACATAATCTAAAACAAATACAACGTACTCACCACGTATCCAGCCCCCACAAACCTCACTCATTTCACCTCAAAGCCGCACCGTGACTCGACAAGATGGGTCGTTCGAAAGAGGGAGGGTTGAGGAGGGTTTGGTGGTTGTATGTGGTTATGTGGTAGTGTGTTTGATGTAGATATCGGTCTAGATACGGGGAAGTTGGGGTCTATGGTTGGAGTTGGCGGTGCTGGGAGAATGATAGTTTATGATAGTTGTTTGTCGTCATAGTTGTCGCAATGGGCTTTTAGAATAACTATCTAGGATGGTTGTTCCCAGGGGGCATAGTCTTATCGAACAAACACAAGTAATGAAGGAACATGTGCAGTGGTGGATAGAAACAGAGAAGCCGTAGATGTACGTTCCAGGACGTTATGAGTGGAATATTTGGAGAACGCGTGAATATTTTTATAGCCGATATCACTTCTACAGGTCAAATTAAGTCGATTCATGTGAAAATAATGTCTGTATCTGCGATTGTGGGCATTCTATTGACTATATGCCGCCAATGTCGGCTTCAAGATGATTACCTTACGGACGTCGACATCGCCAAGTAAAGAAATAGAAACAAGTTCCCTTTCAAGATTATTTCTCTTGATATTGCTAGGAGTTTATTCCCCAGAGCTCTTAAGTTGTACGTTGCAACTGCTATCTATTGGGAGTGGTTGACATGTATATCCTTCAACTTCAAGCCTTTGATTTCAGCTTGAGCATCCTGGACAATCGTATCTATCTCAGAGCCCAGCTTGCAAGGATGAAGCATGAACGCTTCAGAGCTGGAATAGTGATGGTGCGCCTGGCGACTTGTATGCCACCATTGTGGATTCTGGATTCTTCTGATCTTGTTGCAGACGTTGTAGAAGCGCATTCCTACAAAAGGAGCCTCTGGACGGGGTGTGAGATAACCCCAGCGTTTCATGTACTTCATCAGTGTCCCATACAGACAGGCTCCGCATTGGGGAGAATGGTGTTTGAATTTAGGGCAAGAGTACCCAATGTCGCTATAGCGCTCGGCCAACTGGTGCAACTTTGCAATGACCTGCTCAATGGCTTGACAACGAGCGCGATCGATTTCTGCTGAATTTATGTTAGTACGATCATGGCTCCTTAGAACCTTTTCAGGGGACATACATGTGATGCCCTCGTGAATCGGTAGACCCAAGTCTTGTATCCAACCCCAGCTAGCTTTGATCGCCACAGCTGTTGCTTGCTCAAACTGTTCCCTCAGGCAGAAAATTCGCGATATACAGATCCATAACACCAGATCGCGACAGTAAATTTTTGGGAAGTAAGAGTTGGCCCAAATATTTGCAGTCCAGTCCTTGACATTGCGGTCCAGTGCTTGTTCGTCTTCGAGCTCATAATAATCGGCAATGACGGCTATCTTTGCGAACATCTCCAGGCTTATTGAAGCTGGAACCTTACGCGTCCGAAGGTGGATGATGTTTAGGAGAATAAGCAGGGCTTCTTCGTCCCAATCGCTGGCGGAGTAATGATATCGGCCATCCAACGCACTTGGCTTGGATTCAGAAAACGTGTCCGATGTAAATCTACGCCTAAACCACGGCGAAACCAACATCAGATGGCGAGACGAAACGAAGTATTGAACCTCATTCCCCATTTCCCCTTCTACCGTGGATTCAGAATCCAGCACGGCACTGGATGCCGGGACTCCATTATCCGCAATGGGTGCGGCAGTGGCTTCAGACCCCCCGTCTGATGACCTGTTCGTGGGATCAGCATCAACATCTATGCGCTGACGGGAAGCATAGCGTTCTGAAGCTCTGGCTACGAACCTTATCGTGGACTCCTTCATTTCATATTCATATTCTAGAATTGAATGCTTTGTCATCATCTCGTTAACACTTGGAACGGCACTTTTTGTATCCTCCTCTACGTCAGATAGATCTTCATCATCGGCCAGACCGTCGAGGCTCTCTTTCCACAGAGCAAACGGTGCACCAGGGTTGTGGAGAGTAATGACTGTATCCGCAAGTGGATCGATCTCGTGCTTGATTATTGGCATATTGCTAATCTGAGTAGGTGTATCTTTGATTGTTGCGCCGGCCGAGTTGGATTTTGTTTCAAAAACTTTTAGGCTGGTGCCTAATTTACAAGGTAGACAGGTTACACAATGTGTGCTCGCGCCCCCCTCACTTCGATGTCCACGTCAGGCCATTGTTTGTTGCTGCTAGTATAGTAGACTTCCTGGTGGTGTGCTCTGCAAGTACATGTCAAGAAACGTGTAAGCAGAATCGTCTACAAGTGTGTATCAGGGAACATGTAAGCAGAGATATAAATTTGTGCAGCCTGGACAAGATCAGAAATATATTTAATTTGAGTTAATGTATAGTATAGCTTTGCTAAATGAAACTTACCTTGAAAGTACTGCTATTTTATATCAGTCCCTAGATGTAAGATTTCAATATCAAACCACTGCATTAAAACTGCCTGTTGAAAGCAAGACCAGATCTTAAGAGAGTGTAAGTAATAAACGCGTTACATAGGACTCGTGGGAAATCGTATCAATAGCAGTCAACTTTTGTACCGTGCAACTGTTAGTTGTGGAAAAATTGGATGTAACAGGCTGCTGTGTCTGGAGCCCATATGTAGACCATTGTTCATACACAGATCTATTTCTACCAGAGGCTTTAAGTTGGTAAATCTCTAAGAACTGTTCTGTTGATTTAGATGCGTGCACGTACTGTCCTTGCTTTCATTGTATAAATACTAAAGGTCACTTCTCTGTATCATCTATCTCTTCGAGACGTACATATTATATTAAATGATTAATATTCATGACAACAGATAATTTCGATACACTATCTCATTTTTTTACTTTTCATTGCCCTTGAATCGGATATTTTTTGGATCAGATATCTACAAACGAATAGAATATGCGAACATTAAGGAATATCAAGACACATCACTTGACCTCGCCCTTCTATTCACCTTGAAGCATGGTTACTTACTTGTTTCTTTACACCTATGGGCAATTTAGATAGCATCCATCCGTGTACGCCTTGGTTTCTCGCCCTCGAGAAAGATAACGCGGAGCACAACTGTAGCCAGACGACAAAAGTGTCTTTTTGCAAAGAGTGAGATGAAGCCTTAAGATTGTCTGCAACTCATTCCTACACCTATTCATCACATCCGTCCATACGTGCGGAGTTGATACTACTTATTGTGTCTCCTTCGTGCGAATATCTGATAAATACGAACGTTTTGCGTCATACCACACCTTTCTTTAGATATTACTTTATATATAAACGCACACTACCTTTACTATACAGAAAGACTGAAGAACTCCCTCCGTCTTACTTTACAATATGTTTTCCTTTCCTTCTCTCCTTTGCACTCTTCTGTGTCCAATATAACACACTTCGACACATCAATCGCAACAAGCTGTAACAGCTAACGATAACACATCATCACATCTCACAACACCCTACGCAACGGACATCTGAACACCATATGAATACACTTCTTCATTCCCGCATGCTAAACCTCACCCAACCCATCTCCATCATCTCATCTCCATCAACTCTTCCTGCCCATCTTGACCTCAAGTACGCCGTGCTCTTTCTCCCGAAGAGGAACTGAAAGCCATCATATTCCACCTTCAACTTCAATTTCCAACATTCACTAGAACAGAACAGTCGATGCGTGCCTGTCCAGACACAGTGCAATAACGACACATAGAGAAAAATACGCAGACGGCAGCACGCTGCAAGATCCCATGCTGGGTCGTACCGGGGCGTGCTTGAGCAAGTAGTCGAGAACCAACTCTCCAATGCACGATTGGATAGGGAATCAATCAAAGTATCAATCAATAGAGTTTCTGTCATGCATATGAACAACGGCTTAGGCATAAGACGCATACACACTTATCAGATGGGGATGAAGATCCAGATCGTCACGATGTGGAGACAAGAAGGGCTGATGATATTGTTTGATTGGGAACTACAACATTGTTTCGATTCCTTTTCCGACTATATATGATTTCGAGGCTACGAAATTCATTTACTATATACATCCATGCACCCATACTTATGAGTAAAGATGCAGTACGTCACACACATATGGTCCAATTGTAATAACTAACGATGGGGTATGATAGTCCGCTGATCGTCGCGGACCTTACTGTGTAGGAAAATACTTGCACGATAATGTCCGGTTACGGAGAATTTTACGTTGGTGCATTGTGTTTCGAGAGAAAGCCCAGTGCCAATCGATCAATTAGGTATGTTCTAGAGAAAAATCTCCTAGTGACTATTGTAGTTTATAGTGGGCTTTTCGCCTTATCAGCGCGGGTGGACGCGTAACAAATGTGGGTATAGGTAAAAGAAGCTGAATTCTTTCTGGGAGCCACCAAATTGCGAGTGGGTGCTTGGCAGCGGTAGGTGGGTGGTTGTGCGGGACAGAATCTCCACAGTAGCTTTTTGGAAAGTGGGAGGGGAGACGTCCAGCGCGGCCCTGCCTCGCCTGAAACAAAACGGTGTGCGGATCATCAGGGTCGCTCGATTCGGTCGCGCTTCCACTCCAACCATTACGCGTGCTTCTGCTGTAATTGGCACCGAACCCCTAAAGGGGGCACGCGGAAACAAGCGACAATGTCTTGCCCAGACCGACTTTGACCCTTAAAACGGCTTCAAGGATGATCGATGATCGGTATTAGATCTGCCCCTGTTGATCGCGCAATCAAGCATACGTCGCGCTTCTAACCCCAACGCCTTTGGGAATGCGACGTGCGTAGGTGCATTACGAGTCTACCTGACTACGAAGCGAATTTGTCGTGGGAAGATTTGACTTTCATGTCGAGGGCCGTCTCATGGAAGTTCCCCTCCCGCCGTGCGCGTTTCAGCTTCTTGACCTCGTCGTCTTCGAGTCGCCGACCGATGATCTCTTCCAGTTCCTTCCTGCTGATCTTTGCCTGTGCCTTTTCTTCTTTTGTGGCGCGAAGCTTGGGCTTGAAGCGCGCTTGCATGCGTATCCTGAACGTGCTGTTGAAGGTTATGGAGTCTGCGTCACCGCGAACCTCGGGGCCCTTGGTCGAAGACTCATCTATCGAGAGGTAGGTCTCGCGGAGAGTTTGTAAAGCGAATGTAGAAGGGTTATCTGGCGGGGGGATAAAGAGGATAGATTCGGTAGGGGAGATGGCAGTTGCGGTTGCGGTGAGGATACCGTACTTGTCGATACTCAGATACCTGCAGAATTGCTGTTAGCTGTGCCATTGTAGTTCGGGAACGGATAGAAGACTAACCGTCCATGATGGCCCTTCAGACTGTAATTATCTGTCCCCGCGACTTTGTTCGCAACCCAGACTTGTCTGACATCGTGCGGTTCTGCAGTCGCAGGGTCGCCGTCTACGAAGTTCTCCACCTCACTTGTGAAGACCTTGCCGTTCGCATCGCAGGCCAGGAACGTGGGGGTTTCTGTAGGCAGGACGATCAAGATGGGACCCGAGACATCGCTGGGGACGTCGGCAGTCACCCAGGAATCATCATCGTCGGCCGGCGCTGATGTAGATGCAGATGCCGCGGTAGTTGTTGCAACGGATTTGGAGTACTTTGCCTCGACTTCGGCGTCGTCGAGTTCGGGAACGCGCTTCCGCTTCTTAGGCTTCTTGTCGCCTTTGAAGTGGAGGGGTTTGACCATGATTATTTTCTCTCCGTCGATAGATGCTGGCTACTGTTGGTGGAAAGTCTGGAATAATCTGGAGCAAAGGTCGGGAGCGACCGAACGCTGAGGCGGAGAAGTGCGGCAGAAAGTTCACATTAGGCAGGTCGTTGCCTCTTACTCACGCGTTGTTTTCACATTTGCCATACTAGGAGGAATTCAATAAATTCCGCTGCGGGAGCGTTATTGCCGTAAAAGATTCCAAAAAGCAAGAAGAACCACGTCCAATCTCTCTCCTAGGGAAAAATACGATCTTGATCCGCGAATTTGTTGACATCATCATGGCAAATGCTGCAGCTGCAACGAACCAGGCTGCTGTCTCGGTTGGGTTAGAGGACCTGCGCAAAGGTACGTTTGTGCGCCGTTCGCATTCGGTAATTATGAGATGGGAGTATGGAATCAATGTCTAATCATTCATTTCACAATAGAGAATGTAGATTTCACCCTTCTAGAAGAGGCATTTGGGCCTTCTTCGTTGGGAATCATCGTCGTCAAAGACCTACCTGCAAGATTCCATGAGCTGAGACATAGGCTACTGTCGTACTCCTCAGCTCTTGGGAATTTGCCCGAAGAGGAACTTTGTAAGTGCATTGCTCCCGCAGCCACCTCTGCTGCCTTGTTATGCCTCTCTGTCAGATGCATAGATGATCAGCAGGGTTAGAAGACGGGATATCTAATCTGTGCAATCTAGCCAAGCTTGAATCGCCGGAATCGAAATGGCTGGTAGGATGGTCTTGCGGCAAGGAGACGCTCAAGGATGGACAATACGACACTCTGAAAGGATCATACTACGTGAACTGTGCATCTGGCTTTGAGGAGACGCAGGATTCCGTTGCAGCGAGATATCCATCCTTCTCGGAATACACGGCACCTAATGTCTGGCCGTCACAGGAGCTGCTCCCAGGCTTCGAAGCAACATTCCGAGAGCTGTGTAGCCTGATCATCGACATCGCCGGCTTGGTTGCCCGAGCCTGTGACAAGTACGCCGAAGCCAACATTGACGATTACAAGAAAGGCTATCTTGAACACGTGGTGAAGACGAGTGTGTCGACCAAGGCTCGGTTGCTCCACTACTTTCCCTCGCCGGGGACAGATACGAGCAGCAATGGTGGGGTGGCAGGCGAAGACGACTGGTGCGCTACGCATCTCGATCACGGGTGTCTCACAGGTTTGACGTCGGCCATGTTTGTGGATGAAGCCGCCCACCCGCCACAGATTGGCAGCTCGTTCGCCCCTCTCCAAGAGCTCGACAAGTCCCCAGACCCCAAGGCTGGCTTGTACATCCACTCGCGCACTGGCGCCGTGACAAAGGTCGCCATTCCTCGGGACTGCCTAGCATTCCAGACAGGTGAGGCGCTGGAGGTGATCACCAAGGGAAGGTTCAAAGCAGTGCCACATTTCGTCCGTGGGGCAGGATCTGGAATTGGTGGGAAAGTGGCGCGCAACACCTTGGCAGTGTTCACACAGCCGAACCTCTGGGAATTGGTCGATGAGAAGCGGGACTTTGCAACGTTCGCAAAGGAGATAGTCGAGAAGAACCACTAGTTCCAGTGCGGAGAGTAATAGTTAGTGGTAGTGGAGTGATATACAATAGTACTCCGCAGAGATGTACAAAATCAGGGAACAGGAATGAGTGATGGCTGAAAAAAATAAAGCGATTTGAGTGTTCTGTACTATGTTCATGAGCAATGACGTCGTTGTTTGTATGGGTCATTTCGATGAGAGTGCTTGCGGTTACCCGCAGCGGGATGAGTCTCCGCCGGCCCTTGTTGAGGCATTATCAACCAGTTGGGCATGTGCATCTGTGTATGCCATTCTCCAAATGCGATAGAGCCATCAGTGGTACTCCGTAACTAGGAGGAGGATATTGAATGGGGACCTAATGGCCGTAGAGTATACAATCACAACGCCACCTACGTGAGACATACCGAAATTGGATCAAGCGTGCCCAGGAGTCGATAATGATGCGAGAGGGCGAGTGGGACTGGGCGTTGAAAGAACACGATTTCGGGCCCAAGAGGCGAGCCAATGGCATGTACGACTCGAATCGCAGCGGGGCGTATGCCCAGGACACATGGGATGAGCGGGTAAGATATGTATCAAGACTCAAGAGACGAAATGGCATCGTGCCGTTCGAAGATTGAACAAGATATTAGGATTGCAGAAATAAATTAGCCACGCAATAGAACTGCTGTATGTGTAAAGATGTAACAGGATCTCCAGGCAAAACGGGACACTAAAGCCATGGCGTACTGCAGGACTCAGGGGACAGCGAATGAAAATCTGTATTGCCAGAATAAGGTCGGTAAGCAGACAGCGATTATTACTTTGTCTGTCGACGAAATAGGGATATAGGATAACTCTCCTACTACTAACGTTATGACAACCGCCCACTCGTGCGACATCCAGCATACCGGCAGAGCGCTGAGCACGACTGGAAATCTTTTCATTTCCATGTCTGGACGCTGATGTTGCTCCTGCAATTCGTTCTGTGCGTTGTACGAGTTGTATGGCGTCCCACTGCTAGGTCACGGTTGGATGGTATGTACGATTGGATGGTACGAGTAAGTATGTTCTCACGCGCCACACGTCGTCTCTAGCATAACAAATGACACCTTGGTATGTGTCGGGTTCCAGAGATCTGGCTCGGATTTTTCTTGGGTCGCGCCCAATGGCAATGCTGTGAATGGATGTTTCGTGTGGCATGTTGCCTCCCGGAAATACTATTTACTGCCAGCGTGCGTTGCCAAACCACATCTGTAGGTATGATCTGTTTCGCGTGAGGACGATATTGAATAGGTAAGTTACATGTAAGTCTACGTTATTGACTAAGCGATCGTTGCAGGGTCGTTGTGGGTTCTCCATTGACACGAGGATCTTGGCATATGCTCCTTGCTCGCTGACGCGAACTCACCTGGATGGGCAGTTCCGCAAGCTCGTACGAACCAGGTGAGTGGTGAAGATGATAAGAAGTAAGGCGGACGTAAGGCGGTGTAATAAAGAAGTGCTGTGAAATAGAGATGGATAACCAGTTGGACGGATGAATGGATTTGAACCATGTCCAAATCACAATTATCTGAAATCCTGATAGCCACAGGAGCAGCGTTGAGAACCATTCAAGGAAGACCATCAAAGAGGACAGCCGCGCGCAATGACGGCATATGCCTGGCCCCAAGGGTTGGAGTGTGCCGGCTTCCGAGCAGTCAAGCCTCAAAGTTCTTGGCAGGTAATGTAGGCTCCACTGATTGGGTGATTTGCGTTAAGGAGTTGTGAATAATGTGATTAAAATGGAGCAGGAGAGGCCGACTACGGTCACATCATGAATCCCGCGCCTCACCGATGTGTGGCTGTCCTTCTCGTCTCGGGTGGTTGATTGGATGACCAAGACGGTCTCAAGAGTCAAGACTGGGTCTCATGATGGATTCGCGCATTGGAATTGAACAAACAGGACGATGTAATAGAAACCTAAGGTAGGTACGACGGACTATGGGAGAAGATCGAGTAGGACATAGAAAGAGAAAGTACAGAGCACTCGGTAAGAGAGAGGACGAGGACGAGGACGAGGACGAAGAAAGAGATGTGCAACCTGATACAGTCCTGTGGCAGAGTCAACTGTGGCGAATCCAGCCGTTTCAAGAAGATTAGATCTTTGTTGAATACGGCGTACGGAGTTGTAGATACTGTGCGTAAGTGGTAGTAGTCAGGTATGTTTCCGTTGGGTGTTAGGCGAGCAGCAAGCTGCAGTGCAGTGCATTCTAGAAACAGCATGGTAATGATTGATTACTGAATGAATTGATTGAATACATAGTTAATGGATCGAATGGATGGATTGAATGGATTGAAAATGAATAGTGGGTGGGTACATGGATGATGATAGTCGAGGAGTAGGATATTGGGATGAAAAGGTCTAGGAGTCCCAAGACATTACGCGGCCAGTTTATCCTTTTCAGCCTTGGCATTCCAGTTCCCCCTTTTGGTTTAGTGCGTCTGCTCTCTCTTACTCGCTTTCTCTCTCTGTGTCTATTCTGGGTTCTCGTTCTCTCCTGGGGAATAATAACTCGTGTGTACGGAGTACTTGTACTGCGAATGTGTTCAAGCAGTGCGAGACAAACGGTATCCCATGCAATGCCACCACCACAATCCTTTGAAAATGCTAGTATTCTCTATTACTTTCTTCTCCCTTTCATTATTCGTGAATTGATCAAAGGGCATTTCCTCCATTGCCGCCCGTTCCAAGGGGTGCACCGCCAACCCGTGTGTACTCCAATCCAATCCCCACTTCCCTTCCCAAACCCGCTTACCTACCTAGACCTAAGTACAGTAGTTGTCGTACACCTAACTACCCTACCCTACCCATTACCCAACACCGTACGAGGAGGGGACCTACATACGCAAACATCAATAACACTCCGTACACATCTTTCCTCTCTAAAGCCACTTGAGGCGCCCTGGCTCTCCTGGCTGCCGATGCCAAGATCACACCCCCATGTCCATCAGCCAGGAGACCATGCTGGAGCGTCCGACTATCCGTCTTCGCACGGAGGCTTTTCTTGCTACCACCCTAGTCCCACAGCGAACGCGACCTGATTCCTGCAAATGGGACACTGGACAGTGGAGTGGAGGAGGGGGGGACGAGGCTCGGCGGAGGGTGGGTGTGTGGATGTGGTAGTCGTAGTGCTAGATAATGATGGCTGCTCGACGGTTGTGGACATTTCAACTGCGAATCTGCCAAAGCTTTTTAGAAACCATCACTTGCTCTTGTTTTCTTTTCTTTGCTTCTCTTGTTCATCGACTCCTTCTCCCTCATCTTCTTCTTCTTCTTCCTCATCCCTCCTCCTCATCCCATCCCGTATCCAATCCATCTCAACACTCCGGACCATACCCAGTCTCCTCCCCTACCTGGGTCTCCATTCCGCCTACCTACCTACGAAGCGACCCATCGATCAACTTGCCAACTAAACTTCCTCTCGTGACTGAGCGAACACGACGTAATCGACCATCCGGTTAACTACCGACCTGACCCGTTTCCCGTATCCTCCCTTGGTTTTCCTCCAGAAGTCGCATGTATGCCTTCCATTCCGCAACTCTCGCTTTTGCGTAGGTCGCTGTTGTCGTCGGTCGAGAGCGCCAGCTCTGGCGGCAACCGTAGGCAGAATGTCCAGTGGGTAGAGGTTAGTCCGAAGCATTTCCCAACTACACACCTATCCCCATGCCGCCACACACCTACTTTGCGCTCTGTTCTTTTAAGCATACCACGCACGCTATTCGTTTTTCGCCTCCCCCAATTTTCACAATGCTAACATTCTCTTTCAACTTGCATAGGGTGTTCGTGGTGTCGCCTCGTTCTTCGTCGTCGTCACCCATCTCTGCAGATCCTGGGACTACAGTCTCTGGTTTCCACGCGATAGCGAAACCGCAGATCCCCAACTCCTCCAATTGCCATTCCTGCGTTTGCCATGGCAGGGCCGTATCGGAGTCACAATGTTTGCCTTCCTAACAGGCTATGTTTGCGCCCTCAAACCTCTCCGCCAGCTTAAATCCGGAAACATGGCCGGTGCTATGACGACCCTCGGAAAATCCGCATTCCGACGTCCGCCGCGGTTTATCATGCCCGCAACCATCGCCATGTTTCTGGCTTGGTTCCTCGCTCAGATCGGCGGCTTCAAGGTCTCTCAGCGCTGCGACGCTCGCTGGCTGCGCTCTTCCAGTCCCTCCGATGTTGGTACCATCACGGAGGAGATTTATAGATTCTTCCAAGCCTTTCAGCAGCAATGGTCGAATGGACACAACCCTTACGATGATCACCAGTGGGCCCTTTTGCCCTTGCTTCAAGGCGCCTTCCTTATCTACGTCACCCTTTTCGCGACCCTCTTCATGAAGTTCCGCTACCGGATCTTCACCCTCACCGTCCTGCTTTGGTGGTTCTGGTCCGTCCCCAAGCCATTCAAGGGTAAGCATTCCTCTACTGTGCCAGACGTACCAACTTGCAAAACTAATCCGAATCGCAGAGACCTTCGAGTGCCAGTTCATCTACGGCATTTTGCTGTGCGATATCGGATCCGATACCAAATTCCGCGATGTCGTCAACAGCTGGGTCAAGACTCGCCGCTTCGTCCAAACCTTCTGCATCATCCTCGGATGGTACGTTGCCGGATACCCAGGAGAGCGTGGAGATTGGGCTGAGTGGTCCCGCCAATTGACGTACATTGGCGAGTATATCTTCCCACAGGGAATGAACGATCAGCCCAGGAGGTGGACTGCTGCGGGCTGGATGCTCATGGTTACTGGCATCTGGCTGTCCCCCACTCTTCAGGCCATTCTCTCCAACAAACTCTTCATGTGGATCGGACGCAACAGTTTCGCCGTTTACCTCACCCACGGAACCATCCTTCGAGTCGTCGCCGCACGCTTTGTATATGGCTTCTCCGGAGAGCCTTTCATTGTCGAGAAGAACGAGAAGGGCGAGGATGTCTTCCACTGGCTTCCCCGCGGCGGACCTCTCACCTTCACCATCGCCATCCCCGCCTTTTTCGTCGTCACCTACACAGTCGCACACCTCTGGACGACCTACGTGGACTCGATGTGTGCAAGGGCGACCGTGTGGTTGGAGAAGACCATGTTCGAGGACGAGGATGAGAAGCGCATGATGCAACTGCCATAATTCGGAGAAGAAAAACGGGATTTCACGACAGCATTTCCATCGTTTGCGACCACGTTGCATTGCCTGCGCTACATTGCTCTTTTGTTTTAAAATCTTTCCTTTTGTTCAAAGAAATGGGTCCGGCTGGAATCAGGATTGCCCAAACGACCTCAACAACCATTCTTATCACCTCGTCTCACTTTTTTCTTCACCAAAGTGTGGTACATATAATTGGCTTTCGCTCGGGATACCATTTGGCTTTTCATTATTACCCGCTTTGCTATTTTGCATTTGCATGGCGTCGACATATGCTTCTCCTTTTCGGATCTTTCCCGAAACATTTGGGTTCGGAAATCGCGCGGTCCTGACAGAGCCTTCTACGTTGTTTGCTTAGATTGGTAACATAGGCCTTGCGGATGACCCCTTCTCACGTGTGCAAGTGTAGGATTAATCTTGTCACATATGGGATGGGCACGTCATCTCGTTTTATTTCCTTTTCGTTTTCTGGTTAACAGGAATATTCGATGATTAAGAACATTCGAAATTTCAGGCCACAAATCATGTATAGAAAGATGAAATACACAAACGAATAATATATTCACAGTCACATTACATCTCCGTGTCTGAAACCCTGTGCTTCGCAAAGAATGTTATCTTTCTTCTTGCTTTGAGGACTTGCTATCCCATAACCATTCAGTTGTACCCTATTCATCCTGCCTACTTTTCCACTTATCATGATCACCGTAACCCATCGAGCCTTCAAACACATCAGACTAAAACACCATGCTATAACCCCACCAAACATAACACAACCAGCATAATCCTCAGATCCATTCCACCACACTCCCTCCACTTCCCCCATTACAATCCAAAACTAACAAACCAACTCACTTCCTCTCGAACCTATATCCACTCATCCTCCTACGACGTACCCTCACCCCCACTTACTCCCCAAGCACCCCCTCGCCGGATCTCACCTCTATCCTGCCTCCCACTTCCCCCCTCTGGAATGTATATTGAAGACACATCCCCGACAAGACGGGTGTACGTGCGAGTTTACGGGGATCGTGAGGTGCTTGTTTCTCGATTGCCGTACTTACGTGTATAACTGTGGTGCTTTTTGGTGTAATTTCATGGAGGGTAGGAACAAGGGGTTGAGTGGATGATGGGGAAGTAGAGGCTGTGAGGTCCTTGGGGGATAGATTTCGGGATGTGCGTGTTGCCATGACAGGACTGTGCAGTAGGAGAGGCATTCAAACATTCGGTGTCTTTGGTTCTTGGTACACTGTTTGGTTTGGTGGCCATGATTCTGTTGGTTGGCTTTGGCTTCGGCAGTTGATACAAGAAGGTCGTGATGAGTTTGGAAGGGTAACCGAGCGTCGAGCATGTAGATGAAGTCTTCAGAATGCCTTGTATATCTTTCTAAGCTATAAATCTAGGAAGCTCTCTCCTATGTAATATCCAACTCCGTCTATCCTCTTGATTCTAAGACCCTCCCTCCTCCCCTTAATCACTCACAGAGGCGCCATCCTCACCCCAATAGCCGCGATCACGCACCCACCCCCAACCGTCAAATACAGCCACACGAGCTTCGGATCGCTCGTCAACGGCGCCAACCCCATCGCCACCAACGCACCCACCGACACCATCGACAAATTCAACGCCATAACAATCGACTTCATCGATCTCGGCGCCTTCGCATACGCATACTCTATGCCCGCGACCGCGGCAAACGGCTCCGACAGCGCGCCTATCACATACGTCGGGATCTGCCAGAGGATCGATATCTGGTTCGGCACGTTGCCGCCGTGGCAGTCTTCCGCGCGTGGGTGGTCGAAGCACGGCGGGCTGGCGTAGATGCGGGACTGGAGGTAGCTTGTGTAGAGCATTGCGGTTGCGCAGCAGGCGAAGCCGACGACGATGCGGTCGACGTGGCCGATGGGGATGTGGAGGCGTCGGAGGAGCGGGAACACGACGCGGTCGAGGAGGGGGATGATGAAGAGCGAGGCGAGGGTGTTGATGTTGGGCATGATGTCGTTGGGGATTCCGTGCGTTTCCATGGTCGCGCCCTGCGAGACGATGTTTGTGAGGCCTTGGGATACGGCGGCCCAGTAGAGGGGGAAGAAGAGGAAGATGCGGCAGGCTTTTGCGGCGCGGGAGAGTTCGTCGACGAAGGTGTCGGTCCAGGGGTAGGCGGGTGAGGCGGTGTCGGTGAGGCGATGGGCCGATTTGGCGTGATGGATGTTTCCTTTGTTGCGGAGAACTATCCAGAGGACTCGAAAGGCGTTCAGGAGGATCGAATTGTCCGGTGGGGTTTCTACGTAGCGGCTTTTGGTCGCGTACATGATCAAGAATCCCACGACACAGACTGCGGTCGGGAGAGCAAATGCAGCGGTAAAGCCGTATTTTTGTTCGATTGTCGTTGTTGCTAGGACAGAAAACGATCCCAGGTTGATGATCATGAACAATAGCAGGAAGATTCTGTAGAGGTTGTTAGTTCGATGGATACTGAGTGAGTGGGAGTATATCCAGATACCTTTGGATCGTAAGCTCCTTGTCTACCACAACCTTTTCTCCGCTCTCGGTGACTTGAATTTCCTCGTCAGGCCCCGTATACTGCTCTGCAAGCAAGGTATTAACGTTCGCCTTGATTCCACCCGTCCCACCTCCAATGAGAAACAAGGCAAAGAGCAGTCCAACGAACGACAATCCTGCCTCATGGACAACATCCAGTGTCGACCCCACAAGAACAACGAGACCAGATATGTAGACAATCGAAGAATACACAATGGTCCTCACTCTCCCTAGATATTGGTCTGCAGCTACTGCTCCTATTATGGGCGATATGAAGCACCAAATCAGGAATGCTTGATTGACCATGGTGGCACGCGCCTGTCCAAATCCTATATCTGTATTAGACACATCTGCTCACTCAGTCATGAAGGAGTCTCCTCGTACCTAGGCCACCAGGGCGCAACGGATCACCTCTCTTATTCTGGACGTAGTTCTGCATGGGCGCAAGAATGCCAAAGAAACAGAATCTCTCGCATAGTTCGACGACCGCAATGGCCCACGCAGAATAGGGGAGCGAGCCTGCTACTCGTCTCAGGTTTTCATCCGGTAAGGCACCCGTCTCTTCTAAATCTTTTGAGGCATCTGTAGTGCTACCATAATACTGATTGTTTGATAGCAATGGCGTGCGACTGTCTGGGTTTACGGCGTCCAATGCCGAGTCATCATCGTGGGCCATGATGACGTTCATTCTTCAATCGACTTCCAACGGTAACCAGAATCGCGCGTGTGAAGTATATGTTGCATATGAGACAAAACAAATAGCAGAAATATGTTATGGATGAGAGGCAGAATATATAAACCAGTACTTCTTGATATCCATTGGCGGATGTAGTCGTGGAATGTAAGAAACTCCGTATGCGGCACTCAATCGTGTGGAGAACGCCCGTGCCCTGATGCCTTATCGTATTATGTCGGAATAGCTATTCCGAACGCCGACGCTGATTACTGTAAATAATGATACAAATTGAGTGACGACATTGGAATTGGAAGTAATTAGAAGAATTGCGTCAGAGTAGGTCTGATTCCCATCATTCGATGATGCATTTGCTGCAGTGTAGCTTGTTGACGCATGCTTGCAGCCGCGTACAGACTGAAGCATAAAGTGAGCTATGGAAGGAAAGTGCATGTGACGATGTTTACTGCATAATGAATGGAACTAAAAAGTGCCAGTAAGCCGTGACATGAATTGAAAAGTCTTCGAGTAGAAGTCTATGATGAAATGTCGGTCAAGGCCCAGCTTTACATAATAAGGTAGTGCTAGGAGCCAAAGTAATGGGGCCATTGATTGATACCCTGGGCTGGCCAGGCATGTCTATCATGAATAGGAAGTTGATCACCACTGATTGTTTCCTCGATTACAACAGGTTGAAACAGACACAGACATTATTCAACTAGGGTTCGGCGGGAAACCAGGTGAGCACGCATAAAGAGTCTACATGTTCTCTGGTCATAGTGTTCAAATCATATCAACCTCATATTCGAGATGTATATGAATACTATAAACTGCGTGAGCCTGCCTCAAAGATATGCTACAAACTCCTGGTTTAGATTGAGGCGAAACCTTGGAAGTGTTAATCTCACTTGATAGACAACTCGTAACAATTTCCTTTACGACACAACGTTGATATCTACTCAGTGACCATGAAGTGATGCAAAAAATGGATCTGGGAGCTTCAGATGATAAATGGAGTGTTTGATGGTGCTTTTAGCATTATGCTTGACAATCTCTGGGATGGCTTCAGTAAATCTTAGGAGGGTTTCGGCACCAAAATTTGGATCAGAAGTGACCACACACATCGTGACTGGGGTCAATCATTGATTAATATGAATGGTGCGAGATCAATACTGTACCTAGGAGTACATAGTGTCGATCTATCTATCTCTGTGCCTAATTTTAGATGGCGCAAACCATCATTGGCCCTGAAGACAATGTGTGATATGTTTCAGAAGTAGTGCTAAAGATCTGCGGCCTGCGTGGAAGCATAGGCAATCCGATAGGACACAATAGCAAACGAAAAATCAAGGATATATCGCGTAACACATGTTGTTCTCCGCAAGGCAAACTACCAAGTCCATTGCAGGAAGGCAGACTTACTGGCATGGTTTCGTTCCTTCAAGGACGCTGTTATCCATCGAACACTAAGCCCCGGATTACCGCAGAAAGTCCACCACCAAGTTCACCAGGAGCTGATTATATGGTGTGAACTCTACCATCTTGTAGGTTGCGACCGCGTAATGTGCTGAGTAAAGAACTAACCGAAGCGGCTCTGATCTGCGGAGATGCCGATCTATGTCCATAACCAAAAGCCTGCGCCCTATCGTCAAGGCATCAGCTTACATCGTAGATCCAATGGCGCTGACGTCGATCGCGACTTACTTCCCAGAATAATAAAACGTTTATAGATCAAGATATGGGAATCATGAAATACTGCAATCCCCCCGCGAAAAAGCCGCGGGAAGACCCTGCAGCTGGAAGAGGACCCTGAACTCCGAGATGTTTACTGTCAGCGCAGTAGGATAAGCTTTACCCTGAGATTGAGCCTGCATCCGCTCTGAGGTCAGAAAGCCACAGTCGTACAGCATATCTTGGAGTACCTGAGACTGCGTATGAGGGACGATGAGGGCGGTGAAGCTCACTGCTGAGCAGTAATACTGCGCAACAAGTAAAAGATCATGGACGATTCATAACGAAGGAAACCTCGGGAATAACAATACTTTGCTCTGCTTCGCCGCTTCGCAACAAGGTATGCTACTGTCCGATAATTTCTTCGGTGCCTTCAGGCCTTGATGTTGCGGGACCCAAAGAGCTGGAAGGACTCGCCGAAGTGGTACATATTCCTAAACAGTAACGGTCCGCCAAAGGGTCCTCGCACCACGCGTATTGTAACCTTCCGTTGTGAGACAGAAGTAAACATTGAAAAGTTTTGCATCCGCAAGCTGGGCGAGGACAATTCTGATCAAGTCAAATTTCCGCTGGTAAAGTGTTACGACCCTGGAAGTGGTTTTCGACTTGGATTTTTCCCACGACAAAGCTCAACGGTTATTCCGACCGTACGTATGGCTCGAGCACTCTAAAAATCGTGCAAGACTATCGAATTTCGAGCATTGGAATCCTTCTTTGGTATATAGGCACGTTTCATGCCAGGGCGCACGTCCTACCGAGGTTGGTAGCGACTGGGCTATCTGATTTTCTGTTGGTTCCATCATTTGGGAAGCAACACTACTATGTATGCAATACATAATTACATCATGGGCATATGTTGGTACCTAAACCCGATTCAGATGACTGTACTTGTACTTGTAAACAGGCAAAGAATTTTGACAGGGGCTCGGGCTTCGCCGAATCTCTTTAGCGAGCAGTCGTTTCATCTTATCTGCCTTTTGGTTCGGATCATAGTGCGCCATTTTCTTTGTAGATCTATGTATGTACCGAGCGAGCTTCTTGTAATCATTGCTTAACGGGCGTTTGTTATGATATGGTGTGCGATTGTCCGAAAAAGAAAATACAAAATCAATAGTGCCTAATTTTAAACCTTACAATCCCAATGTTACGGAAAGTTTAATGAGTACACCTTCAGCAGATTATACTTGCTCGCGTGTGATTCGAACAGGGCAAGCCAATATGCAAGACATTGAGGCTGGTGCATCTAAGGCGCGCCGTCACATTGATACCTAATCGCGACAATGCGAATTCAAGATTCGTCTGTAGAGAAGGAATTCGCACCATGACAGTCAATAGGTTTCCCTATTGGTTAAGCTCTCGCCTGCTTCGAAGACTCCCTTCAGAATTGAACAAACCTCGCCGTTCCCTGTCCTCACTTTCCCCGAACTAGCCCGCTAATCCATACCCCTTGATCAGTGCGCGGTGATTACTCAAAAGCTTGGTGGGTGCACGTGTCTACCTATTCATACTAGATCTGCTGTTTCAGGCTTGAAATCCTACAAGTGGTTTCAAGTTAGTGCAGACATACAGTGATCAAGATGTTCCTGTCAGTTTAGCGCAAGGGCATGGGTATCTTCAAGCCTCAGAGTCGGTCGACAGCGGCCCCACGATTTCGTCAACACGCGGGGCCGTGCTTTCGGTAATCATTCAGATCGAGATACACGTACCGTCACTTTGCTTTTGAGGCATGTACTCAAGCAAAAAGAAAAAGTTGAACAAGAAGGCAAACACATCCCTTATTGGTTATGGCTCGAGAGGTGTTGACAAGGCACTGTAAAGGTACGAAACACAATGTCGATCAGACACAGAAGAAGAAGTGAAGCCTATCCCGCGAATTTGCCTTCTTTAGATAGACAGCCTCTGTGAGTGAAGATAATTTGCTAAAATAGAATAATCACTGCGTCTCCTCACTAGATGCATGTAGAAAATCCTTTTCCTGATCCGCTTATGCCAACAGCTTGGGTATCCGAAGGACCATAACACCATTGGCAGGAAGGACGTAGAGGGACTAAACGTTTGGTGAAGTCCTAGATTGAGAATTTCCCATTTGATTGGTAAGACCGGCTTAGGCGGTAGGTGATATTGAAACAATCATCAGTGCTCCATCTGCCTCTCAGGTACCTCTAGCATATCTTCAGAAAGCTGCATGCAGATACGAGAGTTTCATTGACGCCTTAAATCATTGCCCCTTTTTAAGGCCAGTCTAGAAGTGACGACCAAGTAGCTATGGACTCTTGTCGTGCCGAAACGAGGCATCTCAAGCATTGCCTCGGACTACCTCGTCGATGGGGTACTTTCAAGCGTGAAAGCTACCTGCAGCCAAGGGGCACGTGGTGGGATGATACCTCGCTGGATGTATACTTTGAAAGCGGGCTTCGGGGAGTAACAGAGGAGCCATTGCAATGGTTCAACAGGCGGTAGAAGACGCTTAGAATGCTAAATGCTTCTAAGCTGGTTGTACGTACAGGTACGTACCGGACAGCTCGGCTAGTGGTATGGAACCATTACAAGGAGACTAACTGGAAGAGGCATCTAGCTATGGGAGGCATGTTAAGGGAGCCATCTTGATTGGTCAATAGATAAGGTAGATCGACACCACGAGGGCACCACCAGCCGATTTATTTTTACGTCCCACCACACATCACAACCACCACGACCGAACTTTTGGATAACGTATACTGTAGCTATCAACTGGACTCAACGCTAACGTCTCAGGTCATACAGCTTGGTAGCTGCAGTCACTAACAGAGACCGAGTCGTAGAGTCGTTGATTCAGATCTTTCTGGTGCATGTACGCCTTCCCAAGGCGTTTGGTGTACCCAATGATCTAAGGCTTCGCTCCCACCCGGGGACTAACACGGGAACCAAGAACACGCCATCCCTCACGACCTGTGGCAGACGCGCTTCTGTGCGCAAACATTTTGCGGGAGGGATCTAGCGTGAACCCCGAGATCGTCGTAGCAATTGGAGAGAAAGATGCACGTGTACATGGAGTGTACATACATGCCCATGGACATGCAGCAAACCCACACCAACAACTATCGCCGCCATCGCTCTCTTCTCGTCCCTGCAGAGGCAGATCGTAAAATCAGTCTTGCGCAAGCGCGCTGGCATAGCCCACTACCAGTAGAGTTATCTATGTTCGACATTTCTCCCTCTCTCTTCTTGCCTGTCTCAGCCGCAGATACAGCCTACGCTCAGGCGTGCCTTCGGCGAATTTACATCTGAAGCCTCCCCCATCATTCACAGCAACGCTTGCACTATAGTAAGGAATACACTCTCGTCTGCCAATGAAATAACAATTCGCACGAGTGTAAAGACTAAGCATTCGTCTAACGTGCAGCCTGATGGGGCTACTTACAACAAGGGTCCGCAATGTGGACGCAAAAGGCAGGGATCTGACGATGCTGACGGCATTATACCCACTGCCATACTCCCACTACTGCCAATTGGAGTAGGATCTTGTGCACAGATCCAACATCAGGGTGGCCCTGCTCGTGTCTACATGAAAACGAGCAGAACGTGGGCGCGGGGACTGAGGCCGTTTCGAGACAGGCATGCTACCAGCGTGGGCGTCGTATGAATTTGGCTTGGACTAACACGAGCAGTATGAAGCTGTGGGGTGCCAGCTAATGAGACCTGTGGCTGTCAAGCAGCAAGCATCCCAGTCAGTGGAGTCTAACCCGAGTGTGTACAGGGCTGACACCTAGTTGGTAACTGTGGATATCTCAACACTGGCAAGATACATAAAGACGATGGACCTCAGTTTGGGTCGTTCTGCATCTCACCACTCAAGGATAGATATCTAGGGCACACGACCTGAGAAGACAACTCGATATCTCATAACCCTCATTTCCGATCGACTCGCTCGAAGCTTCACTACTTACACGAAATCTTCGATCCTCGCTCGATATGTCTTTCACACCTCCTCCGTCAGAGTGGCACGCAGTCATGCCTCCCTTCCCCACCTCCGCACCCAAGCCGGTGCTGTCCCCAACATCGGCACCTCAACCCTCGAAAGCGGTACCTGAACGAAAGGCCAAACTCCGCGCTTCCTGCGACGCCTGTGCTGCTTCCAAGGTGAAGTGTAGCAAAGAGCACCCGATCTGCCAACGTTGCGCTTCCAATGGTTCACAATGCATCTATGGTATCTCCAGGAAACATGGCAAGCCTGGCCGTACAAGGAAGCGAAACCCAGACGGTACGCCCTTTGTGAAGGCTTCCAAGCAAAGGCCTTCTCCAGATGGCAGCGAGTTCGGCAAATTCAGAGTCAAGGCTGGATCGCCCATTCTACCTGAATTGCCTGACCTACCTTCCGAGACTGCTTCTTCAGTTGCAAGCTGGCCCTCTACACCCGAATGGCCGGCCACTCCTGAGTTCGAATACAGCGACTTCAACATGACTCCGCTCCTAGATCCCCTTTACACGGACGCCGATTTCGCCATGATGGATGAGCTTCTTCTTTCGTCCACACAATCACCGATGATCGATAGCATACCAAATTTTGAGTCGGAGCCCACATTCACAGACCCATTTGCAAAGAGGGACACCCAAGAGGTGGACTTCTCGATGCAAAACGACTTCCAGCCTCTTAAGAATTTCGTAGGCGGCGACTCAGTCAACCCAATGGACTACACTTTCAACGCATCGCCTCCCTTCATTCCTCCACAGCAAGCTATGCCCGAGATCACACCTCCTCAAAGCCCCAAGGGTTCCAACAACTCGCAAACATCTAAGGCCACAAACCCGGCTTTTAGCACACTGCGCACTAGCGTCGCCATGCCTGCTTCTCATTGCTGCTACAGCACTGCTTATTCGACTCTTGAGACTCTTACTATCCGTACGTCAGACAACGGAGCTACGATCGAGAAGACCCTTGACTCTGTCCTCTCGATCACCAAGGTTGCAGTCCAGCAAGTCATGCAGCTTCTCTCCTGCCCTTGCTCCTCGGATCCCCATCTTGCGATGCTATACTCTAGCATTGCTTCCAAGATCTTGACGTGGTACCAGATCGCAGCGGGCCTCAAGCCTGCCACTACTGGACCCCCTTCCCTACCTTCTACCTCCCCAACATGCTCATCATCATCCGACGTCTCCGACGCATTCCTTTCCCCAATCTCCCCTGCGAGCATGAACAGCTCTGCCTTCGCAATCGCTCCTCTTCCCCTCAAGTGTGGGCTCTTCGAGTTCGACGCCGCGGACCAGGAAGCGCTTCGCCGACAGGTTGTCCTTCGCGAGCTGAAGAAGTGCAGCGCATTGGTTGAGGCATTGGCGAACTGGCGCAGCAACAGCGAAGCTGAGCAGGCCGAGTTCCTCTACGACGTGCTGGGGGCCTGGTTGAAGAGCGAGCTCTACAAGACGATTCGCGAGGTTTCCGGCGAGGAGGAGTAGGCCGCACGCCTTCGACACTGTCCCTACATTGATATCTTCTTACGTGTATTAGCGATGGAGCATGATGATTGTGTTATTGATATCCCTGTTTATATTTTCTTTCGCCCTTTGTACATACTGGTTGGGCTTGCATTGTCGTTGCTGGTCGTGGATTTTGGGTTGCGACCGTGCTGTGGCTTCCTCGCGCGTCACGCCTTGCCTTGGCATTCTTCCGCGATGAAACTCTTTATCTCCATCATGTTCTTTCATGTTTATATTTAGCTAGCTGCTCATGATAGCCTCACTTTGTATATATGTATCATCACATTTTTATGTCAAACACCTTCGAATTCTTATCAAATTGTGATGAATGTGGGACGCGCATCAAAGCAATAAATTCTCTATGGAAATGGCAAGTCATTGACAGGATCGTGCCCATCGGCCAATGGCCCAGACTGTGCAATATATCCAGAGTACAATTGCCTTGTTGGGATCAAACTTGATGATCCAATATCAGTTCAAACAAAAAAAACATCAAGAGTCGCAAAAATATCAAGAATGGCCTCTGGCAGGCCTAGGAACCAAAACCGATTTCACCACATCTTTCCAAAGCTCCCCGAAGGCGGTATGAACGCCAAAGGCTCTGAAATGTGGTCTCCCGTCGGAAGATCTGTCAGTCGCAGATCTTTCTTTCTATCCTCTTGATCCTCGTATGCAAAACGCCGACCTGGTTCTGACTTGACCAAATCTTTCATGGCATCGGGATCTGCCAGAGCCGCATGCTAACCGCTATGGGAAAAATTCATCGAACACGTCGAAAAGTGACGTTGATCGCATGCTAGTACAGGTACGCAATACAAATACACCGTGCTCGAGCTGTGGCGTTGAACACCACGATCCAGTGTGGGGAACATAATAACCCGCTGCGTCCGTCTAGGGTCTGAGCACAACGTTGGATCCCCACAACAGTTGTGTCGATCTCGAAAATAAAGGGTACAATGCAATCGTCATCGGCGGGGCGAACCTAGTCCCGGACCTGTTCTGCGATCAAGAGGGTATTGTGGCACTGTGGCACGCGCCCATATCATGCCGATGCTGAATACGATGTCTGCGATGAAACCGTTTGATCGTTATGTCGATCATCAAACTCTCGCTCTTTCTTCCCATGCCATCATGGGTTGTTGTGGGCCCAGCTTAAGACCCTTTCGAAATGTAAACTCCCCGTTCTCTCGTATTATCAAAACAATTATTCGAACAATGACTGTACAGATTGGTTCGTTCGGCAGTGAGGCGTCGTCACACTCCGCTTATGCTGCTTTTTTGGCCATTCTGCTTAAAGCACAAGCTGCACCGAGGACTTGGAATTTTTCCAAAAGGTTATGGTCCTCTTCTTCCTCAGACTCCCACTGCTCATTACAAGCGGCTATGTTGTCGGGATGAACGCCATACCAGCTTGTGTCGAGCTTTGTGTATCCTTCTGGGGATTTCCATCTCCCTGCCCGGTAGTGGGCGGAGGCACGCCGGAATCTCTCGTATGGCATCATACGATTCGCTGGATCAGTCCTTGGACGATTGTTTTCGTTTTCGTTGTATCTAGATGATCTCCGGTGTCTTGCTAATTTTGGCAGTGTGGTGGGTTTTGGGACGGGCTTGTACACCTCTGGGAAGTGAAAGATCTGTTCCGATGGCTGGGACAGGACCGCCTTGTCAATTGGCAAATGATAGCAGACAAGAGATTCCGGGCAGATGATTGCGTTTTTTCTAATCCTGACCTTCTTTTGACGTGCACGAGGCAATTCTTCGTCTTCGTCGTCGCCACGCCTGCGCTTCAAGCAGGACTGAAGGGGGGGATCGGCTTTCTGGTCTTCCTTGCGCTTCAAGCAAGGTTTGATGGGGACTGTGGAATTGTCTGGCGCGGCAGATATGCCGTTAACTACCGTGAAGCGGATGCGTCTGCGCCTAGTAGTATGTCCAATACCTCTCTGTCTCTGCGCTCTGCGCAGCTCTTCCGTGTCAGTATCCGGTTCGGTGTCTGATCCTTCATCGTCACGCTCCCGCCTCCTGGGAATACGTCTGGGTATCTGCGTCCTGCGCAGCTCTTCCGTATCAGTGTCCGGCTCTGTGTCCGGCTCTGTGGAGTCGTCTCGATAGTTGTGCTCCATCGGCTGCCTTTCCGGCATTTTCTGCCAGCCTGAAAGGTGGCGTTCGCACCTCTCTGCTTCGGAAGCGTTTACGTTTTCTACGCTTTGGGGACCGAGCACTGGGTTGGTTACAGCTGGGCTCACAGATTCCTCAGCCGGTGTGGCATTATCGGAAGGTTTTGGCCATGAGCTTTCCTCCAAGTACTCTTTAAGTTGGGCGAACCTCACCCTTCTGCCTTCTTGTCGAAGGCCTGCCAGTTCTTCGACGTTGAGTAACTTCCCCAGGGCATATCCCGCGCCCTGGATGGTGAAGTTTAGTCCCTCCATATCAGCTGTGGCCTCAATGTTGATTCCAGGCAAAGCGGCGGCGCGTGCTTCGAAGTGCTGAAAGACCTCGAGAGCGTCCTCTACTAGAGATCTTTCTTCTCCGTCGCCGTCAACCCTGTCACGCTCCAGGAACGCTTTGAAGGCGTCGATAGCATTCGAGAGGAGTTTTCTATTCTCACGAAGTACGTCGGACTGCGACTTGTGGGTTTGCTTGTCGGCCGCTACTCTAAAGTTGTCATTCTCGTCAATATCAACGTGGCGGTGGGTATTGCTTCTGAAAGCGCCTCCACGAACGGCCATGCCAAGCTGTGATAGTATGATCGCGAAGAGCTTGCTGACAACTAGATGGATTGCGCACGTGGTGTGGGTCTCAATTGTCTTGATCTCGAAGCTTGGCAGAAGAGTTCTGCAGTTAGGGTATCCACAAGTTGTCATTGTTCGCGGCATTTTGTCGTGAGATGGGTTAGGTTGACTATTGTGTGTTCATAAAACTCCTGGATAAGTAGAGCACGGGACGTTATTGATTTGTAGTGAGGGGTGACCACAAGGCGCTGTAGTTGAGTCGATTATATATCGTGGATCGAATTGAGGCTTGTTCGATATACGGGTAGATGACTTGAGAGCGTAGCAGGTATCTCTGCTCTTGGGTATAGGTGATGTACGGTTGGAGTGAATGTGACTGAAAAGGAGTTAGTCACTCTTAATTCAAGGTGGGAGTCAACAGACTGGAGAAGTACTGACCTGTATGTGAGATGTTCTTTTGTTGTTGGAGGTAATAATCCCTGTTTTGGGGTATAGGTGAAGGAGAGTTGGAATGAAAGCGACTAAAAGGTTGTTGGAGGTAATAATCCCCGTCTTTGGGTATAGGTGAAGGAGAGTTGAAATGAAAACGACTAAAAGGGTGTTGGTTGGTGGTCTAGGTCAAGGTAGAAGTAAACAGACCGTAAAAGAAGTGAACCGTCGGTTTGGTATAGTTGACTGAATTGTGCAGTTGGTGGTTTGTTTACCAGAAGCAACAATCTCTATTCTTGGCTAGAAGTGAGGCAGAATTGAACTGATGTCACTAAACCGGATTTAGTTGTCTCGGTCAAGATAAAAGTAAACAGGCAGGGTAAGTACTCACCTACCTCTTCGATGTCCAAGTGATTGACCTACAAGTAGTGATCTCTATCCTTGTGTACAAAGGAGGCAGAGCTAGACGTATGCAACTGAAGGACAGCGAAAGGGTTTGGTCAGTCTCAGCCAAAGTGAATATAAAGAGGCTACGGACCTGTCTTGTCGATGTTGTTTACAGAACAATGAGGCAGTTGTTGTAGACTAAACAATGCAGTGCCTGCTTTGTTTGTTGAATGGAGAAAGTTGAAAGGTAGGAGGATCGCTCAAGTTTTGTGAGAATGAGAGGATGGAAAATGTGAAAATCAGGTAGAAGTGGTTGAGTGGAATGAAGAAATCCAAGAATTACCAAAGGCAGCGGGTGTTAGTCCCTGTGAGGAAAGTGGGTAACGAGTTTGACAAGTTGCTGGATTGGTGATAGAGGATGAGAAAACGAAGGAGCTGGCAAGACAGGTTCTTTTACTGTCAAGACCAAAAAAGTCAATGCTCAACTGGACCAAAAAGGTAATCTGTGTTCTGAAGTGAAGGAAAGTGATTGAAGAAGAATTTGGTGGAAAATGGGCGAAGATGGTTGGTTGGGGGTGGGGACCAAGTGAAGGTGGCAGACTGTTACTGTCTTGAGCAACAACACTTGCTAACAAGTGATTGTATACACCAAACGGATAGCTGAATCAGCGTCACAACATTGGGCTTCTAGTTTTCTAGTGATAGAGATACGTCAGGAATGCCTTGTACTTCCTTTGCAACGATATGCTGAAGTAGGTTCGTGCCATTATTATCGTGAGCTTTCTCGACATCTAATGTGAACAGATCTGTGTACAGTTAGTACTTTGTTTTTCAAATTAGAATAGGTGGATCTAATACCACTTGACCGCGCCTACAGTCTAGAACTCTGAAGTCACAAACATCACTTTCATGCTTGCACTTCAATCCTTCGGGGTCCTGCGTTTCCACTTCACCCTTGATCTGACTGAACATGACGAGCGTAGCATTCAGACTCACTTCGCCCTGCTCCAGTAAAACCGCCCTCTTCGCACCCGAGATGTTAAATTCGGAGAAAGTCGCATTGGTAACCTCGAATTCGGACCCTGGCACCGCATCAGGCGGTGCCTGGAAGGAGACGACATTCATACTGCCGACAGCAGCCAGACCCCGAACCAGTACGTTACGAATCCAGTTCCTATCCGACTGGGCCCCAAAATTGATGTTGATACCAGACGGTTCTGTGTTCAAGGGGCCATCTATGGAAATTGTGCAAGTGCTGTGCTCTACCTGCACGTTCTCAGTGTTTGGAAGAACCTTTATACATGCATCCGTAGCGTGGATGGTATTGTTCCACACATACACATGATTGGAATCTTCGATTACGACGCCTTCTCTGACTCCCGAAGTACTCTGACCGATATCGATATCATACAGGCGTACCGCACTCGCTTGACTACCTATGAAGAACGCAGTCCCCGGACTGTTTGTGATCTTGAGATCTCGGATATGGATTTGGTAGCTGCTGTCGGTGATGCTGAACAGTTTTGGAATGCGAGCTTGTGGAGGAGATCCACCTCCCCAACCAAAATTCCGTGCATCGATAATACCAGTGCTGTCTGGAGAGTCGACGACCATGGCTGAGGCATTGGAGATCAAGAAAACGGCAAATTGTTTCTCCCAGTAGTCCCAATCTGGAGAGACAGTGATCCGACCGTCGATCCTAATAGCACAAGCACGGCATGCGGAAAGGTCGACAGGCGATCGGAGTGTGAATGTTTGGTTTGCTGGGAAAACGACACTGCCCGACCCTCCGCACTTTTCCAGAGCATCAGTTATTGCGGGGCCATCATCTATGAGGGGGTCGTGGAAAGATTCGACGTTACATATGTCGCGCTTATGGAGGTGCGATGATGTTATCGAAAATAGCAGTAGGAATGCTGGAAAGACTTTCATGGTTGTTGTTTTGACTTAAAATTCTTACTTAGATATTGTGGGACATGAAGAAATTTGACTATGTAGATACAACTACCTAGGGATCTCATATATATAACACCAAGGCCAGGATTTATATATGACCAGGCAGTGATAACCGAGAGTGATTACAAGGATTTGTTCCTGAGTAACAAAGGCCGCCAGATCATTATGAACATTGAGTGTAGCAGCATTCACATGCACGCTTATACGAGCTGTACAGTTACTCTGTATTGAAGTTATATTGGGATGACTACCCCCACTTATTGCAATTGCCAAATCAGGCTAAAACTATCTTTCTTTGGCGACACGGTTAAGTATTCGGGCCCGAAGCATGATTGGTAGATTGCATGAATGATCGAAAATGGTATCCATTTCACATAGTAATCTATATCTAGGCGGCACATATCGTACAGGCCATCGAAATGTCTATAGGCCTTCTAAAACTTGTAAACTTGGTCCTTGCTGTAGCCAAGCTCCTTCAGGTAACCATCGAGCTCTCCCTGATCTTGTGGGCTCTTCTTGCCACCGCTGATGGCCTTGTAGAGACCTGGGGGACCGCACACGAAGATCTTGACCTTATCACCCTCCTTTGGCTCGGGGAGAACAGTCTTCAGAAGCTCCTTGGTGACGAAGCCCTTTCCGCCCTGCCACGACTCGGGAGGGTTATCCAAGACGTAGAAAGCCCTGAATCGCTGGGGGTAGGTGTTCTCAAGACGTTCCCATTCCTTCTTCAACAAGATGTCCTGCTCTGTGACATTTCCAAAGATCAAAGTCACTTTGGTCTTGTCCTCGGGGTTCTTGAAGATGGCGTTTGCGACTTGCCACATGGGAGTGATGCCAGTTCCACCTGCGATCATAGCGACATGTTCATGTTTATTCGCTGACCACTGATACTTAGGGATAGGGCCCTTGATATCAAGACGCTGGCCAGGCTCCAAGTCGTGAAGATGGCTCGACATCGGCCCATTGGGGTACTTCTTGACAATGAAGTCGACAGTGCCCTTCTGGTCTGTGCGGTATGAGAATTTGAAAATGGCTTTGAGGGACTCGTGGCTACAACATACCAACATCGCTGGTGGGGGTATAGGGTCGGATGACTGCCTTCTCCATATTCGGGCCCTTGTACTTGGTGATAACCGCAGCTACAGACGGGTTAACCAATGAATTTTAATGGTGGGGCACTTGAGGACGCACATGCGACAGACAGACCGCTCTCCATATCATCCTCAGGCAGCTTGAATGTCAGGAGCTTGGTATTGTGGTTGATGATCTCAGACTTCTCCAGGAGTAGCGAAACAAAGCCCTGGTCGCCGCCTGTGAATGCCTTCTTTGCTTCCGTAGCCTGGCCCAAGGCTTTCTTTGCGTCTTGTGCTGGGCTACCGTTTCCTCGAAGGTAGAAATATCCACCAGTAAGAGCAGCTCCACCGATTCCAGCATAGAGGACACCATTACCACCGCTGCTCTTTGGGGCTTCGGATGCGTAGCGACGGACGTGCTATGAGAAAGAGAATATTAGCTTTAGTTTTGCAGATGAGCACTTTCGCAACCCCTCGGACCAAATACCTGCTGCAGCGTCCTGGCCGGACGGAAAGCTTGTCGCGCAAACATGATGAAACGAATTGAGAAGATGAGATAAGGAATTGGCGTCGACGAACGGTGGTGGATGTGATTGAGAGAGGTCGGACGCTCGAAGTACCGCAGACGTGCCAAGCCTGTCTGTTAACGTCATCGTCAAGATTCACGCCATTTCCAATCAAACGCCCGAAATGCCGACGTCCGACTTCATCCGTTGTCAACACGCTCCATTGATGGAATCTCTATCGTGGTTTCGAGGTTTCAATTATTGTTCATATTTGAGCCAGAGTCAATGTTTATGGACGCGAAGAGTGTTGTCTTCTTTGTATGTTAGGACCCTTAATCCGGGTAACCAACTCACCTGACCCCTACTACCCTTTACTCCCAGCCAACGCATCAATCAAATGCTCCAGATCTCCAATGGTCAACCTAGTCTTTCGCTCAATGGATTTGCATTGCCATTGTTCCTCAGATATAAACACCTCTCATGCTGCCTCTCTCACGTATCGCTCCTCGTCCTGGAACTGACCGCATTATACTCCACTGCGCTGACGTCTGATTCTGCGACCCCAACCGCAAGAAGTAATACACCATAAATCACGATTGACGAAGCATTTCCAGTATCGCGACCATCTTGTCGAAAGGCTTGTGTGTGGCATTCCAGATATGCGCCCTCTTGTCTCTTTTGTCTTCCACGGCTCCTGCTCCACCTTTTTACTATCAGTCATCTACATTCATTTCTCCTTGCTTCTATATCGTTTCTATGCTCATCGAATTTCTCTTCCTATGCGACACTATTTCTCGTATGTTTTCGCTCCTCCAGCAGTTCCACTCTCGCGATAAACTATAGTCCTCAAGGGCGTCCGGCACGTTCTTGATGATGGTCCAGAGATGATCAGAAAATGATAAGAAAGGTCGCCAGTACAACCCCGATAGGAACAATGGGACGGAGCGTTGCTTCAGGAATTGGCGCCAGAATGACATGCGAAATCATCACGCCCATCTCTCTGTGTGGCGACTGGAGGCTAAGTAATAAACAGCAATTGAATGTGAATGATTGACAACAACAGGGCAGTCTTCATCACTCAGAATGGTTTTAGTTCGGCAGTCATCTTTCAAGTAACAACCCCAGGCACCATGCGATATCATATGTTCAACAAATGTGGCCGTTCAGTCTACAAAGCCTTTACCGAGTTCTCTACCGGCACTCAGAGAATATCCACACATCTCCCTCGGCTACTCATACATATATTGGTATAACATTGACTCTGAATTCGGAGTATTTACACAGCGAGCTGGTCACTTAGTACACCCATCCTAACATCGAGCTAATGGATATATCGAAGCCCGATCGGGTAAGGTGTTGAGCGTCAAAAATTTTCGATTCTTTGCCGAATGCTCCACAACCACGAACTCAACAACCACATATCCGAATAACTTCATTCTTTAAAGATATGTTTTTGTGGCTTCTATAGGACATACAATTTTTTATCTCTTCATCGAATAAGCACAGGTCAGATGGCCGAGCGGTTATGGCGCCAGGTTAAGGTTTCCTTAACGTCTTGATACGTTTGTATCTTCCTGGTCACGAAAGTGGCGTGGGTTCGAGTCCCACTCTGATCACCATTCATCCATTCTCTTGCATAAGAGGGTGTTGCGTTCTTTTTTGCAATTTTTTTGGTCTCGAAAAGACATGGAGAGACATGTGCCGATGTGGCGGGATGATCCGATTTGTAGAACCAAATTTTTCGTCAGATGCAGCTAGCAGTGATGTAATGCCCTTTTTTTAGAAGCATTCTGGCCTTGCATGGGCTAACGTCCCATTTCTTCCACCGAGGATTGGGACTACTGTAGCCTTTCTTAGCTGCATGTATACAATAGTTTTTGTCACCTCCAATCCTTCATGCCTGCATGCATGCATGGTTCTGTTCTGGCCTTGAAGTACAAAGGGAAGACAACTGAACCTGTCTCGGTTAAATTACTGTGTAAATGGTTAGTGTATCATCTAGTTAGAGGCATGCAATGCCACGTCTGGGTGTAGGTGGAGGACCGAAGTGCGGCCGTTGGCAAAGATGTTACCCAAGTCAACAGCAATCAATAATCAAATTGAGACAAATCATTGTTCCGCTTATGTCTCGAAGCTGTTCGGTTTCATTTGTTTTCTTTATTCACTTGGGTGAAAGATCGTGGAATATTATTTATAAATTTGAATTGGTAGATACTCTGAGCCTTTGCATATCTTATATCAAACAACAACCTATAGTTACCAAATCATGCAAAAAATATTATCAACACCCACAACATATCATTTACATACATTTTTTGATGCAATGATTGAATAGGATAATGCTGGATTACCTTTAAAAAATCTCAAAAGAAAATCTCAAAATTCCATCAAAGTGGCTTCGATTCAATTATATGAGTCGGGTGTTACTAGCGAAGGGACAATGAATGTAAGGACGGGTTTTCAACAGATGAGATAATTGATTGTGGTATCTAAAATAATAGATGAAATCTAATTTCCTAATCATAGCCTTTGTACATCTTTTCAAGGTGGAACAATGGGATTGTGACTGTACTGCTGAACATTGAACACCGCCCTTGAAACCATAGACATTGTGCACCACAGAGTCCACGAAAACAGAGTATATAGAACTACCTAGCTACCAACATACACACTCTTTCCACTCAGCCGTCTGCGACGACTTACTGCAACGCCATCCTCAACCACCCCAATCCGCATTCCATCAATCCACCCACACCATACATAGCAGGAACTATGGCCTCCCCACAACCCAGATCCCCAATCCACATCGCACGCCCTTCCAGCATGCCAGAACATCTACCCTCCAGTCCCAGGGGCCGATCTGCAGCCAGAACCCCCGAACTGCACCGCAGCAACACCAGCCAACATGGGCTGCGGAGGTGGATGACACGTTTCCTCGACGTTGAAGGGGAAACATATTCATTCGCGTTCGGACGAGCCGTCGAAGGCGAATCATATTCACTCGCGTTCGGACGAGCCATCGAGGACGACCTCGCCTATCTGATGGCCGATTCGGAACGGCCTTCGATGGTCTGCGAAGGCGCGAAGGTGAGGTTTCCAGATGATTGCGTGGAGAATACACGGGGCGTGCATGCAGAGGACGATGTGTATAGTGCTGCCCCGAAGTCTCATGAGCGCGGTGGTAGGGAATGCAGGAACTTCGATGCTGAGAAGGAGTGCGGGGATGGGTTTGGGAGTGCGACTGTGGTTAGGATGCGTGCTGAGGGTGTCGCGGAACAGTTTAAGAGGTTGAGGAGTCGGTCGCTGGAGTCGGATTCTGAGAATCTGTCGGACGACTGGGTCGTTGGTGGTTGGGATAGTGGTGCGAATGTTGGCGAGCGATCAGTGGAGTCCGGCTATGGGGTGGTTGAAGCTGATAATGATGATCTGGATCTCGAGTTCATCGCACTCTATCGAGACGACGAAGATGGTGAGTCCACGGTTCCTGAGTATGATGATGTTTACCTTGAAGCCGTGGCTGCCGAGTTGCTGCGTGACGACACCGTGAGCAGAGCTTCATCGTCCCTGTCAGGGAGTCAATCATTTGATGTAAGTGGATTCTATGGTTCAGATTGTGAGCCGTTAATTGTTAAACCGTTGGATGGCGAATGTGAGGGGTGCGAGACTGCGTCAGCATCATCATCACAATCAGACAATCAATCGGTGGTTGGGAGTCTGTTCTGCGGTTCGGACTGTGAGCCTCTTATCTCCAGTCTAACAGCCAAGTTCTGCCCACACTCTCCCCCTTGTATGCGAGGACTCTGCCCGTCACCTATAGACGGAGAATCTCACAGCATTGGGGGAAATGGATCTAATCATGGGTATAAGAACAACAGGAAGGCCAGGGTCCTAATGGAAATTCCAGTTCCAATCGATCTAGCACACAGGCTCGACGATCAGAACGATACAGCCGCTTTCGAAAATCTACTCGTCTCACTCCAACAGAAGAGTCGAGGAGACGTAGGACTCCGTATCATGACTGATGACCGCTGCCCGGCAGCAAATCCATCGACTGATAGTCTCGAGGGTACATCCACGGTTGATTTCTTCCTGAAAGACGATTTTATTCCTACAACGGTGTTGAATAATGACGATACGTTTTTAGGTCAGCCCAGGGATACTGCTGATGCAACTGTAGGTCCTGTTCAAGGTGGCGAGTCGCATCAATTGCGGCCTTTTATTGTTTTCGACCGAGACTCGCAATCCGAGTTCGAGTACACGGCACTGAGAGAAGCCTTGCGTGCGGATTCTCTCACATATGAGGGGCTTTGCACTGATACAGAAAGAGTGGAGATGTCTGCATTCGAATCTTGGGCATCCAGTGTGGATCTGAACGAGCTTTCCTGGTTAGATTTGAGCGATGATGAAGATGTGATAGACAGAGTTCCCGCGGAGCTTCCTTGGGCCAGGATGGGAGACGTTCAGCAAGAAGATGTTGATCTTAGTGAGTTTCATTCGAAGGACGTAATCGAGATGATCGAGGTGATCGGCACCAAGACCAGCAATTCATCACGGTAAAGTACGCGGTCGTTGACGCAGCCTTGGACCTAGTCTTAGTTTTCGTTCCTGGATGAACGGCTACGGGAACTAGATCACTGCTGTAATCCTTTCCGTTCATAGACGTGCTCATGGGAAATACAATGTCCATCCAGCTGGGGAACGATACACGAACAGGAATGACCACGAAATCCCTAGATGGGACGGCCACAGTAGATTCGTGCTTTCTCCTGGGTTCTACGAGCGATGGAAACTTGCGAGGATTCGAGGAAATCGAAATAACGTGGATGCTGTATGGCGTGAATAACAGAAAGAGAATCTACGATATTGCGAATTGAAGTATAATTAGTATAATGAAATTGAGCACAATTTTCACATACAACGAATAACAGTTCGTGCGCGGTGAGGACTAAAGGAGTAAATGGTTCATGTTGTCCAAACACAGGAGTCGTTTGATTTCCAGCGCGAAACATGAGCTGAAGCGCACACTCGCAACAGTCAAAGGGGAGCCAACAGGAGGCAGAGTGTCCGATGGGTTGGGCTCGATTCAATAATTGTGGTGGTGATGTCAGAAGCGTTTAGCAAAAAAAGCAACTCATTCGTGTGAGTCCACTCAGGACTGTAGGAGGGTCGGCACAACTAAGAGCAAGCCACCGAGTTCCAATATCCCTTTGCATCCATCGACTGATTTGTGGACACGCAGGAGGATTACTTCATGCTTCGGCACTTCATCGCTCCATGCACAATGCGAAAGGGCGCCATTTGAATTAGCAGAAAGATGATCGGAGGCAAGTGTGATTCCGTTGGGTAAGGCATCTCCGACCCGTCGCTTCAGAATCTCGTATTGGGAGGGCACTAAATTAGAGAAATGAGCATCACGGAAGAATTAGACTCTGGTGAGCTACTAGCCAATCGATTCCGCGGGAGATGAGCCACACAAAGCCCTCTGCTCGCGGAGGACTGGCCTCCCCAATAGAAAAGCGTATACGATGCTTTGAGATTGAAATTATTATTTAACGAAAGATGGGTGGTTCGTGGCTGTGGAAGGGGTAGAATTATCATAGATTACAGGCGGCGTAATATTGGAAGAGCATCTCGATGGAGAACCTCCTTGTACTGTGCAGAGGGTGGCGGATCAGTGCTCACGATACCTACGCTACGAACTACCTAGGTGAGTTCGCTGTTCTACCAGGTGGACCACTCTCCGCTATTCCACCTTAACAACAACTTATTATTGGAGTTAGCAGGCAAAGTCCAGATTGTGATGGGCTTGATGAGGTCACCCTCTGCGCGCCTCACGAATGGATTTTCCTGGTCGTGAGATTGATTATTCATTGCGAAAAATCTGATCTGAGCTGCACCTGGGTATTGTATTGTAGGCGTCCAGCTGCAGGTCATGTTCGCCTCCCAGCTGACAGGTGGTGGGATGAAATACCTGGAGGCTGGGAAGTACCTGTCGGCACACACGATCAAAGCAGAGATAAATATAACAACCGTATACACGGTAGTCTGCGCGGGGTCGTGCCGTGATGGTATTGTATACTTGTACAAATAGAAGGTTCACGAAGTAATCGTAGCACGCCGGGGGAAGAAGGCTAAAGCGAACAAGCACTTCGTTATCATACAAATCATCGCAGCTAGGTGAACATCAGGTATTGAAGCGGGCCTACACATGCGCAACTAGTCAATAGTGGATGTTCACGGTTATCACTTACTGCTTGAGGTAGAGCGTAGTTGTTGATGGGAGTACAATACCGTCCTTGATTTTTGTGACTTCGGTCAGGTCGAGGGCGCCCCCGATTCCCCACAACGACGGTGGGTGGGCGCATGAAGAGTGTACGAGACACTGTGGGTTTCTGGTGTCATGTCCCCAGGCCAGGACAGCAAGACAGCATGAGTTGTTGAACAACAGTTACGTTAGTGATTGATGGTAGCGACACGCGGGAAAAGGGACATGGCTGTCAGTGCGCCTGTCTCCCTCTGCCAACTGTGCCGTAAAATACGATGCCGAGGTCTCGTCCTCCTTATTGCTTGATCGTAAATTAATTAGTGCATGAAATTGACAAAGACGAATGGAGGTGCGAGTGGACCTCGAACAATATCGCTACGTTAATATTCCTATTCTCCTTTCTGTGCTTCCGACCTGACTACGACGACCGACCATCGAATTCAATAATTTCTGTTTGTCTGGAACAGGACGATCATGGTATGGACTTGTATATCGATAGAAGGTCTGGCCGGTGGCAGGCATCTCACGGTGTACATTGTATTCGTAACAATTGTCTCTCGTCTCGGTCCAAGCGTGAGGCTCAGTGGACCCTGGAAAAATAAAAATGGTGTAACCGTGAGTAACGGTCTTCCAACGTCCCATAACAGATTCTCAGCGAAACGACAAATCGCGATGATAGCGATTGGTAGCAGCACATGAAAGGCAGGTGTGTTCGCTTGTGGTTCCCCGTTAGTACAAGTGAGTGATTATTCTGTTGATGGCGATGTACAGGAGTAAGCAGGGGGGCAAAGGCTACGAGCATTAGGGGAGGCCAGAAGAGGTTGGAAGAAGGGGGGAGGGAGTCAGGATCAGACTAAAACAGGATAAGTAGGTGTAGGAGCTTGTTGAGATAACGGCAGAAGACACAACAGTGATCTTCAAAGGAAATAAAATTACAAGTATCGTATTTGCGCTCTATTGAAGGCGGATTAGGCATGGCACGCGTCGGGGGGGGGGAGGTCACAGAGAGTACCAGGTGGAAGCTTCTCTTCCCGAGCAAAAATAGCGATGGACAGCAGCGATGAGCAAAGGTCGGAGCCGAACAACGAATATTTGAGGGTGTATGACGTCTTTGGCTGGCATGACAGTTTATTGCCAGCTGGGATGATGCTGTTGCAGCGAGTGGTAGTGTTATGATTTGTGATGGATATTGGTGGAAAAGGTGTGGGTATGGTAATGGTATGAGATGGAATGGTAGGGTAAGGTAGGATAGGTGCTCCGTACACAGACACAGTAGGTACAGTAGGATAGGATCATTGGATAGGTGGGAAGGAGATACTGCAGTGGGAATGGAGAGGAAATGCGGCGCAGACCAAAAATAGGATCCCGCGTATCCGCAATGTCCCATCGCTCGACGCTTGCACGCTCGCTCGGTCAACTTCTCCTTTACAGCGTGGACGTCCAATGTCACTCCACTCCACCTTCTTCTAGACATTGCTATTCCTCATGTGTCCTCGTTCATACGCCACAGCCGCTCAAGAGCCAGGATTACAGCCAATGGGCCCGACCGGCTTAATGCGTCGCCTCCTGTTGTCCAGTGAACGTTGGGTCTAGTCAAAGGACCGTCTATGGTAGGGCTATGCTAACGTCCATCCCCTATTCACAGTCCACTTCGCGCTATCGACTCACCGTATTCTCCAGAACGTTGCTCTCGTATGCGCAACAACGCACTGAGCACACCCACCACGGGCAAGTGGGCAAGTGGACAACAGGCTCAGAGACGGTGACCAATTTGCCCATGCCCACCACCCCCCTACTCGAGGAGATGTGACCAACATGCTTACGCTAACCTGATCAGATCCATCCTAAGGAGAGAGGGAATGGCCTAAGAATCGAGTGGACATCGGGAGCGAAGGAGGGTATAAAGCAGCTCTTCGTCCTCTCCCCAGATCTTTTTTTCCTCACCACACTACCTCTAATAATCTAATCCCCAGTTACGATTTCCTTGCCCAGATCCTCGGATCTATTACATTCGCTTCCCTCCAGATACGATCAAGTCTCTCGCTCGACCGCAAATCTCCAGAGATCCCGATAGATTCTAATATTACCACTTAATACAAACAACTTCAAACCTCAACAACAACAATCAAGATGCGTTCCGGAGCTATTGCCTTTGCCGCCATTGTTGGCGCTGCCAACGCCGGCCCTGTCCGCCGTGACTACCCAGTCTACCCGGTTCAGTCCTCTTCTTCTGAGGTTCCCGTCAAGCCTGCCAGCAGCACTCCTGGCTACCCGGTTTACCCTGCCTCCAGCAGCACTCCGGTTTACCCTGCTTCCAGCAGCACTCCGGTCTACCCTGCCTCCAGCAGCACTCCGGTTTACCCTGCTTCCAGCAGCACTCCGGTTTACCCTGCCTCCAGCAGCACTCCGGTTTACCCTGCCTCTAGCAGCACTCCGGTTTACCCTGCTTCCAGCAGCACTCCGGTCTACCCGGCTTCCAGCTCGACTCCCGTCTACCCCGAGTCCAGCACCACTCCTTGCGAGTCCAGCTCTACTCCCGTCAAGCCCACCACGAGCTCTACTCCCGTCTACCCTGCCTCCAGCAGCACTCCCGTCTACCCTGCTTCCAGCAGCACTCCGGTTTACCCTGCCTCCAGCAGCACTCCGGTTTACCCTGCCTCCAGCAGCACCCCGGTGTACCCTGCCTCCAGCAGCACTCCCGTCTACCCGGCTTCCAGCTCGACTCCCGTCTACCCTGAGTCCAGCACCACCCCCTGCGAGTCTTCCACTCCCGTGAAGCCCACCACCAGCTCCACTCCTGGATACCCCTCCAGCAGCGTCCCCGTGAAGCCTACCACCAGCTCCACTCCTGGTTACCCTGCTTCCAGCAGCACCCCGGTCTACCCTGCTTCCAGCTCTACTCCTGGATACCCCGTGAAGCCTTCCAGCAGCAGCACTCCTGTGTACCCTGCTTCCAGCTCCACCCCCGGATACCCAGTGAAGCCCAGCTCCAGCAAGCCCGTTGTTCCTGCTTCCAGCACTCCGGTTTACCCTGAGTCCAGCTCTACTCCTTGCGAGTCCAGCTCCGTCCCCGTCAAGCCCACCACCAGCTCGACTCCTGGATACCCCGTCAAGCCATCCAGCACCCCCGTCTACCCTGCTTCCAGCAGCACTCCTGGATACCCCGTCAAGCCTTCCAGCACTCCCGTTTACCCTGCTTCCAGCAGCACTCCCGGCTACCCCGTCAAGCCCAGCTCCAGCAAGCCTGTCGTCCCCGCATCCAGCACCCCTGGATACCCCGTCAAGCCCAGCTCTAGCAAGCCTGTTGTTCCTGCTTCCAGCACCGGAACTGCTCCTGGCTACCCAGTCTACCCTCACTCCACCCCGGCTGTGCCCACCAAGCCAACCTACCCCACTCAGCCTGAGTCCTCTGGCTACGTGACCGTTCCCCACGAGTACACCACCTCCACCTACACCTGGGTTCCTGTCTCTACCTCTGTTGGACACAACGGCCCCGCGCCCATCTACTCCACCTACTTGACTCCTTCGTACTACCCCACCATTGTGTCTACCTACGTCGTTGTCAGGCCCACCCCCACTCCTGAGGCTCCTGTCTACCCAGTCTCGCCTGCTGAGCACAACTCTTGCCCGGCTCCCGTCACCGTCACCGTGACTGTCACTCCTGAGGGCTCTTACCCCACTGGACAGCCAATCACCAAGACCTTGACCATCGTCGAGTCCAGCACCACCACCATCACTCGCATCACTGAGTACCCCAGCCAGCCCACTCACCCCGCTCCTGAGTACCCTCACTCCAACCCTGCTCCTAAGCCCAGCTCCAGCAAGCCCGTTGTCCCTGCTCCTCACGGAACTGGATACCCCACTGGACCTGCTCCCGTCAGCTCTGTCCCTTACCCCACTGGACCTAAGCCTTCCTCCACCAGCAGCGTTGGATACCCCGTCAAGCCCACCTCCACCCCCGGATACCCCGTCAAGCCCTCTTCCAGCAAGCCCGTCTACCCTGCCTCCAGCAGCACCCCCGCTTACCCCGTCAAGCCCTCCAGCACCCCCGCTTACCCCGTGAAGCCCTCCAGCACTCCTGTTGCTCCCGTCTCCAGCAGCACTCCTGGATACCCCACTTACCCTGAGGCTTCCAGCACTCCCGTCTACCCTGCTGAGTCCAGCTCCACCCCCGTCTACCCCGCTGAGAGCTCCTCCACCCCTGCTTACCCCGTCTACCCCGAGGCCAGCAGCACCCCCGTCTACCCTGCCTCTAGCAGCACTCCCGTCTACCCTGCCGAGAGCTCCACTGCTCCTGGCTACCCCGTCTACACCCCCGCTCCCGGATACGGCTCTTACTAAGTTTGAGTCGTGATCCCGCTGGTGCAAGACCAAAACCACCGGCGAGATGGAGTGTAAGCCCGGCTTCAATTCGGCAGGCAATTGGAACAGGAACCACTTGAACGATCCGTTCACCACTTTCCTTCACATACAAATCCAGTGAAAATGGGACAATGTACCATTCCTTGACCCTGCATAGCTGTGGCGTTAACGAATTTGCTTTTGTCATTCTCCTACCCAGGAGACGTCTTCGACTGTTTTGGCTCTAATTTTCTTGGACATAGACATTATTTGTTTCATATTTCTCTTTACGATTGTATAGGATCGATTCCTTTATGGATAGCATTACAATAGTAACTAGTTATTTCTTAAAGTAAAAAGATCCAACTTCAAACACACTCCTTAACATTTTGCAATCCCTTTCCCCAATGTGATCATAGCAGTACTTCGGTTTTCACCTTCTGACTCTGGCAAATACTTGCTTTGAAGCTAATCTGAAATAGGGACCTGACCCGCCTTCAGTCTTAGAGTATTGATTTCTTCTGAAGGAGTCGAAGGAATCTATCACTAAGCTATGTGGCAACCGAAAGAGACTTAGCGCGTCACGCCACCTGGCCAGTGTCTCGTATTCTTCCTTGATTGCAACCGACCTCTCGTGTTCAGTTTTCTGCTCTTCTCCACTGGCCAAATTACCATCGTCATCATCGTTGCCACTTTGTTTTTGGCAACAGGGAGCCAACATGGATGGTGGGAGGTAGCAGAGGAGGGCTGTGAAGAGAAAGCGCTCACACCGTTACAGTAGTTCAGGGGTGCAGGTGTAAAGTCAGTCTAGCACCCGCCGGTTACCGATTAGGGGATGCTGAAGCGCGGCACGTTGTTGATTGGCTTAGGCCTCCCACCAACCTCTAAATGGCGAAAGAAGAGAGGAAAGAAAAAAGAACGTTTGTTCGCTCGCTCGCTGCACTGCCTCCCCGGAACAGCCGTGCGTGATTGGGAATCTGGGATGCTACGCTACATCATTTGCTCATACAGCCTACCGTACGCATATACGCAATACGTAGGTACACGCACAGTACAGTGCAGAGTGCTGTCAGTGCAGTACCCGACGGCGACCGTTGCCATTGGCTGGATCCTTCCCTCCCCCAGTGCGCACAGACGAAGCTTATTCTCACCTACTCCTGGCGTCCCCTTCTGAGCCTTCTCTGCCTGCGTACATTTCATCCCGGGCTGGACTCCGACCCCCTTTTAATTTCCTTTCCTTTCCAACGAACTTCGGCATAACTCATTCACCTCTTCTTCCCAATTCAGTCCATTCTCACTCATACCCGTAATTGCGATCAGCTTCGATAGTAGCAGTCTTCGTGCCGAATCCGTCGCAACAAACTCTACACTGTCTCGATCCGTCATGGCTCAACAGCGCACGCTAGACCTAACCCTCGATCGTGAAACACCAGCACGTGGGGACCCCATTCCCATTCACAACCGTCAATCGAAGCACGTGCCTATGCAATTGTTATGAACGACCGCCCCTTCATCGTTCTCTCTCTGTGCTCGCCGGGAGAAAGTTAGGTTCGGCGCAGGACAGTGCGTCGTCGTTGACTCGAACCCGTTCATACTATCTCCCTTTCCTCCTACCACCCCAAGAATCGCCAACCACTTGGAAAGCAAACGGTTCAGTATTGCCAGGACGGCTCAGCTCGAGTCGCCCTGTTGCCAGCCAGTCTTTCTTAAACGAGATTTGATTGATCTTCCCTTCAAGACACCAGCCTCGCCGGACGAGGCTTGTCGCCAATTCAATTAATTATTGATTTTCCATAGTTTGGCTGCTGGCTTACGGCGCCATTCTTTTTCTCAATTTCCCAATTTCCGTGGTGTTTGCGAATGAATCGAGACGTTCGTGAGAGAAGCGCTTACAGGGTGGTTGGATGTGGTGGTTGGAGGATGACGGGTTCATCTGCGAGGAACGAAGAGGCTGAGTCGTGATGGCCAATCGCTGCGTTGGTGGTTCAAAAGCTGTCTATTGTCGAGTTTGGTTGTCGGCTGGACATCTGATGCGTGTGACCCAAGCCAACCGCCGTAAAGCGAAATTATACCACCCTCCGATATTCTATCAGATGTCTTGACGTGATGTCGTTGTACACGATAGTGCACTTGGGTAATGTTTAATTAGGTACTATCTACTTTGGTACTCAGCCTTTATGAGATTACCTGGACGTGTGACACGGCCCATGGATGAACATGATATAATGTATTCGAGGGACCGAAGATATTACTATATTAACCAGATATATGAGAACAGATAATCAGAGTGGCGAATACCCCGCAGACTTGAGGCAGTAAGTACCAACAAGAACAACAACAACAATAACTGAGATGGTGAATAGCTCTCTCTACACCTTGATGCACGTGGGCTTGACCGGGCCCGACCTACCTCCGTTGCTCTTCGAACCATCAAGGAATACACTCCTTTAACTTCTTTGCGGTCTCTTTCTCACGTAAAATGATCGCGTCATCATTTTATCATTATGTTGTCTTGGGGAACTGCCTCTGGATGGCTCTCCAATGTGCTTGTCTGGATGCCATCAACAATACGACCTCGTCAGCGCCACTTGCGAGTGTCCACGAGGCCTCTGCCCTGCGTCAGCTACACGCGCAATATGAGACACATGTCGTAAATTCAGCGCGCGCACGCATATGATTTTCTTTGTTCATCTAAACATAGCAATCTAAGGGTCCTCGACTAAGTACGGGTGCGAACCAAACTATCGACGACTGGCATTGCCCCTCTCATCATTAGGACGTTCGTTTGGTACACCAACGTACTTTCTCTTACAGGCCAGGCATCGCGAAGAGTTGCATTCAGGACAACGAAAGAGGAACTGTCGGCACCGCACTTTGCAATTATCACATGTCCCTCTGCCTTGCTGTTTCAGCCATCCTAAGCCCACATGCTTACAATCAATAGCTTCCTCGTAACTGTTCGTCTTCTCATCGTCTGGGACGACTCTGAATTTCGCCCAATAACTCGCAATCACATCTTGCTTTTCCTGGCGCAAGATGGATTTCAGTCGTTCCTTAGCAGCAAGTTCCCGCTCACGCTCTGCCTTCCTGGCGACTTCGCTGGATCTTTCAGCAGCCTCTTGCTCCTTCTGTTCGCGCAGTCTCTCCCTGGCCATTTGCTCTTGTTGCTCTCTAGCTTTCCGAGCAACCTCCTGAGACCGCTTCATCGCAAGCTCCTCTTTCCATTGTCTCACTACTCTCTCCATCTCCGCTTTCTCCGCTGCGCGTTGTGCTTCTCTAGCCCTTCGCATGGCTTCTCTGTGTCGTGCTTCTCTCTTCTCTCGCTCCCGGTGTTCCCTTGCCAGGCGCTCCTTTTCTCTTCTCTGCCGAAGCTCTTCTGCCTTCGCAATTTGTTCTTGTCGAAGCTTTTCTGCCCTCGCAATCTGTTCCTGTCGAAACTGTTCTGCCTTCGCAATCTGTTCCCTTCGAAGCTCCTCCTGCTGGATTCGATAAGCCTCCCACCTGTGGTATTGGATCCATTCTTCTCGTATAGTGGGGTATATGGCGTTATATATCGACCGGTTCACTTCGTCTCGTAGATGCTCAAACGCCTCTCGGACCTGAAAATGTATTCCCGGAATCAGCAAAAGGATATTCAGCATCACTCCCACTCGGCATGTAGAAAGCAAACCAGGCATCCTCCAACGTCACAGACTCACCCTACGGAATTCATGAGCATCAGGACCCGCCCCTGACCCTTGCTTGTCGGGATGGTATTGCATCACGAGCTTGTGGTGCGCCCGCTTGATGTCCTGCGCACTCGCTGTTTGCGGGACTCCGAGGTCTGCATAGTAGTCCCTCAAATCGGGGGGCTGTACCTCTGGTGTCGTATATTCCATGTTGCTACACGCGAGGGTTCAGCGAACGACGTAGGGCTTGTTGCGTGTACGAGTGTGAAGACGTATTAGGCCATTCAGCTTCGATCAAATGAATGGGAAAGAGATGATCCGCGGTAGGTTTTGCAAGTGCAGCCAGGAGCTGGATCGTCCATCTCGACAAGGCATTGAGGCATTCTTTTCGAATTATCTTGTCTTCGATGTGTGTGTGTGCGTGTATGTTTGTTTGCTCTGCCGTGTAACCGCGCTTCCTCCTGATCAAGCTTTGCATGCCGGTCTTCGAATGATGGCGGGGGTTTTCTAGGGGAGACATGTTGCTGCCTGATCAAAATAACATCGGTCCTCGACAGATTCCTCTTCGCTGTGATGCCGGATAGACACTACGGAGTACATTTGCATGTCTTCTACGATGGTATGTCCATCGTTGGTAAGAGTACCTGTCTATTCTTTGCACAAGGATGTACTCCGTAAGTACAGCGTTCATAGCCTTATGGACAGCCTAGTTGGTGGGGCATAACTCGTTTTTCCACAGCCTTACGCGTGATTCCAGAACGTAACGCCCCTACTATGCATGCATAATCATCTGCTGTGATTCGAACTGAAACGACATCGCCACATCAGTCACATCTCCAGCTGCCGGTCACTTGGAAGTGTTCGTGGGTGATCTTCCGATCGTGCATTGCAGGAACGACGACACGTCACTTCTCGGCACCGAAACAATGACAGGTCACTTCTTCACGTAGAGAATTGCTGCAATGGAGAAACGAGTACTACATTGCCAATCTTTTGACTGCAAGGATATGTCTATCGTCGCTGGAACATTGTCTTTCCATCGCTTTATCTTGCCATCCAGCCTGATCATGACTGAAGTTTTTGACGATGCGAATGGCCATTGCTATCCGACCAAGCACCCTGTCTACCACCGAGTATTGAACGCTGCCACCATATTCCATGCCTCTTCTCCTCTCTCTTCCTTACATGCCATTTGCATCTGCTTTAGCAGTGTGGCGTGCACTACCCCCCCAATGCCTACCCTGGGATTTCATGCTTATCACCACTATGACGTCTGGCGTATCTGCAACACCATACCCGGGTCGAAACACATCGACTGTGCAAACCACGATCATCGTATCTCGACTGTTCGGAGCGTAGGACCATCAAAGGTGTTGCGTCTCGTTCATCTCGTACATCCCCGTCCGTCTCGACACCACCCGCCTCGTTCCTGCGTGCCACATCTTGCAACTCCGGCCACTCGGTACGGCTCCCCTTGTGGCGGCGATCGGAATATCCTTCATCATCTTCAACCTCAAGATGTTGCTTTATTACCACACTCTAGAAGGACGTCGTCGCTACGAAAGGTCGCACGAAACAGTGATTGCAGTTGTCCTGAGTGAATAGGGCGTCTTTCTATATGTGCTTTGCCGTTGCGTTGGGCTGATGGAATCTTTGATGGAGATGACAGCTGCGGTATCTTCTTCCTGATCTCCATCTATGCACCATGGCCGAATGGCCCGTTGTTCTTAATGCATCGCCGCAATTGCCTCAATGCATGCCCGTCGTTATCGAAAGCGTCTTGAAAAAACCTAATGCCTGTTTAGTCGGTCGCGAAGGTATGATCGTTCTTATCTACAGCATCTCATCTGCTAGATGGATAACTTGAAGTGGCTGGGCCGTCAGCACCTATCGTTCCCCAGTTCATGTCGAAGTACTTTCAGCGTCGTGACAAAGATGGCTATAGAGCACACACAGGGACGTCTTGAGTGTTGAAGAGTTGGATACTTTGGACGATGAGATGAGTGTGTCTCTGCAGGTTGGTCTAGACTTGAGACGCTACGGTGAATAGATGAACAACTGATGGTCGCTAGCATCGTCACCGTACTGATCTGAACGTCGCGGCTTTGAGCGTACAGTGATGGATTTCTTAATACGAGGGGTTGTCTCAATGTCACGACTACGAAGCCTCACTCTCTTCGCTTCATTCCTCTACCTATCGACTCACACATGCTCATACGCAGTGATCGCATACACTACACTCGAAGCTCGACGCTTTCTATATATCGTATACATCATACCCAACAAACACACTCATCACTTCCCATCCCTCACCGACGGCATTGGCAGCAAAAACCTTTCTCCGTTCGCATCAGGTCTGGATCACGTTCTACTCGAGGGAGCCGACTAATTATAGTCGGGCATCAGGGATTCCCCAGATTTCTCTGCCTCAAGGCTTTTCTAGCTCGCAGAGAGCGGGAATACAAAACGTCATCGTAAACGTGATCATCGTCACGATCGCTGGCATCACTAGTACGAAGAACGGTTGATGATATGATGTTACTTTCGTATATGTCCGACGAGAGCACTCATCGTAGGCATTTCGGCATTTCGGCATTACGGGAAGAAAGCAAGAATCTTCTCCGGGGGGATGAGACGTAGAAAGGCGCAAGGAAATTGTCGGGTCGCACGACCGATTACTTGGGTGTTTATAACATCGTGGTCTGGGACCAAATCCATCTTGTGTACCTCGCGCCTTCGCGGTGTTGGAAGTACCGAGACGCGAGGGCACGGCGTGCGGTGTTATGGTATAAGTCCGAGGCCGCGGTTTGTTGAAGCAATGAGTGGTGACGGTGACATAGATGCTCTTCTCGGGCTCTTGGTATATGTAAGGGGAATTTATTTGGCTGGCGCTGCGATAATGGGCCGGTCACAGCAGGGCGGTTGTGTGCTTGTTGAGATCACTCGGGTGGGAAGGATGGAGGAGAGGAAAAGATGGGGCATGCGGATCGGAAGTGCGGGGTGGGGGGCGGTATAAAGGGAGAGGATGTGGTATGTATAAAGAGGGGGTTGTCCGCGATGTATGAAGAGGGAATTTTTGTTCGAGACATCATACAGAACCTTGCCTTTTTGAATGTAAAATGAGTTCCAGATCGATCTTGCTGAAGAATGGTGTTGCGCTTCTTCGCGACGGCAATGGTCGCATTGTCCCCACGCGCACGTCTGTACTCGTTGAGAACGACAGAATCGCGAAGATTGCGAAGGACATTGACGTCGGACAAGATGCAGATATTATCGATTGTACCGACAAGATCATTTCGCCTGGTTTCGTAGACACGCATCACCACGCATGGCAGACACAGCTGAAGGGTCGGCATGCGAATGAACTGCTCCTCCAGTACATGATCTCTGGTACCACACCCCATGTTTGAAGTGAGGTTTTGAGTCAGTGGCACTAATTCAAGCGTTGTAGGAAATGCACAGTCTTTTCAGTACAACGAGAAAGACATCTTTTACGGTCAACTCGCTGGACTGCTCGAAGCGCTGGCGGCGGGCACCACAACGATCCTGGACCACGCACATCTTACCTATTCGCCCGCGCACGCTCGAAATGCCATCTCTGCGACAGTATCCTCCGGCATGCGATTAGTGTATGCCTACGTACCCATCACTCGGCTCAAATCATTCAACCCCCTTACTTACGTCGAGAATTCTCTCGAAGCTTGGGTCATGGACACCTTCGAGCAACTCGCTAGCGAGGGGCCCTGGGGAAACGGAAGAGTGACTTTGGGATTTGGTTTTGATTCTTGGTTTTTGCCAAGGGAAGTCATCGCGGACATCTTTGGTAAGGTGAAGAAGGCGGCTGTCAAGACTGTGACGGTGCACTGGGCCAGCTCTCCCCAGATCGGCGGCGGAGGGCCGGAAAGTATCGTCAAGATATTGAAGAAACACGATCTCCTCGACGAACGAGTAGTCCTGTCTCACGCGAATGGTTGCACGAAAGAAGATGCGGATCTGATTAGAGGCGCTGGTGCATATGTGAGCTCAACACCGAGTACTGAACTCCAAATGGCTATGGGGAGAGCAGTATGTTTCGACGGTGCTTTCGTGGACGGTGGGCTGGTCGGAGACGAGGTTGGCTTGCAAGATGTTGCGAGCCTGGGAATTGATTGCCATTCGAACAATGCTGGATCTATCATTTCCGAAGCTCGACTGGGGCTGCAGAGTTCGAGAAATTATTTCAATGATTACTACAGACGCCAGGGAAAGACACCACACAACCTGCCGGAGAATTTGTCCGTCGAAGCCGCCTTCAATCTTGCCACCGTAGAAGGAGCAAAGGCATTGCATTTGGAGAAAGAGATAGGCAGCATTGCGGAAGGTTACAAAGCTGACCTTGTCCTCTTCGACGCAATGAGCCCGAGCATGGTGGGAGCAGCGCAGCACGATCCGGTCGCTGCGATAATCCTACACTCCAGTCCAGCTGATATCGACACGGTAATTGTCGATGGTATTATCAGAAAGAGAGGAGGGAGGCTTCTAGATGTCGCTGTCGATGAATTTGCGCGTGGCACGGTCGGGCAGGAGAGTCTGACATGGAGCGAAGTGGCACACGAAGTCGTGAAAAGTCGCGCCAGGATTCAGAGCGAAATTGAGAAGATAGACTTTGATGAGGGACTGCGTAGTATGAAGGGTGTGTTCTATATCGACGAAAACGTATTCGTGGAATAACTGCACAAGATTCGACGGAGAATTAGGAACATTTCTGGCCGAGTAAGCACACATCAACCGCGCAATGAAGTTTTTCACTGATAGCGAATGGCGAATATGTCCCCTAATATGATGGAAGTTTCTTGGCCTCAGTAAACCAAGTCAATCTTTATCAGTTTATCACGGGTATGGTTCCTATTTAGAGTTCGTCAGCTCGAAGGATCCCAATCCCAGGGTCTCATCACTCAGATTTATACGAGGTACCAACAATACGAGACAGTCAACTCATTGCGGCTCTGAACCCCTAAATCGATGATGATAACCAAATAACTCAACAATGCAGTGTTCTATGTTTTAGATGTGCAGTCGGGAGCGTCGCCATGATGACGTAATGTTGTCATTGCTGAGGGCTCCTTCCGTGTTTGATGTTCATCGTGATAACCCTAGCAAGTCACCTCTAATCGGGGTCGCCACTTCACTGACATTACAATATGAATCGATGCAACCTCAGATCGTTTTCTTCTATTATGGATCTCGATGTTTAGAGCAAGAGAACTCTACGTCTACGCCGCTGACGCGACGCGTCTTGTCGTGATGTCGTGAGGGAAGATCTATCTGCAACTCCTGATAGTGTCGTGTAATACAGCAGACTAATGGCTTACAGACAGAAAGCTCCCAAATTCATCAAACAGTTGGTCGGTAATCATTATGCAATGACCTTCTTTGGCTGAATGGCGACATGACGATCATGTTTTGCTCATTCTGATCCCCTTATCCATCCGAGAGCCCCAAGGCAGCGCGGATGGGAAATGAAAAGTTTAGATCGAATGGAGAAACAATACTGACGATTTTTTCATGAGAGCCATGAGCCAACTTATTTCGAAGAAGACCCAGCCTCCTTGTGCCCACATGTTGTTTGAATTGCGTTGATTACAAGGCACTCCGGAAGACCTCCCGGAGGCTCGTCTGATTCCATGGACCAGGGCGGCCCAGAACAACCGAGATATGGAACCAGCTGAACAACGAAACCCTGAGAGAATTACCAGACTAAAGGATTATTGGAATGTCACTGGCTAATTTAGGCATATGAGCACGCGCAGATGCAGCTTGCCCGCTCGCTTGAGTCTGCACGATCGGTCCCAAGTTAGGGTTTCCCAGATCGCCGACTGTAGGGGTCCTACGTCTCTAACAGTATCAAAATTATTGCTCCAGACTCTATACGGCCTCTGATGGCTTTTTCTAAACAGCGAATGAGTGGCCTCGAGTTTCATTCTCCATACGAAAAGGGACACTGGCTCAGGCGTGGGAACATTCATGCTGACCCCCTCGAAGCTATGCTGAAAAGACGGCCCGAGCCACGTGGATGCGACCAAGCTTCTAGAATTGGAGCCTGTGATACACAACAAGCTACAGAAGAGATATGTCTTGATTTCCAAGCTGTCGAAGAAACGGCTGAGAAGATACACCAAAGCTTCGTGATGCACAAGCATAGTTTGGCAGGCTTGAGAGAAAGCACAGGACAGTGACAAGTTTGGTGGCTCTGAGCCCAGGAAGACAAGACTGCGCCGTCTTACACTTGACGCGTTGATTGAGAAGAACAAGTAACAGTAAACAGCACTACCGTCTTTCTTTTTTCCTTGGGATGAGGGGGGTGGAGGAGGAGGTTTTCTCGTTCGCGGCTAAGATCGATGCCAAGAGATATCGCAATCGCCTGGCGGAATTGCGTTATGTCCTAGGCGATTTCCCTCCTCCCATCCGCCCCCCCTCCTCTCCCGAGTCCCCCCATACTCGTTACTGTTGTAGTTCCCTTCACGTCCCCGCTTGTACCCGTCAACGTCCCTGGGGAGAGTGGGAACACTTTAACAAAGAAATACGAGACCAACTGTCAGATATCGTTAATTGCAACAAAAATAAGTGGGTGGAGGTAAGTACACATCATTGGGATATCAGATATCTGTCCCGTTGTTTGCATGTTGAACGCACCTCTGGTTCCCAACTTGGATATATATCCTCCCACGCATTAACATTAACATATTCCCAGCAGACTGGGTACTTCCCCTCCCCCCTTCCCCTCGCATTTCGGCGCCGACTCTTAGTAAAACGCCTCTTTGACGCCTTTGCTTCCAATTTCTCTCAATGCCTAGACCTTCAAACTCTTGGAGTGTCCACACATGGGACGACAGTTCTCTTGTCCTCCGAGCACGCAATGTCCACGCTCGTTCCACATCCCACCACTACCAGCCCAGAACGCCTTGCAATGAGAAGCTTTTGATCAAGAAATTGGTCAGAGCATCGGAGAAAAAGCAAAAGCGTTGTCCAATTCCGTCTCAGAAATCAATTCAGAAAAGGTAACCGAGCAGCAGTGACATCGCTGCACAGTGTGGAGTACAGAATTGCTCGTACTACTGTGATACTCATGTGAACTTGAACCCACGCCAAGCTATGATGAAATGTCTGGCTGGGCCCAACACGCCGGGTGATGTTCACATTCGGGCGCGCCCAATGTCAAGTTGGGGAGCCTTGCTGCAGGACGGGACCTAGAGCAAGCATCTCTTGAGTCTTACCCTTTGAAGCGCTATCCGAGCTACGGAGGCTGTCTACACCACCTACATCTCCACGGCGATCAAATCTGCCTGCCCACCCCAGTACGAATATACATATAACTAGATCCCATACCTCCTCTTCCCAGGTTGGTGGGACCAGTGCGACCTCAGATATTGACATTGCATCTGCCAACAGGACGACCACCATCATGGCTCCCAATGCAACTGGCCGCGTCGCTGCCAAGGTGCTCGGTATTGACCTCGACTACCGCAACGAACACCAGGAGCCTCTCGTCTCCGGGGGCGCTTCCATATCCAGCGTCGAGACATATGTTGAAAGAGAGCCCACTGTTGCCGAGTGGTTCTCGCAATTCCGACCTACGGGCGCAGGAGTCAAGCATTATCTTCGCAGTCTGTTCCCATTCTGGAACTGGATCTTCCATTACAACTTAACATGGCTGTTGGGCGACGTAATCGCTGGTAGGAACTTCACATCCTGCACGTAGAGAAATGTTCTAATCTCCCCAGGTGTCACTGTCGGTTTCGTTGTCATTCCTCAGGGTATGGCTTATGCCATATTGGCTAAGCTTCCACCGGAGTATGGACTATACACCTCCTTCGTCGGCTTTTTATTGTACTGGGCTTTTGCTACCTCCAAAGATATCACCATCGGAACTGTCGCTGTCATGTCAACCATTGTTGGTAACATTGTCATCAAAGTCCAGGACGAACACCCCGAGATGAAGGCCCCTGCCATCGCCAGTGCCCTGGCGGTGATATCTGGCGCCGTCCTACTCTTCATTGGTCTCATTCGAGCGGGATGGATTGTCGAGTTCATTCCACTTGTTGCTATCACGTCCTTCATGACTGGTGCTGCCATCAGTATTGGTGTTGGCCAGGTTCCCGGAATGATGGGCATTCCCAATATCAACACCCGTGGTGCAACCTACCGAGTCATCATCGACACTTTGAAAGGCCTTCCGAACACCAAGTTAGATGCGGCCATTGGCCTTACTGCGCTGACGATGTTGTATGGCATCCGCGCCTTCTGCAACTTCATGACCAAGAAGCAGCCCAACAAGAAGAAGCTGTGGTTTTTCCTCTCGACCCTACGCATGGCCTTCGTGATTCTGTTGTACATCTTGATCAGCTATTTGGTCAACAAGCATGTCAAAGATGCTAAGAAGGCGAAGTTCAAGATTCTTGGAAAGGTGCCACGAGGTTCGTAAAGCAAGAAGCTACAATCCATATTGGTCCCATACGATGAGGTTATACTGACATGCAGCAGGCTTCCAACACGCCGGTGCTCCTGACATGAACTCTGAGCTGCTCGCTGCTGTCGCCCCAGATCTACCACTCACCATCATCGTTTTGATCTTGGAGCATATTGCCATCTCAAAATCATTTGGCCGTATCAACAACTACACCATCAATCCTTCCCAGGAGCTCGTCGCTGTCGGCTTCACTAACCTGTACGTACACCTTGAGCTGCTCCTACAGAACAGAAAACACTAATCGATATACAGCCTCGGTCCCTTCCTCGGCGCCTACCCAGCTACTGGATCCTTCTCTCGAACAGCCATCAAGTCTAAAGCTGGTGTCCGCACACCCCTTGCTGGTATCTTCACGGCTGTGATCGTTCTCCTGGCATTGTATGCACTCACTCGGGTCTTCTTCTACATTCCTAGTGCTGCCTTGTCTGCCGTCATCATCCACGCCGTTGGTGATCTGATCACCCCGCCCAACGTCGTCTACCAGTTCTGGGAAACATCGCCTCTCGAGGTCCTCATCTTCTTCGGTGGTGTCTTGCTCACCATCTTCACCAATATCGAGAATGGCATTTACCTCACCATGTGCGCGTCCCTCGCACTCTTGCTCTGGCGCCATCTTATGGCAAGAGGCGCTTTCCTCGGAAAAGTCCGAATCTACCGTGCCACGCACGACACCATTGGCAAGGAGAACGATGCCTACGGATCGCAAGGCGGTAAGATCGCTCGTGAGGCGTACCTGCCCGTGAACCATCGTGACGGCTCCAACCCCACGCTTGACTTCGAGCAACCTTACCCAGGAGTCTTCATCTTCCGCTTCGAGGAAGGCTTCACGTACCTCAACCAACAACGTTACATGGACGCCCTCGTCGGACACGTCCAGCGCGTCGCCCGTCCTACCAAGCTTGACCGCTTCGCAAAGATCGGCGACAGGCCGTGGAACGACCCGGGCCCACGCCGCGGCAAGCCCGTCAACCTAGAAGACGACCGCACGATCCTACGCGCCATCATCCTCGACTTCAGCAGCGTGAGCCACGTCGACGTGACGTCGATCCAAGGCCTCGTCGACGTCCGCAACCAGCTCGACCGCTACGCCGCGCCCGAGGTCGTCGAGTGGCACTTCGCCGCCATCAACAACCGCTGGACCAAGCGCGCCCTCACCACCGCAGGCTTCGGCTACATCAGCACGGAACGCGTGCGCGCCCGCTCGCACTGGACGCCTGTCTACTCGTTCGCCGCCGTGGGCGACGCCGACAACTCTCCCGAGGCCCAACGCAAACCCGCCGCAGACCTCGAGGCCGGCGCCGACCACATCCACAGCAGCAACAACGAGAAGAACGCCGCATTCCCGCCAAAGGTCACGGCCGTCCACGGCCAGAACAGGCCGTACTTCCACGTCGACGTCCAGGCTGCGGTCGAGAGCGCGATCGCGGGTGTCGAGTCGAAGCTCGCGCAGACGACAAGTACCGATAGCAACGTCGGCGTCACGCATGAGCAACCTGACAAGTCGCTTGGTTGATTTCTCTTTTCATTGTCTTTTACATCGTCATCATAATTGCCACAATAGTCCCTGATATTCACGGACAAGATGATCGTCTTTTTTAATCCAATCACTTATATACCACCATAGCCCATCTAGCTAGATATATACCATCCATACCCCCAATTACATCTTAAAACCTCAAATCCCAATGCATTACCACTAAGCTGTAACCCCATCCTCCAGCATCTACAACCCACACACCCTTCCATGCCGTCCAAACAAGCAAATCCCCCCCAAAAGCCAAGCACCCATCCCCCTCAGCCTTCCCACCACAAGCCTCTCCCCCCAGCCGCGAAGCGCCGCCACGCAAGTCTTGACCTCGCACCGCGCACAGACCGTCTCGACGCTCTTTTCCAAGAGGCGATAAGACTTCTTGTGTCAGGGCTGAGGGACTGGGCGAGAAAAACGGACGAGAAAACGACAAGGAATGACAAGAGTGACAAGAGGGTGCTAGGTGAGTGGCGGGCGATTGTGTGATTGGAGACGGGCCGGTAGGGACGGGTAATGGGAGAAGTAGCGATGAAGGTGTGTTGTGATAATTAGTTAGTAGTATGGTGAAGTGGGTGTGGAGGTGTTTTTGCTCGGGTGGAGGTGTCGTTGTGTCAGAGATGCGATGTTATACAGAGGGTTGGCACGTCGGGCTGGCCACCTGCTAACTTTATGTATTTATGTATCTTCAATACCTAAAGTGTCTACTTAAGAATGTACTGTAGCCAGTGAACAATCTTAATTGTTTGCGATAAACCTCGCGAAGGCACTGTTGTAGGCATACAATACTAGCATAGGGCCAGCCCGACGTGCCAACCCTCTGTAGCATCAAGACTTCAAAAATGGAAGACCAAAATCAAATACGGAGAATCTTGCTCAAAATTCACGACAATGCTGTAGAAGGCAAGAATGAGATGATTGGACGTAGACAACGACCACGTGCTGTGCTAATTGTGCGTGATAGGTGCATAACTTCTAGAGTGACAGTGCAGCTTTGGCGTGTGTGTGTTGGGAAAGGGTCTGGGTTTCGGGGAATTTTGACAGTAGTTGACTGGCGAGCGGCGGCATTGGTGGGGTGGTGCATGTGAAGGTGGAAGAAAGACGGGCTGTGCATTCTTGTGTGAAGAGTTAGACGGGTGGAGAGAATATTGGTATTGATTTTTATGTATTGATATGGCGATGCATGTATGTCCACTCTTCAATCAAGTATGCATTCGAGATGTTCAAACGCTGGACCCTGACGGGAAGGTGTCAATCTGAATACGACAGAGGAGGTGCAAGAAGTTGTTGGTTCGCGTTGAAAGGACGAACAACGATAACGTCAAAGACAAAAGGTTCCAATGGGAGAGTGGTGGCGGATCAGAGCTGATTATGCGTGCGCCTATGCTGTTGTTCATGCATCCAGGTTGGTGGTCATGCGGGGGTGGGCGCCGAGCCCAACTTAAATCTGTTGATCGCACAAGGCGCTGGCAGAGAGGGTGTCCATCAAAGTGCGCAAACGGGATGATCGCGTGACCGGTCCATTTTAGAATTTCTGGTATCTCGTCTGTGGCAGGCAAACCGCCGAGCGATAATAACAACAACGACAAGTGTTTAGCTGAACTTATGGGCGGACGTTCATCGCACATCCCAAGATAATCGTCGTTGACATTCCACGCACGCACGCGCGGGACGAGGCTTGGTCTCTTGTCCACCAACCATTTGTTAGGTCTAGACCCGCATGCGATCTGCCAGACAAAAAGCACGGCATTGACACCAGGTTTCGCTGAAGTAGCGGCGCATCCCAGTTTAAGCAGCGATTCTGAGAAGTCAAAACTTTCTTAGACAGAACGAGCGAGCGAGGCCAGAGTTGCAGGGCATTTTCTTTCGTGTGTGAACTGGTTCGATACACGGACAGCAGAATGCGACTGCACGATTTACCTGACGATGTCTTGATCCCCATTTTCGCCTGCTGCGACATTGATTCACTATTTGCAGCGCGACTAGTATCGAGACCTCTACGTTCTCTTATTGACGGTTATATTAGAACGATCGCGCCATCAGTTGCAGCCAACACATTCCCCAGAGCGGCTTCACTCCTAAAGCGACCCGAGAAAGGATATTCACTGCGATGGTTGAGAGGCCTAATTCCAGCACACCTAGCAGCAATAGCGTTGGATAAGGACAAACTACGTCGACACTCATATGTGAACGCCGGATTTCCTTACGGTATTCCATTCGAAAATGACTGCCCAGAAGCAATGCACTGGAGAACACGCGTGGCCAAGGGTTGGCGACTCCTTCGAGGCTTCTACCTTATCTCGCGAGACGTGTACGCGAAAAGCATGGAAGAATTAGAACATGGGCGTCCGAAGATGTTTAGAAGGGTCAGTAATGGCATGAGGACCAGTTCGTTGTGGCAGAACGTCAGCTGTCCCTATCAAGCATGCACTGAACATGGCGTATGGGGATTATTTGACAACAAGAAGAGAAGAGAAAGCGACCATTGCCCGGGAGCAAATAGAAAAGGCCACGAAGGCGATTGGGTCGAGGAGGCTCGGAAAAGAGAGACGCTGATACTGAAGAAGCGGCTTGAATGGCTCGAAACTCTATCCAACCAGGACCTCATGGATTACCTATGTCTTTGGCGTCTCCTCATGTGGGTTTTCAGACCCTACAGAAGACCCGAATCGACCGTCTTAGAATGCGTAGGGAATCGCAGCAAGCATGTCCCGAAGTCGAGTTTCAAGGCGGAAATCAGTGGCATCTTGCACGGCTGTTCCTGGTTGAATTGGTTGGTCTTACACATTGGCACGACACCATTCTGGCGACAATGGTGGGCTCCTAAATCTTCGAAAGATGCGAATGCGGTGAGAGATCTGGTATGGAGCATTTGGAGCCAGCGCTCGCATCATCAAGTGGAACTGGAAAGAGAGTTCGTCGCCAAGTTCGAATTTGTTCTCCGAAAACGCTGTCTTTCGTCCGATCGCGTGAAGCGTCTCGAGGACGAGATAGCAACCGGCCGAGTCGTGAAAACAATCAGCCTAGATTGTATACCATGGGAGTACGATCAACCCCCAATCATTAGCAGAACGCCGTCCGATTTTCCGTGGTACGAACCAAGTCAGTACTTGTGGATGTCTGGAAATATATGGATGGTCTTGGGGAGCCCCGGCCGACCTCTAGGTGTCTTCAAATATCAGGGAGACCCATCGGACGAGGAAATGGTTGCTGAGCAATTTGTCAAGGGATCTTTGGACAATGTACAACACCTGGTATACCTAGGCTTAGAGGACAGTGAAAGGGTCTGGGGTATGACTTCAGCGCATGGTGATGAAATGACGTTTTGAAGTGAAGATGCAGTTCCCTCTGATGCATTTTTCCCACTGGTCGATCCTCGCCGCCTTTGGAGCTGACTGCATTCATTCTGGCGTTGATGGACAGAACTGGACGGTTGGAGAATGTTCTGGTGTTGTCAAGGCTGGAGTTGGCAGGCTGCTTTCAGTGGATCGCGGAAAGCTTGGCAGGGCTAACCAATCAGAGCGCGTCTTCCTCCGCGTACCGAAGTTGGACTGGCTGGGCTTCGAATTTCCCAACCCCATCGCGGCGGCCTGGGACCTGAAACAAACACTCGACTCCAGTACACTTGTTCACTAATATAAAGTTACTGTCAATTGCTCCTTGCAGCTGTAGCTGCAGCATTACCTTCGACACATTCATTATACACCTACAGGGAACATTACCGGCACCTCGCGGCCCGTGGCCTGACATCATGGCGTTTCAAACACTACACGGTTCTTGCGCTTGCGGTCGCAATAGATACGTCGTAGAGATCCCAGAGCAAGAGATGCAGCTCGCAGAGTTGCGCTACGATAACACTTCTGCTTCACGTAAGTCAATGAACCCCCCTTTTCGATTCCTTCACCGTCGATGCTTCGTCGGGCGAGAGAGCTTCAGCATGAAACTATTGCGCCATGGCGACCAACGCTCCGTATCTATATCTTAGACGCGCTGCCAACATCATATATACGAATCGAATACTAATGTGACCACAGGACACACATCAGCAAGCCCTCTTACCCTCTGGTTCCGCGTCCCCCTTTCCTGGTACACGTCCGCCACGTTCGCACAATACCCCGACGAAACCCGATCCAGCATCCAACGCACATTCGTCTCGCCCTTCGCATCGAACTCCCGCCGCCAGTTCTGCGGATACTGCGGAACGCAACTCACATCTTGGCACGAGCACACGCGAGAGGATGCGGACCACATCTGCCTGACTGTCGGCAGTCTGCTCGACGACGACCAGGCTGTCTTGGGAACCCTCGGCTTCCTTCCCGGTGGCGACAGCAGTGATGAAGAGTTGAGCAATGCTACTGGCCTGGCTCGGACCAACACCACGCGCACCGTGGGACGTCAGGAAACACGTGGAAGAGGCGCCCCTTGGTTTGAGGAATGGGTCGAGAATACAAGATTGGGAAGGCTGAAGCAGCAACGAGGCGGACACTCGTCACGCGACGGGCACATTCGTGTCGAATGGGAGGTCATGGAGTGGACGGATGCCGACGATGCCGACGACGAGGGCACAAGCACCCCGGGCAAGAGAAAGATCGCAGAGGTGGACGGCGGAGACAGCGAGATGCAGACTTTGTGAGTGCTGCCGTGCTGTTACGTTTGATATTATATTCTAGAACACGGGCGCTCACGCTTTCGGGGGGGAAAAACGGGGGGACAAATGGTGAACGGGATCAAAAAGGCTAGGAGTATTGGGCGTGTGGTCTGGCGGGTGGTGGTTTCTTCATGATTTCGCCACCACCTTTATGCGACCGATTATCGCTCTCGAGAATCGATCAGTCAGTCTTGTAGAAATTTTAACTCATGGGAATTGTAGTATATTTTAGCGACAGCCTTGCGATTGGCGAATATAGAGGATCTGATTCAACGTCTCAACCACTACTACCGGCAGCTTGTGAGACAGATGCTTGTTTCTGCAGCGACCAATGAAGGACTCTTTCGCACGCGAACGATGTGCTTCTCCAGTGCATTCCAATTTGACGGGTAATTGGAACCATGCGAGTCACCCCCACGCCTTGCTCGCCACAGCGAATTCGTATGAGAATCGCCTCACGACGAGACAGAAGCACGATGTGGATCATCATGCGTGATACGAGAGGCTGCTGGACCCGACCTGATGGCTACACACATTATATCCGACGATGTGCCATGCAGGTGCTCGTAATGAGCGTGGCTCTTGTGGTCAGTGTTGGCCGGGTGTTTTATAATCGGTTAAGGCCATCCGGGGTCAGGGTCTGCAATTAAGCTTCACATAGACAGCCCTATATCTGACGAATCAACGGTCTAGGGAATTGGATGATCAGAGAAGAAAGATAGACGGAAGCAAAGCAACCTCTCACGTCTTCCAAGGAGATTCTAGGACTTCGGGAATAAAGCCAAATATCACGGAGTAGAATCAATCGTATTTGGAAGTGGAACGAAGACAATGATCCGGGAACATCTCGACTTGATTGATTGACAGATGAATTAGCTGATTGACTGACTGATTGTTCACTGGGCTGATGGAAACTACTGACTAGCTACTCGTAAACTACGAGGATACAATATGCACGTACCTAAGAGACTGACAAAACGATGCATTGAACGATGGGGACGGATGGCGATTTAGTGAGGTTCGATTTGGTCTGGTCTGGCCTGGTCTGACATTGATCTTGCCTGGTAATTGGTTGTATCGTGGTTTCTGGTAACTTGACTAGGAGTAAGTCGTCGTAGTTTTAGTATATCAATCAAAGATATCTTTACATATGGCCGTTACGCGAGCGACATTGCGCTAGTGTACCACCACTCTGACCTGTGATTGGTCGATAACGAGTCTATCTCGAACCCCATCCCAGCCCAGATAAGGAATCCTCCACTTTTTATCCAGTCACTTCATTACTTGTACACTTACTCATTCACTTACTGTGTAGACCATTCACTCTACACTCTTAACGGCATACTCTTACAGGTTATTACTTTTGCACTTACATTACACACACATTGATACACTGATACACTTCTCCATCCATACTACCACTCGATACGGACCGATAGAGAATCAATCAGGAAAAGGCCCTTCTCCGCAATCTTTAGCCCTAGGCTATGGAGCCGAACCTGCCCTGACAGAAAGAGTGAGAGAGCAATTGCATATCATAGGCACACCAAAGTTCGGGATCAGAAGGGCAGCATCATGGTTCACTTATGTACGCCCGTTACGTTGGCTACAATGCACGCACTGTGAACGCGAGATATAGATAAGCTGCCTCTGCATTGACGCCTCCCATGTTCCAGCTCTATATCAGACATCCCTTTTTTCGCATTTAATAACCTGCCGCAAATGTCTTTTCTCTTGATCCTCCCTACCCAATTCTCCATCGCCATCCTCTTGGTCTTCTTCGCTCTGTGGAGAGACGTACTGCGTTAGGGATAACATAGCACATCCCATCACCCCCTTCGCCCCCACAAACTGCTTCCTCGCTTGCGGCTCATTTACCACCCCCCTGGCCTCCTACCCATTGCCCATTGCTATTGGTCTGCTGCATCAGTAGTCATGGAGAAGGAAAAGACCCAAGTGCCTTTGCAGGCCGCCATGGCTGATAGCGACGATACTTCATTCTCGACTGGCGAGGTCTTGAACGCCTCTGGCCACAAGCAGGAACTTCAAAGGAACTTCAGTCTGCTAAACATCTGCGGTATTGGAATCTGTACCGGTAACGTCTGGGCTGCTCTTGGAGGATCAATTGTAAGTCACTCTTATTGCACCATTGGCTTTGATTGTGAACTATATCGTTACTTCGGTACTAATACGATGAACAGGCCATCGCCCTCTACAATGGCGGACCACCAGGTGTCATCTATGGATTTATCGCCATCAACCTGTTCTACTGGATGATCGCCAGTTGCATTGCTGATATGGCGTCTGCCATCCCTTCCTCTTCTGGAGTGTATCAGTGGGCTGCTGTCGTAGGTGGAAAGTACGGCAGGCCTCTTGGCTACTTCGCCGGCTGGTGGAACTTCTTTGGCTGGTATGTATTGCCAGTGATCATCAATGGATCGAATCATCAATTGACATGCGAACTCTACAGGATCTTCAACACTGCTTCCATCTCGTCCATTCTGGCCAACCAGGTCATCTCCATGTATGGACTCTTCCATGAGGGATACGAATTCGAGAGATGGCACGTCTTCATCGCCTACCTCATCATCACCTGGCTTTCATGCGCCGTCGTTCTCTTTGCCAACCGCGCCTTGCCTGCCCTCACCAACGTCGGACTCTTCTTCATCCTTGCCGGCGTCTTCGTCACCATCTTGGTATGCGTTATCATGCCCAGCCGCCTCGTGGGTGGCCAGGGTCATGCCAGCAGCAGCTTCGTATGGAAGGAGTGGGACAATCAAACCGGCTGGAGCAGTGACGGCTTCGTCTTCTGTGCTGGCATGTTGAACGGCGCTTTTGCCGTCGGAACACCGTAAGCCCCCCTTCACACACAGTGTTTAAGTGTATCAGCTAACACATCCATCTCCAGTGACTGCGTCTCCCACATGGCAGAAGAACTCCCTGAACCCCGTCGCAACATTCCCCGCGCCATCCTCGCCCAGTACGTCGTCGGCTTCATCACCGCCTTCTGCTACGTGATCGCCATCTTCTACTCTGTCAACGACCTCGCCAGCCTCCTCGACAACCCCTGGCCATTCCCTCTCGCCGAGCTCTACCGCCAGGCAACCGGTACGCGCGCCGGGTCCCTCGGCCTCCTCATCGTCATCTTCCTGCCCACGATCTCCACCAACATCGGCGGCTACATCACCGCAGGTCGCATGCTCTGGACCCTCGGTCGCGACCGCGCGACCCCCTTCTCCAACTGGACCGGCCACATCTCTCCCCGCTTCGAGAACCCCTTCAACGCGACCATCGTTTGCGGTGTCATCAACACGATCCTCGGCCTCATCTACGTCGGCAACTCGACCGCCTTCTCTGCCTTCATCGGCTCCTTCATCATCCTCTCCTCCCTCTCCTACATCGCCTTCATCCTCCCCAACCTCATCACCCGCCGCCGTTACATCACCCCCGGCCCCTTCAGCATGCCCGACTACATCTACTACCCGGTCGCCACGCTCGCCTCCTCCTACATCGCCGTCTGGGTCGTCATCTACTGCTTCCCTTACGCCGTCCCCTTCGACACAACAAGCATGAACTACTCTTGCGTCATTGTCGGCGGCATGACCGCCCTTGTCGCCGCTTGGTGGTTCGTCATCAAGGACCGCGGCTACGTGGGTCCCGTCGGCGCTGTCGAGGCCGCCGCGCAGAAGATGGCCAGCGGACACGTCGTCGCTGTCGACAAGGTCCCTGAGACCGTTTAGACATTTCTATATCCCCTTTCCCTTTTCATTTTTGAATCGCTGTTTTTGCTGTATACTCCTTCTTTTGATATCCACTATGCTTTTTCTTCGTTATGTCTTTGGTATGTTAGAGAACCCCGTTTTTTTTGCTGGGGCATGTGCTAGATTAGAGTACCTATTGGGAGGGTTAGTTGTTAGTAGATACCACACACGTCGAATACAAGACAGATTTTCACATGAACGAACACTTTTCCTCCTTGCTTTTCACGGTCGTTATTAATTGATTCAAACTCAGTGATATCCCTTCCCTTACCTACCCTTCTTCGGAAAAGAAACCATCACGATTACACACACGCACCCAAAGGTAAAGTGAACAATTGAACAGTATTGACTCTATCCCCCCAAATATTCACGGAAAGAAAATATGCCTTTTTTTTTTACAGCGGGTATCCCAAACACCCAAGAACACCCAAAAACCACATGCGTCAGATTCGTACACACGATCATTAAAACATCTAAATCCAAAACGTAAGCCAATCTTCGTTCGACTCCTCCGCGCCTGAATTACAACCCCCAGACGAAGATTCCCCCTCTGCACTCGTCGTCGTCGTCTCAGTCCCCGTCCCTGTCCCCGTCTCCGTTCCATTAACTCTCTCTCTCGCCGCCCGTTCAGCCTCCCGCTGCTTCTTCTTATTCTTCTTCTTTCCGGCTCTGCAGCCCCGTCGTGGTCTTTTGTACTCCGCTGGCGGTTGCTCTTGTTGCTGCTCTTGCTTCTGGTGTCCCTGCTGCACCCCCTCTGGCCGTCCCTCCTTCTCTCCCTCTGGCCGTCCCTCTCGCTGTCCCTGCCGTCCCAACCCTCCCCACGACCCATCCACCACCCTATCCCACCCCGGAGCCGGCGTCCTCATCCCCAGCCTCCCGTTGAAAAACCACCCATCCTCATCAATCTCCGGCTTCCCCTTGCCGTCCCAGAAATCCACAATCTCCTTCCGGCGCTTCGTACCTCCCTCTCCGTCCGCGTCTTCATCCCCACCCGCGTCCGCGTTCGCCGACGTCCCAACGACGAGCGGCTGCTGCTCTCGCCCCGGACCTTTGACAGGGGAACCAGGCTCAGACTGTTCGCTCGGGAACGGGCGCGGACGCGTGAGCGGGTCGTCGTACGGTTCGTAGCATGCTGGCGGGGGGTGGAAGATGATTAGGACTGGGCCGTAGGGGGTGTAGTAGACGATGTGGTTTCCGATTGTGAGGGGGATGGAGGGAGGGAGGACTGCGGCTACGGCGGCTGCGTAGTAGGCTGGGTTGTGGGGGTATGGGTATGGGGCTGTGGTGTAGGGTGGTGTGGTTGTGGTGTAGTAGTAGGGGGGGTGGTAGGGGTGTGAGGTTGTGGTGTAGTATGGGTCGTAGGGGTGTGTGGTTGTTGCTGTGTAGTAGGGGGCGTAGGGGTGTGAGGGTGTGGTGTAGTAGGGGTCGTAGGTCTGTGACGGTGTGGTGTAGTATGGGTCGTAGGGTTGTGAGGGTGTGGCGTAGACGCCGTTTTGTGTTGACATTTTGGATGGTGTGTGAGATGAGGGTGAAAGGGTGGTGAAGGGCTCCTGGCCATGGTTTTATATATGTTGCGATGTGAGATATTGTTGAGATTCAATAGAGTATAACCGTGGTGATGGAAGATGATACCGATTGTCGGGAGATGATACATACATGTATGTGGTGGAAGTGAGATGAATGTTGGGAGTCAATTGAGTCATAGCTGTCGATGAGGTCGAAGTTGATACTTGTTGAGAAGGTCAATATGAAGAACGCACGATGTGGTACTGATGTAGTAATAGAGTACGCGATCACCATGGCATAGATTCTGGGAACGTATGGCTCAATATTGATGAAGTTTTTCAATTGACCACCCACCGATCCTACTCACACTCCCAACTATCTGGATTCTTCGCATCGCCACCCTTGAAGTGGTTCGTCTTGGGATACTTGCAATGCCTCCGCTTGTAGTCGACCCCTGAACTCTTCGTGCCATTCACCCACTTCGTTCCAGTGATGTACTCTGGCGCATTGCCATTCTCAACCCAGTCAACAACGGCCATGAGAACATTCTCCTTCGGATCGAAGCTTCCCACAGCAGGATACCTCTGGCCGACGACGCTTGCGCCGGCACCACCCGTACAGTGAGCGGTACCGCTGAGTTGGAAGAATCGATAAAACGCGTCCAGCTCAGAGGGCGGCAGACCCATAGTCGAGCTGACGTGTTCGTAGTATACTGGCGAGATTTCAGACGTGATGGCCGGATCTTCGAGACCGTGGTAGTGGAGGATCTTGACGCCGCGGTCCTTTGCATCACTGAGGTCACCTTTCCATGTCGCAATGTTGAATGGGTTAACGGAGTTCGCAAAGTCGTAGTCAGAGTAGTTGAGAGAGGCTGGGTCCCAGGTTGAGTCATTGTATATGGCCCAGCGGTACCAGTCGTAGGGGTACGGCCCTGGCTCACCGGTGAACTGGCGTGCGGCAGCTCCAATCTCTGATCCGGGTTGGAGACGTGGGTAAAGTACGGAGCCGTCTTCAGAGGTAAGAGGGGACAGTAGTTGTTGCACCGTGTTGGATTGGGTTGGGGTTAGACAGTTCTCTGTTTCGCCTGCAGAGCATATCAGGCCGGTTGAATCGTAGTTGCAGAGCTTGGGGTTCTCGAGGATGCCGTCTTCCACGCCATCGAGTCCGTCACATTGCTTGAGAACGTCTTCGTGAATGAGAGGCCAGAGGGTTTGAGGTACAAAGGTGTCGCTCGTGTTGTCCCCGGTGATGGTATAGAATCTTCCAGTCCACGACATCAGGTCGTTCCAGTCGAAAGCGGGTGCGCCGGCAACGATGCCATCGAAATCCTCTGGGAAATCTTGCGCCTCCTTGAAACCCTGGCGTCCACCGGTCGAGCATCCCAAGTAGTACGATTTCGTGTGCGGTTCACCATAGAAGATTCTCGTGATTTCTTTACCAGTAATGACGTTGGTGTGAACTCTAACCAGGATGGTAAGCCTCGAGAAAGGAGTATGAGATCAAGGTCGACTTACGATCGATATACGAAGTCTTCAAGAACTTCAGGGCTATTGAAGAATGCACCACCACTGGTACCGTTATGACCATTGTTAGCTCCCACTGTCGCGAACCCTAGCTCAACTCCATAGGCCAGATCCGGATAATTGATGCAGCCGTTCAACCCACCGTTTCCTGTGCCTAAGAATCTGCCAGTCCAGTTCGCAGGCAACCAAGCTTCTGACACGATGCCTGAGCATGTCGACGTAGCGACATGGACACCAATCCTGCAGATGTCGACAGCAACCACTTGCCATGGGCTACCGCAAGTTACGTTCCTGTCTGATATACTTAGATTGGTGCCGGCCGGAACATATTCAGCAAATTGCACGGTTGCATGTTCTATGTTCAGCTTCGGGATAATGCTCGAGCATGCTGCCTGGAAGTCATTTGGACTTGAATATGGATTCTCATTCGCGCATGCTATACCGAAAAGAGCAGAAAATGTAGCCACGGCCAACTTCATCGTGGATATGTGATTAAGACACCCTGATAGATGCCTTGTTCAGCACGGATTTCCCATGGTATTTATAGCAATCCTACCAGGGACGGCTGTTCCTGAAAGACTGATGGTTGATTGTCGGGTAATCCTCGAGTGACCAGTGTGAAATTGAGATGTACTCGCCCCAGATACCCAATCTGGAGATGGAGAGGCAGTGTCGTGGAGATCGTCTGGGGGAGCGAGGCTGTTGTGGGTTAGCGGTTATGGGGCTCGCGATCCCCGCATTTGGTACGGAAAGCATCTCGGGAGTTTTTCATCATAGTGGCTGTAGATGTTTGCTTGCTACAGCCGGAGATATTCTTCCTTGCCGCATTAACAACAGGTAATAATGCTGGAAGTAATGTTTCTAGTAAATACCGTATGTGAAGCCGAAACACCTGCTCACAGGTTCGTCTTCCGATACAGTCACGAGGTCGACCGTTCGGATTTGCGTTGCATTTCCATAGGTTGACTCCTCCTATAGTGATGCAGTGAATGGAAAGGTCACGCCCCGGGGTCAGTACAGGTTATAGCATGTCGGTGTCGCTACATGGAGAAATTCCAGGGCAAGAAAATCTCCAAAGGGTCTAATTCGTACCAGGGGGTCGGATGCGTATGTTTTCTTCTGTCGCGCACGGTAGCTGTCACATCGAAGAAATGAGATTTCCCATCTGGCAGCCTTTGATTACTGCAACCCATGAATCACTGGTTGCTGGTCAGTATGTCTTCAGAAAGTCATCATATTGTATGCATGTCTCAATCTCGCTGTTTGGTTTGCTGTGTTAGAGTTGAGGGAGTTGTCTGCATTCGTCAAGCACATGACTACGCGAAGGAGTGTGAGGAGAGACATGCGAGATCCGATGTGAGATCTGACGATCTAGTCTAATTTCGGAACACTTACAGAGTATGTAGGTTTCAAGGATTGAGGCTTGACCTAGATCCACGTTGATCTTACAAGACGGTTGTGAACATGACCGTTGCCTGCACTTGCAACGTTCAACTTCTACCGACGCTTCCACTTTACGAGTAGCAAGGACCCCTTCACGAGTCTGGATGCTCTTTACCGCCGTTTCGTTAAGCAGGGTATTTGCAATAGGTGGCGTTGCCGGCCTCCGGGCCCAACCAATGGTCCGCATTATGGCGTTGCAGGATCTAAGACATGGTGGAGAAACTCAAACGGCTTGCCTTCGATGCAGCGTACTGTCTTGCCGGGATGCTGTTCGCAAAGACCTCGACAAGACAGAGGTCCAGAGAGTTATTTGCAACCCTGTGTCTAAAATGCACTCTCTTCATCGATGTTTGCACTTTCAATGAATTCTTCGAGACACGACTGTGTTCAGGCTGTAATAGCGGTGGAGTGAAATCTTTGAGATGCTAGGTCTCGAGTAGGAATGGCATCGGGTATGGATCACTGGCGCGGACGCTATTGGAATGTGAGGCGAGAGGCTTGAAAGATATGACGACATGCTTCCAAGATGGAACATTCTTAGACCCATTTGGCACCATTTGATCGCGATTGGGACCGGACCAGCCCAGCTTTTTGGTACTCTCCGAAGTTTTAGAGACGAAAGTCGAACGCTAGAAGACAACGACAGAGAGGAATGCAGAGCAGGACACTCTCAGATACGCGCGTGCATACAACTGGTTCATTGCACGTGATCCCCCAAGCGCTTGATTCGGATCCGCCAGGTCGATTTCCCGGCACGATTCGCGGCGCATCCACGCTTTCAAGGTGCAGTCAAACCCAGTGAGCAACCAGGACCAGGCACACATACTTGCCCTCGCTACGCCAGAGTGGAGTCGATTGATCGGGAGGGGTGCTGCTCGCCCAAAACTAAAAAAGAAGACATGTCATGTCATATACCCCAGGCCAACGTGCTCTTTTGCACTTACAACTTGCAATTCCAACTGCAGCCATGCTGCCACACCGACCCCCTTACCCCGTCCTCGAGTAGCCCTCCTTGCTGCTGCAGAGTCGTATAACGATGCACGACATGCCCACCCCGCCTCCCGAGACTGGTGAACTTACAGCTGCTCTCCCACCACCCACAGGAGCGCTGGGGGCCAAAGAACCCTACGATTGGACTGAGGATCTTCCCCAAACGGACCATGTCCGTTTCTTCAGATCGACTGATTGGTCGCGAACCAAGCTGGGCCCATTGGAGACGTGGGATTCCACCCTGCGACTATTCACGCGCTTAGTCCTTGCAGACTCTCGAGCTGCATGTTTATGGTGGTGGGTAGGCTCAACGTCTTCTCGAATGTGGAAGAAACAATCTGACCTTGCAAACGTAGGGGCCCCGACTACGTAGCCATCTACAATGAAGCCTACATGCCTCTGTCCGCCCAGGCGCACCCGAAACTCATGGGCTCGCCTTTCATCGAAGGATATCCAGACCTATGGCCGTATATCAAGGAATATTTCGATAAAGCTGCCGAAACCGGTAGGGGCGTGGACTATTCTTCGGCTGTGTCGCTGATGGTCGAGAGGAAAGGATGGCGCGAAGAGTATGATTAGGGCAAGGACATATCTGGTCTGTTGTACTAACTTGATCAGGGCATTCTTCAATGGCAATTTCGTTCCCATGAGCAGTGGTCCTACCAACAAACCTGAAGGCTTCTACAACTCATTATTCGAGGTCACGAGCCAGCGACTGGCCGAGCGGCGGACGATGATGCTGAATCGAATGGCTTCTGTGCCCGACTTCCAACCAGACCGCGCGTGTGACCATATCCTGAAAACCCTCGAAACAAACGGAAACGATATTCCATTGGCGATGTTGTACGAAACTGACACCACCAATGGACCTACCACATTGCGCCTAAGAGGGCAAATCGGTCTTCCTCAGGGTCACAATCTACTCGTAGACGGGCAAAGTATTGACAGCGACGAAGGAATCATTCCCGATTGTCGGCTTGCTGGCTCAAGCATACGCATAATAGACTATGATGAACGTTTTGGTTCGATTTCCTGGCGAGGGTTCGGCTCACCTTCGAATAAGATCGCCGTGCTTCCTATAATAAGCGGTTCTCGATCCTTCGGATACCTAATCGTGGGCACGAATCCTTGTCGGCCCTTCGACGATGAGTGCCAGCAGTTTCTAAAGGATCTTTCGCGCATGGTGTCCAGCATCATAGTGGCTGCTGTGAATGCAGAGGAAGCACAGATGCGCCAACAGCAGCTGGAGAATGATCTTGCTTTCAGCGACACCAAATTGCGTCATCTCATCGAGCATGCTTCCGTTGGAATGGTCCACATCTCACTGGATGGAAACATGTTATGGGCGAACGACCACTATTATAGCCTCTGCGGGACGACGGCACAGGAACAACTGGAAAAATTGGCCTTTTTCGATGTCTTCATAGAGGAGGATAAACCCACAGCTAAAGAAGTTTGGGAAAGCCTTGTGAAGGGCGCAAATCATCATGTATCGGTCGAACTTCGACTGAAGCGATTGTACACCTCTCCTGTAGGAGATCCCGAACCCGCACAGATCCAGGTGCTTGCATTCCCATACAGAGAGGATGGGCAAGTCAAATCCATAATGGCATGCGCCACGGACATCAGCAAGCTCAAATGGGCGCAAACATTCCAAGCTAGACTGGCTGCCGAGGCAAGAGAGGCCAAGAGGCAGCAAGAGGCTTTCATCGATGTAGTGTCTCACGAAATGCGCAATCCCTTAAGCGCGATTGTGCATTGCGCCGACGGTATCAGTAATTCTTTAGAGGAGTACCAATCAAAGACGGCCGATACCCCACAGCAATACCTGGACGTATTGAAGGAGAACGTTTCCTCGGCAAATATCATCATGGAATGCGCACACCACCAGAAGCGCATTATTGACGATGTCCTAACGCTCAGCAAACTAGATTCTATGCTTTTGTCGATAACACCAAGCGCAGTAAAACCTGCAAAGTTAATCAACTCCATTGTAGCGATTTTCGAAGCCGAATTGAAATCTAACGGCATTCGTTACGATATCAAAGCAGATCCATCGATCTTCCAGGCATCGGTAGATTACCTGTACCTAGATCCTTCCCGCGTCACCCAGATCTTCATTAACCTCCTCACGAACGCGATAAAATTCGTCAAGACCACGTCGGAACCTCGTATATCTATTCGCTACGGCGCCTCCCTTTTCGAACCACGCAACCTTTTCCCTTCGGATATGTTTTGGGCTGATAAATCGAAAGACTTCTGCGATGTTACCGCAAATTCAGAATGGGGACATGGAGAAGAAGTCTTCCTCACCTTCATGGTCAAGGATACCGGCATCGGCCTAAAGGGAAAGGAAATACACAAGATATTCGAGCGGTTTGGGCAAGCCAACGTGCGCACACATGTGAAGTACGGAGGCAGTGGGCTGGGTCTGTTCATCTCAAAAGAATTATCCGAAAAGCAGGGTGGTGAGATAGGGGTGTCATCCTCGCCTGGTGAGGGCTCTACATTCGGCTTCTACGTAAAGACGCGGAGAGTCGAAAGGAAGCCTCAGACATTGAGCGAGCTCATGCAGCAGAGTAGCGGAACCGAAGACCAACAGCAACTCCACGTTCTTCTCGTCGAAGATAACCTTATTAACCAAAAGGTACTCGGCAAGCAGCTCCGCAAAGCTGGATGTACCGTGGAAGTAGCGAACCATGGCCTCGAGGCTTTGAATACCTTGGAGAAGTCGAGCTTTGACGTTGTTCTCATGGACCTGGAGATGCCCGTTCTTGACGGATTAAGCGCAATGCGGGAGATCCGAAAGAAGCAGCATGATGGAAAGTTACCTGAACCTCTGCCAATTATTGCAGTGACTGCCAATGTCAGACAAGAGCAGATCATGACCGCCATGGATGCTGGAGCCGTAAGTTTTTTGTCTTGAAAGACGCGATTTAATTGCTAATCTTCGTACAGGATCGAGTCATGCAAAAGCCCTTCAGAGCCGTGGATCTCGTCAACATGATGAAGGATCTGGTGCCTCAGGTCACAACGCCAGGAACCGAGCCAGGGACTCCGGGACTCAGTGAACGACTCAATGAAATCCTTGGCTGAAGAATTCGTCATATTTATGGAACACATTGCACACCACTACCAAACGATGAACAAATGTCTTCGTAGTGCCGACGTTTCACCTTCGAAGCTCTAGCATGGCCTACCTATAAGGTCTGAGTTCTACTAGAGACATTCTCTTGTGGGGAGTCGAGACAATAGCGAAGACCGTGGCAGGGAGTTGACCAACATTGAGCGTCATTTAAACATGCGCACAATCGGAGCCGGGGATACCACAACATCCATTAGCATTGGGCCAACAATTGAAGCGTCGCCCAAGACGATGCCCTGATGGTACCCTTCGTCTTCACCTCAAATTAATTATCCTCGCGGGAGTGTCCAACCTACATTGAGACGGCTCCCCACCGACCTGCGCAGACTCATGTGGAGTTCAATGAAGGTATATAGGAGGCTCAACAAGGGTTCAATATCCCCCACGTCCCTTGGAACAAAATCGCATTTCGCGATACCTAGGCTACCCATCACTCGGAACCCATTCATCATACAGCATCGATGTTCCTTTCCATCAATGCATATACTAGCGCAAAAGCATTTACCCCAATCTTGCATAACTGTCGTTCGAGCCAGCTCTCACAGCGAACTGGTATCATGAAGTTATCCATACATCATCATCGAGCAAAGCTCCACCATCAAGACTTATACGGCATATCAAGAAATTAAGACAATATAAATGTCTCCCTGATTGTCATATTCCATTGAATGGCACCGAAAGCGAAGTTTACGACACTTGTATTTTAAATTTGATCAGTAGGCCCAAGGAGGCGACTGTTCACTTGTTGAGTATTTAGGCACACTATATTATCACACACTCGAGTCACACACCCTCGGGTGGAAAGGCTCGGGAGGATAGAGGCCTAGAAGAAGAAGATGATAATAATCCACCAGAACCCACACAGTTCTTGTTTCACATCTGGGCTCGGGGTTTACTGCATTTCAGCGGCCTTCAGTTTATAGATATAGTGATAATAATACTATTAAACCTGAGATGTTGTAGTAGATACAATCGATTTTCCAGGATTGAAATGTTCTGTGACCAAGCCATTGTGTCGACAGGAGAGAGTAGCAAAGTACCAAGTTTTGGAATGATATCCATCGATTGATACACATATACTTCGGCAGAGATTTTCCTGACGATTTGTGTGAACACATCCGCAAGCCTACTACCACCTCTTGTTAAACAAAAACATTGTCCCTTATTATTCTAAGCGTTAGAAGCAGTCCAGGGAATTAAAAAAACCCAGTGAGTTAACACAATAAAATTACTCTGTAGTGAGTTAACATAATCAATATCTCGTGACGAAGAGTCTATCTAGTTCGTCACGAGCCACATCCCAACAGACCGGATGCGCTACAACACCGCTCTATTTATGTAAGGTTCCTTAAGTAAGATACAGCCCTTTAGTACTGCTAGCTAAGTACCTACCTGCAAGTATTTGTATAATGTACACTTTATATTCTTTAATTGATTAGGTACCTGCTAGCTGCTGGCCTTTAAATCAAGATGTATGAGGTACTTGGAACTTAGTAGGTACTGTTGGAACCTAGCTCTGCTTGACGCTGCTACAACACTAATTCCTCAACTAAAACAAGAAGCAAAAAGATGTGCTATGCATTTTACTTTAGCTAGGAGAATATATAATTAAATCCTATACAATTGTAGGATGTTGTAATACTTAAGAGGAGGAAGGAGCTTCACATAGTAGCTCGTAATGCAAGGACCCGAACAAAGACGCTTGGGCCACCATCGCTGCCAACAACAGCAAAAGAACAACAATTTCGCATGCCAGAACTGCACAACCACAAAAATAGGTTATAAAAAGCAAAAAAAAGTAATGCATCGGCCGGGAATCGAACCCGGGGCTAGCCGAAGTTGCTGTAATCGAACCAAAGTGAATTGATTGATCACATGGCAACGGCTAATTTTACCACTAAACCACCGATGCTAGTGGTTGTTTGATGAAGAGATGAACAATTAGGTGTAATATGAAGGTATAAAAAAAGACTTGAGAACAGAAGATTTTCATAGGCTGTGGTGGGTGGGGGGCTGGAATGGCATGCCGGCAAAACTTGCATTGTCCAATCAGGGGTCCGCTGGCACTGTGGAGTGGTAGCGACTAATTTTCCACACAACCTACTGATTCATTGCAACCACAGAAATATTTCTCAAACAGTTGAGATATCAGCATCGAAAGTCAAACTTCTGACTGACAATTACCAGAATCCTCGTATCTTGAGACTTCTCGAATGCTCAGCTACCACTTTTCACATTTCCAGGTCGCCTTCTCATCACCACCAGGACCTCAATGTTCGTCTAGTCTGTCCTTGAACTGAGAAAGTGGCTAAAGTAGATATTTCCATCGTGAAATGCGCAGTTTAAATGCGCAGTTTAACATGATGACGCAGTGGACACAAATTCAGTTCCATAGTGTGCGGGAGAGGTTAAATATTTATTTGTACGACTATCACAATACGGAGTACTCCAAATGTGATCAAATTCATGTCTATGGAGCAGTTCAAACTCCTCTCTCAGAGCTGTCGCAACGGACATGGAACGTAGCCATCTTCAACATCCCCTCCGTGTCCGTGATCGACTTTATCTGCGCCTTGAAGTCATGTGTTTCCTGGAACTTCGTGTTCGCATCAAAGCTTGGCCAGCCGACAAAGGCGATGAAGACAGATCCAGTCTGACCATCCGCCGCGTCTCTCACTGGAAAGTCGTTCTGCACGCCCCAGCCGTGGCTGACGCTCGTGACATCGGCGCATTTGTTCAACCCTTCTTCGACAAATTGCTGGAAGCGCGCTGAAATCTTGGCTTTCTCATCCGGTGAAATGTCCGAAGGAAAGTAGAGAAGCATGATTTCAGTCACTGGAGACTTAAGGGCTCGGGCTGGAGCTGGAGTGACATCGACGTGCTTTGTAAACTCGCCGTGGGTCAACACAGTTGGCAAGTCCTTCACGACTTCTACGCCGTATCTTCAATTAAGAGTTAGACTTTGTTACAGTTTTTGAAAGGGCTGTATCTCTTACTTCTTCGCGAAAATCTCATGTTCCTCAATTGAGTTCCACTCGAAGAAACCCCAAACTTTCAATTCGTCTTCAACTTCCAACCCCCAATGAGCGTCCTTTGGGCCGCCGGGTAGAGTAGTTACAGCATTGTAGGCGGTTGGCAAAACTTTGCCTTCTGGGGTGGATTCGTCCATGACTTTGTAGCCGGGCTTGACGCCCATGCGACCGAGTTCGATGATGGCCATTGTGGAAATATTGTAGTGTGGCGAAAGGGAAGCGTGAATGTCTGTGTCGAAGTGGATTGCTATGTACAATCTCTGGCTAGAGTAGTCCTTAAATATAATCAACTGGTTAGGCAGCAATTTAAGGAATCATCAATGATCGTCTCTGCCGCGCATTTGTCTCCGTAATACTATCATTGAAAGCATTGTGATGCATGAACAGGCAGCAATTTATGGAATCGGCAAGAGCAGTATCTGCCGCGTAATTGACTCCACCATACTACCATTCAAAACCACTGACGCGTCTATCCAATGTGAAACTTTGTAAAGTCGGATCCGAAAATATGTCGATATTCATGATTAACGAAAATGGACTCTTGGTGTTTGATCTAGGTTCGCTAAACGCAGTTTGGTTTCGACTACCGAGCACCCTACCCAGCCATACAGCGAACATTGGGGAGCATTAAGCTGCTGCTGAACTATAGAGTTTCGATTTCTAAAACCCGAAAGCGGAAAGGTCTAGCCGGTGAATACTTCTATTTGCTTCCAAATATAATAATTCTAGCTAATGACGGAGATCATGTTCTTCAGATTTTGGTGGGATGAATCGGATGGGAACCCGAACTCCAGCAAAATTTATTCCATCACCCGGAAGGGATTCTGCAAGAGGTTACGCTAGGTGTACACAACAGATTTACCTCACGGATAGATCAAAAACGAAATACTGCATCTTTGCAATTTGATCATTTAAATGATTGTTGGCAATCGATGGATTCATGCTTCGAAATTTACTTCCGTTGTACAGAAGCAGCAATGACCTAGAGGATATAAATATAGAGTGATGGGCCTGCAAGGCTGGGGACCTGAAAGGTATGTTGACGGAGACCAAATGGTCAAAAGCAATTGAACGTAAGAATTGAAAACAAAGATCATGTATTCTTGGTAAGGATTATATTGGCGTCCGCAGCCTGGAGTACTCTATTCTTTGCAAAGATAAACCATAGAGCTAGCGAGATGCATAGCTACGTGACCTCTCATTGATGTAACAAATGTATGTTACTCGGTCCACAGCTAAAATTCTTATCGTTATGACCCAGCTCAACACCATGTATCCAAAGTTTCCGTATTAACCGTGCAGGAGCCTCCTCCGGGCGAGGGACACTAATATTCAAAATTAGATCATATCATTCAGCATTTTAACTACAACTTACCTTCCAGTCCACATCACAGCAGCCATCGTATACACCTGATCCGCCCGTGTAGCAATAGCCTCTGTCGCCACATCGATCCGAGTTTGTCAATTCGCAAGTCTGCATGCAAGATCAGTAGTGGCCATTGTTGGGCAGTAAGTGTGTCATGTACCCCTTCAATGTATTGCTGAGCTGCGACTGATGTCACACCTAGGAGGAAGAGGGATAACGTTTTTGAGAAGAGCATTGTGCTTAGAGTTTCCGTGCGGATCGAAGATATTGTTTCTTGTGAAGTGTGTTGGCTAAATTCTAAGATGAAGTCCTGTGTTTGAGACGAATGGTTTGCCCTTTTTATACTTCTAAACGGCTCAATGTACCGAAATTTGATTCAAATATTTGGTCACTTGGTGCGGCTAGGAAACACCGTACATACCTTCACCATCCTTTGGATTTCTGGATAAGCTTTAGGATTCACAGGGGGGATCTGTACTGTCATGCTTCCCCGTGTTCCACCAACCTCGCCTATCTGTCACGCACTACCTTCTGATCCTTCAACGACCTTAATATGGCAATGATCAAACAATGCCATATGCACAATGCGATGTGATTCTGTTGGTATTTGGCAAGTGCATCCCTCAGGATTGACTTAGTGCAACTTGAAGACGTCTGCTTGGTCCAGCATCGCACTACATCGTTGGTGTGCAAACATTGATGCGAACGCGGTGTAGCAAGTTCTTACCAAAGTCTTGCCTACTTTGGCAATTGACATACTCCTACTACAAATTGCCTAGTGGAAAAACCAATACTACAAGTAGTTTTGTTGCTGCTTCGTTTATGTTTACGCCAGCTAGCACGAAGATCTTCACTCCCGGTACCGTTCCCGCTTAGCGTATCTCACGGAAGGCCTTACAAGTGCTAGGTATTGGGTTTGTTTGTCCACCAATCTTTCAACATTATTGACGATTTCGCTCGGTCACTGTGCAGATGGATAATTCGAGATATGCGGAGCCATAGACTAGTCTGCCGTACTTCCCTTTCTGACATGCGAAATGCTGCACCAATTCAAGGCGTTCCATGCTGTGCATGAGGAATCATCGTAATTCCAACATAGCGGAGTAATCATCAGAATGTGGGATACTGATATTGGAAAGTGCTACGAGGCAATTATAAAGATCTTGAAGCCGATGATGATCGGATACTGGTTCTGAGAGGAAGACGCGAGCCCATATAGTTGCTCATGATGTCGAATTCGGAGATATTGAGAATTTCACCACGTCTCTTCTTTGGAAACTTAGATTCAAGCAATCTACTACCAATCCTCAATGATCCTTCCATTGCATGATGTTTCTTGAGTATTCTGACGTCATGACTTCATTTGCTTCTGACCTCAACGTACGCATTGCCATTAATGAGGAAAAGAATTATTATATACATATAATTAGACTCTCGGATTATTGGCTTCTATAGTACTTTTCCTCGCTGTATGTTCTACGACTGCGTGCTGTTTGCGGTCTGATTTTGCCCCAGCATGAAATCAATTAACATATCCGAAAGTCTGACCTCGGCCTCGAGTGCTAACGAATGGCCACACTCTTCAAAGACCGCACTCCGCTGCACGTTATTCGCGACCATGAGCATTTCTTCCCTGACAAGTGGGCCGAAAAATTCCGGTGCACCGACTGTCATGATTGGCAGTGTGAGTGGCTCCTGCTTGATCTCTGTATTAACTTGACCTGTAAACAAATGTTAGCAAACAATAAACTATACAGTTAGGCGGCCGATAGTACATACCGTTAACCAATGTCGCCCTATACGTTTCTAAGATACCTCTCAGTCCACCAGGCGCTTTCGAGCTCCTGACGAACTCCTGGATAGCCTCCCTGCCAATTGCTATAGGGTTGTAGCACTCATTCTCCATAAAGAAAGTCCAAAACTCCTCCTCTTTGCCAGTGATCAACATCTCCGCAACATTAGGCATCCATAGGAAGGGAATGTGCCATTGCCACACTCCTCGTTGTTCGTACTGGGCCTGAGTGTTCTCTGGGGTAAAGTATGACCACTTATCGAGCGAAACGCCGGACAGCAGCATTTCGCAGAAGGAAAGCTTCAGCACGCGGTCCCGGTAGAGACCCGCAACTGCGAACGCAAACTCTGCCCCACGGTCTTCTCCATGGACGTAGAACTGCTCGTGGCCGAGTTGTGTCATCAACTCGGCAAGATCGTCGGCATTGGTTCGAGAATCGTAGCCATTGCTTGCTGGTGGTTTGTCTGTGTATCCAAATCCGCGGAGATCGGGAGCGACAATGGTGAAGTACGGTGTTAGGAGCGGGGCGATTTTGTACCAGTAGAAGCTTGTTTTTGGAGTGCCGTGGATGAGGAGAAGAGCTGGCCCTGAGCCTGCGGTGTAGTAGTGCATGCGGATTTGATTTATTCGAGCTCGACCATGGCGAACAGCAGCGCCGGTATGGTCGTACACCTCGGGTCGAGTCGTCCAAGGGATAGGAGGAATGTTTCCCGAATAGTTCTGCTGGCCTGCAGGAACCAAGGTAGAACCATTCGTACTAGCTGGCGGGGCAGGCATTGTCATGCTTGAATTTTGGCAAGTGACCAAAGTTAAATACAAAAGTAAAGAGTTGAAAATGCTAAGGTACCGCATCTTGACCTTATGTACCTGGTTCTGCCTTGGCACAGAGCTCGAGACGAGATATCTAGACTAACACTACGCTGCACTGAAAGCCACAGCAGCTTATATACTTGCGATGATGGTAACCAAAATCATGTTTGCCCGCCCCGCATCATTGGGCCCATGCCTTCTTATTATGCTAGACGTCATCCATTTCATCAAATACTACGACAATGGAATAGATCGACTGTGACTACGAAAGTATCAGCTTTGGAAGTTGCATTTGAATTTGGGAGCCTTCTCCATTCGACAGAACCGGGGATACGGGTTCCCGCTAATAGCAACTCCGTAGCTGATCTGGGGTTCTACCAGTCTTCTGATATTGTAATCAAGAGAGGAGTATCCTCAGGGTCCGGCTTCTTTGAGCAAATAGTGCCGCTGGAGATCAGAAAGTGAAGCCGCTAGGCCATTGTGGGGTGATATAGCCGCTAGACTATCAATCGCGCGTTCGAACGAGCGCTTGTTTCCTTCGCAGCGTATTGACCGTATTCAGGCTCTTTCTATGTCCGTGGTGGTATCTGGCTATTCGTTGATCTAATGGTAGAAGTTCCGGGGAAAGAATGCCATAATTTCATTGGTTGTAAGTTCTGCATGGAATTTTCTGGGCATTCGATCTAACAATACATAGAATCTTACGAGGTACCTCCACATTGACATTGCGCTTATGATCTCCATATGTCTGGAAGGCGCCAATTTCTCTGTTTTCAGAACAGTATCGCATTTTCTTATGGTAAGTTTAGTCACTGTATTTGTCCTACAACTATGCCGGCGACGCGATCAAGTTCTGGGCATAGCAGACCTATTGGAACATTAAGTTGAAATGGGAGATTTGAAAGCATTCACCCATCTACTTTCATACACAGTACAATCAGGCTACATTGGCATGCCCTTGTAAACGATGTCTCAATGTGATCATGGTTAGATAACACTGGAAGGTTCCCCGTGGAGGCTGTTCGATTTGTTTCAAGATTTGACATTTCGAGTAGAAACAACAACATCCACGTCCTATGACAATCCTCACGATGCGAGTGCAATTATGCTTTGTCGTCATGATTTGCAATTATTATGGCTTTGTCAATGCCCGAAAAACAAATTATTGGGTGAACAGACATATCGATTACGTTCATTTCTTCTTCTCCCACTCATCAAAATCATCGCGATACTTTCCACCGCTGCTCCCAACAGCGCTCTGTCCACCATTGACCATATCCAACATCCTCCCCCGGAAACTAGCGATGACGCCCGAGCCTGGGCCATCCTTGTCGAGAAATGCCCGCTCATCTGGCTCGATCACATTGACATAGTACGGATCCTTGAAAGCATCTGTAAACTGCTCAAGCGTCGGAACCGTGAACATTGCAATTCCGTCGAACTCGACAGGCTCAGTGGGCAATTCGCCTTTGCTGACGGCGTTAGGCGCAGATGCAGTTGCGGCGCTCGGGACCATCTTGGACGCGACGTGGACCTAGACCCTCCGCGAGGGAACGTATTAGTGCGGCGAGTGCGGCTCGGTTGGGCACGTAGGACTAGGTGCAGACGAAGTGTTCATGCGAGGGCGGAGGAATGAGTCCGAATACAACATAGCAGGCTGTGATCAAGATGAAAAAGGAGATGTCGCGTACCTGTTGGTATCGTCGTATGCCGTGTTTCTCGGCCCATGGAATCACCTTCGGTGCATGGACATTCTCCCAATGGTCGTAGAATTGCGCAGGGGTAAGCGCGGGTTTGCGCTTGACGTATGTCAGGATTTGGATGCAGTTTGTCTCTATCGACTGGGGCATTGTTTCTGCTGAATCTTGTTATGAAGGGTATTATTCCAACTTTCTTGTAGTGATCAAGGAGACCTTCGATCTGATGTGCCGCTACACGATTAGTCTGCGGGATCTTCTTATAGCTCCCATAGCCGGGGCGTTTGCGGGGTATGGCAGTCTGGAGTTTGGAACCCGTAAAGTCCACGCGGATCACGTTGCCCGTCAAAGTCTCCTATCATCACTTGAGGTTGTGTCCTGGACATTCAAGGAGCGTGAGACGGGGCAAACCACTCTCGGAGATAAGAGAATGATTTCAAAAAGAGCCATTGGCAGCCATGCCGTGCTGACAGGGAAGCAAATGAATCGAATCCTGTATCTGGAATTGTGATTTCAATGCTGATCAAAATGAACAGGAGGATACTTGAAGTAATTGCAGCTGACAAGCGAAGCGCCATTGAGGGCGCGATTGCTCTTTGCATACTGTGATCCGATAGTTTGCACCTGTAGTCGCAAAGCTAGTTTTGGCTTGCAGTACAGCACGTGGGTTTACGGGACGTCAGCCGCCTTCGGCATATCCCTTGTAGAGTTCTACAAGTTCTAGCGACATTGAATGGAGTCTGGTTGGACTTCCCATCCGTCTAGAAAACCTCAATTTGGCTACCGAAGCTACGAGGGCTTACCCACCGAGACGTAACAAGCACCAGTCAATCATGCCATCTACGCACACCAATGCAACTTGACCACAGCCACTTCTCCTTTTGAGAAACACATAAACACGATGACAATTACGATTATTGAACATTCACCACTCCGACTTGTTTGCGCCCCCACATATCACCAGAAACGCACACAACCTCCGCCGCTCCCCCTGCTTCTGTCGTTCCACGTCCCCGGTACCGGTAGATGAATCCAATCAATCTAAGAACACAATATCCATGCCGCCCATGCTTCGCAAAGATGTCAAACATGGGATAGGAAACTAGTCCAAGAATTATTACCCGCAGGCGCGGCGGACTGACGGATCCCAGCACAGGGACCATTTCAAATTAGATAGTTATTCTGTTTAAAAGGCGCAATCGTCCCCGAGTTACGAAAAAATGCTGTGCCGCAGGCTGAAGTGAGAATTTGGTACGCAAGATGTTTTCTGAGGTCGCTTTCGTCTTGGGCTTGGTCGTTGGGGCTTCTGCTCGTCCGCTGCTGGGTCAACATGCGCAGAGGATCGATGCGAGGCAGTTGGCCAACGAGTACGACTTTGTGGTTGCGGGAGGTGGCATTGCGGGCTTGACGGTCGCGGATCGGTTGTCTGAAAATCCCAAGGGTAACATGCCACGAGCGACCGCTATAATGATAAAGCTAACATTGACATAGTATCTGTGTTGGTAATCGAATATGGCCCTTTCGATCAAGGCGAAGATGGTGTCATGGTTCCTGGTGCATACTTCCCGGTTCCCTACCTCTGGCTGCCATTGAGTAGCACGCCGCAAAAGGCACTCGGAGGGACTTCGTATGGTGTTCCCTGCGGACGTGTTGTAGGTGGTGGCTCGGTCGTCAATGCCATGTTCTTCCATCGCGGGAGTGCAGAAGTGTATGACGGGTGGGATAGCTTGGGTGCTACTGGGTGGTCATGGAGCGACTTATTTCCGTACTTTAAGAAGGTAAGAGCAATCAAAGACTTAGCTAGACGCAAAAAAAGTCTAATAGATGTACAGAGCGAGAATTTCAACCCGCCTGACGCCAAATATGCTGCCGAACGCAACATCACTTGGGACAAGTCCGTGCATGGCTTTGGAGGACCTGTCCAAGCAAGTTACGCCCCTTACGACTACCCTGGAAGTGGTAAGTTCGACATAAAGTTCTGGCACATGAGCAGTATTGATCAAAGACAGCCAACTTCTACAACGGCGCTCTCAGACTAGGAATTGAGCCAAGGAAGGACCCCAATGGTGGTGATGCAACAGGCATATTCCGACTTCAGAGATCTGTTGACCCTAAGACACAGACTCGATCTACAGCGAGAATCAATCATTACGAAAGCGTGAAGGCATCTCGACCCAATTATCATATCCTACCTAACACTGCAGTCAACAAGATCCTGTTCAGCGGTAAGACGGCCACTGGTGTGGATTTCGTAGGAGTGTCCGATAGCAAATCGGGCACAGTCAAGGCCAAGAAGGAGGTCATAGTTGCTGCAGGTGCTGTTCATACGCCTCAAATCCTACAGCTTTCTGGCATTGGCGACGCCAAATATCTTCAACAATTCAAGATCAATTCGGTTGTAGATCTGCCCGGAGTTGGACTGAATCTACAGGACCACCTTGTTCTATCTGTATCATACAATTGTAAGTCAAAGTTGAGATTCTTCTCTACTTAACGATCAGAACTGATTGCGGTTTCAGTCACCAACAATCTCTTTCCCAATGGTGGATCCCTCCAGGCCAATACGACTTACGCCACAGAGCAGCGCGCTCTGTATGACGCCAACAAGCCCAGCGCATTCGACCTCACAGGCACGACCGGAAACCTCATCATCCAGCTCCCGCTCTCAGAATGGACGTCTTCTGTGCGGTCCATCGTCTCACTGGCCAGCAAACAAGATCCTTCTAAGCTGTTAGGTGGAAGCCCCAATGCAGGTGTCCTCGCGGGCTACAAGAAGCAGCGAAAGCTCATTATTGACAACCTCAGCAATGACGGTGAGGCCGTTGGCGATATTTCTTGGAATACCGGCCCAACAACTACTCTCTATATGACGCGCCCCCTCTCGCGAGGATCTATCAAGATCAACAGTACGTCTATACTTACTCAACCGTTGATCGACTTCGGCGCCATTACCGACCCAACGGACCTGGAGATGTTGCTTGCAATCTACCTTAAGAACCGCGAACTCATGGCGACACCTGAACTGGCAGGCTTGGGGCCACTTGAGACGTCGCCAGCACCGGGTCTGAAAACAAATGAGGAGATCAAAGAAGCGATAAAGAAGACATTACAGCCAAGTAATGCGCATCAGTGCTGTACTGCTGCCATGGTGCCGAAACAAGATGGTGGTGTCGTCGATCCTCAAAACAAAGTGTATGGAACGGATAGATTGAGTGTTGTAGATGCAAGTATCTGGCCCTTTGTACCTGGTGGTGGACCACAGGCCAGTGTCTATGCTGGCGCGGAGAAAGCAGCAGACACCATCAAGAAGCGACACAAGTTGCTATAGGAGATATCCGTAATAATGAAAACAAATTGAGACAATGACTATTGATGCGCAATTGTGAAGGTATTCACTAGGTGCATGACTCATGAGCATTGCATGAGCCTATTGTCTTTTGAACTTTGGGTATTCCGTTTAAGGTATTCCGCATGTTCTGACACACCGTTTCTACTCCGAAGGCGGAGGTGGCGTTGTGAATCCTAACACCGCATAGAAATGGCATGTTGGGGGAAGTCTGCATTTGAGAAGTGCAACGCCTGCCGCGCACATACTGATACTTGTATGTTGAAGTTGGGAGAAGATCTTCACATTGCGAAGATTTCTTCACCATAAAACCGCTGTCTTTCTGGTTACTGCTCGGTTTAGATGGATGGCGAAGACGGGAGCCCATCTGATAGTGGTCGCAAAGATGACTGGACTTTGATACCCAATACGATAAGCATGGCGAACAAGTGGGGAATGGCTGCTCATGTGCCATTATTGAATAAAAACGCGCAGATGATGCATTTTTGAAGGAAATCACTGGTTGGATTGGTAATGAGAGGGTGCGGATACGGGACAGGAAGGTTAAGGACTCGGACAAGGTGGCGTACGCGGGTAGGAAACGATTGTCCCGGAGTAACATGACGCTTAACCTGAACGAGAAGGCGCAATTGTGGAGCAAAAACCCTCACGATATCCGCTTTTCTTTTCCTTGTCTTCGACTTCTCCTTTCATTCGTTTTCTTTTCTACAAAAAAAAGTCATGGCTGGTTGCGCGAGCGGAGATTCCTCCAAATCTCTCGCTGGAGAGACAACTCCTCTTCTTCCTCAGAATGGCGAGGTCAAGAAGAAGCCGGCGCAACGCAAAGGAGTCGTTTATTTGGCCTTGTTGACCGGGTTTCTTGTATCGTTGTCTTTCGGTGTCACACAAGTTCCCATGCTTTATGTCTTTCGTGTTATGACTTGCGACGAATACTATAAGCACAATCCAATTCCTGATCCCGATATTGATCGTTGCTCGAAACGCCCCATTTTGGCTTCTACCGCACGTGCAGTCTCGCTCCTCGGTGCCTCAACCACTGTGTTTGGAATCGCAAATCTGATCATAACCGGATGGAGTATCAAGCGTTTTGGTGTGAAGCTTGCACTGCTCATACAGATATTCTGGCCTGCTGTGCGCCTTGCTGTACAAAATATTGGTGTTGCAGCTGGCGGCCAAGCGGGTATCATTATCATTCAAGCCTCCCAGGTCCTGACGGTCATAGGAGGCCCCAATGGATACGTGCTTACCTTGAATTCTTTCATTACCGATGTTTCCACGCATGAGCAAAGAACGGGAGCTTTAGGACGATTGCAAGGAGTCATGTTGTATGGTGCTGCGATTGGTTTCCTATGCGGAGGATTGCTTGGAGATGCCTTTGGAATCGCCGCTCCATTCCAAATTACCTTGCTCCTCTTCGTGCTCTGCTTTATTTATGTTGCTCTCGTTCTACCATCAATTCCGCCTGAGCAGGATATCGCCGCCCGTGAGGAGAAGGTCGGTGTCATGAAATTCTTCGGACCACTCAAGATCTTTGAACCCCAGACATGGGTTCTTCAAGATGGTAGGAAAACAACCCAGTACGGTGCCTTGACCCTCGGTATCGGCGTATTCCTTGGAATTCTGGCGACTGGATACATTCAAACCAGCTTACAGATGTACTCAACCGATCGTTTCAACTTTGGCACAAGGGAGAATGGCTGGCTTATCTCCCTATACTTTACTCTCCGCGGCTCCTTCCTCACTTTTGTCTTCCCTCGAATTATCACCACTGGAAGGAAGTTCTACAAGCCTACAAAGAAATACGACAACCAGGTTCCTGTAGAGAGCGTAAGACCAGACATGGCCGTTACCGAACCATTACTCGGCATCCAGCCTAACGAGATTGGTCCGATAGATCCTATGGACAACGACAACACTGAGCCACCCGCACAATTTGTGCATCAGTCGCCTGGAACCCAGAAACTAGAAACCTACGCCTTCGATCTGCTATACGCAAGATTCAGTCTCGTAATGGATGGAATCTTGACGGGCCTCGCCGTGTTCGTTTCACAGGGATACCAGCTCTACATCGTTGCGAGCATCATTCCTTTGGCGGCGGGAACTGGATCTGCAAGCAAAGGAGCATTGCTACAGATGATTCCTGAGAATGAAAGGGTGGACGCATTGAGTGGCATGTCTTTAGTGGAGAACGTTGCAAGACTCAGTACAAGTGAGTATATGACTTCTGGACATTTAAGATCAGAAGAGTGCTAATTATTCGCTTGTAGCTGGTATCTTTGGTCTTATTTTCGCTGCACTCGCATCAGTAGGCAAGACCCATTTGGTTTTCGCGTGCAATGCAGTATGTTTCCTGTGCTCTGATACTTAAGGATCGAGTTAGCGACAGATTTGACTGACAGTGTACAGGGCGTTGCTTTGATCGGATTTATCGTTCTATGTTTTTCACGATTCCCACCAGAAGGCAGCACAAGGCTGATTGAGGAGGATAAATCACAAGAATCTGCAACGGAGTAGATTCATGTGAAGAAAAAAACATGTTATATCCGTAATGGTGATGGGAAGGGCGGGGGCTTTGAACGGCGAAACAACATTTGACGCAAACCCTTGTTCTCTATGATCACCAGAACAAGCATTAAAAGCACGTCTTCGAGACCAGACGCTGTATCTAATTACACTATGGACCCGCGAACACCTAACGCCATCCATAGTGACATCTCTTCACATATACGAACCCACCGTCGGCCGAACGACTGACTGCGCATGCGCGCCCATTACAACGGCCCACGATAAGAAAGAATCGGCATAGCCTGTGCCCAACAACAAATGGGACACACATACATGCATCGCTGACCGGCGCAACATAGGAAACCATCATTATCATTGGATACATTATTATTGGCGTTATTGGGTCATTGGGAGCGGGGGAGACCAGAAACCACTTCATGCGAGGTCATGTTAGCGGACCTTGCGTGCTTGGATCGCATCTTCGCGTGATCCCCAATGCGGAATTGAGGGCCCCATCAACGAGGGTTACGACAGCTTCATGGTAACTAATAGAACCAACGCGAATATAAAAAACCTCAATATCCCCAGTCAAAAAGTTTAATTCTGTTTTGTTGCTGCAAGTCTTACTTGAAATTGTTCATTGTAGTTGTGCTGAAACGACTGGTTTTCGATTACTATTATACCAATATGGCGGTACCTCAGCAGAACGGCAGTAATGGCACTGCTGCATACCCCACTCCCCTCAAGAAAACAGGTGTGCTGGATCAGAAGTTCAAGCACGAGGAGACGACGCCGGTCATCGGCCGTGAATACTTTGATGTCAACATTGTGGACGACCTGCTCAATGCGAGCGATGGTGATGACCTGATTCGGGATCTTGCAATCACGAGTATGTTCTAGATCCCACAGACCTATACTATATTCACGAATGGTAAATTGATATGTACATACAGTCTCTGAACGCGGCGTCGTATTCTTCAGAGCGCAAGACAATCTCACCGACACCCTCCAGAAACAGCTCGTCCACCGTCTGGGACAACTAACCGGCAAGCCCTCCTCGTCAACCCTTCACATCCACCCAATGCTCAACAACACCAACGAATTCGGCGTCGCCGACGCAGAAATCAGCACGATCTCGTCGCTTGCGCGGAAGAAATTCTTCAACAAGAACACGACGCCCAACACCCGGCGGTACGACGCTGCGCAGTGGCACTCTGACATCCAGTTTGAGCCCGTGCCCGCGGACTACACGTCGCTGCGGCTGACGCAGCTGCCGAGCTCTGGCGGCGACACGCTGTGGGCGTCTGGCTATGAGATCTACGACCGCTTCTCGCCGGCGTACCAGAAGTTCTTCGAGGGGCTCACGGCGGAGTTCGTGGGCGACGGCTTCATTAAGGCGGCTGATGCTAACCCAGAGCATGTGAAGTTGTACACGGATGCGCGTGGGAGCCCGCAGAATGTGGGGAGGGAGTTGAGGGCTACGCACCCGGTTGTTAGGACGAATCCTGTGACGGGGTGGAAGAGTATCTTTGCGTTGGGTCCGTTCCCGAAGTCGATTCATGAGTTGACAGCTGAGGAGAGCGAGGAGCTGTTGAAGAAGTTCAGGAGCGTGATTACGGAGAGCCATGACTTGACTGTGCGGTTCAAGTGGAGGAATAAGAATGACATTGGTAGGTCATGCTTTATCGTAACCGTATAAAGTAAGTAAATGCTGACGTTTTGTAGCTATTTGGGACAACCGATCGGCATTCCACACTGCTACGTTCGACTATGATGGGCTAGGCGAGCGATTCGGAAACAGGGCGGTTGGAATTGGCGAGGCTCCCTATCTTGATCCCAACAGCCAGTCTAGGACGAAGGTCTTGGAGCAAGCCGCCGGGAAAGATCTGGTCGACAGGACCGTCAAGAATGGTCTTGAGAAACCGGAAACTGTATCCGCTTGAGCGATGGAGCAGGAGCGTGTTGGAAGTAACAATAGGTACGGAGCAATAGCGGATCCTGGGTGGGATTTACGCATATGATCAGAATACTCCTGTGTAGTTCGAAATGGCGAGAAATCCATGCATTGAATCAATGGGCAGCTGAAATACTAGCTTCAGAATTGTTGTGACAGGTTGAGATCATGTGTAGTAGAGCTTCAACGACTATTTGGAAAGCCTGTGAACCTTGTCTACCTATGCGTTCTCCTCCTGTAGTTCCCGGCTCCCGCCGATCCTCTAAAGATAGTTGTCTTGATGATTCAGATGAGCCTGGAATGCATATTGATATTCGTCGGATTCGTAGTGCTCGTTCGATATGTTCCGTGCATCTAGAGCCTCGACATCTGTACGTGTTCGTTTTATGCTTGGGCGAAATGCCCGTCCAGGTGGTACTGACGAATCCCGTTTTCGGCCAATCCTTGGCGACGCTTCCAATGAAGCAAGGTGATTTTCAATGCTGGGAAGTACATGCTCGCCGGTTGGCATGATAGCTGTCCCCGGAATTGAATGTCCTAAGAGTCTGTGATCTTCAGGCGAGCTATCCATTTGTCCTTGCGCAGAGGCATGTCGTTTTATCACGGCTCTACGAAACGAACTCCAGGTATCCAGCATATTCTTTTCTTGTAACAGGAGCGCGATCTGTTTCTCACATGCTGACAATTCGTCGCAGAGGTGTATAGGGACATGGCCTGACTCGATACCTGCAGTCAATGTGACTAAAATATCCCTGCGACGAGTCTGCTGGTGCACTAGCCCCGCCTGCCATTCAAGGTCAAATGGTGAAAGATTGTTGTACTCATTATTCATTTCATGTTCTCGATTCGTATGGTTGATTTCCAAAGAGCTCGATGTGCTCAGTGGCAAGTCTTCTGCGTCATGGGTTTGATTGTGCCAGGGTCCTGTTGCTTGGTGTGCTGCTTGGTGTGCTGCTCTCTCGGCTTCTTGTTCTTCTCGTAACAATTTTAGCATGTCCTGCCATTGCTTCTGCTCGAGCGAACCTGCTTCATGTCGTAGTTTTTGGTTTTCGACCACCTTCAATGATGTCGCTAAGCTGTCGTTGAATGTCGACTGACAGGTACATAGACCATGCCTGCCCCTATAGAGGCAAGAGCAAGTCTTGTCGTCTCCAGCAACTATGGGCATGATGCATAGAATTCCTGAAAGATTTGGAGTTTGTGAAATAGTTCAAGTGAAACGATGTTAATCATAGCATCCTGGGCGAAGGATCCGCGCCTCGTTTATACAATGGAATCAACGTAAATCGGTTTTGTGGCACCAAATTTCTTGCAGCGCGCGCGGGTGTGAAAGTTAAAGCCAGCTCTGCGAGGTTTTATTCCAATTGGTCAAACCATGCGCAAGCCGGTGACCGGGAAACTATGACTTCGCAAAATGCTCATATATTTATCCTAATCGGGTTTAGCGTCGCTGAATGCTACTTCGATTATCGTTCGGAATGGTGAACACGACTCTTAAGCGCGCTAGAATCCCATCGCGGTAAAGGTTATACGATCGCTGATAGCAGATTAGAGTAATGTTCTTACGAGGCAAGGTGTGGCTGTTGCAGGATTTGGTCTTCAGCGGTTTCGCATGATCTAGATAGGTAAGAAACGACTAAGTCTCACTTGTTGTAAAACCCCGCCAAACTCACCGGAATTCCCGTTTATCGCTACTTGAAGGATAATCTAAACGTTCCCGTCTTAACATAGTCTCCCGATCTTTCGCCTTTGGTGGTGACATTCTCGATCCAATCCGTCTTGTCTCAAAACGGCAAAATCAGTGTGCATGGCGCGCCTGACCAATGGAAACCTTTTCCCCACCAACTAGTCTATCAAATAGTATGTCCATTCTGCCGAAAAGAAGGGCCAAGAAGTGTATCGGATTCGCTTGTCTTTATGTATGTCGGTTGCAAGACTGTCTACGCGCCTCAATGATGCCACGGGGCGTAATCGGGCAGCGGAGGGGACGCTCTTCAACCCCCCTTTAACCATTTCTTGTATCTTGAGGGCTAATGTACGGGACCACTGTTCGCAATTTTATCGCTATTTGCGGCCTTCTGGAAGACATGTACGGTTTACGTGCGTATCTTTTGTCGGACATGGCGTTGGAACTTGTGCTTCAGTAATGTCTATGTAAGACTGACGCTTGAAGAACTCCTGCCAATTTCAGAGTCTGCATGATGCGTAAGTCTTCAGAATCAAGCAGGTGGATAACAAAAGCGACCTTACTCCTTCAGTACAGTTCGGGGCAAAGAATGATGGTCTACACGTCCAACATGGTCTGAGCAGACATATCGAATGGGTCGGCGAGAGTGCGTATACTAGTACGAGATATCATGCGACTAACACTCACAATTAGTGCAAATTTTTCAATCATTGACACTTGATGATATGGATTTCCCTTCGAAATTGGGAGAAAGTTTCGAGGCCATCTGGTTTGAGGCCATTCAATAGACTGACAACCCTCAATCCGATAAGATCCATCTCTTTTAGGTTCACCGTATTCCGGTTGAAGTTTCCTAGCGGCATTTATTTCTGTTGTGGTACAGGTACAGATGAGGTGCTAGCAAATTGATGGAAATATAATCGGAAGTCATGAAAGGATGGAGAGAACCACAGAGGGGTGCGAATGATCTCACGTGACCGGGCGGTGCGTTCATGTTTCCGCGCCAACCAACAGGGGCCAGCTGCACCCCGGATCCACTCTTGTGACTCTGAGACGCGACGGGGGCTAATCATAAGCTCGGATAGCTTCGTCATCGATCGATAGCTGTCACTCGCACCTCGTAGCTACCAGCTCCGCTCACTCCACACTCCCATCCCCATTTCCCCATTGAACATCTGTAGACCATCATCCTGGTTGAGATTGGTTCATCATCATCAGATCATTGCGAAGATTGGGGTAGACGATCGATCACTCCGTACCTCGCACAGTCTGTTGTACGACATGTCTGAGAAGACACCTCTCATCCCACGCGCTCATGAGAGGGCCGAAGCACCTCCGCTTCCTGCACGATGCTCATATTCGTGCAAGAAGACTGCTTTGAGATTTGTTGGCACAGCTGCTGCTGCTACGTTGCTCTTCTATAGTATTGCGGATGGTCTGTAGCCTGTTCACCTCCATCCTGCCATCAGCTCACTGACGTGAACAGCCAACAACCAGCTTGCAAGTGCTAAGCCTTCTGAGCTATGCTTGACCCCAGCTTGTGTGCACGCAGCTTCAGAGATTCTCTACAACCTCTCACCAGAGTATAAAAAGCTCGATCCATGCAATGACTTCGAGGAGCTTGTGTGCGGAGGCTGGAGGGACCGTCACGATCTTCGTTCTGATCAGAGCAGTGCGTTCACGGGTACCATCATGCAAGAGGAGTCGAGTCTTCTGCTTCGCCATGTGCTTGAGGCTCCGTATCCTAAAGACTCTGAGGTATGTCTTGGGAATTATTTGGTAGACTCTGAGCTGACAAGCCGCCTTGTAGCATTCTTACTTCTCGCCGATGCAGCTGCGTGTCAATAGTAAATCCGCAGACGAAGAGAACTTCAATAAAATGAAATCTGCATATGATGCTTGTCTTGATGAAGACAGAATCAAGAGTATTGGTCTACAGCCACTTCTTGAAGTTCTAGACGAGGTTAAGCAGGCGTATCCAGCCGATGGCGAAGCGCATATCAAGGATGCCATCCTTTCCCTTGCGAGATATGGTGTATCTGCAATTATCGCGACTGGAACCAATGCAGACGATCGTGATCCAGACACCGTTGTCGTGGCGGTTGCTGCTCCCGGCCGGTTTGGCCTGCCATCCAAAGAGCGCTACGAGGATGAAAAGCTGGTTGAGAAGTACCGTGCCGTAACCGTGGAGGTGTTGGCTGCCCTATATCCCGACCAGAACAAGGAGATTTTCTCAAAAATCATCGATTTCGAGAAGAAACTAGCGGCTGCTTCTCCACCTACCGAAGAGCGAGAGGATGTGACGAAATACTACAATCCCATGAGCATCGACGAAGCAGCAGGACTGACTCCAGAAATCGATCTAAAAGGATTGCTCCACGATCTTGCCCCTGAGCAAAAGGTGGAACGTTTGATAGCCATGGCTCCTGGTTATCAGAAAAAATTGTCTTCGATCCTTGCAGAAACCGAACACGATGTCTTACAGAGCTACTTCGTATGGAAGGCAGTCCAGGCATTCTCACAGTATGTTTCAGCAGATGCTGTCAAGCCTTACAGTCGATTCCTCAATGAACTTGCCGGTAAAGTACGTAAACATGCTCTCTTATCAGCCGAAACCGCGTACTAATCGGATTAGGACCCTGAATCTACTCCCGAACGTTGGCGCCACTGCGTTGACGCGGTTGATGAAGGTCTGGGTTGGATCTTGAGCCGTTTCTATGTGGAGAAGGCCTTTTCAGCTAAGGCTAAAGAATTTGGTGACACCATCATCACCGACATCAAGACAGAGTTTGTCAAGAAGCTCAAAGCAACTGCATGGATGGATGATGAAACCACAAAGAAGGGTATCGACAAGGTTCACAACATTATCCAGAAGATTGGTTATCCAACGAAAAGCCCCGATATCATGGACCCCCCTAGTCTGCACAAGTACTACGAATCGGTCAATATCTCCTCTGACTCGTTCTTCGCCAATGCTCTGGCAGTCCGACGATTCGCCGTCAATGAAGAGTGGTCTGCTCTTGGTAAACCTGTCGACCGGGAGCAGTGGGGCATGACCGTTCCTACTGTCAATGCCTACTACAATCCACCAGGCAACGAGATTGTGTTCCCCGCTGGCATCATGCAGTTCCCAGTATTTGATGTCAATGTACCAGCATACATGTCATATGGTGCTTTCGGCTCCGTGGCAGGGCACGAATTGAGCCACGCTTTCGATTCTACCGGTCGTCACTACGATCAAATCGGCAACTACACGGATTGGTGGTCGAACTCCACTGTGGAGGCTTTCACTAAACGGACCGAGTGCTTCATCGACCAGTACGCCAACTATACTGTTCCAGGACCGGATGGCAAACCTCTTCACGTAAACGGACGTTTGACTCTTGGAGAGAATATTGCCGATGCTGGTGGACTATCAGCCGCATTCCAGGCATGGAAGCGACGTGCTCATGAGAAGCCGAATAAGCACCTCCCAGGATTAGATCACTTCACGCAGGAGCAGCTTTTCTTCGTAACGTACTCCAACTGGTGGTGTGGGAAGTCGAGCAAGGAGGATGCGATTAACAGGATTTATGTTGATCCTCATGCACCCAAATGGGCACGCATCCTGGGAACCATGGCCAATAGCCGCGAGTTCAGGGAAAGCTTCAAGTGCAAGGAGAAGAAGCCCACTTGCCAACTGTGGTAGTGGGAGGGAGTAGTTGTAGTCGCATCTCGTAGCGTGTTGATCGATCCTAGCAAGAACTATCTACTTGACACTTTGACCTTTTCATCTGTTGAGCCTGCGTCAGAACGTCTTCCCTGAATCATTTCATCTTATATGGAGACACGGTCTTTATCCTACCTGATTGGTATTCTCTCCAGAACTTGAACTTGACAACAATGGTGTTTGAACATCGGTTAACCAAGCCATACAAAAGAAGCTTCCGCCGAACCAGCCATTTGGTCGCAATCTCATGGAGAGGACGATGGCGCAATACCATAGCACGAAGTCTTTTCGGACTTTTCGTTTTATCAGATAAAAGGTACTGATATGGTTCTCTTTAAGATGTACCCTGCTTGCGCCATATCATTGTATCTAGTGAGAGAAGCCATCGTTCGTCACGTCCCACTTCAACCAATTCGGCCTCCCCGTCCTCCACTACTTTATACCTTTGGGCTCTCTTATAACTGGTTGAATCCGAAAGATACTCGTCTAGGTCCGGCCCAACGACAATATCCTGCCCTTCAAGCGAGGCTTGGTGTTTGTATATCCATCCGGGAGCATCACCTGTTGTCTCCATCTTTTGGATTTTCCACGTCCCAACCTCAAGGCGGTACACCGGTGTCACGCCCTCATTTCTTTGTTTCACATCTACCTCAGTAGAATACCCATTATTCCCAATAATGTAAATCGCATTCTGACTCGGCACATACGTCGCAGAGTGAAAGTCTGTCGGCGGGAATACGTCCTCTGGATACCCATAAATATCGAACTTGGGATTCGCAGCCGTACTATCAGCATGATGCACGACGACATCATTATAAATCGCAAAATCCGGGTCATAAAAGTCCTCATGCTCGCCCGCAATCTGCACGAACCCCCCATCCGGCAGCTTCGTCAGCGAGTGACCGAACCGGTCGAAGCACCACACCGGAGCAGTCCCGAAGGCGCCCTCGCCCTCGCGACGAAACTTCTGCCTCGCAGAGTACGCCCAGCACCTCGCCTCCACCATCACGTTCCAAAATGCGACGTCCATCTTATGCGGGTTCGCCGTGCCGAAGCGGAGCGCAGAGCCCGCGTCGTACTGTTCTCTAGTCAGGCGCGCGAGGATGTCGTCTTCGTCGTCGGCGCCGGATAGTCCGACCAGGAGACTCCGAGCTGGCTCTTTCATGTGTAATTTGTGCACTTTTGCGCCGTGGTCGTAGAGGAGGGTGATCATTTCTTTGGTCTCGGCGAGCTGGAAGACGCCGTCGGTTGAGAAGCATTCATCTTCGCCGTTTGGGTCGGCGCCTCGTTCGAGGGCTGCGCGCGCGTCGTCGAGGTTGTTTTCTGAGATGGCTTCGTAGAGGAGTTCGCTGAGTGTTGGGGTTTGCGGCTTCGCCTCCTGGGGTTCTGTACCGTTCTCTTCTGGGCGGGTTTCTTGAACGGACATCTTTTGGAGAGTCAGGAGGAATTAGACGTCACTGCTCACACTTACTTATATGCTTGATTCGGAGTACAGATGGCTTTATTAGAATTGTTAGACCCGACACATGCAAGACGAGAAGCGATCAAAAAGGGTGGGATAGCAGTCAGCAGAGGCTGAACACTGGGATGAGTCACGATAGGCTGCCACCCTCAATAACAGCTGGACGATTCTCGAATGCCTTCAATATTGCAGCGTTGGGTTTTTGCATTTCCCTTATGATTATAGTAAAAGAACTGATATATTCAGATGGTTACTGAACCTCGCATGTTTGTGGAAGTAGATGTGGCGTATCTGGCTGGAGCATGTTACTGGTAGGCGCTATCGGTATCGGTATTCACCGTCGATCAGATATGGCGAGCTCCGTAAGCCTACATAGAAATGGAGTACTCTGGAGTTTGTTTCATCCAATAGACAACACACGAGGCTGATCGAAGCAAGTTGTAAATTCCCGTCTCTGCGACCATTGACGAGAGAAATCAGTCAATAGATGACTCTGACTTCAAAGCCGAATAGTTACCGCGAATAAGGCTTAGAGGTGGGGACCAACATGGGAATTACGTGAGTATCTGACGGAAATGCGATCTCACGGACGTAGAGTCAACGATGGAGGATTGCATACAAGGCTTGACTCATACTGTGTAGGATACTCGAAGTTATCTAGTAATTAGGCGAAAGGGACGGCCCGGACATGCCTCGAACTAGAAAACGCCTCCGTGATGTTGAAGTTCGTGCCATGGGAAAGTTTTGCAGGATCTCAGACGAATACAGCATTGATCTGGAAATTGATTCATTACGGTATGAATCTAGAATGATTCCTGGGATCGAAATGGAAATCTATTGTTCTATATTGCTTTTATAATCTTTTGGTGGTTGCATGCTGGTAGACTTGAACCAATGCATGTGGCATGCATGCCTCAATCAGAGATTTTAGCTCAGCTAAACCTCACGCCGCTCCAAGAGAATATCCCAAGATCGATATTAGCAGTCATCCTCAATCTACTGGACTTCAAGGGCTCGAGAAGGGCGGTAGCGGAGTCACCTCGGACACCCCCGATGAATGCGGGGAACGAAGGATCAACTAAACCTCAAGCAGATAAGCCGTCTCTTACGTTATGGAGAAAAAAGAAGTGCAGATGCCTTGGCAAAAGGGGTTTTATGAATCGCCCAGCTCCGCCATTTTGATTCTTATAGTCTTTAATGATCGATTTGCCCTTAATGATAACATAGAAATCTTCCGTCACCATGGAGCGCCAATACGAGATGAAAACCATGCCCAATGACCCTGAAGCGTCGCAGCAGTCCGACATCGAAGTGTCAAATGCGTCATTGCCGAGTACTAGAATTGAGCTGGAGACGAGCGATACGCTGAGACAGACAGTATCGCTCGTCCAGAGTCATGATGGTAAAACTAGGAGTAAATGGCGTCTAATTGCTATTGTCACTGCACTCTTTGTAAGTCTTACTACGCCTATGTTGCCATAGCATTACCATTATCATGAACCAACACAGTTATATTTCCTCAATTGGGTCAACCGTCTGACTCTGTCTAGCTCGCACTGTTTGTCGCTGCATTGGACGCAACCATCATTGCCACGGCTGCTCCAACGATCTCCAGTGACCTCAACTCCGCAGCAGGTTACACCTGGATTGGCGCATCGTATCTATTGGCGACCGCTGCTTCAGGCCCAATATGGGCGAAGCTTTCCGACATCTGGGGGCGCAAGTTGATTGTCCTGGCCTCTCTTGCGGTCTTCTTCGCTTCCTCTGCTGTATGCGCAACGGCTAAGACTATGGAAGCGCTGATTGTGGGGCGCGCGTTTCAGGGTGCTGCAGGAGGAGGAATTATCCTGCTTGTGCATGTGTGCATCAGTGATCTCTTCAGTCTAAGGTGGGCATTCCTTCTATGGTGTTAACTCACCGTACCTTTCAAACTGAGGATGTTAACAATCGGACAGGCAACGCAGCCTTCTTATGGGCATGACTGAAGGTATTTGGGCTCTGGCTGGAGGAGTCGGACCCATCATGGGAGGTGTTTTCGCGTCTTTGGTATCGTGGAGGTGGTGTTGTGAGTTCTTCTTACTTGCTTCGTTGAGGTCGTACTAATAATCCAGTCTATATCAACCTTCCCATCGCAGGCGTGGCCGCTTTGATCATTATGCTCTTCCTCGACATCCAGCATGAACACACCGGCTTCATTGAGGGCGTCAAGGCCTTGGATTGGCTTGGCATGTTCACCTTCCTAGGCTTCACACTCCTTGTTCTTCTTGGACTCGACTTTGGTGGAGCTATCTTCCCATGGGACTCTGCCAAAGTCATCGCCTTGCTTGTCGTAGGCGGTGTTATGATTTTCGGATTCATCTACAGCGAAGCAAAGGTTGCGAAGTACCCCTTAATTCCGATGGAGCTTTTCAAGCGTAAGACGAACGTTGCAGCTCTTCTCGTGACATTCTTCCACGGCTTTGTAAGTTATCCCAAGGTACATTGACTGAACATCATCGCTGATCTCATTAGGTCTTCATCTCGGCGGAGTACTACATGCCCTTGTACCTCCAATCCGTCCTGGAAGCAACAGCCCTCAAGTCTGGAATTCTACTCTTCCCCTTCATCGTCACAGGAGCCACCGCAGGCTTCATCGCCGGCATAGTCATCCACCGCACCGGACGCTTCCGCGAATGGATGTGGGCAGGAACAATCCTAATGTGCATCGGCTTCGGCCTCTTCATCCACTTCAACGCCAACACGACCACCGGGCAAGCCGTCGGCTTCCAAATGATCGGCGGCCTCGGTTCCGGCATCCTCTTCGCCCCGCCCCTAATCGCCATCCAAAGCCAGGTAGCCCAAGACGACGTCGCGACCGCCACCTCGACGCTCAGCTTCGTCCGCAACATGGCCGTCACCCTCTCCGTCGTCATCGGCGGCACCATCTTCCAAAACTCCATGGACGGCCGCGCCTCCTTCCTGCGCGACGCGGGGCTCCCGGAAGATATCCTCGACAAGCTCGCAGGCGACAAGGCAATGGCGAACGTCATGATCGCGAAGAGCGTCGACAACCCGGCCTGGGAGCTCGCGATCAAGCAGGCGTTCAGCTACGCGACGAGGAACATGTGGATCACGTACACTGCTTTCGCTTTCCTAGGCGTCGTCTCGAGCTTCTTCATCGATGCCGCGCATCTGGGGACCGAGCACGTGGAGACTGTCACCGGTCTGAAAAAGGAGAAGAAGACGGAGCCGGTGCAGGCGGCCGGAGTGTAGATTTTCTTTAAACAAAAAGCGAAAAAGGCGTTTTGTGATGCGGTATAATTCTTGTACATATGTATCTTTACCTATATAGAAGGCAAGACAGCCACACGCAAACGCAAAATAACGATTCAACATCTGAACTACAACCACAACACTTGCAAAGGCCGTCTCAATCCCAACAGGACCCTAACCACCACGCCGTGATGTTCCCAGTTTACGGAGGATTGCTCGCTCTAACCGTCATCGGGAAAGCCCACGCCTCCTCCTTCCGCCACAACTTCCCATCCGCAAGCGTAGTAGGATTAATCCCCGCCAAACTCTGCGTAGCAGTCCCTCTCACATACGCCGTCCTATTCCCCGCATCACTCATCAGCCCTCAATTCACCAAAACGTCAAAAAGCAACAGAAGAGGCAAGAGGGGGAATCAAGATACAAGAAAAAAGGAAAGCAGGAAAACTAACTCATTGACCCACCACCCCCTCCTAACCGTCAACCCCGTCTCGGAGTACCGATACCACACATCCCTCGCCATGTCGCCGCAGTTGTCGAACAGCGCGCTGATGGCGTAGAGGTTGAAGTACGTGGGCGGGACGGCGCAGTCGACCTCGATTCCGAGGGCCCCCGGCCGCGTGTCGGAGACGTGGAAGCTGAGGTTGGATTGCGCGCCTTCGATGTATGGGTCTGCGTGGAAGGCGATGAAGTTGGTGATTGTGAGGGATGGGGTGTCGGATTGTCGGGTGAGGAGGGGGGTTGCGGTGGTGAGGAGGGGGAGTGTGGAGAGGAGGAGTGGGAGGATGGGGGAGAGCATTGTTGGGTTGCGTTGTTGGAAGGTGTTGTGGGGCCTGGGGGTTGTTGTGAGGATGGTGAGTGATCGAATATCGATCAATGGTATGCTCAATGATTGATATGGTTACCAGCAGTTCAAATCCTGCGAAGAGATGTGAGGATAACATATACAACGAACGCGATGCTCAGATATCTATATCTTTCTAGTTCCGTGGGACTGAAATGCACGCCATATTCTCGATATGATCCTGCGGGGATGTGGAGCTGGTTCCTGAGAGGCGATGTGCCAATGAATGTCGTGGTGTCCACATTGGGTAATATCATATACACCCGGATAATCTGAACGGGGCGGGTGGCCCCGCTGCTTGGAAATGTTCTAGAAGCTCATTTGAGATGCATAGTAATTCGGGTGTAGATAGAATGAGCATCTGTGATATATGGGCGACCCGGCTTCACAAAGTATGTGTGCTTTCTCTTGAGGGTTGACTGGTATGGTCAGTCGTCCTTACTTTTGGAAGTGATTTGTGTATGTACAATAGTTTACATTAAAATACTTTTGCGGTTCTCAATCGCTCCACCAGCTATCCTCATTACTCACTCCTCGATACCAGTGATCGATTTCGGTCCTTGCCCTGACCCATCGCGCCTTGCCATCTTTGCACATTTACTCCCTCGCGACCGCGAACTTGCTCCAATTCCTAATCTTCTTTCCATAGATAAAGAACAAATACGGCACCGGGACCAACAACACACTCAATCCGCCCAGAATAGTCAACGTGTACTGCACGCCCATATCTTTATAGAACGGGACACCGGCCACCGTCATACCACCGGCGACCACGTAACGCGAAAGAGTCAGGAAGGTTAGGGCCGAGGCGGCGAATGATTCGTAAACATCGATGATGTACTGGTAGGAGCTGATGAAGATGCAGAGGGTTCCGTAGCCAAACAGGGTGCTTGCGCCGAGTGATGACCATATGGAGATGTGTGACTGCGCTTTGTTAGTGGATTTGACTCGAAAGACATGTGTATGTTGTAGGGAGGTAACTTACATAGCTCGTCCAACCCATCCAGAAGAGGCTGATGGGAATGGCGGGTGCTCCGCCTAGCATTGCGAACCAAAGACGGAATTCTGGTGGGAGTCTGCTGCCGCCGGCCTCTTTGATCTTCTTGAGATCTCTCCTTGCCCATTTGTAGATCAGCGGTACTAGACAGGCTGCTAAAAACAGGCCGACTTCGATGGATAGAAAACACAGTCCGGTTATTCCTGGACTTACACCGTGGACTTCTCCGAATATGAATGTGTAGCCTTCTAGAAAGGTGAACAGGACGATGTAGATGACGCTCATATAGAGTGACAATAGGATGATGACAGGTTCATGGATTGTGAGCAGGAATGGTCGGTACAACGAGACACCTAGGCGTTGTAACAAGCTATCGCCTCTGATTTCGATCTCAGCGACATACCGCTGGTCGCCAGTGACTGCGCGCAGATGGCACGCTTTCCATTTCAGGAGCGTTGGCGGATAGGTCTCCGGTTGGAATAATACCACGACGCCGAGCACCAGGCTTGACATTATCAGAGTCGTCCATTCTACCCAGCGCCAGCTGACGGCATCGCTTTGTGCGATGAAGCCGCCGATAACAGGGCCGATGATGGGGCCAGAGAAGGCGGCAGTCGCGAACATGGGGAAGGCGAAGACTCGCTCCATCGGAGACCACATGTCTGATAAAGAGCCGCCAGCGCATGTCAATGGCGTTGCACCGAAGAGACCGGCAATGAATCGGAAAGCGATTTGGGCCCCAATGTTTGGCGCTAAAGCTGAAGCCATGATGAACATAATGTATAATGTCAAAGTCGCAATATATACACTGCACGATGTTAGCGACAAAATTCCCAATTGCAAGAATAGATCGACGGTGAAAAGTGATGAACTTACGGATTACGGCCAACAGTCTCGCTGAAAGGGCCAGCGAACAGCGCTCCAAAACCAAAGCCGATCAGGAAAATGCCCGTCGCTAGACTTTCTACGACCTCACTGACGCCGAACTCATGAGAGGCTTTTCGCAGCGCACTTGCGTCGATGGCGCTCGCGAAGCCGACCACGAAACCGATAGAGGCGATGCAGGCTGTTGCCGCGATGCGTTTGAGATGGCTCCAATTGTGGGGATTCAAGGGATCGTCTGGGCCCTCGTACCCGACTACGAAGACTTTGCCTTCTCCGCCCTCGTGCGTCGTTCGGGAGCGGACATGGATGCCTGTGAGTGTGACGCCGAACGCAGTGCCCGCTGTGCGATGTGTTGCTACAGTCGCGATTCGACTCAGATATTCATCTTCTGGTGGGATTGGCTGCGCTCTACCATTATCTCGAAGACCTGTTGATTCTTGCGCTAATGGAGCGGATGTTGGCTCTATCTTTTCATGTGCCTCCTCCTCGGTGGGTGTATCGTAAGTCTGCTTTTCCGAAGATGGTTCATTTTTCTCTAGGTCGGAAGGACTGCCAGCGGCATCGTCATCAGAAGATGAGGACGTGGAGACGCTGCTTGACGTCGAGAAATGGGATAATCTTAGGTTTGGATTTTGTCCATTCAGTCTTTCTCTTGCTGCTGTTTCGCCTCGAGTGGTCGTTGTATGTAGGATCTCCTGATGTCTTTCATACTGTTGCTCAACCTGTTTCCGGAAACGATGGTACTGAAGAAAAGACTGCATAGTCACGTTGGAAAAATCACTTCCAAACGAAAAAAAGCGACGTGAGAAGAGAATGACGAGAAAAGCATAGTCAAAAGCACTTCTGAAGTTTTATTCGGGTGGTCGAAGGACGACAATTCCACATTACAAATCGGATGGAGGTAGACCCCACTACTACTCGTAGTTTGAAGAATCGTCAGAAAATACGAATATGACCATTTTCACTTTTCCGGGCTGGCATGACGTTTTTTTTCATAGCCGGGGCAAAATCGGCCTGCGAGTTGCAGCGGGTAGACTAGCATTCGTGTCGATCGGGGACGCTATTGGGAAGTTATTCCCGAAAGCTTATGCCAATCTCATGCATCCCGGGCGCATCTGATAATTATTGATAGCCAGATTCAGGTCGTTGTCGTTGTTATCAGATCCTTGGCCAGGCGACTTAATATCTGTACATACACGACTTCGTGCATGAGTGGTGTATAGGAGTGGTTCAATGTATGGTCGGGCTGTCTTGCATTACTAGAGACAGCGAAAAGCGGACGTCATTTCGGAGTACTTACAATGTGACCCGCTCTCTGAACGACCGTATAGTAATACGGTATGAACAACAGTACGGCAATAAGCCAGTTCGGTATCATGAAATGATCAACCAAAACTTCACGATTAGAACGCATAAAAATCTTAGATCTAGATCTAATACCACGCTATAAATTATTAAACGAGTAAGTCGTGGTGTCTATTCATTGCCTGTGGACTACAGGATTTATAATCTGAGTGTTCTGCAGCAGTCGTAGGATGTTATTCAACAAATGTTCACCAAAAGTAGGTGGTTGTTTTCCATGCCCCCATAAAAACTGGCACCTGTCCCCCCATAAAAACAGGCAACAACCCCCAAATATCAGGCACCTGCCCGCCCACGTGCCCCCTTATTCCCCTTAAATATGGGCACTCACTCCCTGAAAATTAGGCACCTATCCCCTCACGTGCCCTCGTAAGAATCGGCGCATAGGGCTATGTCTTTGTAAGTACCACGCCATATGCCTAATTGATATCTCATTTTTATTAACTTTCCGTTTGGTTACAAAGGAGAAAGTATGTATTATAACAAGTCTGTTAGATTATGTTCTCACTAGTGTCATTTATAACAATTCCTTCATCATCTCTTGGTAGTGCCGCAGCTAATTGAGAAGATTGAAATCCGGAGAGAGAGAAAAAAAACACTTAGTTTATGTCCAAATCAACAGCTAAACTACTGAGAAAGCCGGAAGTGTGTTTGTACAACCCGTTTCCCATCTCTGTATCCATCCAATACTTCGTTCACTTTGTCAACATCTAGTCCTTCAACGACTTCGTACTGAAGCGGTACGATCTTTCCCTCTAGCAGGTACTCCCCGATCTTCGCCCACAATGGCGCACAAATGTCTGGAACCACATGGCTCGACCCGAAGACATTGATCAATTCAAATCCGTTCTGTTTCGGGTTCAAGATACTATCATCTCTCTCCCATCTGCGAACCAAGCGGGCAAATTTGCCTCTCTTGGTACTTGAAAGAGCATTGATACCTAGCCGCTGGTTCTCATCCGGGTTGACGGCGTCGTACGCGTACAGCAGATCATCACCCACGATCTCCCGGATGCGGCTGAGAACAACATCATGCCCTCCGTGTCGGTCGATAACGTGGGTGGCGCCCCATGGCTTCAACTGCTCCTCGCTGCCACCGACGACTACGACTTTGCCGAAGCCAGCCAGACCTGCAAGCTGGACGGCGAAACGGCCGCAATTGCTGCCTCCTCCAATGATCAAGACGGTAACGTCGGAATAATTGATGGACTTCCCATCCTCTTTCCAGGGCGCCGGTATGCCAAGTCCGGTCTTGGTACCAAAGAGCCCAACTACGCTCGCGATGAGATTCGTAGGAAGGGTAAGCACGTCGTTGATGGTGAAGCCCTCGGGGATCTTTGAAACGAAGTCTTCATCCGCAATCGCGTACTCTTGGAGTCCTTGCTGGATGTATCCCGGGAGCAATGAGCCTTGCCAGAAGATTGCATCGCCGACCTTCAGTTTAGTCACATCGGGCGCGGTAGCCGTTACAATGCCGGCTATGTCGTTGGCCAGTGTGACGGGAGGGTCGATGAAGTCCATGAACAGGCCTCGGTCTCGAACGCTTTGGTCATGAGGGTTGAGTGCTGTCGCTGTGACTCGAACTTGGACTTGTTTCGAACCTGGCTGTGGAATGGGCTTGTTGGCGACGACGGCGCGCTCGCCTACAGCATTAACGACAATAGCCTTCTGAGTAGACATGATTGCTATGATCAGCTATGATTGCAAGGTTTGGGGATCCTTAACAGAGTATATGAAATGCTTCATGGACAGTATACGTCTGCTTTAATACTGATCCTTGGGGTCTGTCGAGGGTCAATAATCGCGATTAGTATTCACATGTTCCATCATAAATACTAATCTTGTCTCCTGCCGAAGGATTCTGATATGAGGAAGTGCAAGTATGGCACAATCCATTGGATTTCAAAGCAATCCGGGGGATCAGCCGACCCCAGCAGAACAAGTGTAGCAGTACTGCACTTGTAAAACCTCAAGGCCAGATATACGAGAATAAAGGAATGGCTTCCAGCATTCACATTTGTAATCGATTTGGCTTGGCAAGGATGGCGTATACTCATCAATGATCTAGGGTTGTCTTGAAGCAGCGGGACGACGGAATGGAATAGTAAGCCCTAAGAATGTCGCGAAGATGTACAGTTGCGCCATCGAGATTTGAGCAACAAAACCGAGGAATACGCAATATCATTGCTTCAAATCACAAGTTCCAACTTCCAACATTTAATTGAAAATCAACGATAGAAATCAATCGTACGTTAAAAACAGGTGGTACTGGAAGATGTGTACAAGATTATCGTTGGTGTTGGACATGTGCGACCCTAAGGAATGAAACCCCCCTCCCCCTCCGGGCTGAACGCCCTAGTCCTATCTAGTAAACCGTAAACAAAGACCCAAACAACATCCCCGGTCCAAACTTTCCAGGATCACAACCGCAACAGCACCTTCGACAACGGTTTTTTTCGCAATGGCAGGCGATCAATACAACCTGAAGACGGCGGCCTCATATATCAACAACCTCCTCCTGGCCCGGGGACTACTTCGCGATGGCAAACCAATTGAGTTTGCGCATCCGTCGCGAGCGGAGGGGGGGAAGGAGGTCACAATGTCGCAAATAATCAATCTAGTCCACGATCTTATCCTCAAGAGAGATGTATGCTCCTACGAAACTAATACTTGTTCCTTCGAAACATCTAACTCATCTTCCAGCGCGATCAAGAACACCGCGAATCCATTGCCGCAACGCTTCGAACCCTTCGCACCGAAGCGACACGACAGACGCTCGCCCTCGAGAAGGCACAAACGCGCAATGAGGATCTTTCGCGGCAGCTATCTCTCGCTCAGTCGCAGGAGAGATCCGCTCGCGCTGCATTGCGCACTGCGGAATCCTCAGCAAGGAGCTTGAGGGAGGAGATGCTACGACTCAAAACTACGGTCCAGCAAGTGCGGACGAGTTGCGCGAACGACATCAGGAAACGAGACATACAGATGCAAAGGCTGAAGAGTCACTTGACGAGTCAACAGCGTGGCAACAAGACGGGCCTAGTGGGCGCGAGCATCACTATCAATCCGGGCAATATGGGCTTGGGCGCAATGGGCAGTACAAGGGATGATGCGCCAGACGTTGAGGACCCAGAGTACAGCTTGAAGCAGGAGACGACTGAGTTCCTGACTCAACTGAGTCAAAGCTTGAGCGATGAGAACGACAACCTCATAGGCTTGGTTAGGAGCACACTGATGACTTTGAGGGAAGTACAAGGCATGCCCGAGGCGCAGCGATTAGATGAGGGCGAGGGTCTGTCAACAATAGGCGAAGAGGAAGAAGCGTCACGAGAGGGAATGTTGCAAGCTTTGCCGACGAGCTATGAGGCACTGGCTACGGACATGGACGGTGTGCTCGACAACCTGAAGAATCTCCTTACCAACCCCAACTTCGTGTCTCTAGAGGAGGTCGAGATGCGTGAGGAGGAAATCGTCAAACTAAGAACGGGCTGGGAGACGATGGAAGCAAGATGGCGAGACACTATGGCGCTGATGGATCGCTGGAGGAAGCGCATAGCCAGTGGAGATAATACGATCAATCTCGAGGAGCTCAAGCTAGGTATGGGCTTAGGAGCAGGTCTGGAAAATTTCCACAGGGAAGATGAATCCCTTAGTGCCGCGGAAGAGGAGGATGCAAGCTCCGTCTTCGACGAGGTGGTCGACGAGCCAGAGGTTGAAGATCCTCCCTCTCCCGAGGCAGATGATGTGCCAGAGCGAACATCTGCCTCAGACATATTCAAGTTGAAGCTGCAGCCAACGCAACCGGCGCTTAGGGAGGGAAGCGGCAACGTCAAGTCACCTGCGAAATCCCCGCGCAAAGTTGCGTTCTCTGCATCCATCCCCAACACACCCTCTCAGATAGAGATTGAGAATGCAGACGCATCTGAGCTAGACGGTGAAGAGGTCAGCAAGCCGTCGCGCCCAACGTCTACCTCGAAGCTGTCTACAACACTATCAGTCGAGCGGACGTCCAGACCGACAAGTCAGGACTCCCGCAACCCCCGCCATGTACGTTGCGACAAAATTGCCGATCGTCTCGAAAAGATGGCCAGCAATGTCACATTTCCTTTCACCCATTCATTTTCTTCTTCTCTTTCTTACTCCTCTCTGTCTCTCTTCGACCTAACCACAGATCCCGACGTTGACGACATGCAGGCCAAGAAACGGCATTCGAGTCCACACGCCCACCCCGACGAACCTTCTCCAAAATTAACAGTGCAAGACAAGCTCAAGGTGGCTCAGGCGGAAGCGGAAGCAGCCGCCCTTGCCGAAGGATTGAACTCAGAGGCAACAGCGAATGAAGGTAACGGCGTCGGTGGGGACGAAGATGCAGAACGTAGCAAACAGCAGCAGCAGCGCCGCTCACCTGCAAAGAGGACGCGCATCGGTGGACGTCCAAAGCGGAGAAAGAGCACGCTGACACCTGAAGAGCTGGGCAACTTGATGGGACTTTGATTTAGCTTGGTCCAGCTGAGAGAGAGAGCGTCGAACAGGAACAGACTAATGCATGAATCGCGTTCATTAAATTCCTCTATCTATTCTACTGTGTGGTGGTTGCTGCTCGTTTGTGTTTACGCAATAGGACCCATTTGCTCCTATCAACTAATGCGCGGAGTACGAGCGCACTCAATACTCAATATCGAATGAAGTCAGGCGATTCTGACAGGCCCCGCTTGGGGTGGTTGGGGAGTGAGCATGGCATGCTAAACGACGAGGCTCCTTGATTCGACAGTCCCTCGCCAACTAGTGGAATTGCCATGCATGAACAGTGTCCACCGTCCACCGTCCACCGTCCAGGGTGAGTTGGCGCGTAGGCAAGAGTGATCAACGTAAACGATTGTTTTCTGTCCGCCATTGGGCCGGGGTTTTGGGGGGAGAGGGGATGGGGCGGCGCTGAGATGATCTGACCATTTGGCAGCGAATCAGCCCTGGGGTTACAAGGAACAGCAGGCTCAACACAAGTCAGAGAAAATGCTACGAGATACCGATTGTGCTTCATCGTCGCTGTTATCAAAGCTCTCCTCGTGCGCTCCAAGGTTGTCCATGCTACAGGCGCGAGTGCGCGTTGCGAATAAATGCGCACGAAGGCTGTCACAATGGAAGTTAGTTGCTGGTTGGTCTTGAAGAATCGTCTGACGCCGTAGACTCTGCGTTCTCATAGGCTCCGGACGGCCCGTCACAGGTTATTGCGTCCCACCCTGCAATATAGCGATTGATGCACTTTCACGGCCAGCCAGACCGGTCAGCGAGCAAGCAAGCAGAATGAAGCCACTTTTGCAAAGGACGATGGAGCCTTTCTGCTGCTGCTGCTCCGGAGGGATACACCCTGACCGGAGCGTGCCCAGAGACGATGTCGTCGCCCAACAATGTGGCTGAACATGGGATATGATGCTCCCTATGATCCTATAGTAATCACCATCAACAAGATTGATATTTTCTTCGATTTGAAGTGCTCAAGCAGCCTGCCGTGCCTCATCTCATTCGTCCTGGCGCAGTTGGCTTCATCTGTCCCGGCGGCTGGCGCCGTTGCATGTGTCTATCGCCATCGCCATCGCACGCGGGCTGGCTTGAAGGTGTTGCTGCAGCCTGAAGCGTGATCACGAAGGTGGTGGTGTTCGTCAGCATTCGTCTAAATCGTTCATGCCGATAGCTCTCGTTTTCCTTTGCTTCTCGAAGCTAGCAGGCACTTGAAGGACGGCAGGTGGACGCTGTACAATTCTGTACTGTGCATGCGAGTGCAGCGCAGCGCAGCGCAGCGCAGGACAGTCCGGTAAGTGTGGTGGACGGTCTGTGTATGGTTACATGCATGCAGCAGCGACCAGGGAGGGGGAGGGAAGAAAAAAAGCCACGCAAAAAGGTCTACAAATAGCCGCCGGCCATCCGGATCTGGTCAATTTGTGACCAGATGACCAGCCTGCAGAAGTTCATTTATTGGAACATATTGTGGATTTAGGAAGAGTCAAGGGATGCTCGACAGAGGAAGAAAGTATGTTTAAAAAAAGGACGCAAATTAATACTCAAGTGGAGAATGTTAACACGGTAAATGCACTTGATCAGTCGATTGAGGACGATTTCGACCTGTTTGCAGGTTAGTTTGCATGTTCCGTTTCTGCAGAGAGCTGCAGTGTGATAGCGAGGTTGCCGACGACGATAGTAAAAAAAGCATGGACTCTTGAAGGATGTGGATTGTGGACAGGGGAGAGAGGAGAGGAGGAAGATGCAGCTGGGCTGGGCAGGACGACCATCACAGATGAGGATACTTGATGGAAGAGGTTGATTGGCTGAGTGTTTTCACGCGAGTGTCTGTGCCGAATGATCACCAGCATCCGCTTACGACGGGGGACGAATCAAGGAAGCCATTCACATTCACATTCACATTCACACTCACATTCACTCTACGGAGTACAATCAACACTCAACTCTACCTCAGCACATACGTACCTACAGGACACACAGTGCACAGTATGGAACACAGTACTCCGTACAGTACCAATTATGAGATTGAGGGACTACATACGGAGTATCTACCGTGTACTCTGTGTACTGCGAACTGTGTACTCGTACTGCCGCCCACATGCACAACCTCGACTCCATGAACTTCAAAGTCCAACCACACGACCACCCTTGTCTCTTCCGTTGATCCATCCCGGTCTCTCCTCTCTGACTTTGTCTGCCATTGTGGACTAATGTGGACTATTGTAGACTATTATCTGCGGGCCGTTACACAGATTCGAACCTCTCCACCACTCGCGTATCGCCATCAAGCGCTCGCACGTCTTTCGATAGACTGCCACCCACCTCGTAATTGTCTTTCCCCACTCCACACCAACTCCACCCTCAACCTCTCCTCCCATCCCTACCTGAGGCTACCTTCCCCTCCCTTGCAAAGCGTGCAATCCAAATGGCGTAGGTTGCTGCACAAGCAATCAATCGCACCCGGGACCAGCGAGACCTGTCCCGAAGCTGGGTAGCGCGAGCTGGGCGAATATGCCGGTCGGTAAGCCATCGCCCATCGTCCACTGTCCACTGTCCTCCCTTCCACCAACTGATGGCTGGCCCAGGCCTGTGAACCCAACCACACCCCGGTAGCCCATGGCCTGCGTCTTGTGATGGTCGGGATAGATAAAGACTCAACCTCTCCCCTCTCTCTCGTCTTCTTTTCTTCAGCAAGCGTGTGAATCTTCAAGAGCTGTGTGTTGTGTGTTCTATTACTCTTTTTTTTTCTTCCTCTCCCCTTTACTCTTCTTACTTTCAGGCCTGGTGCCACTTAATACAACCTATCACTATACTGTGACTTATTTACCACTCCGACTTAATTCAATTCTTCGATATCGTCGCCGGTCGACAATACTACACTGCCCTCCACACAACTACAATCGTAATAATTTCCGGCTCTTCTTGCTCAATACAAACTTCACGACCAATTCAGTCTCTACGCGCAAACTCGCTTCTTCGATACCTTCAGCAATCCTTACGCTTCATTCAGTAATCTTTCAACGTCTATCCATTCACTTGGCCCCGGACGAATAGGAAAAGGAATTTCCAACCTTCAGAAACAGTAATCTCCAGACAAAGAATCAATTCTTCGAATCGAAAGATCAGAACAACATTCATAATGGCCGCCATCCAGCTTAACTTCACTCTCCGCACTTCCTCCAACTGCAAGACCGTCCACCTTCTCGGCTCCTGGGACGGATACCAGGGCCAGCTCCCGCTCTCCAAGGACCCCAAGAAGAGCGGTGGCTGGGTCGGATGCTTCAAGTTCAACGGCTCGACTCTCCAGCACGGTCAGCGCTACTGGTACTACTACATCATCGACGGCTACCACGTCTCCCACGACCCAGCCCGTGACCACACCACCGAGCCCACCACCGGCCGCAAGCTCAACATCCTCGACATCCCATCCAAGAAGTCGTCCTCCTCCGAGAAGACCTCGTCCCGCGCTGAGCGCCAATCCCGCCGCGTGAGCAGCGCATCCATCCCCAAGGGCCGCTCCCTCTCGCCTTCCCGCATCGCTGCTCCCCGTCCTCAACGCCCCCACGAGACCCGCCAGGTCATCAACACCCAGTACGACAAGGCGACCCTCGAGGCCCTGACCTCGCGCCTCACCCTCAGCGACAACCGCTCGTCCGACTCGTACTCCGACTCTGACTCGTACATCGACTCCTCGGACGACGACTCCGATGTCCCCTCCCTCACCTCCCGCTCCACCAACTCCTCCCGCTCCGGCCGCTCCAGCGTCTCCTCCAACTCCTCCTGCTGCACCTGCGAACGCTACGGCATCACCCGCGGTGGAGACCGTGTCCGCCTCGACTGCGGCGGCTCGCGATGCGGCTACTCCGACGAGTCCGACTGCTCCTCCGAGGACGAGTACCTCGCCTACCAGGAGAAGACCACCCGCCGCCAGGGCGTCCTCATCCGATCTTAAGCTCTTCAATGTTCTTCTCCCCCAAATTTTTCTTCGATTCCCATTCTTTTGTCCATATTTTACTTTTTGTCCCCTTTCTCAAGGATGATGATATTTTTTATACTTGACGACTTTTCTCTATTCTCTCTCTCTTCGGAAGACCAATTCGCTCATTACGATGACACGTTGTAACAAACCCCCCCCACATCCATTACTGCTGGATCCCAAATGAAGCACACAACTCCCTAAGTGCGTATTTCTAGGAAGGAAAGATGCGAGGCCATTATTGCGCTGCATGATCGCTCGCCCACCCACACACACAAACACATTATATAGCTCTACATAGCGAATTGAAATCCGGTAAAGTGACGGCCCGTAAGCTTGGCTGTAAAGGAATACTTTGTGTCTTTTTGTCTACTGTGATCTGTGATGTGACTACCTCATTCAAAGGGTTTGTGGTTGGAGTATCGTAACGATGGCTCTAGGGTATTTGATGACTTCATCGAAGCATGGGCTAAGACCGGACAGACAGCATTTCGTCTTGAGACGATCAAAACATGACTCTGTATATGTGACAGCATACCTCTATCTTTGCCCTCTTATCGCTAACGACGGTCGATATTGTATTCGCAATCGATGGCTCTACATCGCCACGCTCGCTCCACCCCCCAGTCAACGTCCCCCCAAGTCGCCGTTCCTCGCCGTCCCAACTCTATTCATCGTTTCCTTCTTCACACACACACGCAAGCATACACGTGTGGTGTTGATGCTGATACTGATACTCTACCTTTCATCATCTGAGCCAAATTTGAGCATCCTACGTTTATAAGGGACATAACAAGCATTCCTCCTTACACGTCGTTTATGTATTCCTTCGGTAATTTCGTAAAATCTCTATCAATATAATTTCTACCTCCCCACCACCACCATCACTACGCCTCCAAGTCTCCCCGTGGAACTCCGCAAGATCGAAGCAGTATCGGGATGCTAATCGTACACACGACATCCTTCCGAGTCTCCGCGGCATCCAACTTCGTATGCTTGAGTTTCGAGGTTGTATCGACGGGCCGTTGTGCTATCTTACGGCCGGGAGGACGGCATGTGGATGTGATGTCCCCATCTACCCTTACGAAGAAGGGGGGGCGGGGGGCAATACCAACTTGGAAGAGAGACACTGGAGAATCTGGCCTATTCAAGACTGTGCCCAAGCATCAGTCCGCCGTCGGACATGAGTCCTTCGCCGTAGAATAGCAGTATATAGCGACGCTATTCAGAGGTCACGTGTGCGATGGAAAGCGCCAGCGGGGGTTTGAGCAATGAAGCATAGATTAGGGGATCCGATAGATTTCGGGAGACCTCTAGAACCTTTTTAAGGAGAATGTATGAGCTACTTAGGTAAGTGTGCAATAGCTTATAAGCTGATTCAGGGTCGCAACGGTAGAGGTCCATGCTATGAAGGCGTCTCTGCGCAAGACCGCCTAGTCTTCGGTTCAAGGATGAGGTCAGGGCAATGCGGCGCAAGTTCAGGTCTCTATGTCATGCCCTTCGTGGTCTTTCTACTTGTTTGTGTTTTGTTGATGCTACATACTACTGCTCCCTCGTGGCTGGAGGAGACTAGGCGCGGGAGGCAGTGGAACTACTAACCACACATGGAATTTAGGAGAGGAGGGCTGCTTACGCTCTTTCCTCGATCTGTGAGGACTAAAGCGCACGGATGGGAGTGAAGTAGGTAGATGAGGTTAGGAGGCGGATACGTAAGATCATACTGCTGCAGAAGGGTGGAGAGAGGGTGGTCCTTTTTGGAGACGCTCGTGGAGGTTGAGGGAGGTTGGGAATGCTTTGCCCACTTGCTGCTTGAGGCATGTGAGGGATTGTAAGAATAGATTCGAAGACAGCATGATAGTAAACGTGGTATTTGATTATTCGGAGCTAGAATCTATTGGAGACTCGAGAGAATGCGGTCTGAAGGGTTGGGAATGGACGGATGTGGGCGCGAGCTTTAGGCAGGGAAAGGGAAGGAAAGATCATAAGCGTCGTATGAACTGAGTTCAGCAGTGGTTTCGATATCCAACATCATTACACTCATCGCGTACAGTCTTTCCAAGCCATTACCAATCTCCCAGGACCCAATCTTGACGTAGAACGAGCGACAATAGATGACGCCAGCGCAAGACATCGACCATTGTGATGGTCATCAAATTTCCATTGTGCGAGATTCAGGGCGACTCATCTTATCCATGACATTGCGGGAGAGGGTGCAAATCTTTTAGGTGTTTTCTTTTTCCCTCTTTTGGGATGAGGTGAGACGCCCCTAGGATCGCCCGCGGTCTTGACCGTGCGCGCGAATGTTCGATGAAATAGGTAACTGTTCTCATATGAAGAGCCTCATTGAGTATACGATTAGTGATGGTTGTCTCAGTATGCGCATGACTATTTGTGGGTTGAGGAGTCATAATCGAGCTGTAGATGGAATGAAGTAGGAGGCCTGCGATAACATGTTTACCGATGTACCATCAGACATGATGGTTTGATTTGGTAGACAGGTCCCACATTTCCGGCTTGAAGAACATAATCTGCCGTTCGCACGGTACTTGTAAACAGGCGATTAATATCGTGCATACACATCGTGCGCCCTGGTCTCCGGGTGACCGGACGAATCTGCCGTCGATCCGCGATCGGTAGCATCGTCCGAAATAGAGGCAATGTGCATAGAAAGTTCTCAATCTAGAGTATATGGCGTACCGTCGTCATCGTCGTATTTACTGGAAAGGCAATGTTTTAGTTCGGCGGAGCGGGTGGGTGTGAGTGGATCCAGCCAGCTTTGGCAGCCCGATGAGGGATCCATATTATGTGATCTGCTTCCTGCCTCGCTGACCGTTTCAGAGGCCTAGCTATTTGGTCAGACTCCTTCGAGCGATACCTTCTCTTTCAAGTCGTTATAACCTTTCGGAGTGTCTTCGCTTTTTGGATTGACACCTGTGTCGTCTATTCCGTTGCTATCTTTTCTTCTTCAGAGGCCAGAGCATGGTGGAGTGCCCATCATGATTTCAATTATGGTCCATGTAATACGGCATGGACTGAGGAGAACGACCATTTTCCTACCATCTTTCCTGTCATCTTTCCCTTGTTCAGATCACCGAACAATTCTATCATCTTTCATCTGTTATTCTTTTCTTATTGCTTGACTAGGACAATGTCTTAGTTTATACTGGCTACTCAGTTGAAACTGACTCGAGTCGGAGCTGAATAGATGCCTTGGCTGGCGAAATATACCTCTGCTGACATTCTCCCGAAATTTCGAGGACATCAACGGCCTGACGGTCGACACCAACGGACGCACCGACTTGGGACTAGCGATTTCGAGCGGGAGAAGGAAAATAAATATCGGGAGACAAGAGCCGGGAGACGGTTGGAGAGCGATACTACACACCGATGGTCAAAGGAGGGAATGGAAGGCACCCTGACAACGGAGAGTATAGCGAAGGCCATCGACAGGTCGAGGAACCACAAGGCAACGTTCATCGATGATATACATACAAACGCGGGACTGCTACTGTATTCTTGCAAGATTCGGATAATCGCGATTGGTACACTCGTTCTGGTTCGACTGTCTAGAGCCACGCCCATTGTCAGCGACTACTACCGTCAGGAGCAGAGGAGTATGCCCATGGTTAAACGAATTCGCTTCGCTTGTATGGTTGCTATCGTCTCATAGCCGAGTGCTTTGAGGCTTGATTCTGCGGTTGGGGTTGGTACAGATCAGCACAGTGTCAGAGAGCATACAGGAGTCCACCGACTATGGTCATATCTAAACGTCACCGCCTGGAGGCTCAGTATTCTTTTCATGTGAACACGGGAAAAGGAAGGAGAAATGAGGACTCGAGAACGACATGCAGTTGGGAAACATTGTGAAGAGGGAACACCACGGTGAACGACCAGCTGGTTGGACTTTGAGGATGTCCGGATAGCAGACTACGTGGATGAGCAAAGATGGAGAAATATTCCAAGAAGAAGTTGGTCGACTTCAAGAGATATTACATGGACAAGTTCAAGTTATTGGAAGGAGCAAGGAGCGACATGGACACAGGTGGTCATCCAGGAGGCTAACATGCCCGCATAGCGGAACGGAGTGAAGGCTGCAGCACCGTTGCAAGGCCATCGGCAACTCCGCAGAACGTCTAGAAATTAATCGAAGACGTCCACGGTTTCATGGCCAGTGTCAATCATACCAAACAGATCACTTCATGTGCTCGTATGAGGCAGTGATGGGCGATCTGTGCAACGTTCTAGTGCCAGCGAGCTGAATACCCAGATGAACCAAAAGCCGCAGTGAAACGCGTCAAAGATAAAACCCTGGATGCATGTTTATACGAGGTCCAAGTGCAAAGAAGGTTATTGATGCAATGATCACGACAACAATAAGGAAGTAGCCGAAGTCAGGTGGTTTCAAGCAGGACATGGTCAACATCTAGAACCCGCCAATGACACGCGAACTCGATCGTTTTCTCTGCATCAAACATTGACCGGACTTGACGAGATATAGCAGTGCATATCGCCCTGTCATCGTCCGCTAGGACGGGGAACCGGGCGACCGTCGGAATACACTGTCGTCAGAGCCCACGAGACACCCACTGCGCCCTGTCGGGCACGGGTACATGGCCCATATGCCCATTATCGACTCGGATGCTATCCCCGAATGACACAAGCGCCCGCGACCTGACTCCATTATGATGGGATCAAGGGCTTAGACCGTGCGGCGGAAGTTGCTCGGTAGTGGGGTCCATATTAAGCTGAGAATCATTCAGAAGGGTGGCCAATATAGACGCTCACGTAATTTGCGACCAGCCGCAGCGAGCGATTGCTATTGGCTAGAACGAACAGAATTTCGAACAGAAGCAAGAATTCTAGGTTTCTGCCTTGGAGATCATGGTTCTTGCATATCATGCATCCAGCTGCATGGTCTCGACCAGATTTTTGGGAGGATCGAAGCCAAGCATCTGGGGCAGCGCGGCGTGGGAACATTCTAGAGCCAACGACCTGAGGCCAAGTCTTTTGTATCTTTTAGGAAATCTATTCGGCAAGTCGTCACGTCTGTCATTCGTTTATTAGGATGCGCTCGATCAAAGAAGCCAACATCAGGCCAAGCCAAAGAGCCTACCTCATCCATACAATATCGTGAGATGTGGCACCGCGCAGAGGGATTGCGTGTTGAAGGCCTTGTGGCGCATAATTGCACATTCATCGTGTAGTCAGAAAGTCCGGCTGGAGCGGATAAAGACACAGAAACGTTCGGGTCTTCCACGTTTGAGGATACGATTCAAGAGTTCGAAAGCTCGGATGAAGCCTATCCCAGATTCGAAAGCACAACAATCATTGAGGGATCGTCTCACTTGAACCTCCAACTCATGTATATCAAATCTCCTGAGCGAATTTTACCCGATAGGGTGAAGACCAACTTGAAACGGGCCGTTGGGATTCTTATCGCGTTATGCGATGCATGCAGGACTTCAACGGACTCCTAATATTATCTCTGAGTTTGAGGCCTAGATGATATGATCCGTGGCTTGCTTCAGTGGTCAGAAGTAATGCTGATTCTCTCTGATTGGCGCGAAGTTTGATGAAGGCATGCTGCGTGGCAAGCGGACCTGCAAATCAGCATTCTGGGCCGCAGCGTTGCCAAAGCAAGGCCTACAATATTTCCAAAGCGGAATAGGGAGGATTCCAGCCTTTACAAACGTATTGAACAGAGATTGAGTGGATAAACGTTACAAAGTACGAGGACGTGAAGGTGTGGATGAAGAACTTTGGGTGAGATATGAATGTGGGAACTGACCGTGGAGTGGACAGTGTATGAGGCTAAGGCCTGAAGAGGAACATCTCTAAGTTAGTTACCAGCCAGCAAAACGATCAATTGGATCGCACAATTTCAGTAATCAAGACTACTGCGATGACGCTGACCAGAACTAGAAAAAAGGTGCGAACGCGGCAGGACGCCTCACATGAATATACGACTAGAGGGAGCGTCATATGGCGTGTAGAGCACATACAGAGGTCGACTGGACGCCGCAATGCAATAGCATACACTGGGCGTAAACGGCAAGAACTAATTCGAGTATCATGTCAACGTATGACAGAAGGACGAGATTTGGTTCGTGGATGGCCGTATTCCGTGGTACAGTACCCGCCAAAAATAGGGCAAAGTCAACCGGTACCCGTTGTCGATTCAACGATTACGGAAAGACTGCTGAGCCCTGTTCCGTGGACGCGCCTCGGCGTCGAACAATTCATACGCGTACGACTCTGAGAACCGCAGCCGACCAGGCACTAACACGGAACACTCGGTTCTCGAGCACGTTGCCTGGGATGAGGGATGCGGATAGGACGAACCTGCGGAGAGGTAATTACACGAGCAAGTCGCAGAGCGCGATGAGACAGTTTCAAGGCTGCTCACTTGCAGTGCTTCTTTGCCACCGCAGGGCTGAAGATATGCGTTTCTTTTTTTCGATGGCAATTACTCGAAATCTGGGGATACACATCAACCGCCTCCAACGGGGTTAACCGACGACGATGGCGAAGCGAGGACGGTCGGGCGGCGGGTGGTGGAGGAGTACGAGACCATAGAGGGAAATCAGTGTCAACGGCCGTTTCGAGAGGCCGTCCTTTTGATTATAGTGGAGCAGAGGACGGCGTGACGATGCTCACACCGAAGGAAAGGGTAGAGGTTGAGAGAGACGTCGATGTCAATTGCAGCGTAAAGAGCGGTGGATATGGTCAGTGTGCTATGCCGGATGTGGTTAGCCCCATCATGGGTGACATCTCATCCCCAATCCCACGTCTATCCAACATCTCATGTATTGGTTCTATGCTGATTGACCCCTGCTATCCTGCATCCATCCTTGTCTACGGCCTCAGGGCGAATACTCAGACTACAATACATGAGTCTACTCTACACAGTAGAGTCTATAGTACCCCCGCGCTATGGTCGTGGGACCTTTGCACCAATTCCTCTTTGGTTCAATCTTGTAGGCCGCCTATGCCAGATGCACGTCGTACGTACTTGGCCAACTTGCTGTTCGGCATCGTGCGGCACCATAGACGCGCAGGACATGGCTTTGCAGAATGGCCCCAAATGCCCCATGACAAGGTGATATTGCCCATATGCAGATGATTCCGTCGTATCCAGGCCACTTTCGGATGGGGCCCGAAGCGCAAGGCAGACTTAATTGTAATGGGTAGTACACCCTCGAAGATCACTAACTCATGAGGGGCAAACAGACAATGTAAGAATACTGGTATCGATCCATCGATCTGGATTGTTTGTAATCTAAAAGAAGTGATTGAAAAGATTGTATCCCGTCCCTAAGTAGTCAAAAGAAAGTAAGAAAAAGAAAAATCCAAAAGATACTCCGACGCTCCAATTGCGATGCAGCCAGGTTCCCGTGACCAGTGTGCTATGCAGTTCATCCCGTGCCAATACCCACGTCTCTAGATCGTACAAGCCATCTCCAAGCCCCATCATATACGTTTCGTTCCAATCATGTCCAGAGGTCATAACCCGACCAAACTCCATACCCATAGCGATAACCATAACAATTTGAACCAAAGTATTCGAATCCAGAAACTACGCCGTGATATTTGGTTCCATTCTCACGTAGAGCCCGGCTCCAAGAGGTGAAGCAGTGAAGCAGTAGCGCATGATCGTTGAGAATAAACCAGAAGAAGTCAAAGGCTGAAGTGCAAAAAGACTCGCAAGAACGCTGCGCGTAAAAAGCAATGTGATGATCTTCGATGTCGCCCGGATAGCTGGATTCGAAGTTGCCGCTTAATGGTGTGAATACGCTCCACTTCCGTACCCAGAATCTGGAAGCACAGAGGTAGTGTGTAGATCATGTGCGTGTTGTGATCGGTGGCTGCTGTGCATTGCACAAGCGTATCCCACGAGGACAGTCTTCTCTTGAGTGATGTGCCCTCGCTGTCCATAGGAAGAGCAAGGATCAATGGCGTGCTGGTAGTAAAGGCACCGGCAGACGGAATAGCGTTCGACGACTTGATAGCACATGATGACGAGGTGGTTGACAGATGGCTGGTGGGAGCAACGTCTTGAGAGTGAGGCGAGTAGAGGTTGTATAACGAAGAACAAAAGCAAACAATGCGTAGCAGCAACGGAACGATTGTGGAGTAGGGAACGGTGCGTCTTAGTCTTGCGGGATGGAACGGGTGATCCTCGAGGGCGAGGAAGCTAGAATATATAGCTTATCATACATCAGAAGGATGGAGCAGAACAGATATCAAACTGAGGGAGTGGGTCATAGACAGAGAGCATGTGGATGCTCGTGCTGCAACTCATTTCAGGCAACGGGAGTGAGGTGCCTGTGTGGTTGTAGGTAACAGGTGCACAGTCAGCGATGATAGTTGCTAAGATGGGGCAGAAGTAGAAGGGAACTAGCACAGCCATCATGACAGTTTAGTTTTGGCATCTTTAGAAAGTGGAAAGACCACAAGCGTGATGGTTCCATTCGGCTGCGGCTCTCTCAGCTGGGGGTTGGCCGATTCGAGCATGAGGATAATCGTTCCTATTGGTCAGAGGGGTATGAATCCTTCCAAAGCGAAGTTCGACCTCGTACAGGGGAGAAAAGAGAGAGTATACAGTGGTAGGAACAATGACATGCCATGGAACATGGACCGTGAAAGAAGTTGCCTCGAATCGTTCTACGGGGAATACCAGCATCGCCAAAGGACAAGGCTCATGCTTTACCCAGCCATAGAGACTACCTACCACCGCAACGCCCAGCAGGGTCTGGCGAAGAGAGGACAGTGCACACTGCACACTGGAAACTGAGTACATCTTGAAACGGTGTAACATCCATGTTCGGTCGTTTGTCTGTCGTGCAGCGATCGTGCGCTCGGCGGGAGCCACACATCTCCAAATCTCCTTTGTGCGTGGATCTGACAACCCGGCATGACGGGGTCAGCCAGGCCCTTGGAATAGAGGGTGGCTCCCTGGCTCCCTAGCTCCCTGTCTCCCTGCCTCAAAGCAGCCGAGGGGGGGAGGCAGTGTGGTGATGATGATGACGGTCTGCTGCATACTCACGTCGTTCAACCTGGGCTCAACCAACGGGGAAGCCATCGAGCCTTTGGGAGGTTGCCCTGTCTTTCGGCATCGAGTACCGCGTGCAGGCTCAGCATCGGAAGAAAGACGACGTGGACAAGGGGGCCAGATGATCCGAGACATTATGATCCGATCGCATGGCGCACACACACTCTCGTCGTCCTTGATGATTATGGCGTCGGAGAGGTCCGTGTACGAGAGTCGTCAACAACGATTTTGATGTATCGTGTATCATGGAATTGTCGTGGAACGTGTATTCATAATCAATATGGGGGAAGTGAACGGTTCGGTGGCTGAACCTCGGTTGAGGCTTTCCTAATACAATCAACTCCCGCTTTCTCTCTTCCAACATCATCTTAACTACCACCTATACAAACTGTGACACACGAATAATGCGAACACATTACATTGTTCTGAAATCTGCCTTCGGTCGCTCTGATGGAATATCTACGTGCCGATCCAACCGCGCTCGATTATGGTCGACAGGACTCGTCACCACCTGGAATCGGGAATATGATTATATCCAGCTTCGACTACGGCGTAGGCCCATGGCTGTCACTGCTGCCGAGTCAGGCGCCGCATCGCGAAAGGCCAGTAGGGAGGGGCGGAAACAGCAACTCCAGCTCAACTTCGTCCCGCCATACCACGAATGTACCAGGGGTTGACTCATATTAAAAGCCAACTATACCTTCATCGGTAGTAGTGATGTGCCTCTAGAGGGCGGATGTACGCATTCAAGATGATGCTGATGATGAAGCAAAGCTTCCAAGGAGGCAGGCCATGGAAAGATTGTCCAGATCCTGTCGATCGCATCACGCAAACTGGACGATGCTGCCCCAGTAGCCCAGGAGAGCCCAGGAGCCCGGCGCTTCCAGGGCTGACAAGCTGAGGGCATCACGGTACCGAGCGCACGCACTGTCGTTGCCGTCTCCACCATGTTCAGTTCATTGATTGTACATTCTTGTACAATGCTGTCCGGTGTATCGAAATGGCACCTGTCTGCGAAAAATCGACGGGTTACGGTTTCCACCCTCGGTGTTGATTAGATATTGAACAGCGCAGGCCCACCACTGCGCGGCACCAGGGCTTGCTCGATCTCGAATCTGCTCGCGAGATGGATGTATGTTCGGAATGTTTGTTCCCCCACGCCCTGTCGTACACGAATCTCGACCGGACTCGATTCGTTCCGTGTGCCCCGAACGAGCCCACCGTGTGCAATGTACAGTACCTTTGCAATAAGCTTACGGCTACCGTTGAAGAACACCATGCAGCCCTATGCGCTCTCCCGTTTCCCTCATCCACGTGGCTTGTCCGTTCATGTCTCACGACACCCACCCCCGTACCCACCCCCGTACCCACTACACTCCATCACTTCTGCTCTCTGCCTTTTGCAGCCCTATTGACATCACTTCGCAGCCTACAACCCCATCGATTACTCAACCCTCTATACAGAAGAAGTTTGGTCGGAGCATCCCATTTTTCAGTAAGTTTTTTAATATTTACTCGTTTCAGAAAGTGTACTCTGATCTGACTAGGACCTCGCCTACCCTATGCTACGCAACGTTTCTGGCCCCCGTCCAATGAACACAGCTGAAAGGCGGAATGGAGTAATAATAAGGTTAAAGATGAACCAAATACGGCGAATAAGGCAGACTCTGTAACTCGCCGAACATACCATATTCTGGTACACCATCCCATCGAGGCTTGGTACCACAAGATATTCCTTCTGCTGTTACTGTTGCTGCTGCCTACAATTTCGGAGTTCACCTGTAATTTTGTTCTATTAACTACCTATCCCCTCATTTACGCTGCTGATCTTGCTTGCAAAGACCTAACCAAAAATATCTTCTGTTCTCTCACCCCATCCTCCATCTCATCCAGACTCGTCCCGTGTCCTGTTTTGTACCGTGCTTCGCTGTGCAGTGTTATGCTTCCAATAGCACAATGCACAATGCAATGTGATATCTGCCCACTTGCAATGTCATCACACTCCTTCCCTTTTGTGACGAAGTAAGGTAATATACCGGTGAGGCTCACCCTTTGTGCGACAGACCACTGCTAATTCCAGTACAACAGCACAAACCTCCAATTAGCAAATGTAACCGCCACATCTGTCTTTTTCCTCCTCTCCCAAATGGACCCAATCCTGGAAGATTGTTGATCGATTTGGGGTCAGGAACACACACGCACACATGCATGCATGTTGCACGAACATCCATCTGCTCGTCCGCTAGACCCTACCTAGGTACCTAATCCATTCCGCCACACATCACTCGGCGCCCGTCCACACCAGAAATCCCCCTCTCTTTCTCATCGGTGAAGAACCCCAGTTCTCCACGAGGCGATGCATCGAAAGAAAAAATCAGCGATGATTATGATGACGGTGATGTGACGGAAATTGGCGTGCCTCTCCTTCCAGACAGCGCATCGAGAGGTCGGAATTGTGCGCGCGCGCACGCACATGCACGCGACACTTTGTTGTTGATCTGCTTATGCTCATACATGATGAGTGTCTTCAAGTTAGGAGTCACGGATATCTGCACGATCGTCTACGCGGGACCTTGGGAATGTAGAAAGCGGGATGGGGGAAAATAGCGGTCAGTAATTTCCGTGTGATGCAATGTTGAGTGTCGGTCAGCACGAGGGATTGCTGCGCCAGCGGGTGAGTATTTGGATTGGAAATTATGATGACGTACGGAGTTGAGGTTATTGTAATTACTGGTATGCATGTTGTAGGGGTGGGTTGTAAATATTCGGTCACTCGGTTTCATTTACAGAACTTTGCCGAGCGCAGCAACTTTGAAGATGGTGTATACGCAAGATAGATTCGCAATGTAGGACATTTGTATACGTGCATGGCTTCAGCGAGTTTTTGTACACCGTTGTATAGATCGACAGAGTAAACGGTCAGTAACAGGTATACAATGAAAGGACTTCTGATACGAGTACTCCGGATGATCGTTGTTCCAGCTTCAGGATTAGGTATTCGGATGTTTCGAGGACGAAGATCTCGGAGCTATCGCTCGGCCACCAACACGCTTCTGTCACAGCACGGAAATGATAAACGAGCAAGAACATCTGTCAAATCCCCTTGAAACTATTGAATCAACTTGCACAAAAGAAAACTCCGTTGATTGATTAACCACACAACGAATCCATAATGAAGGCTCACAGAATAACAACACCTCCGTTTCGTTCACCACCGGTCTGCTCGTCAGTTTCAACACCTGTTCTAAGAGAGGCAACACAAGTTAGAGCTCCTTGGTCCACAAAATAAACCAGAAATTCGGACTATAGTCAATATGCTACTTTACGGTGTAAATAGAATAGATACCGTCTTTCTGCTTCTTCTAATCACCCACTGTCTCTTCACCTAGTTTGACACCTACTTTTCCAACCCAGCTGGCTGGTTAAATTAATCAGTATAAATTCTTTCCCTAAGTTCTTCTCTTCGTAAAAGCCGCTACCATGCGTTTCGCTCGCATAGCGCTTTTCGCAATCTTTCACTACCAAATTAGGACGACGCATGCTCTTTCCGATGCTGGACGTAAAGAAGGAGGAGCTCTTGCTCCTCCTATCGAAGACTATCCTATAGATGAGAGCGTGTACGCCGGAGGTTTAGAAGACCCCGAAATCGGTTCCGAGGACCAGTACGGAGACGAATATACGGAAACCCTTCGAGCTCGCGATCTTCATGATGGGAGTTCCACTGACGAGGGCGATGAATATGCCGCGTACCTCGAAACTCGCGATCTTTACGAGGGTAATTACTTTGACGACGATGACTATGGCGACCACCTTCAAGCTCGTGATATTGCTCCCGGGGCGGGTACCAGTGGCCAGCGCAGCGATATCGATCCAGACGATGAGGAAGAATGGGATTTCGTTAGTTCTAGCTCTCTGCCAGAAATTTTTGATGAAGAAATTCCCAAAGCTCAAGTTTCGGCAACAAAGGCTCAAGCTTCGACATCAAAGGGATCTATTGCCAGAAGGGCCGCCGAAACACCTCCAGCAGTCGCCGACTCAAAAAAGGTACCAACGAAGATCAGTGATACCGGTTCAGACCCAGACGCTGAGGAAAATTGGGACTTCGTCAGTTCTAGTTCTCTGCCAGAAATCTTTGATGGCGACATCCCCGAAGAAATTCCCAAGGCTCAAGCGTCGGCAACGAAGGGATCCATCGCCAGAAGGGCGGCCGAAACGCCTCCAGCGATCGCTAACCCAGAAAAGCCACCTTCCCAAGCCAGCAATGTCAATTCAGATCCAGACGCTGAGGAAAATTGGGATTTCGTCAGTTCTAGTTCTCTACCGGAAATCTTTGATGATGACGCCCCCAAAGAACTCCCCAAGGCTCAAGCTTCGGCAACAATGGCCTCTATTGCCAGAAGGCCGGTCGAAACGCCTCCGGCAGAAGCTCCTCCGACACCTGGTCGAGAGAAGTAAACGATATCGCGACGGAGACCACCAAACGGGGGAGAGCATCGAAGGGAGGTTTTCATTTTGGAGAACTGAACTGAACAAGAACATGGACCACTAAGAACTTCGGCGGGTAGAATACGAGTAGGACGGATCACCGCTGCATTGGAGAAGGGACAGGGATGAGGGTAGGTTGAGACTGGTGTCAAGGCAGACAGCACTGGATAGATCGGGTGTTAAGACTCAAGATAAATGTAAAATAGTTACAGACAAAGAACACATGTTGAAGGGTGTTACTTCAGTAGGAATGAAATAGCCGTGATATGAAAATTGGATATATTTAGAATGCTCCACTTTTAGCAAATCAGTTACAATGTTTATGTATAAGATGATGTAAATAGATTTAATGTTCTACCAACAGTTGAAGAGCAGAATAGAGTTCGGGCATGATACTCCGAAAAGCTAACTATGACGAACTATGTACTGATCATAGTGAAGTGAATGGCCAAAACTGGGGGGTATACCGAGAAACAAAAAAAAGAAAACCTCCCGTTAAGCAAGCCCAGTTACATGGACGCCATAGTGTAACACCAATGTCATGAGCCGTACGAAATAAGAATAAGTCTGGAAGAACCACACTTCTAGGTATGCTAGCAGAGACCAAGGGATGCCGCGTGCGCTAGAAGAGACGTATGTGTATGCCAAATAATTGGACATTGAGGGGTTGGTCTACAAGAAAACTACCATGTAGACAACGGTCATGACCATGGCGACATAGCCGGAGTAATGGGGGATCCGAAGGTTGCCAGCGGCGTCGTCCTCTCCTCCAGGTGCGGTCGTTCCATTGGGGAGCGATCCGTTCAAAACAAGGGTCTTGGTTCCGTTGACGTCTGCAACGTTGACGAGCGTCTTGTTTAGGGCATCATAGCTGCCATTTCCGACAAGGTCGTTGATGTATGATGGGTCATCATTCTGCTCGCACCCACATGACATAAACTCTTCACACAGACAGGTGACGGGGAGGGTTTCGTTTTGACCCTGCTGCTCTTGTCGACGCTCATTCTGGTTCTCCGTGCGATTGTGGCGACTCGAGTTGTAGAATCGGTATGAGTTCAAGTGGTACGGGTAGACGCTCCAGAGCCAGATACCAGGGAAGATAGCCAGGGCCGCAACAGGCACGATCGCGGGTGAAGCGCTGAGACCTTTGTTGGAAGTTCCACCAGCCTTGTATGGTACACTGGCTCCCCCTCCGTAGTATCCTCCTCCGTATGCGCGAGGTGGTCCCGATCCTAGTTTCGTTGATCCGCCGACATTGGAGTTGGGCTGGGTGCGAGCTCCTCCTCCTCCTCCACCACCCCCTCCTCCTCCTTTGCCGCCGCCGCCGCCGCCGCCACCGCCTGAAGATAGGTGTTAGGGAGGGACTCGTATATGATATGACGAAATGCTATGCTTACCACCACCGCCTTTGCCACCTCCACCTTTGCGCTTCTCAAGCGCATTCTCTTGTGCTATTATGTTTTCGGACCTAGGTACGCTACCACCGTGTTCCGCGAGAATGCTGAGTGCATTGCTCTCTGGTAGCGATGCAGCATTTGCGAACGATGTGGCAAGGAAGCCGTAGGCAAAGAGTTGTAGGAATCTCATGATGTGAGTTCGATAATGTGTGACGTCGTTAGGTGTGACAGGGGTAAGCAACACGCTTTAACGCAATGGAGCGCGCGCGGTAGGAAGTCGTTCGCGGAAGTAGGACGTGTATGCAAGAAGCGTTCGTTGGATGTCTTCGCAGGTGCTGATAGATATCGACCTGCGCCACGCGAATGTGTTAAGAAAAGGTTAAGTGCTGATGTAGGGACGTGGTGATGAGGGAATCTGAACTTTATGTAACTTTGAGTGTTTGGTAAAGAGAGACCGGCTTAGGCCTGTACCTTGGCATGTAGCACAGCCCACACACGGGAACGAATGGACGAATCAATGGTTTCAAGCCTTTTATGAGTTGACCTTTTAGGCATCTTTGTTCAATAAAGACGCCGATGTCCCTTTGCAAGTTCCTCTTACAGAAAGCTTAACATCGTGATCACTTACATCGTATCATATCATGGCTGTGCTGCACTCTTAAGGGCTCGTTTCCCATTGATCCTTACTAAACTGTGCCTTCGTTATGCATTTGGGCATCAAACTGTGCGCAAATATTTGTCAAGAAGACTACCAACTCATACTAGGTAACTAGGAAGGTGATTAGTGGCGTAGGAAAAGGCTTGTAATCCGCAGGAAAGGGTCTCTACAAGTCCAAATACATCATGAGGTCATGGTTCGCGAATCAATTGTGGCGACCCTACCGGCACTAATCACCGACTTGGAAGTCTTCTAGAATCAGGGACCGACTAGAAGGTGGCTTTGTCGTGACGACATTTCCTCGCCCGACGGACTCAATTTACGTTGAGATCACACCTTCAGATCGAGTTGTGGTCAGCAAAGTTACGAGTATACACGACGTGTAGAGATATGTTGTGGTCGTGTCGTTGGATCATATGCCAGTATGATGCCAAGTGTAAGGCCACCTCATCCGCCCGTCGGCAAGCATTATTGCTCCTTAGTCTGATGATCTGTATGAGGGTCAATGGACATGGGCTAATATGACCGGTCAGCAAACACATTCCCCTGGCAACGAATAATTGGTCGGCTTCTTTGATTGATAGATACAACCAAGAATTTCTAGGAAAGCAGCGAACGCTGTCTTTGTCCTTGTATGTTAATAGACCTTTTTGATGAGAGAAAACAACACATTACTGTGTAGAATCTGATTGTTTATGCTCTACTGACGCCCGTTTATGACCGTGGATTAATGCGATTTGGAATCAACCTGCCGGTGGTCGGTCGGTCTAATCAAGTGCTAGGCGAACAGAATAGGATTCACCGAAAGTCTGGTATCGTGGCTGAGGCGTCCGTCAACCCGATCAAGACACTCCCCGGAGGATTTTCACCCAAGGACATAGACAATCGCAAAAGCGGGGGTTGCGGGAAGAGTACTCTATTCGTTCCGGAAATGAGCTAAGGCCAGAAAATCGTGAGAGCGTAGATATTGTACAATTATTTCGCTAACTAGAGCAAGAGGCGCAGCACTCTCCTGATGCTGCAAAATTTACTAGTTTCCTTGGTGAAGGATTTGAATGGGGTGGCCGAAGTGTTCTCCAGGTTTTCACTGAGAGGTTTCCGCCAATGACCGGCCTGAGAAATTGTAGACCCAGATGAAGCCTATCTCAACGTCAGGGAAATTTCTCCCAGCACGTAGGTCAGGTTTGACAGACCTTACACCAGAACCAGGCTGAGGTAGATGATGTGTACGCCCCAGGTAGATTGACATAGGGCAGTGTCAGGGGCATAGAACGTTCTCACCGTTACCACCAACGACGGTTGTAACAATAAGCAGCATTGCCATGTCATACCCTCCAAGTCTTCACTATCGTGCTGTCCCTCCAGGGGCTTCGGGCCCTCCACTATCCGAAACGGTTTGAACTTTACGGTATTCTTTTTCCAGTGCTTGTTGCATCTCAAAGTCTGCTTGTCTCTCCCTTTTCACACGTTGCTGTTCGTAGTCTCGGATGACGCCGGCATGCATTGCCTAGAGAGTAATTCGGTCAGTAACAGAATATCAGTCTGCTATTATCGTGGAGTGACTTACAGCCTTCTCTGCGCGCTGTGAATAGTGAACGAAGATGACGATTCCAACAGCGCCCAATGAGGTCGCTGCAAGAGTTAACTTGGATGCTCGCGACATTGCAACGAATGTGGGAAATATATATTAATACAATAATTCTACAGCCACATTGAGAGAAAATAGTCAAGCTGTGGTGGAATGATGAAGATAGTTTTTGGCGGAGGAGCTTGGGCCATGACGCCAAGGCTCCGCCCGCCGCTCGACGTTTCCGCAACTTGGACCTCAACGACCTCATAGCAAGTCTCCAGCTCTATCTTGTCGTCCCCTCAATATGGTACGATCTTATCCTCAGTGGACCTGTATTCTACAATGCTAATAAATGCTAGTCTGCTCAAAACTCAGCGGGTATCCAAACCCTCCTCGATGTAAGGCACACAGCCCACTTCAAGCTGGGAAAGCTCACGATGACGATAGGCCGAGCGCGAAGCTCAGAAGATTGTTCAGAAAGGTCAGTAGGGTGGACTTGAATATAACTGTCACTTTGGCTAATGTCTTTCTAGCTAGAGAATGTAAAGCGAGCCCGAGGAGCTTCTGATTCAAGCCGCTGACTTCGCAGACCGCACGAAACGAGTAAAAGACGCACGAAGCGAAGCCCAAAAGGAGATTGAAGAATACCGCAAAGAGAAGGACGAGGAGTTTCAGAAGTTTGAGAAGGAGGTACGTTGATATGGACAAGGGACCGATCGGCGCACGTTAGGCAGAGGCTTACTCTTCGCTAGCACACCTCCGGAAACAAGAAGGCCGAAGAAGATGCCAACAAGGAGACCGACGAGAAGATTAAGGAAATCGAGGGAATTGGCAAGAAATCCGGACCGAAGGTTGTTGAGCAGTTGATCAACGCTGTCACGAACGCTAAACCTGAGCCGCTACATGCACAGTAAATGCCAACTCGCGTTAATTAATACCACAACATGTCTTTCAAACATACGGGCCAGCTCAGATGGATTCTGGTCAAGGAATTTGGTGTCTGATGTTGAGTCTACGCCACGGACGAATAGGGCAGCCTAGACCTGGTGCTCTCCGATGTTATCAGCAGGTCAATTGAGATAGAGACAATCCCTAAGGATGCTTTGGGAAGAGAGCAATAGATAATCACAAGGTTGCGTTTAAAGGATATTCTCTTGTGTAATACAAGTGCCAGTATATATCGTTCTATCAAGCATGTGTTCTTCTCGCACGTAACTCGGACCTATCAGATAGGAATTCCGCTTGTGTTGATGATACAACATTGAAAACATTGAGTTTAACAATATCTTGAGATTTGCATTATATTACGATAGAACACACGACTACACGTTGTGACTTTGCACATGTTGATTGCGATTGAAGCTCTGAGTACAGGACCCATGTTGACCTTACGTCACCGGTTGGAACGCGACTTCTCAATTGGCGACCTAGTCGTCCAAAATCTGCATACCATTCACGCAACGCGATGCTATCACATCCCTTCGCCTCATGATACGAATCTTTTATCGAGCGACACCTCGCTCGACTTTGCGATGGCAAAGAAAAGTGTGTGCATTCAGCACCTCTCGGCGGTTGTTGGAAGATCCGCGACTTCAGAACATCGGGCGCCGCATTGAAGACGAATTTGCAATTATACGAAACCACTATGGTATTGTATGATTTTCATATCATACTGCTCTGCTAACAAATCCGTAGATACTCCCGTATGTACGACCTCATATCCTGTAAGCGCACCTAACGAATCGACCAGAAACACACACTTGTTCTCGCACACGGTTTACTTGGCTTCAATGAGCTTAAATTGGCTGGAAACATGCTCCCTGGAATACAATATTGGAGAGGCATAACCGAAGCACTGTCTGCGAAAGGCGTAGAGGTCATTGTTGCCGCCGTTCCACCGTCTGGATCGGTAGAGGCGAGGGCAGAGAAGCTTGCGGAGAGCATATCGGCTCAGGCGAAAGGCAAGGATGTCAACATCATAGCGTAAGTATAGGCATCCCTAGGATTCGGTGAATGGAAGAAACATATGGCTAATCAAAAGCAGACACAGCATGGTATGTTGCCTATCATCGAACCACTCGATGTGTACTGACATGTGAATAGGGGTAATTGATCTCTCTTCCATTTCGTGTCCGCCTAGACTAAGTAATGAAGTGGACTCGACTCTCGATATATGATCAGCTGTTTGAAACCAACCGACTTCAACGTTCTATCTCTGACAACCATTGCCACGCCGCATCGTGGCTCCGCATTCGCGGACTACATGTTCGAGTCGATCGGAGGTGGGTCACGATTAGCACCCAAGACAGATGTGATACTAACCATTGATAGCCCGCCAAATCAAGCGCATCTATCAGATCATGGAGTACATTGGTCTGGAAACCGGCGCTTTCTCTCAACTGACGTGTAGCTACATGCAAGATTCGTTTAATCCAAGAACTCCAAACGTTGATGGCGTGAAGTAAGTTCGGTTTCTCAATCTTGGAATCTGCCCTCACACATTTAGGTATTACTCCTACGGCGCTTCGCTTGAACCTTCTGCCTGGTCAGTCTTTGCTGCCTCTCACGGCATCATAAAGCGTATTGAAGGTGGTTTGAATGATGGGTTGGTCAGGTATACTGTGCAGTCCCATCAACTGAATGACACATTTGTTGACAACTCCAGTGTCTCATCAAGTCAATGGGGCCAGTATCAAGGAACATTGATTGGTGTAAGCCATCTGGATCTGATCAATTGGACAAACCGCTTAAAATGGTGGATTTGGGAATTGACTGGCGGCAAAAGAAAGTAAGTCTCCAAAACCAGCAGCCATCTTTTGGATGACTGCTCGGTCATTTTCCTTGAACAGCTTCGAGCTACCTGGGATTTCTTATGTCAATCGTTCAACGTCCAATGCATCCACACCTACAGCTGCTGATGATGAGGCAGTTTCAATGCCATTGCATTATATTTAGATATAGCCGGTAAGTTTCCTGACACGTCACGGACATATTGATTCTTACATGCTCATGCGACGACAAAAGATATGTTAGCGAAGAAAGGCCTTTGAGTGGTTTCGCACAATATGCAACCACATTTGTGTGAGGAATGAGGGGAAGGTCAAATATCAGCCCCCGAATCGAAAGCATAAGTCCGCGTCAGCAGTTTCGAATGAGCCCTTTGAGCTGAAGATGCATTCCTACAAACTGGTGAGTTGGCCCTGAAAGACTGGTAAAAGGGGAAAGGTGCCTTGAACAGTTGGGCTGCGCCACATCCGACTTTCCGCAGTAAAGCTCTTTTGGGAACCCGAACACACAAACGGACTTGGGCGTAATGTTGTTTACAGATGCGAAATCATGTCACCATGTCGCGTCTATTGTAAAGCGTACATATTGACAATTCAAAAGACTTATAGATGTCTTAGATTATTTGGACGTTACAAGGTATTGGAAGTCTATAATTAAGAAAAATGACGTACGATTGCCTAAACTGACCAGCCGGGAGTCGCGGGGGAAATTGGTCGCAATTGGCTTGGCCCTGCCACCGTTAAAAGTCACAGTCACAGCCCTATTACCCCTCTGCCCTCTTGCATCATTGCGCTCCCAAAAGCCCTACATCGACTTATATCTGCACACGCGTTCTCCAGGCTGTGCGATCCAACAAAGTACGATTTCCAGCGCGACGACAGCGCTCCTTGCTCGCCCGAAATCAATTAAATGCCACGCTATGTCGGTTGAAACTCTCAGGCATAAATCCGTATTTTCGTAAAAGCACATCCTCGCGAATCGTAACCTAATCATCCGCGTGCCGCGATGCTCGTCTCTATCGCTCTCGAACACCCACACAGCCACTACACCAATCTCGATGTGATTAAGGGCAAGGTGATGCTCAGGGTGCCAAACCCGAGCAATGTATCCAGTATAATCGTGAAGTTGGAGGGCGAGTCGAAGACCAGGCTAATGGCTGCGATTAGGCCGGATAGGCCTGAAAGACAGCGGCCTGTACTGGAGGTCCACAAGGTGAGTGCGATATGCGAAACTTACTCCAATATCTTGGAGCACAGTTTCATAGAGAGCAAAAGTCATATTGCAAAGCTAACATTCCATTCGCGGAGTAGATCCTGTACAAGACTCAAGTAGTCTGGCCCGCAAACGTCCACTCAGAAGATATCCTGGCGGGATCTAAGGCAACATACACGCTGAACTCAGGTCAATACGAATACCCATTCCAACTCAAACTGCCTTTGAATACTGCCTGTCAACCATCTAACAGTATTTCTACCAACGGTATGTGTAGTGTTCATATACATTTGCCTAATCATGGTATGCTAAACAGCTATCAGTACAATTTAGCGGCATCGTACCAGAAATGGCGAAAACCCCAACGCGACATATAAAACAAACCCTACCCCCCTCACTTACGGGATTTCCGGGGGAGGCTGAAATCAGATACTACGTAAAGGTCACCGTCAACCGCCCGCAGTTTTTCAAGGAGAATCCTAGAGCCCAAGTGAACTTCACCTTCCTACCAATCGAGCCGCGGCCAGAGCTGTCAGACGGAGAGGCATATGCGAGAAGATCACATCAATTTTTGGAGAACGCGCAAAGTGTGGCTGCGAGCAAGAAGAAGGGTTTCTTCGATAAAATTGGATCTTCATCTGAACTTCCAATATCTCCCTCGAACGCGGGAACACCACCTCGATTCTCCGTTGACGCCCGGCTTCCGAATCCCGCTATCCTCACTTGCAATAAGGATCTTCCCTTGCGAATCTTGGTCAAGAACGTAAGCGAACGGGGCAAAAATTTGTACTTGCAGATGTTGCAGGTTGAACTGATCGGATATACCAAAGTGCGAGCACATGAAGTTCAACGAGTGGAGTCAGGCAGCTGGATCATTGCGAGCTTTAGCAACATGAGTATCCCACTCGGCTCGCCGACCGATCCAATAGGAACAGAGGTTCCGATCAATCCAGAATATTGGTCCGACAAACCTCTTCCCGCCAGCGTGGCACCGTCCTTCCAGACATGCAATCTTTCAAGATACTACGAGCTTGAAGTCCGTGTAGGTCTAGGTTATGGATCCTATGAGCATGGCAGAGATCAACTTGTCGTTCTTCCCTTGCGACTGCCCGTCAAGGTTTACTCCGGAATCACGCCTCCCAAAGCCCTTCTCGAGGCTACGCCCACTGGTGATTCCGGGAAAGTCGGCTTCAAGCCACCACTTCCACAAGCACAAGCACCTCCAACACTTGCAGGCCCCAGCGTTCCACCACCGTTTTCTCCATCTCAAGGACCCCCCGTGGGTGCTCACCCGGAGCAGCCATACGACGATGCTCCGCCAAGCTACGAGGATGCGATTGGTCAAGATCTACCGCCTATTGATGGGTACAGGGGGAATTATCAACCTCCACCTGTGCCCGAAGGTGCACCTCGATTTTCTGATGAGAAGCGGCGATGAGCATTCTAAGATCCATGATGGTCGGTAAAGAGAGAAAGATGCGTGAGCTCTAGGTGCTTCCCTAGCTCCGCTATCCACCAATGCCGGGAAACGAATGCTAGAGGAATAGTGCCAGCAGATAAGGGTGCTAGGCATGTACGGGAGACTCGAAAGTCAATTCTAGGCTTGTCGTGCTTGTTGGATTATGGCAGAGCGACGAACGAAGGTTCTATCCAGTACATTAATGCGCAGATATACGAAAGGAATGGTGATTAATAGGGGTAATTGCCCCTTCTAGACTTCTGACTATACATTTATTTTAATATTTTTTCCTAAGAGCAATCATGCTATACAAAACATCCTCAAAAGCTGAGTTGCTGTAGAATCCTGACCGAGGTATTGTTATTTTATAATGTCCTTCACATTCATGGATTTGATCAGGATAGAACTCCACGCTGGTCCTGGCTTCTAGTTGGGAACGGACCTCTATACGATCCAGCTGTTGAGCTAAATAGTGGTTGATACTTGTAAGGAGATTCGATCATTCAGCACGCGAAATCTGCCTGACTCGCCAATGACATGGTAAATCCGACTGTGACCAAACATTGTCAAGACAATAACTTTGGCTGAAATGACATCTCTGGGGAACATGCAAATCGGAGCAACAGACGGAAACGGTACTGCACACAGCTGCCGAGGGCCCCATTCCGGTGCGGCTGAGGCGCCGTTGTCTCACTAGGAAGCTAGAGGCAATTGATCGACAGGGACAGCCACACTTTGATAGTTCAATAGGAGCCCGCTTTTCTTGGACCTCGCTCCTCAGTGGAACGCCAGAAAATTCCATCGTATGGAATTTTCAAGTCTAATTCTGTTCATACTGACATCTTTCTAACTCTATATCCCATATGTCTTTTCTTCACTTCTACTTTTATCATGTTTAAACCTAAGACGGCGTTGGAATGGTCGTTACTGGCCGTGACCTCAGTGCAGGCACTGGTCGTTACGGTCTGCAACATGTTAGTCTTTCTGGCCGCTCTATGCACCCTGATGGTATTGCCGATTTATCTAATCCCTTTATAGCATTATTCTTATTTCATATCTCCACTGGGTGAATCCGGTGGTCTATCAAGTACCTCTGTCATACAACATACCCATGTGCCTCACCACATCGGCACTGGGTTGTATATTCCAAGTCTTCCTCACCCTTGATTCATTCCGGATCAAGAACACAGTGCAGCTCGTCGCCCTATGCATCGCCAACGTCTTCCTCACCATAGCAATTGGCCTGCAGTACCATACGTCCAAAGCCTCTGTCGGACGCATCCTGATCAACACTGACATGTACGGCTTCCCGTTCGCACAAGCTGAGATACCCTTTTGGGCGAACTCGGCGCCGACGTTGATCGTGTGCATCGTGGTAGCATGCGTCTGCACTTCGGCGATGGTTGGCCTGGCGTATGGCTTGCACATTGAGTTCGCATGGGCTTTGTACAAGAATGTCAGTCCGGATATGAAGATGAGGAATCGATATCTAGTGTATCAAGTACGTCAACTATTGCCCACCACCATTCACAAAATCATGCCCCTATCACATCCACCATCCACCCGTCTCTTCTATTTTAGAGAAATTGAACTAGACTGATCGAAATAACAGATCTACCTCGTGCTGTTACGGTTCACATTTCTCTTCGCAGTGCTCCTGATCCTCCTCTTCGACCTCGTCGAAGTGCACTACAGAGAACCCGAATTCTCCCTCACCATGGGCGTCATCCCGCTAACCCTCCTCCACGCCATCGCATCCGCCTTCTGCGTCCAGCGCGAGACGAAACTCGGCATGGCCGTCATCATCGTAAGCCCCCCCCCTCACGCATTCCCACCCCCATTCCCACAACCCTAACTAACACCATCAAACAGACCCTCCAACTCGCCCTCCTCGCCTTCCTCTCCCGCTGCCTCAAACAGCTCCTCAAAATAGGCTTCGTCCAATCCGTCACCATGCAGAACGAGACCGTGCTGTTCGCGCTCGTCGCGCTGTTCTTCGCGGCCGCGACCCTCGTCGTTGCCGTGCTGTGCGTGTGCAACTTCGGCAAGGGGCTGCGGCCGATCCTGCGCGCGGGCGTGGACGTCAGGAGGGAGAATGGGAATGCCTGGTACAAGGCTGCGATGACGAAGGATGAGGAGGAGGAGGAGAGGGAGAGGGGCGCGAAGAGGGATGGGAGGTATTATAGTTTGACGTCGAGTTGTGGGGGGAGGAGTATGGGGTGTCGGTTTGAGTTGGACTGAGGGATCCTGGACGCTGTGCGTTGTTATGTTTGTTTGATTTGGGTGTTTGGGATAGGAGGTTATGGAGTCAATGTGGGGTGGATGTCATGATATAGATATACCTACTTAATTGATAATAAGGACAAAACAACTTATACCTTTCTAATGAGTTTAAAATCGACACTGGAGTTGGACATATCTACATTGATCAAATAATTTGTACGTGAGAGAGGACATAGTCTTTTTACAAGAGAGAATACACGTTTAGCATTGGCCTACACTAGCTAGTCGATGCCCAGCCGCTCTACCTCTCTTCGATCAGATGTTGATAGCATATGGGAATACAAGGCTACTAATGATAGTCCAAACTGACCGACCGAACGAACGACCGACCGGTGAATCTGGGGCGACCGTAAACCCCCCATCTCCCTACCCATATCCATGCCTGTGACTCCAGGCAGTAGTTTGAGGCATTTTCCCGGTGCGGGGGAGGACAAGAGGAGAGGAAGAGGAAGGGGAGGTGGGTGTTTGCAGATCTCCTGTGTAGTACAAGACATGCAGTAGATGTTGGGTTCGCGTTGGGTTGTGATGCGCGCAATGCGTCGTGTTGTCTTGTGCGCGACAGTCGCGATAGCTTGGTGAAGATATCGTTGCTGTTGTTGTTACCTCTCGGTTTTCGCTGTGTAGTTGTTGACGAAAGAGCTACACAAACACCTACACTGCTCTGTAAATGACGAAAAGGGACAATCCGAACAACGTTTGACGGAACGACTGTTGGCATGTTTCCGGCCACGGCTGCAGCAAGCGCGTGCCGCTCGCGTGTCTCAGATGTCATCTCATGCTCGAGCCTGAACCGTTGGTAATTTCGATTTAAGGTTGGCTAATCGATAACCTTGATAACCATGATAAGAAACTTTGTTTCCACCTCTATCTGCTTGTTGGATAATGCAATTCGTGCGTTGAATGCGATCTCACAACGGTAACTCTGCACGAAGCCTATTGTGCACCAGTGTGCATGTTTTGATTGAACGCGTCGTTTGTGCACTGTAGGGGATGCTATGGTGCCTTATACAGTGCCTTACACGAGGGTACTTTGGGCTGCTGAGTATTACACATCGGACGGGCTGCATTCCTGAAACCAGACTCATGTCTGCCAGCCCTACTGTATGTTCCCCACCAGAGAATCAATCGAGCATTTTCAACCATTCGATTTGTTTGTTTATTCGAAATCTGTGTTTTGTTTCGTTTCCTGGCCGTTCGTAGTTCTGGATGTATTCACGCGTTGGACGCACGCGAAAGTGCCGGATCTGCTAGCGGTGCATGGTGCATATCCCTAGCGGATGACTCCGTCCACTCACCGACTTCATCTCTCGTCCCAGCCATCTTGTTTCTTCCCGCCTGCATACACGACATGTCCACAACCTCCCACTACTGCATCACAAATCCATCGTCCTCTTGCCTCCTCTCATCCGATAGGTCGTTCCCCTCGAAACGTTTCAAGCCCTGAATCAGGCTGCCATCTTGGCCGGCAAACAGGTCCAGTCATCGCCGTATATATCAATTCACGCTGCCCCCCAAACACGTCCTCACGCTCGCGATACCGTGTCGTAGTCGTGATTCTCTTCAATAACTCTCCCAAATCCAGCAGTTCCAGAAGAGAAGGAAGAAAAACCACGCAGTCTCGCCGGTTACAAGCCCCCCCAGCGTCAAGAAGACCTTTGACTCACACTTGCGTCTCACGTGTCATCGATCCCCACATCCACACCGACAGTGATGGTAAATACCAATACCATCGGCCCAGTCGCAATCATGCCTGATTCCATTGAGATTTTCGCCTTTTCGTCCTTTTTTCCTGAATGATCACGAACAGAAGACTTTGAAAGAACATTACTTTTTTCCCCCAACGAACCAATACATATCCCATGAGAATTACACAATATGCATTCCAGCCGACCAGCGCATCCGTCGCTGAAGAGATCCGTATCAGACGAAAGCCAAAGTAGCTATGCCAGTGGCGCGACCACAGTGTCGCGATCGAGCTCAAAGCTGTTGTTTGGTGAAATTCCCTTGACTCCTGCGACCACCATATCCGGACGATGTGAGATCCCTCATCATATGCGCAGTGATAAGAATGCGAAATTGACCATTATGCAGCAACTCGATCCAGCAGCTATCACAACATCTGCACATTGGTGTCGTCAACAAACCCAACTTTCTTGCGATTCTGGCTGAATGAGAATTGTCGTGAGAACCTCCTTGCCCACATGGACCAGGAAGACTTGCCCGGCTTCCGACTTGTCTGCCATGACTTCTCAACTCGCGCTGCGCCATATCTCTTTGAGTACCTCACTGTCACCTTCAAGCCTTCTACTTTCACCAAGCCTGCTCGCATGGCAGCATTGTCCAGGGTTGGTCGCCATGTCAAGACGTTCACCTTCCACATGCCACATGACTCGAACACTTCGTTACCACCAATCATTGATCACGAGACTGGAGCAGAGAAGCAGTTCCTCTACGAACCACAAGTCCAAATTGCGCCCATTGTGCCCGGCCAGGAGAGACCTCCCAAGTATGGCACTACTGAGATGACGAACCTTCTCATCCAACAATACCCACCAGTCTTCCATGCAGCGACCAACGTCCCCGCCTTCGTGAATGCTTTCTCAGAGATGATCAACCTCCAACATCTCAAGATCTCCTGCCCTGGTTTCGAACATGCCCCCAAGCACCGAAGGACTGCAGTTGACTATGCCCTCATCTCTCTGCGCATCGCCGTTGAACGCGCGCCTCTTTACGATCTCTCCACTCTCTCATTACTTCCCATTCACCCTGGCGGCCTCCTCTATCTCCACCCCATGCACGGTTTCGGCAGCACAGCAACATCTGCAAAGCGCTGGGCGCAAATCCGCCGCCTGTCCATCTGCATGGAGAGCATCCCTTACAATTCAAAATCGTCCCGCAACCGCGCACAATCACTAGAACACCTCCGCACACTACATGCCTACCTCCGCACCCTTTCCCGTGGCCTTACCCGGCTCTTCTTCCGCTGGAAAGGCGAACGTGGCCCCTCGCCCCTCTCCCTTGATCAAGAACCATGCATGCTCCCTATCGAAGAGGAGTGCATGCACCCCAGCATGCGCGGCGAAGTGCGCGGACCGCGTCCACTGCGCTTCTCTCGGATGCGCTACATGGAGCTCGAGAACGCTGTCATGGACTCCACCCAGATCTCCGACTTCATCCACAAGCACCGTCGCACGCTTGTGGAGTTCAACTTCGAAGACGTCAAGTTGCGCAAAGGCAATTGGGACGATGCTCTTGAGCCTCTCACCCTCATCACCGGCAGCGACAGGTGGAAGCGCCATCAAGAAGAAGTCATGGATGTGCCCATCATCCTCAGCCCCATCGAATGCGAACCCAGGATCATGGGCCCTCTTCTCGCCGAGGAGGCCGCAAATGGTCACGAACAAGTCTCACCAAGACACCCATCGACCTTCTCGAAGTGGCTGAACAAGAGCCCGAAGGCATCGCCACAGGCAAAGAGGAGCGCAAAGGATAGCTTCCTCGGGAGCGAACACATGCGCAGGTTCCTTCGCGGCTCGATGTTTCCTTCCTGGAAGTAGTGATGTCCTCACTCCAGCCTTACTTTGTCTCGCTTTCACTTCGACGTCTATACTTATTGATAGCTTATTGCGCCTTAATGTTTCTTGTATTTGTTACGGCCGTGCCATTGTTCAACTGGGAGAGAGAAGTGTTGGCTCGGACTCTGCGATCAAGGTCAAGTAGCAGAACCGTCGCGCACTTTGGAGTTTTCTTTTGGGGTTCACGGTCAAGTTTAAAATATACCCAGGGATGGATGGACAATCCTTTTGGTGGCGCATATTAACGGGGTGCACTTCTGCACGAGGAGGATAGCATACCCTTCTGTTTAGGGTTGCTAGCGACGTTGGATGAAGCATGTTGTACGAATGATTTTACGAACGAACGACGAATGAATACACACCTCAACGGCCTTTCACGATTTACTTATTGTTTCTTTATGGTATGATGCACATGTATACATGATGACTACTTAGCTATACCCTCACGATCCTTTGACTGGAATTTCCTATTGCTTCTTCAATATATTACTATTCTACTATGCCAACATCTGCAAACCATGACACTTGTTGATTGTCTTCATACCCTAGCTCTACTTATATCCGGTATACCTACCCTACCTAGGCATCTCACTAATGCAAAGTGCATAGCATGGCACACGTGCACATGTTCCTCGCATACTCTTCCCCATACACGAGTACTAAACGTCCAACTAGACTTCCCAACTGGTCGTGCCTCGGCAGTCCCAGTTGGGCGGTGGTCTGTGCAGTCTTTCACATGCACCGACTTTCCGGTCGTTTCCCCGGATTCTCAGGCTTTCCCGAACATCGACATCATTTCACAAGCCAGAAAGGAAATCCCGCTGAGCCCTGCTGACTATCCCTCTACCTTCAAATACCCCCGAGACGTCCTTCCTCACAGTCCCACATCTCTTTCACCACCCATCCATCAATCCCATTATCTGAATTGACACGTCTGTCTTGCCTGCTGCATCACCGCATCAAGTGACGTACGACTCCCTTTTCGCACAACATCAAGATACCCATTGCTTTCAACCACATACCACTCACACGACCACCATGTCTCTCGCATCAGGTACGCATCCCTCCACCTCACCACACGGCCTCATCAATCAACCCACCCACTGACACACCACCTCCCACACAGCCAACTTCCCCTCCTCGGTCGCCTTCGACGCCATCTCCTCATCCCTCGCCTCCTCCGAGCCAGACCGCAAAGATGCGATAAAGAAGGGCAACGCGATCTTCGCGTTCCAGCTGAAGAACGGCTCCGGCGAGACCGAGTCGTGGTACATCGACCTCAAGGAGACGGGCACGGTCGGCAAGGGGGAACCCCCCAAGAAGGCGTCGGTCACGCTCGTGCTGTCCGACAAGGACTTCGGGCAGCTGGTGGCCGGCAAGGCGAACGCGCAGAAGCTGTTCATGAGCGGGAAGCTCAAGGTCAAGGGCGACGTCATGAAGGCGACGAAGATGGAGCCGATTTTGAAGAAGGCGCAGACGAATGCGAAGTTGTAGTGGTCGTCGGGGTGTCTGGGGTGTAGGATGGGGGTTGGGGTGGAAAGATATGTTGGCATGTATATTACTGGATCTCGGCTGGATATCGTTGAGATGAGAAGAAAGGATTTTTTGTGTAGCTGTCGAGGCACGAATAGGATGCCTACGAATAGACTCGTTGATGTCTCTCCGATACAATGATCCGCTTTCTGTGCACTTGCGACGTCTCTTTCACATATTCGTTTGGATTGGTAGTTTGCAATTCAGTTCCCCAAAACTTTGTCGACCTTTTGCTAAACTATCAAGTAGGATTCTGAATAAGTTCGATTCACGCTGTTGTTGCGCATACCAAAGGTCCGGCCGTCGAATATCTAAACGACCTCACACTACACATCACGTCTATCATGGCCTTCACTAATCAATGCACGCAATTGCGCATATCACATTAACGCAACACCTTATATTCATTCTAGCGAATGTCCGTCTATCAGCCAAGTGACACACAACCCACAACCTACACTACGCCCTAGAAAAGACATCCTAAACACTACACACTAACCCTCCACAAATACATCTAATCTCCCATTACCCAACTCCATATTGACTCTCTCTCAAGAGTACGTAACCGTATTACCGCCCGGAAGTTCCTTCAGCCCTATCACACACATCATTAGCACACACAACCACTTCAAATCACCAATCAAGGAACAAATGAAAAGGGGAAGAAGAAAGAAAGAGATAGAGCAACTCACATCCCTCGCTCCCCACATCCTCCCTAACAGCCTGCTGCACCGCGCACTTGGTCGACACGCTTGCAGCCTGCGTCTTCAGCGTCTTGCACGCGTTGCCGCTGCAGCGGGCGTCGAGGGCTTTCTGCAGGACGCCGTCTTTCCATCCGACTGTTTTTCACGCACTCTTGCGTCAGCATTGTCACCTACTAGGGAAAGTTCCTAGCGAGATTATAGGAAGGGGAGTGGCGAGGGAAAGGGGGGAGGAAGGGAACTCACAGAGGTAATCACCATGTTGACCGTACCCCGTGCCGTCGCCCATGGAGTAGACGAAGGGTTGGGAGCCGTCGGCCGGCCAGATGGACTTGTCGTTGAAGGGCGTGGTGTCCCACATTACTTCGTACCTTTTTCCTTTCTTAGCACGCCATCCTGTATTTTGCTTCGCGCTGTTTTGGATGTGGAGTGGGAAGGGTGTTTGGGGGATGGGGGGAAGGGGACGTACATGAGTTGAGGCAGTCTGACGGGATGCGTGGACGGGCATGGTCCGGTGGATTCGAAGGAACCGCTTGAGGGGTAGGCGACGTGTTCTTTGTGGTTGGGGCTGTCGACGTTTTTGCCGTCCCAGCATCTGGAGTTGGGGTCTTGATTAGGCGCTGGAGTGTGGAAGGGGGGATGGTTGATACGTACGTGGGGAACGTGATGGTGGTGCGGATGCCGCCGCCACACTGCTTCTTGGGGAGGTCGAAGGTGTCGTCTCCTGTGCAGGGTGCGCCGCCGAAGGGATCTTGTTTCTGTGTGGTGATGAGGAGTTAGTGGGTTTGGATCCTCTTGGTGAAGGGCAGAGGGGGGCAAGGGGATGCGTACTTTGTTGCTGAAGCAGCGGTGGCAGAGCTGTTTCTGTTGGCCTGTCTTCGTGCGGAGACCAGCGTCGCCGACGAGCATGCGGAAACCCTTTTCGAGCATTTCAGTCAGGAACTCTTCTATGTCGATATGGCAATCAGGGGGAGGGTTAGACGCACCTTGGGGAAAGCGGTGACCTTGGTCTTGCCATCGTATGGAGGGATGTAGTACACTGTCACGCCCTCGCGGCCTTGTAGGCCCAAGTTGACCATCTGGGGAACGCGCTTGAAGGATCCGTTGCGGGCTTTGAAGTACAAGTTCGCGGTCCAGTAGTTACTAGCATCTCTAGTCAGAAAATGTGATCACTCGGGCGACTCAATTGAAAGCAGGTACCTGAAGTCCTCAGAGTAGTCGCAAGTCGTGCATGTAGCCTTGGTAGCCGGGTCATATTCGACCGCCTTCATGCTCGCGTTGAAAGAGTTTCCTCCAACGATCTAGTTCCTTCTGTCAGTCGATTCCAAAGGTGTACAACACGTTCGATGTCTGTCTCCTCACCTGATGCAAATGAGCAGAAGGCGTGTGTCCTGGCTCCACCAACGGATCAATACGATCGTAGACGAGCTGCGAGCACTGGAACCTCATCATCGCAGCCTGGGCGAATTGTCTGGCCATGAGGCCGCTGCTAGATACGGCGTACGCATCTTGCGCTGCGAGGGCGAGCGCCAGAGCGATGGATTTGAACTGCATCGTTTCGAACCAGACCGATGTCGTGAAGTATCAACAGAACATAGAAGGATTCTCAATAAGAAGGGGCAACACAGACAGAGTCGACAGAATCAAAATCCTCGCGCTCGATCGCCACAGTGTCTGGCTAATAACCCTTTATTTCGAACCCCCAAGACACCTCCCATCCATTGCCGAACAAGGGAATCCTGCAAACCGTCCCCGCATGGCATCTTAGGTTCTCGAAGGTCTAATCTGGAGAAATTAGAATGCTTGATGATCGCCTATCGGGTGCAATGCGCGACCAACTGCCGCATATTAAAAGCTTGATTGTTTTCCATTATATGTCCGGGTCTTGGCCAATCAGGGGTCGGTGGGAGGCTGCCAGGGGTGTATTCGTGGTAGTAGAGAATCAAGAGGTTGGCGAATGAGAGGTAGATGTGGATGAAGTATGGGCGAAAGGATATTGCGTAGATGAATGGTTGTTGGGTTATTGATGGTTGGGGATTTGATTTCCTATGAGGTGGGCGATTGAGAGATGGACGGTTGGAGGCTTGGGATGCTGTAGTTGCTGAGGAGATTGGTGACGTCTAGGTTAGCCTGTCTCTTACAGATGTCACTACAGAACCAAGATTCGCCTTGATCCGGAGTGACGACTAAGCCGACGCAATGCAGATGAAACCATCCGAGAGAACATGCTTGATTCTCACATGCAATCATGTCACCTGAGGTCTCCTTGTTGCAAAAGCAATACCCAATATGCTTACTCAAAGCCCCTTCGTCGTCGCTTCCGTATTCCGTTTCATCATCATCTCCGAATGTGGATGATCTTTTGATTCCAGTAGTGTGTTCTGCTTTGTCGCCTGCATCAATGATCATGTTTAATTCTTGGGCGACTTCAGGATGATCCGACCAAAGGTAGGAGACGATCTCGGAGAAAGATTGTGTGCTGTTGCTGTTGTTCATGGAATTGTCGACGAACTCGGTAAGTTTCCACCAAGCATCAGCGTCGTTGGTAATAGTTGCCTTCACACGTTCGTACAATTCGGGCTCAAGAGGCACGCCATGCGTAATCTTGTTGAGAATGATATCCAGATAGCCTGTGCCAATCCCAGAAGAACCGGCGATATCAGAGGACCAGAGCGATGGTCCTGCAGAGTCGCGTTTCCACCAGTCGGCCATGACTGAGCCGTTACCATCAAGAACAGATTTTGCGTTTGCATAGAAGCATTGAACCGAAGACGACTTGCACTCTCGACACGCAGGTTGCATTTGGTCGCATAAGACTGCGTTAGAGAAGCATTGCTCACATGAATAGAGGTAAGTACACGTTCGTGACCACCGCTTGCATGTCGAGCATATAGGCTCTTGTCTGTTGCAAGGTACCCTTTTCTTCAGGCATTCCAAACAGTCAACACTTGTATCCTTGTTGTTAGGTCGCTTTGTAACAACGGATGGTGATGGTGATCGTTGTCTGGGATCTCCGGAAGTTTCGCGGCCACTGTCTGCGTCATGTTTCTTGGAGGATGTGGTGATTTTACCACTCCTTGACACTTTAGACTTCCTCTCCTTCTCTAGGTTGAGTGCGCTATCTCGTAGTCTACCGCTCAGTGACGTGTTTCCTGTTTTGCGTATCGTTTTCCGAGGCGCTGGTACATCAGTGCTATGATTTGAACTGAAATGTGTCTTTAGAGCTTTCGAAGTCCTAAATGGAGGATACTGGCAGCCCACGAAGGTGCATCGGAAGCCACCCGCATGCGCCACTTCATGTTCGCGACGAAGCTTATCGGTCTGGAATCCTATTGTAGCATGCGGACAGGATCGAAGTCGGCAGGTGTATGCTGACGTCCGGAAGTGGCTTTTGAACAGTTCAAGTTCCTCGACGGAGGCACCTGGGAAAGAGTCCTGGTCAAGCAAAGTTTCAACGGACTTTTGGTATGCATTTAGGGTGACCGACACTTCATCTAGATAAGTGGATTCGGCTGGAGTTCCTTTCTTTTTGGGAACTGTGATCATCAATACTGGCGCAGTAGGAGCTGAGGTGCAACATACTTGTGTCCTGGAAAAGTTCCGATTCGATTCGTTTCTGAGACCGTGCGATCAATGCATTTTCTACGTGCGTTTGTATTGTCCCATATTTCTCTAAAAGACCCAGTCGGTCATCAAGACTGTCGGTCGAAGCCTTTAATTTAGGAAGTGGTGTTACAGACGCGCTGTCAAGGGTCTCTGCTAGAGTTTTGATCACATCTAGCAGTTTGGGAGAGCCATCAAGTCCGCCCTCCAATGCTGCATTCGCCAAAACATACTCGGTCCAGTATTCAGTTGCGTAAACATGGAGACCATGTACACCTTTTATCAAGCGTAGAAGCCTTGTCTGCTCATTGTATAGTTTACTGAACACTTGCATACCCGAGATGAGGCAGCTGACAGATGCAATCGCATGTTCGCGAATTGCATCTTCCTCCTTTAGAATCAGGGCGCTGGAAGGTGTCTGTAAGAAACTGTGCGATATGTTAGCAATTGACGTATAAATTCGTCTAAGGCTTATAGAAGAACACTTCAGATTTAACAAAAGAGATAAATGACCATGGTACGCCATCGCGCAATAGTGAAGTCATACTCACTGTTTTACTGAAATATGGATGAAGGAAATAGTGGAATCCCGCCTTTCTTCGATGAGCGGGCTGCAAGTATCCTCGACAATGTATTTCGGGACCAGTTTGGATAAATTAGTATCACCAGAGGTAAAAGACAGCGCAGAGAGAAACTCCAGCTTTTTCATTGGTCGCTTTGCAAACGCGATCCAACTGTATACACGTCTCACCCTATCCTGAGATTGTTCGTTCAATCTCACCAGGATTTGTGTCAACAATTTTTGGTAGCTAGAACTCTGGTTAGTTTTGCCCTAATTGTCCTTGAACGAATGGACCTTACAATTCGGTCAGATGCTCTGGTAATTGATTGATTGCGCTTTTAATCTCGTCTCCATTGAAGAACAAGTTTGCTTTGATGTAGTCAAGCAACAGTCTTGCGTATAGAAACATGCCTATTCGAGAATGAGAACAGTGAGGGAGTCTTTAGGAAGGTCTGCATACCACCCGCTTTCTTTGCTACAAGTTGTTCGATTTCATCTATCTCCTCCCTCTCAAGCTCCAGCTGACGAAATCGCTCGTCTAAACCCCTCAACCTTTGGTTGATGTACAGTCGGATTGCAGACTGTAAAGGGCTTGCCTCATCACTCAGATAAATGACATGATCCTTCCGAAAGTGTTTGTCCATAATGGAAGATGCTCTCGTCGTGATAAGTACCTTGCAAAGTGCCCCGGAAGTCGTAGAGGAGACGGAAGAAATCTGCTTCAACAGATTGATTAAACGAGTCTGCCTCGCTGCTTCACATTCGTTCACTCCATCGATAATCATGTAGATGTACTGCTTCTCTCGCGGTCCATCTGAAAGAGAATTGACCAGAGTGACAATCAACCGTTCGAGATTGGTAGTTGTAGGAAGCGTTTTTCCTACAATGTATTCTTGGTATACATGTGCAACAAGTTCGCTATTCTTGCGCAAAATCTGTTGTAGAATTGACTTCAATATGCCATCATATTTTGTGGACGAGTTATAGGTGTAGGTGCAGAAGTGATGGACGATGCAGGATCTTGACGCCTGGACAAAGTCGACTAATTTCGCTGCAATGACGCTTTTCCCGCAACCCGCGTTGCCTTGAAGCCAGAGTAGCGGAGGGTCTGGCGATCTCTGTAACCAAGACTTTATGCTTTCGTTCTTTAATAGCCACGAGCACGTTCCTGAGTATTTGGATCCTTCGTCACTGATGGTCTCGAAAATCTGGATCTGCTCCGTTACGTCAACTTTAAGCCAAGATATGATCGCCTGGAATTCGAGAACAGCTTGGTTCTCCTCTTCACGTTTGACTTGATTGAGACTCTCTATTCTCCATGACCGAATTTCTTGTCGCATTTGAGCGGCGGCCGCAATGTTAAGTGCATTCGCTTCATGGTCTATTAGTTCTCCGTGGCGTTTCAGGTCCTCAAGAATATTATTGAAGCGTCTCTGGAAGCGGCCCCATGATGTCTTGAATAAGAGCTTCCAGCCTATAGACACGTACTGTTAGCCAAGCTCTCGTGATCTCAGCGATTGATATGGACCGGCACTTGATGCCTTACCAATAGCAATCTGGCTAGAGCTGAAAAGTATGCCGAATTAAACTTACCACTTCGTCGAACGAACACATATGCATGCTTGTGAAATAGCAAGATATCGGCGTAAAACACAGCAAGTGACTGCTGAAAATCCGCTTCAGTGACGAAGGTGTCACTTAGAATCGCAAAACGACCAAGTGCCTCGGCTATCTGCACAAAAGATTAACCATCGTGGCCCCAATCAACAACAATATGCGTGATTTCACAAGAGCGGCTGTGTAGACGAAGTAGGATCACAATCGAGCGTATCGCCCAATGTCATGCATACCTTGCTGTACCCTTTCATGATTTCTTCGAGTGCCTCCACATATTCGGATGCCACCTTTAGGATCAATGTAATAGGTGCCCAGACCCAAGGCAAAAAGGGTGTTCCATTGCAAAGGATGCCAACAACGTTTGAGTAATGCTCTAGACCATCGATCAATGGCACAAGTCGACGCATATTGCAGAGTGCCTGTCGGGCCCCAAGTTGGTTCTCTAATTCTAGAGCTGCACTGCGAACATCATGAAGACCTGTTGATCGAAAGTTCCTTGAGTCTGCCGGGGTCACTGTTCTCTCGAGCTCCTCAAACGCATTTCTCATCGTCTGTCGAGCGGGTGCCGCTATTACTGGTGCGAGCGGCATGTTGATCGCATCGCATGTATGATGCGATTGTAAATAAGAACTCCTGAAAATTTATAGAAGACAACGACAGAACACCATTGGAGATAGATGAATCTTTGGAACAAGCAACTAGTGGGCGCGAAGCATACGAGTATATGAGGTGCAAGGGATGCAGATCTTGGCATGCGAATGCATTTGGGGGCCATTACACAGTACATAGGTGCTCGGCACCGTACAACAGATTTCAGGCAGGGTGTACCACAACCACAGTCTAGACTCTAGAGAGAGACACCACAAGAGAGTTTGCGCCACAGATTTGTAGTCAAGTGCTGGTGGAATGGGATGGGATTCGAGCAGTTCATTTCCACATTGAACAGCCACCCGTAACCAATTGCAATTGCAGGGAGGCTGTGCTGTGCCCCTGCCCCAGTCAGCGGATTCTCAGCCTCACGAACCCCGAACTACATGTGCCATACAAGAGAACATCGATTCAATTGTACGCCATTTGCCCTTAAACAACAATCTTAATGGAAAATTCCCAAGAGCGGGAGCCAAAACGACAGCGGCTGCTCGATTCTTCGAGCGCCGATGATGATGTCCTGATAGCTTTCGAGCCTGGTCAAGCTTTCCTTGAAGCAATAGAAGGATTGGACGGATCGAGCGAGCCCCCCCTAAGCACTTCAATCTACGAATTCTGCGATCTGACAAATGAGGATGGAAACAAGACAAACTGTCAGGTCGTCGATTCAATCGGAAGATGCGCTACTTGGCAGCCGACTTTGGCTGCCCAGGAGTCGGACTTAATGGTCGACGAAGGCAGTGTAGGCATGCTGACTGACATGGAAAACGGCGACTCTGGCATAGTTTGTTTCGGAACAGTGAGTGCACTTTTGCTGCGTAATTTAATGCCTCGCACTACTAAACCCTTCAGATACCATCTATAAAAGCTAGGTGTGAGCGACCACGGGCTCTCACCAGCAACTTTGCAGTTACTCTGGAGTCGTGTGACAAATTTCGCTCCAAAGAAGGCACACAGTTGTGTGGAGTTATATTACCCCAATATGGCCAAATGATCCAGGGCCTACTGGATGATTCAACTCTACTTTTGTACTCGTCTTGTAGTGTTGATGACGATGGACCGGTTCGGTCCAATGCAAAGTCGTATTCGCAATCGACGTGCACTTTAGAAATTACGGTGTATGGTCCGACCGACCTGTTCGATGAAATCGGCGAATGGTTCCAAGAATATAACATCTACTTGCAAGATCCTCGATCCTGTGACATGGATGTGAAGTACTGGAATCCGCAAAGATTATCATCAATCGATTTCAAACTATGTCCCTACGTATCTCAAGTTGTACTCCTAGGATCAAGCCCGGCAAAGTTTCAAGAGATTGATGAAGAACCTGACCTCCTTGATATCATCAGCGGTCAAGACGATCTGGAAGAAGCTGAACCACCTGCTCTGATCCGCGCGACACTACATAAGTAAGACTATCGACCGAGCGATACATCTCCTCCGCTTACCTCGCGCATAGACATCAAAAGCAGGCGCTCACATTTATGCTGCTACGAGAAAAGGGATGGGCTCTGGAGTCAAAAGGTGCAGATATCTGGGAAGCATTTGATTCCAGTCACGAGAGACTGTGAGTACAATCCATATGTGAGACATCATGTGTTCTTAAGAGAACTGACCCAGTTTGGGCCGACGTTAGGCATTTCAATCGCGTCACGGACATACATCAAGTCGAAGCACCGCCACAATTCTACGGTGGCATTATTGCGGATCCTATGGGTCTGGGCAAGACATTGACCATGATAGCCTTGATCGCAGCCGACCTGGAGCCGGGCCGTACAATGATTACTGAGAACGATTTGTGGGACGACCCAGAGAACCCAAAGCCCTCAGTATCGGCCACACTAGTAATTGTACCTCAGCAACGTCAGTATTGGATAACCTTATAATTGCACATGAAAGCTAGCTCACAAAGAGTAGTCATGAGTCCATGGGAAGAACAGGTCCAAGAGTAAGACTATAACATTCAATATTGAAATCAGACTAATGCCATTCCAGGCATGTTGAACAAGGCAGCATCAAATTTCGTCGCCATCATGGAAAGGACAAGCTTAATGACATTGGCGATTTAGATGGAATAACTATAGTGTTTACCACTTATCAAACTATTGCCGCAGATTGGATCAAATGGAAAGCCTCAAAAAGTCATGTTATGTTTTCAGTCCGATGGAAGAGAATCATTCTAGATGAAGGTAATGTTTCTCATTAGCTCTCCAATTGTAATGATGGATATGCATACTGACCAAAAATGTAGCCCATGTAATCCGCAACATGAAGACACGGATGGCTCGTGCTATCTGCCAGCTGGAATCGAATTCACGATGGGCCGTGACCGGTACTCCGATCCAGAACCACTTGAGCGATCTCACTGCCTTGCTCAAATTCATCCGCGCTTACCCATACGATGATCCGAAACGTTTTGACACCGATATATCTCGACTGTGGAAATCTGGCGAGGATGAACAAGCCGTGAAAAGGTTGAAGCGCTTAGCACGTTGTCTCATACTACGAAGAGCCAAGAAGACCATTGATCTGCCATCCCGACGAGATGTAAGGTGCCCGGTTGAGTTCAACAAAGCCGAAAGAATATTGTACGACAATATCCGCCAGCAAACAATCACAAGGATCGATGATGCGCTGTTCCAAGATACGGGGCTCTCGAAGCCGGGCGCTTACGTCAATTTTCTTCAACAGATCGAGTCAATGCGACTGATTTGCAATCTGGGCCTGCACTATAAGACTCGTCATGAGAAAGTGCCAACACAGGATATAAAGGATTGGGCAGCGATGGCTCAAGAAGCTTTCAATATCAAGCGTGAGATGGAGCCAATTATCTGCTCACAATGCTCGTCAACTTTAGAATTCACGGAAACTTCTGTGGATGACACCCTGCAACAGGACAGTCCTCAATTCTCTCGATGCTTAAAATATGCATGTGCCGAATGCTCTTCGAGACTTCGTGTTCACGAGCAGAAAATGGTCTGTGGTCACACACCCGCTTGCCCGATTGCACCTGTGTCTGTCAGCAACAGCTCCTTCGAGGAGGTCTTCGGAGAGGTCTCAAAGCTACCACAACTTAATCCTCAGGAAATGCCTTCCAAAATCGAAGTACTGATCTCCGATCTCAAAGGCCTACCCGGCGATGTGAAAAGGTATTGTCATGCTTTCCCTTTTCAAGTCTACTAGCTAACGTCCAAAGTATTGTGTTCTCAACTTGGAGATTGACGCTCGATATCATCGAAACTGGTTTGAAACAAGCAGGCATTCGTTGCGTCCGCTACGACGGAAAAACGCCCCAGGCTCAGAGACAACCTGTATTGAACGAGTTCAAAACTGATCCTAGTGTCCGTGTCATACTATTGACGATTCAATGCGGCGCTGTTGGGTATTGCTCTACTCTCTCCACTATCTTTCTAAGCTAACGTTTGACTGCTCAGGCTCACACTCACGGAGGCCTCTCGTGCCTACCTTATGGAACCACATTGGTCCGTTTTCCGCTTGCATGCTTTTTTCTCGCAGATCTAACCCATCTTTTAGGAATCCAACGATAGAAGAACAAGCATTAGCCCGCATTCATCGAATTGGGCAGACACGCGAAGTCACCACTGTTCGATTCTATATTCGAGAATCATTCGAGGAAAGAGTCATGGAAACGCAAGAATTTAAGAAGAATCTTGCGAGTGTGTTGTTCTCCGGATTGGATGGCGGACAGGCTGATAATAGTCTTGGAGCACTTCAGGTAGGTATTCTAATGAACATGCCGGTGTAGTAATGATGACTGACTCCAGTATAGCGCCTGAGATCTTTACTTTGATCGCACGTGGATTATTCTCTTTTGAAGGGAATGGCCTAGTCATTAAGCCTGTAACTGTTTGTACATGCATTGCTCTTAAATACAGTTCGAGTGAGTACGTGGATTTTTTCCATCTACGATATGCTTGGAAGGTTGTTCGTCCAAGTATTTATGTACACTCTCTCGTCCGTCTTGCGAAATGCTGCAAAAGTCAAGACTATCAATATGCTTCTTGCAAGGCAATAAAGTAAACCACTAAGAATGGCAAGCCACCGAGTTGCTTTCCTTGCTCCGTCCACTCTTCGTCTGGCTGTCTGCAACTGTCCACCTATGATCGAATAGTTCTGGAGTAGATTGAAAGCAAAGTGAACAGAACTGACAAGGGTGTCCGATTCCAAAGCCCGCTTAGCACGATAAAGAAACATTCCCTTTGCCCATGATTTCATGTTTTCAATTACGCCTACAGGAGGGCATTTGAATTCTAGGCTTGGACGCGTCTTCCTAAGTTCGTAGATGATGCTATTCTCCCCTAGCAAGGCGTCAATGTGGTTGAAAATTGAAAACTCACTTTGTTCCATAGAGTCTGCTAGATCGAGGCATAATAGCTGTATATTCATATCGAGCGAATCCGGATTATCGACGGTGATTTCGATTTTCGCCCCAGACCGACCTTCGCTTCCAGGATAATCAATGGCAAGCAAGCCTGAAAGAACGGGTGAGGCTTCTCTGGCTTCTCTGGGGTTGGATTGAAACTTATTTCTCAGTTGTGCGAAGGTCTTTTGTACCTTCTTTTGTGCTACATGGAGGATGGCGTAATTGGCGATGAGTACAGCGAGTGGGCACATTGCAGCCACACCAGTTGCTGCCATCCAGGTAATTCGTTCGATAGAAGTTGGAAATGTGGACAACCATGCCAAAGAATGCAGTCCCCCAAATGCTGTGGTTGAAAGAGCTAGAAGCAAAGACGTCGTCCTTACGTGTTTAGAAGACCCAATAGCATCATTTCGGATGCAGGATTCAATGCGTTCATCGGTAGATGGGCCTTGTGTCATGCGTGTAGTGAATCGAACGCCCATGTTCTTTCTAGCGTCACATCCATAGTTGTCTGGTATCTTCCAAGGATAAACAGGGGTGGTACGAAGTACGTCTTTTGGTCTATACCAGTTCGCGAGCCATGTTGCAACGCCAAGAGCTGAGAAGGCAGCTGTGGAGATTTCCAGTTGGGTCGTGGGTAAGCGAACGATGAGCCTATACAACACTGAAACGAGCAACCACAGTATTTGCAATATTGCAATAGCTTTCACAAAAAGATCGGCCTTTGATTTGTCGTCAATATCCTCTTCCGTAAGAATAAGCCTCGCTATTGGATTGTGGTCTGAGAAATAACAACAATTTAACAGTGCTGCGGTCGTGATGGGCACTCCCTGATCCTTTTTTTCTGAGGAATAGAACTCGTCGTTGAATTTTCGTTTCCGTTGTAAGCCTCCCATATTCGCAAAATAAGTGTGCTTCAACGTCCAGATTCTGTCTGTATGAAAGCCATAGTCGAACGCGACATCTGCAGGGGTCACAGAAGCAGGTCCAGAGGATGATGTTTCGATTCTAGGTGTCGGGTTTCTCAGTCTTGGGGGTGGACTGGGTGATCTGAGCCTTTTCAAAGACTTTTGCAGATCAAATAGGTGAAACATTCGATATAGGAGGGACTCCAGCCATCCAAATTGAACAATCCAAGGAAATTCATAATCGAGCTGATCCTGGTCCAATAATTGCTTGAGAGCGAAGTGGTCATCGATTGCTACTTGCAGATCGCAAACAGACTTTGCAAAGATGAACTCCGGGAAAAGAATTGTGATTATCATCCATTTGAATTTTTGGATACCCCGTGACCAAGCACTAAGACCCTGTTGCGGAACATTCAAATGCAGGATTGTCCAGGTGGTTGCAATGATAGTGGCTAGGCAGCTCCATAGAAGCTGAATAGTTCCCCGCTGACGGGGCCCGCTGTGCCATCCTACGTATTCCGTATTGTTACGCGTTTCAGAAAAGTCTAATGCAGCTCCCTCAGCGGTGAATGAGATGAGGACGATTAGAATGTAGTATGGAGGCCAGAACCGAGAAAGATATGCCTTCATCATTGTGGAAGCATACCAAGACCAGCTGTAGGTGCGGAGTAGAGGGAGATTGAAGTCAAATTAGATCGGAGAGAACTTTGGGAAGCCGCATAAAATTAAAGCTCAATAAGGAAGAGAGCAAACAGAAGTATTTTGAATCAAGGTCTGCGTCTTGAAGAGATGGGTCGACAGCTATAAGCAGTGGGTTGAGTGGGTGTTGCGGCTGAAGCCAAGTATGAACTTGCGCCACGATGCGTGGTGGGGGGGGGGGCTTTGCAGAAGACAAGGTAGTTTATTGGCCAGCTCATGTTTGCGATAACATCTCCAAGTTTCCTGAGACATTATGATATCCTCTGGGCACAACCTACTCTTTGAAGTCCAATGTCGGACTTGAAGAATTGTGGAAGCTAGAGAAACCCTATCCAGTACGCTTTTGAATTGATGGACATGGCAGGTTAGACATTGTCGCAAGAGACACTTACAAGGCCAGAAAATAATCAAGTCTTTGTGTACTACTCGTCTTTGCATTGGGCAGTTCTCCGGCCGTGAGACCTTCGACTTGACAGTGCAAACCGAATGTAGAAAAACTATGCGGAAAACGTACGTATGAATATATGCAGGCGTCGAAACTCGTGCAGGATATTCCTTAACAAGATAATACTCAGGCTTTCAGATTTGAACGCAATGAAATTGCTGAATTTTGTGTGTTGTAAAATCTCGGTTATGTACAAGGCGCATTTGACGCACTCTTTCTTTAATGTCTCCAGTAAACATCCTCGCCCTCTGACCTTGCCTTCGCAAGTTAGCACTGATTCACGATACGGATGTGAAGATTGACATACCTTAACAGCCTTCGGTCCACCTAATTCAGCCTCCAAACCTCCCTCATAAGCCTTAGGGATACTGATCTTATCTGGATACACCAACTTCACGGCTCCGCAGAGTCCGAAAACAGTTGCAATGAAGGTGCCTGCGAGGACAAATCCCCACCGAGCTGAGAAGTGGTTGTAATCATGTAGCGACAGAGCGCCCAGAATATCATTATCCTCATGGCAAGGCTCGCCGTAGTTGCGCCTCTCCTGCTTGTCCCAGTAATCACCGTAAGGATCGCGGTTGTTTCGTTTCTCGGCTGGTGGGTTGATATAGCCACCGTTCTATGAGAGTCAGCCCTCTGATATCGCTTCAACTGCCAGGACTGTACTGACCATTCCTGGGTCGAGCTCCTCGACCTCGGTGGGGGTGGATCGGAGTCGGATTTGGTTGAACTGTGGGCGTGCGGCAATGGCAGGGACGACAGCGCGTGCCAGCGGGCGAGCTGCTACAATGCGCCGGGAAAGCATGCTGTGAGTTCGTTAGTAGCTTTCGATGCATGCCATAGCGATGGTAACCTACGTGGTGGCGCGATTGCTTGGGGTACTTTGGTCTAGGTGATGCTTGAGGTTGGAGGTTCGTGATGCCAGGTTATGCTTAGTAAGGTCTTTATCACGCTAGTCCACCTTCGGAACTCTACCCCAGAATGTTCGTGATGCAATAGAGGCCATGCCTTCGGAGCCCATTCAGGTCTATCTCTAAAGTTCACTGTATCTTAGAAGTTCGACAATTGATCATGAAATAAATCCCCAACAATTCCGTATCGCGATTACGCAGCGTTATGCTTTGCATCGTTTGCTCATGTCACGGACATGCAAGGCCGGGCCACTACCCTAGCGACTTGGCGAACTTTGACTTTTCGAATCGCGCGCCGCCAGGTAACGGCATCATCAACACGACACCGACAAGCCAGCCATTTTGCCCATATCTCCCGACCAACACTTGCAAACCGAAATCCGAATCTTTCACTGCAACCGTCGTACTCTGCTACATCTGCTGACATATCTTTTGTGCCGCCACATGTTGGGTTGGCGGAGATATCGGTGGTCTCCCGCGTGCATCTCTCCTAAAGGGAGCGTTGAGTGAATGGACATGGGCGCGGATGTCCAGATCGTCAAGGAGGACGAAACCCCACAACCACCATCCGAAGTCATCCTCGACCCCGATACGACCGCCGTGGTCAACGACGATGCCTTGTCCATCGAAGCTGAATTAATACCCATAAAAAAGGAAGAGGAATTATCTGGTGAGAACGGGGATGACGGTGGCGTCGCACAGCGACCCGCGAAGCGGCGCAGGTTGGACGAGCTCACACCGCGTCGCTCTGCATCTCGAGCTGTATCTCCACCATGGAAATCGTTCGCAGCCGATGGACCGACGACAATAATTAACAACGGTGTCAGAAAGTCAACGAGGTTCAGCAAGGAAACACCTACGGCTACCCCCGAGCCAGCAAAGCGTAGCACGCGGCACGCGACGAAGACGGCGCAGACGAACGGGACGCCGAAAAACCAGGGTAGCGTCAAGAAAAATGGTATCCGACCTGCGCCCGGCTCATCGTCTCAAGCCAAAGGCAAGACTGTGTCTGATCTCAAGAGAAAGACATCGACAGCCTCGCTGAAGTCCCCCGCCCCGACGCCCGCCTCGCGAAAGTCGACGCGTCAACGTAATTCGTCCATAGCTAACGCGCAAACATCTTCATCACCCGTTCAAGAACAGCAGTCTCCTGACAGCGTACGAAGACGACCCGGCCGCCCCAGAAGAGTACCTCAACCTCCCCCTGATGAGCTCCTTGACGCCGATCTACCAGAACCCGGCTCGCCTTACAACGATCAAGACGATATCGTGGGAGATTCCTCCGGCCCCGCCCCTCGCCTCCGTCTTCGCCTACGACGAGCTGAGGTGCCTAATAGACACCCTCAGCATGCCCCTCCTCCCACCAAATTCGATTCTTTTACAAGCTGGTTACGGAGTGACGATCCTCTAGAAGGCGAGGAGGGTCAAAGGCTGACGGAGGATAAAGTTAGGGAAGAAGCGGAGCGTCGCATGCAGATCGCCGAAGCTGCCGAATCTGGTATCCTCAGTAGATCACGATGCAGTATATTTGCCCCCGAACCCGCGGAAGAGCCTCCGCCTCGCTATGGCCATTGGGACCATGTCGTTGCCCATGCTCTACATTTCAACAAGCTCTTGAAAAATGAACAATTCACTCATCGTCGCCAAGCCAGGACCCTGGCCCGAGAAGCTGTGGACTATTGGAAGACCAAATACAAGCGGAAAACGCAGGATGAGATGGATCAAGAAGAATCGGATCGTGCGCTTTTAAGATACAAACAGATTGTGAAAGACGTCAAAGACACTTGGGCCAACGTCAAGGTGGAGATTGATAAAGAGCGGGTTGCTAAATGGGAAGAGCAACAGTTACAGCTTGGCCACAAGGCGATGGACGATATGTTCAACCAGGCTCAGGAGATTCTCGGCCGTGGCGCCGCGGACTCGGTTTCATACGTCAGCGATGACAGAGCAAGCGAGGAGGGTGACTTTGAGAGCCGCGATTCCCACGCTGGGAACGACGAAAGGGACGACGACGATGTAATGTCTATGGATTCAGACAGCGAAGAGGGAGACATCAATGATGAGGATGCCAACCTCACCGCTGAACAGTTACGGGCCAAATACGAACAACTCCCGGATCTACCCAATGATAGCGAGGACGAAGAAGGTTCTGAAGGAGAGGACGATGAAGAAGTAGAAGACCAGGCTGAGGATCGTACACCGGAACCTACACCGGACCCTGATATCGACATTGAGAACACTTCGGATTCAGCAACGAACTCTCTCAGCAAGACCAACGGCTACCATGACGACCCAGAAGATGAACCAAAGAGAGTTGACAACATCGACCCTGCTACCGTTGAGCTTGACTTGGTTGATGAAGCACTTTTGGATACCGAGGATGAAGATGGCGGATCTGCATCAGGTAGTGAAGAGTGGCCAAGTGATGAAGACGAGGAGCAGTCTGATGAAGACGATGGATTTGATAGCGGATCTGAGGATGAAGGGGGAGACTTGGGTGTCATGGGCTTTTTGTCAGCAAGTGAGATAAAGAAAATGAAGGAAGCCGCGAAAACAATCCTTGACAAGGAGACCAAAGCTGAAGGAGATGAGGTAGCGGATGCCATGGAGGTTGTCGAAGCTGGCCCTACAAATGACAACAAATCAACCGTAGGCGAGCAGCCTAGTGTTCCGAGCCCCCACTCTAACGGTGTCAACGGACACCACCCTGACCAGCAACTAGAAGAGGCCAAATCAGAGGTCCAAGAGCAACTGACTACGACCGATGGCCGTGACACAGACCAGAAGAACGGGGAGACGTCTGCGGACAAGCCGAAATCATCCATCGAGGACAGAGATGAAGACATGGATGATGTAGCTATGGCCCCGTCCAAATCCCAAAGCCGGTCACGCCATTCTTCATCACCTCCACGTACCGAGATTCCATCGTTACTTCGTGGCACCCTTCGAGAATATCAACACGATGGATTAGATTGGCTTGCAAATCTTTATGATACAGATACTAATGGTATCTTGGCTGATGAGATGGGCCTGGGCAAAACCATCCAGACCATATCACTCCTTGCCTACATTGCCGTCAACCGTCAGGCATGGGGGCCGCATCTCGTGGTTGTCCCTACGAGTGTTATGCTAAATTGGGAGATGGAGTTCAAGAAGTGGTGCCCGGGTTTCAAGATTCTGACCTATTATGGCGACATAAACGAACGCAAACGCAAGCGAGCAGGTTGGCGAACAACCGGACGCGACATGTACAATGTGGTCATCACGTCGTATCAACTCATTCTACAAGACGCAGCAGCCTTCAAGATGCGAGCCTGGCAATACCTCATTTTGGATGAAGCCCATAATATCAAGAATTTCAAATCCCAGAGATGGCAAACCATGTTGAACCTTCGCACAGAACATCGACTTCTGCTTACGGGAACTCCGTTGCAAAACAACATTGATGAGCTCTGGTCCTTGTTGTACTTCCTCATGCCTGCTGGCTTTGCTGGGGAGGGTCGAATTGCTGGTTTGGAAGAATTCACCATGGCTTTGAAAAACCCTACCTCCCAGATTTTAGATCAAGGACGACAGCAGCTTGACGCTGAGGCTCAAAAGATCGTGAAGAAATTGCACGAGGTGCTGCGACCTTATTTACTCCGACGACTAAAGGCGGACGTTGAGAAGCAAATGCCGGCCAAGTACGAGCATGTTGTATACTGCAAGCTTTCCAAGCGACAGCGGCAATTATACGACGGGTTCATGGGACGCGCTTCGACTAAGCAAATCCTGTCATCGGGGAATTACATGTCTATCATCAACTGTCTGATGTCCCTTCGTAAAGTCTGTAACCACCCGGATCTCTTCGAAACCCGTGCAATCGTCACATCCATGGCCATGCCCAAGTCAGTCACAGCTGCTTATGAGATTAAATCCCTTCTCGTTCAGAAGAGATTATACGAGAATCAAGAAGAGACAGTAAATCTGGACGCCCTCAACCTCCTGTTTGCACGGCGGGAACAGTCATCAATGCTGCATGCACGTCGTGCTCAGCATATACGTGCAACTCGCCCCTTGCAGGATCTTATCGAAGTTCACACCCGTCGCCTCAATCCTCCTACACCAGCACCAGCTCATTCTCTGCAAGCCACTCTAGCCACAATGGCACATAGGCAGGCGGTAGAAGTGCGGGATCATCTGCAAACCTGTCTCCGGCTTACGCGTGCCAGGACCATGTTCCGGCCAATTTATGGAAAGGGTTTAATTGATCGCCTTTCCATTGATTATCAGGACTACGCTTTTGGTGCACATTACCAAGCGCCATCGAGAGGCGACATGGGAGAGGATCCTAGCGATTGGATCCAACCTAATGATCATGGTCCGATGTTGAGGAAAGGAAATCTTGGTTTCCGGGCCCCCTTGAACCCTCTCAGGGCTAGCGAATGGTATCAAAGGCAAGTTTCGTTGTTTCAGGAATTGGTGCCAACGATGGAGCAACGTGCCGAGTCTATGCACTCGTTGCTTACAACATTCACTTGCGTCACACCTGCCGTTGCGGCCGAAGAGTTAGCTCCTCTATCATTGTCAAAACCTGGAGTACGAATGGTACGAGCATCGCAAATGGCACAGCATCTCGACCCATTCCACGAGCCTCGCATTCGACAATCCATCGCTTTCCCTGACAAGCGCCTTCTACAGTACGACTGCGGCAAGCTTCAGCGCCTTGCAGGTCTACTCCGAGAACTCCAAGCTGGTGGCCACCGTGCGCTAATATTCACTCAAATGACCAAAGTCCTTGACATTCTTGAGCAATTCCTGAATATCCACGGTCATCGATACCTCCGACTAGATGGTGCCACGAAGGTTGAGCAACGTCAAATATTGACAGATCGGTTCAATAACGACCCACGAATTCTCTGCTTCATCCTTTCCTCACGCTCAGGTGGTTTGGGCATAAACTTGACAGGTGCTGATACAGTCATCTTTTATGATTTGGACTGGAACCCCGCCATGGACAAACAATGTCAAGATCGAAGCCATCGTATCGGACAGACGCGCGACGTACACATCTATAAATTCGTCAGCGAGTACACCATCGAGGCAAACATCCTCCGTAAATCGAATCAGAAGCGTCTTCTAGATGATGTCATCATCCAGAAAGGAGATTTCACGACGGATTACTTTAATAAAGTCACTTGGAGGGACGCCCTCGAAGGTAGTGAGCCTGTTGACGAAGCTGGTGCAGCTATGGATCGGGTTCTGGGAGAAAGAGCCGGTCTGCTGGGTGATTCAAAAGTCATGCGGAGTGTCGAGGACACTGAAGATCAAAACGCCGCCAACATTGCCCAAAAGGAAATCGTCGATGAGATCCATGATGACCAGGTCGACTTCAACGAAAGCTCCAACACAACACCAAAGGGCGGTGCGACCCGACAACCCTCCGAAGCTGGGCAGAAGGACGACGCTGAGCACCGACATGTTGACGAATATATGCTGGACCTCTACCGCGAGGAGTACGGCAAAGAGCCGTACAAGCCGCCGACTGATCGACAGAAGAGGAACCGCAAAGGTCAGGATGTACATCGTACAAACCGGAAGAAGAAATACTAGTGCAATTCACACAATTGTAGGCTAGAAAGGGCCTGGAGAATTCTCCATTCGAGCTAAAGCTCACTCTGTATTATATAGTAAACGATTCAAGCATATTTAAAACAGGAGTAGGTGGTGTGTATCAGGGTTCATGGGTTTTGGGTACCTGGCGTGACACCGAGATACATTGCTGAAAGGGTGAGATCACCTTTAATCTCAGTACGTTTCGGGAGTTTCATTGAAATGCATGCATGGCGACGGTATGGGGACAACCGATTTTTAGAGAACCAGGATTTGGTTGGGATGGATAATGGGGCCCTATGACGGTAATAACTCAAATAATCAAAAATTCCAGGAAACGCATTCTTAATCTTCAAAGACTTGATCTGCATTGCGGTTGAATTTCACTAATCTTTCTATACAAACTTGATAATCACAGACCAACAACCACGAAATCAAAGACGCTGGACCTCGAGTATCTTATGTTAGGTCCACACATAACAGCCCATAGGAGTGGACCATCATCCCTGCCCCCAATGCCCAGAAATTGGCTCTACGGGTAACGGCCTCTACCTCCAGCGCCTGCTATGATTTCAATTGTTCCGACCCGAAGCAATCAGGATACCCATATTCAAAAATAGTTAGGCGTCTCTGGGCGCCCCGGGGTCGATATCCCTCGTGCACACGACACAGACCTCCTTGCGATGCTGGCTTCGAAGGATTCAGACGCTGTAATTATGTGTGGTGCCGAAAGAGAAGACGAAGTATTCGATTATAATTAGCCCTGCAGTTTATACCGTTGCGTGCGTAAGGCAAACTACATAGTAACAGAATCGGCCGCCTGCGCGACCCCCGATTTCTCCCCAAGACTTCGATTTGCAATTCATTTAATAGGTATAAATTCTTCATGCGCGCAACGATGCGCACATCGCTCGCCACTTTCCTCGTTATCGCGAAGATCGCGTGTGCCGGACAGCCTGAGATCAATAGGTCCATAGCCAGAGCAGACGAGTCGTTTGAGGTAATAGTCAAGGATGCGATTAATGGCCCCAAGGATGGACTCAAGATTACGCATATGAAGCTCGGGTTGGGGAATTCGATGAACCTTCAATGGATGTGTAAGCGTTGCGATAGCCTCAACAACCCAATGGAGTCGTGATAGAAAAAAGAAAAGACAGGCTAATCAGAAGACGCTACATAGGTACTCTAACAGATTACATGCCCGCGAAAGACGGAAGATATAACGTCACTGTGCCGGCTGAGGTAGGACCTCAGGGGTATTACTACGACGTGAGAATGATTCTTTTCGCCAACGATTCGACGGTCAAGCCGTATGTCTTCGGCGGAGTATCAGAGGCATTCTGGCTTACTGGTGGAAAAGGGAGAATTGTACCAGCCGAGAAGCCTGATATCCTTCAAACGGGGCTGTCGAACATGGCGTCTGTTGACCTACCTTGCAAGAGCTATCCTTGTGCGCAAGAGTGCGCGGAGAAAGAGTTGACGCATAATCCTGCATGGAAGAAAGGATCGAAATTCGTCAAGTGCCTCGAAGCTTGCGAAGGCGTGTCCGTGGATGAGGATTCGTTAGTGGGTGAAGATATCTTGACGCAGTTTGAGATGAACACTGCGTCGATCACCACAACGCCACTACCCGAACCCACGAGGAGTTGCGTGGCGAGCGATTACGAGACACCTTGCGGAGAAGGTTGCTGCGAGTCTGGGAACTATTGCTATGAGTATGAGAGGTGTGCTCATGGTCCTCGCATGCCGTTCTTAACTGATGACCTCTTGTTCGTCTCTACCGCAACAGACAGTGCGAGCTCAGGGGCGGCGTCATCTGCATCCACAGCAACTGCGGCGACTTCGAACGAAGCTACAGGAACAACAATTACAGGTTCTTCAGAGACTGGAGCAGCAAGTTTGAATGAAATGGATTGGTTGTTAGGAGCGGGAGTTGGAATATTTGGTTTCGCAGGTCTCGTCTAAGAGGACATAGAAAGTTCTAAGCACCCCACAATATCAAAAACTAATGAATACAAAAACTAGTTTCATACCTATGCAATGATCCGAACCAAGACTGATATTACTTGTGGGGCCACACAATATTCGTTCTATGTCTTTCGACTTCGTAAAAATCGCCGTCTCCCATCAACCACATATCTGAAGTCCTGATTTTTCTTGCATCTCCCGGCTCATATCACGAGTAAGTCGTCGGCATTCCATCAAATCAAGCATAGGTCAGATGGCCGAGCGGTTATGGCGCCAGGTTAAGGTTTCCTTAACGTCTTGATACGTTTGTATCTTCCTGGTCACGAAAGTGGCGTGGGTTCGAGTCCCACTCTGATCAACATTCACCAGCTTCAGTTGAGCGAGTTGCAGCGATTCGTTCTTTTTTTGCTCTTCTTTTTTTTTTGCTCGCCAAAGTTGGCGGGTGTGGCGCTAGGGGGTTCCTTAGCACCGTTGCTGGGCTGGTTGGTTATAACGATGGTGTCGGCTGGAGTGGTTACACTGATCGTTTTAAGGTGACAATTGATGTTTTTACTCCAAATTCAATTGTGATTCGGACTCTGCATCTACTCAATGTCAGATTATACGAATATGTTTTTGTTTTGGTTGCGTGGCTGTGGATTTGCACTTGGGGACTACAGGGATTAACCGATACTTGCAGTGGGACTGTGAACGAGATCTACAAATTCATCAGGCGAATACAACTACAAAATGATATTCTTACAGTCATACCAGCTAGGAATAGGAACAGGAACTTTCATACATACATCTACGGAGTACTCTGTCTCTGAAATCACCCTATTAGGAAAAAAGCCTTCAACAATTAAACTCCTCCATACCAAAACGGAAATTAACCCTAGAGCCAGACCAAGCCGTTACTGACAGGGCCACCTACCAAAAAGAGTTACTGAAACACTACCAGAGCCGCTTCAGTAAGAATCGTCCACCAGTAGGCGGCCTGCATTTTGCAAGGCCCATGTTGCTTGGTGATGGTCTAGAGTGCACGCCTAGGACTACTTACCAGACATGCTTGACCGGTTATAGCCTTATAGGGGCGAAGGATCGTGTTGTGACTCCAAGCCGCCCTTCGAGGCCTCTCTGCCAATTTTAAGTTTTCAATTCATATATTTTTGTGTCTCCCGTCTTTCGTTGAAATGGAAGCAGTTCCTTCTTTTTGCGCATAGCCATACAGATCTAATTTTTAATCACACTCGTTTTATCTCAACATGCGCGGTACGACTTCGATAATTTTGGCCCTCGCAGCGGTTGCGCGCGCCGCTGAACTCAGTCTCAAGAGCCGCGAGGTGACCGCAGGCGAAGAGTTTGAAGTTGAGGTTGTCAATGCGACCGAGGCGGGCAGTGGATATCCAGGAAAGAAGACAACGCACCTTCAATTTGGAATTTCGAGCATGGTATATGCCAATTGGATGTGTATGTAATCCCGTCCAATCCATCTTTCCTTTCCTGCCAGGAGAGATATGAAACTCGGGATAATTGGCTAATAACCCTAAACAGGCTCTCTGACCGAATTCGTACCTGCTGAAGACGGCACGTTCAAGCTCACGATTCCCCCAGAAATGGGCCCTTTTGGTAGCCACTACAAACTGGCGTACTATGGCTACGAAGATCCCGAAGAGGGTACCGTCGGCGATTCCATCATCCGGGGTAGCAACAAGTTCATGCTGTACCTGCACGGCGCCAAAGGCCAGTTCGTCCCAGCCGAGACGGTCGAGCAATTGAAGTACAACGGCCTGGTGGGCTTCTGGAATGCAGACATCCCATGCAAGAGCTATCCGTGCGCGCAGAAGTGCGCACAAGAAGAGGTCCCGCTGGACTATGCGTGGAATGAAGGATCCACTTGGATGAAGTGCATCACGGAGTGCGAGGGAGTCATTATCAATCATAGCAGGATCAACCAGTTTCCCGCGACTTCGTCGACAGAGGTGGAGGTGCCGCAGAGCTTGCCGACGCCGACTGGAAGCTGCACGGAGGATAAACTCGAGACGAAGTGCGGGAATGACTGTTGCAGCGAAAACGAATACTGCTTCGGCTATAGCCAATGTGTGCCGTTGCCGCTAGATATCGAATCGTTGAGGAGCCGACTTGCAAGCAAGACATCCTCTCCCTCGTCTACCAGAACAGGTAGACCAACAGGAGATCACTATCCGACCGGTTCTGCGACAGGATCGGTGAATATTGCAGGAACCGCTTCGTCCGGTACAGGGTCATTGCCGACAGAAACAGGTGCTGCCAATGGTTTGGGTATGGATTGGGCAGTGGTGGGTGCTGTTGCTGGAGTGTTTGGTATTGCAGGACTTTGATGAATACAGTCAGTCCTTAGCCATGACCATGTAGAAAAACATAATTTTGATAATTACTCATTGAAAGCGAATATATCCATTTCTAGCAAAATCAAATCGATACCAAGCTGACATGTTAACACCCAGAAAAGAGCCTCTGTAACGGAGACAACAAGACCAGTCAGTTTTGATCTTGGGTATGTCATTAGCATTACATTTTTTTATCTGATATGATGTCTGTATATCTAAGTGAATCAAGTATGTAAGTTCAATGGTATGAAGGCCCCCTGGCCATAATGTAAATCCCACGATGAAACCGAAAATCAGAAAGAAGCTCAATCGGGTAACAAAAGCTCCACTGGATCCTCATCTCTAACCCCCTTGACAGCTCGTTTCTACCTTCCTGTCTCCACAGCGTCAATGAGTCTTGAAGTCCGGATACGTAGAAACAAGCCAAGCTTAAAACTGTTTTTCCCGCTTCCCCCCCTTCTCCTCATCCCTCAACTGACTCCGACGCCCATCTCTCCTCGCTGTCCAACTCTCCTTGAATCTCTCAAACAGCGGTTGCCAATCATGCAGTACCCACGTCAACAGACAAACCGTAACCGGAATCGAGATCAGCCAATACACATAAAACAGCCGCTCACCCGCAGCGAAGGAACCCCCCATCGAGAAGATCGACGCCACGAACGTACAAGGCACGATAACCGTCGCAATCTTGGTAAGCTGGCCCGCACTCCTCGCCTGTCTGTTCGCCGTGAACGCCGACCTCATCGCCGCTCGCTGCGCGTGCATCTCCATGTGATTTGCGATGGTGACCTCCGCAATGACGAGCTTCTCGTCGAGGATCTCCCAGAGCTTCTTCTCTCTGTTGATGGCGAGGCTGAGAGCGTTGGCGTTGACGTTGCCCGTTTGTTGATCCCAGTCCTGGTAGAAGAACGCCTGGCTGATTTCCCGAAGGAACTTTCTGTTCTCTTGGATGTCTTGCCGGTTTTGTATCAATGCTTGGTAGAGTTCGCCGTCTAGGTCTTCGGATTTGCTCGCTACGTGTTGCCGGGTTGCGTCCTGGTATAATTGGTCATGTACTCCGAGTTCGTTTCTGCGGATACGTTCATCCCAGGAGGATCGAACTAGGTTGCGGAGGTAGGTAGTCCCAGAGAAAGGATCAGAATCTACTGTAATGGGCACCTCAGAGTGTGCTTTAACTAAGGCATCGAATATCGGCCTGTGGTCTGGCCATGTAGGTGCATCACCAGATGCACTCGGGAAGACTTCAGCACATAGCTTTCGTAGGTAGGGGTAGTTCTGGAGCTCTATGCAATGGGAGGGATTCTCCTTTCGTCGAATGATAGCTTGATGTGGATCAAGCAGGACCAGGACTGTTTCATACAAATCAGTGACGCTGTCATTATGGATCCATCCGGTGAAGAGGCAAACATACTCGTCCACGACCCATCCCCATACGTCGTCGCCCAACACGAAGCATGAGACATATACCTCAGCGACCCCACCGCCTCAGACAGCAGCGCATCCTGCCGACCAAAGACACCACACTCAAGATGCCATATACCGTACGGCCCACTGAAGTTCACCGGCAACGCACGTCGTTGTGGTATCGGCACACGCCAATACTTGCCACTCTGTACCGTGCAGGTTGCATCCACGATGCTCAGGTTGACAAACTCGTCGCAGTGTGCGAGAAAGAACTCCGGCGGGATATCGAGTCTGACACCTAGCAGCTCTGCTATCCGTGGGATGAGATCCTCGACGATGATGATTCTACGCGTCACTCTTGTCCCTTGGCCTGGAACCGCCTCTTCCGGCGCACTCGTCCAGTCCATGAGGAGATCTCGCACGGAATTGTCCGCCGACCGCTCATCCGTGACGCCAGACAAGTTGCCTTCCACTTCGAATATCTGCAGTCGGGAAGTCCCTGAAGATGCCCCTTCCATCCATGGATGCCGTATCGCCCTTGCAACCTGTGATTGTGGTGCGAAGAGGCGGTTCTGTACGGCGGATGTTGCTCGCGCTTGGTACGCGCGGGTTTGCTTCTCCATGTCCACGTACGCATCTTGTCGGTGCTGGACGCCGTCGCTAACGGCCCAGTAAAGGGTATGAGCTGGTATGCGTAAGTCTTGTGTTTCATTGAGGGTGTTTTGATCAAGGTGAACGTACGATCTAAGTTTTCAGTAGACATATTGTTACGATTTCAGAGTGGTGATGTACTTCATAAGCATCACACTATTATCTCCTTACCCAAAAGCATAGACAACGAACGGGGCACCACAATACCCGCAAATTTACAGTAAAAAGAACACTTACTACGTTTTTAAGTCCCTCATGCGTCGATTTCCTGCTTCATATACATACAAACCACCTGACTCACTCCCTCTCGCCCGTCCAAAACCTCAGCCCTGTCTTCAGCTGAAGTCCCTCCCGCGTCGAGACACCGAATCTGGTGCGCAGCTCAGCTCCAGACTCGCGAACACTTTCCCCGAGCAGAAAAGCCACACCATGCACCTCGACCAATGCCGTAGCCACTGATTGGTAGTGTTCGATTTGAGCCTCACGGGCTGCGTGAGGACGGAAATGGTAATTGCAAGATCTACGTGTGGAATATCAGACACATCGCGAGGGAATACACAGGCTCTGGCTTGTTTCCGAGGAGGGAGGGTTATAGTATAACGAGGACCTGATATCAAGGTTTTTTCCTCAGCGTACCTGGGGTTCTTCATGTCCATATCGTCTTGGAGAAGCATGCTCGGCTGAGGGGTTCCTTAACCACGACCACTCATTCACTCGATCAAGATAGACAGGTAGACTCAGGATAGTCACCACCATCATCAACGCACTGCATCCACAAAAGCCATCAACCTTCTTCAGTCCTGCTCGGCGTACATCACAGACAACCAACGCGAAGCATCACTGGCACGAAAGCGATCCAGGCTTTGTTACACATAACCATACATAACATACACACACATGCTATCTGTTTCTTCTTCTGCTTCCCACGCACACACGCACGCAGACATGCCCAAAAAGCCAACTATGGAGAGAGTAGGACAAAAAAAGAGCTGGGTGGAGGGGTACTTTAAATTAAAATGCCATGCTTTGCTTGCACACACACACATACAAAACGTAGGAAAAAAAAACCACACACACGCACGCACACACAAGACAAGCAAGACAGTTTGAAAAGGGGGTTTCTTTCTCCCGTTTCCTTCCTCGCTCGCTCGCTCGCTCGTCGATACAGAGAGAGGCGCCCCCAAACCAAAACGCGCCTGGTTACATATAGAGAGAAAAAAAGGGGGGAGCCGATTAAAGGAAAATTATAAGATAAGGGACTTCCCCATTTATTACAATTGGACAAAAACAAGGGGCGAAGACGAGGGCAAAGGCAGACGACAACTGTTTTACGCTCGACTTCTTCTTCGACGGTTCTTCTTCTTTCTGACGATGATGATTTCCTCGGACTTTGGGTTCGCACTTTTCTCGATGCTGATTCCTTGCTCTGCTTTCAATGACGTGCAAAACTAACCCGTGCTAGATATCGCTTTCAATGCTCGAACGCTCAATTGATGATTTCTCTTTTCACCGTCACCGCTCCTCCTTCGTCCTCTGTCTTCCGATTCGCCTGAAAAGATCCATCACGCGCTTCGCGGATCCAGAACTTCCTGAATGTCCTTGCTTGTCCTCGTACGCATCTGCAAATTTCCGATTCTTCTGGAGAACACTCGGGCGATCCCGTGCGTTCGATGGTGGAGGCATTGCCTCTGTGCTGTTGAACCCGGCTGGGTATTGTCCTCGCTGCTGACTGGTTGGGACGACGGGCTCTGAAGCTTCCGAGTTGTTCGCGTGGCGATAAGGCTTCTCTCGGTAGCCATGGGCGGACGGATGAGGACCTGCTGGGTTGGGGATCTTCTCATCGCCTATCGGAGGCGGGTACTCGAACTGTGTTTGCTGTGGTGGTGCGGATGCTGGTCCTGCACGAATGCGAGAATTGCTCTCATGACCACCATCGTAGAAGTTGTGGGCCCGACTTCCTTGTGTGCTCTGGCTGGGAGAACGACTCTCGCCTCCTCGCCCGAAGGCCATACCTTTCGAGGCGGCGCGGCTCCTGGAAGCAGGTGCAACAGAATTCCTCCGTTCGGTGGCCGATGCACTCTCCTTGTTGTTCGAGAAAGTCTTCGAGAGTGACGAGGGCAGCAGAGAGAACCTTCGGCCTGACTTCTGTGCACCCGATTGATCGGTATTTTTCCGACTGAACCCAAATGATCGTCGAGATGATTCGCTTGACTGTCGCGGCGCCTCTTCATTAGCCAATGGACTTGGCATGCTTGTAGGGGGATACGACTTCTGGATCTTGTTCGAGTTGTGGCTAGGAGTCTGAGAAGAGTCCGATGGCTGGCGGCCACTGAACATCGACGTCACCCTGCCGAGGGTTTCACTAACCGTGTTGGAGCGTCGGTGTCCCTTCTGGTTGACATTCTGAGCATCCGCCTGAATAGTTGCCACCCTCTGCGTGCTGGGTCGTCCAATCGAGGGTTCGCCCATGCGTCCGTCTGTGTCATTCACAGGGCCCGAAATGGAATAAGTCTTACCCTTGGGTTGGGAGAAGCGACCTTCAACGTTCGTAGGCGCGACCGTGGCCGCCACCGGTTGTCCATACGAGTTGCCGCGAGATGGCAATCGAGAGCCCCCTGTGGATGGCCGAGCTGTAGATGTAGCAGAAGCAGCGCCGAAGGCTGTATAATCCGATACAGATCTCTGCGCGCCGTGTGTAGGCCGTGAAGGGCCGCTTGTTGCCGCCGCTGTCGATCGGTTTGGTCGAGCGCCCGAGGACGATTGGTAGCCATCTGTAGGAAGAACTTCCGTGGGACCTTGGTCGCGAGGCCTCGACTTCGATGAAGTTGCAGCGGGTGGTGAAGCTTCCCCACGAGCAGTTTGTGATTGAGGGGCGACATATTCGACCTGCACTGTTCGTCGCTTGTTGTCGCGGCTCGTCTTGGGTTTCTCGGCGTCTGTGCGGTTGATCTGGTCTCGTTTCGCTGTAAGTCCGCCGATGGGTGTGACCGAAGTATGTGGTTTGCCGGGTTCGCGAACCGATGCGCTTCGGGCGAGGGAGGGGGTATCGAATGGATCTTCTAAAATGGAGTTAGATTTGCAGAACCACGGAAGCACGGTAGACTTACTTGGATAAGCAGCCGACTTGGTGACATCGTTGGAGGAGGTCGAGCTGGATGTTATGAAGGACAGGATATGTGCATAATCGCTCAGCCAACTATGACGGGCGACTTCGAACAAATCAGCGCGCTTCCTTGGGTCGGGAACTAGGATTCGTTTCAGGAGATCTCTGGCGTGCGGTGTGACGTATTCAGGGAATGTGAGTGGGGTCGAGACAATGTATTTGTACAAGAGGTTGATGTTATCACCCTCAGGATTGTCCGGATCGTCGTCAAAAGGCAGGTAGCCCGCGAGCATAGCATACTGTGCGTTGTTAGCTATCATTTCTGATCAAGGATATCGCCTGTGATCTTACCAGAATGACACCGCAACTCCAAACATCGACCTTGCGGCCTGTGTATAGCGAATCGCTAACCACCAATTCCGGGGCTGCGTAGCAAGGACTGCCGCAACTTGTTTGCATGAGGTCTCCTCTTCTATTACCGTCAGTACCCTCCAAGCCCATTGACCTGATGAACTCTTTATTTCCAAGATTAAATTCGATCTCCTCGCCCAATTCGTCGTTCGCATCGAATGTGTTTGCAAATCCAAAATCGGTAATGATGATGTTGCGGTTTTTGTCCAGCAACAAGTTTTCCAGCTTCAAATCACGATGCACGATACCCCTCTTGTGGAGATAGCCTACACCGGATATCAATTGGGCGAAAAGTCGGCGTGCTGCTCCATCCTTCAAATAGCGGTGGTTGAGAATGTAGTCGAACAATTCACCGCCTGAAGCGTACTCCAGAATGATACCGATGTGACGCTCAGTCTCGACCATTTCGTGGAGACGGACAATGTTGGGGTGATCGAGGCCGCGGAGAATTTGGATCTCGCGGTAGATCTTTTGAAGTCGATTCTGATTGCTGCCCAGTGTCTCTCTCCGTATTAACTTGATCGCGACCTCCACGTTGCTGTCCTTTTTCCAACCCATCTTGACCTTGCCGAATTCTCCCTCTCCAAGCGTCTGGCCCAGGATGTAGTTGCCAAACTTGGACTTCCTTGTAGAAGCAGAGTGGTCCTGACGGCTCTTTCCAGCTCCACGGCCGCCATCGTCGACACCTTCACTGCCAACAAGGCCCAATCCTGTGACAGGGGTGACGTCGGAGGCGGACGCTCCGGGCCTGGCTTCTGCTTGCCTTGCGGCTTCGCGGGAAATGTCTTCTTGGGGGTCTGTGACTACGATTCTGTTTATCACGGTGCTCTCCTCACGAGGCAGGTTCGTTCCTGTGGGCGGCTGACCCACCGCGGTAGCAGAACGGCTGTGAGTAGGTTGGCCGGGCGAGTGTTTCGACCTGCTGGAACTTCCCTGTTGCCGGGGGCTCTCCTTGGCTCGTCTCCGCGCGCTCTCATCGCGTGTTCTGTCCTTATCGCTAGAGCTGGTATGTGTGGATGAAATGGGCGCTCGCGAAGCCGAAGGACTGCTATTGCCGCGATGGGAGGATGTGCGTGGAGGTGGCATGGGGCCTCCGGAGGCTGCAGAGGTGGCAGGAGCATTCATGGCGGGCGAAGCGTGTGTAGAAGGAGGAAGTGGTTGCGCGCGAGGAGTGTTTAGTGCAGAGCCTGCGGACGGGGCTGGGGAGTGGTGTGTCTGGGGAGTTGTCGGTGTGTGCGGCGACGCGCCATTTCCGCTCTGACTATGGTGATGACGCGAAGGTTTTCTCGACGACGAGGGTGACGCAGCGACGGGTGACTGTTGCTGTTGTGGATAGTACTGCTGGGGGGATTGCTGTTGTTGATATGAACGGTTTGACAATGCTGGACCGCTAGCCTGCACGGCGGCCGACGACATGTCCGTGAATGCGGCGGCAGACAGCGAGGGCTGCGGGCGTGTCTCGGCAGACACTGATCAGCGAAGGAGGCGGAGAAGCGCTCTGCAGGCGTAGGCAACGGCTTTGCGTGTGCAAGTGTGAATGTTACTGTTCTCTTGGTGAGTTAGAAGAAGTAATGGCGGGCGGATCGTGAAGTGATTGCGCGACTGGATTCTAGAGAGCGGAAAAGCAGAAGCATCAAGGAACTCGGGGGTTGGGAGGGTGCGCGAAACAGGGAGAGCGCAGAGAGTTGAATGAAGGGCGGCGGCTAGCGGAACAAAAGGCGCGCACAGGGTGGATGCTGCGACGTTCGTAACGCGTGCAATTGTGGGTGAGAGGAGAGGAGATAGGAAATGAGAAGGAGAGGAGAGGAGGAGAGAAGGGGAGGATGGAAGAGGCGGTCGGGAAGTGATGAATTGGCAGAGAAGAGAAGAGGAAGACGATCTGGCGGTGATGAGATGAGTAGTGGTGGGCTATGGTGGTTGTGTCTGGCTCTGTCGGTATCGGTGTCGGTCTTTTCCAGGTAAAGGTAATGTTGCTGTTCCTGTTCCTGTTCCTGTTCCTAACTTGCTGCTGTCGCTGTGCTGGTTGCTTGTGCTTGTGCTCGTTGCTTGTGCTTTTGGGGCGGGACCCCCTTGGTTCACATGCGGCGCGCGGTTGACGGCGCTGGGACTAATTAGTCGACCTTTTTTTCTTTTGACTTGACTTGACCTGACTTGACCCGACTCGAACTGGTCTGGCAGACTTGGACTGGCACGGTCGACCCTCACGGCAAGATTTCACGCCTTTCCCTGCTTTCCCTGTCTTTCCCTGCCCAGTCCCCTCGAAGCGAGCGTATCAACGATCCGAAACGAGCGAACCTTAGCAACGAAGCGAGGGTTGGACTAGGTGAAGTCGATCGATTGATAGGTACTCCGTACTCGCAGTCGTGAGAGATGGATGAGCGAGGAAGTTGGGGCGCTAATCAATGATTGCCCATGAGGCTATCTATGATTATGATTAAGATGATGATGATGGCGATTCGCGACGATTGTCGCAAAGCGGTAGTGAGCGAGTGGAGGAGAATCGCAGCCGCAGAGTTCAGCTTACGGGCTAGCACAACGGCGGGCTGGAATGCGACAGTCGAATGAAGGCTGATGATGAATCTGAGACGAAGCGAAGGTGGTGCCCCGGTGGATGTTGTTGGGTGGATGGAGTGTAGGTAGGGGTGTTGGTGAGGGTGAGGGTGAGGGTAAGGCGAGGCAACCAAAGCGAATGCGGCTTATGGAAGGGAAGGTAGGATGAAGTAGGTATGCGATCGATGCTCTCGGAACAGCGAGACCAGAAGAGTAATCGAGGTGAGAACTGGTCGCAAGAATTGGAATATTAGTGATTTGTTTGTTTTCGTAGTAGACAGGCGATTATTAGATGTTGATTTAATTGAGTGGTTGATAGGTAGGTAATAGGTAAAGGTGAGCGAGTGAGCGAGTGAGTGGGAAGGAAGGAAGATGGGATACTCCGTACACATCAACATCTACATACATACGGGTTCTCGTAGATACACATACATACACATCACAATTGAGACACAAACATCCGCCTACACGCCTGACGATCTAGTATCTACCCAACTACCTAACAAACCTACTCGACCTCGATGATGATTGACATCACCACCTCGGTCGGCATATAGAAGAAATTGCAGTAGCATCATAGCAATCAACCACTACAAGCAACATGCATACTCACCAATTCACCACTCAAGCTAGTTATTCCTCGTGATCTGTCAGCCACACAGCTTCTTCCTCTCCTTCTTATGAGCGCTTTGCATTTACTCACCAAACTAGATATCCAGGAAACCCCAGGCGGTCGTGATACGATGTATAATTCAACCGAGCTACGACCAACAATTCAACCTCCTCCGACATACTCGGTCGGTACAATTCCCGCGGCTATTCACGTTGTGTATAGCACTACAAGTAGTCACGAGTACCTTCTTGTCGAGTTCCTCATGGCCTGGTCGTTTCCATGTGCTTGCAACTGCATCCCCTCTCCTCTTTGTCATTGATTGGATTGGCCCCGATCCTTCGAGTATCTACCTATGCAGGTACCTACCTTCCTAGGCATCGCCGGCGATTATTGCGACCAGGACAGAAATCTATTTCCGTCTGTCCAGGAAGATTGAGGAAGAGATAATGCCTACAGGCATAGGCACAAGCATAGCAACAGGCACAAGCGCAGACAGGGATATTGTACAGACAGACACACGAAGACAGACATGGCCCCTCTCCCCTCTCATCAGGCACAGGCGCATCCCGGTACACGGAGTGGTAATAGCTCCCTCAAGGCTGGATGGGTTTGGGTGGGCTGCTGTTTCAAAACTCCATCTTTTTTAGCAAAGCGCCTCGGGATGGCGCAAATTGCCGCCGTTTATGCCATGCGTCGACTCCTGTGAGTCCTGTCGGTCCTGTCTATCCTGAATCCTAAATCCTACATTCTGAATGTTGACATCTCCTCGCACGACAAGAATGACTACAACCGTGGTTCGTCGTCGACTCCGTGATTATTTACATTGTCCGTCTGCCTGTCCTGTACCTGGCCGGTGTTGGTAACCGCCCTTGCTCGGCTTTATTTCCTTTCTCTCCCTTTCTTCGTTCCTGTTTCCGCTCTGGTCCTAAGTTGTCTCTCCCCAGGCCATGGGATATGGAGTATCGAATATTGCTTTGTACCTCCACAACTGAAACATAGCAACCATTGACCTCGTTATCGAATATGTATCCTCAAATAATGAGTTCGGTTCAGTACTCACCCTCGATCAGTTCCTATGGACTTACTTCGATGTTAGTTCCGTTGTTAGGCCCATTCCACCTCGGTCCAACCTCCACCCCTTTTAACGCGTCCACTCAACCCGAATGCGTCCCGCGCATCGATCATTCAATCAATCATCATTCATTCAATTAATCAATCAATTCATGCATAAGAATCGACCCCGTCATGATCACCACAACCCAGCTATTCTCCCCTAACCTTACCATACCGAACCATGTTGTTTGCAGATAGCAATCTTATCGCCATGACCATATCCATCCGACGGTCCGGCCGACCACAGCTGGGCGACGAGCTGAGAGAAATTCAACCAGCCTTATAACCAGACCAACTGCCACTAACCAGCTAGGTAATAATAAGATTGATACTGACTGACTGAGTAACCTTGGCTTTGGGCGGCTGTGAATTGGATCTTTTTGATTTCAGCAAAAAATCAACGCATAAGGCCGTGCAATTTACCTGTCCAACCAGGAACATCCCGGCCAACCCTTCGCCCTCACACCACACACGAACACGCACGTCATTGCTAACCCTCCCCGATTCATTCGACGAATCTCCCTAGATCAACCTCCCCATGTCAATGTCAACATCCCAGGTAAACAACAACAACAACAACATCATAAATAACAATAACAACACCAAAAAAACATCTTCACCACTAATTTAAACCATTCGCCACCACGCTACCTTACCACGCGAACCCACCCGTCGCGTTGTCCCTACCCAAACTCCACAACCCGCCGTCCCACTCTCCCATCCAAACACCGTCGCCCCTCCGTCGTCCCTCTGGCCAATCACATCCCCCCAATGCCACGACCCGACCCTACATCCGACGAGCAAAAAAACGTCCCTCTCCCGTTCGTTCCCCTCGTAGTCTACCATACATTTCCTCGTAGTTAGGTCGGATACACACCCGTCCTTGTTCTCTCTTCGCCTCTTCAAAAAACTTCCAGGCTAGCAAGTCACAGACTTTTTTTTTCCCCTCGAACCCTGGGAAAGAAACGTCATTGTTGAAAATTTGCTGTTTTTGTCACATGCTGCTGCCTTCATATCAGCGTATCTAGGTAACTCTACTCTGCATTGGCTCCGACTACCAACGGAGCTGCCTCCGGAGCTGCTTCCGATCCTGGTGACTTCACACGCTTGTGGCTTTTGATATCTCCTTCCTAGATGAGGAGATGTATATTAAACCAAGTGATATAGTTCATGTTTTTTTCCACTTCGTCGAACATAGAGGACGTTGGAGACGGGGGAATGCTGGGTCTGGCTTGCGTCTCAATTGTGTGGTTCCTTGTTATCAAGATGGTGGTTCTAATACTTGGTGGATGGATGGCATTGGTGCAATGTGATTGCTATGTGGTTTTTCAATAGCGTGTTTTATCTTGAAGATAGTGATGCTTTCTTTATTGTTGGGATTGGTAAGTACGTACTGGAAAGAAATGGAAGGGAGGTAACTAGTAGTGAGGTAGCATGGTATCAATCATCACTCATACAGATTCTCTACTTTTAATATGTGGAGCCTGGCGTAGAGGTAGGTAGTGTGTCGACATACTTACATGATATTTATATGGAGGAAGCAATAAGGCAGTACACGAATAAGAGTGCCTGTAAATATGTATACATCCACATACAGCCCTAAAAAATGGCTTCTAGTAAACCATGTATTCATATCTTAAACACACAAGGTTACCACCATCTCGAACCCCCTTCTCATACATCACAGCACTCTGATATCTACCGTGTCAAGTCCAACAAGTATACAAAGAACAACGGCACCCTGATCATTTCCACTCCCCTCCTACTAACACGTTGATATCTACTCATCTATCCTTTCTCCTCTTTATATTCTTTCGATGAAGAAAGACGTGTAGAAAGGAAGAGAAAGGCGTGACAGAGGAGCGGAAATATTGCTCGTTGCTGTTCGTAGCGTAGTGTACTTGTATGGGCTTCAGGCTCACGACCAGGTTCATTCATGGTCATGGTCATGGTAGTGGTATACGTGTGAACTGACCAGGAAGCAGACCTTTTTTGATAGGTTTACAATGTTGACGGTAGATTTGCGTAGCTTAGAGGATGGTTTCTAGGTAGATGCGTAGGTAACAAATTGTAGCGTTCAAGGGTACTTCAGACATCAGTTGCCCACCGTTGTGTAAAGTGTGATATAAGAGTTTCAGTGGATAGTGTGCGGTGTTGTGTTATCAGAAGTAAGGACGCGAATCCTCAGTTTGACCATGTTGTAGAGTGAGGATCGATCATGGAGATGTTTGGGAGTTCGAACTTGCTTGGGGGGGCTCTTCTTGGGGGAAGCGAGGATGTGTTTATGATGAATAGGAGATCATAGAAGGTGCAGAGAGTAGATGCTAGAACAAATAATGATGACTTTACTTTCTTTCCACCGATAAATCAGGAGAGGGGTTTATTGGAAAATAAAGTAAGAGAGGGGCTTATCAGAATAGGAATTTGAAGAGAAATTTATTGGAGTTATAATCGTACTATCATATCGACCCAGGAAGAATCCTCAATATTCTAATGTTGGCCTCTTTGGAGGGATCAACTTTGGAATGTAAAGTGTGAAAGTGCACTTCAGAAAGTCGCACATCCATCGCACTTCAGGTTTCCGTTGAGATGGCTACCCAAGATACGAGTCCGACGTCAGTCCCATCAGCGCCCTCTCGCAATCCTTCTCGGCCAAGTACCGCTTCCCAATCGCTTGTTGCATGAACGCAACCCACCAAAAGTCATCACAGCATCCCATCGTCGCCGTTGTCAATTCCCAATATTCCGGAAGCCAGCCCGTAGATTCCCAGTCGATGAAGCCAGAAACGTGTCCATCGTAGACCATGATATCGTGATGCATCAGATGTCCGTGACTGAACACAATGGAATGAGGCATTGAATTGATCTTCTTCGCTCGTGCTAGTGCCTTCTCGAATGACCATCGGACAGTATAAGAGTGTGGAGACGCAACGCAAATTAGGTCCCTGTTGAAATCCGACTCCGACGCGCATGGTCCGATTTCGTGCAAGGGCACTCGTGGACTTTGAATCGGCGTACCCATGACCGAACATATGCGTCCATCGCCCCATGGGTGCTTCCATGCCCTCATTATGCCTAGCATTATTCGCATCTCCTCGCAGATGGTCTGTCGTTGTCTTGGGGAAAAGCTGTCGTGCACTGTGCCTAAGGTTTTCCCAGGCACTCGTGTCATGAGGATGGATACCAACACAGGTGGCATCTTAGGACCTAGGCCATGTTCGCCGTACGAAATCACCAGTGGCACTGGGAATCCAGCAGCGCGAGCCATCTTCATTGCTGCAACTTCTTCGAGCCGGACGCCCTCAGTGAACTTCAGTATGAGTCCGAACGGAAGTTGTACTATCCATGGATCCCAGGCGATGCCTGCCCATGCGGAGTAATATCTCGAGAACCAACGTAAGAACCAGTGGATGTGCCCAACTATGACGCGTACGGTGCAACCGGCAAGTCGAGGTGTTGGGGGAGGGGAGGAGGCCAACTTTGCATCACCAAGGACTCGGTGAGGCCAGGTGAAAGTCGGCAGAAGGCAATTCAGAATCCAAAGCTTGAACATGTTGTCTGTGTTGCATGAAAGATTTGTGTATCAGATTTGACAGTGTGTGTGGATTTGGTAGGTAGCAGCTCTCAAATACTTCTTTACACTTACCATGGTCACTGCGCGGCTACTCAATGTGCTTAGCGTATAATAAAGTGAAAGAACTCGCGGTAGAAACAGGACCAATCACATCGAATTGAGCTTGTTTGTTGAGCTCATTGTATCTCGAGTCAGTCATCTTTAGTTCTCAGTTCTTCTCGTTTCTTTCCTCGCTTCAGATTGCTTGCTCAGATTTGATAAGTTTGCTAACGTCAAGTAGCGACACGAGTATAGTCCTGACACTTTTCGATTCTACCCAAATACTTGAGAGCCTCTCCGCGTTCGCTTTTAATATCCATACTATGATATAGCAGGGTAGATGAGGTTATTCGGAGATTACATGTAGAGGGAAAGGCACCAAGCAGAGCATAGATAGATAGATTAGGGCGGCAGAGAGAGATCGAGGCATCATCCACCGACATACAGAGGCCTTTTGACAGTGGCAAATATCTATCTATTCTACCTATCGACCGATTGCGGGTCGTCCCCGCGATGTCCCCTACTATAGAGGCATCTGTGCCCAACAATATGCTGAGAAGGCCTTCAGGTAGCTGATACACCGGATAGGTTAAGGCCGAAGTGAATCGAAATCGTAGACAACTTTCTTAGGCTAGAAGAGATATCATTTCCTTATCCCTGGGTGTAGGACGCCAAATGTGTCTGGTGCGAGGATGATCGAAATCATGATTATATTCCGCTTGTGGGCTCAGCTTTGAGTAAGAATTCTAGGTAGTTGTTAACAAATCAAAACAAACTGAAAGACTACAACACGCCCGGCTAGCCAGACTTACGAGATAAATTGATTGGACGTGGCTGAATATTGTCAGCCGCTGCCTGAGCATGTTTCTTTCCCAAATCCATCGCTTCCTGCTCGAGGTCCCCCAAGTTCTCGCACTCCAGGATTCTGACTCCATCAACCGGGGTTTGGAGAAGCTTCAAGACATCGAACAGCCAAACACGGCAGGTGATGCCCTCGCGATCATTGATCTCATTGTCGTATGTGCGGAGCTTTTTTACGCCGTAGCCTTTCAGATCCTCGGGAATTGATGTAATTTGCATCAGACCGACGAAAAGGAACCCGGAGAATATGCGAACCCCATTTTGCTTGATGAAATAATGAGTTTCAGGTTTAGTCGTATAGAGGATGCCTTTAATATTAGCATTAATTATGTTAAGCTTCGAAGACGTTGTTACTCGTAGTACTAGTAATACTAGCATTTATAATAATAAATAATATCTTGCTATTAGGAGCTATTTTTGCTATCTCGTAAAATAGGTTAACTTAGTCTTCCTAAATTGTAGTATTGCACTTAACGAACGTCGCACTTAACGTGTGAGCAGTGGTGCCAGCAGATATGATTATACCTTTCTAAGAAGATCAGTTACTCAACGCTTTCGTTCCTTGCATGGAATGCAGAAAGCTTTTGGGCCACACCATCAACTTCTATATTGGCCGTGAGTTTTCTTATTATTTTGATTCTAAGCATTCTGGAAATAAAGTATTTAGGTTTGAAGCTAGATGAAAAGCTAAATGCACTAGAGCTACCCTGTCAGCCTGTATAGCAGACTAGGTGGAGAAGCTTGATCTAGAGCAGTGGCGCGAGCATTAAGGTCCGCCTCCTAAACCAGAGTGTAAAGATTATGATACCGTGATATCCGGCATTACAGAGTTCATTCGGAACGACGACAGCTACAAGGCTGACGTGTGCTTGCATAGCGGGACTGATGAAGCCTTGGTGATTTGCCGTGGTTAGCAATCCAGCCTTGGCCTATTCCCTTGACGTGATACTCTGTTCCTCTAGCCTTGTCATCCTCATGATGGTACAGTCCCCAGTGGGAATTGTTCTTGACTGGTGGGTGGTGGCGTACGTAGAGCGTAATGTAGAGGCCTCCAACCCCGAGTTCCGAAAGAGACATTGGGATGATTGTTGTATGATTGTAGTCGTTATAAATGGTCGATGAGTATCGGAGGAATCTTGGGGATGGGCTCGAAAAGCAGGACAGAACCGTTTGCTCACTCTCAAAGTCGAAGAATATGAAGCTATTCAATTTCCCTTTAACCCAGCACGATCCATTTGTCGACCTGTCATCACTGAGATTGCTGCCTAGTAATAGCCATACAATATTAGGGTCACAATTGTAGAGGGTCCACGATTTTGCCTGTTGATTTAGGTAATATCTTGGTACGCATCTTGAGGTTAGGTTTCGTCTAGCTCAGATTCAAGTGTATAGCAGCCAGACAGAATGAAGTGATTGGACGGTACATATCAAGAATTCATGTTGAATGCGGAGAACTGGCTACAATATATTATGAGCGCCCTTGTGAGAATAAATTAGCAAGCAGAAATATCGATGATTGAATTAACTCGATGTATTATGTCATTAGCTATACACCTGTGAGTTTCCTTTCCCACGGTTACTTCCGATCGATGGTTGAACTACATCTTGATCTCGGACGGTAAATTGATGCTGAGAATGTCAACACCGTCCTGTAGCTCCTTCTTCCCAGGCATCTTGCCCCTCCTCATCAACTCTGCAGTCTGCATTACTAGGGGGTCCTTCATCATAGATGCCGCGGCCACGACTGTGTCGCCCTGAGTATAATACGCGATAAACGCCGGTTTTTCGGTGTCGCCTTGCAAGACGACATCGTCGTACCCGCTGACGGTGTTACCGCAGTACCGGAGCTGGGCACCTAGAGCAGACCAGAAGACAGGGATGAAAGGCTTCGGTTTGGCACTGGGGTTGTTGATCGTTTTCGCCACGGAGCGGCCTGCGTTTTGCGCAACGTTCCAGTGTTCGATGCGGGTGGGCGATCCGTTTCCTCCCGGTCCGTGGTACGGGTACGTGGCAATGTCACCGATCGCAAAGACATTGTCGAGTCCTTGGACCTCGAAGGACTCGTTTGTGCGGATAGACCCGTCCTTTTCGAGCTTGATGGCGCTGTTGTCTCTCAGGTACTCGGTGGCTGGTGCGACACCGACACCCTCTATAACGAGATCGGCCTCGAGAACCGTCCCGTCTTTCAGGTGAACAGCACCCACTTTGCTTGAGTCGGTGCTGGAAGGTGTGGCTTTCTCGACGCTCGCTCCCATGTAGAACTTGACACCATTCTTTTCAAGGAGTCCGCGGAAGATTTTTCCCACCTTGGCGCCCATCACCCTTTCCATGGGTTCTGATTTATCTTTTAGTACTTTCTCTGAAACCTAATACAAAGGGATTTGACCTACCTTGCTCCATACCAATGACGGTAACATCATTCTTCATTCCTGCAAGGCAGTTGCCGACTTCCATGCCAATAAATGAGCTGCCAACAACGACAATCTTCTTGCCATTGTCCCCTACCGCCTTGACAATGTTCTGTGTATCTTCAAGGGACCTGAGCAGGAATACATTTCCAAGGTCGCCCTTCAATCCCTCGAGCGGTAGCCATCGCGGAGTACCGCCAGTAGCGAGGACTAGTTTGGAATACTCGTGCGTTTTGCCGGATTTTGTTGATACCTTTTTGCTAGCGAAATCAACCTTGTCGACCTCGTCCTGTGTTATGTCTATCGATGCGTCTTTGTAGAAATCCTGGGATCGCCAAGCTGCTTTAGAGAGATCCGCGAGCAATGCCTTGGATAATTTAGTCCGGTCAATGGGCCGGTAACCCTCTTTTGAAATGACAGTGATCTTTCCACTAAAACCGCCGCCACGAAGTCCCTCAATTGCTCCAAGCGTACCGCTGCCACTGTCGAGGGGGTTAGGGACAACGAAAATCGATAGAAGCGGTTGATTAGTAAATACTTACCCGCCGATAACGAGCACTTGCTCGTCGCTCTTTGCTGAGCACTTCAAGTTCAGGAATCTCCTGTTGGCCTTGATCGAGCCCTCATCGCTCTTGATGTAAACTGCGCCATCCTTTTCCACAATCTCGTACTTGGACAAAGGGTCAAGAGCAGGGGCATCCTCTACATCTCCAGTTGACACATTGAAGCATGCTAAACGTACAGTCAGTCTAAGAACCACTAAATCATGAAGATGGAATAGGTTCAATACCCACCTCCATGCCACGGACAAGTCAAGCGACCCTCCGGAGTAAGTACACCATTCTTCAATGGTGCACCAAAATGCGTGCAGTTCGCCGACGTTGCATGGATCTTGTCCTGGACCTTCAGCAATAGGACCTTGCCTCCCTCGACACCTTCAACCTCGACCTCCTGCTTATCAAAGTTTTGGAGATTGAGAGGCGACGAGACGCCTTTGAGCTTAAATTCCTGAGCCATGCTTGCCCTAGCGCTGAATGATGCTACACGCGGAACCTGTGAGATAGTGAAACGTGGAGTATTTCGAAACGACAAAGACGATGCTCTGAGAAGTCGAGGAAATATCATCAACAGCTACAGATCACAATGATGGTTTCCGGGTGTATTTGGAGCAGTAGAGTGAATGGGACACGAAAGGTGCGGATTGACAAATGGCGAGGAGACGCGGGGTGATTACGGGTGCATTTATTTCTAGGAGATGTGATTCGTCGCTGCTCATGATGACGTAGACCACATTCTGCACAGTAAGCTACGTGCTTGTCCCTACACAACAAACAACGGACAGATATCGCACCTAGCGTGCTCTCAAGTTAACCGCAAAGAGAATGAACGCGTACAAGTATGCGTACTACCAGTGAGCGATGCAGAGAGTGAATTGTGAAGCAATCTTATTGGCTGGTGTCAGTGTTTGTTTTGACGCAGCAACCGCGGGTGTTTATCGATAAGAGCGTCAGCCACAACGTGGAGCCCGCGTCATCTTCCGCACCAATTGCACCATCGCTTTTACATATCCATATACTACACCTCTACAAATGATAGGTGTGAACTCATGGATGTCTTCGTTTCGACTGGATAAATCTCACTCAAAGCGGTGCCTGGGAGCCGGTAGCTTGACGTAAAAGATCACCGACCTTGAAATACATTCTGCAGTGACATGCCATTGACCAGTAGATAGACGAACCTCCACAAATCCTCCAAGTGCGGCCTTAAATGAGATAGTCCTCTTAACAAGGCTGTCAATAGTGATATCGTCATTTGAAAAGGTAAAAAGGTATTTTTTTTACTAGATGAAGCTATGGGGCCGTTGTACATTGTTGTTGTCGACAATGACTGTCAGCCGAGTTTAAGTTATCTCAACTCAGGATCTTCTGCCTCAGACCTTTCGATTTGTCTAGAGAATGACTGCCCATCCATTAAATGCTGATGGGTAGAACGGTTGCTATTGTTCGGGAAATATCCCGGAGTCAAAACGGGTTAGGCTCTCCTCAGATCCTGAACAATTAAAGGGAACGTTGCGGTAGGTTTCGTTCGTACTCGAGCAATAAAGCGCTTCGAAAGTATACACGGCAGTGTACACGACCTCAATGATGCTCACTCCTGGACGCACGAGGTATCGCATTGTTGTAAGGAAGTATGGCCTGTGCACCCTCTAAGCCAGCTAACATTTGATCATTGACTTCACCGGTGTACCCACAGAAGACTTCTTCCGTCTGCGCACCATTGATACTTTCTCCACTCTTTCGGGTCTGCAAATGTCAATCCTCACATACTTCAAGATGGTTCTGTCGTGGATCTCCAGACTTTTCTCACCAACGTTCGCTTGGCCCCATCGTGTACTCCACTCAGTACCATTGGCATCTTCTCTGCCAGCAGTACCCCAGCTTTGGCCTCGCCATGTCCGTCGAATGACTGGCTGTCTTCACGCGCTTCTACGCCGCTTCTCTATTGTGTATTGCGGCTGGTACGGCATCCAGTACGACCACTATATGGTGCAGCTCCCCTTCGGACTGATATTGAAATGGACCACCCGAACGCGACTGGAGGAAGTCGTTGCTACGAAACTAGCAAGGTCCGCGGGGTTTCCAGTCCCACTGATCATATCCTATGGCGAGCACGAACCAGTGCCCGGCTTACCTCCCACGCGTGTGTCAATTCTTATGACCCGTCTACCTGGAGCCGCATTAGGCGACGTCCACAAAGAGCTACCCCCAGAACAGCTACAAACCATCTGTAGCGAATTGCGGACGATGCTAGAAACCATGAGAGAGTGGAAGCACCCTCAAGGAGGCCAGCGTGTCTGTTCAATCTCCGGCACTTCTATAGTAAGCGCCCGCGTACCGGATCATATAATCGGACCCTGCGAATCAGAGTCAGACTTCAATAAACAACTGCTTGCTCCCGCGAGACCAGGTCGCAAAAATTCCAAGGAAAAGTTTGCCCGCGTAAAGAAACTCCACGCCATGCAGCACTCCATCGTCTTCACCCACGGCGACTTGAAACACCATAATCTCCTTGTGCACGACGGGCATGTGCCCGGCTTCATCGACTGGGAGTCTGCCGGTTGGTGCCCCGAGTACTGGGAGTTCACTACCGCGCTGAAATTCTGCTCGGAAGACTTCTGGTGGTACGACTTCAATATGAAGCTGGGCGCGTCGCGGTACATGGAAGAGTTGGAGTATGAGAGGGCGCTTACCGGGTTGACTTCTGGCTCATACTCTTTCCTCTACTGAGGAGAGTTATGCCTGGCCTTCTGGATTCGAAATGCAGACACATGCAAGTAATGACTTCCAGGTTCAATCCTCTCAGTCGTTGAAGTAGTATGATGTGCTATGTACGACATCTCACTGTCGTAAAGGTGGATAGCCAAGGCATACATATTGGCTCGCTTGTCTTCTAGAATGTCGCGCGGTTTGCGTGAAGAGTTGCAAGGCTCTCTAGAACAGAAGTGGTGAAGTACAAGGGCCTATGTATGACAGGGGTATTGTATTCACATGGGAGACAGTAGAAAACATTGAGTTGTTAGAGGCTTCTCGCTTTTGTTAATATTGGCGGAACATGACGGCATAACCTGTCCGTTTCTAATGTAATTTAGAAAACCATAGATTGAAGTATGGAAAATGATTCACTGATGTTCTTTTGTCTCATTTGATTTATTTTCATGGCCGAAGTATGACAGTCTCCTCTCACTGCAGCGACAATGGAATCCATCATACCGCCCGCTGTATGGAATGTTTACGGTGTCAGATCTGCACATGCTATTGTCCTTTCTCTCCAAATTTTCCACCCGATGCCTTCTTCTGTATCCTCGCAATAAAATCTTCCGACAATACTTCCGGCCCGTCCATGTATCTATACCGTGCTGTTAGAACCTGGGGCTTGGAGAAGGTCACATCGCTTCAACCCCGCACTTCACCGTCCCGTCGATGCAACTAGCTCCCTACTGCTATGCATCGGAGTAACTTCAGTAGGAAAAAATAATCCAAAAATCATACCATTTGCCCAACAATACGTGAACGCAACATAGATCGACAAACAAGTGATGCGCGAAGTGAAATGGTAAAAGTCGGACCGAGTGTTGGGCAATCGTATCGGAGTGTAGAAGAGGCCTGTGATTGGTGGGATGTCGGTCCGAGTCGTATTGGGTGTTCACCGTTCGAACAGTTGTTCTCTGCAGTAAGGGAACTTCCCGTTCTAGTCGATTTCTTGTTTTGTAGGGCAATGTGACTTGTATTGCGATCGTGACCTTGAGCAGAGATTAATGGACATGGTGAGATTTTGGAAATGGTGCATTTGGGGGTCATGCGACGACTTCGGAGCCCTGCTTTTGTGAACTGTAGATTAGATTACTCGTACCTCACGAACGACTCGAAGTTATGCTGGCAGAGGAAGAAACCAGCATCGACTAACGTCAACTAGAAGACAGAAGCTACAACAAGCTCACGATGGTAGTACAAGCAACGGAGCCAAGTCGGAAGATCATTCGGACGCCATCCGTTCTATCGATGTGGGGATCTGCAGTTCTCGAATGTGGAGAAGAAGAAAACTCAAAAATCCCTCCTCCGATGCATGCAGTAGCCATAGCAGTTCGTTCCGTCATCTTTCTCAGGTTGAGATGCAGGTGGGATGTGATGTGCAAGGTGTAGACAAGCACGGGATAGGGATCTGCGGGGTATTGGGTGCATATATGTCCCAATATGGGTATCATGCAGACGCGTGCTGCACGGCACTGCGTTGCAATGCTTGAACTATGAAGGAGGCGTTCCCGTTAGCTGGCGCAAGCCATTCGTGTGAAGGCGTTGGCATGAGCCGAAGAGCCTCCTTTGGTACGGTGGTGAATTGAGTGCAGCGTGGATATTGGAAGCAATGTATCTGCCCTATGTACGGAGAGTATAGCATTGTTGACGTAACGATGCATGATGCCTTCAACAGTTGATTTGGGTACAGTATGAGTGGTGAAACTGTCGTCAATAACTGTGATTGATTGCCAGTACAAGACGACGCATCGGTATCTGTATTGCACTCTCAATCGTGCCTTGTAGGTGTTGTCCGTAGATACAATTGATTGTTGACTTCTTCCCCGGTTTCTCGGCTATGCGAAAGTTGGGGATGTCTAGATTGGGTTAGTAAGGACTACTCTTGTTTTGGCTTAGATGGGATGAGATTCTTGTTCCTGGCCCCTGATCCCTGCTCCTGCCCTGGCCAAAGTCGTCCCTTCCTTCCCGACCGACATCATCAGCAGATCGCGGGGGGAGCTTGGAAAAACACACTTTGGAGCTTGGGAGCTTGGGCACGCGGATACCCACCTGGCCGCCACCCGCACTCTTGTTTCTTCCTCCTCTCTTCCCTCCTCCTACCTCCTCTGTCTATATAGCTTGCTGTCATTTCCGCTGTTTTGTACATTGTCCTGTCTCTTCCATTCCCTCTGCAATTGGCTTGCGACCGTTGCTTGTGTTGGCCCCCAAGTCCGCACTCCTGAGAGCTCCATAAAGCTTCCCTCGAAGCTCTCCACAGGCCATCATGGCTCGCTTTTCATTTTTAAAGACGACGTCAGTACTCTCGTCCTTTCTGGCCTTGACCAGCGGACAGAGCTCGTCTGCGACTGTCGGCTCAGTTAGCAGCTCAGCCACTTCGTATCGCCCCATCTTCACCATCCCCGCATCCGCAGACCGAGGGAAGGACGTCCTTCCCAATGTTAACGACCCTGAGGCCGTGAACGCCCAGAATGTCTGCCCGGGTTACAAGGCTTCTGATGTGAAGGAAGACAAGCGCGGCTTGACCGCCGTCTTGACGCTCGCTGGAGCCCCGTGCAATGCATATGGCACAGATATCGAGGTTTTGAAACTTCGGGTTGAATTGCAATCGAAGAGCCGTTTGGCCATTAATATAAGCCCTGCATATATTGTTAGTCTCAGACGTGTTGTCCTCGTTATTATGCTATTGCTGACATGAGCAGGATTCTTCGAATTCATCCCACTACATATTACCAGAAGAGCTGGTTCCTAGGCCACAAGCTGAGGACGACTACGCAGATCTTGATCTCGAATTCAATTGTACGGCAATTCTCTGGCTGCTCATAACGCCTGCATCATGCTGACAATATATGAAGGGGACGATGAACCTTCGTTCTGGTTCAGCGTCACAAGGCATTCGACCGGAGATGTCATCTTCTCTACTGAAGGCAAGAAGCTTGTCTACGAGAACCAATTTATCGAGTTCGCGTCATCGCTTCCTGAAGACTACAACCTCTCCGGTCTCGGCGAACGAATCCATTCCTTGAAGTTGAACAACGAGCTTACTGCCACCATCTACGCTGCAGACGTAGGTGACCCGATCGACAGGAATATCTACGGAAGCCATCCGTATTACATGGAGACGAGATACTTTGAGACAGATGATCTGAACAGAAGGACTCTGATCACAAACACAAAAGATACTCCCTACATCTGGCACCAGGGCGGGGAATATGGAAAGCGCTCCGAAAGCGGTCAGAAGGGTTCGACCTACGAGTCGTTCTCTCACGGAGTCTATCTTCGAAACGCACATGGTCAGGAGATCAAGCTGCAACCAGACAGCATTACGTGGAGACTCCTTGGAGGAAGCATTGACTTGTTTTTCTTCGATGGTCCGACACCTGCTGAGGTGACGAAACAGTACCAGTTGGCAGCTGTTGGTCTACCCGCAATGCAGTCGTACTGGCCACTTGGTTTCCATCAATGTCGATGGGGTTACCGCAACTGGGAGGAGATCAGAGATATCGTCGACACGTTCAAGGCCTTCAACATCCCTCTTGAGACCATCTGGCTCGATATCGACTACATGAACCAGTACCGAGACTTCACCAACGACCCCGTCAGCTTCCCCTTGTCTGTTGCTAAAGAATTCTTTAAGAAGCTCCATGCCGATGGTCAGCACTTCATGCCTATTGTTGATGGTGCAATCTACATTCCCAACCCACAGAACAGCAGTGATGCCTACGCGACCTACAACCGTGGCAACGAGTCTGGTGTTTTCCTCAACAATCCAGATGGCAGTCAATACATCGGCGCAGTCTGGCCAGGGTACACCGTTTTCCCAGACTGGTTGGCTGAGGGCGCAAAGGATTGGTGGATTAAGGAGATGTAAGTAAAGAGGCCGCATCTACTGACTGGAAACTGACATAATTGTAGGGTTGAATGGTATAAGGACATCCCATACGACGGCTTCTGGCTAGATATGCAAGAAGTCTCGTCTTTCTGCGTCGGATCATGCGGTACCGGAAACGTCACCCTCAACCCAGTCCACCCTCCCTTCGCGCTTCCTGGCGAGTATGGCAACATCATCTATCAATATCCCGAAGGCTTCAACGTTACCAACGCCACCGAAGCTGCTTCCGCATCGGCAGCATCTTTAATCCAGGCCGCCCAAACCTCCTCAGCAACAACAACACCAGTATATGCCCGAAGCACTCCTACACCTGGTGTCAGGAACATCAACCATCCACCTTATGTCATTAATCACGTTCAGGGTGACCTAGCTGTGCATGCAGTTTCGCCAAACGCAACTCATCACAATGGTGTTCAAGAATACGATGTCCACAATCTCTGGGGGTAAGCCAGCAATGATCACTTGTATAGTTGGAACATGACTAACCTTATAAACAGCCACCAAATCATTCAAGCTACATATGATGGACTCCTTGAAGTATTCCCCGGCAAGCGACCTTTCATCATCGGTCGATCTACTTTTGCCGGTTCTGGCAAGTACGCTGGTCATTGGGGCGGTGACAACTCTGCCTCCTGGTACCACATGTATTTCTCCATTCCTCAAGCATTGTCGTTCTCGCTCTTTGGTATCCCCATGTTCGGTGCCGACACCTGTGGTTTCAACGGAAATACCGACGCAGAGCTGTGCGGCCGTTGGATGCAGCTGAGCGCCTTCTTCCCATTCTACCGCAACCACAACACTCTTTCCGCTCTCTCACAGGAACCATTCCGCTGGGAGTCTGTCGCTTCGGCTTCTCGCACCGCGATCAACATCCGATACACTCTCCTGCCCTACCTTTACACCCTTTTCTACCAAGCCCACACCACCGGCTCGACCGTCATGCGCGCCCTCGCATGGGAATTCCCCAACGAGCCTCAGCTTGCCGGCGTGGACAGCCAATTCCTCCTCGGTGGTTCCATCCTCGTTACCCCAGTTCTCGAGCCTCTCGTCGACACCGTCAAGGGCGTCTTCCCAGGCCTTATTGATGGCGAGGTCTGGTACGACTGGTACACGCAGACCAAGGTTGAGGCCAAGCCTGGCGAGAACGTCACCATTCCCGCTCCTCTCGGTCACATTCCCGTCTACATTCGCGGAGGCAGCGTTCTCCCAACCCAGGAGCCCGGATATACCACCGCCGAATCCCGTAAGAACCCCTGGGGTCTCCTCGTCGCGCTCTCGGAAGATGGCGACGCTTCTGGCTTCTTGTATGTCGATGATGGCGAGTCCGTTAACCCCGAGGCAACTCTCGAGATTACCTTCACCGCTGATAAGGGCAAATTGAACGCCGCTATCAAGGGCGAATACAAGGACACGAATGCCTTGGGTAACGTCACTATCTTGGGTGTGGACAGCATTGGAAAGGTCAAACTCAATGATGCCACGTTGGACGAGAAGCTTGTGTCGTACGATAAAGAGGCAAGGTTATTGAAGTTGACAGGCCTGAACGAGGCGACAAAGGGCGGAGCCTGGAGTGGCGATTGGACGCTCAGCTGGGAGTAAGCCATCCACGATTTCATGATGCATATGAGCTTTTAGCGAAGAAATGATGGGTGTACATGTTTTCCATCTAAGGCCACTTGATTGGCGATGTTGGATATGATACATCTTGCATATACATGAAGCATTTACATTTACATATGAAACGATCAATTAAGAAATTACTTTTTATTCACACGGACATTTCTCTTGATTTTTATCTACCTGATTGCCAGCCCTCCACACAGTCTCAATCCTTAAATGGGAAAGTGGAATGCCACTATTAACACGTGAGACTAACCAACTAAACACATAAACGCGAGACAATCCATTCAGCAACCACATCTCTCCGCGTTTTCTCCGCCGCCATTCTCCAAACCACCACGCAGCATAGATATATTCCTTTGTCAGCACATCTCGCTCATCTTTTGCGAAGGGGAAAGAAAGCAATATTAGTAATTGTGTCGAACAGTCTTCCTCGGAAAGTGAGGATTGTGGATTGAGAGACATGGCGAGATTAGTGGGAGGACTTCTTTAGTTCATTTGTAGAATTGGCATTCTCTACATATGTACATATGTACCAATGGAGAGCAAATACTGAGTCCTGTATCACTGATCGTTTCCCGCGAGCATGAGAGCTTCAAATCACCCGTTGACGGAGGAGGGCTCTTGACCACACCATCACTGCTTATCCGCTCCAACTCTACTTTCCCCAAACCAACTTCACAAAATCCTCCACATCCCCCCAAACCTCCCTCGGCCTCTCCAACGCCGCAAAGTGTCCACCCTTCTCGTGCTGGCGGTACTGTACGAGGTTGCCCTTCTCGCGCACGGCCACCTCGACAAGCGGGAACAATTCGAAGGGGAAGTACGAGAAGCCGAAGGGCTTCGCGATGTAGGGAAGCTCGATGCGGTCGCGCGCGGTGAAGATCTGGCGGTAGGGGTACACGGAGCGGGGGAAGCCGTGCGTGAACCAGTAGAGGGAGATGTTGGTGAGGACGGTGTCGAGGGGTGGGGTTTCGTCGTGCCATTCGAGGAGTTTTTCGCCGATCCTGAGGGGAGAGTTGGTGTTAGATGGATGTGCGGTTTTGTTTGGGATATTTTGAGTCATGGATGGGGGACTTACCAGGCGAGGAGGGAGATGGGGTTGGAGTTGAGGACGAAGCCGATGGTGCTGGGGCGGGAGGCGTGCTCGAGGCCGTATGCCGAGCCGCGTTCGCGCCATTGGAGCGCTTTCTCGATGCCTTTCTTCTGGTATGGTTGGATCTCGGACTCCTCGGGTGTGTGCTGCGTGCTGAGCATGTTGACTGATTTGTCGGGGTGAGAAACATGATTACTATTCGTAGAGTGGGGAGAGGGGACACGTACTGTGTATGGCGACGCATGAATCATATTCGGCAGCCAGCAATTGGGCTTCGAAGCTTCCGATGTCTCCGCCCTGGGCGATATATTTGTCGAATCCTAGATTGTGCATCAGGGTGTTAATCACGCGGGCCGAGTCCTGCATCGTCCAGTCTTTGTCCGGCGGGCCCCCCGAACTGAGCGTGTAGCCTGGCAGCGAAGGGATGATTATGTGGTACGGTCGGTCAGTTGCGGGGTATTTCTCTTGGACAAGAGAAACCAGCGATAGGAATTCAATGAAGCTGCCTGGCCAGCCGTGCAAGAATAGGATCGGGATTGCATCTTTCTTCTCGGAGAACAGTGCAACGAAATGGACCGTCAACCCTTCAATTTCCGTGGTGTAGTTTGGGAAGGAATTGATGTACTTTTCTTGTGCTCGCCAATCGTACTTGTTCAACCAGTAATCCTTGGTTTCGGTCATCCATTGATGTGTCACTCCAAAGTCATGAGCAGTCTGGGTTGATTCGTAAGTTTTCGGACCGATTCTTGATAGCTGTAACAGCTGCTTGAGCTCTGTAAGCTCCTGCTCGGGGATGTCGAGCGTGAAGGGCTTGATTGAATCAGGTGGTGAGTATGACATTGTGAGATATAGGTTTGAGTGTTCTAGACAGATTAACACGCGGGCGTGTGCGAGTCAAGTATTTATAAATTCAGACGGCCAAGGGGAAGCTCGGTAGTATTGAAAAGCGGGGACTGTCGTATCAATGTTGACTTGCACGGTTTTGTCTCAAGTATGGATGGTTATCGGAGCATGTACACAAGATGAAGTGGGGTATTGGAAATCCAATGTTGCAGGATCATTAATCTGTTTTGAGGTGGCTCAAGGATTGTTTTGATACACAAAATTTCTCTCCGTGATGATGGATTGGACCCGGTTACCGAGGTTTTGTAGAATGGCGGGGTTGGTATTGTTGGTCGATTCATTTTGGTATTGTACGCAAACTTGTAGCATTATTGGTGATGGCGTCGATACGGTGAAGTGTTGTTCGCTATAGACTTACGACATGCGATGCTTCAATTCACGATCAGGCCACTGCTTCTGGTACCAGGTAGATCATGCCCCAGAATTGATGATATCGTGGTCTCTGCCCCACATTGGAGGATTGCAAGTGCATTAGCCATCCTGATTCATAACAAAGACCCTTGGGCATTCGAGAAAACCTTGCCAGACAGGGAAGACATCGGACCGATGTATGCAGAGGACGTTGAAACGGGAGAAGCAACTTTTGAGGTTCGTGTTAGAGGAAACAGGAGTCGCGTCTTCGTGATAGTTAGTTTGTCAATTATGTAAGCTCCCGTCCTTAACACGCCATCATGTGATGGGCCGATAGCGGGGCTTCGATGGACCATGTCTTTGCCCCGCCAATTGTGTCACAGCCGATAACAAGACCAATCTAGTAGAGTAGGCTTTTTTTCTATCTATGACTATTAACCTACAACTATATTCACATTCACATTCACATCCTCTTGCGCTCCCACCCATCATCACAACTCATACCACGCCTCCTCAATTCCTTGGAGCTGTAAAAAGCTTGCTCAATATGGCGCCGGCTTTGCTTGCTTCAATTGACCTTGCCACTTATAAGAATCCCAGCCAAGGTCTTAACTCGCACGCTTTGTCCTTTATCGGCAATGTTTTCGTGCGCGTCACTCCCGAGACCGTTGATCAGGCACTCGAACACCTTCAGCAGTCTGTAGGTCGCTATACGAACTACCTCGGAGTCGCTTCCATCATATCCACCGAAGACATCGTTTCGCTTCTCGATGCCGGCGCTGCCAAGGTCATTGTCACACGGCAGCAACTCGACCAACTCTTAGCCTTGAAGATTGATCAAGACAGACTCATACTCGCGCTGCCCGGAAATACGAGGGAAGAGATCATTGAATCGATAAGCGGAACACAAGTCGACATCTACTCTCACCATGTTGAGGATTTGGACCTCGTCGAAGCATGGCTCAAAGAGTATGGAACCGACAGGCCGGACGTCTTTGTATCCTTCGCTTCTCTCGACATCGAGGGAATCCTGCGCATTGCCAAACTCGCGGCTATTCCTATCATCCCCGCCGAAGCTCTTACCGTCGATGCAGCCAAAGAACCGGCCCTACTAAGCACTGCACGATTACTCCTCGCAAACGCCACCAGTGACCGCCCGGATGGTCTCTTCACCACCCTTGTGACTGATGAGAGAGGAACCGCTCTTGGCTTGGTATACAGCAGCGAAGAAAGTGTGGCAGAGAGTCTTCGGACCGGCAGAGGCGTTTACCAGAGCAGAAAACGTGGCTTGTGGTACAAAGGAGAGAGTAGTGGAGATATTCAAGAACTGGTCTCTGTTTCCCTGGACTGCGACAACGATTGCTTGCGATTTGTAGTGAGGCAACAGGGCAGAGGTTTCTGTCACCTTGCTACACCAACATGCTTCGGAGAATACACTGGACTTTCTCGTCTTCAGAAGACCCTGCAGAGCCGGAAGGCTTCTGCACCCGAAGGTTCATACACGGCACGACTTTTCAACGACCCACAGCTGCTACGATCGAAGATTTTAGAAGAGGCCACTGAGCTCTGCGATGCTAAGACTAAGCAAGAAATTGCCTTCGAAGCCGCGGATGTCTTGTACTTTGCTCTCACGAAGTGTGTGGCCGCTGGCGTATCACTCGAAGATGTGGAGAGGAATCTTGATGCTAAAAGCATCAAGGTGAAGAGAAGGAGAGGAGACGCTAAGCCTGCTTTTATGCCTCCAGCCACCGCACCAGCGAATGGTACGAGTGAAAAGGAGGTAGTGAAAGAGGCAGCGTCTGTTCCAAAAAGCAAAGACGACCCCGCCGGTATTAAAGACGGCAAGATCGCTATGAAGAGATACATCACTGCAAAGGAGACACCAGAGGCTATCCAGGCTGCACTCCAGCGCCCCTCTCAGCGGTCTAGTGAGAAGATTCTGTCTATCTGCCACCCCATCATTGATGCTGTCAAGACACGCGGTGATGCAGCCTTATTGGAATATACCCACAAGTTCGAAAAGGCCACTTCGCTCACTACTCCAGTTCTCAAGGCGCCATTCCCTGAGTCGTTGATGCAGCTTGCACCAGAGACGATCAAGGCTATCGACACCTCCTTTGAGAATATTCGCAAATTCCATGCTGCTCAGAAGGAAGATAAGCCCCTCGTTGTCGAGACAATGCCCGGTGTTGTTTGCTCACGATTTGTTCGCCCGATTGAGCGCGTTGGCCTATACGTTCCCGGAGGAACGGCGGTTCTTCCCTCAACCGCTCTGATGCTTGGTGTTCCCGCCATGGTCGCTGGATGCAAGAGAGTCTTGTTAGCAACGCCTCCCCGCGCAGATGGATCTCCTACCCCAGAAGTCGTCTATGCTGCTCACAAGGTCGGCGCCGAAGCCATCGTTCTCGCTGGAGGCGCACAGGCTGTTGCAGCACTTGCGTACGGCACGGAAAGTGTGGCAAAGGTGGACAAGATCCTTGGACCAGGAAATCAATTCGTCACTGCCGCGAAGATGATAGTGTCCAATGACACAAATGCTGGAGTGAGCATCGATATGCCCGCTGGTCCGAGTGAAGTCCTGGTGATTGCAGATGCTACTGCCAACCCTGCCTTTGTGGCATCAGATCTGCTCAGCCAGGCGGAACACGGTGTTGACTCTCAAGTCATCCTGATTGCTGTTGGGCTCAATGAGGCCCAGCTCACCGCCATTGAGGATGAGCTTGATCGCCAGGCGAATGCTCTGCCTCGTGTCGACATAGTCCGGGGCGCCATTGCTCACTCATTCACACTTGTTGTCGAGACTATCGAGGAAGCCATGAAACTCAGCAATGATTATGCTCCCGAGCATCTTATTCTGCAAGTCCAAAATGCCGAGGCAGTCGTCGATTACGTTGAGAACGCCGGTAGTGTATTCGTCGGACCATGGACTCCAGAGAGTGTTGGCGATTATTCCGCCGGTGTAAACCACTCCCTCCGTAAGTCTTTCATATCAGCTCAATGCATCATATGCTAATCAATTGTGTAGCAACATTCGGATACGCCAAGCAGTACTCTGGTGTGAACTTGGGATCGTACGTCAAACACATCACCAGCGCCAATCTCACGCAGCAAGGATTGGTGAATGTTGGCGGCGCAGTGATGGAATTGGCCCGGGTGGAGGAACTTGAAGCCCATCGACGTGCAGTCAGCATCCGACTCGGTGTCGCTTGATTCAGGAAAACAATACAATTTAATGGATCGGTGAGGCGGACAGACCGCCCGATCCTTACGCTTGTTTAGCGTAAACATTGCATGATGCCTCGGCATCAGCAGGGACTTAGTCGATAAGCGACAGTTTCAGCAGATCGTAAGGAGAAAACAACGCCGTCTCCGACTCTCCGTGATGATTCGATCGCGCACCAGCGCTGTCGGGACGAAAAGATTTTGAGATGAATTTTTGAAGGTTGATGACGAAGATATAGGATATAGAGGATTGCACTCCATGAAGTCATTGAAAATGGTATTTATACCTATTTAGTAGTACACATATCAATACTATATTTGAAACCAGACTTCTATGCTATTGTGTCCGAACATATAATAGCATAGACCAGAACGTGCACTAGTAGAATCAATCATTTGTACGCCCCTTGATATGCACAATCACATTACATCCACCGGTTCATCTCCTTGAAGGCGTTCTTCATGAAAGTCATGTTCAAGCGCTAAAGGCGTGGTGCCACCATGATTGATCTACGTTTTGAAACTTCCCTAATTTCCCACCATCCAAACAATCTATCTCAAGAACGTCATTCCATTTTCAGCCAAGTCCGAATTCTAGGTCATCTACTATTAATCTCACAATGCCTACATTTTTGCGCCACTTAATTCCTTCCTTTTGTCCCTTCAGGTGCTTCTCTAAATCATTCACTCATTTATCCGTTCGTTACTGACGTTTGATACGTTCCATTCGCTTCTCAATCGAGTCCAGCTCTTTAAATAAACTCAACGACATTCGTTCTCTACTATTGACAGTAAAAAAAAAAAAACAGTATCAACCAATATGCGCGCCTCTTTGTTTACTCTCGCTATCTCCGCGTCTCTTGTCGCCGGCCAAGTTGGCCAATACGGCCAGTGCGGAGGAAAGAACTACAGCGGCGAGACCAGCTGCATCGCAGGCACCGTCTGTCACGAGTACAATGAATGGTACTCCCAATGCATCCCAGGACAAGCCCAGGCTCCATCCGCAAAGCCTTCAGCAACCAGCGTACCATCTGCTCCAACTAGCGCTGCTCCTACACCAACGAAGGTCGTTTCTATCCCTTCAAGCAGTGCTTTGGCACCTGTTCCCTCGACGCTCGTAACCAGGGTTGTTACACCAACTTCTGTAGTTGCGAGTTCGAGCAAACCAACTTCCACCGCCGGAGCTGGTAGTGGCACTGGATCTGGCGCCAACGGTGCAAAATGCTCTCTCGATGCCAAATTCAAAGCAGCAGGGAAGAAGTACTTTGGAGTCGCTACGGATCAGGGGCTCCTTTCAAACGCCCAGAACAAGCAAATCATCGTGGACAACTTTGGCCAGGTCACGCCCGAGAATAGGTACGTTATCGATTTTGAATTTCGTCCTTGAGCCATGCACTAATTCAAAATGTAGCATGAAATGGGACGCTACAGAGAAGACTGAGGGCCAGTTCAGCCTGACCGGATCCGACGCCCTCGTCAGCTTCGCGACCACGAACAGCAAACTTATCCGCGGCCACACCACAGTCTGGCACTCCCAGCTTCCATCCTGGGTCTCAAGCATCACCGACAAGACCAAGCTCAAGGAAGTCATGGTCAACCACATCAACAAGCTCATGGGCCAGTACAAGGGCAAGATCTACGCATGGGTGAGCTCAGTCCCTTTCCCTCCCCCTACCTTACCCCAGAAACTAACAACAAACATAGGACGTCGTCAACGAGATCCTCGCCGAAGACGGCACCTTCCGCTCCTCAGTATTCTACAACGTGCTCGGCGAAGACTTCGTCCGCATCGCCTTCGAAGCCGCCCGCGCCGCGGACCCCGCCGCCAAACTCTACATCAACGACTACAACCTCGACTCGGCCACGTACGGCAAGACTAAGGGCATGGTGACCAAGGTCAAGGCATGGATCGCCGCCGGCGTGCCCATCGACGGAATCGGTTCTCAGGCCCATTTGTCCGAGGGCCAGGCGTCCGGCGTCAAGGCCGCCATGCAGGCGCTCTGCGGCGCGGCCCCCGAGTGCGCCATCACCGAGCTTGATATCAAGGGTGCGAGTGTGGCAGATTACCAAGCTGCGACGAAGGCGTGTCTGGATGTCAAGAACTGTGTTGGTGTCACGGTTTGGGGAGTTAGGGATACGGATTCTTGGAGGAAGGAGAATAACCCGCTGTTGTTTGATGCTTCGTTCCAGGCTAAGGATGCTTATAATGGTATCTGCAGCATTGTTTAAAGATAGTGTTTAGTGGATGAGTGGAAGGGGGTTGCAGCTTGCTGCTGCTCAGAGGGGATTTTCGATTCTTTGTATATCATTACATATCATTCGTACATACATCAATAAAAGCATAGAACTATGCTGAAATAGCTTTAAGCAGAGATTCGTCATTCTAATGGTATGCTGAACTTAAATACAGTAACCTCGTGGTGATAGTAATTGGCGACACTGTGCCGCCTTGTGGTATGCCTATAACTTAAACATTCGCTTGGAAGACTGCCCAGCAGCCTCCATCCTGGGAAACTCAAAACGCAAAACGCCACTGAAAGAGACCTCAATCCCCTCAACAACATTTAGGTTATGTAAGGGTTTGGGTTGCATCGTCCTCTGCCAAGCATGAAATTAGCTGACATCGCCTGCGTTCAAGAGCAGATAGAGACTTACGAAATTCATCTTGTGGATCATCTGGTATCCAAGTGTAGGTGTCCGATGTCTCTGATTCCGAAGAGGAATTGGACGGGGCCTTTTTCTTTTTCTTTTTGGATAAGGATTTGGGAGGGGCGTCTTGTGGGTCATGTAGTATGCAAGTGCATTCCACCGGTATCTCCGATTCCAAAGAGGAATTGGTCGGCGCATTTGTTTTCGATGAGGATTCGGGAGGGTCATCCTCTTCCACAGGGGGCTCAAGCAGTGCCCTATATTTCTACAGTCAGTCGCAATTTGCCAAAAGATTCTTCTAGGGTCTACGAACATGATGATTACCTCAAGAAAACCAAAGAAAGCAGGCCAAAAGTACATATTAAACGATTCCGAAAATGTCGGTTCATCATACCGACCACGGTAATCGGCTCTGTACCTGTAAGGTTCCAGCGCTCTTGGATCCCGTTGATATGTCGGTCGGATGAAACTATGTCTCATGCCACGTCGTTGTCGCATTCGATGGGCCTGCAATTCTTGTTGCGTCGTCTATGTCTCTATTGCTCTTTGCGGTGTCGTCTCGACGGCCGCTTGTTGGACGCCTGTCGAGAAATTATGGTGTAGCGGATGATGAATTATTCTTTGACCGAGCCTCCATGCGCCTATTCTTTGGCCGAGCCTCCATGCGCCTATTGAGAGGGCCGGTGCACCTCTGATAGTCGAGGCATGAGCGATTGCTCGAAAGGTATTTACAGTTAGAGACATGGTTGTATTGTGTGAGGGGGATGTGTATAATAGATGTGCGCAGAGTGACTTCGAAGGAGTTGAGAAGAGAGCGATCGCAACAGCATTTCTTGATGGTGATTATATAGCTTGAGTCATCCCTCCTAGATATACGGTTCAAAGTCAATTTAATGAGACAAAAATGTTGACCACTCTCCCAGATCCACGGTTCATTATAGCCATTTCAATGAAAATAAGCTCCAACCACCTTCCCAGATCTATGGCTCATTGTAGTAGTTAATCCAATGAGGTGAGGATACTGACTTCCCTCCCAGACCCACGGCACCTTGTCATCAATTCGACGAGTCGAAACTGCTGAGTACCCTTTTCTAGAATTCACTTGCAACATGTTTCGCTACAGTCCCGACTGCTGGGGCCCAAACTTCCCAACTGAACATAATCGCATCAAACGTGACCTTGTCCGAACAGAAGGGATCGAATGATATTGGTTCTGCGCAGCAGCAGAAGTTCGGATGGAAGACTCTTCATCATCAGGCCCCACATACCTTCTCTAGGACGATTGTGAATAGCGTTCATGATAGGAAGTGTTCAAAATGATTGTTGGGCAGCTCTGTATTGCAACTCGGCAGTAAGTAGAAAAGTTGATAGTTTTATTGATTGGTTGAAACTGGAAGGATTTGTCTATTTTAGTGAACGTTGATTGCACAAGCATATGCTTAAGGCTATTTTAGCACACTCTTATGCTTTTATTCATGTATGTACGAATAATATGTAATGATATACAAAGAATCGAAAATCCCCCTTGAGCAGCAGCAAGCTGCCGCCCCTTTCCCGCTCTTCAAAACCTCGTTCACGATAGATAGCAGCACCCTCTTGTTATAGTCAGTATCTAATATACAGTAGATCTAGAGGAGGGCATTAACATGCAGTTAGGAGAGGACATAGTAGGTTATATCAACTATTTAAAGATCTTTAGTTCTTGCAAGGAAAGCAACATTCCTAGGTTTTGCGCGCATATTATAGGCAATAGGTATCTTTAACAAGAGAAGTTAGAAGTACGTTTCTTTAGCGTAGATTTCCTTCTGCATAGCTCCTAGCCTAATGTACTTTTAATCGCTCTGCGGCCCCCGTCGACGTTAAAGAGTGCATTATTTGCCAACCAGATACCTCTAGTAAATGGCAGCATAACCTCCTCTAAGACCTTTAGAAGCATCTCCTCTAAGACCGTTGGGAGCAACTCCGCTAGAGCCTCCGAATCGAGCGATACGTTTGCAAGGTCATGTTGCAGCCTATGCCAGGCTTCTTGAGGGTCCGGAGCTGACATTATAAATGTTTTCGAGTGGTCGATTCCGGGGGGAAGGGTGTATATTAAAAGGTTTACGCTTGTCTTTGGACTCTTTGGGGTCACCGGGTTTCTTGCTGGGCGACCTACTTGGCCTCGACGGCGGCGGTGAGTTCGGCAGAGAAGGTGAGGTGCGATAATACTACATTATCTCTAATGTTAAACCTTGCTACTCTCCTTACTAAGTTATTCCTTATAGGCCTACTAATGTTCTTATGCTAGGCGACCTGCGTAGCCTTAATAGCGGCGGTGAACTTAGGACAGAAGGCGAGGTGCGTTAATGACAACATAATGTTGAACCTTGCCGCTCTCTTCACCAAGTTATCCCTCACAAGCCTGCTGAGGTTCTCACACTGGGTGAATGGTTGCTTCTCTTCGATTGAGCGTGTCATCCTTAGTGAAGAACTATTGGCGAGAGAGTTGACGATGATAAAATGTTGCATTTACCTTGGGAATGAGATTTATTGGTATCGTCTTTGGATAGTGGAAGAGGTACGGGCGGAACACTCTGCAGCACTAGACAATTTAGTTATTCTAGAAGAATAAACTTAGCTCTCCTAAACAGCAAAACATTCCTAGGCCTTGCTGGTGATTATCAAGAAGCCTTTAGTAGTGATTCATGGAGATATTGTATCGACACTGATCGATCGTAGGGCAAAACTCAATCCATTACATGAGCAAGGCGCACATATTTATTTGCTTATATTTACATATAAGGACGCATACAAGAATGGTTCCGTACGTGGCCAACTGCAATTGCAACTGCAATTGAGCTCGCGTATCCGTGAAAATTATCATTCGCTGAAGTAACAGGTGTGAGAAGCATCTATACAAGGATCATTTGCACAGGTGTAAGAGGGGTTGAGCAGAAATTTAAGCCTTCGCAAAAGCCATCAGCTGCGCGACGGATGCAGTATGCATCTGAAACAGTTATGCGCATCTACGAGAGAATTATCCTGGCGAGAGAGGTAAAATTCATTGAGAGAGAAGAGTGTTCAGAATAGATAGGAGCAGCACTATCGAAAACCTTTTGTTAGTGACTGAGAAGGTCGGATGTAACGCAGAGGCGGACTACATGAAACGTCATTATTCGTAGATACTTGCGTAAATTTGCTACTTGACTGTCGAAATATCTCTGAGCAACAGTTATCACGGATTGTGACGAGAGGATACGATGAAGAACGCATAGGTAGGAGCATAAGCTAACCCAGTGACCATAGTGGGAGGCAAAATGTTGGTCGGACATTGGTAAGGGATCGTTGTGGACACAATAGGAGGAGGCTCAAGATATTGCTTGTGGTATTTACTTCATTTTTTATATTCTATGGTTTCTCTTTTATCGTTTTGATTTCCATTGACGTTTATGGTTTCCTTCTCTCTGTGCTTCATGTGTCTTCCCATTCTTTACCAACAAGATATTCAACCCGGCGGAGGGAACGCAGCAACGCCGTCAGATCTGAATGTAGAGATAGGGGAGGGTGCCCATGATATCTGGCATGATCAAACCAACGTCCGTATTGGTCACTGTCATAGGAGTTAGTAAAGTTGCGCATGAGTGATAGATGAACCATGAACATACATTTATTGACCTAGCCAACGACTAGGACCATGAGCCACGGGCCGCATGTGGCGGCCACTCGATCAAGGGCAGACTGGGTCTGCCTGTCCGAAAATCAGTTGAGAGATCCCCCGGCTGATCCAAGACCTCACCGCCGCGCGCCCCCACCCACCGGGGAGCCACCCCCCACCCTCCCAAAAACCAGCCGGGGGATTTGGCGCCCCCCCAGGGGTCCCAATCCCCGGGGGATCCCCCGCATAAGAAATGTTCGATTGTTTAATGATAGCATAATTAGTGATGGCTTTCAAGCTATAGTACGTTAGCATGTGATCAAATCAACAAAATGTGTCTGCCTCTCAAGATGCGAAGGCGAGGTAAAGGTGCGAGGGAAGTAATGCGATATGAGTCCAACGAATGATGGAAGACAGATGTGTATTGATGAAATGATGCTGGGGAGCTGCAGTGCTGGGGCATGGACTCACCGAGAGGAATGATTAATGATGCTGGAGGAGAATGTTGGGATGCTGTAGTCATAAAAATATGTTGAGATGGTATTGTCGTGGAAGAATGTTGAGATATTTATGTCGTATAAGAATGTTTGGGGCAGAGAAGAAGAATAGAACATGTGTCTTGTAATGTAGAGATCCCACTTTGCGTTCGAATGAATGGAACGATTTCATGATTGTTGTGGTGGAGAAGAGAAGAGAAGAAGGGAGGAGAGAAGAAGGGAGGAGAGAAGAAGGGAGGAGAGAAGAAGGGAGGAGAGAAGAAGGGAGGAGAGAAGAAGGGAGGAGAGAAGAAGGGAGGAGAG